ACAAAGTGTGTGATCCAGTGGGCGACGCTGTATCGCAGCGACGGTGTGATCTTGGCTGCGACCCTGTCCTCGAGGTCTGGGATATCGTCGTGAAAGTCGTAGATATCGCAGATGTTGATCACTGGCTCGTGCGAGAGGATCACACCGAGACATCCCTTGGCAAACACCGTGTGGAACGAGCCCGACACATGCCATGGATGGCCAGTCGATGCGTCGCCGAGGAGATAGTCCGCCACCAACTTGTGGTTGAACTTGACCTCGGTGTTGGTGGACTGGCTGCCTCGGGGACCCAATCCATTGGCGCCAGGATCGAGGACCAGACTGAGGCTCTTGAGACACTCGCGAACGACGCCGATCTCGAGTCCAAACACATGGGCGATGATCTGTGGGGTCAGAATCGACTGGGCCGTGGCGATGGCCGACACCACCGTGACCAGCTCGGCCGGATGGCTCGACTGCGAGTGGATCTTGGCGAATGTCTTGTGGTACAGCTGACCGACATCGGCGGCGCTGTCGTTGATGTCCTTGATCGTGGCGAGTGTCACTGGGCCGTCTGTGGATGCTGCATCGACGGTGTTGAGGAGCAGGTTGATCCACACGAATGTCTTGGACTGGTCCAGCAGGATGGCAACTGCCTCGGTTCGGTCCGAGTCAGTGAGAGTGTCATACACTCGCAGTCGGTGGCGGATGTACACATCGAGGTCACGGATGTTCTCCTCGCTCGAGGGTTCGATCGTCTTGGTCGGGACTCCATCGAATGCTGCCTTGATATCGTCCTCGGGACGGGATGTCAGCAGCAGCTTGAGCCACGGACGGGTCTTGTTCAGTTCGACGAACCGCACGGCAAGCAGACTGAGCAGCTGGTCGCGCGGAGAACACTCGTCGAGTGCATCCACCAGGATCATCACTGATCCCTTGGGTCTGTAGTCGCCGATGGCTCCGAGTGGATCGGCAATCACGGCCTTGAACAGGTCCGGGATGCTCATCTTGTCGAGACTGTCCTTGGAGTGGCCGATATCGAGCAGCTTGCGACCGATCGGTGAGTACCACTTGCACAGACCGTATGCGATGGTGTTCAACACCGATCGAGGGTTGTTCTTGCGGGTGTCGTTGTACTTGAGGAACAGCGCCGACACCAGCTGTGCGTTTGCCTGGAGGATGTTGGCGATCTGGGCGGCAGCGACAGACTTGCCGACAGCCGTGATCCACAGGACAGTTTCATTGGTGTCCTGGTTGACCCAGTCGGTTGTTTGGTCAAAGAGCCACTGGCGAGTGCCCTCGACATACAGATCCTCGAGTGCTTCTCCGTCCAGGGTTGAGTCGATGGGACTGAGGAGGAGTCGCAGGGCGTGGTTCTCGTTGGCAGTGAGGACAGTCGATCCACTCGGCAGATAGGCTGGCACAGTGGCAACGAGGCTGGTCTTCTTCCAGGTCTCGCGGATCTCGGGGACGAGTCTGCGGATGTGCGAGTCAGCATCTGGATGGTCAGCATCAATGGGCTGATGGATGAGACGGATGCCATCGGCAAGTTCCACAGACACACTCACTTGGTGACGGCATAGTCGTCGTCGGCAATCAGCGCCTGCAGCTTGAGCAACTCCTCGAGAGTCTGGCGCACGGTGAGGGGAGGGCTGATCTGGTGCAGGTTGGAGGGACTGGCTCTGTGGCAGTGGATGGCATCGGGAAAGTCGTTTGTGTTGGGGAACCAGTCTCTGGTGTACTTGGTGCCGTCAATCATCACACTTGACTTGATGAGGATCGGCAGGATCTGGACGGGCGAGCGGGTGTTCTGGGTCTCCTTCATCTGCTTTAGAGCCACCTCGATCTGTTCCCAGCAATCAAATCAGTAAGCATCCAAGTCAGCCCGACAGGGCATGCTTGTATCCAATACTTTCCCCCCACAAGGCGGTCGTTCGGCACCGAATCAGCTTGCTTGACTCTTTCAAAGCCAACCTCGGACAGGAGTTGCACTATGATCCTGGCGTAGGCCAGTCCGTCGATACGGCTTTGCATGGTCTGACCACCCGCAAGAGAGGACGAACCCATGAATCGTCCGAAAGCATTTTTACATCTCGATGGAGGCCCAGGGCGCTATCTGAGCTGGAACGCACCTCGATCATCGGCATCTGTCTCATGACTTTGACAAGCAGTCGTTGGTAGTGGAAATCAATGAGTGACCTATCCTCTGAGTCATCGTAACTGAGATAGTGTTGGCTCACCTGAAGCACAACTCGTGGTCAGCGAATCCAACATCGGGCATGGGCGTCCCACTCATCCAACTTTATTCCGGTGGGTGGATTCCATCCTCTCGACCGCTTCGTCCTCGATTGCAAGTCCTGCGATTGTATCTCCGGTTTCCCTCACCGTCTGTGGGGGTCAATCAGAGTGAGCCACTGTTCTTGCACTTCACTCTGCGGAGTGAGATCCTCACCGATCCGGCCTTGCTGATGCTCTGGGTGTTTTTGAGACCGTCCTGCTTGAGGAAAGCATCAAGTCCGTCTGGCGATGACAGTTGAACAGGTCAGCCAGGGTAGGATCCCGCCTGTCACAAATGGGGCGTTGATGCATACCACTGGCCGACTTGGACTTTACGACGATGTTTTGACGAAGGAGGAAGACGGCCCCAAAGCCCGTCTGGGCGGTCGTGTCGCTCTCTGCATCACTGATCCTGGCTGGTGTTGCCATGTGTTGCGCCGACAAGTGAGCACCCTGGAACCCTTTGAGCACCAAGTTCGTCCCTGCCATTTCTCCACATGACCTTAATATGATGCCGATTCTTTGGGCAGAGGCGCACCGTTCTCTCGCCGGCCATCACATCGAGCCTATCCTTGCCCGATAGCGAACGCACTCTGCTGCCCCCGGGTTGTTCGTGGGCCTGGCCTGGGCTCGCAGCGCGCCCGACCCCGGCCCCAGCGCGCCCTGAACACCCGTGCCCAGCGCCCAATGGTCCCGTGTCTGGCCAGCCTGTGGCTGGCGGCCCTGCTCCCAACTGCGCTCGCGACAAATCCGGCCGAAATTGGACTGGCGCCGACGTTGAAAAAAACAAGGGCGGTTCTTTCGGGGGCCTGGCCACTGCGCTCCTGCCAAAGGTCTCTCTCTCCGCTCTGGCCTGAGCCGCTCTTTCTCGCCTCCTCCAGCTCCCCCCCCCCGCTGTGCTGCGTCGCTGTCACGCACACATGCTCAACGACATCGTGGATTCTGTCTACAGGGTTGCTGCCTCACCTATAGTCAATCTGGCGTCCAAGCTCTGTCAGCCCAATTCCGCCATGGGCTGTGCTGAGGAGGGCGGTCATTCCTTCCCGTCCCTTCCCACCCCTCCTCTGAAGAATGGCGTCCGGCCGATGAATGAGGGTATGGCCTGCGTTGGTCCGCGTTTCTGTTCGTGTGCCTTCGTGTCCCATCAGGTCATAACCCGCTGCCTCGATTTTTTGCGTTCGGAATCCATCGCAGCGCTTGCCGATTTTCTGAGATGACATTCATCCCTTTCGATATTCGCCTCTCACAGACATGGCCGCGACGCCCAGTCCGATTCGGTCGTCGTTTTCCACCCTCTCTGAGCCATCTACACCATCCATGCGGGCTAAATCTCGAGTCACCTTCGCGAGAGATGATGTATGTGCTCGCAACCGCACCTATTGCCGCTCTCTCATGCGTCGGTCCTTCCCGACAAGGAACCGCCAATGGCTCTCGTGACGGAGCTAGGTCATTCACCAGCACAGAGGGTGCTGCTATTGTGGCTGATTCAGGATTCGCCCTATTTCGCTTGCTTTCCGGCAGGTTGTCGAGGAATTCCGCGACAACGATCCCGTCAGCACGCCTTATCGATTGGGTCTCGCGCCCATGAATCCTTCGCGCCGCCTGTCCCCGAACGGCGAACATATCCTGTCCTCCATCAAGAATGGCACAGGAACGATCATGGTCGATGAGCTCATGGCGTCAACCGTTCTCCTGGACAAGGTTGCCGTCCGGGTCCCACGCACTCCAGATGTCCGTGTGCATCAATCCTCCAATGACTCGAGTGACACCGAAGAAGGTGAAGGTGAAGACGAAGGTGACGATGCCGTTGAAGTTGGAGTTGAAGATGATACAAGGGTTGAAAAGCAAGGCGATAACGGCGTTATTGACCAAGTGGCGGATCCGGATGAGTGTGCGGCTTCCCAACTGCAAGTGTCTCCGTCCGTCCGCTCCTCAAGCGCGCAGTTCCTCCTCGATCTTGGCTTCAGCTTCCCCACAGCTTCCGGCAAGGGTTCCGGATCGAGCCCGACTCTCTCACTCCTCACAAGGTCCTCCGAGTCATTCAGGATGCACCCAACACCATCTCCGGTCAAAACCGCCACACGGTTCCATCTCCCAGAAGGCGCTGGCCTTGCACCTTTCCACGCACAAAAACGGGGTTTCCCGTCCTCTTCTATCACGTATCAGGAGCGCCAGGAGCAGCTCATAGATCTCCACAACAAATACGAGGCCCTTCAGCAGTTTCGACTGAGCATGGCGGCTGATAGCATCGCCGCCTCGGTGGCGACCGAGCAATCGTCCTCTGAGCCTGATCTCTGCTCTCCTTCCCACAAGGTGCGCAGAATGACCATGATTCCTGTTCCAGATCTTGAAAACAGGTCTTTGCCCCTTCACAATGTTGGTAGTCCCTCTGGCGAGCCACGACTCGATGGTGCTCTTGCAACCTCGATGGAATCGGCCGAAACTCAGCCGCCTCCAACAGCGACGAGCAGAGTGTCATTCACCATTCCCGGTTCGTATATCGCATGCCCCACCGAGTCCTTTCCGCGACTCGTCCTCTTTCCGCATCGGGTTAATCTGGTTGGTATCCAACTACGTGTCCAAAACTGATCTTGGCGAATATCCCTCCTATTCAGATCTTGACTCGAGCGCGGGCACAGTAAGTGATGAGAGTGATCTTCATGGGCTGTCGCTATGGCCGATGATGGAGTCATTTCTAATGGAGCAATTTCTGATGAATTGGCTCGCTTCCCTTGTCAGGCCATCGGTGTGATGGCGAGTAGACCGTTGAGCCCACCGTCCTCTAGCTCCTCCTTCAAGACTGCGACACCCCAGTTTCATACCCGCCATTCCCCGGACACTGGACTATCCGCACCGGTGGCTGCCGATTCGATGTCCGTCTCCCGTCGGGCTATCTTGACGCCATCTGCAAAGCCACACCGCAAATCAAAGCGCATTAGCCCTTCCTCGATTCAACGCGCAATCGACGCTTTCTCCGAGACGCACAATCGACAGGGCGACAGCACTGTGTCCCTCCAGCAAGTTGAAAAGCTTGTCCCACCTCCTGTCGCTTCTCGACGCAGCATGCTCCCGAAACCAAAGAGAGAGTTGGATGAGCCTCAGCCACCTTCGTTGAAGCGAGCATTCACGGATTCTCTCGCCTCTGAATCCGCCGCAAAGTGCCATGTCCAAACCTCTGCTCTGTATAGTAGCGGTGGCTTGGACGGGGGAATGGCTCGATCAACAAGACTCAAATACCAGGAGGACTTGAATACGCCAATCGTGCGAAAGCACCTCCGCAATCGGGTCGTTGAGGTGAATGGCGGGGGTACTTCGACGATCCCGAAGCTCAAGCGGGCCCGGACCCGCTGAGGACAGACCAGCCCGCCTTATGCTTTTCGGCTCCTCGATTCGGAATTTTGGAAGATGAGTTTCCTATTGTTAATGAAGCCGTATTGATCGGATATTTGCGTGATGCTCCCGCGACTCCATGCTCGCCCCTCCCACAAATACAACGCACCGCCTTTGACACAGCCCTGCCTCCGCGCGAATTGCTGCGTCCATCGCGGACCACGGACTTGCACACCCCATCCGTCGATTGCTGCATGTTGTCCGATGTTCTGCCCCACCTGTTCATCGCAAGAAGACATGCCTGGGATGAGGGAAGACACAGGGCAAAGAGCAAAATCGCTGTGGACCTTGGCGAGGGGATTTCATGGAGTTCGGGCGCCTTCTGATTCACACCATGCAACCCACACAGTCCACACAGTCCACACAGTCCACAGCCCCAAAGCCATCCATGTGTGAAAGTGCCCTCACAAATATCAGTTCGCTGCAACGACAGGGAGATGCCACGTGCTTGATTCCGTGCGATGCTTGTGACACAGAACAGCGTGCACCTCGCCCAAGCTTTCGGCTGCCTCACTCTCCAGACGAGTCTTTCTCTGCTCCATCGTGGGTTGCATCGCTTGCCTCCACCGTCCCGAGCAGCCATGAGTGAGCAGCGGGCCGCCGTCCCCCCTCCTCCTCCTCCCCTCGACCACCACAATGCCTCCCAATACCAACGTGATTTGGACTCAATCAAGGCTCTGATCGATGCCATGACCTCCGACCTCAATCCACAGGTCGACTGGCTGCTCTTCTTTGAGCTCCTGGAAGATATCAAGGATGTCGACGTCAAGCAGTGGATGGCACTCGATTCTATGAAGAGCAGGATGTTTCAAGCCAGCCCTGGTGAGTGCCGCTGTGCATTTCCTGATTTTCTGAAGTGAGGGGTCAACGATGTCGATTCCGTTGCCACTTTCGCTCCCCTCGACAATCCAACCGCCTCCACTCACCCCTGGCGGCGCTATCCTGTTTCCATGGCCCACACTCCTGCAGTCGTCTCGGACTATTGTCTGAGCATATTCGAGGCTCTGATGAACCAAGGCAACGCATCCATTCGGGACAAGGTCATCAGCGATAACGTCCTGTCCTTCTTCTGGACCTTTCTCCACGACCCCGTATGTGCCGTCTGCCCGGCTTGCAGTTGCTTGTCTGGCTGGCTTGCCGCTATCTTTCCGTCTTTCGGCTATCTAACTGCCTCCCTCCCTCCCTACCTTCCTCTCTGCCTCCCTCCCTCTCTGCCTGTCTGCCATATTCCGTATCTGCTGACTCTCCATGACGTTTGTCGGGGCAGTTCTCGGCTTACGAAAACAAGAGCCGCCTGCTCTACCACATCGAGAACTGGTGTCTCCGAATCCGCACTGAAGTTGGAAAGAACCGTCTGATTGATTTCATGGAGAAGCTTCGGGAGGAGTGTGCGTATCCGGCTCGAGTGACGTGCGCCGTGCCTCATGTCCCCCGCTGCAACTCAAACCTTCGGCCCCCTGTTTCTTCCAGACTGGCCATGACATCTATCTAACCTGCCTCTATTGCCCTCTCTCGACCCATCAAATAGCATACGAGGTTCCTTTCCCTCCCCAACCAGTACGTAGCAACGCTGTCGCTCGATTTGTGTGGATGCCTGTCGCATCTCGACTAACACACTTGCTCGCTCCCCAGTCAAGGATCCAGCCCTTTATTGATGAAAACTGGGCTCCACCGCGCAACTCGACTTACGCTTCCCACCGCACTGCCTCGATCAATACCTTCCCTGAGTCTCCGCCTCTCGAGCCCGTCAGCAGCCCAATCACCGCCAGTATCGTCCATTGCCTGTGTAGGTATCGAGGCTGATGTCACCGTGGCCGTCTCCATTCCATTTCACACCATTCCACTCGAGTTCCCATTTCTTACAAATTCCTGTCATCGACGTTTCCATCTAGCAACGGCAATCAATGACGTTTCACCTGAGCTGGACTGGCAGGCTGCCTTTGCTGTCGTCGATCTTGTCGACGGAAACTCGAACAGGTAGCCATACCAAGACCTAGGGCCTAGACGAGCCCTCCATTCGTGGCCGCCATGTTTTCGAGCTCCATATCGCTCTCACACTTCCCATGTCTTGCGAATATGCTGACGTTGTTGGTCTCTCCACTGCGCATTTCCCGCCCGCGAACATCAAAGCCCTGCTGTTTTGGATGCCATCAGGTTCATTCGGGAGAGGATTCTCTCGCCAAATTCTCGTAAGCTTCCCATATCTGCGCAAAATGCATCTGTGAAACTTCTTCGCTCAACCCAGTTTCGCTGGAGATCAGCCAAGGAGTCTGCTGCAGTCAACACTGATGTCATGACATGCGGGATAAGCTGACACTCACCCGGCTCGCGTGCAGAAATTGTCGAAAAGGCACTTTGTATTCTGGACATTTTGATATCCAACTGTAAACCCAGCTTTCGCAAGCTGGCCTTGAGCTCCGAAAACGTCACGTTCATGAAGAACTTTTTGCTGACCAAGGTAACCATTTCCCCAGCGCACTGTCACTCCGAGTGCGTGTTGACGCTGATCTGCTTGTCGTTTGCCTCAGGGCGTTCTCCAACCCCATTACAGCATCCTCGTGAACTACGTTCAAGAATGGCTGCAGCTGGTCGGCGACTCCACGGATGAGTACCCAGAATTCCTGGCCCTCGCATGCGAGTTCACAAGTATGCGCTCCTGCGTGCCTGCGTGCCTGAATGCCCCTTTGTGCCTCCTTGGTATTTGATTGCTGCAACTGACTTGGTCATCCCACCGTCGCTACATATCGGTTCTAGTCCCGAACAATTCCGAGATCGACTCTGTCCGTGTTGCCCATACCGCAGGCACGGGTTCTGCACACGGCGACTTTTCCTCTGCCGCGGTTGGACCCTCCTCAAACCCCGGACCATCGGCCATCGTCGGCTCGGCAGTCGTTTCCCCTACGGGTGTATCCATAGGTCCATCTGGCCGCGTTGGTCACGCCTCGACCGTTGATCCACCAGAAGCTAGCGGCCCTTCTGCGGTGGACACATACTCGCACGTCAGCCCGGTGGTCTCCAGCGGGGTCGTGCTCGGCAAACCCCGACCGCTCTCGCTTCATCTTCCGGAGCCGCTTGATCTAGCGCTTTCCGACCTCAATGCTCTCAGCTTGCAGTCGTCAGCCCAGCCCGGATCGACATCGGTATCGGTCCAGCCTCCCCACGACCCAAGGGCTTCAGAGGGTGCTTCCTCGGCGACGGCGCCCGTAGCCCGTTTTCCTGCGTCCCAGCCCTCAGACCCTGCTGTAGTGCCATCAGCGCCATTCACCACATACGCCCCAACACAGCAGGCGGCCTTTCCGGCCCTCCGCCCCACCCCATCTCAAGGAACAGCGAACTATCCGGATCCTACTCATACGCAAGGCCCGGTTATATCTCAGCAGCACTCTGGCAACGGTGTTCACTACCATTCGAACGACTCGCGCGAGGAAGTGAGATCGAGCCCCGTTTCCAAGCGCGTAAGAGCCCCGACTGTTGCTTCTTTACTTTACTCTTCCAAGACTGACTCCCAAGCTGACCCCACGGCTGCATTCATCGGCATCGTATGACTGTTTGTTTCGCTCTCTAACGCAAAAGCATTTAGTCTTCCGCAGCGTCGACCTTCAAGGCACCAAAGGAGAGCAGACAGCTGTTCTACATTGCCGCGGACCTCCTCAAGCTCGCTATCGAGAAGTATGAGCAGCTTCGCAACAATATGGCTGCGATGGAGACCCATGCTTCCTCACAAGAGGCTCAGAGAAGCTTGGTGAGTGCCCCGCTCGCGGCGACTGAGGCTGCAGTTTGGGATTGAGACAACCCTGCTATGCTACGATCCATTCGATCCGCGGAGACAGTTACCTCGCTGCTTCTCCCTAATCAAAGTGCATCCATTGTCTCTTCCCGACCTGATGCAAACCTTCATCCGATCAGACCAAGCTTATATACGAGTGTCAAGCCATCCGCGACCAGATCTCCATTCTTCTCTCAAACCAAAACTGCCCCGGATACGGTGGGTGAACGTAGCCCTGTCGCCAAAGTCAGCGGTGGTCGATGCTGCTCGCACGTTTGATGCCGAAACCATCTGGCATCGTCACACTCATTCAGATATCCTGTTGATCGGTACTGATCGCAAAATGATGTCGTTTTCGATCCCGATCACAGAACGCCTGGTGGATATCGACAAACAGCTGGATTTGTCCCTCGCTGCATGCAAGTCGCGGTTCCCGTCCCTCTACCCAAGCCCAGCCATCAACCAGGGCCAACTGCAGGGACTTCCCCAGAAGATGTATCCGGTCCATGCTGTCCCCAACGCTGTATCCGCGAGCCAATCACCTTATCCTCCTGGGCAACAGCAACGCGGCTTTCCTGCCCAGCAGGCCCATCCCGCTCCCCTGGCCGATGCTCAATCGCCTCCACCCCCACCACCCCCGAAAGATATCAGCCTCCAGCGAGACAACACTCGGATGCCGTCAATTGAGGAAGTCATGGCGACATTTGAGCCCAACGAGTCTCGCGCGGTTCGCTATATGGTGTACGCCATCCAGAAGCGACGAAGCGAGAATCCGGATGAGCTGAGCCTCGATCGTGTCGGCGATGTTTTTACGATCAGTATCATATACGGCGATGGGTGGGCGCAGGCCACCAGCCAGCGTACCGGGCAGACCGGCATGGTTCCTATCAACTTTTTCGTCCAAATGCCCTAAGCCCCTTGGAGTTGCCTCCTGCTCTCCAATGTGCGGTACAGCATGGGCGCCACCGAGGATTACCAGTGCCCATTGAGCCCCTCCGTTTTTTTGTTTTTTTTTGCAGCCGACCGTTTTGCCTTCCTCCCTGCAACCTGACTGTTGACTGCTAGGCAACCAGACCCTATTTCGCAGCACTGGGCTCCAAAATAAAGTGATCACTATGACCTTGTATTGATTTAACCAGTTGCCCTGGAGCTTGCTACTGGAAGCTTCCCACTATTGCCATCCCAAATCAGCCATTTACATCGGCTCTCCAGGTTTGGCGGGACTGTCTTTGCGCACAGTTGTTGTCTTGCTCAGAGCGAATATATTGTTCTTCATCCACGGATCTACCAACTTTTGCATCGGAAGAACGTGACAATAGAGCATCGTCGCCATGGGAACGTTCCAGGGTTGCAACGTCGCCGACGTGTACCTTGAGGGTAGATCTGAGCTGGCCAGTCCCAGCATCCCAAGGCTTTATGGAGTTGTCTGGAGACCTGAACACGGCTCACTGGAGGTGCTTGGTGTTCAAGGCCATTTGCCGAGATTCTTGAGTGTATTGATGGCACGAGTATAGCCCTGGTCAGCCGACTTGCGGAGCCAGAAAACGGCAGTGTCGATATCCTTGTCGACACCAGAGGCTTTCTTGTAGCAGTCGCCGAGGAAATATTGTCCGCACCGATTGCCCTGCTCGGCTGACTTGCGAAAGCATTCAACTGCCTTGGTTTCATCACTAGTATCTCCTTTCCCCATGAGATAGTACACACCGGCCATCCACTGTCCGTACGAATTGCCTTGGTTGGCCGATTTGCTGTGCCACTCAAATGCCTTCTTGTGGTCCTGCGACACTCCCCAGCCGTGGTAGAAGCATTGTCCAATCCAAAACTGACTGTCACTGTGACCCTCATTGGCGAGCTGTGCGAAAGTATCCACTGCGGTATTCCGATGCTCTACGATTCCAAATCCTCGAACCATACACACGGCCATAAGATGCTTGCACAACCAGTCGTGGTCCGATCCGAACTGACACAACTCAAAAAGCCTGAGGCCGAGATGCGACCGGGACTTGGTGTCACTGGATCCAGCCAAGCATTCGGTTTCTCCGAAAGGGAACTTGGCCGATCTGTTCTCTCGAATGATCTTCACGCCCTTCTGCTCGTCGCGCTCGGTTCCCCGGCCAAGATAGTGCATCCATCCGACCATGTGCGTCGCGATCGACTTGAGGGTCGGGTCGGTGGGCTGGGTGCTAACCTCTTGCCAGTGGCTGAGAGCATCGACGTCGCTCTGATCGACGCCGTGGCCGATGAGCGAAAACCAGCCTCGAAGGAGCACGATTCGAAGCCGAATATCGTCGTTGCCTTGATTGCTGACCTTTGAATACCACTCGATGGCTGCATCGAAATCCTGATAGACACCTTCGCCATTCTCATAGCGGCGGCCGAGAGCGACTTGAGCCTGAGGTATCCCCCGTTCTGCAGCACTGCGATACAGCTCGAAGGCCTTGATGTGATTTTGGTCGACGCCGCAGCCATGGTGATAGCGGTCGGCCAGGTGGAACTGGGCCATCGCGTGGTTTGCATCGGCTGCTGCCTCGAGGAGGTGGAAGATTCGCTTGCGAGCGTCTTCTCGATCGCACCGCTTCAGCCGGCGTCGATTCAAGTCAACCTGGAGGACCCTAGCCAGAAAAAATAACGCGGCAGTATTGCCCAGGTCCGCTTGGGCGACGAGCCAAGATCGGTCTGCCGAGCCTGCATTTTTGCACTGCAGCGAGAGGGCGATCCGGTCGCTGCGTGCGAGACTGATCCGCAGCTTCCCATTTGGATGAAATAGCCCTGCAACCCGACACCAGTCATCGAGGCGAGCCAGCTTGGAGCTCAGGAGAGGTCGAACTCGCCTGCACACTTGGAGCAGGATCTTGATGGTGCTGTGTTCGAGTGCGGCCTGGAAGCTGTCGTTGAAGCAGACAATCGTGAAGATATCTGGATATAGGAGAACTGGCCCTGCAGTGTCAGCGGAGAAAGCGACGATATTGACAGCCATGGTGTGCGGTGGGATATGAGATGCGAAAGTGGTGATGTCGCCGAGCGATTTGCAGAGGTGAGGGCATCAAAAGGGAGGATGGATGCCAAGACCGGACAAAACCCGAATTCGGCGGGATTGGCTTCCTGCCCGCGCCTTCTTTCTGCATCGCTCGGAGGCTTCCCTGATCGAAAACGAGCCTGGGATGGAGAATATCCAGCTCGAGCCCAAGACCATCGACCAGGTTCTACTGGCCCAGCAACACCATCGCCAACAAACCCCTCCTCCAGCCCCCGTCCTCCAAGTCCTCGAGCCATACAGATCCGAGCACGACCATTTCACAGTCCCCAACCCGCATTGGACCTGCGCCGGCGGCTTCCAGAGCCATGGCATCTTCATCAGGTTCGCTGGTGGCACTTGTTTACCACGGTCCCCCTCAATTGCTGATCCTCATTCGCATTCATCTGATAATCGCCTCACACTCTTCACACATCCATTCAGCTACCAACCGTCCACCAACCGAATTGCAGCCTTGATGCTTCACTCAGCACTGAGCGCTGCCCCCGGTAACAGACAGCACCCCTCCCATGTCTACCTGGATGTCCACTGTCTCGAAAGCGGACTGAACTGGGAAGATGGCTTCATGAACGGCCAAATCCAAGGTCATTGTCGTTCTCCTTTCCGAGGCTGGACTCGAGAGAGCCAAGACTACTGGCACCCGCCCAGACAACCAGCTCCTCGAGGTGAGTGTCGTCGATCGAGACCAACATCACCATCGCCATCCACTCACCGATGATCCTGTCCCAGATTGAGCTGGCTCTAAAGCAGATGAAGGAGACCCAGAACACCCGCTCGCCCGTCCAGATCCTGCCGATCCTCATCAAGTCAAGTGTGATGATTGACGGCACCAAGTACACCAGAGACTGGTTCCCCAACACAAACGACTTTCCCGATGCCATCCACTGCCACAGAGCCAGTCCCTCCAACCTGCACCAGATCAGCCCTCCCCTCACCGTGCGCCAGACTCTCGAGGAGTTGCTCAAGCTGCAGGCGCTGATTGCCGACGACGACTATGCCGTCACCAAGTGAGTGTGTCTGTGGAACTTGCCGATGGCATCCGTCTCATCCATCAGCCCATTGATGCTGACCATCCAGATGCTGACTCGCACATCCGCAGACTCGTCCCCGAGATCCGCGAGACCTGGAAGAAGACCAGCCTCGTTGCCACTGTGCCAGCCTATCTGCCGAGTGGATCGACTGTCCTCACTGCCAACGAGAACCACGCCCTGCGACTCCTCCTCAGTCCCATCGACTCAACCCTGGACGGAGAAGCACTCGAGGATCTGTATGTCGAGGGCACTCGCCAGTGGCTCTTTGACCAAACAACCGACTGGGTCAACCAGGACACCAATGAAACTGTCCTGTGGATCACGGCTGTCGGCAAGTCTGTCGCTGCCGCCCAGATCGCCAACATCCTCCAGGCAAACGCACAGCTGGTGTCGGCGCTGTTCCTCAAGTACAACGACACCCGCAAGAACAACCCTCGATCGGTGTTGAACACCATCGCATACGGTCTGTGCAAGTGGTACTCACCGATCGGTCGCAAGCTGCTCGATATCGGCCACTCCAAGGACAGTCTCGACAAGATGAGCATCCCGGACCTGTTCAAGGCCGTGATTGCCGATCCACTCGGAGCCATCGGCGACTACAGACCCAAGGGATCAGTGATGATCCTGGTGGATGCACTCGACGAGTGTTCTCCGCGCGACCAGCTGCTCAGTCTGCTTGCCGTGCGGTTCGTCGAACTGAACAAGACCCGTCCGTGGCTCAAGCTGCTGCTGACATCCCGTCCCGAGGACGATATCAAGGCAGCATTCGATGGAGTCCCGACCAAGACGATCGAACCCTCGAGCGAGGAGAACATCCGTGACCTCGATGTGTACATCCGCCACCGACTGCGAGTGTATGACACTCTCACTGACTCGGACCGAACCGAGGCAGTTGCCATCCTGCTGGACCAGTCCAAGACATTCGTGTGGATCAACCTGCTCCTCAACACCGTCGATGCAGCATCCACAGACGGCCCAGTGACACTCGCCACGATCAAGGACATCAACGACAGCGCCGCCGATGTCGGTCAGCTGTACCACAAGACATTCGCCAAGATCCACTCGCAGTCGAGCCATCCGGCCGAGCTGGTCACGGTGGTGTCGGCCATCGCCACGGCCCAGTCGATTCTGACCCCACAGATCATCGCCCATGTGTTTGGACTCGAGATCGGCGTCGTTCGCGAGTGTCTCAAGAGCCTCAGTCTGGTCCTCGATCCTGGCGCCAATGGATTGGGTCCCCGAGGCAGCCAGTCCACCAACACCGAGGTCAAGTTCAACCACAAGTTGGTGGCGGACTATCTCCTCGGCGACGCATCGACTGGCCATCCATGGCATGTGTCGGGCTCGTTCCACACGGTGTTTGCCAAGGGATGTCTCGGTGTGATCCTCTCGCACGAGCCAGTGATCAACATCTGCGATATCTACGACTTTCACGACGATATCCCAGACCTCGAGGACAGGGTCGCAGCCAAGATCACACCGTCGCTGCGATACAGCGTCGCCCACTGGATCACACACTTTGTGTGGTGTGTGGACGGAGTGGCCGAGTCGAGTCCGGTGTGGCAGTCGGCCGAGATGGTCGATGTGGCAGCGGTGCTCACTCGGTTCGTCAAGACGCATGTGTTCTTCTGGCTCGAGTGTGGGTCGCTCACACATGTGGTCAAGCCGATCATCGAGCAGCTGGCTGTGCTGCGAGGAGTGATCGCCAAGGCACCCGGCACCATCGTCGACGACACCACGAAGGAACTGGTCAAAGACACGTATCGATTCATCCGCGAGTTTGCCGATCCGATCATCAAGAGTGCACCACAGGTGTACAACTCGGGGTATGCATTCACACCGAAGGAGACGGTGATCTACAAGACATATGCCAACCAACTCGAGGACAAGATCCCGTTCCTGGTCACTTGCGGTCCAGCACCCACCTGGGATCCGTGTGAGATGACGCTCACAGGCCACTCGAGCCAAGTGAACTCTGTGGCAATCTCGCCCGATGGCAAGTGGATCATATCTGGCTCGAAGGATAAGACCATCAAGGTGTGGGACTCAACTACTGGCCAAGTGAAGCACACCCTCAAGGGCCACATACAAGCTGTATACTCCGTGGCAGCCTCACCCAATGGCAAGTGGATTGTCTCTGGTTCCGAGGACAGGACGATCAAGGTGTGGGATATCATCACTGGCCAGTTGATTCACGAGCTTGAAGGGCATATAGATAGCGTATACTCTGTGGCTATCTCACCCAATGGCAAGTGGATTATCTCAGGCTCATATGACCGGACCATCAAGGTGTGGGATATCAACACAGGTCTATTGAAACATACCCTCGAGGGACACAAAACGACGGTATGGTCGGTGGCCATCTCGTCCGATGGCAAGTCGATTGTCTCTGCCTCGAGTGACAAGACGATCAAGGTATGGGATGCATCCACGTGGGAGTTGAAGAACACTCTCGAGGGACACACAGACAGAGTGTTCTCTGTGGCAATCTCGTCCGACGGCGTGTGGATCGTCTCTAGCTCTTATGACAAGACCATCAAGGTGTGGGATGCCACCACTGGCCAGCTGAAGCACACCCTCAAGGGACACACAAACTATGTGAGCTCTGTGGCCATGTCGACAGATGGCAAATCTCTTGTCACTTGCTCATATGACAAAACCATCAAGGTGTGGGATGCTATCACTGGTTTGCTGAGGCACACACTCATGGGGCACGTTGAAAGCGTGCGCTCTGTGGCGATCTCACCCGATGGCAAGTGGATTGTCTCCGGCTCTTATGACAAGACCATCAAGGTGTGGGACGCCGACACGGGCCACTTGAAGCAGACCCTCGAAGGACATACGGATTACATAAGTTCTGTGGCAGTATCGCGTGATGGCCAGCTCATCAAATCCCGTTACAACGACGGTACCGAGATCAACTGGACCCTCCGCGATAACGAGTTTGTTCCCTCCAACCAGAATCCCTTGGATTTGTTTCGTGTGTTTGCCTCTCGTCATTCGCCCAACTGGGTACGATTTGGCAGATCACAATGGATTCGCCACGACAAACACACCGCCCAAATCCCGCACTCGCTTCTCGGTGACTGGATGAAGCGACTCCCGTCACCTCGCGATGGGATAGTATTCTTCTCGTTCCAGCTTCCTTACCACCCCGTTATCATCCTGGTAAGACTCTACTCGCTCGGCTTTCTCTTCCCTTCGCTCAACTAACCTCCCAGCCGTTGCAGCCAATCTACCTGGACCCTCCAGAGATCCGACTCAAGGCCGCAACCGATCGCGATGCAAGGACCATCGAATCGAGTTAGTCCGAATCGCTATAATCTTACCCCTCCCCAACCCTTCTAACAAATCGAACAATAAATGAAGGGAATGTCCGTTTGAACCCCTGCTATCGGATTCAGGAGTCTGGTGAATGTGATGAATTGATCACGCGCAATCGGCGTTGTTCCCTCCCCAAGCAGTTAGGAAGCTCGCCACGGGCTGCCTGTCGCCTCATCTGCTGGCCGATCACCATCGGTAATGATCCAAATGTATTCGGTCTCATGCTCATGGTTTCGCAAATGCCACGACTCTCGATGTTTCGGCGATTACATTGGTCGCTGAGGGTATCGCATCTGATCCGAGGAGAATGTGGTCTTTGGTTCGCTCACAGGCACACCATGTCGTTTGTCCAGGACACCCTTGATGTCGACGTGCCGCCCTTCGAACATGCCTTTGCACTCGACCATGATCATGTGCAAACTGAACTGCCAGAGTGCTGCTCTTGCTCGAACCGAATGAGATAATCAGCGATGACCTCGCCCATATCATCTGCATCATCTTGGAGAACACCATGATCTCATGATTATTTCGAGGCTGGATCTGCAATTAGGGGCTATGAGGTTGGCTGAGGGACAAGCTGGATGGCGGAGACACTCAGTCGATTGTTGGTCAGTGGGATCGTCTGTGGACCTGACTTTGTTCAGTGTCGGGCTCTGGCTCCGTTTGATCAGGTGGTCTGGAACAAGGCGATTCCACCACAAAAAGCAGGACTCTTCCCATCGGGTGGAGGGTGGAGACGCTCTCCGCTTGTCGCTCGATTCAAACCTCGCCCATCCATGCTGACCACCACCAGCAACCAGCTCTACCACTGCAGTGTCCACGGCCCTGACCACGACCTGTTCCTCTCGTATCGAGTCGCCACCGATGCTGCCACCGTCCAGTCCCTCAAGGAGGTGCTCACCTCGGTCGCCAAGCGCCGTTATGGCCAACCCTTCGCCGTCTTTCACGACATCGACTGTCTACGAGACGCAAAGAAGTGGAAGGACGGTTTCCTCGGCGCTCTTCCCCGAAGCAGAGTCTTTGTCGCTGTGATCAGCCAGGCATCGCTCGAGTCCATGATACAGAAAGCCGAGTCTGGCGTGGAGGACAACGTTCTGCTTGAGATCAAGACCGCCCTCGACCTCGTTGACTCAGGAGTCGATATCTCGGTGATGCCCCTCTGCGTATCCAGCCTCGTAAAGGATGGTGAGAAGGAAGTGTGGGCCGATTGCCGGCCATATCATGTTATCATCCCTGTTGATTCCAAGTTCGACACCCTTCGAGCCGTCCTGAAGGGATTGTCCGACATCCAGATGTTTGGCATCCGTCCTGACCTGATTTACAAGCGGGTCTATCGTCTACTCAATCTGCTCCACCCGATTCAAGTGAATGATGGCACTCGTCAGTTACTCGACAGCCTATTCTGTGACTCCAAGTTCCGAGTCGATCCCGCCCACCTCGACACCCTGCTCAAGCAACTCACCCTGACTGGCCGCGCCGTCATCTCCGGCATGGGTGGCATGGGCAAGTCCGTGCTCGCCCTCCAGATTCTCCACTTTATGATGGGCACCCTCGACGTCAGCAACAAGGACGATCTCAAGACTGTCCGAGGCGATACCATAGGTGTCGTACCGCAGTACAGCCAGGTCTTCTGGCTCAACTGCTCGACTGAGTCGACCGCCCTCGATGGGCTGTGCGCGATGTTTGATGGTGTCGAACCAGAGAAGGTCAAGAAGCATGCCTCCAAGTTCCTCGCCAACACCCACAGCTATCTCCTGGTGCTCGACAATGTCGATAACATCAGCGTGGTCGACTCTGTGTTTGAGCACTCCAAGTCGGTCGGGTTCAGCGGCGATGTGGTGGTGACGACCCGGCTGGCCTCGCTGCCTCCCGGCGCATTTGAAAATGCTCTCAAGCACAAGATCCCTGGATACCGACACGGCCCACTCCGCCTGGGCACCTGGGACGATACAACCACCCTGAGATACATTCTGTCAATATCGTCCGCCTTTACCGAGAGGACCATTACCAAAGAAGATCGAGAGGCTCTCAAGCGAATAACGACCAAGATAGACGGATATCCACTCGTCATTCAGACATTCATGACGTATGCCGAGAACAACGAGGTGCCGCTGTCCGAGGTCGAGAGACTGTTCTCCAAGGTCCTCGAGGAGCAGGATGGCGAGGATGACACGCGATCGTCGCTCAAGGTGATTGTGGATCTGTCGCTGGACTCGCTGATGAAGCGAGGAGATGAGGGCATCGAGGCAGCCAGGCTGTTCGGTGCCCTCAGTCTGGTGGCGCCGACCAACATCCAGTTCGAGCTGATCAAGGAGATCGCACAGAAGATGGAGCTCAAGACCGACGGTAAGTTGTCCTGCGTGGAGATGCACACAGGATGCGACTGAGCACCGCGGCTGCGTGTTGCTGACATTGTCTCATCACAGTGACTGATCTGATCAAGACGGTGATCCAGAGTGGTCTCCTCCGAAGTGGAACCGAGGGACAATACTCGACCCACTCGCTCACTCAGCAAGTGGCTCGAGAGTATGTCCAGGCAAACAGTGAGCTGAATTCCGATGCGATTGAAGATGCCACTGGAGAAGCGCTGATTGAGTTAACCAACTCAATGGATCTCAAGGCACAACCATTCGCCGAGCATCTCGACCAATACGCCGGGAGGACCGTTCCAGATGTATATACAAAGGAGTTTCATCACCATATCGAGTTCCGAGTTGCAAGGTTGGCAGAGGAAAAGATACTCTACACAAAAGCGATGAAGACTTACAAGAGGAACTTGAGGCGAAGTGTCGTGTTCTATGGGACCCGCAAGTATCCCGCTATTGCCATGACCCTTAACAATATGGGTCATGTGGCATGGAAACAAGGACGCCTGGACGAAGCACTTACCTTCTATCAAGAATCACTCGACATCAGCGTCAAGATCAACGGCACCCGCGAGCATCCCGCTATTGCCATGACCCTTAACAATATGGGTAATGTGGAAAGTGACCAAGGACGCCTGGACGAAGCACTTACCTTCTATCAAGAATCACTTGATATCAAAGTCAAGATCTATGGCACCCGCCAACATCCCGATGTTGCCACGACCCTTAACAATATGGGCAATGTGGCATGGAAACAAGGACGACTGGACGAGGCCCTCGCTTTGTACCAAGAATCACTCGATATCAAGGTCAAGGTCTATGGCACCCGCGAACATCCCGAAGTTGCCATGACACTCAACAACATGGGTGCAGTGGCAAGTGACCAAGGACGCCTGGACGAAGCACTTGCCTTGTACCAAGAGTCACTCGACATCAAAGTCAAGTTATATGGCACCAATCAGCGCGAAGAAGTCGCAATAATGCTTCACAACATGTGCTACATTTCAAGACTCTTGGGTCGTCCCACCCAGGCTCTCCAATATGCCAATCAATGCCTTGACATCTACCTTGAACTCTATGGTACCCGTGAACACTCTTCGGTTGCTGGCATCCTTGATGAGTTTGGATGGATTCATTTTCTTCAATCCAACTTCGCCAAAGCACTCCAATACCACACAGAGGCCCTCGATATTGTCACGAGAATCTCAAACGATCCAACAAGAGCTCAAGAGGCCGAATTCCTCATTGGCTGCGGCGCAGACCTGATCCATCTCGGCCAGCTCGACCATGCCCAGTCCAAACTCGAGAAATCACTCGAGCTTCTCAGAGCCATCCACTCCACGACCGATGATGCCTTGATCGCCCATGCACTGTGTTGGTTGGGTGACCTTCGTCGACTCCAAGGAAACGGCGACGATGCCCTCATCCTCTATAACGATGCCATCCACATGGTGAAGCGACTGTCACGGCCTTCAAACCCAATCATCACTCCACAAGCTCTCCATGGCATTACAGTCATCCAACGATTCAGGAAGCAGCTCGATGCTGCTCGACAATCCATCACCCAGGCCATTGATATCCTTCTCGAGCGCGCTTCCGATCATCCATATCTGCAAGACCTAGCTACTCTCTCGATCGAACTTGACAGGAATAGTGAAACGAGCGCACACATAGGCGATTGCTCAGTGATGTGACTGCCAAAATGATCCGAAGAAGTGTGGTTGAGCGTCATTGTTGCATTGTCCTATTCATTACACCTCCTGGTTCGTATCTCATTCACTCACCTATGAGAGCGGTGAGAGTTACCTGACATCCATACATCATGGGCCCTGGAAGGGATCAATGCGGATGAGGCCAAATCCAACGACTCGCGATGCAGCGCCAGTGGTCTCACCTACATTGGCCAGGATCACACCCACACCATTGGGGTCAGCGATCTCGATGCCGAGTGAGTCTGGCTGCACCCACGACGAAATAAATGTATTGAGCTATCCACTGATTGTGACCAGGTCAAATTTACGATCTTGCCGGCCACATCCCGCCCCTTCCTCTCACTTCATCTCACCATCCATCCTCTGCCGTATCCAACCATACCAAAGACCGCTAGCAAGCCTGCCAGAATCGATGCGTCCACATCAGTCCCATGAGCCAGTCATTGATGCGGTCGTTGCCATCAGCTTCAACCCAACGATGGGCTCTACACTTGCACTATTGAGTCTTGCAGCTACACCGGGCCCGAGAGGCTTTCATTAGATCAGCGGATTCATCGTCAAACTCTGTCCTGAATACTAGGACGCCAGCGATGCTACAAGACGACCAGCGGCGAGCGCAATGGCGTGAATATCAAGGCGACGAACAACAACGGAAGTTGAATGGCCTGGGTGGACATGGCCCTGAATCACGGAAGCAGCAGGCTGAAAGCAAACGAGCGGAATGCCAGAGACACAAGAACCAACCCGCAGACAGCCTCATTCCGGAGGTTCTTGCCGCCTATGCCAGACGCAAGGGGTGCCGGTTTTGCTGGCTGCTGAGAAAGGCTGGGGACATTGGCAAACTGATAACCCAAGACATTGTAACTATCGTGTTCATCGGCTTTCACAGGTTCACAGCCCATGAGAGATGACGTGTTGTGGTTGCAGCACCCGCAATTCTGTGACATTCAAGAGTCAAAGTGACCGATGGCCTCGTCCGCCATCTGTCCCGCCCATGCAACTCCATGAAACTCGTCACTGGCTTGGAGCATCCTTCCCGCACTTGTCGCTCCTGTGCTGAGATGCCAATCCCGCTGCCATTGCCATCCCAGGACCACACCGCTCCGGTGTACATGGTCAAGACGGGAGTGTCATGGGCGAGGTGCACCTGGCTTTGGATGCCGAGAAAGCCGGGTGCGATTCCATGTTGATTCCAAATTCGATTCCGTGTTGATTCCGTATTCAGTGACGGTGGCAGTGCAGCGAGCAACGAGTCCAACCAGCAAACCGGACGGATCGAGCCAGGCTTGTGTGTGTGTGTGTGTGGTATTCGATAGCCAGTGTTTGGCTTGCTAGTGTTCGGCTTGCCAGCGTTTGGCTTGCCAGTGTTCGGCCAGCCCACCGCCTTCACCCATTTCATTTCATGCCTCGCTCTGCCCAACACCATCTTCCTCGCTTCGACTTGATCCTCTTTCCAGCCCGCACCCTGCTTGGTCAACAGCCAACACCTTGAACCAGCATGGACCGCCTTGGCAACCGCATCGAGCACATTCATCATCCCAGCGCAGACGCCGGCGACGATCACGACGAATTCCAGGACTATGATGAAGGCGTCGAGATCGAAGAGGAGGAGGTTGTCGAAGAGATTGGCGAACAGGAGCTCCTTGCCCTGCTCGATCAGCAGCAAGACTCGCTGGAGATCTGCCGAGGCCTCTTCTTCAGCCAGAATCCGGACGGTCTGATCCCGTCAGGACAGACCTTGTCCACACTTTCAGAAGGCGCTGCTCAGGGTCTCTACCGCAATGGCCTGGTCGTCATCGACGGATTCTTTACTGATGCCCCAACCATCTCCCAAGCACACCAGCTCGCAGCCGACCTGGTGGCGACTGGTCGCTTCGTTGAGGCCTCGACGATTCGACAGGACGACGATCCTTTCCGAGATCGGAAAGCCCGGGACGACTGGATCCTCTGGTACGAGTCCCGGCTGAAGAAACACCCGCCCCTCCTGCTCCGTCGATCGGTACATTCCCTGCATCGCCTGCCATGCTCACCAGATGCTGTTCGCCTGGTTGTCTGTAACAAGGCTTCACGCCAACGATGAGCTCGCCAGCCAGCCACCCCTGAAACCATTGGTGCAAAAGTTTGAGGACCTTCGAGCCGATCTCGGCAAGATTATCCGCCTCAGCGGAGAGACCGAGTATCAATACGGATTCTACCGAGGGACCGGTGGCCACTACGACGTAAGCTCCATTTGCGAGGCCGCTGCCAGCCGACATCTTCCAGTCGCCGCTCCACGGTCGCCCGGCTTGCCACCACGTTCATTCGCTCCGTTTGTAACCGCCACTGCATTATGAATCTCTGTGTTTATCTGCAATGCCCCTGTCATCCACTCAACTCGGGACCAACTTGGATGGCATATCGCCATGGGATCCAACCGACACAATACCAAGCGTCACCGCGACTCATTCCCCAACGACGATCCTTCCGATACCGAGCAGCGCCGAGTCACCGCCATCTGCTATCTGAACCCAGCAAGCTGGGAGCCAGCCCACGGCGGAGAGTTGCGCATCCACCGCAAAGGCGCCGAGCGAGAGATCGCTCCCGTTGGCGGCCGCCTTGTTTTGTTCCTCAGCGGCGTTGTTGACCACGAGGTTTGTCCCTCGTTCCAGGACCGAGTCGCCATCACGGCCTGGTACAAATAGAGGTGGTCATTGGCCGAGCATTGGCAATGGTCCGGGTTCTTGGGTAAAACCTCGATCGGTGGCCAGCAGTAGTGAGTACTATCTTTTTATGGGACATGATCAATAATACAGCGTCGCCCATGGTGCCCTGTATTACTCCAATCCTGGAGCACCTTGCCTTCTGTGGGTATGGTGCCATGGCTAGGTCCTGCCGGGGTCTTGATGGCTACATCATGCGAATTAACCGGAGGTAGCTCTCGAGTGACTTGGACACTTCCAGGCTCCACCCGTTGTCGAGGCTGATTGAGATGTGCTAACCCGCCACGGGCCAGTGTCAGACTCCGTCACCAACTCACAGTCCACAATCATTCTGCACTTGCAAAACAAACGAGCCAGGCCTCACCTTCCACGGCAATTTGTCATTGCTGGACAGGTCGTGCGGTACTGGAAGTCCTGTGGTGGCATATAGGCCGTATCGAGAGGCCATCGAGTGCAATCGCCAACAACGTCAGCAAGTATGCCGAGCATCCAGGTGGCGATGCGACACTGTCCGCCTTAGCCTCATGTCGCTGGAGGTCGATCGACGTTCGAAGCGATGCTCTCGACTATCTCCAAGCCTGAACTCACCGAGCTTGATCTTTTGCAGACGGTGCCAATCTGGGAACCGCGAGTGTTGTTAGTGACAGCAGTGTGGCAGGCCTGCTCCGGCTTCGAGAGCGCAACCCCAGTGTACTACTCCACACATGATGCTCATCCGCTGTGCAGCACCCAGTTGAGACACCGTACTCGATTCGTAGGCTTCTTTGTAATCCAGTATCAGGTCTTCCAGGGTCTGCAGTCGCCGCCAAGAGCACACATGGAGATGGATCAGTCAAACCGGAAATGGTACCACCAAAACAGCAGGGTCGGGCAAAGGAAGGCATCTGCTTGGGTGTTATCGTGGCGCACAAGCAATGAAGACACAAGCGACGGAGAGCGCAAGCAACGGAGCGGAACGCAAGGAGCCAGCAGCCATTCACTAAGTCTCACATCGTATCTCAAGGCCTTGTACATCAAGTCATCTCGGCGAGAGAGCCCCAGAGCACCGTACTTGCTTTGGTGCCGAATCACCAGCACAATATGTCGATAGACGTTGCCTTCACACACCGACTTGAAGCTCAACGCTGCCAATGAAAGGTGGAGGTATCAGTGCCGCGGATGCCAAGCGGATGCCAAGCGGATGCCAAGCGGATGCCAAGCGGATGCCAAGCGGATGCCAAGCGGATGCCAAGCGGATGCCAAGCGGATACAGTCGTCGAGCACTGAAACGATGCTCACGGATCCGCTGGACATCCATGTTGTGGGTCAGATAGACGCCGAGAACGGTGGCCTCGAGACACTTGATGGGCAGCGCAAACAGGGTCATTTCCTTGGCCATGGTCATCAGCTTGCGCAATGATGCGCTCTTACGAATGTCCCAGAAGGGGGTTTTGAAGTAGTTGTATCCCAGGGCTCGGATGTACGACTCTGCTCGGTGTCGAGATGTTCGCCAGCGACCAAGAGTGAGCAAAGGAGTCAGTATTGGGTCGCCCTGGCGGCCCAGTCCCTCCAGCCGGCGGAAGCCTTACGCATCATCGAGAGCCGGGTGGGGACGGGTATCTGGGATTCCCGGGAGAAGGTGGGTATCTTGGGAAGTGCATAAGCATCGGTGCTGGACAGGTCGCCCTTCAGAAACCCCATGACTTCGTTCTCCGAATAGAACACAGAAGGATCGTCGGCCCGTTGGACCATATCGGCTGTAACCGAGGGTCGAGCATCCAGCCCGAACCTATCCTTTGGACTGACGCAGTCGCTTGCGCTCCGTGGCGCTGACGACGGCTGCTTGTGACGAGAGTTTGCTGTGGCCTGGGAAACACCGCATAGATCCTTGGTCGAGATCCGGAAGCCATAGAATCTGGATCCGCCCGGGAGTTGAGAGTCACCCGAAAAGGCCAACTCGAGCGCCTCCTTGACAGCACTCCATAGCTCCTCGCACTGCTCCTCCGTTATCGGCAGCGCTTTGGTGATTGTCCGAACCATTGTTATTGAAGGCGACAAGCTTCGGCGATCGACGTTCTCAGGGCTGAGCGAATCGCACCGACGTCCCTCAGCTGTTTGGATAGCGGTCGGGCGCAAGTTCCAGATGTCGATGCTCCTATCTTGAGACCACGGCCGTCGTTCTGGACGAGTCGAGAGTCGCCAGCGGCCTCAGTCGATGCATCCAGGCAGCGGTAAGCTCGCCGAGATGCCTCTTCGTTGGAAGCATTCTGTCGTCCCTTCTGTCGATTTGACCACCTGAGCCCCACTTACCTGCAGTACAGTGGCCCTGACTCTAAATACTCTGATGGTCATTGTCACCGACCGGACTCACGAGAAGGTCGTCCAGATATGGTCGCATTGTCTGCAACAATCACACCTCCTCGCTGCGTCCGCGAGCACCGACGACATACGGGCCTGGCCTGATTGAGCGAGCAATGCGATTGTGTGTTTTGATTCGACGGTCCCTGACGCAGATCGTCAAGGCTGGCTGGATTCGCCATTACCTCAGTCGGTCTTTCCCACGCACTCCATTTCTTTTGATGATCTGAGCCAACTTCAAAACAGGACGCCCCACGACGGACTATGCATTCATCACAAAGATAGACAGCTTTCCCTCACTATGCGGGAGATCGCATAGGACCGAGCCCTTGCCAACGACATCTTGTGGGCTTCCTTCGTCCCTGGAAGCGTTGGCAAGCTCGGCCGTGCCAAACACAAATCCCGACTCGCTCTGAGCGGCGATGGCTTCGAGCGAAAAGACTGGCTGTAGTGGGGCGTCATCTGCGACTGAGAGCACAGTGTGCTCTTGCGGAACAGACGAGAACTGGATGGTGGATCGGGCGTCCTCGATAGACCTTGGCAGCTCGTCGCCCTCCTTATCTCTGATCATAAACTGAGAGCGTTGGTCACGGATCGTCAGTAGTGTACCAGCAGTCGTTCGTGGGGCGATCCGGAGCGTTCACCGCAGCTGTCGCAGCGGATGCTTTAATCCTGGACCAGCACTTTGTAGCGCTGGCGACTCAAGCAACAGCAAGAGAGAATCGTACCTGCGCCTTCATGCCCTTCACAATCTCCTTGGTGGTATCCAAAGCAAGGGTGCCTTTGGTCGGATCACCGCTGATGATCAACAGGACAGAGTCATGCTGGTGTGCGGAGCGTTAAGGTAGCAAAACACACAGAGAAAGATGCAGAGCAGTTAGATTGCTGCACCCACCGATGAAATGCAGAGCAGCGGACGCAGACTGGCTGCTACTACGTTTCCCTGCTAAATTCTCCATCAGCGTCCCAGAAAGCACTCGTCCCTCCCCCCCTCCAACCTTCATCGTCAGCAACATACCGACTCTCCTTCGTCACCCTCGTCCCAGATTCGCATGTACAGTCGGCGATCTGTTGCTCGGACGGCATCGCGCATGTAGGCCTCGACCTGGCCGAGCAGATGGCGTGATGCTTTGCCCTCGTCGAGCTCCAGAATGATGTTTCCGCGACAGTTGGTGATTGTCAGCGGCTCGCCAAGCGGAGCCAGGGTTGGGTGGGCGATCTCGAGATCGTGGATGATCAGGGTGTTTTTGGACTCGTCACCATCGGCCTTGGGGGTGATTGCGACTCCAACGAGTCCCTCCGGGACCGCCTTGTCGTTGTAAAAGAGGGTGTACGGGGTCCCTGTGATAAACGGTGTCTGTGTGCCGGCAATGCCGAACTTGGTGCCTTTGGGGACATGGCGGTCGAGAGCCGAGAGAAACCGATGGGGCTCCCGGTCGGTAAACATCAGGAAGATGGGCGATGAGCCCCCGAGGCTGGCCAGTGGAGCGATCCGACAGCGGCGGGGAACGATGCAAAAGCCATTAGCCGCCATAAAATATCGTTTGCCCCGGGCCATGCTATGCAGCCAGCGACTTGTCGGTGGGACACCGAGGGCAGATCGTCGAGCTTACCTTCCAAGACCGGGGAAAGCGAGTCCGTCAGCAGCTTCTGCATGGGTATCCTCGAGCCTCGGGGTCGAGACCGAGGTGAATCCCAGATCGCCCGCATCGGGCTCGAGATTGCTCCGTTTCAGCTGCTCAGGCCATCGGCCCACGGCCTTGAATCGGCGATGGCGGCTCGGCGGGATGTGAAATGGGATGATTTCGGTGTCTCCGAGACCATTGCCTCCAGTCGTTGTGATGCTGAGTCCGGGCCCATATGCAAACGATGTCGGGTCCGATGGAGATCGCACGGCAACTGCATCAACAACGGCTCCTACGAGACACTTGGGCTTGAGCCGGCTGAATACCTTGGCCGGCAGCGCTTGCAAGTCCTCTCCGGGATAAGTGCCCGACACCAGCACGACACACAGATCGGGCTGCGACGGCACCGGTTCACCGGCGGCGTGATCACTGGAAGCAAACTCGAGCTTGCCGAGGCAGCAGTCGAGGGCAGCGGCCAGCGCAGGGTCAGAGTGCGTGGCCGTGGTCCAAATCCTGCGGGCGTCGACGAGACGACGGGATGGAGCCCAGCGGGTTGGATGGGGGAGGGTGCTGATCCGGCGGACCAGTTGCGGTAGTCGGGAAGGCAGCATGGGGAGCTGGTGGTGGTTGGAGAGGCGATCAGGGCAAAGTCGTCGGAATGGAGAGGTGCAGGAGTCGGCTATCCAGAGGAGCAAGTGCGGCCTGAGATCGGAGGCAAGATCGTTGGCAAGCAAGATCGTTGGCAAGCAAGATCGTTGGCGAGATGGCTCCACATGGCCGTTCAAGTCGAAGCGCTGGCAGCACTCCAGCCACCAATCCCAAGACACACCCAGCCACGCAGGGACAATCGCAGGAGCTGTCGCTGGAGACTGGCGCCGCCCACCCGACGACAGCGCCGTCCAGGTCGAGCGCAGGATCAACTCTTCGGGATCGGGCAGTGCATGTATTGGTCCATATTGCCAAGCGGCTCGGCTGGCCAGGCTTTATGACGACGACGACATGCCCGCGGCCAGCTTGACAATGCACCGCTTGATCTTCTCGTTGTGCTTCAGCTCCATCCGGGCCTTGAGAAGCTTCTTGGAGAGCTTTTTCAGCTCCTTGCTCTGCTTGTCGAGCTGCTCAGCCAGCTTACGGTTCCGTGTCTCCAGCTGGCGATTTCGGGCCTCGAGCTGGGCGGCCGACAGCTCGCCCTGGGCCTCGGGGCCCTCCTGCTCGGCGTGGTCGCCGGTCTTGAGTCGCTTGCTCAAAGGAGTAAGGGAATCGCTCCGCGACTGCTTCGAGGAGGGACTTGCCCCCTCTCCCTCGCCCGCGGGATGCTCGGCGCTGCGGTGCGACTGTGCATCCGAGTCCGAGTCCGAGTCTGAGCCCGAGCCCGATGACGACGACGACAGGGACGAGGACGACCCCGACGAGGCTGATGAAGAGAGCGCCGAGTCCGTCAGCGCCGCCTTGTGACTGCTCTTGGAGCTGCTGCCGCCGGCCTGGGCTCGATATTGCGGGGACTTGGCGGTCTTGGCCTTGGCGAGGTAGCTTTGCCTGCGATCGCCGTGCTCATCTTCGGTCATGTCGATGTCGCCGCCGGCCTGGAGCTCGGTGCGGCTGCTGCTGCTGCCAATGTCGCGGGTCGATTCATCCCTGGTCGCCTCTTGACCCTGCCGGCCTCGGGAAAATGCATTCTGCACGGCTCGCTCGAGCTCAGGCAGGCGCTGCTCCAGCTCGGCAGTACTGATCTGGCAGCGCGTGTACCACTCGTTCGGGATTCCGCGGAGCCAGTCAAAGAACGGGCCGATGTGGTGATTGACAATCCATTCCTTGATGCGGGCAGCAATGTTTGTGCCTTTGGTGTTGAAGCCAAGTTTTCGGGCGATATCGGTCCAGGAGGCGATCTAGCAACAAGAGATTGGGCGGTGCGCAAAGGCGGCAGCGAAAGGGCGGAAGGATCGACAGCAGGCATGATGGTTAGATCGGCAAGGTTGCTACTGACGTGGTGCCCGCCCGACCTCTGGACAAGGATCGTCGATGATGGGACTGGGCTAGCGCTCGACGAGACTGGGCTAGCGCTCGACGAGACTGGGCTAGCGCTCGATGAGGGGCCCGATCTATTGCCAACTGACCACCCATGAGCAAGCTCGTTTTACCGCTTGAGCACGCTCCATCCTTTCGTTCTGGACTCACTAGGACCGCTCTTCTTGCGAGATTACTTACATCGCCGTCCTCGGATTCCATATAGTCATTGGTGCGGCGCCGCTTGCGGCCGTAGGAAGCAACTTCGTCCATCGGACCCTGGTGCATCACCACCTCGAAGAGCTGGAAGGGCACAAAGGACTTTTTCTGGTTCTTGGGTGGGGTGTTGAACTTGGCCAGATGCTCGGCAGTATGGCAGTGCAACGAAACATGGCGATTCAGCAACGGCTCGAGCTTGACTGGGGTCGACTCGAGCTTGACCGCAACCGAAGCAGGGACACTGCCGTCGGCGTGCTTGCCGTCGGCTTCGTGCTCATGAAAGGTCTCGGGAGTCGGTATCGAGGTGCTGGGCTGACTGCTCTCGGCGGGAGTGGTGGTGGTGGTGGTGGTGCGGAAGGTGTTGATGGCCGAGGGATGGTAAGTGCGGATAAAGACCGAATAGAGATCATAGAGATTGGAGGGCGTGATGCGGTCTTGGGGAGGGCTCGGCAGCGACGACTGCGTCAGCTTGGGGGGAAACGTCGAGGCCGCTTGCTCGTCCGGGGTCGTTGGTCCGCTGATATCGAGGGAATCTGCCAAGGTCTGCAGCGGTTGAGATGAAGGCAGGGCATCGAAGGGGGGATCTGGCGATGCAAGGAGGTGCGAGACGGGTGTAAATCAGAAATGCTGGAGCCAAAGCAGTACCCGATGGAGTGCGGGTGGTGAGGCGACAACCAAGTGGTGTGAGGCGACAACCGAGTGGTGTGAAGCGACAACCGAGTGATGTGAGGTGACAACCGAGTGGTGTGAGGCCCTGCTCAGTCCAGTCCAGTCAGGTTCAGTCGAGGCCAGGCCGGCAAGAATCGAAGGCAGACAATCAACTTACCAGCACTAGACATGGCGTGGGATTCAGGAAGCGTGCAGGAGCAAGCTTGGGCCAGGAGCAGGGACAGGGACAGGAACAGGAGCGAGTAGGAGTTGCGGCGATGGTAGAGCTAGAGCCGATTGTGTGGGCCAAGTGCTGCAGATCGAGGCACGTTAGCAGGAAGGATCTTGCGCCGGCGAACCCGAGACAACCGGGCGTGTGTGCAGCCAAACGGGCCGTCGCAGGGAATGACTCGAACTGATGCAAGCCGAGGCAGCAGATCAGCAAGGAGGAAGGGGAGGGGGTGAGGCAAGCGGAGCAATGCTACGTACCAGCAGAAGAAACAGGACCAGCCGAGCGAGGCGATCGCAGCAACGAGCGATCGATGCGGTGAGATGTGATGGGTGAAACCCGTTGGAGAAGCGACGGGGGGAGGGAGGGAGGAGGGGCGAGAGCAAAGAAAAGCCAAGCACTCAAGCAAAAGATAAGAGCCGCCGCAAGTAAAAGAAAAAAAAGCGAGCTGCCGCAAATGAAAGGAAAAGGAGTCGACGCAAGTGAACGAGTCGGCAGGGGGAGGGAAGCGTCGACACGAACGAACGATAAGAGTCAACCCAAGCGGAAGAAGAAGCGTCGATCCAGATGCAGGCAGAGGGACAGTCCCGGAGGCAGAGTGTCGAACGAGCGGGCCGATGTTCGACGGGGGAGAGGATCGGCAGTGGGCGTGGCGGTCGTCGACATCGCCGTGTGAGAGTTGTAACAATGCAGCGCCTGTGTCGCCCACAGGGCTGTTTGTTAGGGCGGTGCGGACGTGACCGACGAACAACTCGTCGTCCACAACCGCAGCAGTCGCTGTTGTTCGCCGTTGTTCGCCGTTGTTCGCCGTTGTTCGCTGTTGTTCGCGGCGCTCCACCCGCGGCCTCTCAGGGTGCTCCAATCCGCCGTCCGGGCGTTAAGTGTTCGAGGACAGACCCAATCTCTGCGGCAAGTGCCGTTACATGGCAACTGATGTCTCTCGGAATACCATCCCATCCAACGCAGGACCGGGTCATGTATTCAGACATTGTCGCTCGCCGAGTCCGCAGGCTCAGCACCCATCGATCCTCGGGCTGCTCAAGACCTCTCTCTCCCTCCTGATCTTCTGTTCTCCTGTTCTTCTGCTCTCCTGCTCTCCTGTCGTGCACTGGCTTTCCGTGCCCTGCTGCAACCGACATTCACCGCAGCTATGCTTGCGATTACCATGCGGCCCATTCGAGTGGTCCTCCGTCCTGGCGGTGCTCTCCAGCACGGCCCTGCTTCTCTGTTGCTGTCGCTGCGATCGTCGTCCTCCCGGCCAGGATCGTCGTCCTCCCAGCCGGGATCGCCGTCCTCCCAGCCGGGATCGCTCCCAAAGATAGCTTTCAAAGACATTGTCCTGGACGAGAACGACCTCGAGGAAAAGTTCACCAAGGGCATGGGTCCCGGAGGACAAAAGATCAACAAGACTTCGTCCAGGGTCCAGCTGGTCCATAAGCCCACCGGTATCCAGGTGAATGTACGTCGGTCCGAGTGACGATCTGCGATCGATTCGACAGGCGCAATCGATTCGACATGCGCAATCGATCCGACAGGGGCACACCCGCCGTCCACTCTATGTTTTCGCCTCTGACCTTCGCAAGTGACCCTTTCCCCCGCCCGCCCCCCAATCTGCCCACGTCACTGGATGCCCAATGATATGCCCGGATCGATGCAGTGTCAGCGCTTCCGCGAACTGTCATCAAACCGACGAGAGGCACGGAAGTTGTTGATCGCCCGATTGGACCAGCTGCACAACGGCCAGGACTCGAAGAAGGCCAAAAAGGTCGACAAAATCAAAAAGAAGAAAGCCAAGAAGGCCCAGCGAGCCAAGAAGAAGCACAGCGCCGCGACGGATGGGCAGCCCGAAGAAACCAACAGCGACGATCACGACCATGACGACGACGACGATGATGATGATGATGATGATGATGATGATGATGATGATGATGATCACGACCATGATGATGACGGTGATGATACTGGTGGTGGCGATGACCCTGGAAACGATGACGGCGGCAAGCATGGCAAGGTTGCATCGATATCCACGAGCAGAGTCGATGTTCAACTCGGAAACAACCACGCCGGCCGATCGGGTCAAAGCGCTGCGGATCCATCGTAGGCAGCACAAGTTCATCCGTGGTTGACCATCGAGGCAAGCAGCCACATTGCATCGCACACCTTTTGCGGGGCTGGTCCCGAATACACTGCGATATGGGAATTCCATGGGCGAGAACGGCCTACGATGTATGACCATTGTGCCAGACAGTCCATGCCCTCTGGCATCGGAGGCCTGAAGCCTGTTGATCCGTTGACCCCAGTGGGCAGGCCATGCGACTGCATTCCTATCTTCTGGGCAATCGCTTGGTTTTGTTCGTTTGGTTTGGTCAGAGTGCGCGATGACTGGGATGTATTCAGCCTCCGGAAGTGTAACGACAACCCTGGCTCGTTTTGTGTCCACCAACGGTCGAAACAACGAGTCCCAGATGGGCTCGGAGCCAAGATCTACCCGGGCTTCGAGTTGCGGTGCCGTATGTACAGTTCCGCTACCACCATCTGCATTATCTCCATCTGCATTCTCTCCATCTTCCCACGATCGATTCGAAGCCCAAGTTGACTGTGCATCGTGCTTGCGAAAAATCGGCCTCGTTGGCCGGAATCCATTCCTTCAAAGTTCGAGCCCGGCTATCGGTAGCGCCTTCAATCCTGCTTTGGCCTACTTGCTTTCTTCCAAGAGGGCGGCATCTGCCGCCTTGGACGTGTCCTGAAGCGCCAGGATCACAACATATGCAGCAACGAGCGACAGACAAATCAAGACGACGATGACGATGCATTGGTCGCTAGGTCGGACCTGGCCGGCCGAGCCTAACGCCCAGCTCAGTGTGACGCCCAGGGTCTGCATCGACTTGAGGTATCCGCCAAACCGGGCCAGGGTGGCATAGTCGTTCGTCAAGGCACCAACGAGCCAGAAGGCAAATGCCTGGAACATGGCGTCGACGGCTCCCATCAGGACATACAGAATCGAAACAGCCGCGGCGTTGGGCGTTGAGCCCAGACCAAAGAGATCGGCCCCGGCCTGAGGGAGGACGTCGTTGTAGGCAAGGAACTGGTAGAGCAGCCCGCCGCTCCAAACGACGCAGCAGCTCGCCAACACAACAACCAGGCCGATGACCGCCCGGGTACGGCGGGGACGGTTGCTGTCGAGAATCCAGGCCATTAGCCAGGCACCGACGCCCTGGGCCAGCCAGAATCCAACAGAGTTGAAGTGCACCGTCCGAAGGCTGAAGTAGTGGACATTGATTGCCGTGGATTGCCAGTAGTAGAAGTAGTTGGAGGTCACCAAGTAGAGGAGGAGCAAGGCCAGTCGCGGGCTCTTGAGGAGCCTGCCGAGCTGGACGAGCTCCGAGGAGATTTGGCCGACCTCGGGCGGGTTGACCGCTGTTCCGTCTTCGCGAATGATAGTGCTGGGATCGCACATCGAAAGTGCCCAAAAGGAGCCAAAGAAGGTGATCATCGCAAAGGCTGACCACGGCCCAACGCAAAGACAGCGCCAAGGAGATGTGAGTGAAGAGATAGGGCGCAGTGAATGATGCAGTGTGCGAGATGAGATGTGACATGATGTGTGAGACATGGTGCGGTACAGCATGCGATAGGGTAGTGGGCAGACTGATGCATCCATTGCCCCCGCAATGGTGATTCGGCAGCTGAACAGAGCGATCCAAGCAAAACGACAACGGCCGCAATGGGAATACGACAAGGTTGGCAATGTAGCAAGTCTTGACGACTCTCACCTGCCGAAGTGGACGTCGTCACGGTGAACTTTGGATTCACAGAGTCGAGCAGGAAGGCCATGCCATCGCCCATCGCTGGACCGAGACAGATGAGGAGCCACAGCGTGGCAAAATAGGAAGCCTTTCTGTCCTCGGTCGGGTAGATCATGACCAGCGCGGCCTGGGCTGACCCCAGCAGTCCCGTTCCGACTCCCAGGAGCACCGATGCAATCGGCTGGACGATGGTGGCTGTCGGGCTGGGTGGTGGGCTCTGCTGAATGATGGCGCTGAGGGCAATGTAGAGCGAGTACGACAGCCCGCCGACAAAGACTTGGTGCTTGGGCTTGATGATATTGAGGAGACCGCCTCCGAGAAAGGCAGCGATGACGGCGCTCCAGTAGAAAGGCGATCCGCCGGTGCTGATCACCTGGGACCATGGTGTGTTTGGGGGGCAGAGGCATTACTGACAACATTGCGACTCACTGTGGTGGACTGAGAGTAGTATCGACAGGCAGGCAACGGAGACAGAATGCGAGACCGTTTCATCCTGCGACCGACGATTTCTGGTGCGAGAAAGTACCTGTCCGGTCGCTCCGTTGGCAAACTTGAGAGAAAAGTAAGCGCTGTGCATCCCGGAGGTCATCAGGCTGGCCATGCCGAGGATGACGATCTGGGTCAGCGGGGCGCGATAGCTCAGCATCATGTTACTTTAGTGCGGCCGAGAGGCAGGTGCCAGTGCTGTGACGAACGGATGAGTGCTATGTAGGTTCGTGGGTGAATGCAGAGGCCAGAGAGACGATACAGATGAGACGGAGGTGCTGATGGGAGGTGTGTACAGCGAGAGAGAGTTTGCCTCAACAGAGTGCCGCCACAAGAACATCAAGGCGCAAGCATCGCATCTCCGAGCAGCATCTCAGATTCATCCAGGACATATGGAAGCAACGTTGCAGCATTTGAACAAGGTTTCATCAATGGTTGCCAGTCATGGAAGATCGACAGGAACAGGATGGCAGCAGCGCCGGCGCCAGCAAGCAGGCCGGATACTTTGGCTGCGGGGTTCGAGCAAATCTTTCGGTCGTTCCGGATGCGTCTATCGAGAAAGGTCGGCTGGACGACACAGCTAGAGGGAATGTGCATCGCAAGCTGCATGCCGCCGCGTCCTTCCAGCTTTCGGTCGAGAAGGCCCTCTCGAGATGGAAAGCCATGATTGGCGATCGACGATGGCGAGAGCACCTTCGATTGGATGGACGGGCAACAGAGAGCTTTCTGACGACAAGCAGACAACGTGGTCTTGGGCAATGTTGCGTGAGACTGCATCGCTGGACCAATGTGCGAATGGGAAACAGGCAGAGGCAGCAGCATTGATGTGCACGTTGTGATAGGGAAGAACCGTTGCCGTGCCAGAGTTTCCGGATCGACTGTGCTGTATTTGACAAGCTCTCTGCAGCCGGAGCAGGGTACGGGAAGAGGAGGCGGCCATTGATCCGGTCTGAGAGCCGAGGCCAGAGGCAGCGACCCATGCCTGAGCCAACATTCAGCGAGCTCGCTCTGTGGCTGCGTGCCCAAGGCAACACCCGATCCTATCAGGCAATACTCAGTCGCCGAGACATGTTCGGCTCAGATTGGGGTCCAGGGGTGCTCAATCAGCGAGGTGTGTGCGCATCACAGTCCCTGGGCCAACAGCTTCTCCATCCGGAGCTTGTTGCGCTTCGGCAACACCCGCAGGGTGGTCTTCTTTTCGATCTCGGACATCTCGGTCCAGTTGGTGATTCGGGACATGGTGCCGTCCTGTTTGGATGTGGTCAGCAGACGGGTGGCACAACTGGTATTGACGTGTGTGGATGCTGGGTGTGAACGATGGCGATGGCTCATTCGCCATCGGGACTCACCTCATTGACGATGATGGGCCCAAGATCGGTCAGGGCGTAGGACATGTTCAGCTCGTTGAGCTGATCGATGGTTGTGTTGCGGACGCTGATGCGGCGAGCGGCCTCGGCAGCCTCGGCAGCCTCGGCAGCTTTAGCGGCATCGCTGGTCCGCGGCTGGTACTCGATTTCGGCGATGGGGCGGGGCTGTTCGTTGGAATCGCTCATGAAGGGATCTGGGCTGCGGTGACGGGATCTGGGCTGCGGTGATGGGATCGGAGCGGGTTCGTGTTTTGTGCTTGGCCACCCGGATGGAGTGCGGATGGAGTGCGGATGGAGTGCGGATGGAGTGCGGATGGAGTGTGGCTGGAGTGTGGCTAGAGTGTGGATGGAGTGTGGATGGAGTGTGGATGGATCCGGAGGCACGTTGGCGGTGCGCAGCAGACGCGGTGATGTCGCACGGGTCTGTTTTTGGACGCGGCAAGCCAAATCCGGCAGGCGCATGTCGCACACGCGGCAGTGTGCTATGTATGCTGTGTGATGTGCTGTGTGATGGAAGTGTGATGGGTGTGATGTGATGTGAATGATTAGAGGTGAATGATTAGAGGTGAATGATTAGAGGTGATGTGATGTGATGCGATGCGCCGGGGGGATGCACAGCGACCGAGTGGATGCGCAGAGCGTATGTTCTGTCTTGGCCACCAGCCAGCCAGCCAGCCAGCCAGCCAGCCAGCCAGCCAGCCAGCCAGCCAGCCAGCCAATGTGCCGACCGACATGCCCGGCGCCACTGCCCTTATTTTTGCTCTGCCTTCAGCCTCCAGGCCCGCCAGTCGCGGATCCCCCTCTGGTGCTGATCATCCACAGGTCCATCCTGCCTCGACTGGCACTGCCGAGCGACACTCTCAGCTAACACTCTCAGCTAACAAACACCATCAACTATTCCTTTCAAATATCACATCCGTTATCGCATTCCAGCATCACATCTACCCTCAACCATCACATCCGCTATCGCATTCCAACACCACACCCAGCCAACACCACTCGCCCGCAGCGCCTCTCGTCCCACCCGCCGCCGCTCTCTTATTCTTGCTCGCCCTTCCCACCCACCTGCTCGCCAGTACACCCGCCCGCCTGCTCACCCGCAAAACGCTCCCTTTGTGGACACCCTCTTCCAGCTTCGTCCTCTGTGCTGCCCGGTCCGGCTCCCGTCGCCATGCCCACGTCCTCCTCGGCCACTGCCTGCCGGTTCGTTGTCTCGCTTCGTCGTGCCGCTGCCTGCCCTTCCCCGCCTCTGCATTTTGCCTGCTCGCTTCCCGCTCCGACGGCTCTGCCCTGCTTTGTCCTTTCCATCGTCTGCGGCTTGCCTCAGCCTTTCCCTGCGAGCCTGCTCCAGCCAAGTTTCTTTTCCATCGCTCCTTCTCTTCCTGTCTGTTGTCTCTTCCTGTCTTTGCTCTTTCTTTCTTTTTGTCCTGTTTTGCTGTTTTGCTGTTCGCTGTTTTGCTTTTTTCCATTCCTCGGCTATTCCTGCGCTTCTCCGCCGTTACCGCTTCTGAATATTACTCTCCGTTCTGCCTGTCCTTTCTTCCCTCCGGCCTCCGTACCCGTCGCTTGCTCTTCTGGTCGCCTTTTCTTTGTCTCCCAGCCATCGACCGCTATCCCCTCAGCCCATCTCCCTTTCCTGTCTGCGGCTCTCGCTTCCTGCCTGAACTCTCCTCTTCACAGTCGCCTGCTCTCTCTTTGCCATGTCTGATTCCAAGAAAGCCGTTGTCATCGACGAATCGGCCAACACCGAATTCCCTGCTCACAACCACCCCCTTGAACACACCCACAGCCATCACTTGCCGTCGAGGGACCTGTTCCGGCAGGCCCATCGCGACAATTGCCTCGCCTGTCGGCTCAAGAGCGATGACGAGAAAGCCCACGACCACACCGACGCCTCGGACTCGTCCTCCTCAGCGCCAAAGGTTGGTTTCATTGCACCGCACCGCATCGTACTGCATCGTATTGCATCGTACTGCATCGTATTGCATCGTATTGCATCGTATAGCATCGTATTGCATCGTACTGCATTGCATCGCACTCACAGTTCCCTCTACATGCGAATCGCAACTCCCGCTCTGTTTCCTCGGTTCGGCGGCTCAACCCTGGCTTGTCCATGCCCTGTCAGACCCTGACTCCTCCAGTCTCGCCCGCCATGGTCCGGCGGTCTCCCTCCAGCAACGGACTGTCATCCTCACATACCCGGTCAAAATCCGACAAGCTCGAAGCTCCTGCCGCCGCCCCCACTCCCGTCAAAAAGACTCGCCAGCCCCTCGACACCGGCCTCAAGCGGAAAGTAAAGTCCGAGTCTGACTTCAAAACCAACGGCACATCCTCCTCCAATGTCTCCAATGGCTCCTCGACCACACAGCCCTCGACGACTCCTTCGCGAAGGAGTCCCACCAACCCGTCCTCGGCCAAGAGCCCCAGCGGCCCGTCGTCCCTCAAGAGCCCCACGCCGTCGCCGGCAACGCCCTCAAAGCCATCCTCTCGAACCATCCCTCGGCCCACCACTTCCACTCCCAAGAAGACCGCCACCAAGTCGGATACAGCGGCCTCCTCCGAAGTCAAGACTCTGTCTCGCGGCGGCAAGGTGACCGTCACCTCACCGACAGACAGCACAGCGCCGCTGTCCCCTCCACAACCCGCTCGCTCCACCCTCTCTCGCCCAAAACCCGCTTCATCCAGGCCCTCGTCCTCGTCCTCGTCTTCCACTGCCATCCCCAAGAAGACACCGTCCTCTGCTGTCGATAGTACCAAGCGGACATCAACCCTCACTTCTTCCAGAAGTTCGACTGCTCGCGCCGCACCCACCACGACCGCTTCCACTCGCTCGCCCGCCACCAGCTCCAAATCCTCGGCTCGTGTGCCGCTCTCTCACCGCGCCACCGCAAAGCCTGCTGCCCCCTCGGCCGAGGAGCCTGGAAGAATCGTCATCAAGCGACCGCCTCCACCCCCGGCCGAGCCTGTCCAGGAAGAGCCGGCCGAGAAGCCAGCCGAGCCACCCGTCCCCGAGCCCGCTGCTGTGGAGACTGTCGATGAGGCGGCTGAAGTCACCGTCGAGGAAACTGTCGAGGAGACCGTTGAGGAGACCGTTGAGGAAACTGTCGAGGAGACCGTTGAGGAAGCTGTCGAGGAAACTGTCGAGGAGACCGTTGAGGAGACCGGCGAGGAGGCTCTGTTGACCCCGACCGATCCGCAAGCAAACTCCGAGGAAGAGGACGCCGTAAGTGTCGAGCTGCCACCGTGTGTTGCTGTCAATGGAGTTGTCTGCTCCAGGCCGGGGTGACTTTGCCAGTTTCCCGCATTCGCAAGTTGCATGCTCGGACTGACCGATTCTCCTGCTCCTCTCCGAACCTGCCAGCACCCCCTCTCCGAGACGCCTGACCGCGACTCGGCGACTCCCAACTCTTGCGAGGAGGTGGCTGATGATAAAGCCTCTGTCTCGGTCAAGGAGGTCATCATCGTCGAAGAGGTCATCATCGAGCAGGTGCACACCGTCATTGAAGACGCCCCACGGTCGGCCACCGAGGAGGAGCAGGCCGCTGAGCAGACTGTCGAGGAGACTGATGCCACCGAGCCCGCCGCTGATGTTACTGCGGAAGTCAGCACCGAAGAGGCGGCTGCTGCCGACGTTGTCATCGAGGACGCTTCGGAGTCGGTCGCCGTGGCCATCGAGGAGCCTGCCCCGGCGGAGGACGAGGTAGATGTCGGTGACATTGTCGATGCCTACGAGGCTGCATCGGAGCCGGAGACTGCAGAGGTCGCCCAGGCTCCCTCCGGCTCCTCGCTCGCTCCCATCGACACTAGCAAGGACGCTGATCAGGATACCATCGTCGACTCGGCTATCACCCTCGAGCAGGACAAATCCCGGGACGGTCATCACACTGAAAGCCCCGCCATCACCGTGACCGAGACCGACGGCACAAGCGTCGCAACGGTCTTGGAGTCCTCCAGCAGCGACGTCAACAGCAGCGAGAACAGCAGGGCCAAAGTAAGTGTGATGATCCGGAACCGGGTTATCCTCTCGGAGACTCAGCTGAGAACCCTGCCCGTCGTGAACCTGGTCGAGGTGGATGGCGATCTCGATTTTGATCAAGTTCGCACCACCTTGCTCGAATCCGATAAGGAGCACGACGTGGCCATCCGAGACGACGTCTCGCTGTTCTCGTACGGCTCCGAGTGGGGCGGCTCTGAGGAGCTGATGAGCTATCTGGGCGACGATGACCTTCCGGAGAAGCGCGAGTTTGTGCCCCGCAAGTGGCTCCTGCACAAGCCCTCGCTGCAGAACCGCCTCTCGCGCGACCTGTCCCAGGTCCAGCCCCAGCTCGTCGGCCGGCAGTTCCCTCCCCCGCCCAAGCGCAAGCAGACCCTCGACATGACCGATCTGCGCGGTCTGGCCAAGCTCCTGAACGCAAAGTACGCCGAGATGGTCCGTCTCCAGGCCTCCATCCAGTACATCGAAGCTTCGTCCGAGGCCTTTGTCACCGGCAAGGTCGACTACCTCTCGACCGGCCGTGAGATCTACGACATGGGCCGCGGCATCTCCAAGACCTGGGTGCCCGTCGCCAAGACCTGCACCGACTCGCGGCTGTCGTCCATCCTGCTCGCCTCGCTCGCCAAGGTCGAGGTTCTGACTGTCCAGCTCCGCACCGTCATCCGCATGAAGCAGGTCGAGCCCCTGGACCGCGACTCTGACAGTGGCGTCCTGGCCTGCAGCAAGAACGTTGTCGAGACCCTGAACCAGGCCCTCGAGGAGCTGGATGCCGCTCGGCTGCGACTGGCCGAAGACGCCAAGTTGCCCGAGTCCTTTGTGATTGCTTAAGGTAAGTGTGCTGCTAGCCCTGTGGGACAGATGATGGAAAGTTGTCAAGTCTGGCAAATCGCGGCTCGACCCGACCGCCTCTGCGTCAAACCGCGTGCTGACCCATGTTTCCTGTTCCCTTTGTATCCTGTATGCACTCGCTCTCTGCTGATCCGCTGGTCCATCCCCGCAGCACGATACTCGTTCTAGTACCTTTCTATTTTGACTCCAAATACATGGTTCAACCCCTGCCCTCTCCTCCTCCCCACCTCCTCAGCCATCCTGCTTTTGTAGCTTTGGCGTTGACTTTGGCTTTGTGCTTCTTTCTGATATTTTCATTCGACTGCGTGAATTGTGTATATTTTGGCTGCCTTGAGGGGGCCTAGCTTTGGGCCATCTCGCAATACAAGAGTCCGGGCGGCACAGGATGGCTTCATGCCGACTTGCTGCCGCCCGGTTGCGCGACAATGTGATATGTCGTTCCGAAATGGTACCGCTTCGTCTCGACCACATCGAGCCCAGCCTCACGCACCAGCCCGAGGACATCCCGATTCCACCAGCAGCCCCACGACTCGGCGTGCGCCGTCGCCGTCTTGTCGAGGGCCGAGTTGATCCACTCGTAGTCACTCCGGCCGTGCTCCAGCAGCAAGATCTTGCCGCCGGGCTTGCACACCCGGGCCATTTCCTTCAGGGCCGCGATCGGATCCGAGAACGAGCATATGCCAAAGGTGTCGACGACGGTGTCGAAGGCCTCGGCGGGCCAGTCCAGCTTGTTGGCGCTCATCACATAGAGCGTCGTCGGCACTTGCGTCTGGTGCTGCGTCTTGTGCTTTGCCCAGGCCCGCTGGAGCATCTGGGCGCTCTTGTCGGTGATGACCAGTTGCGAGACCTTGGATGGCTTGTAGAAGGCAAAGTTCCGTCCTGTGCCGCCAGAGACCTCCAGGACAGAGCCCTGTTGGTGGAAGGCCCATCACCCCCCCCCGATCGTTCAGACGACGGTTTGGTGATGCGTTTGGAGGGTCCGGAGAGGGGATCGTGGAGTCAGAGCAGGATCGGTATTCAGCGACAGCGACAAGCCGCAACGCATCCATATCGCCATGCTGCTCGGCCCAACATTACCTGGGCATGCTTCAGGATTGCCTGGCGTTTTGATCCCAAGCCCATCAAGAACTCGTCCAGCCCGATCGAGTCGTCATAGTCCTTGGCAATGCGATCGTAGACTTGCTCTTGTGCGGCCTGGAAGGCCGGGTTGCTGATGTTGGGCGGCGGCTCCGGGGCCGAGTAGATGCGATAGACGTGGAAGGAAGCATACGACGCAACCATGTAGACACCCAGTCCTCCTGCGGCCAGGATTTGGTTCTTGGGCTGTCTCCACCAGCTCATACTTGCGATCGATGGGCGTGTGCAACGGATGGACGGAGTGCGCGCAGAGGCAGCCGGATCGATGCGAGTCAAAGAGCGAGGACCAAGGCGCTGGCTCGACCAGGGAAGCTCGGGTTGGTCAAGGGAATGTCAGCAGCCAATCCCGTTTTCGGAGACGTGGTTTTCCTCGGGGAATCATACACTGTATTCAGGGGGGAAATGGGACACCTGCCCACAACCCATTTGTCGGCGTAGTATGCGATGGCATGCGTCCAACTATGCCATAAGAAATATAACAGATCACTTTGGCAGCCTCCGAGTGAAGTCCACCGGTCGCTCTCCGGTCTCCACAATCGACCTGCACACTGGCCTCGGAGTCTTGATGTTGATGGCCGCAAAGTAGCTGATGTCCGGCAGGTGTCTCCGTACTTGACTTTGGGTCCTGGCGCCGAGGTGTGGTCGAATTCCTCGCCAGTGTCGTTCGTGGCTGCCGACACCTTGCCAAAGTGGGTTACCAGCTGCTCGAGGGCCTCGTCGGAGTTGTCGAGCTTGTGGGCGCCTCGCCTCTCCTGCCGGGTCCGTCGGGCACTGATGGCCTTTGACATTTCCAAGCTGCTCATATGATTGATCTCTCTCATGAGCAGACTGACTTGCATGACGAGAATGCAGGATTCGATTCCGGGCTGGATATTGTGGCAGTGCATGTGGCAGTGCATGTACAACATGGAATCCAGCCAGCAAACCATCGGATCGAGCCTGGCTTGTGTGTGTGTGTGCGCGCCATGGCCGGGGTTTGGCTTGCCAGTGCTTGGCTTGCCAGGGTTTGGCTTGCTTCGCCACATTCTCCCTCTCTGTCTCCTGTCCATCCCCATCGCCCACTTTGTCAACATGACCAGCTCGAACGAGCCTGGTTCAACCGCAGCATCATCTCCCACTCAGCAAACTCAAGTCCAGCCACTCGCTGCACTGAGCGATATTGTTGGGGCTGGATCAAGTTTGGCAATACTCGATCCAGTACAAACATCACTCGAACACAACCCAGACATCTTCACCATCATCTGCTGCAACGACGGTTTCCGGCTTGCCCTCGATCACAGTGTTATCAAGACCCTCCTTCGAGTGTGCAGGCGCGCTCGTCCTCTCCTGAGCTCCAAGGTGCCTCGCTTCCAAACTTGGTGCCAGAAGGCAGGGCTGTGCCATTTCGAGGGACAGATGCGGATCGGCCTCACACCAAGCGATCAGATTGCACTCTCCTTGCACTGCAAGGATCCAGGCTCAGCCGACCGATCCTGGCTCGTTGCCTTGGCAGAGCAGAGAAACCCCTCCGCCTCGTATCTCTTGGCAAGGATCCTCCGAACCGACATCGACAACCAGAAGTTTGCGATGTGGATTGAGAAGGAAGCCATCCACAAGCAAATCTTCCGCCATCTGGAGAAAGCCGCCAACGCAAATCATCCAATGGCTCAGTTCCACCTGGCGGAATACTATCGCCAAGGCCTTGGGGTCGACAAAGACCGCAGCAGGGCTGTCGAGATATATCGCAGTCTTGCAAAATGCGGAATGTCCCAAGCACATGTCGCCCTCGGCGATTGCTATGAGGTTGGCGAAGGTGTCGATCAAGACTATCACACTGCCCTCGAATGGTATATCGAGGCCGTCGACCACGGCAGCGAAGACGGTCGACTCCACATCATGTTCCTCCGTGGATGGTTTTCGTTCATCGGCCATGGTGCCGAACAGAGTGACGCCGATGCCTTCAATCACTGGCAGGAAGTCCGCAGCAAGTCCGTCGATCCAGTCCTCAAGTCGATCGCCACTCACATGGTTGGGTGGATGCACTACCTCGGCCGAGGCACCATACGCGACAAATACAAAGGCATCGACATCATCCGGAGTAACGAGTCGGAAGATTTCCCACTCGGTGAAGCCGGATCTCTAGCAGCGTATCCGAGTCATGTCACCTCATCCTCACCGACAGCCCGCAAATTCTTCCAGCTGTGCCAGTTTGGTTCTGATCGAGACTGGTTGTGCAAGCATCTGATGGCCGTGTGTCAATTTCAAAGGCTCGGAACCACGATGGACCGAAAGTCAGCAGCGGCCATCTTTGAGCAACTCGCCAACGACGGTCATAGTGACAGTCAGTACTGGATCGGAATGTGTTACTTGGCTGGCGACGGAGTATCGGGGGACAGTAAGAAGGCACTCGAATGGTTCAGCAAGTCGGCGAACCAAGGCAATTCGTATGGACAATGGAAGCTTGGAGTGTGCTACTACTATGGAAGCGGAGTCGCCAAGAACTTCACAAAAGCAGTCGAGTGGTTCCGCAAGTCGGCCGAGCAGGGCAATCGATGCGGACAAAACAGCCTCGGTTGGTGCTACGAAGAAGGCAATGGTGTCCTTCAAGACATCGACACCGCCATCGAGTGGTATCGCAAGTCCGCCGACCAAGAAAATGAAGATGCTATCGAGGTTCTCAACAACTTCTTTGAACAACATATGTTTGACTGAACCCGGAGATCCTCCAGAGTTCCGCCTCCAAGCATCCATGCCGCAATACTGAACATACGCGCAGAACAACAGAGCAGCCAAACTGCGCCGCCTTCGCCATCAAACATGCCATGATGCCAGACCGTGGTCTTGCAAGTGGTTCCGATGGAATCGCGGTGGTGGTGTATTCGTCATTCGATGCATTCAATCCATTCAATCCATTCAATCCATTCAATCCATTCAATCCATTCAATCCATTCAATCCATTCAATCCATTCAGTATATTCACTGCACCAAGTAGTCTTGTCCCATAACAATCGCTGATGTTGATCGATTCATTCACAAGGTGCGGGTCATCGCATCGCCAGCAGAGTCTGTCCGGCCCCAACCACACGAAAAACCCAACGACGACGACGACTGAGCACGCTCACCATATCCGACACCATCAAACACCATACCAAATACGAAACACACGAACTGAGACCACCTCAGCATATTGTGGCATACCCCGGCATGTCCCTCAGCCAAACCTGCCCGCACCATGAGCCCGAGCGCAACATCGCTGTATTTTGTGCCAGTGGCGGCATACTCAAGCGAGATGCAATACACTCACCGAGATGAATCATTGCATGCAAACCCACCATCCGCCTCAGATGTGGAATGAGCAGAGCGCAATCATCTCCTCGATAAAGAACGGATCCTCTAGCATCGAGATATGCCCCTTGCGTCCCAGAAAATCGCCGCCTTCGCTCTCGATGCTGCCGAAGCGGACGGTGAGCCGCTCGACTTTCCCGTTGCCCGGCAAGATGCTCGGAAACTGGTTTGCCATCGACTCAAAGATCTGTGTGCGCCAGTCCGAGGTGATCGGATCGACGGTGTGGGTCCCAAGGGCACTGGGGTAATGAACATATCCGTCCTGCTCAGAGGCCACCAGCCGGACGGACTGGAAATCCGTCAGTCCCGGCTGCTGCGACGATAGCCGGAAGAGCAGTGTTTGTTTGGGATCCCTGTGATCCTGCATGTTGAGCTGCTTGAGGCTCTGGATGTTCTGGATTCGCTGGTAGAACGACATTGCTGCCGTATATATGGCATGGCGGATTGCCGCCCAGGTGTTCAGGACCAAGGCACATCGTGTCAGACCAGCGGCAGACTACCAACTTCCCGCAAAGCCAGCGCTGCCCAAAGCAAACCCTCGCAACCGTACCCGTTGTCAAAATCATGTTGCTGTGTAGAATCAGCGACAGGTGCGGTGTCCCGAACGTCATGAAGTTGTAAAAGAACGGCCGATAGCGATCCATCTCGGGCTGGTTGATGGCGCATCTGTCCAGATCGATCCGACGAGATATCATCTGGTAAGCGAGTTCGTTGTTCATCGCTCGTCGCTCGTCACTCTGGTACTGCACTGGACGTTCTCCATTGAACAAAGCCAGGATATTCGCCACTTACCGTGCGATAATGCCGCCTAAACTGTGGCAAATGAAGCTGGATTGCCACATCCCCATCAAAATGGAACATGACCGACATTCCTGGTCAGCACAAGATCACTCATTCCGGCTGGCCCCAAGTGGCACTCCCACTCAGACCCGCTCTTGTCCAAACTTGCCAGTGTAGCACTGGCCAAGCTTTCTCATGTCTCACCTGATCTTATCCAACAACAGCCCACTTTCTTTGATGTAGGACTCAACTTCGCTGGCCAAGCTCTTTCCGAGAGCCTCAATGTCCGTGAGAGTGTTGCTCTCGTTGGATTGCGATATCAGGTAGGCCATGTTGCACCCCATTTCTCCCAGCAACGCCATCATGAGCTTCAGCCGGTTGCGGTACTGCCGAAAGTCATAGGACGATCCTGTTGCGCCCTCGGTATGATGGTGCAGATATCACCAAACCTTCGTCAGAATCATCGTCACTATACACGATGACATCACTCATCCATGAGCAAAGGCATTCTGTCGCAGGATCCGCTTTCGATCGGGAAGCGACTTTGCAAAGTACCTAGGAATCCATGGACAAACACCACTAGGTGGCATGCCTCTTCAGCAATGTTCTGGCGTCGGGTGAGCGACTCTGTGATCTTTCTATAGTGGTCTCGCGAGCTCATCCGTGATGCATGGTGAAGCGACTTTTCCTCGTCGGGTTCGGTCGACGACATCTGGAAGCTCGACTTTGATGTTGTTGTTGGGATCGGCTTGACACTCTCGGAGGACCTCGGAACGCTTGCCAGGACCGAGGATCTCTCGACGACAGAGGGTTGAGTGCACTGCGCGGCACTGGACACAGTAACTTGCGTCCCGCTTATCGATTCCATCGTCCCCTTGGATGCTGCCCCCGGTCTGCCGGTGTAGATAATACACGGAGGTCTTGTGCCAATTGGATGGATCAGCCACCTGTGCTCGTCCCTCCATTTCCTGTCGACACTGTATCATGGCAATCACAATTTTCAAGAGCGGCTCAGTGACATCTTGATCACTTTTGGCTGCCATGCAACAGCCAGCTGGATGGCGGCGCAAGTGCATACTTGAGAGGGGGGTGAGCGTGCAAAAGGGGTATCGCATCCGCGACATAGGACACCCCGACATAGAACGCAATGGGGGAGGGTATCGCCGCATCCTCCTCGAGGTCGACGGTACTGTTCTGAGCAACTTTGGAAAGCAGAGAGGAAGGCAGATGCCAGCTGGAACTGACCTATTTACCGGTATGGTACGATCGGACGAGCTTTCGATCAGTCGAACATGATCACGAATGTATAGGAATCGATGCTGGCAAAACTTGAATCTCAAGTCTGCGATTTTCTTCATCGACTGCATCAGAAACGAAGCCAGGAACTGGTGCCAAACGCCGCTGATCTGATCGCGCGCAAGTTAGTCCCGCGATGGTGGCATGGTGTCATCATCACTCGGCATTTGGATACCACCTCGCTCGCCCCGACAGCGTACCAGAGTCGAGATGCCTTGCGATATCGGATTGAGCACATTCCACTCAGAGATCCTCGATTGGTTGACCTACCAAATTGCCCGAGTATTAACCGACTGTCAGCTTTCGGTCCTATCTCGAGGACTACCCTTTCCAATATGCCATATCACCCAGCAATCAGCACAGCTTGGATGAATGTGTCTTCGTCCCTCCGCCATTATGCCATGTGCTGAATCTCCATCCAGATGTACAGTCTGACGCACCTCAATCCATTTGAGTACCACGGTTTGTACCGATTCTTGTATGGTCGTTATGTCGGTCAAAGACTTTGTTTCGGTGTAGAGCGAACTGTCGCAGACGCCGGCATAGTCAAGCGGCGGATAAAACTCTTCACATATCGCCCGAAGTGACTCTTGAGTGCGAGCAACTATCGATTTTAGATCAGCAAACAGGGGAGGTTTGGCTTGGCCCAGTTGAGAGACGTCGCTCTGAAACGACAGGAGCTCGTATATACTGTCGAAAATGATCCGTTTGTGATGATTCCATAGCAGCACAACCGAAGGCCGATTGCTGCCCTAGATCACGGAGTGGCAAGACAAATGAGGGCTCGTTGTCAATGCGAGAAAGCACTGCTCGTTTGTCGGTCAGTTGTGAGCAAGTGACTGCTAACAATTACTGCGGCATCGAGACAAATCACTGCGGCATCACTGAGACACACAGACTCTGTCCAGTAATCAAGTCTGCAGATGCATATCACATGATATCTGAGCCACATTAGCCGCGATATCATAGGCGCACCAGATTGAGCTTCATGGATTCAAGTTTCAGCATTGTCGGCTCGGCTTGATAGCCGATCAAGTTCTTGGAGCTGGATCCCTTGGCCTTGAGCAACTTTGGATTGACTTTGTTCCGAGGCGAAAACAACGCCGGAGGGAAAAAGTCGAGGCAGTTGGAGAAGCAGTACCACGCTGGCGCCTCCTTTTGGTCTTTCTGGCCGCTCCTAACTGTTGTGGCTCGCGAAAGGTTCGGGGGCTCATCCCTGTTGAAGTGGAACCCCAGCGGTGCGGTGCAAGCGATCAAGTCGCAGAATGAAAAGTATGTCCCGTCAAAGATGATCGGCGCATAGCTGAACACGATGCGCTTGTGATCCGCCTTGACACCAAGGATGTTTTTGAGGATAAATTGCTGGCTCTGCCTGTACTTGAGCTCGCGTGGGGAGTTGATGCTGACAGATCCATTCAGTCACTCAGTCACTTGTCCGAATGAAGGCAAAGAATATGCAAAATGATCCTTTGGACATCTCCAGCTCGAAAAGTTGAGGAATATGGAAAGACATGCCCACTCTCCTACCTCTCGTCGCTGGAAAAGTACAGGTCCACTTCCAATATCCAGTCATGCGCATAGTATCGACAGTCCGCTTGGTCTGATGATGCGTCTGCGAAACTCGGCTCGATATCTATCCGAAAGAGGCATCCGCAATGCAGCACGATGCGTTCAGAGGGCTGCGACACATAGAAGACTTTCGAAGCATAGACTTGGACAACTTTGGTGCTCGCGGCTATGTGCTTGCTGGAGTAGCACTCGTGTGTGTGTCGATGGGAGGTGCTTGGACACACACAGCGCTCATAGATATGGTGCGGAAAGACGCTGTACTGCTCTGGGTTGGATAGATCTACCCTCGACCAAAAGATTGAGCGCATGCTGAATCAGTTCGGGCATAACAGCGCCGTGTTGTCCCAGAAGCCTTCCAAGGCGACCAGCAACCAGGCGTGCCCAGGCTCCAATAACATTCAACACAATAGCATCGGCATTTGCCCATGATTTCGTCTGGTCGAATAACTCTTTCGTGAGCAATTTTACAGATGACGTGCGATTGCAGCGGATGTTCGTGTCCAGAGCGATCGATTGTGGGTTTGACAGCCAGGACGATAGCTTGCTTCCGGATGGTACTGCTCCTGGCCTCTCCGCCAGCAGCAGAGCCGCGGCCGCCGTGCACTTACCTTTCATGTAAGATTGGTTTGTAAGGACAGGCAGGCTTGGGAGTGCAGTTCCGTCCACGGTGCTTGCCTGTGGGCTGGAGGATTCCAGGAGCGTGGGCTTGATGGAAACCTTCCGAGCCTCATTGGAGTCGATCTCTGGCCGAAGGTGGCAATGGATGCTGTAGAACCTAGAAGCAAGCCAGACCCAGCGCATCAGACACTCTCTACCCTTGCAGGGCCAGCGATGCCGCCTCGAAATCCCGAATATCACGTCCGACTATCGCCCAGGCAATTCTGCGGCCAAGCGTGCAGCTCTCGTGGAGGCAGTTGGACTCTGGCTTGCCGACGGCTACCCGAGCTCTGGCACGTCGATGATGCCTCGAGCAGGAAATATGTTTACCCTCGCTGAAACATGTCTATGTTTTGGAAGCAGCCGAGTTGGATGGCCACATCCGCGATCCGCACGGGATGGCGCGGCGACCCGCTGCCCAGACCCCCAGTCATTGTCGGCGAAGTGCTGTCCAGTTGCGGAAGATATTTGCGGCCTCAGTAGCACCCGGCAATGCCTCTTGGCCAATGGCGGTGGTGCCGAACACTCAACTGAAGTGGTAAGGACGACGATCCGTCGTGAGAACGCGTAGGCTTGCTGGCTGCTGCCTATCTTTGGGGGGCCGTTGGATGTGCCCGGCAGACGACTCCAGACCGTATCTGGTCCAGGAGTCAGCGTGTCGCAGTGATTCAGGCGCTTTGCGGATGCCGATAAAACTCGACGAAGAAAAGGGATGGCCAAAGTCTGCTCATTGGGGACGGTCCTGGTTGCGTCGTTTGCCTTGCGACCGGGTCTCGCCGACACTTTGATTCTGCCATACTGTCGATGGTGGTGAGACCGACTGTGTGATTGGAAGGACTCGATAATGACGAGGTATTCGAGGAATAGCCCAATACTGCCGTCGACGGCGGCCGCTGCTTCGCACAGATAGGGTTTATGACATCGCCTGTATTCACCTACTCGCTGCCGGAGTGGCCCCTACGCACGGACCGGGATGCGGCCAATAGAACCTCAATAGAAGGCGAGCAGATAGGATAATATACTCATAGGATTTCACGGCGTGCAGCCGCCCCTCATCGTATGCGGTTGGCTATCGACCAAGGCTGACCGCTTTCTACTGCTGCTGCTGTTGCTGCTGTGAGGATGGGAGTGGTAGACACCACGGCGAAGCGATGAACGAGTTACATGGCGGTCCCTGAGGCGTTGGGACGACCTGCTGGCCTGCATCTAGGTTGAGAGACGAGCTTGACTTTTTCTTTGCATGTGCGATGCTGCGTTCATGAACGGGAGGCTGACTTTCCAGTGCAAACGACGCGGCCGCCTGTTATCGTCGAGAGTTGGTTGCGATGACATTAACTTGCATGCAGGAAATGAGCACCAGGATTCTCCAATTGTGAGTGCGGTGCCCAAGCAGACCCCCACCGATCCCTGAAGGATCTTCTTTGCCGATCCATGCAATCTCCAGCGCGAGCCCAGCCCAGCAAGATGCGGATGCGTTGGAAATGCATCAGCCCGGGTTACCGCACATAAGAAAGACGAGTCTCGTCGCGTCCGGTCGGTAAAATCCAAACAGTCGACAGCGATCTCAAGGATTGTATGACTCACCTCACCACTCTCCGCATTGGCCTTCCGCTTGCTGCCCAGCACGCCCTGAGACTGCTCGTGGGACTCGCCGAAGCAGGGCGATATCTGTCGCAGGTCAGACATGGAGTTGGGGGGGGGAGATACAGGAGAGAGGATGACGCCAGAGGGACAAGAAAGGGCCGGAGCGAGAGGTGCAGCCAGCCAGCCGATTCGATCGGGTTGTGTGATGGACGAGACAGTGGATATCGAGCAAGAGTTGCCGATTGTATGAAACGGCCCCTTGACGGTGCTGTCGGAATGCCGTATCGACGCTCTGAACAAGAATCGGTGTGCAGGCCGGTGTTCGCAGATGCCAGAGTGCCGATGCAAGATTTTCAGCTGGGGGTGATCGGAGAGAAGCTGGTTGTGAACGGGCGGGGGAGAGGCGAGGACGGAAGCGGAGACTCTTGAGGCGGAGATCCAAACTGCGCACCCGGTCATCGCCACCGCCGATGCGTATTGGCCAGCGTCCCAGAACGAAACCGGGGCCAGGGCTGTTGCCTTCCTGGGTCCAGAAACCATGGAGGTCCAGAAAACATGGAGGTCCTGAAGCGTGGTGGCCCGGCGACTCTCTCTGCTTGGCATCTCGACGGTCCAGGTGATTGAATACGTGCACCACACTCCCACACCACCACAGGAGATCGTTGATGTGAAGGATGCTCAGTAATTTGGATACACTGTAGTGATTCACAAGTCCCCATAGTGCCAGCAGTCGCTCCGCGGCTGCACCGGCTCGCTACCTTGCATCAGCGCTGCTCTCGCCGACAGATGGCACATTTGCTCGGCTGCTCAGTTGTTCAAGAGATCCTTGGTGATCTTCTCGAACTTGGTGTACATGATCCACTGAGGAATCGCGATGCTCAGCTCGAGATATTCGTTTCGCGGGATCTCCAGGGGCGCGTTGTACTCATCCAAGTTGAAGAGCAGATGGAAGTCCTGGCTTGCAACTTGATCCTGTGTGACTTTGGCGAGCAGCTCGGGTGTCACCTGTGTTAGAGAAGGCAGTTGGTAGATAGCGAGTCAGAATGCGATCCCGTCGTGGCGAGGCGCACGCCCTCTCTTCCCAGCACGCAGGGCGCAACATCCGCTTCTGCTCACCGGGGCCTCGGGATCGTTGGGATGGCAGTTCTGCAGCAGCGTCAGAATCTGCAGCTTGCTGAGGTCGCTGCTGCTCTCGTAGATGCTCTCGCACATCTCAATGGTCTTGGCGAGGGTCAAGATCTTAGCCGACTGCCGGATCGGCGAGAGGAACCATCCTGGCAAAGAGTGAAGGACGCAAGCGCAAGAACACGCGATTCGGGGTTGGATGAGCCAGCATATCGTACCGTGGTGCTCCCCAGCCAGATGATTCTGTTGACGCAGAGCCGCGAGTCTGCCACAAGTTCTGTCTGATGTAGGTGCAGCATCAAACAAAAGAGCACAGAGACCCACCGGTTTCGATATTGTGGTGGGTAAACCACTCCTGCAGCTGGGTCACATTCGCCTGGATCTGCATGCCCCGTCGGAAGGTGCCAAAGCTGCGGCGGGTCATGAGCTCGTTGAATGCCTTCATGCCGATCAGCTCGCAGAGATCCCACATAATAGGGAGATAGACCTCCTGGGGGAGATGGTAGGCGAGCATAACCGACCACACCTCGGAGAGAAACCGAGTCATGTCGCTCATCTTGTACGTGACTTCAGCTGCTTTGCTGCTGCCCCACAAGCCCCACGAGCTTTGCGCTTGCTTGACAGAGATAGGGCACTCGAGGCCCTGTAGTGTTTGCTCCTCGATCATGACGGGCACGATCATGGGATCGATCAGCTTGCGCAGATGCACCTGCCACTTGTAGCGAACCTCCTTGAGCGTGCTGTCGATATCGATGGTAAAGTCGCCAAGAATCGTGACAGCCGCCTGTTGCGAGGAGCGCTTCTTGGCGTCCGTTTCGTTGTTGAGTCGGAGGATTGAGGTTCGGACAGCATCATTCAGCTCGATGACGTTGACTACCCAGAAGGAGATTTTGGCAATGTCTTCAAAGTTGCGGATATTCTGGCGTATGGCTGATGGCGAGCACGTACCCCCAGAGTCAGGGATGAATGTTAAACCGGAGGGAATATCGTATCGAAATAGCGTGTGATTCGGCATGAGAAATGGCCAATCAGCACCGGACGACGTACACGACCGCGGACACTCCAGTGCCTGCAGACAATCGGCTATCGGCACTGCAGCAGATCGCTCTTAATCCGACAACTACCTTTATGCACATCATCCTTGAGCAGCGCCATGGCCTCGATTTGCTGGTGGTCGATCAGATAATCAAACACGCGCGCAAAGAAGTGGGATGGGAAAGTCACATCCTCCTTCGTCAAGATCTCTCCCTCCATCTGAGTGGGGACTTTCAGGTTCGTAATGAGTCCCTCGATCATCTCGGTATGGGTCGAACGATGGCTGACATAGGCAACGAGCTGCTCGGGCTGTGCAAACGGCAGAAGTTGGAGAACATTGACTCAGCGGCAATGGTGAGGAGGGAGGGTGGCGCTAAGAGCGCAGCCTCGGAGACCCCTTGTCCATACTCGATTCGACACCATTCATGGTTATGTGCTTGGCGATGTGCAGGGTTTTCGCCGACCATCTGAGCCCTGCATCGTTTCTGCATTCAAGTCGCTGCCTCGCGCGCGGCTACTTACGCTTTTCTTGATTACTTTGGTGCTTGTGTGGCGCTTCAACGCCCCAGGGCTGCTGGGATTGCTTCCAAGGTTGCTGTTGCTGCTGCTCGTACTATCGAGAGCAAGACCAGCAGAGGGGCTCATGGGGGCAGCGCGACGGTCCAATGGCCCAGAGCCGACGCCACTGAGGTCAAGAGCGGCAGAAGGACGAGTAGGGCTCGGGGACGCTTCGCCATCCTTCCGGGACGGCAGCATGGTGGTAAAGGAGCGCTTGGGCACACCCCTGACCTTCAAGCCGGTCGACTTTTCGTCCTCGTTGCCAACAACGCTCTGTCGCAGCTTGCTCCACATGCTGTTGACGGCTTCCGTGCGCTTGACCTGCTCCTTGAGCGCATTGAGCTCGAGCTGGAGCTTCTCAATGGTCTCCACGGTGTTATCCTGGCGGAGCTGGGCCAACAGCTCACTCTGCTTGAGATTTTCTTCAATCTTTTCACGCAGAGTCCTCTCCAGGTCGAGCTTGGCACTCCTGTCGGCAGCACTCTGGCTCTTGAGGACAGAGACTTCGGCCTGGAGAGCATTGTAGCGATCCTCAAGTTCGTTGTATCGACTCTGCATGCCGGACGAGAGCTCCTCGCGCTCGGCCTCGGTTTCCTTACGCCGTTCGTTGAACACCTTGGCCCTCTCGCTGAGCGACTCCTTGATGCGTTCCATCTTGGAGAGCTGCTCCTGAAGGGCCTCGTTCTCTGCGGTCTTGGTATTCAACAGAACCTGCAGCTCCAAAAGCTTGCGCTCGTACTGGGCCGTCGAGGTCTGCATCTTTTGCTGCAGACTGCCAAGTTGCTTGGCGTCGACCTTGAGCTGGCGATACTCATCGCGGGCAGGGATGCACCGAATGCTGGCCTGCACAAAGATAATGGCACGGCGGAGCTCGTTGTACTGCTTTTGCTGGATGAAGCGGCGGAAGTTCTTGGAGACGAGCGTGACGGCACGTTTCTGGGCAAACAGTTCCGCGCAAAGGTTCATCGAGTTTCGGCGGCGGACCATCGACTGAACAAAGACGATGCACTTGAGGCGGTGCTCCTCTCTCAGGCGCTCGAGCTCGGCCTTGGCCGCATGACGGGCGAGAGTCTGTCTCCACTCTGAGCGATTTCATGAGGCAGACGAATGGACATGGCGGTTTCCAGGTGAGTCGGCAGTTCAGCACAGATGCAGCGCGGCAAGGCAGGACGTAGGCATCAGCAGATTGCGTCGCAGCAGCGCTTTCGAGCCGTGAATGCGTATACGGATACATGCCTGTCTGGATCATGGTGGCCGACTGAACAAGTGTGACGAAGGCATTGCGCTGGTTGACCATGCGAATGTGGCGCTGGACGTTCGTAATAACTTCGTACTTGCGCTTCTGGACTTCCTGCTCCAGCAGAGCCACCTGGCCAGCCCGGAAGAAGACCCGTGTCAAGCCGAACTGGAACTTGTCTTTCTCGGCCTGGCGCTTCTCCATGATGAGCTCGGTGACCTGGCGAGAATCCTTGGTCTCAAAGTCCGGATCGTCAAACAGGCACGAGTAGTTGCGGCGAAATTCGTCATAGGTGCACTTGGAGGGATAGCCTTCGTTCGAGATCTTGATTGTCTCGAGGATACCGCAAGCCTGCATTTGCTCCAGAACCATCTTGGGCTCAAACTCAAAGGCACGCTTGGCCGAGTTGGGCTTGATGCAACGGATGTAGTGCGCCTGCGTTCCGCCCAGAGTGGACATGAGCTCGTTGAGCGACCGCTTGAAGACCGCGCCAAGGGTCTGCTTTGAGCCAGCACCACCACGGACCGTAGCCGTGCGTGCCAGAGGTGCCGGTTCTTCAGGAGCGGTCTGCACAATATCCCGCAACACCTGCATCTCGGAGGCACGCAAGAGAGCCAGGATTTCATCTGAGACGGTGTCTCGGTTCTTCTCGACGAAGCCCTTGATCGAATACTCGACGTCGCAAGCATAGTGCTTGATCCTGAAGAGCTCGTTCGGGCGAATACGGGGCCGTTCATAAAAGGCGTGCTTTCCGTTGGTGTCATGGAGCAGATTCAGGAGAATGTCCTCCTTCTGGTTGGTCTTGACGGCGTCGTCGAGGGTCTTGAGGATGTTGTTTTCGATAAGCTCGATGCAGGGCTTATTCTGGGTGAACTTGATGTTGGGCCACATGATCTGCTCCTCCTCGTACAGCTTGCGTTCCAAGTCAAAGACGTGATGGGTGAATTCCTGCTGGAGCTTCTCGTTGGCAAAGTTCTGCGTTGTTGGGATGCGATACAAAGTTCCAAGTCAGATGTGCTCGAGGTAGGTCAAATGCGCTTTCAGCCCGCACGCAAGCAATATGCCCGACACCGCCCTGGACTGGGACCGGAACTTACGATGCAGAACTGCTCAAAGGAGTTGACCTGGAAGTGTTCGAATCTACGTGGCGGTCGTGGCGGTGGTGGCGGTCGGGGCGGTGGTGGCGTGGTGCGGGTCGTGGGGGTCGTGGCAGGGCGAGTCAGCCATACCGTCAACCCTGCATGGGTTCCCTTTTACACACATTCTATGCCTCCCATGCAACTCCAGCGCATTGATCGGATGCATGAGAGCCGAACGGACAGCTCGGTCCCCAGCACGCACGTGTATCCACTGGGAAGCCTGACTCACCCGTAGATATCAAGCACGCCGATAAAGTTCAGCTCGCTCGGGTCTTCGATACCGTCATCGACGAGCTTGCTGTTGATCAGTTTGACGAGCCAGTCAAACAGCATGCTGTAAATGTACTTGGCGACCGAGTCGCGCACAGCCACGGCCAGCTCGACACCGATCTGCTTGTCATTTGCTTCACCACGCAAAACCAGGCGCTTGTGAGTGATCCAGCGCTTCAGGTCTCCCTCGGAAACTTCGAGAAGACTGGCGGCTTTGGCGAGGGCGGCGTCGCCGCCGGCGATTTCGGAAGAGTCCTTGTCACCAGTGATCTCAACGTTGCCGAGGTGCAAGATGGCGGCGCAGATTTGGAAGATTTTCCTGAACAGACGCGCCCACACATGAATTAGCAGCGTTGCATGATGCCATAGAGCCGTGCTGGCGCTACAAAAGCCGGGTTCCCCCGAGACCGAGTGGTAGCAACAGGAGACCCGCTATTCGTGCAAGACCGCTCATGCCCTTGTCCCGCACGGATATCAGCGCTGCCGTTACCATTGAGTGGCCGTGTCGACGCCGACGGCCGAGAATGCCTCCTGGGTGTCCTTGAAGTCCTTCGAATCGTCAACACCTCGAATGGTACCGGTCGAACCACCGGTGAGGTACTTGAAGGACTCCCAAGTATCGATGCCGAACTGTTTCTTTTCTTGCTTGAAATGGCAAGCACAGAGCTGGTAGAAAATGTGGTAGTTTCGTTCTGTCAACGGTAAAACACGGGGAACGCAACGCGAACGATTCGCCAGGGTAAAGTGAGTCACGGCACGGAAGCTTTGCGATTCAATATCCGTCGATTCAGTTTCTGTCAGTCCAGATGTCGTCGGTCCAGTTTAAATGCTGCCAAGCTTCCCTTCCGCGAGCTACATCCTCACCTTCGGCTGCCTGGAAAATCAGCCGGGACCGCTCCAGCAGGTACGTGCGAATCTTGGCACCCTTGATCTGAGCCGAATCGGGCTGGGTGCTGAACAGGATTTCCATGTACTTGCCGAAACGTGAACTGTTGTCGTTTCGGGTCGTCTTGGCATTGCCGAATGACTGACAAAGGTGTGGGGAAGCGGATCAGCCCAGATTGCGTATAGAGACTGCCACCAAGACGATGCTAGCCCACAACTCAGGAGCCGCATACGATCGCATCAGACCCACCTCAAGAATGGGGTTTGTTGCCATGACTCGCTCTTCGACTTCAGTGATCTCTCCGAGCTGTTCGTTGTCCTCCAAGCTGTCGAGGTTGTCGACGGCAGCAAAGTACCGCATAACGCCCTTGGCGCTCTGCGTCTTTCCGGCACCAGATTCTCCACTGATGATGATGGACTGGTTTTTGCGGTCGCGGATCATGGAGCGATAGGCGTCCTCAGCGATGGCATAGAGATGGGGCTGGCATTCCTGGCGGGGACGCTTGCAGTACTGCTTCATCATTTGCTGGGTGTAGAGATCGCTCATGTTCGAGAAGGGGTTCATGGCGATCAAGACGATGCCGGAATAGGTGTAGATCTGGTGCGGAAGGCTCTTGTATCTGTTCTTGACAGCATGCAGAATCGCCGCTCTGGGGGGGAGTAGACAAGTAGCCCAGGGGTCAGGAATATGCTGCTGCCGTCGCAACCAGGCAGCGCTGTCTTGTAACTTACTCATGGAGATACGAGAGACTCGACAAATCATAGAGGCCATTCTGGATGTCACCAGAGCCGCGAGGTGTGGGGCGGGGCGCAAGCAGTCAGAGTCATATCGCACGACCTCACATTGCATCGGCACTCGCAGGAGCAGGCAGCGCAAAACCATGGGCCACGGTGCGCTGAGCCGTATTCGGCCCGTCGGCCAATGCCAATTGCAGAGTTGGCCACTCTAGCCCTCTTGGTGGCGTCGCCCTTACCAGGATCTCGGGGGGATTCTTGAGGGGAGGGAGCTTTGAAAAGTTGTTGGCAATCATGCTCTCATAGGCTTCCTCGTGGACGACCTCCTGTTGTGCAGCGCGAGAGGGTGAGGATTCCGAGTCACGCCGGGGTCGTGTATGGACGTTGGTAGGGCCATGCCAAGGATCACGCTATGCTCGATGTGGAAGGAGTGGCGGCTGTCGTCGCTCCGGATCGACGGTGCGAACCTTATTGCGCTCTCTTATGACGAACACCAGCTTGACTTTATCTTCGCCGCGATACTTTGACCGGAGCTTGGCAGCAATCCAGCACTCTTGATCGTCCTGGAAATAGACCTCGGTGTCTTGCGTCTGCAGAGGACGAACGGAGCACACGTCGTTCAGATGAGCATGGTTGCGAGGGGGCCGCCATCGAGCGCTGCCGAGCCGGCAGTAAAGTCGTCGACAAAGGAGTTGAGAATCCCAGGCGGCTGGCAGATGGCAAGCGAGCAAGCGAGCGAGCAAGCGAGCGAGCAAGCATCAAGCCACCGGACAATGCCGTTTTGGCAGTCCGGCTGGCCACTCCTCACCCCACACTCTCCCTTGGTGCCCCTGCTCGGCAGCCCCAACGGATACCTCATCGTAAGGCGCAAGAGCCTTGTCACAGAGCTGTCGATCAGAGTCCGAGACGGGCATCGAGGGCGAGCAGTCTGGCGAGACGGGGGGGGTGGGCTGCTGCTGCTGTCGCTGGTGCGGGACGACGAAGAGAGGCCGCGGTCGAGGGCACGGGCTGTCTTTTCAGCTGGCCAAGGGTGGCGGATCGCACCGCCCCTCATGAAGCGCAGCCGGCGCAGCGTTGCACGGACGCTTGGCGGCGGCGCGTTGTGTTGGACAGGGATGGCCGTTTGTCTTGGGAAGACGTTGAGGCTCCAGAGCAATTCGAGCTGTCGGAGCACGGCCCTGGAGTCGGGGGTGCGTGGGAATCCGAGCGTCTTGTGCAAGACCGAGGTCTATCTTTTGCAGGGCTGAGGTCTATCTTGCTCGGAGAGCTCGGCTGTGGTGTCGAATCACAGACCCAAGCCAAGACCTGGCCCGCCCTTGGTCGTCGGCTCGCTGCGCTGGCAAGCGAGGTGCTTGTGTGTTGCGGCCGCCTCGTTGCGATCAGGCTGCATCTCAAGCCAGAACCATACCAGCGCCGCTTGCTCACACCTCCTGGCCAGCTGTCGCTCCGGAATGTCGCCAAACCTCAATATCTCGGACATGCCTTCGGGCTCGGGTTCGGGCATGTCGCCGCAGCCGAAATCATCGGGGGTATTGCCGGGTCTCAGCGCACAGTTCCCCGTCCCCAAGATCGGCGTCGAAGACACAGTCCCGATTCCCGCGATTCCTCAGCGTTCAGAAGAAACCTTTGTGACCCAGCGAGCCGGAAAAATGTAGGGAAGATCCCCGCTGCTGAACATCAGCTATCGGAAGGCTGGGAGAGGGTGCAAGGAGGCGGCCGGAGCACCCAGCCGCACTTGCTCGATCTCGCACGACAGCGCCGTGAATGTTCTGTCGACTCGATCGAGTGTCTCCAAGCGTACTCATACAAGCATTTTGTATCGCGTCTCTGACTCTTGGCGACATCCAGCATCAACATTCCTGTGATTCCGAGTGATGTATGTGGCTCGGCATTCCGCGTATCGGCAGATTATCCATGCAAATGCGACGGCGGGCTGCTACATCGGCAATGATACTAAACCCGCTGCATCACACCGACTCGCGGGTCCCGTTCGCATCCCTGCTCTTCCAGGCTCAACCGTCGTCGCTGTTTGAGAATCGAAGGGCGCTGCAGTCCACCCTCCTTCTCAACAAGAAGCGAGAGATGCAGCAAGTCCAGGCGATGCTTGAGAAGAAACGCGAGGAGTTTGCCAAGCGAATGGAGGAGTGTCGTGAGAAACAGGAAGAGCTACGGACCAAGGTATAGTTGCGATTCAAGCCTGTGCTTTATGGACAAGCGCTGCAGATTCAGAGCTGAATGAGGCACATCTGCCCATCAGTCAGCAGTGCGACAAGCCAAGTAACTCGCCATTGGCGTTTGTCGCCCTCACAACCGTTTGGCTCACTTGATGCTTCTCCCGGTGCCGCATTTTCCATAGCAAAAACAAATCCGGGAGCGGGTGCTCAAGTTTGAAAAGTTCCTCAAAGAAAACGACGCCAAGCGGCAGCGTGCGAACCTGAAGGCCCAGACAGAGAAGAAGCTCAAGGAGCAAAAGGCAGGCAGCGGTGCACGCCATAGATCCGAGGGCCTTTGCTGACTCTCAACACCTGTCCCCGGGATACTCCGAATCTATCATGGCCATCCCAGAGACTTGACGTGCGTTGTCCCCGTCTCATCGACAGGAGCAAGAGCTTAGTGCTCTCCAGCGGCAGCTGCAGGAGGAGCAAATCAAGGCCAAAAAGATCCTCAGCATGCTCAGTGAGTCGCCCATGTGTTGCCTGATCATCGGCGCTGAATCTACGTGAGCTGCAGGCCAATTAATGCCAGAGAAATGGCGCAGGCAGTAGCAAAGCATCTGAAGCAACTGGTGGCGAGCGAGAACAGAATTCAGCCAGCTCATGCAACGTTGTTGCTTCGACTCGTCCCCTGTGCAGAAAAGTACAAAGTGTATGAGCAATACTTGCAATCCGTGGTCGACATCTTGCCCCAGGACTACCTCGACGTGAACGAGCCGCACATCAACGACATATTGATGCGCTACAAGACACTGATCGAAACAAATCAGGATCTGATTCAGATGGTCCAAGTCTACCAGGACCAAATGGAGAAGGAGCAGAGTACATTGGCTGAGCTCATCAAGGTAGGCTTACCGACGGCGAGCCAGTCAGGCGTATAGAAGATGGCGCGTTGATAGCACTTTGCCATCCAAAGCACTCTCCAGATAGCCTCGCGACCATATGAAGTGTGAAGTGTGAAGTGTGAAGTGTGAAGTGTGAAGTGTGTAGTGTGAAGTGTGATGTGAAGTGTGTACGATGCCGAGTCCTCCCAGAAATGGCAGCCATATCCTACACTGATCATGCTCGGGTCAATGACACTCGTCTTCTCCCACTCGTTTGGACGACAGGATAAGCAGGATTTGATTTTAGTTTTCAACTCCCAGCTGGGAACCCAGCAAAAAAAGTACGACAGCTTGAAACAGCACTGCGCGTATCTCGCCGAGAAGCTCGAGGAACGGGACAAGACCGGAAAAGAGAGGGTATGCTTGGGTATTCAGCTGCTTGGCTTCGTTTGCGTCGTTGTGGAGGTGATGCAATGATCGCCGCTGCAGGCTATCCACAGGGGTGGCCGCGGTAGGTCGACTCACAAGTGCTATCCTTTGTGTAGATGCGAACGCTGGGCGAGGCCAAGCTTGCCATCTTCAACATCTTTGACCGTATATCGGTGCGCATCCAAAAGCCCACCCGCACCAATTTCCTGAATGCCCCAAACTCAGAGAACAACAACGCCGCATCGGGAGCCGATGCTCAAATGGCCTCGTCGCCGATGACGACCATGCCCCTATCGTCGGTGCACACCAAGGCCGATATCTCCAAGGTGTTTTCCGAGAAGCTGCATGCCATCCAGGAGCGCATCATCGATTTGCAGCGTAAGTGCGATCGGATGGGATCGCGTGGACAATCAGAGCAGGAGCATCGGCTGTCACGGCAGCCGGTCAAACTAACTCGATTGCCGCCTGTTGTGCCTCGTTGCCCCGGACAGATATCATCCAAAAAGCCGAGCAAGCTGTCGCCCATGAGCGCGGCGAGCGGGCGCGCAAGCTTGCGGCGGTTGTGGGCGACTCGTAACGGCAGCAGGCGCATATGAGTGCAGCCAACCCAACCCAACGCCAGCTGCAGCATGGCGTGGGAACCAGACGGGACACGAAACATGGGGCGGTGCCAGTCCAACGCTGCGCCACACAGATATGAGTTTCATTGATGACAGTCACGTGTCTGGACGCGGCTGATTGGTGGTGTGGCTTGGCGTGGCTTGGTGATCGGCCCGGTCACGGGGTGACGCGGCCCAGACAAAACCGTCCTGCTGTTCTCGCCTTCTGCGACTTTTGCTCGCAACATTGCTCGCAACAATGCTCGCCTCGTCGCTCTCGGCAGCCCTGGCGGCGCTGTGGTGACCGAAGGTCCCTTCGGTAAGTCCGTGCGCTCTCTGCAAGCGCATCTCTGCGAATCCAGTGTGGCTCGTCCCGTCCGTCGACCGCTGCCGGCGCGTCCAAGGATGATAAAATGACCAATTGGTCGGAATGCCCCATGTCGAAACAGTCTATCTACATATAGTTTCAGCCTTGTCGGAGGACTCATGCTGACCGTCGCCTCTGTGGGAGATGTCAGCAGCGGTGCTTGCAGTCGTCGACACGGATGTGGGACGAGCACACCACACGGCACGCCTGCACTTGATTTCGGGTGTCGAAGACCTTGGATCTGCTGGCTAATCCGCGCTCACTTTCCGTCGACAGCCCATGCGGATTCCTTGCCATAGCGCCTAATTCTCGGCTCGTCGTCATTCACAAGGTAAAATAGATGATTCACCTGCGACACCCAAGCGTTGGGAGATTTCCGCAGTGTCGAGATGATGATAACCATCGACGGGCGGACAGAACGAGGACTTACAAACCTCATCACACTGTTGAATGTCGATTTTATCTGATCCCGGGGCCTGTGCAACGAAGTGGAGTGTTGCCGATGCCGATGCCGACGCTGACCCTGTCACTGTCACTGTGCTACACTGTAGACTCGTTGGATCCGATTCTGGGACTCGCCCGATTCCGGCACTGCTCGGTTTTATCCTTCAAGCAGGTTTGAAAGAGGGGGGAGGAGGGAGAAGTGTGGAAGCCAGGTTTGGCGATGGTTCCCTGCCATTGCGGATGCGGAAGGCATGGTGTTGGCTGCTGCCCAGAGGGGAGGCATCGAATGACCCAATATATGCGATTCCAAAGAACGTTGCAGTCCGCCGATCGCACAGATCGTGCAGAGAGAGTCCATTCTCTCCCCCCCACATCGCTCCGAGATATATCGATGTATTAGAGCAGCCCGGCGTGTTTACAGGCGATCCAATAAAAAACGGGACACCCGGGTTTTTGACCATTCATCGAATACTCTGTTACCCAATGTTATCGCGCGCTGGCCATGACCATTCGCCACACATCCGACTTTCGCACCGCCGCATTGCGATGCTACGCCCTCATCCATAGCCTGCGTAAGGTCGCCTCCATATTCAGTGTGTCCAAGAGTATCATCCATCGCTGGCACTCCGAGACCAGTGTGCAGGTCGATTGTGGAGACCGGAGAGTGACCGGTGATGTTCACTCGGAGGCTGCCAAAGTGATCTGTTTTATTTCTTGTGGCTTTGCTTGACGCAAGCACAGCACATACTACATGTTCATGGAAACGGCTATATTGTCCCGTTTTTTTCTGAATAAAGTGTAGGACCCAGAGAATTGCATACAGGCAAGATGCCCCTTACTTTCTGGGCAAGTCGCCAAACCCAGCGCCCGATTTGGCAGCTAAAAGAAAGGCGAGCGGGGACAGTGGGGGGTGGGATGTGGATGGCTTGGCTGCAGCCTTGCTGTTCAGCACCGCCAAACGCACAACCACAGAGCCGCAACTCGATCGGCTCTCGGCCAGCAGGACGAGGCGAGCCAGGGGCAAGTTTGCGCTCTGGCGGCAGACGCAGCGGCGCTGTGGGCTCGCTGTGGAACCGGGAGGGGGGATTGTGCCCTCGACGGCGTCGACTTGGCCAGTTGTATCTCAACACTCTAACATCAACTCAACACATTGCGATCAACTCAACACATTGACATCAACATCGACTCGACCACTTTAATACCGACTCGACCACTTTAATACCGACTCGACACACCACCAGCGCCGGCCCTTGCTCCCTTGCTGTTTCCTGGCTGCCCAGTCTGTGTCCGCCCCCCTTGGTCCGCTGCCATTGCGCCTCCCCCCTCGCCGTCCTCGGCCAAGAAAAAAACGCTCGCCATTTAAGGCCCCCTCCCTGGGCAGAGCCCTCATCTCTGCCTGCATCCGCACCTCCGTCTCGCCCCAGAACCCTGCCTCAAGCCTGCCCATCGCCATGTCGGACCACCCCGATCGCGCCAATCCCTTCAGCATCGTCCTCGGCACCCGCGAGTCGCAGCTGGCCATGTGGCAGACCAAGCATGTCCTGGGCCTGCTCCAGCAGCACCATCCCGAGACCGACTTCACCATCAAGGGCATGACCACCACCGGCGACCAGATCCTGAACGTCGCCCTCAACAAGGTCGGCACCAAGGCGCTCTTCACCAAGGAGCTCGAGGTCGCTCTGGAGCTCGGCGAGGTCGATCTGATCGTCCACTCGCTCAAGGACGTCCCAACCACCCTGCCCGAGGGCATGGTCCTCGGTGCGACTGTAGAGCGTGAAGATCCTCGCGACGTCGTCATTATGGCTCCAAAGTGGGTCGAGCAGGGTATTCTGCGTCTCGAGGATCTGCCCAAGGGCAGTGTGCTCGGCACCAGCTCTGTCCGAAGAACGGCCCAACTCAAGCGACGTTTCCCCGGCCTGCTCTTCCACGACATTGTAAGTGCCGATGACCGCTGGCCGTCGGCGATGCCTGGCCGAATCGCCAGGCATTCCATCCTCCGCACCTCGGCTCTCATCGCTTCCGTTCCTGGGGCGCTTCCCTGCGCTCTCAGCCTCTGCATCATCGGCATCATCATCCCCGATCGATTCAGCCCAGACTATCGTCTGTCTCCACCCCCCTCCCCATTCGCAGACACATCTCGAGTCCATCACTCTCTTCGTCTACCACCATCCAAAGTGGTTTGCTTGGCGATGATTACCGGTACTAACCGTCCAACTCTGCAATTGTGGTCTTGCTCCCTCGTCTGTGGTGACTGACAGCGCGGCAACCTGAACACTCGGTAATGTCCGCAATTGCTCCTCGGCCAACACAGCTCACGCATTCATCACCCAGCACTCGGCACCGAACATCAAGTGCCATGCCCAACATCCCGTCTGCGTTCGCTCATGGTGTGGATGTACCCTCGCCATCGAGACTAATCTTCCCCCCCCCTCCATCCGCTGACCTCATAGGTTCGCCAAGCTCGACGCCCCCGACTCTCCCTACGACGCCATCCTGCTGGCCTATGCCGGTGTCCACCGACTGGAATGGGACCATCGCATCTCCCAGATCCTCGAGCCCGAACAGATGCAGCATGCCGTCGGCCAGGGCGCCATCGGCATCGAGATTCGCGAGGGCGACGCCAAGATCCAGACCTACCTCGAGTGCCTCAACCATAAGCCCACACAGCTCCGCACCTTCTGCGAGCGGGCCTTCATGCGTCGTCTGGAAGGTGGCTGCTCCGTCCCTCTCGGTGTCTGGACCGAGCTGCGTCCCAAGGAGCAGGGCTCAGCCGTCCAGGTGCTCAAGTTTGTGGGCTCGGTCTGTGCCTTGGACGGCTCGGATGAGATCGTGAGCGAGCTGGAAGTCGAGCTCGGAGGCGAGGACCATCAACACCACCTGGAGCTCGCCCAGGGTCTTGGTCTGCAGCTTGCCGACTCGTTGATTGAGAAGGGCGCCAGAGTCATCCTCGACAGCATCAAGGTTCACAACAAGTGAGCAACTCCTCCCCAAGAACATCCTCAACAGACTGCCTGGGTGCAGCGATTCCCCTCTTTCCCTTCTTGCGTTTCCTTCTCGCTTATTCCCTCCACTTGAACTTGCTTCGATGTTAATTTGTGAGATAATCTCACGAGATGTAGTTTTCCCTCTCCCTTACAGTCAATCCAATAACAAACGGGCCACCCTGGTTTTTGGTCGTTGACCGAATGTTTTGCTACCCAACTCCATCGCGCCCTCATCCATATTTAGTGTGTCCAAGAGCACCATTCGCCGCTGGCACTCCGAGACCAGTGTGCATGTTGATTGTGGAGACCGGAGAGCGGCCCAATGACTTCATTCGGAAGTAATCTGTTGAATTGCATGTGGCTCCATTGGATGCGCCACTTTCTGCACAAGGCGACTGCCACTCCGTGAAGCATCGCCGACCGCAGCCGATCCCGCCAACCATCAGTGACTGGTGCGAATGCTGGGATTGTATGTATGGGCCGAGGGACAGACAGCTGGGACAATACACCAACAAGCAAGGCCGGGAGCCGAAAATATGGCGCCCAGAGCGAACCTACAAGAATCGAAGATCTACAGAAACACTGCAATTATATCAAAGGAAATCGATGGAAGAAAACTGAACAGAGAAAGGGGTGTTGATAGCACAGTGGACAGGATGCAGAGACCAGCGAAACGACAAGCCGTTACATCTAAACGGGGGGGAGGAGGGAAGGAGAGAGATGGCTGCGGCAACCCGTACTATACTCGCGGCTTTGGGGAAAGAGGAGGGGCGTGGGGGTTGGCCGAAAAGTGAGCGGCTCGTCTCCACAGAGGTACGGAAAGGGAAGTAAATGGCAAAGAAACGAATAAAACGATGGCCAATAAATGAAGCTACTGCTACGCGACAGGACCCGATCTCACTCTATCAAGTCGATTGCGGATCCATGGATAAGCATCTTGGGGTTTGATGGCGAAGGAAACACTGCCCCCCGATCGGTGCCGTCGACGCTCGACCGGTCCGGGCTGCCAAGGGGCGCTCGATTCGCTCCTCGCGTGCTTGGAAAGAAGTGCAACAACGCCGGTTTCATCACGACCGGTCCAAACCAAAGTCAAGGAGCAAGCACACCCAGTCTTGACAATCTTGAGCCTCCGACCTTAACCTTGCTTCGGCACGATCATCAAATGGCCATCTTCGTCCATGGCATCATCAGAATGCTTGACCAGCGAGGCCAAGCTGCCCAGTCGGTTGGCAGCCTTGATGGCACCAACGGCCTTCTTGAAGGTTCGGCGGGCGTCGAATTCCTTGCGGACGTTGGGCAGCAAATCGACGGAGGTCTCGGTAGAGGTACGGGTGATGTTTTCGGGCTCGCCGAGCTTGCGGGCGCGGGCGTTCGAGAGGAACGAATGCTCCAGAGCCTGGGCGGCAGTCAGACGAGACGAGGGGTTCACCAAGAGGAGGTTGCGGATAAAGTCCTTGGCTATATGCAGCAGAATAAAGAAGCATGGTCAGATCTCACATCCGTCACCACCGACGGTAAGTAAGGGCGCCACAGATAATACACTTTCTGCAAAACACAACCACCACTCATGCTGGCGCCCCTACAGTGACGCGACTGTGGCTGTGGCCAAACTCTTACCATCATCAGAGACCTCGTCCCAGTACTCATGGGGCTCAAAGTGGAAGTTGGCAGTGAGGATGTTCTGCATCTCGTCAACCTGGCTAGATCCGTCAAAGGGCGTGTAGCCGCAGAGCCTGTGGTGGTGAACAGGTCAATAAGGAGCAAGAGCGTGTGAGCGTGAGTGCGAGCAAGAGGGCGAAATCCCATTTGGCGTGCGATCGCGCACGGTGAGAGCAGGCATGTGAAGCCCACTGGCTGCATGCAACGGCCCAGAAAAATATGCCTGCAGCTGTCGCTTACAGGAAGTAGGTCAAGACACCAATAGACCACATATCGACAGGTCTGCCGTGGCCGGTCTTGCGGATGACCTCTGTGAAAATACAGATCAACTCGGTCAGCTGATGCGACGAGGGCGTGCAATGGCGATGGTTGAGCACAGAGAGCGGAGTATACAAGCACAGCTCTCAGTATGGAGTGCACCCGCGACAGCTCGCAGATTGGGCCAAGTGGCATCGCCGTCATCCACGCGGCATTCCAAACCCATATCGGCAACAGTGGAGCAGGGCCATACCAGGGGCCATGTAGCCAGGAGTGCCGCAGGTGGTCATGAGGCCCTCAAAGCTGTCGCTGGCAACAATCTTGGAAAGGCCAAAGTCCGAGATGACGAGCTCGGAGGCTTCGTCGCTGGCCTTGAAGAGCAGGTTTTCGGGCTTGATGTCACGATGGACAATGTTCTGGGAGTGCAGGTAGTTGATGGCATCGCAGATGACATAGACAATGTCGGCCGCATCGGCTTCGAAGAACTGACCGCGGCTCACGATCTTGTCAAAGAGCTCGCCACCGAGGCAGAGATCCATGACAAGGTACACTGGAGCCGCAAGCAATCGACGGATGGAGAGTGGCTGCGTTAGACATAACGCTCCTTGGCGCCATCCAGAACTAATCCGCAGCGACGACGAGGCAGGCGATTGACAATATGCCATCGTGGTGGCGGCAGCCTGGAGCACAAGCGAGAGAGATCGACGAGCGGCGCTTACAGTTGTTTGGGGTCTCAAAGTCTACAGCATCGAACGAGTTGGCGCCAGGAACCCACAAGGTCGGCGAGCGTCCGCCGGGATGAGACAAGACCAGGATCAAGAGGAAACGTCCAGTGAGCGACTCTGCAGAGAGGCAGCGCAAACCGTAGCATTCACCCAGCGTGCGGCGTCGTTCGGCAGGCTCGAAACCAGGGGACATGCGCCATTGACAACAACGATCCGTGCTCGGACTCGCTGTCCGATTGGCCTGCCAGCAAACGGCACAAATCTGCGGCCGGTGGCTGTTGAAGCCTCTGGAGCCAGAGGCGGCACAGCGCCGCAGCCCAGCCCGCCCCTCTCCCAAACACAACCGGCAGCCCAGCAGCTGGCGCAGGCCCGATAGAACAGACGGACCACCGAGCACAACGACAAGTGCAGGGAAACGAGGGCCACTTACAGTCGTGGAGAGTGACAATGTTGGGATGGCCGAGGGACACTCGCTTCAGGATCTCGATTTCGTTCAGGATCATCGACTCCCGGCCAGCCATGAGCTTCTTGCTGATGACTTTGACGGCAAAGCGCTCTCCAGTCTGGATCCGGACGGCCTCCTTGACGGTGGCATAGCTTCCCTGACCCAAGACCCTTCCGGTCTGGAAGCCGCAAGTCGTTGGCGCCATGACAAAGTTGGGCCGATCGAGCAAAGCAGAGTTGGTAAAGGCCGAGACAGAGTTGGCGGCGCACAGCGGGAATCATGGAATAGAAAATAGCGAGTCTCAGCGCACCGGAACAAATGGATACGAAAGCACGGAAGGCGCAATGGCAGTGCCCGACACCCATTCGTCAGAATACGCTGGCCCCCGAGCTGGGCACCCAGGACGGCGTGGCCGTACAAATCCAAATAACCGTTCCGAGCTCTCTCGACAAGCTTCGCCGAGCGCTACGGGGTCAAGCAGTCGCCTCTGGTGGTCGTCGTACCTTGTAGTCGCAGGGTGCGAGCTGAGCGGCAGTAGCCATGATGCTGAAGATGAGACTGGGAGGCAGAACGCAGTCGGCCAGGGCAAGAATCGATTGCAGCAAAGGCCAGGATCAAAGGGCGGTGGAAAGTTGTGCCGAGGATCCCAGAGACCGTGAGAGATTCGGAGATGAGCGGTGTGAGACGATGGGCATTTCCAAGTTCAGAGAGGACATGGCCCCGGACGATGGGGGACACCGACACAGCGACCGGATGGCCATCCGAGCCGAGAGCCATGTTGATCAGAGACACACCGGAGCCCAGGACGGACCCAGATCGAGCACGGCACAGCCGGCGATGTTCCTGGACGGCAAGCAGCCGCCTCGGGGAGCAGCGCCGTCCCGCAGAAGCATCCTGGTAGCCCGAGCCAGAGACGTACCTGTGTTGGAGGGGGACTTGCCCAGAAGCGCTGGTGGTTTCGGATGGGGAACCGGATTGCAGCCAAAGCAGGAGCAAGTCCACGAGTATATATTTAGACGACGCCGTCTTGTGCGTCATCGACCCGCTGCCAGTGTGTGCGCAGCGATGGATTGGCCAGCCACTGCATCACGTGTGATGCGGCTGTGGGCGTGCGCCGAATGGGCCAGCGAGACGAGCGAGGGGGGGCGTCTCGGCCGGAACAAGCGAGAAGGCCGAGCACGCGCCGTCTGGGTCTGGGCCTGGGCCTGGGCCTGGGTGTGGTTCTGGCTCTGGGTCCAAAGCAGAGGTCGCTTCCAGGGCGAATGCATCGACCGAGGCCGGCCATGGCGGGCCTGGGTGGCCGTGCAATCGGGCGATGCGTCTTGTGGGCCAATGTATGAACATCGCGGTGGCTCGTAATATCAAGTGATACCGTCCGGAGACCTTGGCACACGTTACTTGGGTCACACCGATGCCCTGCCCATGGTCGGCAATGTATGAACAGCAGCCCGGGGGTGGAGATGGCCGGTCGATATCTCCAGGGGGCGAGGCAGACGCAGATTCGAAATCCAGCGCCAACAAGATCCATCCAAGGGGAGCCGATATTGCAGCCACCCTAACTTTGGTCATGATGGAGCGAATGTGCACTTGACACACCACCGAGTGCTTCCGAGAATGGCGAGCCCGATCGGAACGAACAAGGTGCTCTTGGCCACGCCGTTTTCTCTGGGTTCCAAGATCCTGCTGGCAAACACAGGAGATGCGTTCGCCACGACCCTCGCCCTCTCGGCATGGTTGGGAACTGGCTCTGCTCTTCGCAGCCATGCTTCCGGCGCACTTCATGCTCCAGTACGATATCTATTTCTTGGGTATGAACCCGTGCTGCTCCAACAACATGCGAGCTGCGTTGTTGATGTGCTTGAATCGGGCAGGGCCGAGCTGGATGCCTCCATAGAAGCGGGTGACGACGACGACGACATTCCGGCAGTCGCTGATTTGCAGCATGTGCTGCAGCCGCTGGCCTGCTGCTGTCTCGCCGTCGTCGTCGTTGTCCTGCCGAACAATGCCGCTCTCGGTCACGATGCGATACGCCATGATATTGTGGGTTGCTCGGGCTTGGGACCGTTCGTCGTTTGTCGTTCGTCGGCAGGGTCCGAGTGCATTCGGGGTTGCGGCGCGGCAGATACGATTGGTGCGAGCAGCGAAAGGAGCAATGCGAGCAGCCAGAGGAGCAATGCGAGCAGCAGAGAATGTCAGGTGTTTGAGCATACTCACAGCTTGCAACCGCTGGCAGGAATCCAACTGGCACCCAGCCGGCACATCGTCCTGGTCTCTGTCCTCACCTATGCGCCGGTCCTGCAGCAACGTCTCGACCACTCGCTTGACTTCGTCTTCGTTCCGGACCGCTGCTGCGTGAGCGATAAATACGCTCTTGCGATCCACGATTGGCTCGTCCGCGTGCACGATCGCCGGCACCCTGGAGTCTGTCGAGTCGATCGCAGCGCCGGCCTGCTTTTGGCTCTCGTAGAAGGTCCAGTCACGGAACTCCTGCTCCGCATCCTCAGCACTTGTAGGACTGGCACCGGGGGATTCGTCGAGCTGGGCCTGAGTCTGCGACAGCGCATGCGATTCTTCGATTGGACCGGCATAATGTGCCTCGAGATACTCTCGCAGCCACTCGACCCAGGCAAAGACAACGACCTGGCCCTTCTGCGTCTCCCAGATCTCGAGAAGCCCCTTGTGGATCTCATCGAGGTGCCCGGTTTCAAGCGGCAGGTTGATGCCCTTGCATGGCCACTGCGTCTGCAGCTCGTAGACGGGCGGGCTCTCTGTTGGGTAGTCCGGCGGGAAATAGAGATGCATCGTAACGGGGCCTCGCTCGAGGACGAACGTGAAGGCGGCCGACAGCCGGTCCTCGTCGGGCGAGTACGCAAAGTCGTCCGGATAGATTGCCGAGAGCGCCGCGCACTCTTCGTCGAGCTGGGCCATGGACTCGTCCAGACTCATGTCGTGGTGGCCGAGCGCAATGTCGCTGGTGCTGGTGCTGTCGCTGGTGCTGATGTTGATCGAGCCAGAGAAGGGCCGAGCAAAAGCCACGAGCCCAGCGCAATAGCACCGCCACATGCGCAGCAGCATGAGCAGCGGTGTCAAGTTCGATCCCAGCAAATCCAATGCTGTATTCATGACTACACCCGTCCTCCAGCGCCAGCCGGGCTGCTGTTCAGCGCCGCGCCAATCTTGTCTGCCCACACCTTCCATTCGGGCCGGACCGACGGATCCGGGCTTCCAGCAAACCTCTTGACCACGTCGCTGACGCTCTGGTACACATCCTCGAAGGAGCCTTCGCCGTTGACCCAGGTGGGCTTGAGGATCTGCCGGCTCATCTGCTCGGTGACCGACTGGCCCTCATGGCCCCAGAACCGAATCCGCTCCTGCACAGCAGCGCAATTATCGTCTCGCCTGCCTCGTTTCAGCAGCCGGGCTTCGAGCTCCTGCTGCCCAACCTCAATGCCGACAGCACCCACGCACTTGAACCCGAGTTTGGATATCGCTTGGACCTGGTCGGCCGTCCGTGGGAACCCGTCAAGCAGAACCACCTCTCCGCCCATGGTTCGAAGCGCTCGTCTCAGAATCTCGACGACGATCTCGTCCGAGACCATCGTGCCGTTGATCATGGCCGTCGCTACCGTCCGGCCAATGACAGTGTTGCGCTCGACCTCCTTCCGCAGCAGATCGCCGAGCGATATGTGCTTGAAGCCCAACTCTTTCGAGAGCCGCTGGCAGTGAGTTCCCTTACCGCTGCCGGGTCCACCAAGAACATAAACGATTCGCGGCGGCTGCATGACCGGCAGGGATTGTCGCGACTCGAGCGACGTTGCCGAAAGCGAGTACTCGACAGCTGGGCATCCTCTGGCCAAAACTCGGCTTTGTGACTCTGGACGACGAAGGTCATAGCCTCCAGAGCGATCCGCTGTCGTCAGTTGCGTGGGTATCGCAGATTCCAGCACTGTCATAAGTGGGGTTGTTGCGTCGAGAGTCGAGATTCTTGCACTCGGTGCTGCTGTTGCTGCTGTTGGTGTTGCTGTTGGTGTTGCTGTGGATGCAGTGCTCGGGGTCCGTGCCGCTGCTTCTGCCGTTGCATCCAAGGCCGACCCGGGTATCGGGACGACTTTCGCGCTGGTGGTGATATCCTCGGCTATAGTCGACACCCAGCCACCCTTCTTGGCTGCGACATCCTTGACGTGTTTGATATCCTCCTCGAGGGCAATGGCAAAGCACTTGATCTTGTCGATCAGCGGAGATGATGGGGTCGACAGCCCAGCGCCTGTGGACACTATAGCCGACTTTGGGAAATCGACACTGTGCGATTTTCTCAGAGCCATCTTCTGCATCTGGGTACCCGGAACTGCACAGAGGTCGAGCTCAATCTTGGGAATGTCGAGGCGCGTGGCCGCTGGATGGGTAGGGATCGTACTTGGCGAGAGTCGACCATTCGATGGCGACAAATGGCCCGAGAACAACGCCGACGTCAGTGGGGGATGGGCTGTAAGCTGGTCAGCGCGATGCACGTCATTAGAATGGACGATGATGTTGATGGCCGCCTGTTTCTGGGAGCTTGGGTGGAGAGGAGTTCGTGAAGCCGGGGTGCTTGTCTCCGCTCGCATCCGCACCGGTGCTCGACCTTGCCTCCTTGGCAGAACACCGCCGGCCGAGATGGAGCGCTGACGGGGCGGCAGAACCGGAACAGCCAGGGTGGGCTGGTCCGAATGTTGGACAGTCGCATCTTGGACAGCAACCGGGCCGGGGCGCCCGAGCAAGTCCGTGGGAGTTGTGTGGGTCGTCCGGGACAGAGCCGCCCGGAGAACCCGAGGCGATGATACTGCTGACGACGAGGCCGAACCGGGGAGGGAATGACTGGTTGCGGCGGCTGTCTGCTGAACCGATATCCGGAGCTGGGCCGTGGCTGCTGAGAGAAACATGTTCGCAGTCGCTGGGCGGTGGTATCGGACGACAACAGCGAAACTCTGCTGAGTTACACTCGGGGCTGACAGTCCTCCAATTCAATTCAAGTAGACACGCAATTGACACCGGTTCTTTGAAGCGATGATGACCAAGGTCTCCTCAGCGACAACGGGAATGGCGGCGACAGCCAAGCCGGCGGAGCACCCAAGACAAGACAATGAGGACTGACACGGGCGAAGCAGTAGCGATATGCCAAGTGCATCCGCATTTGCTCCGCTTTGACCTTGCACTGCCCAGTCCCATGTGAGCTCATTGTGTCGGCAAGCAGTGTGCGCTATTTGTCATGATTGGTGGTGAATTGCCGCTGATCGGAGCCACATATCAACTGATTCTGCCCCCCCCCCACGATGCTCCATCGTTTCGCTCTGTAATTTCATATCGGCTGAGCAACTTGCTCAGTGGAGGGTGATGCTGTGGGGCACAGTAAATGTATTCAGAAACAAGAAATGTGGTTCATCTTGGCCGCAAAATGCAGTATCTCGTTTCATTCAGAGGTCTACTGCTCTTTGGCAACGGGAGGAGGAGGGAGGGCAGCTTCAGGCTCCGTCTTCTCGGTCGTAGTTTCAGTGGTCTTTCGCTCCGGGGCGGGGGAGGTCGGGGCAGACGATGCCGGAGTTGAGGCGGCAGAGGGGTCGACGGTCGCCAAGGTGTTCTTGGAGAGGCGAGAGAGCTCGGCCCACCACTCGTTGGCTTCGTTCAGCGAGTTGGCGTTGAACTGGCGGACATTCAGCACCATCAGCACCATCAGCACCATCAGCACCATCAGCACCATCAGCACCATCAGCACCATCAGCACCATCAGCACCATCAGCACCATCAGCACCATCAGCACCGTCCAACAGTAAACACGCCGGCCGCATGGGAACGCATGCTTACCTTGTAGACATGGCTGCCGCGCTTAAAGACGCTGGCCTCCTCGTTCTTCTCCGTCAGAGTCCACTCGGTGGCCTTGCGGTCCTTCAGGCCGAGGGGACCGAGGGTCGAGTGGCCGAGGAAGATCGAGTCCTTGGGCGAGATTTCGTCGCCGCGCTCGAGGTGGGGACGCTCGTCAAACTCGTGGAGGTAGCCCGCGGCGGTGAGGATGTAGTAGCGCTCCTTGTAGGACTTGATAAGGCCCTTGCTCTGGCGCTGGATAAGGCCACTCTTGACGATTTGGACGAGAGGGTCCTGGCTGGAACCGAGGAGGTGGACGGCATCGTCAGCGCAGCGTTGGTTACATTTCGCATCCTTGATTGTCCCACAGGACTGCCCACACAGGACTGCCCACACAGGACTGCCCACACAGGGACGACCGTCCGTGGATCAGGGAGAATGCTGCTTGCTGGAACAGTGATCCAGCCCATCAGCACGCGCGATTTGGGAGCAGAGATACTGACCTGCCCTCATACGACATATCAATCGTCTCCGGCAGGGACGCGGTCGAAAGGTAGCCTAGAATGACAAACGAGTCAGCCATGGCAGCGAATCGTGTGGTCTGAGAGGATGCCAGCGCACTGGCCGACCACAGTACGAGCCATTCGGGTCGCACGCCCTGACATACGACAGAACCTCGTCACAGGGCACATTCAGGATGCAGACCACCAAACCCATCCTGTACAGGTCGCCCATACGCCACCGGTGTCCAAGGTCCAGCTCCCTACCCTCACGGAAGGCAGCCCACTCGGCCTCGATGTTGAGCGCCAAAACAATCTTGCTCAGCTCGGCAGCGAGCTCGGCTCGGGAGGTCTGGATGATCTTGAGCGAGGCAATTCCCTCGATCGCATTCTTGACGTTGCGCAGAATGGAAGCCTCAAAGATCTCAAAGGCGCGGATCGAGTCCTGGACAACCTTGATGCGGGCCTCGTGCTTGCCCTGGGCGACGAGAATATGGCGGCGGACATTGATGTCGTTGATCCAGGGGTCACCGAGCTTGGTGACGTCGCCGCCGGTCTTGCGATGGGCATTGATGGACCGGAGCAGGGCATCGGTCAGCTTCTGGAACTCCTTCTTGTCTCGGAGACGCTCCTTATCGCGCTTGTGCTTTTCGTCCTCGAGAGCACTCAGCTTCTTGCGAATCTCGGCTCGGACCGAGCTCAGGCTCGTAACCGTCTGGGTGTCCAGGGCCTTGGCGATGGCATCGTGCTGGGCCTGGAAGGTGACCGAGCTGTCGTGGAAGGACTTGACCACGGTCTGAGGGTAGTGCAGGAGAGAGTCGAATTAGCGAGCGCTTTGGCTTGTTGCTCTGGCTTGCGGACTGCCATCGACGCCGATGCGCCTCGAATGACAGCCGAGCCTCATCCGCCGACAATTGTGCAGAAAGGGAGCCGCCACACTCTGGACTTACATGGGCCCAGCTGTCGAGTCCAAAGACAGTATCCCGCTCAACCGAGGGAGCGGCCCAGACCTTGACGATCTTCTTGTGGGCGCTGGTCATATGGTTCTCGCCCTTCTGGAGCTCCTCAAAGTTGTCGATCAGATTCTCGACAAGAGACTTCCAGCCCCTCAAGCGGTCGACCAGCAAGTCGGCCGGGTCAGGAGAGAGCACGCCCTTGATGGCCTCGGAGTCGCTGGAGTCGATAGAGTCGGTGCGGCTGAGGGCGGGCGAGCCGCCCTTCATCAGGGTGGCGACACGGCCGACGGAGATGGTCTTGGGCTTTTGCTCAGAGTCTTCGCTGCTCATGGCGATGCTGGCGCTTTGGGCGGTGGTGGTGTGCTGTGGTGTGGTGGTGGGTGCCGGTCTGAGGAGGGCAGAGGAAGAGGGATTGCTGGACGGACCTGCAACCCAAGGCGAGGGCACCGCCGGTGGATGGGCGCGACGCGACGCGGGTGTGGCGCGACATGCGCAGCAGCCAGCGTGTTTGTCACACGGCGGCAAGGTGCTGCGCAGCCGTGCCAGTCTGTGGCTGGCCGCGACCGAGTCAGCCAGCAACACAAGCGAACATGGGTGCGAACATGGGTGCGAGTGCGATCGTCTCGGATATGCAGACGAAGTAAAGGGGTAGAACCCAGATGGAGCGAGCGTAGACACAATGCACCGCATTCGGAGGAGAGGGACCCCATACATACCTCGGATCGATGCCCAACACTGTCTCCAAATGAACACTCGATTTCCTTCCCACGGCCGGTGCACATCCAAGCGTCTCCAAGTCCGTTCTTAGCACATACTCCCGGCCGACACCCGTTCAGTATCACCATCCTCGACTCTCTTTCAGCGCTGCACACCTTGCACACCGTGAACACCCCCCTTGTTTGCCGTGGCCACGCATCCGGCCATGAGGGCCTGACGGCCGCTGCCCGGGTGCAGCTCCCATGCTGTTGTTGTCCATGCGGTCGAGTACCCAGAACCGGAGCGTGGCAGACATGCTTTGCGGCCGCCGGCGGTCAAGTGCGGCTCGGACAAAGATAGCGGTGTGGCCCATTTTCCGGCGCGCTTGATTTCGCTGTGTCGTCCCGCGGACTATCGGGGGCAGGGAGAACAGTGCAGATCCAGGCGGTATCGACGATTGTTGGCCTGTCTCTCTCGCCATCCAAACCAGATGCTCGCCTCCCCCCTGGCCGAGCTGAACGGCTCTGCTGTGCTGGCTTCCAACCTTCCCTGGCCATGCTCCGCGGATGTGCAGGGAGATGACGATGTCTCTTGGACACATGCTCTGTGGAGCATTCATTCGGCCACACCCCGCGGGGTTGCTCAATTTCCTTCGGCAAACAATGCCTACGAGTCACCAATGCGCTGCTGTGCTGCCTCCGGGCTATGCAACCCCCATAACATGAGCAGCATGAGCAGCACCCGATCTCTGACCGGGGTGCGTCCTGAGCAACGTCTCACCAAAATCACCCACACGGGCACACACCTGCCTTGCCTCCCCCTCACCCGAGCTGCCAGAAGCACTTCAGAGTTTGTTTGCAAAGCACGGCATGGCTTGTGGGAGGCTGCTCTGGGTCTGCCTGCCTTGCCTGCCTGCCTTGCCTGCCTTGCCTGCCTTGCCTGCCTTGCCTGCCTTGCCGATCTTTGCTTTCTATCTTGTCTTCCCGACAGCCGCCCGTGGCTTCTCCCCTGCGCGATCATCAAAGCAACTCGGGCCATCCAGGTGCGCTCTGACCGCCGGCGTGCGCGCTGCGTGGGATCGTCGGTGGCTTCGCTGTGGTCGGCGCTGACACCATCGCCCAGCCCATGAGGCTGTCGTTCGCTCGGTATCTCGGGACTCATGGCCGAAATGGCGTCATCGCGCCTTTGAGCCGCCGCGTGGCACGTGTGCTCGCGGCTGCCATTGCGACTTTTGACCTCTCACAAAACCCACACCCCTCCTGCCCCCATGCCGATGCATCCTGGGGGGAAAAAAAAGGTGCGGCGGCCCCTATAAAGCTGGCCCGTCCGTGCCTCCGGATAACCCGCAACGAATTGACCAGTTCCCGTCGAAAGCGTTCAGCTTGGTCTCTTCCTCTTCCCTTCCTTGGCGCCATTGGCCCCATCTCACTCACCTCTCATTGTCACCCGCTCTCCGCCGCACATTGCCATGGCCAAGTTTGATCATACCGAGATTTACGAGTTCTCGAGACAGAGCTCTGACTTTTTCCGCCACTTTGACAAAGTATCGATCGAATACGTCAAGTCGCTCTTCCCCATCCGCACATGGATCACTCGATACAACTTCCAATGGTTCATTGGTGACTTGGTACGTCGCGTCCTCTACCATCTGGCCATCTGGCCATCCCGGTATCTCGGCATCCACTACTCCGACATCTCCCAGCATCAACACGAGTCCAGCACACGGCGCTGGACGCCATACGGGCAGGCACCATCTGCCTCCCATTCATGGACACTGACCCTGCACAAACGCTCTCCGCATGCAGATCACGGGTCTCACGGTCGGATTCATGATCCTGCCGCAGGCTCTGGCCCAGGCAAAGATCGCTACCCTGCCGCCGGAATACGGCCTCTACAGTGCATTCATCGGCCTGCTGGTCTACGGCTTCTTTGCAACCACAAAAGGTAGGACTCGTTAAAACGTCGTAGGCGGCTGATCCGTGCAATGCACTCCCTCCTTCCACGCCGTCCTCACCACTGCCTTTGCTTGGACTGCCCATCTTCAGACATCACCATCGGCCCGACAGCCGTGCTGTCGTTGCTGACGGCCCAGATCCTGGTCACCGCCAACAAGGATGCCAACGGAAACGACTTGTTCCCTCCCACCACCTTCGCCATCACTCTGGCCTTTGTCGTCGGCATCGCCCAGCTTCTCACGGGCCTGCTTCGGCTCGGCGTCGTCGTTGACTTTATCCCTCCCACCGTCATCACGGGCTTCACCACTGGCTTTGCGTTCACGTATGTGTCCCTATCCGGCTGCGTCTCGCTCTCATGCCCCGCTCTGGTCCTGCTCTGGTCCTGCTCTGGTCTCCATCGGCACCCATGTGTTTGTTCTGACTCGTTGGCCCCTCCGCCATCCAGTGTCATCGTTCAGCAGACTCCCACGCTTCTGGGCATCAAGGGCATCGACACCAACACCCAGCCCGCGCAGAACATCATTGTCAACATTGTTCAGAAGATTGGCACCACCCAGTTTGATATTGCCTGGGGCGCCCCTGCGTTGGTCTTGATCTTGTTGCTTCTGATCCTCAAGAACAAGTTCGGCCAAAAGCATCGCGTCTTCCACTACATTGGCTTGGCAAGAAACGGCATTGTGCTCTCCATCTGCCTGCTCATCTCTTACCTGCTCTCGGTGTACATTCCGAGCGCCGCCAAGTCTTATACTGTTGTTGGAACCATCCCGGCTGGCTTCAAGACCCCAACGACGCCCCGACTTGATTTGGTGAGCCTCTCAGGTTCCCACACCGCCGACCCCGGCTTTTGCTGTCATGTTCGCCCAAGTTTCGAGTCTGCCTCGATCGTAGCTGCGTGCCATGCCATCCACCTCGCCTTCACATCCAAAACCTAACTCGCACCCTCGTTCTTCCAGCCCATCCTCCAGCGTGTGTGGCAGCCCGCCATCTCGGTCTTCATCGTGGCCCTGGTCGAGCACGTCGGCATCGCCCGCTCCTTTGGCCGCAAGTTTGGCTACATCCGCTATGTCAACTCCAGCCAGGAGCTCATTGCCGTCGGCCTCACCAACACCATCGGAAGCTTCATGAGCGCCTACCCGGCCATGGGCTCGTTCTCGCGATCTGCAATCAAAGCAGCCTCGGGTGTCAAGACCCCAGCCGCCGGCTTCATCACCTCGGCCATCGTCGCCCTGGGTCTGCTGTACCTGACCCCTGTTATGTATTGGATCCCCAGCTCGGCGCTGTCCGCCATCATCATCGCTGCCATGTCCGATCTCATATCGCCTCCCCATGTGTTCATCGAGTACTACAACGTCAGCAGTAAGTATCTCCCGACCGACCGGCCGTGACTGGCTGCAAATGCCCAGTGCTTCCTTGCTGCTTTGGTGTCAACGAGCCGGTGCACTTGCGTCTGATCCCGGGACATGTTGCTGACTCGATCACCCCCACCTTCTCCAGTTCTCGATCTCAGCGTGTGCATGATTGCGCTCTTCACAACGTTCTTCTCCACGGTCGAAACCGGTGTCTATGTGTCGGCTTCGATCGCCACTCTGATCAGTCTCCTCAAGATTGCCCGTCCCCGACACACTCTCTTTGGTCGCAGCAAGAGCGATGCCACTGTCCTGGACGTTCGCGACATCTCCAGCACCGTCTCGCCTGGCATCTTCATCCTGCACATGGACGAATCGCTGACCTACCTGAACGCCCAGTACACCGTCAACCAGTTCCTCAGCGAGCTCACTGCCAAGACCCAGTACGGCTCCCGGAAACGAGGCCCGGCTGACCGTCTGTGGTGCGATGACACTGAGGAACAGTCGGCCCGCCGCGAGATCAAGACCCCGTATCTGGAGGAGCTGCCCCGGCTCCGGGCCGTCATCTTCATCTTCTCGGGCGTCAACCACATCGACTCTGCGGGCTACCAGGCGCTGCTCGATCTGCGCCGCGACTTGTCAGTCTACACCGGTCGCATTGTGGTGTTCCACTTTGTTGGTGTCAAGGATCACATCCGCCGCGTGCTCGAGCAGGTCGTCAAGACCCCGTTCGATGCTGCCGACGTCAAGAACTGGGCCAATGTCGAGGACGAGAAGGTGCTGCAGAGTGTCATGCCCGAGCGCATCTCCTCCATCAACCTGTTCCACCCGACCCTGAACCGTGCCATCCTGATCGCCGACACCCTGTCCCCGCCAACGCCGGTGATGACCCAGTCTGCCCCTGCCAACTTCCCACCGTCGCCCCTCCATCTGAGCCCTACAAACTCTGTGAACGAGCGCAACACCCGTCGCACACCGTCGGAGCGTTCGCTCACGTCGTATGCTGCTCAGTCTCTTGCATGAGCGCCCACGAACAGCCCCGCTGTTGTGGTTTCACTCCAACTGTCCCGACCACATCTGCTTCCTTTGTCCTGCACCGACCCTGAGCGACCTGTTCGCATATCCCCCTCCGGTGCCCTCTCCGTTTGGCTGTTTTGACTTGCAATCAGCGTCCCCTCTCTCTCGCTCGTGCCCTGTTCGCGGCTGTGCATGCCAGTTGAATGCCCTGGCCTTTCTGTTCCTTTCCTCGAACCCAATCAGTTTTGCCTCTACCGCACCGCACCGCACCGCACCGCACCGCACCGCACCGCACCGCACCGCACCGCACCGCACCGTACCGACCCGCCCATTCATCCCTCGCCTGCTCGAAGGTGTCTGTCATTACTTTTTGTGTATGTGCTTTTATTATCTCTATTGTCCCTTGTCCACTCCACCTATCCCTTCCAACAAAAGCACCACCAAACCCCCCTCCAAAATACACGGTCCATCGTATGAAACGAACAGCCCCCCCCTTCATTGGTGACCGTTGGCGATGGTTCCCCGGATCTTGAATACATACGCCTCATACCATCACATTGGCTGATACACGTGGTAACGACTATGCGCTTTCGTAGAGACCTATTGTCCTGTGGCGGTCTGGTCGCTGAGAGCATGTGGATGAGCAGTCGCCCCGATTCACCCATCCGGTTCGATCCATCGACTCTGCCTTTGCCCGATCGCCCGCGTCGCTCCCGCCCAACAGACCCTGCAAACCCCCCAGGCAAGATCTGCAGGTCCAGTGCAACATTCGGGCGGAATCGATCACAGGCTTGCGACAGCCCTTTTCAGAACAGCGCCAACCTAATATCCGACGCCAGGTGTTCATATCAAGCCAACGACAATGTCCTCCGAAAAGCGTTCGCGGGAGATTCTCGATGGGCCGTCCTCCAGCAAGCGAGTCAAATTCCGGGACGACGACCCTCTGCATTTTGACGACCCCGACCTGGCCGCCCGCCCTGGAGACGACGTGGATGATGCCGAAGACCTGGAGATAGGTACAGTGTCATTCTGCCTGGAATCCCCCGGTGGAACAAGATCGAAGCCGGCCGGGCGAGCGAGTCGGATCGGCCCCTGCCCAAGTCTCGGTTGAACCCAACCAAACCGACCGCCGATCGCATGGACGCTGCATCCAGACTGATCGATACAGATTTCTCTTTCAGCCAAACCCAGACGGGGAACGATCCGGGTCGAAGGCTACGCCTCGGACTCGGACGAGGGCGATGACGACTATGACGACGACGACGAAAATGGTGCCAGACGAACAAGAAAGAGCGGCGGCGATGACGACGAAGAGGATGCAGATGCGGATGCGGATGCAAACAAGAACGACGGCGACGGCGATGGCGACGACGATATGTTCTCGGATGTCAAAGAAAAGCGGCGCCAAGCCCAAAACCAGCGCAAAATCGACCGGCTCGATGCGCTGGACGAGATGCTGGACGGCCAAGAGGTCGAGGGCCCCGACGCCGACTTCACCGAGGACGGCATCCGGATCGTGCCCCTCAATATGGACGACGAACTGGAGGACGGGTAGGCGCATTCGTCGTTTGCCGCCGGTTGGGCTTGAGTGTGTTGGCCGGGCGCCATCCGGGTTTTTGAAACCAATGCTCTCTCCTCAGACACTTTGACGAGTTCGGCCACTATATCGAGAAGAAGGACGAGCATCTCATGCACGACAACTGGCTGCAGGGCGTCTCCAAGACCGACATCGAAAAGGTACAGTATCACGAGAGTCGTCTCTCCTGGCCCGAGGATCGTCGTCGTTAGCTCGTGCTCGAATCTGTGCGCCTCGTCGTGGCTCACGGAATTGCATCTGTCGTGCGATACCAGGCTAGCCAGGCCCATCGGAGAGCCGAAGCCCGATCCGATGCCGAGAACAGAATCATGGAGAAGAAACTCAAGTCGCTGCGCCCCAACGATCTTTGGAAGCGCGCTCTGAACATTATGAAGCCACAGGAAACGATTCCGATGGTAAGTGCGCCGCACAAGATCCAGTCCGCCAGAAGGCCATCGGTCTCGGCCAGAGTCGCTGTACTCTTATGCATCAGCGTGTTTGGATGCTGCTCTTTGGAGGCTGTACTGTCTCAAAGGAGTGTTGATCCGCCTGCACAATCACTATCGGCAGCAGCGAGAGACTGACGCTAAATCCACAGGCCATGAAACGATTGGGCGGCAAGAAACGCCAGCCGGCTTGGAAGAAAAGCAAAAAGTCCAACCAGATGGAGCCGGAGGAGGTATGGGCATCTCGGCACGAGGGCCAGCTGAAATGTCCGATGATGCGCCAGCTCCGTGTCTTGCACCTCCGTGGCATCCATGATTTTCCGGGAGTTTGACTCATTGTCGGAAATCTCACCGAGGCGCCTCCATCTTGCATTTGCACGCGACTCCAGGATGCACAAGCCCAGGTCGAAGGAATCAAGCAACTGGAGGAGCTGACTTCGATATCAGATCAGCTCATGTCGCTTGGAAAGTTCGGTCCGTATTCCAACCGATGCACATACTCTGCCCGCGCTCCTTTCTGGCACCGACTCGACGGCGACGAAGGCGCGGACAGCAGAAAGGGCGAGATTGGTCAAAACGGCATGCGTTGCTCATTCCATGACTGCTCTTGTGCTACTTTTATCCACGGCTGGTTCTCAGAAGTGTACAGCTTGATCTATGAACAAATCGTTCGAAGCCTGCGCGTTGACGGAGAGCTCGGTGAGTACAGAGCCAGACCATGCTTTGCACTCGAAAGGCAAATGAAGCGGCAGCTTTTGCACGACTCCGGGCCAACGGCCCAAGCTCACTGCGTATACCTGTGCTGGCAACCCATCGATCCAGACGACTTTTGGAAACCCGGAGAGCCCATTCCGATCGAGGCCAGCAAAGCCAGCAGCCAAGCGACTGTCGACGGCATGGTTATGTACGAGTACAAATGGGGAGAGACCTCTGAGGAGCTCTTTGGCCCTTTCTCCCGAGAAGAGATGATAGCATGGAAAACCCAGGTGAGCAAACTACCCAATCCCGTCGGCGTGGGTGCCAGTCCGGCTGCATCTGCTGACACACGCCCTCACTGGGCTGCATCCTCGCAGGGTTTCTTCAGCCAAGAGGGGCTCTATGTGCGAGAGGTTACCCAGGGCACATCCCTGGATACCCAGAAGGGCTTTGTGCCGCTCTCCGAGATCGATTTGTAGATCGCATATACCGGACCGCTGTTTCACCGCCAAGCGGATTTCGTCTGGCCGGCAGAGTAGCCCGAGCCATCGATGTGACCCGACCCGACCAGACCCATCTCTGCGGACCGTCTTGACGGCAAGATTTGCGCAGGAGCCGAGCCCGCGAAGTTCATTTGGATTCGGAGTCATGCCCGAGCGCGCCCAGCAGCAATCACGACGAGCCCGCCTCTCTGCTTCCCGATGTGCCAAGCCAGGCGATCGACCGATCCATCCACTTTCATGTCGAGCCGCAGCTTTCTGCAAATACACGCGTTTTCGAGTGATTGCCGGGATGGTATCGGCGAGGGATGACGATGATGGCACACCTGAGGTCGAGCAGCAGCCTGGGCTGTGAGACATTGGTGCGCACCAGTCTTGAGGGGAGGACTCGGATAGCGCCGTTGGAACAGTCGGTGAAGATGGCGCTGGCGGGAAAGCCCGCCGGGTCTGGTGCTGAAGGCCTCTCTGAGGGGGGGGGAAGGTTGGCCCGGCCGGCTCGCATACTTGGCCCGAGATCGTTCGTGCGTCTCTATATCAGACCGGGGAGGGGCATTGGGGATGCCCGGCAGCAACCAGGATCGGTTCTGATCGCCTTGCCATGCCACGCACCGCTGCCATCCTGTCGTTCTACTTGATCGTGCTGGCTATCGTGAGCGAGCTCGGGCATGCCCGCTCATCCAACTTGCATCAGAACGTCCCTGACCACTACCCTCATGGTAAACAGGGCGTGACCCTGGGTTCCCCGTGCGGCCTGTGCAGTCCCACACAGGGTCTCGTCCTGAAGGCAGGCGAGAAGCACTATTCGCCGGCATACTTGCTCGAGCGTGACAGCAAGCACAACCACACCTACGCTTTCACCCTCGAGCCCGACGGCGATGTGCGGTACGTCAAAGACGGCGTCAAGATCTGGCAATCCCTTCATGGGACGGCACATCCGGCATCGCACTACAGCCTGCTCCTTGGGAGCGACGGCAATCTCTACACCATCAACGAAGACACATCCACTCCAAACTGGTGGACCGGCGTGTGGTCCCCGATCGACAAGGGCCCGTATTGCGCTGTTTTCCTGCCCGCGGGCGACCTCAAGATCTACGGGACGCAGTGCAAGACGGTCTGGAGTCTGAGTTCCTATATCGCCGGCATCAAGGCCGCTGGAGGTCCGCTGCTTGGAGGCAAACTTCCCACGCCCTTCGTCTCGCAGTACCAGTTGGATCTCTCCAACAAGATCCGTAATCTGGCCCAGATATCCTTCCACTCTGGCCGCAAGGGATCTTCCGCGATCTGTAGCCGCAGTCCCACACGGCGGTCTCGATGCCGGTCAACCACGGCGCCGGTGGTCGTTACGAGGCCCTTGACGATGACAGAATCGCTCTGGTCCACTCGAGCTGAGTCCAAGTCGCCTGCAGCGACGGCGCCAGCGCATGTGACGACCATCAAAGCCGCATCACAGCATACTATTTTCACCAAAACTCAAGCACCAACTTCCCGTGAGGCTTACTCAACATACCAGCCTGTGCACCGGTCTGCGGCAACATCCCCAAGCATATCAACATCTACGACCTCGACGCTGTTGTCCCCTGAGCCCGCGGCTCCAGATCACACAGTCACCAAGACTGAAGCATCTCCTGAGCCGAGTCCCTCTGTCCAACCAGCACACAAAATTCGATCAGCAACCATGTCCCCAATCGCTGCCATGCGCTCCGGCACCCATCGTGTACTGCCCCGATCCTGGAGCCATTCGTTTTCAGCTACAGGCCCTACTCTAACCGAGCCCTTGGTATCATCACCCGCATCCAAAGCAGCGCCCCCATCCACCACAAACACTTACCAAGCATCCTCGCCTGCATCGTATGTCACCACAAACGTCTTTGATCGATCAGCGATGTTGTCCACACCTACAGCCACGAACGAGAATACCAGGCCAACTGCACCTTCGGCCGCCGAGTCGACAGGCACCGACAGCTCCGGCACTTTGACATTCATTCACGCAAGCGTTCAGTCTTGGACCAGCACCATCGCTCCGGTCGAACCGGGGCTCACGGCCACCATGATCGAGACTGCTGAGCGAACTACGACGGTGCACCAAGCCCAAGTAACTGCATCGCTCGGTATGGGCACGAGCGTTCTTTCTACATCTCGTGCTTCAGAAGCCACCTCGGTTTTGATTACCGTCGCTGAGCCGACGATCAGTGGCAAGAGCGGAACCCAGATTGCGTCAAGTGTCCAAGAAACACAGTCATCTACGTTTGTGCCATCCAACGTGCCCACTCTTCCCGTACCTCCGGCAACGTTGCCCCCAGTATCTGCGACTCCATCGGCTCCATCGGCTCCATCGGCTCCATCGGCTCCATCGGCTCCATCGGCTCCATCGGCTCCATCGGCTCCATCGGCTCCATCGGCTCCATCGGCTCCATCGGCTCCATCGGCTCCATCGGCTCCATCGGCTCCATCGGCTCCATCGGCTCCATCGGCTCCATCGGCTCCATCGGCTCCATCGGCTCCATCGGCTCCATCGGCTCCATCGGCTCCATCGGCTCCATCGGCTCCATCGGCCATTCCTACATCCACGCCATTCCTGCCGCAGCCTTCGGTGGCGGTAATGACAATAACCATTCCGGCAGCGACAGTGCCAGCTCAATCCGAGCCGCAGTCATCTGGACCACAGACTATCCCGTCCCTCACTCCACATACTTTTTCTGCATCATTCGATGTGTCCAAGCTGTCTTCCACAGGGATACCGACGCAGACTACACATATACCCACTCACATCGCTTCGGTCTTGGTGTCCAGCATCCCAACACCGCTGTCGACCACAACTGCGACGCCACCATCCCCGTCGACGACCTTCCCCATTTCAGTATCAGCTGCTCCAAGATCCTCCCCAAGCCTCGTGTCAAGCCCCTCCACGGCGTTTGTGCTTGATACCCAAAGCCTCTCAACGAGCATCGTCACTGCAGAAGAAGCGAGCAAGACCCACTTACCAGCAACGCTTTCTTTGATTGCGTCGGCTCACTCGATCCGGTCCGGGTACCCTCTCTCCTCAACTCTGGGCTTGTGGCAAAGTACGGCCGTAGCGATGTCAACGACTCCAACAACGACAGCCCCAACATCAGCCTTGCCACAAAGTCCAGCAACAAACCAGATATCACACGAGACCACCACTGCAGGCACCGCAAAAACCTGGACTCCATCACCACTCATCAGCGAATCCGCTGCAGCCAGCACCGTCGCTCTCGTTGTCACAGCACCAACCACATTCGTGCTGACTGCAGCTCGCTCAGCCACACTTGCCACCACACAAACGACAGCCGCAACAGCCGCTTCATCAGAGTTCATGTACAGCACAGCGCAGCAGACACATGCAACACTGCTGACTTCGACACCCGTCTCCGTCTCCGAACACCCAGCAGCTACAACTCTATCACTCACCCGCTCTGTAGAAACGCTCCAGTTGCCCCTGTTGACGCCATCCTCTTTGACATTGGCCACGGTGCACCTGACCGCCCTCGCCAGTACAGCGACATCCCTATCCAAACTTGGTCAGTCGCCCACGCAAATCACCGCTGTGGTGACTGTGTCATCGGCCACGGCAATCCAATCTCCGTCCGAGACAAGGACTACGTCTATATTGGAACCCCAGATTTCAGCCGTCGTCGGAACAACAACAGCAGCCGCTGGAACACTGTCGAGCACGACCACTGCCCAAATGCCATCAACGATCGCAGCGCCAGATGTTTCTGGAAACAGGGCTAAAGCTTCTAGCATCTTGTCATTGTCGACACCCCTGTTGCCGACCACACAAACTGTCTCATCGGTGCGCCTGGTCGAGACCGGATCCATCTTGCTTGCAAACATGACGGCTACCCAGAGCAGCTCTGCTGTTACTACAGCAATCCCAAGTGCTGCGAGCTCTGCGATGCTTCCGTCCCTGACGCAAACCTCGACCACGGCCATGACATCGATCGCGACAGAAAGAACGCTCACTCTGGCGAGCACTGCAGGCGACACTACCCCGATCTATCCGCCGGTTTCTTCGACCATCCCAGTCACCAGTCCAATGCCAACGCCAACGCCAGCACATACGGCAGCCATAACTGCCACGGTGGCATCGACCGGATTTCTATCAAAAACATCGAATCGATCGCCATCTCACGCAACCCCGTCGGCGACCTCGGCACCCACACAAGCAGAAGCGTCCACGACCCCATCCTTCTTCACGGTTGCCATCACGTTCCCACCATGGTTTACGCCTGCTATCGGCGAGCCAACCGCCACCACCATGGCGCTCACCACTACTACAGACGCAGTAGTAACTCTGATTTGAGTCGGCTCCATCAGCATCTAGTGTTCGCTGGCAGATCGGGAAAGACCTTTTTGAATAAATAGAGTGGATATATTGGACATCCAACGGGTGCCGCTGTCCTTTCATTCGAAGCGCTGGCGGGCAGCTAAGGACAGGTGCAAGAGGTGGTGACAAGTAAAGGGGAAGAGAAGCTGATGGAAATCAAATGCAGCAAAGAAATGGAAAAGTGCAGAGGAGTGGAAAAAAAGGACCAGGAAAGGTCACCAGAGAAGAACGATCGAAGGAAGCGACGTCAATGGGCGTGTCGGTCAAGAGTATTATGGCCGACGAGGGTTAGACAGAGAGTCGGCGGCGGATTAGTTGTAAGAGAGAGAGAGAGAGAGAGAGAGAGAGAGAGAGAGAGAGAGAGAGCAAAAGAGATATCAAGAACGAAGGGCAAATGTGGACGGAACTCGTGTTTGCATCTAGAAGTTAGGTGGTCGCGCGGCAGTGTGCGATGTAGAAGATGGCCGTCTCGATGTCAATCTTGAAGCAGCCGCACCTGGTTTCGGTGCATAAAGAAATGGCAGAGGTATGCCGTGGAAGACGATAGTGCTGGTGGTGCAGCAGCGATGGTGATGGCGATGGTGATGGCGATGGTGATGGCGAGTCTGCCATAGCATGGACTTGAAACAGAGGGCCAAAAGGAAATCGGCAGTGATGGCGATCGTCGAGAAGTCGAGGCGGAGGCTCAGTGTTGAGCAAGTGGAAGCAAGCAGCAGGCACTCCAGACAGAGTCACAGTATTGAGACGGCGACGATGGTATGCGGATGGTATGGAGAAAGTGTCTACACGAGCGATGGATGGATCAGTCAGAACCAGCAAACCAGCAACAGCATGATATTGGATTGGCCAAGTCGACTGAGTTGGCTCCAGGCGGGCCGCCACAGCAAGCACCTGAGGAGCCAATACTCACAGTGTTGGGCGAGAAGCACGAGCTCTCAATAGACCTCAAGTGTCAGCAGCGTTTTGTTTGCGCTGAGGGCCTTGTTGATGGTGTCGACGTCTCGATCCCTCAGGCGATTGTCTGCGGAACACGATGAGGATATCAGCGATGGATCGCGGGGAGACAGATGCATCCATATGTACCAAACAGATCCCTTGATTGCCGCCAGCACACTCTCGCAGTGACAGGAAATCAAGACTCACTCTCCAAATTCAGCATAGTTAGGACAGTGTTGGCGTCGAGCATGCCGCGGATTGGCCCCACAGCGCTGGAGTCAATGTCGTTGCCTGAAAGCAGACAAAAGGGCGCAGTCAGGATCAAAATGGGCGCTCTCCGCACAGCCGGGGCGGTCGACGGTTGCAGAACACAGCGCATGGCAAGAAGCTACCACGAGCAGCCACTCTGCCAAGTAGCCGACATGCAGGCATGGACACATACAGCTCAGGTCGAGGGAGGTCAGAGTCGAGTTCTTGATGAGCGTGTGGCACATGTAGTGGACGCCTTGGGTGCTGATCAGGTTGCCTGGGGAGCGAGCCACAGCCATTCAGTGGGACGGAGATGCACATACTCTCGCAGCCGAGCGCGAGCGCGGTTCTTGCAGGCAAACAAAAGCCGGGTGCATACCGCAGAGGTTGAGATACGTCAGCGCCGTGTTGACCTTCAACGCTTCGGCGATCCAAAACGCGCCGTGGTAGCGGAGGCGGTTCCCTGTCACAGAGCAAAGTATACGCATTTCAGAAGTTAGGCCCGATGCAATCCCTGGCCGTGGGACAAGATACCCACTCGAATGCAAAGCAGCAGATCGTCGATCGATCCGCCAGCAACTCAAAGGCGACCGCGTCACGAGCGAGTAAGCGGGGCCAGACGGTTCATACATCTCAAATCCAGGTGCGTGAGGGTCGAGTTGGCACAGAGCCCCGAGAAGATTGCCTCGGCGCCATCAGGCTCGATGTTGTTATCTTTGGAGACGCGGGTGATTCAGATTGCAATCATCGTCAGTAAACGGGCAAGCGGATGCACACGAAACGGGTGCAGCTATTATGGGGCAGTCGCGGTGAAAACCTACGGTTCAGTATCAGCGTCTTCACCGATGTGTTTTTCTTGAGGGCCTTAAAGAGGACCTTGGTGCCCTCTTGACTGATGTACGAGTCTAAGGATGGGCGTCGATTAGTGTGTCGTTCGGCCAATGGCGCAGCGGATGGCGCACAAACCACTTCGAGGAGACTCACACGTAAGATCCAGTTTGTGGAGAGAGCAGTCCGACATGAGCAAATCCGAGAGGATGATGGCACCGCGCACATGTATGTATGTATCTTTGGGGAGAAGTGACATGTTTGAGGTATCGATGGGACCGAGGAAACGAGGCGAGAAGGTTAGGCTCGCCATCCCCCAGATAGGTGTGGTCTCAATTGGCCGCGATTCCACTGCAGGTCTTGAGGGCAACATCGAGTCCGTCGAGGCAAAAGAAGCGAAAACCAATTCACCTGCCACTACGATGGCGAGCGAGGCCAGCAGTGCACTTACGGGTAAAATCCAGGGAGGTGCGGTGGGAGGTTAGCTTCATCAAGTGCACGACAGTCCTCAGGTCATCGTATATAGTGGTCTGGCTGAGATCGACACGATAGGCATTGGAGCGGATCCGCTTCAGGGCCTGGTCGAGCTCATATTCGACACTGAGATGAGTGGACGCAATCTGCTCCTTGAGACCCAGCACCTTGGCAAAGGTGTATCTGTCGACTAAGGATGGGCATGAATCGACCATATTGATGAGGACGTCCTGGGGCAGCCGAGTGAGCTTGATCTTGCGGGACATTCGAGACGCACAAATGGGGCTCCGAAGGCGGCTGCTTGAGAGGAGAGGTGGCAGAGGAGGAGGCGACCAGCTATCGAGGGCGGATAAGGGTCCGCCAGCAAGGTGTGGACCAAGTAATGGCGAGGCGGCGGATGGGGAATCCGATGTCGAGGCAGAGGCGACGACTGCCGGCTGCTACGTTGACAGATGATGGTCGTGCCCAGGCAGATGGATCAAAGAATCGAGTTGGCCGGATGCTGCAGAGACGGAGCCACGGCCGCAGCAGTTTCGATGGTTGCGAATGCCAAGTTGCCGAGTCGAGCCGCCCAGTCGCCAGTCGATACGAGCGTCGGAGCGCCGGCGTCCAGAGCCAGAGAAACGGAGCAATCCGATGCAGGGTGTGACCAAAGTCTGGTTAGCGACCCGGTCAGGTGCAGTCGAGAGGGCGGAGAGCAGGAAGGACGTCCGCAGATCGGCAAAGGCGTCCGCAGATCGGCAAGCACGATGGGCAAGCGAAAGAGAGGCATTCGTCTGGCCAAGCGGCAGCCCGCAGACTCGCCCGGGCTGCCCCGATGGACCTGAGACTGTCTCGGCCGCTCGATCAAAGGCGATACCTCGCCCCGCATGGACAGACGGCGGCAAGCGACTTACCAGGCCGAACCGGAGCTTGGGGCAAAGCACAGACCGCCGCGGAGGAGTCGACCAGATCGCTGGATGGCCGACAACGAGGGGAAGTCGCAGACCAGGACGCAGACCGGGCCGAACGACAAAATAATGGGCGACAGTCACTGTGGCGCACGAACAGCTGCGGCCGCACGTGGAGCATGTGCGACACCGGCGCGACACGGAGCGCGGCACCGGGAACACGGCGGTGCCTCGCCCGCCGCTTGTCCGGCCTGCGGCCGCTGCGACTGGACAGAGTTGCGAGGCAGCAAGGGCGCTCTTGGTCGCCTGACACGGCAGATGGCCTTGCAGGAAAAACGGGAGCACGGCTGCTCTGGGTTGTGGTGAGCCGGCGCGGCTGTTGGGCGTGGGAACGGGCTCGGGCGACGTTCTTGAATGCAGTGAATGTACGCGCGTGTATTCATGGTCCTGGACGGGATGGTCAGCCTCACTTGGATCCAAAGTAGTGTGTGAGCTTCCTGGATCCGTGGGTGCCTCCACCCCTGCCTGACCCCTGATGGCTCCCGCCTGCGGGCCGCTTGCGCTTGCTTCCACTGCTGCTGCTGCTGCTGCTGCTGCTGGTTGGCGCCAAAGTGGGCGGCGGCGAAGGGCTCTTGGTGCAATCAACAGATCGGCTGCCTTTGGGAATGAGTCCTGTAACGTCGGGCCGGAGGCCCTGGACCCTCAGGGCGTAGTGAAAGTCGCTGTGCTCTTGCCAGTCTTCGATCAGGACAGCCCTGTTGCCACACTCCTGACAGACTCGGTAGAGATCGGGCGGGAGGACATGAGCGTCAATGGGGTCGAAGTCGCTGCCGGGATCCGTTTGGATGAGCAACATAGGCTGTGGCCGATCCGCGACAGTATCCCGGGCCGGTGCGCTCGTGCTCGTGCTCGTGCTCATCCGAGATGACGATACAGCGGAGTCTTGGCCAGTCGGTGGGCAGAGTTGCAGCTCATCCTCAATCTCCACCACCTTGGCTGTCGCGCGCTCTTTACTTGAGTCAGTGGTGCGGCTGGTCGAGGATTGGGGGTCGTCAGGAACCTCTGTATCATATGGATCCTCAGCATCGTCTGGCTGGTAAGGGTTGCCCGAAGCGAAAGCATCATCTGGATCGCACGAATCGCAAGAGTCTCCTGGGAACTTGGCGACGCTGTCGAAACCTCCATCCAGACCCGAGATTTTGTCAGAGCGAATGGGTGCGACTGGCTTGTTGTGTCCGGCTGAAGACTCTTCTTTGGCGAGCCGCTGGAACATATCGCGGATGTTGCCGCTTTGGGTCGTCTCGACAGTGAGCCCAGACATCGAAAGGCCGAGATTCTTGAGAGGCAGCGAGCCTTGCATCTGCTCATCCGAGAGAATCTCCAGTGCTTTGGCTTTCAGGACCTCCACGGACGTGATGATGCTCCGGGGAGGCATCGGCCGTGCCTTTGAAAACTCTTTGAGCGTGGCGGCGCTGTCCTTGGCAGGATACACACCAATCTGTGTCGAGGTTATGTCCAAAACATCTGTTAGAAACGCGCTTGGTCGATTGCAAGTCGCTATATCCCTGGAGATGTCAGCCTACCGTCATCGTCTTTGGCCATCGGTGGGATTCTTCAAACTCCTCTGTGAGTCGGAAGTAGAGCTCAATGCACAGAATGCAGATCCAGCGCTTCATTTCCTTGACGCTGGTGATTGCGGGGCGAAAGTTTTTGTTGGTCCCAAGAGACTTGACCACGACCGTGTCGGTCACTACAGATACAGAGATGTCAAGAGCGGCTCAGTCAGCTCCACAGGCTCCCAGGCCGCCATGGATGAACAAGAATCAAACCCAGCGGCGAACAGCACGAGTCGCTTGCTCAGAATCACTGCGTGCCTAATGAGTATACACAAATGAAAGCATGCCATGAATGGACGACAAGCATCGCGACCCAGTCTCTCGGAAGGCTGAAAGCCTCGAGCCGGTTGAAACTCACGCTCCGAGCTGCACAGTCCGCGGGAGATGTTGAATACCCACTCTCCAGTCGACTCTCCCAACTTGGAGCACAATGCCGCCTTTGACGTTGACCTGATTGTGACGACAAGCAGAGCCGTGAGACACTGCCCTGGGACGACGCTTCCGAAGGCAACACGCTCGCCAGCCATGCCCGCCGGCAACCCCACAAGTATCTCATCCGAGAACCGCATCAGGCCCCTCAGAACTTCACGATGATGAGTGCAAATGTGCTTACCACACATCGCCGGCTGTCTCAAAACCAAACTCGCGTTGCAGCTCCGACCCAAGCTTGCCCCCGAGCTGGGGTATCTTGAGGAGAGGATGATCCCGCATAAAATCCACGACAGCTGCTTCGCGCATGATGGTCTGGCACCAAGAATGTCAGATATCGACCATCGGCTCCTCCTCAACACCAGCCCAAGATAGGTGTGTGACCTTACCTGATTGTTCGGCTTGTTAAGGCCAGAGCATATTTTCGCAAGCGTTTTGTTGTGCGCAATGCCTGGCGCACAGTTACCATCGCCAAAGTTAGCTGCGTGAGTTTGAAGCCGTCACGTTCTCAGATACTCGGACGAGTTCCTCTGTCGAGTACGAGCCAGAGCCGGAGGGTTGTGCGCATACCGCATGACGAAGTGTAGCCCAGCTGATCCCACAAAAGCTTGCGAAAGTCCTGGGCAATGTGTGCCCCGACCCATAGCTGATAGTCCGCCCAGCCATGGGTCACGATCGGTGCCCCTGGATTCTTGTCGAAACCAACAATATACCCGAGGCCGTCCCAAGCCACAGTCGGTCCGCTGGCGAGATCGGTGTCGGAGAACCGCGTCTTCTTGATCTCGGAGTAGACCATATCGGTGACATCCATGTATGCCTCATCTGCCATCGCATTCGCGGGATAGCGGCCAGGCGTATACATCCAGAGTGGCGGTGAACAGCAAAAAGTAAAGATGTGAGAGTGATGGCCGATGCAACGCCATAACGGAGCCTGGGCTGTGGTCACTTTTGGCTGCATAGATCGGCGTTGAAGCACCCAAACAACGCTGTAGATGCTGGCGATCAAGGATTGTGACAGAGCCGAGACGCACCGATCGATGCTTTCTGGAACTTGGGACAAAGCGAGTGCAGCAGCTTCATGATCTTGACGCTTGCTCGTCTGATGGATTTGGCATGCCAAGGCGCCCGCATGCAATTCGGAGCCGATCATGTGTGTCAGATATGTCGGGTTGCGCCTGATGTCGGCTGCCAGGAGAGCCTGCTGCAGTTTCGACGCTCAGTCTCACCGATATACATCCAGCGAGACCTTGTGGGTGTTCCATGTCGGCCGCGGATGATATGTGGGCTCAATATCCTCCTCGGTAAATGTGGCCACTTGGCACCGAAGGAGATAACACATCAATTCACCATCCCACCATTGGCGTTGCTGCTGCCATGAGCTACGAACTCCATTGCTGATCAAAGAGCCAGACGCAATCGTTACCGTGGACAAGCTTCAAGTCTGGGAAGAAATACACAAGTCAGCGCTGTCTTGAATCTGCGGGATGTCGAGTCCCCATTCGCACCATGGCGGCATCAAACAATGCTCGGAATCAGCCTTCCCACCTGGACACTGAGCCAGTGCATCGCTCGCAAAGGCGTGCCTGGCATGCCGTATCAGGCCCGGCGGCCAAAGGGGGGGCACGGAAGAAGGATTGTGAGGCAACACATTGGAATCAGCAAAAGAACCACCGTCTCGATTCGTGCGTGCCTCATCTCTACCGTCCATCAATCGATGACGAACCTCTTGACACCGCTGGCTTTAGCAGTGTAGTTGACGGCGATCAGATTGGTCCATTGCTGGACAGCCAACGGAACTTCTAGGGGGATGCCCAGGCTAGCGATCGAACGGAAACGCAACGAGGCGCAACGAGGCGCAACGAGCCAGTCAGCGGGCAAGTGCAATCCCTAGTATGAGCAGGATTGAGATCAACCCGGAAGGGCCGCGGTGCAGGCATGGAGTAACGACGAAATGCCAACTTTGGGGCGATCGATCGGGATGGCGACGGAGGGGGCCAATGGTACTGTTATCATCAGATCTCGAGCGAGATCGCAGATCAACGTTATGGCGCTCACCGAACATGCTCGACCTGGGAGTGGAGAGGGAACGGAGGCCGTATCAGCAATGGAGCGTCGAGGCCCGGTCAAGCGCTCTTCGCAGAGTCGCTTTCCAGCGGCAAGTCGCTGGGTCCGGCAGGCGACTGTTTGCCAGCACGATGGATGAACAAAATGGACACGCCGGCTCGACAGCACCTGGCAGTAAAAGGCATCGAGATCGAGATGGACAATGACCCGGCGCTTGCCGAGAGCCGCAGCGAGATCCATGCTGGTGTGTGCACCGTCGCTCTGGGACTCGAATGATCCCTCGGGGGTTGGCTGAGATGGGCAAGAGACAACCCAGAGGATGGCGCCAGACTTCGCACCCGTCCACGAACACATGACAGCCACCCCAGGATGTCGCATCCCACTTGGAAGGCGAGTCGAGGAGTGTGTCAGCATTCACCTGGATCGCTCTGGCTCTTCCCGCAGTGCGTATTCCTCAGCAGACCCGCCCAAATCGCCATCGCCCCCGCCTATGTCGTTGGCCATCAATCAACTGAAGCAGGGAGATCGGTATATCTGCACAGGGGGCATTAGATGTTGGTGACCAGGGATCTGTGCATTTCCACAAATGCAACATGCAAGCGGGGGAGGACGCATTCCATTTCACACCTCCGAGGCACAACACCAACTACTCGATCACGATACCGCATTCTCATCAACAATAATCCGTTCCCCATGAGTCTGTCAAGGCTGTTTGCCCTCTGTAACACGTGGGCGAATGCTACAGCAATCCACGCCCCCGATCGTTTCGCTTGTGGGGTGATAGGCTCCTCTCCCATTCAGTTGGGAAGGCCAGAGATTCATTTGTGGGCCTACTTGGTCGATTGCTTGGTGGACCGCTTGGCAGCGACAGCAGTCTTGGAGCTGGCCGATCGGGCTGCGGTCTTCTTGGTGGCTGCCTTGGTGGCTGCCTTGGTGGCTGCCTTGGCAGGGGTCTTTTTGGCAGGCGTCTTCTTGGCGGCAGCAGTGGGCCGACCGGACTTTGCCTTGAGAAGTTGAATCCGAGAGAGTGCATTAGCAGACAGGAGCAAGAAGCGCGAGGGTGCTGCGATCTGGTCGCAGGAGATGCATCGGCGGCGCTCGACCGTCCCGACCCAGAGTAGTCGCATATCGGCGGGACGAAACTGCTCTCGCCCCAGCCTGGACGAAAAGCGGACACGATCGTCGGCTAACCTTGGTGGTGGCAGCAGTGCGGCGCTTGGTGACAGCCCGGCTCGAGGGCTTTGAAGCCTTGGTCGCCTTGGCTCTGGCTTGCACGCGCTTCAGTCTCAGCTTGCTCTTGCGCAGCTTCTCCTCGGCCTTCAGCTGCCAGGAGCGGAATGAAACCATATTAGACTTTGCTCGAGGAAGCAGCACAGCGGCAGAGCAGAGAAGGATTCGAACTCGGCTGCTACCTTCTGCTCCTTGCGCCTGGCCTTCGCCTTGGCAACGAGAGTCTTGCGCTCGGCCGGGATGGCATCCAGGACAGACTGAAGCTCAGAACGGGTTTCCTCGGCGTTGTTGCGCTTCCTGTATGCCTCGAGAGCTTTTTTGTACTCGGCGTGTTGGATCTTGTAGTTGGATTGGTATTTCTGAAGATGGATGGTGGAGGAAATCAGCCTCAGCTCCGATCCAGGACCAGTGGGCTCTGGTACCGAGATCAAGGCCCTGGCAGAGCCCCGATAGCCAACGGTGAGCCGAGAGCACACTCACCTCCTTCAGCGCTGGACTCAGGCTCTTAAAGCCACTCTGGACCAGCTTACTGCCGGAAAGCAGGTCGCGATTTTCCAGACTTTCGCCCAGGAACTTTTTCTGCTCCTCGGGGGAGAGCTTGTACATGTCTTTGGTGAACTGGACCAAGGCGGTCAAAGGCCGCTTGGGCGCATGGATGTCCGAGGCCACGATGACTCTCTGCTTAGGGTTGATGGTCTGCTTGAGCTTGGCGGCCTCCTTCTCGATCAGCACGTCCTTGGGGGTGCGGGCTTCGAGATACTGGCTGTAGGCAACCTTGTAGTCCTTGGACTCGACAGCCGACTGGTCTTCGTATTTCTGAAAGCGGCGATATCCCAGTTGGCAATGGCAGATCACAGCGATGATGGGACGAGAGAGTCAGGATGGGCAGAGACATGAGCAATGTCGTCGAAAATGGAGAATCGACGGCTCTCGATACTGGACCGAGTCGAGCCGAGCCACCCTTGGCGGCTGCAGCAAGCGACGCCATCGACAATGACAGCAAGCGATGACATGATCTGTGCTTGACAGTGACAGCATCCTTGACGGCTGTCGCATCCGTCCATCGGATGCCAACCAACGCTCCTGCGTCTGCTCGACGGGCACGCAAGTGACGGCTGCGGATGCCAGTACAGGGAGTCTGCTGGATATGTTCGTAACGACATGGGCCGCTGCTGCTGATACACACCTTCTTGTCCTCTGCGGAATACGACTTCCAGACGGCACTCAGTCTCTTGATCGTCGCCCGGGAGCGCTCGATAGTGGGCAGGCTCTGAAACTCGGGCAGGGCGTTGATCGTCTTGAACTGCTCGCTGACAAAGATCGCGTAGGCTGTTCTGCCGCGCTTTGGAGGAGCGACGGAGGGCTTGGGCAAGACGCGGAGTTGTCGTCGGGCTGTTTCGGAGGAGATGGAGGTGTGGGCGCATTGGAGGTGTCAGCACGAGGTGGCGATCGGTGCAGCAAGAGGTTTCTGCGAGAGCGCAGATGGCCATCGCTGCGTCGAGTCGAGTCGAGTCGAGTCGAGTCGGGGCTTGGTCTGTATCCGATCCGGACAACGGAGGGCGCACCAACCATGAAACATGCGGATTACCTATGGCGGCCGGCTCGAAGCGCTTCTGCACGGATTTTGACAGGAATGCAGCGGCCACATCGGCTGCCGCCGAGGTGGCCATCGCCCGTCTGGACGAGACGAGGAACCAGGGTCGCGTAGAAAGGAACATTGGCTTGTCGATGGATGGGCTCTTTGGACTGGAGATGCAGGGCGGTGAGGATATGTCTACCCTGAACAGAGTCGTTCACCCGAGCTTGGGCAGCTCGAACCAGCGGCATCTCGCAAAAGACTGCGAACCCGAGACAGCAGATACGGCGATGCTGCGGCCTGGCCCGCGCAGGCAGTGCAGATCATGCTATCTACGTCGGGACATGGCCATGACGATCTGCTCCTTATAGACGGCGACCCACAAAGCGCTGCTCGGCTTCGTCGCGGTATCGGCGTCCAGGGCCCGCACAGACGCAGCAGATTCGACAGGGACTGCGACAGAACAGCACCGGATGATCGGCCACGGGCTCTCGAGCAACACTCACCCCGAGACGATGCAGCGGACGACGAGGATCGGCAGCGGAATCGGCGGTGGGATCGGGCAGAGGAACGGACTGGATGGTCAGGGTTTTGAGGGCGGGCCTGTCAAGGGCTTTCAGTGCGGGTCGAGCCGGGGGCGGACTGGCTCGAGCCGGAGCCGTGGCGCAGGGACTGGTCCGTGGAGCCAGCGCTGCACGGAATGCGCAGCGGTTGGTGGAAGCGACTGCGCAGAATGATGCGAAACAAGCCGAAGCGGGATTGACGAATGGGATTGGGATGCAGGAGGATTGAATGGTTGAATGCAGGGATTAATGCAGGGATTAATGCAGGGATTAATGCAGGGTTGAATGCAGGAGGATTGAACTGGCACTATCTCATTCGGGCATGAACACACTGCAACGCCATACACTCGGATGATATCTCGTTCCAGCCCGGACAGGGCGCAATCCTCGTCTCTGCTGTTGCTGCTGCTGCTGCTGCTGCTGGTGCCGCTCGGAACACTGGCTCGCTGAACTGCTCATCAACCACCCCGAGCCACCCCACAATGCGACGCAGCGCAACAACACCTCGGTCGCTCGAACAGCGTCGCGCGATCCCACATCCCACCACAGCGCATTGCGTCGCAGCGCCGCCACAAGGGGCGGCTCGCTCGCGGGGTCTTTGGCTTGCGGTTTGGCGTCGTCGCTTTCTGTTGGCACCGGCTCGGTCGTTGCTGCTGGCCCAGCGCCTTCGCCCTTACGCTCTCGGTTCCTTTGCCTGTCCCCGGAGGCCACCCCGATGGTCGCCCCGTCGGCGGTTGCCCGGCTGCTCTCGGCTCGGCCAAATAAAGTGTCGTCGCTGCAGCACCCGATCCGCCTGCCCTCGTCGCCGGTGCTTGTTCCTGGTTCCTGACCCAGCAATCGAGATCCTGTCTGTTTGCAACGAGTCTGCATCCTACCTGCAGCGGGGGGGGGCATCTCTTGTCAACACCACATCCACCGTCCTGTCAACAGCCTATCGAAACGGTAGCCAAGCCGTGGTATCTTTCTGACTCCAATTCGGATTCTTGACCTCGACTCGAATCCCTGCTTTCAATCCACATCCCCGGCATCAATCCACATTCCTGGCATCGATTCACATTCCTGGCATCGATTCACATTCCTGGCATCAACCTGAATTCCTGCCTTCGACCCGGGCACCCCCGGTCTTCATCCAGTCTGCATCTCCCTTTGGCCGCCTGCCACGCTCCAGCCCATGGCTTCTCCGTCTCCCGATGCGTCGGGCAAGAGCACCGTCTCGCTTCCCACCTCAACCTTTGCCGTCGTAATCGTCTCGACGGTGGTTCTCACAGTCGTCGTGGTCGCAGCAACGCTGGCGTTGTTTTTACGGATCCGGAAACGCAGAAACTTGCCAGTCTCCTCCCTGGACGGCTCCAAGTCGGCCCTCCCCGAGCGAGAGAGCCTGCTTGGAACCCCCGCCGGTCTCAATCCTCGCTGGCTTACGGCCTCGGGCAACTGGTCCTCCCGGACCGCCGCCCGTGCCAATGGGCCAGCAGAAGGACTCGCCAGCGGACCACCAAGCAGCGCCGTTGCATCGTCGCCCTTCCATGAGCCGCAATCCTCGTCCGTGGGCTACTCGATGCTCGCAAGCCAGCCCATCATCCAGCCCCGCAAGGATTCACTGCCGTATGTCGACTCGGAAGGCTCCTCGGTCGTCTCGGCCCCATCCAACGCTCTCGACTACTCGGCTTTGTCCCAGGTCTCTCGTCAATCCCGTCCCTCGACCGCATCGTCCAGCCTGCCGTCGCGCTCGCCGCTCTCGGTCTGGCCGCCACCGCCCATGTCGGCTTCGGCTCCGGCAGCGTCGTCGCTGGGCCTTGCACTTGACAACCGCCGCCAGACCGATTTCCTGGCCGATGCACCTCGGTACCAGCCCGTCCAGAATGCATCCGAGCTTCCCCAAGGCCTGCCCGGCTCTCGAATCCCACCCATACGTCCTCCCCCGATCCGCACCATCCCCAACCCGCCTGCGACTGCTGGTCCGCCACGCTCTGCTCCTCGCCTTGACGCAGCGTCCCCGCCGCTGGCAGACTCCCCATTCGCCAAGTCTCCAAGCCGGTTCCTGCTGAGGCCCATCGGCCCACCGCCTCAGTCGCCTTTGCCACCCATACCGGACGATTCAGAAGAGCCCCGCAACCGCGAACTCAGTCCCGTCCAGCCCAGCTCCAACGGCGCACCGTTCTCGATCTTCAGCAGCCTGGAGCGGCTCTTTGACCGGCGACGTCATGCACCGACTCCCGAACCCGAAAGCGTCCCGGATGTCTATTATCAAGTCAATAACCCTGCTGCAAATGCCAACGCCTTGGTGACCATCCACCCCATCAATGTCTCGACGACAGGACCGGCCAAGCGCATGTACCCGCCCCGCAATTCGTCCATCGGGAAGACGCTCGAGGACTCGGACGACAGCGCCCAGCTTGCTCCTCCGGACGCCCCTGCCCTGCCTCCGGGCTCTCTCAATCCCACCGCCGGATCCCTGTCGGACTCGGCCAGTGCCTCCAGTTCCAACTCAAGTCCCGGTGCTGGCACCAATCTCAGTCCAAAGGATAGCCCGACTACCAGCCAGATCCCATCTGCTACCACCACCACCACCGCCACCACCACCGCCAACCCAGATCCGCTCCGGCGCGCCAAGGACAGCTCGCTCTACGACTCGTATCCCTTGGATGCTGTTCCCAGATCCAGCTCATACGAAGAAGCGCAGCGGATACGGCAGCAAATCGCCGACATCACCGCTCTCGTCGAGAAGATGGAAAAGCGAAAGACAAACCCGGTGGGACGCGGAGACCAGCCTCGTCCCAAGCTTCTGCTCTCGCTCGAGGAGAACGATGCCGAGGCTCCCACAACAACCGACAGCACCACCAGCACCGCCAGCACAGTCAGCGGACGGGCCGGAACCAAGGCCACAAAGAGCAACGGAAAGCCGCTCAAGTCTGCCCTGCGAAAGAAGCCCATCCCACCCGAACCCCGGACGCCGTCCTCGGCCAGAGACACAGCGCCATGGACCAGAGACACTCCAACATCGGCCGATGCCACATCCGTCATTGGTGGCCCATGGACGCCGACCCCAGAGCTGCTGAAGCTGCCGCCGCTCGAGCCTGTCGCGACGGATCGGTCGTCGGAAACCTCATCGGACCTCAACAACCTGGCCCAGCTCTCGATTATTGCCTCGGAGCAAATGTCGGCCGATGTAGGCGCATCCTCTCTTCCTCTGGCAGCAACAGCACCATGACCCCGACCCCAGCCCAGTTCTGCCAATCCCAGCGGCGGTCACGAGTCGATGAATAGGCTCCGGTGTCGGACCGGTTCAAATAGAATCGAAAGCGGGACTGGCGGGCTGGAAGGGCTGGAAGGGACGCGGAAGTAATGCGGCCGTCAAGGACAGGATCCGCACGAAAGCTCAGACATACATCTGCCGCAGACCCTCCCCTTTTTGTTGCCCTCTGTTTCAACAACAGAGCCGAGTCCTCCTCCCCCCCGGCGCGGACACCCGAGCTGAGCGTCCTCGATTCTCTTCGCGCCGAATGTCACAATACAACCGTCCGCAATGAAGCATGATCCTGTTTATCTCACAAACAGTCTCAATAGCTGCTCTGCTCTTCCTCCGTGGTGAGCGATGCCCCTTCGTTGGGCGGAAGGGTTCTGGATAAGCAAGAGTGTATTCGAAGCGCCCCCTCTCCAGAAAGATGTGCGGCTGATAGACCCAGCAACAGGTGATCCCACTCATATATCTCGTGGGCATGACACTGAATCTCTGGCTTGTCGCACGGACCCCCACCACGAACAGCATTGGCGCACAGTCGCTGCGTGTGGCTAAGGCTGTGCCGGCTGCTGAACAGGCGGAGCCGCTTCCTGCGGTGCCGGCGCCTGTGTCTGTGTCTGTGGCTGCGGCTGTGCCGGAGCGGGCCTCTCGTTCACCAGCTTCAGAATGCTCTGGACACGATCAGACTTTGAGATTTCCGACGGCATGCTGAGGATGTACTCCCGGAGTGCCTTCCGGATAAAGTGCGCCTTAATGATGGCCTCGAGTTGCGGCCGCGGAAGCTCGATGACGACTGTCATCGACGACGGCGCCGTCCGCTGTTTGATGCCAGCAAGGCGACAGTGAAAGGGCAGATAAGCGCGCGGTCAATGGTAGGCGACAGAGAATACAATCACGATCTCGTGCAGAAACGTCATGGCGAAGGACTCGACTGCCCTCAAAGCACCCAGTCCGTCGTGATCGTGACCAAAGATCCGTGGCTGGGGGGGGGGACGAGAAACTCACGCTGCAGCACAGCACAAAGCCTTCCCAGAGCTTGCTGTTTGTCCAGATTTTGCGGGTCACTAGCTTGGCAAGGAAGCTGTTCACTGACGTGGCCTGGGAGACGCTGATGTACTGAATCAGGGTCCTCATAAACATGGTCGGCAGCTGGGGTTGCTCAATGAGCGACTGAAGCGCCTGAGTCAGCACCGAGCTGGTGAACGTGTTGGGCAGCTGGAAGCAGATGTCGACAATGGCTGGTGAATGCACAAGAGCGGGTCGAGTCGGGGAGACAGCGAGGAGACATTGGTCAGTGCACAGAAACATAGGTATCGGGATGCAAGCTCTGAAGATGCGCTGTTCCGTCGGGATTTGAATGCCCGATATCCCGGTACATTGATGTTCATCGATGGTTCGTGCTCCAGCTCAGCCCGGCGTGCTCCAACCCAACCCGCCTCCTCTCGCCGATCGCCGCAGACATGGCTTTGGTAGCCTTCATCACCCGGCCATAGTAAAACTGACCTTCCTTGAGCTTGCGCAGTCCGGCAATATTCTCGGCATTGTGCAGGGCGATCAGCAGCTCCGCGGGCGTCAGGGGTGCCGGCGGCAGCGGAGGTGGAGGGGCACCCGCCTCGGCCTCAGGGCTCTCTTTGACCTCGCTCCCTTGGGGAGATTCCTCGCCGACGGGCTTTTGCTCGCACAGCTTGCAGAAGACGCTTTGGACCAGCTTGCGCTGCCGGTCCGTTTCATTCAAGAGCAACACGACCTTTGAAATTTGTGCGAGAATCTCGCTCTGGGGAGAGGGACGGAAACACGCGGAGAGCAGAGTCGGGTTTGGAGAGGGATTAGATAGAACCCATGTGAATGCAATCAAGAGCCCGACTGCACCAAACTCGGCATGTGGGCGCTCGAGTTCCTAAGGGCAACGCCACTTCAAGCGCATTGCCCACGAGTCCAGATAGGGAGCCGTGCCAGCTTCACTTACCTTGGGAAAGCCCGGCAAAATCGGAATCAAAAACTTGGTGCCCAGTTGGTGTCGCTTGATGATCTCCTGGGCAGGCTCGACGATCTGCATGGTCGGCAGCTCCTTGTCGGTAAAAACAATCAAGCTCCGCAGGAACAAGCTCTCGGATCCCTTGGGCAGATCTCGCACGAGCTCGCCCTGGGCATCCATTTGATTGAATATCTGGATGACTTTGGCGGCCTGCGGCGTCAATGCCTTGAGCAGGGGCAGAATCTGGCTGCGGATGTGCGACTGGATACCCTCGGGAAGGCCGGAATAGAACTCGAACAGGCTAGAAAGCAGCGTCACAGAGCCAAAGCAAGCAACGAAAGAGAGTTAGCCATACCGACAGCCTGCACAGATGCATCAGCCTCGGAGGGCATACCGAGGGCATGTACAAACGCTGTCCAGCCTGAAATGCCCGCTGACAGGGCAATATCACACCCATAGAGTGATAGACAGGGGGGTCGAAGCCTTACTCATACAACAACTCGGGCCTCTTGCTGCACAGCGCAAAATACAGCTCCAGATGCCTCTGCACATCCGAGACAATCCAGTCGCATTTGCTTTCTTCTTCTTCTGGGGCTGAGGGCGGCTCCAGCGCATCGTCCCGCCGAGCATCGTCATCGGCTTTGGTTTCGCCCAGAGCTTCACCCCGGCGCTGCTCGTCTTCATCCTCGTCCTCCAGCATGGTGGGAGCAGGCGCTGGTCCGTGCAGCATTTGGAGATACTCCATGGCCTTGTCGAATATGGGGCCCGAGAATGCCGCGTGGTCGGGATACCAGCGTTTGACGACGAGGATGGCGTTGGAGCGGAGAGAACGGTCTGGGCCAGCCCGATTCACATGGTGGTTAGTGTCGATTGAACAAGCGCATCGCGACGAGCAGCAGCCTTGGGCCTGTAGTGACTGGGCTACTGTGGCTAGGCTTATGTGGCTAGGCTTATGTGGCAGACCCAGCACTTTGCACTGCGAGTGTGGCGGAGCGCTTACTTGGATGCACGCAGTAGTCCAACAACGTCCTCAGCGCCCATTCTCGAACAGCAGGGCGGAGAATGATCAAATCGCGAAGCACACCGAGCCCAAAGAGAGCGCTGTCGTGGTGCAGCAAGAATGAAGTGTCAGAAAGGACTATCGGTGAATGTGGAAAGAGACAGAGCGGGATGCTATCCAGCACCACCAACGCATTTGGGGGGGGGCGACTGGAAGCAGCAAGTAGGTCCACAATCGACCTCCGAGATGCGTTTCCTCTGGCCAGCATCGGCGAGCGAGCTGGCCACAGCTGCCTACCTCTCTTTGTCCTCGCAGTAACAGCGGACGACTGGCTCCACCACCGGCAGCAGCAGCTCGGGTGCATCGATCAAAAACTTTGTGAAAACACGCTCTTTGCCGTGGGCCGTCTCGGACAGCGACAAAAGCATATGCTCAAAGAGAATCGGGTATACTCGGGTGGCTGGATCGGCAGTCGTAGGACCTTGTCGCTTCTGATCCTGAAGCCATTCCTCGAGGAGCCACGCGGCCGCCAGCTCATACCTATGGTCGACGTGTGCAGAGTTAGAAACGTTTGTTGATGGGGCTGAAGAACAGAAGCAGGCAAGCTCCTTGAGTCTCTCCCCGCGACTTGGATATTGTTGGTGGCGACCATATGTCAAACTCTCCGCCCGCTGATTCTGGGCGACGACAGAGCGTATCCCTACCGGAGCTTAAAGTCTTCCATCACAAAGTCCATCAGAATGCCGCGGGGATCGTCATCCGCCAGGGCACTCTGACGTTTCGGTGTGGGCTGATCCACACCGTCCTCGTCCATCTGGGACTCATCTAGCCCAGCATCATCCGGGGCCGGCGTATTCAGCTCCTGACCGCCATTCAATCTCGCCACCGTTCGTGAAAGCAGTGTGATCCAGCCCAACCGTGCCGCCGACAGATTATCTTGCCGACTCTCGTTGGCCATAGGCTGAGACGATTCAGCGTTTTGCAGGTTGGTGACCGGCTGGAAGTGGGTCCAGCACTCGATCATGCGCCGGACGGCCTCGGACTTGATTAGCTTGGCGTCATCGGCACTCATCGACTGAGGCGCATCAAGGACAAGCGGCTGTGAAAACGACGACTGAGTGCCTTCGTAGGCGTCGGAGACATCGGGGACGGCGCGGAGTGGCTCGGCATCCTCATTCAGCGAGGCACCTCCGACAAAGCCTGGTTTGTTCGAGAAGGCATCATCGACAAGGTCAGCGACAGGCGGCTGAGGCGGAACATAGGTTCCGGAACCTGGGACAGCATAGCCGAGATTGTGGCCGCCTGGATAAGGTGCCATCGGATAGGGAGCCACAGGGACCCCAGGAGTTGAGTGAGCATACGGTGGGATCGGGAAGGTCGGCTGGCCACCTGCAGGTAGAGGCATCGGCGGAGACGCTTCAACATCGCTTGGGATGACTCCGGATTGACTGCCAAGCCGTCTTGCGTGTTGTGGAAGCCGCAATCTCGGATCGCGCACCGAGATGTTGGGTGCACCCGCGGTCGACGGTGGCGGAAGCGGAAGCGGGAGCGACGGAGGGCCAGCCGGCGGGAGCATCGGTTGGGGGACGCTGTCGCCAGCCTGGACGAGACCGAGTTGGATTCGGGTTGACTATAATATGGTAGTAGGCGCAAACACAAGCAGAAACAACGTGAGACAAAGATGAAATATGTGAGCATAAGCCACTCCCTCCATGGCAGCAACTACACACGCGAACGAGTGGCAAGGCAAGGCCACAGTAGGCATGCACTGCAGATCAGAACACAGCATAGAATCGATGCGTAGCTGGCGCTCTGGGAGGGGGGGGCGTGCCGTACCGAAATAGCTTCGTTGAGGCGATGTATTGGCACTGATTGTAGGGCCGCGATGGTGGCCTCAACGACTTGTGGGAACGGCATCTGGCCGAGCCCATGAACAAAGCGGCCAAACCCAGCTTGCTGCTGCGGCGACATGAACGTCAGCAAGTAATCCATAGGCTTCGGTGCAACAGGCGGTGGCGGTGGCGGTGGGCCGGGAGCGACTAGACTCGGTGCCGCCGCTGAAGGTGCAGCCGGAGTCTGGGCCAGAGGTTGAATCTGAGCCTGGACCTGGCTGGGTGCAGCAGGCTCGAGCTTCACACGCTTGTTTATGCCCGCCTCTGTCTCCTCGGGTGCTGAAACGGCCGATCGCTTGTTGCTCTTGGCTTGCTCGCGGTACTTTTGGAGCAGCTCGCTTCTGATGTTGAACGAGGCGAGTGCCTCGCCAATCTGCTGCTGGAGGGGGATTGCCTCGGATGTTCTGTGATGGGTGGGAACTAGTTGATGAAGCTGTCCCGAGTCGATCGCGTGTGCAGTCCGAGATGCTCTACGACCAGGCCGGCGGCTGATTCGAGATCATTTCTTTTCTTGCATAAACTATGGGCCATTAGTCATCAACCTACTTGTACAGAGCAACCAGCGAGTTTTTGATGGTTCTCTCGACACTCTTGGACTGCATTGGGGTCAAATGCGTGGGCTTGCTCCTGAGCCAGCCGACAAGTGCGCCAATGACGAACGGCAAGAACGTGGTTCGATACCGGGCCACAGGCACCATGACGTTGATGGCCGAAGTCATCATAACACCCGTCCTACAGCCACGATCCGCGGCGCGTATGAGGTTTGCGAATCGGTCAGGGCTGGCACGGAAAGACTACCGGGCCAACAGAACATGAACGCAGGCAGCACTTCGGTATACTGAAGCAGGCACCTACGCTGCGCTATTGGCCAGAATGGACTTGAGGATGTTGATGGCTATCTCCGAGTCCTTGGCTAGCTCCAGAGTCTTGAAAAAGGGATGGGACTCTGGAACAATGTCAAGCGACACATCTTCGAGATTGATTGGGTACTGTGCAAGGGATGATTGCCGATTCAACGCGAGGCCCCCCCCCCACGGATGAGATCGCATGTGAGTGAGAAGGCGACGGGTATGTAGAAACAAGCGAATCGAGATGGTCAAGAACTGGCATCGATGCGCTGCAGGAGGACGATGGCATAACCAGTTCTGGCTCAAGATGACTGGAGAAGGGCCGTACCAGCTTGTCCTGGAAAGAATGGACCTGGGCAATGACACCAAGCAGTTTGATGACATAGACTCGGACGCCTTCGTTTGGATTGATGATCTGCTGTTGTGCGCTTGTTCTGAGAGAGGTGATATACGCCCAAAGCGTCTGATTGGGCAAGGTGGTGGCCCTGAGAGCGACGACGACGTTGGATGTGAGATTTTAAAGGTGCAATGTTGCAGAGATTCAGCGATAGCGCCAGCATTCCACGCAGACTGACACCACGATCTCATGGAGACGGATCGCTTATGGGTCGGCATTCTGGATCTCTGACAATGCCGTTTCCGATCGATGCGGTAGCCGGATGCGCTGGATACAGGATCGCCATCGGCCATCTGGGTCGCCATCTGGGTCGCCATCTGGGTCGCCATCTGGGTCGCCAGCAGGCAACTGCACATCCCGTGCCGACGTCACAGCAGGGAGCCGACAACTATCCCGAATTCCGTTGCGTCCGAACCACAAGCAGCGCCAGCGACGACCAAAATGCTTGGCGCCACAGGCTTATCGGGCGAGCCGGGCTTGCAAATCGTGGGCAAAAGTTGGAACCGAGGACTCACACTTTCTGGAACAGCATCGGGTACATTCGAGAGAAGCACTGGATGGATCTTTGCACGAGCTTGACGTTTTCCATCGAGATGAGAAAAAGCAGTACCTCGATGGTGCTGCCGATGGCTGGGGAGGCAAGACGGGGAGGAGAAGGAAGCGACGAGGTGGATGTCAAAGGGTGCGATCTGGGAGATCGTGAACACATTGATGCAGCAGAGATCTCGATCGATATGCCAGAAGGCCAGGCGGGCCAGGGCATTATCTATCCAGAGTCGGGCGGTCGAAGAAGATCCACGGCTGATCTCGCCAACCACGACCATCCAGCTCCCGGCGTGGGTCTTGCTGCAGCGGCCGGCACTGAGGATTTGATCTGGTGGTTGTGGATTCCGAGAGAAGCTGCAATGCGGCGACATACCTGCATGCTTGGCGTCGGGCGGCAGGGAGAGTCTGCAGCAGGCATCCTCGAGGACGTCCAGTATTGCGATCCGCAGGGCTTCGTGGTCCTCCCGAATCAGCAGTAGGATCTGCGGCAAAAACGCAATGACGGCCTGCGAAGAAGGCTCGTTCTTCAGCAGGTCATGGAACTGGGATATTGCCTGGAACTTGGTATCCATGGCTTGCGAAACAGCAGAAGCAGCAGAAGCAGCACCGGTGACGGCGTTCGGCCCAGACGAGAGGGGCGGGTGCGAGACGAGGGTCTGGGCCAGCAGGCAGCACAGAAGGATGCCCAGGACGATGTGGGGGGAAGAGCAGACGAGCGAGCGTTGGTGGCCGACCGCCGCACAGAGCCCGAGACCCGCGAACGACAGATGATCCGAGAGGCCCACAGCAAAACAGCCTTGGCCCCACCATCCGACGCCGAGAACATCATCGCTGACCCCGCTGGCTCTGACACCCTGCAAGAATGAGCACCGCCGCCGACTACTATGAGCTTCTTGGCGTTGCCCCGAATGCCGACGAGAAGCAAATCCGGGAAGCCTACATCCGACAGTCGGTGGGTCCCCCCTTGCATTTCGCAGGACCAGGCCGGTCGTATCGAGTGTCGTTTGCTGGCTGCCATGGCGGCTCGCTCTAACATATGGAATCTGGCTGCAGCTGAGATGGCACCCCGATCTCGACTCTTCGGCCGAGGCATCCGAGAACTTTCGTCAAATCACCGAGGCATACTATGTTCTCAGGTAACGCCCGCTTGACCTGCATATCTTGCGAGCCCTTCCGGACCGAGGCAAGCAGCAGGGAGCCCCGGTGGCTGATTCGGCTTCTGTCCTCTGTCCCCCTGTCCATTCTGGCTGCAGCGACAAAGAGAAGCGCCGCCGCTACGACCAGTCCCGAGCGAGCCGGAGGGGATTTACGCTCGATGGAAGCATCCAAACCAACCAGGTCTTTGGACAGGCATTCGATGAGCTGTTCCAACCGGAGAACGAGAACGCAAGCCCGTTCTGGCAGCGGCTTGGAGGAGCCGCCGGGGCATGTCTGGGATTTATCGTCTTCAATGTGTATGTATTCGAGCGACCCATGCAAATCCTCCTGACGGCTGTGCGGCTGCAAGGAGGGGTTTTGGATCTGGACTTTGATGTGTATGCCAGGGGATTGTGGGTATTGCTTGGCGATGCCGCTTGGTGGTGTCGCTTGGTGGTGCCGCTTGGCAGGCTTGGGCCGTTGCCTTACACTTTCTCTCTCGAACATCAACCGACTCAGGCCCGGCGCCGTGGCCGGATTCGTGGCCGGAAGCAAGCTCGGACAGATCCGAGATGCCAAGGGCGTGTGTGTCTACGAGGCCTTTTGCAAGCTGGAGCCTGTCCAGCGCACGAGTGTGCTGCGGGAGCTCGCTGCAAAAATGATCACGACGCTCTGACGAATGCCTCAGCGAACAGGCAGAGTGTTGTGTCGTGGAATATAGCCGATCTCGGGAATGATCTGCAAGCGCACACGGCCGAGCAAAGAGAGGGCTTGCGGCGACTCGAATGGCTGTGGGTGATCGTCGATGCTGCAACTGTGCCCACCGCCCTCATGGACTCGTCCTTTCGCATCCGTTGTCATGGCCTCGTTCTCATGGCTCCGTGTGCCGCCGCAGACGAGTTGGAGACCGGGGGGTTGTCGGTTATGCAACAGATGCCGTCTCCGCCAGCACCTCGTTCACCATCACACTCCCCCCCCCGCATCTGGGCTGGAAAAGCCGCAGACAGGAGTCGGAAGACGAGAGCGTCGGAGCAAGCGCAAGCCAGCGCCGTCGTTTTTGCCTCCCCAGCGCCCCGAGAATGTCCGATCGGCCGCCTGGGTGCGGGCAAGCAATCAGTCTGGAATGCGACGCGGAACTCGACGAGAACGATGGATTTCGGCCGTGGGAATAGAGTCCGTCTGGGTGTGGGAAACACCCCGGACACTCGTTTCATGATCTTGCTGCATGGGTTGCTTCATGGTTGTGTTGCATAGCCCACAGCATCGTTCGCTGCACTGCCGGGGGCGGAAGGCGCTGCGAGCATGGGCCATGAGGGAAAAGACCATCCGCCCGCTCGGCCGATCCTGGGATCCACAGCGAATAGACCTGCTCGCTCTGCCCAGACTCCGTCGGCCTCGTTTCTCGGGCGCCCAGACGATCTTCCGGACCCTTCCTGGTGCTGGTCGGCACGGCGCTGCTTTCGCTCCCCCCCCCGCCCTGGTATAACTTCCCGGACCCATCCCGGCGCCGCTTCTTTGCCAGATCGACCATCCTTGATCGCCTTTGGCTCGGGCCTGTCTCCATCGCTGCCGCTGGTGCTGCTGCTGCTACTGCTGTTGCTGTTTGTCGTGGTTGGGCTCAAACATCGGGCTGCTGCATTTGGCCTCAACATCGGGCTACATACCGGGGTTCTTTCTTCTTTCGGTTCTGCTACTACTGCTATTGTTACTGCTACTTGTTCCACTTGCTCCTCCGCTCCCTTGGGTGATCATCCAGCCTTGCCCACACCACGCAAACGTCTCACCCGGCCGTTTCCTCGCCGCCAAGATCTCTCGTATTCGCTTCGGCTTCCCAGCCTTGGTTCATTGCACGTCCTCAACTCCTCCAGGATCTGTCTGAATCGTCTGCCTTGGCTACCCCCGGACATCATTCTCTCGTACTTTGCAGCCGCTTCCATCTTGAGTCCGTCGGCCATCACAATACCCCCAACCGTTCCCGTCCATTCTGCATACCTCTCGGGCTGAATGTCCGTCCTCGTCAACATGCCCGTGCTCGACTATGACCGCCAGGAGTTGTTGGGTACAAGAACACTCCCTGGCTCATCCTCTTTCTCGGTTCTCGCCGGCCCCGATAGAGAGTACTGGTCCAAGACAGCAACTTACCGTGATAACCCGGCCAGCAGCAGAAGCAGCGGCTCTACCGTTTCGACAATGGCCTCGCTGGCGCTGTGCATTGGTAGTGACGACAGTAGCGGCAGCTCTGCATTTGTGAGCCCAGAGCCCAGCCCAATGGCGCTGGATCTGCCTGATGTAGATCGACCACAGGCCAAAAGCAGCGAGTCGCTCTGGGAGGCCGATGTTGACACACACGCCAGCGAATATGCTGCCGAGATCCTGGAGTATATGCTGCAGAAGGAGGTAGGCTAGCGACTGCGTGTGTGGCATGGCATGAGCGATGGGAAGCATGGGTAGAGAGCATGGATCGTTCAACAGGGGGGGGGTTGAGACACGGTATACAGACGAGCATGACTCATTCGTTGTGGCACTTGTGATTGTGTCTGCCTTGGTTCATGCCGTTCACCGCCATGGCTCTTCCTCATGACTTACCCGATGTGCTTCGTTCGATTGTGCCCAATCTGCCAAGGCCGAAACCATCACCTCACCTCTCATTCTCAAGCATCAACCTCAGCAGAGCTGGAACATTCGCGCAGACACCATTCTCTGGCTGATCCGGATCCAAAAGCGGCTTTGCTGGCACGACGAAACCATCCAACTGGGGGTCAATCTGTTGGACCGCCTGAGTGCAAAGTGGCCGCTTGATCGGAACAGCTATATTGTTTCTGGGCTGTGCTGCCTGTGGATTGCATCCAAGTACGAAGAGAACTATGCCACCGTGCCTCGGGCAGCAGCCATGGCAGAGCTCACGGCTCATTTTGTCGATCCAAAAGAGCTCAACCGAATCGAAGTCAAAGTTCTCAATGCCGTCGCTTTTGTCCTGGGCCATCCGACACCTGAGGCCTTTCTCCGGCTCCAGTGTCGATACGGACATCTCGACATAAGCCCCGAGACAAAGGCCCTGGCTGGCTTGCTGATCGACCTGTCTCTGATCCGACCCGAGTTCTTGGGGTTCCTATCCTCAAAGGTCTCGTCGGCGGCGCTGATCATGGCCGATGCGATTGTCCGCCGAGCCGAGCGACTGTACTCGCACGACGAAGATGTCCTCAAGTTGATGCGCCTCTTTGACGGTGCCATCGCAGCCGATATCCCCAAGGAGATTCTCCGGAAGTACTCCACCTGCCAGTATCATGGCGTCGGTGTCAAGATCAAGTCGTGGCTGGCATACAGGTGCGGTGTGCTCGAAATGAGGCTGGTCCTCTGCCTGCCTTTGATTTGCCCTTGGTGTCGGGCACATGGGATGAGAGACTGCAAGCGCTGGGACACCAATCTCACCATGATCCCATATTGCAGATCGATCCACAGACTCCCCTTGACCCCTCCCAAGAGCCAGGCGGAAATCCTGGAGCACTGGGATGCCTGCCGTCGCCAGTTCTCGCACATGTCACTCTCCCAAAACCAAGAACGTCTGCTGGTGCCATTTTGGTCGCTGATTGGTGCGGCGAAGCCCCAGAGCTCGATTATCGGTGTCAGCTCCAGTGCCCATACCAGCGCCTATGCCAGTGTCAATGCCAGTGCCAATGCAACCCAGCGGGGGCGGCGACCTCGACCCTCGATTCTGCCGAACGACCCTGGCAATGTCTACTCGCCCTGGCTCGCCGTCCAGCATCCGAGTCAGCAGCGCGGCTGTGGTTCTGGCCCACAGTTTACCCAGCAAGACTTTTGCCCGCCTATCCATCACTACGGCGACCATTCCCATGGCAGCCTCAAGCAACAGCAGCAGCAGCAAATGTACCGGCAGCAGCACTTGCAACTACAGCAGCACGATGTTCCTGGCTTCCAGAGTCAGCAGCCCAAGTTCAATGGCTATCCGCAGACGCATCGACAAAGCTTGATGGATAGCCAGCTGCACAGCATGCTCCAGAGCCAGGTCCAGAGCAACTCCCAGGCAAGGGCAGCCCGAATGACGCTGGGCGGGCCATCATCGGCCTTTGCGGAGAGCCGGGATCTGCGGGGCTTGCAAACACAGCCACAGTCCTATTCTCAGCTCCGTCAAGGCGTCAACGAATCCCGGCCGCAGACTCAGACCCAGATCCAGACCCAGACCCAGGCCAAAACCGGCCCCTCGGGCTACCACACGGTGCATTCGTCGCAGCTTTATCACAACCTACTTTCAAACGTTGGGATCTTTTGGCCGCAAAAGAGTGAAGCCGTCATGCAAGGCGATGTCCTGGGGTCGTCCGATCAGCCTGGCCCATCGTCGCTGTCATCGCAAGAGTACCACCATCCCGGCAGCCTCTCGCTCCGAGGGCCAAGGCCCGACGCAGCAGCCCAGACCCGCATGGAGGCTGGTTCGAAGCTCTCTGTCGGTCGACGATCGGGCAAGTCACTTCTGCGCCCCGTCCAGATGATGACCCTGCACAAAACGGTCCGCCACCCCTCCGAGGCCCACCCAGCAGCCAACCCCTATGACCTCCGTGCTCGGCGGCAGCAGTTGCTCCAGCAGCAACAGCAGCAGCTCCAGCGGCAGATGCAGCGCGGGACAGCAAGCTTGCAGCCGCCTCTGACCATCCTGGAGCAGAACCAGAGGGACTTTTTCTGTCTCTGAGTGCGCTCCAACCAGAGACCCATGGGACCTGCCCCGCCACCATCGCCATGAACGGGCTGGCATGATCTCCCACGGCCGCCTCCGGTGAATCTGTTTGTCTACCAGCTGGATACTGGAACTGCTTCACTCTGCGTCCGGCCGCAGCGACAGCTATAGAGGCAATGCTCGGGCTGCTGCCACAGTCTGTAATTCTAATGACCTTGAGGTCTCCCTCCACTTGATGCATTGGTTTCTCGAGCCCGCCTGTATCCTTGGCGCCTGTACATTGGCCGCAATAAGAGTTGCTGGAGCCAACCATGTCTCCCGCCAAATCCAAAAGCCAAAGTCAAAATCCAAATCAAATCCAGAGCCAAAGTCAAAAGCCAAAGCCCAGAGCCGGGTGCTTGTTTGACCATTGCGTGGCATCGCGATGGCGGCAGGCAGGAGACGGCAGGAACGGCTGCAGCATCGAGGGAAATGCGGCTCATGCGAGGCCGTGGCTGTGTGCACCGGTCGCGGGGGAGGCAAAGGGCGCCGTGCCGAACACAAGCGGGTGCGCAGAGCCAGCGAGGGGCCTGGATGTCCTTGGCGCGAGCGCGCTGTAGCCAGTTGTATGAAACTGTGCATGTGTGGTGGGGGGTGGACAGCGCCGCGACAGTCCACAGCTGGATGTCCACAAACACCAAAAAGGCCTGGGGGCGGTGGCGGCCGCGAGCAACGAGAGGCAACAAAGAGCGGCCACGAGACAAGCAAGGGGCTTGAGCGTCGCCAACGGAGCCAGCTGCTGTCGATAGCACTAGAGCGCCGTTGATAGCACTAGAGCGCCGTTGATAGCACTAGAGCGCTGTCGATAGCACCAGGACATTAGCCCCCATCGACCTATTGGAGCATCATGCTATTATGCCATCAGGGCGCCTGTGTCTGCGGCGCTTGCACCACAGAGTTTTCGATGCATTGCCCCTCCGGGGACACAGCCCGCGAAGGTTTCCACCAACACCGCCATCACCACCGCCATCACCACCGCCGCCGCCATTACTTTCGGCGACACAGCCCATCGTGCTCGCGGCCTGTCCGGCATGCAGACATCTGCTCTCGTCCCTAGTGAGCTTCCCCGACCGCGACGAACAGCCCTCGCTTGCACTCGCTCGATCCATGCATCCCCCGATCGCTGCAACGGCTGTTGTCATCAGTTATTTTTCAATCTTGTGAGGAGATCGATCCTGTCCGGGCAGTGAAAGCCGCCTGCCCTGGGCCGAAGGGGGGGGGCGGTGCCGCACAAGCAGCGCTTTCCTCGCATACCCAAGCCCCCGCGGGTGAACAGACCCCCGAGACAAGGCCGGCCCTTGCCCCGCCGTCCTGCCTCTGTCGCCTTCCCACAGTCCAGCGCCCCACCCGCGTCTGCCGTAGCTCTTGTCTTTTTTTTCGGCGGGCGTCTTTGATCCTCGAGCCGGACATATAAATACGGGCGCTCCATTCCCACACCGATCTTTTCTGCATTGCTGCATTGCTGCAAAATCAGGTAGGTGACTGCTGCAGCCCTCTTGGCCGGTGCGAAAGTATCGCTCCCGGAGCGATCGGTCTGGACGCCGTGTGCATCCTCGACAGAGCAAAGGTGATCGCGCGGAACTCCGGACATGTCCGTCTCGTCTGGCTCGTTGCTAACTGCATCTCCCCGTCCTCCTTCGCTGCCGGCGCCCTCAGGATCCCATCGCTCGACCCACCCGCTCGCCTGCCAGTAACATCCACCATGGTCGGCTTCACTTCATCCCACCTGCTCTCTGCGGGCTTTGCCCTCTCGGCCCTCGTCTCGCTGGGCTCGGCCCAGTTCAGCCCCCTCAAGTGCTTTGGCGACGTCAACAACACCGCCCGCTGCGAGTACTCGGGCGACAACTGCTACTTCTTTGACGACTTCAACACCCTGAGTGCCGCGCCCTGGAGCTCATACACCGGCGACATGTCGGCCAACTTTGTGATCGAGTCGGGCAGCCCCTACGTCAAGGACGGCATCCTCTACATGCCGCTGCTCGAGTCCTTCCCCAACGCCCACCGCGGCAATGCCTCGATCATGTCGACCACCGGCTTCCTCAACTACGGCTCGTTCGAGGCCCGCCTGGCGACCGTCGGCCACTCGGGCGTCATCACCACGCTGATCTCCATCTCCAACGTCCAGGATGAGATCGACTTTGAGTTTGTCCCCAAGCAGCCCTCGGCCTACAACGAGGTCCAGGCCAACTGGTACCACCGCGGCGAAGCCACCTACGACGTCAACTTCAACAGCGGCCAGACCAACAACAACACCTTTGACAACTTCCACGTCTACAACCTCACCTGGACACCCGATGTCATCGAGTGGCGCGTTGATGGCCAGCTCTTCAACTCGCTGAACCGCCTCCAGATGGGCAACAACTCGTTCCGATTCCCCAACACTCCGTCTCGCATCTCCTTTGGCATCTGGAACGCCCAAGACAACAAGTGGGCCGGCAACGGCACCATCGACTATGCCACCCTGCCTGGCGAGCTGCATGCCCGCTTCGACTACATCCGCGTCGTTGGCCTTGGCTGCAACAGCACCACTCCCCGCACCCTTCCCGCCACCACCGCCACGGCCGCTGCCACCTCCAGCGCAAGCAACGGCGTCTCGCCCACCGGCGTTCCCAACAAGACCGCCTCGGCGTCCTGGATTGTGTCGCCCAACCTCATCCTCGCCGCCGCCTTTGCGGTGCTGCTGGCTGCCCAGTTCTAAGTGTGCGAGAGGAACCCGCTGTGCGAGGCAATCCTCTTGAACACCTGCACCGCTTCGGCGGTCTTTTTATTACCGCCTGTGGCCAGCTCGTCGCGGCTCGCTCTGGCCATTGCTTTCTCTGGCCATTGCTTTCCCCCATCCACCCATCTATCCATCTATCCATCTATCCCCTCTCGGTTTTGGTGTCCAGTTTTCACGGTCCCCGCCCGCCGTTGTCGTCGTCTTCTCGTTCGGATCGGATCGGATCGGGTCGATCGGACTCTATCTAGAATCCTCACCTCATTGCATTTGATGATCGTGTGCCTCCCCTTTGGACCCATTTACGTTTTTGCATGCGCAACAGGGCTGCTCTTCCATTCCGACCCGGCGTATTGTGCCGCGCACCCTGCAAAATATAGACACTCGCAATATCATCATCACAACCGACCAGACCGAGCAGAGCCAGAGTGACCGAGGGAGGGGGGGCCAGGCCAAAATTATGGCTGGAGATACGATCGCTCACTCTCGCCCAGCAATTGGGTGTCGAGTACGGGCCCATCAGCGCACTCTTCCTTCACCTGCCCAGATCAGCACCCCTGCCAGCAGCAACCAGCAGAAAACATCATCACAAGCCCATCCACCAGAAGGCATCAGCACCGCACGCAGGGATCAGTTTCATTTTCGTTTTCATCGTATCATCATAGGGGATGCCAATTGTGCTCTCGTTGCTGAGAACGCAAAACAGCGTGTTCCAAAAATTCCAGCAGCCCCCGAAGGGACGGCCGGGAGAATTGGTTTAGTTTTCAACCAGCAATAATCTATGATCAGTCGTAACTTCACTTCAGTAGATACTGCTCCAGCGCAAGGACAGGGTCGGAAGGAGGGATGCCGCTCTCGCCGCGGATTTATACACGGGGAGGCCTGCTGCGCCGCGCGCGCTGTGCCACACCGATCACGCTGCGCCGCATACTGCGCCTCTGGATCCACGTGTTGTCGCGCAGCACCCGTGCCACATGTGATTCCACGTGGCCGTCGCGATCTGGAACACCCCGGTCCACCGTGTTGTTTGGATCATGCCGCACTTGGCCAACGAGGACCAGCGAGTCGATGCAGATGCTGTCACTGCAAGTCGGCGAGCAGATGTTATGGGGTGGGAGCGCTGATTGACATCACCTAGCCAGACTGATCAATGCCATTCGATCCACACGACCCATCCGTGTGTTCAAGTTCGATGTATTGGGCGACTGAGTCCTCTGGACAAACCCATACAGGAGCGATGGAGGCAGATCAGATCAGATACGTCTGGGCAAGCGGAGCACATATCGGGGAGAGAGAGAGGAGCCAGTCATGTCTCAGACACAGCTCCCTTCCGTTGGCATCTTTTGTCGCCCCAGCATAGCTGTTCTCGTCCGCAGCGCGCATCGTTTGTCAAGCAGATGCACTCATGGCCATGGCGGAACATCCTTCAGGGCCCGCTGCTTGATGTGCTTGGCGACAATGCTGACTTTGCCTGGGCCGCCCTGCGCCGTGGACACCTCTTTCTTTGTGGCAGTGTTGAGGATCCCTTCCCATGTTCGACTCGGGGCGTCCGGGAACGAGTCTTTGGTTTGCTGCAGGAACGGGCCGGCTTGGACGATAGTCAGGTCGTTGCCGTCCGCCTTCCACTGTGTGATGACGTGGGTCGAGTAGTTGCTCCTCAAGAGGACTAGCTGGCTCTCCTGCGTTGTCGGGTCAGTCAGTCGGAACTGTGGAGGAGAGTCCGAGGAGTCTGGGTTATCTCATCTGTCGCTGCGATCCACATTCGGCGACGAAACAGTCAGAGCGGCCACATGGCAGAGCCTGGCCGGTCGCCCGATTCACACGCACTAACCATGATATTGAACCGATTGAGTTCTGGCTCCAGAACCAGCCCAATGCTCCCGGGAGACGGCGCGTAGTCTGGTGCATCCGGCGGCACGACCAAACACCAGTCCAGTCGGCTGGTTGTGCTTCCGACGCTGGCTGTGCTGGCCTTGACGGTGTCGTCGAGATCCATTGTCAGAGCCAGATCGCGGATGGCCACACGCGGAAGCGCTGTCAGCTCCAGGACGAAGCGGACCCAAGGCCGGAGGTTGGTCCCGGCTGGCAATGCCGCGAGCTGTGAGGTCACCGATTGCGAATCGTATTGAGAGAGAGAGAGAGAGAGAGAGAGAGTTAGCGCGATGCAGGACCCACCATTGGTATGTGTACGTGCAGGCTCGGCGAGAAGCAAACGTCAATCGAGAAAGACATGATATCAAAGTGGCATGCAAATCATGCCACACCGAATCGACGGCAAGGATTCGTCCTCCTCCCAACACTCGTTCGGCCCTACCTTTGCGTTGACGACGTTCTGGATCGTCGCTACCGCCTGGGCAGAGAGTGGCACAGGATCGTTGTCGGGGATGGCATTTTCTGCAGCGGGTATCAAAATGATTGTGGTTAGACAGTCGATAGAGTAGGATGCTTGCCGGGCGCTTTTGCTGTCGCAAACCAGCATCTGGCTCCCTCGTCAGCAGCGCTCAGCAGCGCTCGTCAGGGTGCTCGCTCAGCAGCGCTCGTCAGCGCTCGGCAGTGGTTCGACAGATTCATCGACTCACTCAAACTCATTCGGGTGCTCAGCACTCGCGTCTCAGAGATATGCAATGTGATTTGAAGGTCGTTGACGGTATAGACCAGATCGCTGGCCGCGTTCGTCGACGATGCGGCTGCTGGTGGAGCGGACTCGATCTGCCTCGTTCGAATGCGCTCAGCAATCATGAACCGGCACAGCTCGAGCGTCGCTTGTGTGTCGAGGTGGCGCTCCAGGAAGGATAGTGCGTGCAGCAACAGCGACGAGTGCAAGATCATGCCCCCGGGCAGCGGCAGTATTGAGGCCACTTCTGGGATCTCGTCGAGCTCCAGCAGGTTCGCGGTTTCGTCCGAGATGCTCTTGAAGTTTGGGATTGGCGTCACTGCCCTGTTGATGTGCTGTGTCGCAAAGCCTACGCCAACAAGGGCGTTGATGTTGCCATCTCCGAGGGCCGAGTCGTAGACGGCAAACGCCTCGTTGGTCAACAGGATCAGATCGATGCCATGCGCTCCGTATCCGACGTAGACGTGGTTGGCGCTGACTGTGCGCACCGTCACCAGCGGTGTCTCTGGCCGGATCGAGTGGTCGGGAGTGTTGTTGCGAGTGCGCATGTCATCCAGCCAGCGAATCAGTGGGAACATGCGTCCCATGACCTTGAAACGAGGAGCCAGGAGTCAGGCACCGGGAACATGATAGGTTGGGCAGACGCGGGTCTGGGATTAGATTTCAGACAAGCAACAACAGCGGAATCTGTGATGATCTGTGCCAAAGGAGGAGCAGGGATATCGACTGCAGGCCGACAGACCACGAGCCACCAAGCGGCCGCTGTATCGACGACCAACGGCCTGACACCGAGTCCCCAAGCCACCGATGCACGGGGGGAGGGGCCAGCCCCATGATGTTCCCACCATACATGCAGTGGACAGGGGCATTCGAATGGGTTCCAAGCAATCCAAGCTACTCGCTGCTCGAGTGGCGGAACGAACCTGGAGCGTTCGGACAATGGATTTGGAGTTGAGGAGAGATTCAAAGTGCTCCTCAAAGGACTTGAGGGTTTCGCTGGCTTCGGCGTTGAGGAAACGAAGCCGAAACTTGCCCTCGGAATCCAAGCTCCATTGAGAAAGGGGGGCGGACGTTCCGTCAGCTGTATCACTCCATTCCCAGCCAATCTTCATTTTGATATCGCCAAAGTGCAGCTGGAAGCTGGCCAAATCGTAGTTATCGATGCTGAATCCAGACTGCTCCAGCCACGAGCGGCGGGAGACAACTGCATTGACGGTTGGCCGAGGTGCGGTGATGTGTTTGGATGACCAAATGCAATATGTTCAACGAAGGACACAACGGCGAGTCAGCAGGTGTGCGAGAGTCGGTCGATTTGGCCGTTGGGCTGGGGTAGCATCAATCATAGTCTTATCAGGCCAAATCTGCGGGAATACCCACGTTGCCTCAGGATACCGGATATCATTGTGATGATCTTCCAACGCCGACACACGGTAGAGATGGCCATGTCCACATCCGGCAGCGAAAGCGTGCAGCAGTTGTCGCTCGAGTCGAACGAAAGATCTTCGTCTGGTCGTCAGCAGTCACAGAACAAGTTAGAGATCGCCTTTGAACGGCAGTACACATGGCTTGGTGGCCCATTGCGTCGGCGATCGCGGTGTTAAGCACCCAGGGAAGCCCAAGTGCGGGTTTTGAAACGAGATCGCTGCCACCCTGGCGCCTGGTACTACCGTCGGGCCATCGAAACACTCCTGCCGCCACATACAGGCCAGGGACGGGCTGCTCGTCGTAGGTCACCACCGACACTGACGCCGACGCCGACGCCGACGCTGATGCCCAGGTGCTCACGACCTACCAAGGAGCGTACTGGATATGCTCGGCAGCAGCCGTACGTTCATCCGGACCTTGACGAGCACACTCAGCTTGCGGTTGCTCAGCCTTTCGTCCCCATCCGTCTCGGCTGCGGATGCGCCCGACGGCTTGGTAAAGATAATGACCAGGTCCCCAAACGGCAGCTCGGAGACGCTGCTCTCGGAAGGACCCTTCGTGGCCACGGGCAAGTATCGGCTGAAGTTGTCGCGCATGATGCAGATCCGGGGCTCCAGCGAGGCTATCCGGTCCTCGGAAACGGGAAGCTGCTCGGGCTGCAGCAGCCCCGGGGTGCCTCGGATCACATACTTGTATGCAATGTTCGCACTGGCCAGCTCGCTCTTCAGCTTGGAGTAGAGTATCTGCTTTCGGCACACGGACTCGACCTTGATCAAGACCTCGGCATCAATTTGCATCCATAGGACTGCGTTTGCGCCAGAGCCAGGGGCGTCTGTGTTGTCCGAAAGCTTGGTCCGCTTTGCTGGCGTCGCCTCGTCATCACCCTGGATGGGCACTCCTTTCTCGCGGGCCGGGAAAATGTCCTGGTGCAGGATGTACGATACGCTTTGGATGCGGCTAAGGTTGGGTCGATCGGAGAGGCTGAGAGGACCAGAGTAACAATCCGAGGGTGCAAGCACTGTGAGTATGCTTTTACTGCTTTGAGACACACCCCGGGAGAGTACATCCTCTCTCTCGTTGCTGTTGAGGCGACGCCATCCGATATCAACCTACCTGGCGTGAACAATCTGGATTGTGTAGCTCACGGCTGATTCCTTCGAGACGTTGGGCTCAATAACCGATATGTGGATGTAGTAGTCTGGGTATTGGGGAAATCGTAAAAAGATGGTATGTTCGGAGGACATTTCGGTGTGTAACTTGGCGCTCTCGGATCTCGGGATCGGTAGCTCTCGCACAGGCGTCAGCCCCGCAAACTGAGCCAGGGCCTCAATCTTGTCAATGATGGTCTGCATCGATATTGGACCGACAGAAGTTTGGGTGGCGTGGCCAGACAGTCAGTCGGTATCAGACCGGTGGACACGAGTCACATGGGGAATTGTGCAAGACAGAATTTCGATCCGCTGAGTTGGCAAGCCACTCCGCCGACTGTAGCATCACAACGGATCCACACATACAGGTTCATGATGCCTGAACGGGGTCTGCACGGGGCCTGCACGGGGCTCATGCGCCGTGAGCTACTTACCGAGTATCGGAAGTATGAAAGGGAGCTCATGATGTCATAGAAATTGATGTTGATTCGCTCCTCCACGAGCAGCAGGCGGTTCTGCAGGCTCGACGCTCCGCTGGACTCGTGCGGGGCCTCTGGCTGGACGACCTGCCCGACTTGTGAAAGCAGAATCCGTCCCGTGCGAATATCGACGCTCACACACAGGATGCCCACATCATGATAGCGGAGATAGAACCGGGGAAGCGGGCCGGCAGCCGACTTGACCGCCCCGAGAAGCTCTTCCTCGGATAGAATCTCGACGATAGGCTCATTTGCCCGTGGCGAGAGCTGCCCATGCTTGCGTTTGGCTGGTGAGGCGATTTTGGCCTCGGGCGACATCAGGATAATGGTCTTCAAGCTGCGGATCATGGCATTGGCCTGATGCTGCGCCGCCGTCAGGATGAGCTGCTCGATGTCGATGGCGGAGGGCGACTGCGGTTTGGGTCGGGTCGATTCGGGTTGTGCGCCAGTTAGTGATGATGGAGAGCCAGGCAGCGAGATTGCAGCGCAAGTCACACGAGCCACACAAGGTTGTGAACATCAGCGAGGGTGTTTCTCCAGACGAACGGCTGCTGTGGCCCAGATGCGCCGATGCTGTGCCGCGTTGCCGCGTTGCCGCCTGCCCAGCGCTACAACACGACTGAGCTCCAAGTCCACGGCCGGCGCTGAGGTGGTACTTACCACGCTCACTTCCAACGAGGCACCAGTGTCGCTGTCCAGCAGGGGCGTTCGCGATCCATCGGCTCCAAGACTGAAACAGTCGATCCTGATGATCTTGGGGGAAAGGGGGCACGATCCAAAAGCGCACGACTCGACTATCTCGGGCAAGACATCACGGGCCGTGGGGTTGGTTTCGCTCGATAATGATGGCGCTGAGGCAGGCCTCCTCCGAACAGCCGCATCTTCGACTATGCGGATTTCGATCACATTCTGCCGTCGGTCGGCGTCGGTCGTCGGACGCTTCCAGTACTCGATCTTGATCTTGAGCTCCTCGCTCGACACGCTCAGTCGGTTTTGCCACCGAGTACCGATCAAACTCAAGACCTATTCGGCATCAATCCGGTTACAAACCGAGCGCGATACGCCGACAGCCCAGATACGGTGCGGAGACAGAGACGCTGGTGTCGACAAACTTGCCTGGTGCTGGATGATCTTGAGCTGCAGCTGCAAGCACACACTGTGAAGAAACTCGTACAGGTTCACCAGCGGCCAGTTTTTCCGCGACGCTGGCTTTCCGAGTTCAGCTCGCTTGGGATCCGGTACTTCCGTCAGCAGTTTGGTCTGGGCCTTTTCGCGGATCTTCTTGACATTGTCGGCGGTGTGTTGAGGCACTACAAAGTGACCGAGATAGTTAGAATCCGACTCCCGATGTGCGGCGCTCACTGGCCGGGTGAAATGGCTGTTGCGGCCGGCACGGTCACTGACCTGTATACTTGCTGGGGGCAGATGCAACCAGGATTTTGAGATCATCCAGCTTCCAGACGCAATCCGGAGTGCTTCCGGGAAGGGTCATTCGGATCTCAAACTCGTCTTTGACGCGTATCGTCACACTTCCATTTTCTGACGGCGCCGATCATCCATTCGTCAGTAAGAAGACCCTTTCGTCAGGTCAGGACAGCCATCGAGTCCTCGCATACGAGGGATGCGGACGACTTTGATACGCACCCACAGTCACATTGCGTCGCATCGGGAGCGGCACGATTTCGTCACAGAGCAGCCGCATACGGATAACGTCCTCCAGTCTCTCTTTGGTCTCCACCATTTCTGACTGGGTGAGCGGTTCCATTGGAATAAGGGTGGTCTTTAGACGACAGAATTAAAGTCAAGTAACAATCACGGATATGGGAATGCTAAGCTCCAGGTCGGCCGAATCCGTCCCAGTCACGCAATCTGCAGCTGCACCCAGGCGCCTCGACAGCACCACACGTGCAGCTCGCTGCTGCCTATAACGATGCAAGCAAGCGGCGTCAAGCAGCGTGTACGAGAGATATAATGAAAGTAATAATACTCACTCTAACCATAGTAGGCAGTCGTTCATACTTTCCAGACCCAAGAATGTCGATAGCAGTCATCACGTCATAGTTCCGTTCCCTATCGATCCATGCGCAGAGTGTTAAGCACATCCAATGCACCACTTTGAGCGACTCGCTGACGAAGCGACTCTCAAGAGCAGGTTCCGCTTTGTATGCAAGACTCTGATACGCAAAGGTGCTTCTGTTGGCATCACAGCGAGGTGGTGCTGCACACCTTGACTTTCGCATCTCGATATGGAAGCGATACAGCGCGTCAGCAGTGAGGCTAAAGCACTGGTCCTGCTGGTCGATGAGGGCACATATTTTCTTTTGTCGCATTGGTTGGAGGAGCAGGAGCAGGAGCAGGAGCCGGCAGTTGCAAGAGTCAGGCCGGTTCGTTGGAAGATGCATGCAGTCATCGGAAGAAGAGAGGGACGATGGATTGCCAGATGGAAGGATGCAGCCCAATTGTCAGATTCGATGCACCGGCCCATGGAGAAGCGGGACAGGGTGAGTGCACAGCCGAAGACGCCGAGGCCTTGATTGTACTCGACGGTGCACGGGCAAGTGCATCAAATAGTACCACCACCTACCTGACACTGATGCAGCTCATGTGCGTTCTTGCCCCATCGTAGCAGGACCAGCAGCTTGGTAAAGCTCTGGCGAGTGGCAATGATATACTTGAGGATCTGCTTCTTCCTGTCGACATCAGACATGTTGGGAAGCCTGTGGGAGGGCGGGTGGCAGACCCGACGTGACAGAGAGCACCGATGAGATCCCGCCGAGTGACTTTCGAGGACAAATGAGACTCATGAGACGGAAATAGGCCACTGACGACTCACAGCTCGGTCATGTTGATAATATCCGTGTACGCCTTTTGGGCGAGCTTGTCGATGAGCTCTCTAAGAGGAAAGGCATTCCCCGCAATGTCGGGAAGGGCGATGCGGTCATGGTTGTCGGCCGACTCCTGCGGCTCTCTGCACGAGCTGCTGGCTGGATCTGCTGTGGCCATGCATTCGGACCGGACAGTATAACGACACAGGATCGTTGGAGGTATCAGGTCAAGATGGGACAGGGTGAGCATGGACGCGTTCGGATAATATGCACTGTGTGATGAGCCACATATTCAGCAGTCAAGGGGACGGCATGACGACCGACATGGCGGCAAAGTGGTCGCTACGCTGGAGAAGCCAGCCTGTTGTCGCCAGGACGCCGGGACAAACGATGACTCACCGACTCCAGAGGCAGCCAGCTTTGACTGCAGAGGATGGGAGGGGCGGCCTGCACTGGGTACCGCGGGATCTGTGCTCATGGCGAGTGTGGTCGAGGACATGGATCGGCAACTCTGTCGGTGCTGGCTGGGAATGTGCGCGGTGCTGTGGCAGGTCGCAGAGATCACGGCGAACGCTATGTAGTGTGGGGCGGGCGGTTTGAGGGAGGCTTGATCTGGACTCGGCTGCGGCAGAAGCGATAGCGGTTCAAATCTTGCAAGCAAAGAATGCGGGTGGGCCGATGGGGCAGCAGATGCCGGATGGATGGATTCCCGCAGGATCGGGTCGGGGTTGGGGTCTGTGTGGAATGGGCGTCAGGATGTTCCCGTGGGCTATTTCTCGATGAATTGAGCCAACATCCGAGGGGCAAGCGATCGAGGCGCTGCGCGGTACGAGGCAACAGAGTCTGAATCAGCCAGGGGGCTGGTGGGATGCCGGGGCTCGGAGCGATCCTCTTGGCGATCGATCGATCGATCTGCCGCGGCGAGATAGGCGAACGAAGGCACCGACGGAGGGGCTCGCTGGGAAGCGTCTGGTCGAGCCTGGTCGCCGTGTGTGTGTGTGCGTGGCTTGGTTCATTTCTTGGTCCAGGCCGAAACGACGCGATGTTGCTGGAGAAGCATGTCACAGCTATTGCCGAAGAAGCATGTCACAGCTATTGCCGAAGAAGCATGTCACAGCTGCTGCACCGGCTCGTCCCGCGCCGATTGCCGGAGGGGGGCGATCAATGCGTTCCATGGTGTGCGATGCGTTCCATGGTGTGCGATGGAGCTTGCGGCAGTCGAATGACGGCCACCGATGGGGAGTGGGCTTCATGAGCGGCGCGCATATCGAAAGCCAGACACAGACCGGCAGCGGCTGGATCTCGCCCTGCGGGGCAGTCATGCTGAGCAGCGACAGGTCGCCACAGATGCCGCCATTTCAAGCTCAACGCAGTGGTGCATGCCCTACACGAATAGACGGTGCAGGACAGAACCAAGTTGGCTGGTTAGATCCACCTCATTCACGGACCATCAACCAAGAATCCTTGATCAGCTGCAGCACCACATTTACACAAGCACAGTTCATGCCATGGGGCTCCCAACCACAGCATCGCTACCATGATTGTTTGAGAGCTGTATCTGGCTGCTGATCGGTCTCAAATCTGCAAGGCCATCCATCCCATGCACTGCGGGCTCGTGCACGGGGCTGCGCTGCTCGAGGGCTCTTCCTCCGCCTCGGTGCGGGATGCTGGAAAGAGAAAAGGCACAATCCCAAGAGGACGGGAGCAAGTGCCCGAAGCCATGTACTGTCCGCTCCGGCCGCGACAGAGGCGGCTCAACCATTGATAACAAACGAGGCGATTCGCATATGGGCCCGCTGGTTTATCAACGATTGGGTCGTCGAGCCACAGGTATCAGCTCGTAGCCCAAGACTCTGCTCTGGACAAAGCGAGATACTGCTCCACTACGATCAAATGTAGTCTGTGAGATCCTGCGTCCAACAGGCCATTTGCAGCCAAGGAGATCCCTCCGACCACCGTCACTTTCGCCCTCCGGTCTGCACAATCGCCGTGCACACAGCAATCATGTTGCGCGTTTCATCGACACCACGACATTGCAAATGGTCGATTGATATGCCATCCTGCTCAGATACCAGGGCTGTATCAATTCGCAGACTTGTTGGGTTGCAATCCATTGCTCCACTCTCGAGCGACCCCAACCCACCGCACCAACGCTCGAACAGCCCACCCTGCCCGGCGACGCTGCAGACCAACCCGTTCGCCGGCGGAGCTCGGCCCTCCAACGGCCCCCGCCTTCCCACACATGTCCCCTTCCGCCGCCCAGCGTCGACCACCCGAGACGGCGCTGCAAAGGACCTCTGAGGCCCGGTTCCTGCCGTCGCTTTTGTCCAGATGGCCCCCGGGTGCATTGGTATCGCTTTCGTTTCCCCCCACCGGTAATTGACGATTGTTCGCCCCCCCCATCACTCCCTTGCCCAGCTCATACTCTGGCTCCTCTGTCTTGCCACCCGATCATCCAATGTTCCGTCCAGGCCCAGCCTCGAGCCGGCCCAGTACGCCGCCTTGGCGATCACTCATCGCATGGGCCTTATGCACCCATGTCGCTTGGTGTGCCAACCAGACTGCCTCGCCCTCAGCATGCAGCCCAACGGCTTCCCTGTGTCTCTCCCTCGCCAACTCAACAGTCTGCCCACCATGGCATGATGCTGCCGCCAGCGTCCCGCAATGTTGGACCGTCCAAGATTTTGACGCTGCCCTCATGTCCTCTGTGGCTTCGTCACAGACCTGGGCCGAGTTTGATCGGCTGTATTCATGCACCTACTCCGGCCAGTTCTCCCGATACGCAGCAACCTTTGCATGTGCCCAGGCCATTGCTCGTCCCAATCAGACCTGCTCGGCAGTAGACCCGGCCTCGATCCCGGCCATGTGCTTCAACAGCTGCATGGCCTACTTGGCCTCGCTTCAGGCCGTCTTTTCGAATGCGTCGCTATGCACCGCTTCCAGCACCGATCTCAACCAGACTGCGGCGCAAAGCTATGCCCATGCTCGCCAGGCGATCCTGAGTCAAATCTCGGTCTTCTGCCAGACCCAAACGTCCAACTCAAGCCAGTGTATCAGCGCAGTGCCGCTCGAGGACGCCAACTGCGGTGAGTGGATATGGCCACGACCATGCTGTTCATGGCCGAGTTGGTCCATGAGGTGATCGGCTCTATGGCTTGGACCGTTGTGGCTCTCGGACCAATTCTAACGGCTGCATGATCTCCCTCAATGCCCTGCACCGGCCACCGGTCTCGGCCTCCATCCAGGGTTCGGGATGGGCAATGCAACGCAGTACTGCCAGCAGTCCCACTCGTCCGACCCATGCTGCCTCAAGGTCCAGAATCTTGCCGACTCGTCCGCGTCGGCATCTTACCATAGAGATCTTATCGTCATTGCCGTCGCCTGCGCCGTCGCTCTGGTCTTGATCGTCGCTGCAGTGATCCCCTTTGCTCTCGCTCGGAAACGCCAGGGCCGAGGCGATGCCCTTGATCCGAGTCCTCCTCGCCAACCAGCACAATCGACTCCAGCAAGCAAGCCCCTGTCCCAGCCCGATATCGAGCTTGCAAATCTGTCGCAGCCCACAGCCTCCTACCACTCCCTCTCACATCCAACCGAGCAGATCCACACCTTCCGTCTGAGCTCCTACGCCAATCTCCACCCCACCATCTCCTCCAGCGACACCCTGAATCCGCTGCTCTCGAGACCCAGCCTTCGGGCCCTGAACCTCGATCGGCTCTCCCAGACCCCGTCGACTCAGACCGTCGAGTGGATCAAGTACAAGGCAATATGCTCCTATCAACCAAAGGAGAACGACGAGATTGAGCTCATCCGTGGAGACCTGGTCCTTGTTCGCCAGCAGTTCAACGACGGGTATGTCGTTTGCTGACCAGTGCTGGGCACGGATTCATGTCACAAGGATTGTATAATGGCTGCAAGAGGGTTGCTTGTCTTGAAAGACGGGTCTGCAATGTAGAGTTCCTCCAATGACTGCTGGCAAGCCACTGACCATTTCACATCAATTGCTCAGGTGGATGCTTGGGATGAACTTTAGGACGGGCAAAGAGGGTGTGCTGCCCGGTGTATGCGTCACGCCGATGTGATCGAATGCGTCGCAGCGATGTGATTATTTGCATCATGCCGATGTGATGTGGCCACTGGCTTTGAGGCAAGTCCATCGATCTATGTCTCGATTGCTCTCGGTAGTCGAGACGCTCCCCAGAAGCAGCGCTGTGATGAGATTCCTATTACTGACGCTTCCCACTTCCCTGTTTCCTTTGATCTCTGGTCCCCAGCCGCTTCTCTCCGACACGAATCCTCCTGAGTTGCAGCCCTCCAGGTCTGCTCACGGCTCAGCGAAGCCATGGTCCTGTCTTTGGAGGAGTAATTGGAGGTCGTCGAGCGTCGTGTGAAGCACCTCCATGATGTTGCTGGGTTGCGGGCTGGCCCTCGACATCCGGACTTGATGCATTCCCTCGCCGACATCTCAACGACCGTCCTTCCTCTGTAATGCTTTGTCTTTGCTCTTTCTTTCCTCTTGACGAGCGCTGTTTATGGAGCAACTGTTCTTGATTTTCTACTCAGTTCCTGTGGGAATCCCCTTCCCACATGCTTTCCCCTGTGTTCTGCCGACCCCACTGATGATCGAATATACGATTCACCACTCTGTGCTCTGGCGAAGCTGTTGCGAGCTATATTGGATATTGCAAGCGACCCATGCGCTGACCGTGACATGACCAAACCACATCGATTCCCAAAGATTTGGTCTGGTGGGCGCCTCTGGTGGTGGATGAGTTGCTCAAAGTACCGAGCGAACCGGAGTCTCCGTGGGCTGGATGCCTATCCCTTCCCTTGCTTCCAGGAGGCATTCCCAAAGACAATCACCACCTCGGTCTCTTTGGACATACTTGCTTGGCCATGATGGCAATGAGTGGGTGTGTATATTCAGGTTCCAGAAAAACAACAGTCCTGGCTCAAATCGGAGTGTCCCGTTTCATTTTGGAAACGCCCTTAAACAAACCACTTGCTCAAGGGATTGGGGCCGTCCTTGGATTTGCCGGCGCCACCAGCTCCTAGCAGATTCTTCTTGTACTCCGATACGAGGGAATTGAACTGGGCCTCATCCTTCAGGTCGCTCTTCGATACGGACGGGCCCTTCTTTCGCTTCTTGGGTGATTCACTTTCATCCACCAAGGCGATGGGGCCTCGGTCGGCCCGATGGGCGCGGAGAGACTCGGGGCCAGACGACTGGGTTTCGCTGACCTTGCGCTTCTTGCTTGCATGGCTCGAGCCGGTCGCCGGTGGCTCGGAGCCGCCCTGCTTCTCCTTGGTCTCGCGCTCTTCGTGGGCACGCTTGGCCTGTTTGAGCCGCTTGGCTTGCTCGCGGATGTCCTTCCATTTGGACTTTTTGGGGGTCCCTTCCTCGCCCGCACCGCCTGCACCGCCTGCACCGCCTGCACCGCCTGCACCGCCGGCACCGCCGGCACTGGTCTTCTTCCTGGTGACGGTCTTGAACTTTTCTTTCTGATCCTTCTGATGCTTGACGCGCTCTTCGCGCTTCTTGAGGACTTGCAGGTTCTCTACGGCAAACTCGACAATCGGGCGTCGCTTCGAGCCGCCGGCAAATGGAATGCGTCCCTCGCTGGCACCTTCCTCCTCGGTGCTGTCTCCGCCCTTGATCTTGCTCTTCTTATCCTGGACGTAGACGCTGGGGTTGTTGTTGAGCCAACGCAGACATGCCAGTGCGTCGCTGTGATTGGCAAACTCGATGAATCCACAGCCCTTGGATCGGTGCTTGCCGGTGGCGGGATCGATCTTGTCCTTCTCGCGCAAAATCTTGGCCTAAACACGCCGTCGAATCCGACATGGTGGATCAGGAGAGTGATGATGCGGTCAGCGGATGCAACCAGGGGTGATCAAAAGACATAACGAGGCTGTGATCAAGGGACGCAACCAGGGCCACAGCCCAAGTTGGCCCCGCAGGCGGCGTGTATCAAGTTGTGGCCATGTCCATGGCCATCTGTTGTGTGCGTGCGCCTCACCTGTTTGATCAGCACTCGGCGCTTGCCCGGAATGCCGCGGCCCTCCTTCTGTTCGTCCTCGACCACGTCCTTGTCCAGAGGCTCGCGCTTGCTCTGCTCGACATCCTTCCAGAATTCCCGAACAGAATCGGTGGCGGCCTGTCGCAAATGCAGGTCATCCAGCTTTGCCGACAAATTTCGGATCGCCAGACGAGTCTTGGAGATGAAGAGGTTCGGGTTGACGGTCAAGAGCCGCTTCCGAATCGAGTAGCTCTTCTGGCGCTTGGACAGCTCCGTGGGTGGAATGTCCTTGGCTGCATCCGAGTCGGGAAAGATGACACCCTCGCGCATCAGGTACAGGTTGCGTTTGTCGCTCTCCTTGCGCTTGCGTCGTCCGCTTTCAGCGAGAGCCGTTGCCTCGTCTCGCTGGACGGCCCGGGTGACGTTCAGGAAGCGCCCTCCAAGGATGAAGGCTGTGTTGGAGGCCGTCAGCGAAGGCTCGGGCAGAAGGACTGACTTTGCAACGTTGATGTTCTTCTTGCGCTTGTCGTCGGCACCCTTGCTGGTCTCTTTGGAGGTCGACAGCGAGGCGATTGCCTCAGTGGCCTTGGCGTACGCAGCAAGACAGGCATCGGCATCGGACTTCTCCTCAAAGGCAACGAATCCGGTTCCGCGCGAGCGGCCGGTGTTGTGGTCCATGGTAACAACCGCATACTGGACTTGGCCAAAGGCAGAGAAGCTGGATGGCAGGAGAGCACAGGGCCCACAGCAATCAGATACATGCACGCTTGCAGCACGGCAAATGCTCAGTCAACCCTTCGCCCCATCATACCATTCGTCGAGGTCCTCCTCGGTTGTCTCAAAGGCAAGATTGCGAATGAAGAGTGTTCTGCCCTCAGATGGGTCAGGCAGACCGCTCTTGCGCGGCCGCCTTTCCCCGTCAAACGTAACCTCGACATCGTCCTCCTCATCTTCGCCATCGTCATCGTCGCCATCTTCATCATTGCCATCGTCCTCGTCCTCATCCTCATCCTCGTCGTTGGGGATTTGGTCCATATCTTCATCTCCGTCTTCATCTTCACCTTCTTCCTCGTCCTCGTCCTCATCGTCTTCGTCCTCCTCTTCATCATCATCATTTTGAGCACCATCAGCTTTGTTGGCCTCTTCGGCATCACCGTCCGCGGCGTCCGTCTCGTAGAACTTTTTGGCGACAGCCCAGTCAACAGCCACGGTTCGTCCAAGGAGCTCTGTGCCGTTGATAGCATCCATGGCCTATGGAGAGAGTGTGCATGCGGGTATGTGCGTGCAAGGCCACAGTCAGTTCTCCGGGAACGACGGGTCTCATCCAAACCTCTAGGTATCTCGACATCCAGGCACCCAAACATCTCGACACCCACACATCCAAACATCTCGACACCCAGACATCCAGACATCCAAACATCCAGGCACCCAAACATCTCGACATCCAGATATCCAGATATCCAGACATCCATGCGTTCAGCGGTTCATAACACTAACCTTTTCTGCCTCATCGACAGCCTCGAACTGGACAAAGCCAAAGCCGCACATCTTGCCGTCGGGCTTTAGTGGAACCGTGACCTCGATGATGTTACCGTACGGCGAGAATGCGGTGCGGAGATCTGATTCCTTCGTTCTCCAGGCAATGTTGCGCACAATCAATCGCGCCCGCTTGACCTGAACACCAGCAACGCACAAATGTTATCTCGGGAACAAAGCGCCTGCCAGGAGGGCAACAGCAGCTGCTTCCACCACACACATGCGCTGGACGTTTATCTGTGGGCTCGTTGCAGTACTTGACTGCCAGGACGATGCGATGAATACCTTATCCTGTGATCCAGTCACCTTGGCCGTGATCGCCACGCCCTTGTACTGATGTCCGTCGAGGTGCTGCGCCGCCGCATCCGCCTCTGTTTTGGACGAGTATGTCACTCGGGCTGAGAAGAGTGAATTGCATCACACCGTGTCCAAACCGTGTAAGTGTGGTGTTAGCATCGCGGGGGGAAATATACCACTCGGCGATTCCGATGGGATGAGCTGTGCAGGGACTGTGCTGGGACTGTGCTGGATCTGCCCCCCTCCCCGACGAAGCACCACACACCCGACACTCCAATATCGGCGTTTGGAGTGCCGTCGCTGGTCTCGCATCCCATGGTCCACAAGTACCCCATAAAGCCGACGATACTCACCGACACCGGGCTGGCCATCGACTGGGAAGATAAGCGAGACCGGGGCTGCAAACTTGCGCACCTTGTGCTTGAGCATCTTGGCGGTCACGCCGTCGGGGATGCCCCCGATTTCGACGACAGTGTTCTTGAGGGACACGGGGGTGTCTTGGGGCTTCTGCTGCTTCGTGAAGGTGGGAACGGCATCGACGCCCTGCTTTTTCGACCTCTTGACCAGCTCGGGCTTGACAGGGACACCGTCTGTGGATGCGCCGAGTCCAGGCAACGAGATCGGGTGGAGTTGGTTCAATGATGACGTTTGGAGATGTGCGATCGACAGCACAACGCATGTCGTGCAGGTGCCACCGGTGGCATGTCAGATTTGGGCTGGGTGCGTATTGCCAGAGGCTCGCCATAGAGCGATGCCGAATCGATGCGACCGCTCTCGTCCCCGCTCTCGCTTCTTGCAAAGAGCAGCCGTCCACGGTCCCAACATGACGACTCACCAGCCTTGCGGTTCTTGGCGATGGCTTTCTTGACGGCAAACTCGACCCGGACGGGGCGGTGCACATCCATAAACTTTTTCTTTTTGAGATCCTGGATCGCCCGCTCGGCATCCTCCTTGAGGGCAAAGGTCACGAAGCCAAAGCCCTTATTCCGGTGCTCGCCGTTGGAAGCATCCTTGTCGGCCACGACAAACGACGACCGAACGGGGCCAATCTCGGAGAAGAATGCCTCGAGATCCTGCGAGGTTGCCGAATAGGGCAGGTCGCGGATGAACAGCGTCTGCTTGGAATGAACGTCGTCGGCCGACGGGGGGTCGTGCTTGCCCTTGGCCGACTTTGCCGGGGCATTTGCGGGGGTGTCGATTTGCATGTCGTCTTGAGCCATGATGTACGATGCTTGCGGTGATGTGGTGATAGATGGTGTGGCCGGTAATGGGATTCAAGTGGTTGGGCACCGAGGAGCAGACTTGAGCGGCAGGGTGGTAGGAGATGGGCGCTGCGGCAGCGAATTCACTGGGCGTGTGGGGTCGCTGGTGACGAGAGATTTGGCAGCTGCGATCACTGCTCGGACTCAGACTCGGACTCGGGGGGATCGATACTCCTGCCTCGGTGCGGGATGCTCGCTGGGCCACAGAGTGGTTCTGGAGAGTCGCAGCAGACGGCAGGCAGCAGGCAGCAGCGATGTCAGGGCAAGGCGGCGAATCCCGGCAAACAAAAAAAAAAGTGAAGCCAAGCCCCAGCCGGATCGATCCGGGCGGAGTTTCGCGAAGGCGCGTGTGTGTGTGTCGCCAGTGGCTCGATGACGTCGCCGAGTGAGCTCAGCCAGAGACGAGGACGATGCGACGACGACACAGGCGGCAGCAGGGTCGACAGATGTGTATCAGTGCTGCTATCGAGTTGCAGCCATCGGTGTCGAGCAGGACGACATCCGGGAGGAGGGGGGGGCGAGTTGCGCCGGCGACAGCCACAAGCAGGCAACCGGCCCGACAAACAAATGCGGTCGCCGTCGCCGTTGTGTGCTCAATCGGCATTCTCCAGCATCAGCTCTGCCTCCACCTTTGGAGACGCAACGCTCGGGTCAGAATCTGCGCAATCTCGTCCACTCTTCACAGATCCACCCTCAATTCTCTTGGCAGCCGAATCGCTCCCATCTTCATCCGTTGAGATGATCCAGCCTTGGGTGTTGCGGAACATCAAGGGCAAGAGGTACGGGCTCAACCGTTGCTTGGCGCATCTGTCAGAGACGACCATCGGTAGCCCATTTGTCGAATAGACTCCCCTGTGCAGTAGCGCTGCTGCGGTCCAGCTTGCAGTCCGGCTTTGGACAGACCCTGGCTGCATGTGCTTTGGCACCCCTCCGACTGTGTGCTGATGTCACCACGGACGGTGCTGCGGCAGCCTCCCGCCAGGCGAGCTGCGCTATGTCGAGCCCATCATTGACAGAGACGAAGAGATGATTCGAAGCATACCGTATCCCATCACTGTCGAGAGCTGCCGGCCCATGGAATACCCGCGGGTCCAGCGTGCCAGGAAGAAGGTTGTGGATCTGGAGCAAGCAATTGAGTACAATATGGTACGTCCTGGCGGGCCCCAGCACCCGTGGGAATGCGTTGGCTGAAGCGACGGGATGTGGGCAGAGATGATGGCAACGCAGGTGGCTCTGTCGACCCGACCCGGGCATGGGCTTGATGTTCATCGCAAGCACAGTCAGTTGGTCAGACGTTGCAGCGCTGGCCAAAACCAAGAGCGAAACCCAAGGCCGATGCCTCAGACTGGTACCAAGCACTAACCATCGCGATGAACAATGTCCCATATATCTGCCAGGCGCACGAGTTCCACGGACTCACGGACGATCAGCGCGAGGTCATCCTCAAGGTCGTTGCCAAAAACAAGCAGATCCGAGAGAGGCTCGAGGGCGGCAGCGACCCAGACACATACAACCCGTTCGGCTACGACGAAGAAGAGGAGACCGAGTTCAAGGTCACCCTCCACAACACCAAGGGCAGACTGAGCGAGACCTCCACCTTTATCGGAGGTGCCTCCAAAGGCGACCCCCAGGCGTCTGCAGGATCGGGTGCTTCCGGCCTGGCGGCCCTGAACGATGGGCACAAGAAACAGCCAAAGGTGGTCGGAGGCACAAGCGGCATCCTCATGGCCCTCAATATGAGGGATCCGAGCATGTCCAAGTCCCTCGGTTCAAGAACGGGTCGAGGCTACCCGCAGTATTATACCACCGGTATGTAGTCGAGTTAGGCCGAACCGAGTCGGGCTGGCTGATTACTGTGTGCCGGACCGGAGGATATGTCGAGGATACAGCCGCATTTGCTCATATACTCGCCATATCGTTGGATCGTCATCAACAACGACTACTGTCCCTGGTTCGGTAAGGCGCACGCTCAGAGTCAATCCCCGATATGGACCCGGCCATCAAGTACAGCCGTTTCGTGGACCGCCACAAGTCCAAGTCGGCTCGACACATCAGCAAATCCAATAGCCAGGAGGAAAACAAATCTCTGAACGAGATGAAGAAAGGTACGCGGGAACGACACCTGGACCTGATTCGCATTCGCCGAGCCTGGTAGTAGCGGCAGCAGTCAGTGCGACGAATTGCAGACCACAAATATTGCTCCTGATGACGACTTGGTGTGTTCGGGTGCAGTCACGGAGGACCTGGCGGCATGGGTCTCAAAGACCATCAACACGCCCGTCAACCTGTACCCGTCGCTCCGACAGCCGAGCTTTGTCGAGCCCCAGATCAACAGCGAGGAGATCAGCACGAGCGACTTTGACATTCTGTTGAACGCATGCAAGCCCTCGATCCTGGAGACAAAGCCGCCGGTTCGACTGAACGTGGTCCACGAAGCCAACCCGCCAGACAGCCTATTGCTGAGCCTCCGGGAGAACCTGGGTCTGAAGATCGCACAGGCCAAGAAGAAATACAACAAAGGTAGGTCTTGAGTCGGCTTCGGCCATCCAAGTTGCGCATGGGTGCGATCTCTGGGCTGACTAGGAATGTTCTCTTGACAGCCACCAAGATCATTCTGGACAGCACACCCGAAGGTAGGCCGGTGTGCAGTTTCGCAGCACACACTCGCTGATGAAATCGGCGTCGTTGAGCGGCCGATGATCTCCGAAGAGGCTCCAAAGCGTTCCAGAGCGTTCCAGAGAGGCTCCAGACACTCGACGGACACTCGGCAGAGCGCCTGGACTGACAGAGCAAGAGCTGAGCATCACATCTCACTCGCTCGTCCTCGTACTGCTCTATGCTCGTACTGTCTTCACCTTTGCCACTCATTCAGCAATCGAACGCAGTACCCCAAGCGTTCGGCAGCGCAGGCTGAATGTACGTCAGGATAACACCCGCCGTGTGATAGAGGAGGCTGAAACTGCAAGTGCGATGGATGTGTCCGTGTCCCCGTTGGCTTGCCATGGCGATCGACGCAGGACTGACAGCGATGCTATCCCGATGCGGCAACTCGACTGCAGTACGGCTCATGGTATCTACAGCCAAACCAGTGGAGCAAGTTTGCAAAAATGGAAGCGGCCAAGAAGGAGGTGAGCTGCACTTTGGAGCGGAGGATCCTGGCTGGTCTCTGCACGGCACTCTCGAGGGACTAGTGCTCTCTTGGGTGACGATTCCCACTGTCTCCAAGCAGAGGATGAGCTCCTTGAGCTGCCGTGGCATCGGAGAGAGAGAGAGAGAGTGGTCGCATATCAACAGCATCACTGATTATGACACGGACACCGGCCCCTCTCAGTCCGAAAACGCCCCCAAGCAGCGAGCCTTCCGAGGCATTGTGCAGGAAAAGCTCGACGAAATCACTCGCCACCGAGCCCAGGAGGAGCAGATGCTCAACCAACTCTTCCAGCAAATGCAGCAGCAGCAACAGCGACAGCAGTCACAGGCTATGCCAACTGTGTCGACGAGCTCTAGCGGCTCGGTGGGCCTTGGCAGCACCGAAGAGGTGCAGACGCCGGCGTCGGTGCTGTCTTCGCGACGCAGATCCATCCAGCCAATGTCCGCCGAGACTGAGTTTCCAAACGACCCGGCTTGGGCGGCGAAGCGTGGGTCGGCGCTGCCGGCGATCGGTGGACGGCGGAAATCGGTTGTTCTCATCTCGGACATGGCCGAGGACGGCCAGGTTGCGGGCGATGCAGCTGGGTCTCGGGGCGGGCGACAAAAGCAGCGCAAGCCGACGATGCCGCTCTCGCAGCTGGCTCTCACCGAGGACGAGTGATGTGGTTGATGCGGTTGATGCGGCTACATGATCTTGGCAGGCGGGCAGTGGCCGAACAATGATACCAATGTCGAGGGCGAGTCTCCTCTGCCCAAATGCGAATGCGAGCACCGGCCTGTCCCAGCCGACGAGGGAGGGGGTTGCACGTCTGTCCCCTGGCGAATCGCAAGTTCAGACAGGACGGTTCCCACGGATGGTGGCAGGCGCGTGCTGGCTTTTGGGCGGACGAGGACAGGGGACCGAATTGGGTGTCACCGAATATGGCGATATCGGCGGTCCGACCTGTGACAGTGCACCGCACCCCCCCCCCAGCCCAAAGCGACACCCACATGGCGCTGGTGCCCCAGCGGGGCCATGCGCGGCAGTGCGGGGCCTGTCCAAATCGGGCGCAAGGTTTCTGGCCCCGCAACGCGATTGGCAGCGCGACACTGGTCCTACTGACTTGACGTCAGTTGACGACACGACGCCCACGACAGGGCGCCAAAGATCCGTCCACGGCGGGACACAGATGGCGCGCGTGCCTGGCTTGCGTCCCGGCCGTGCCCATTGGCCCAAAACGCCGCGCAACAGGGGCGGGCTGGGATTGTGTCCGGATCAGATCGGGTGGAGAAGGCCAAGAAGGACAGCATGCCAGGCCGTGGTGGTGGCGGGCGGGGGGGGGAACTTGCGGGCCTTTGCTCCTGCCGAGTCGCCGCCCTTCAGAGCTCGCTGGGACCTTTCCTGCGCGATCGGGACTGGCACTCGTCCTTCACGATCGAGACTGGCACCTTCTCCGTGGCCGAGACAGGCGCTGCTATGAATGGGTGCCAGCCACGGCCATGGGAGCGGGCTTGTCGATGCTGCGCCGCGGAGAAAGGCCCGTCTGCAACAGCTCGCTTTGGCACGAACTCTGGCCCAGCCGTGGTTCTCGCTGCACACAAAGCGACCGTCTCCCCCGCTGGTGCTGGGCAAGCCAAGGGCAATAAAACATCCAATTTCACGAGGGCGGACATGGCAACGCCAACAGTGGAGCGCCGACGACGCCGACAAGGCTGGCGGGCCATGACGATGAAACGCTTGGGCAGGCAGGGAGGGAGAGGAAGAAAGGAGGAGACGGGCTGTGAGTGGGTGATGCTGTCTGGCAGCCAAACGGGGACAGCGACGCCGTCCTGCCAGCAGCAATGTGCGGGCCCAGCGGAGACAGCCAAGTCGACACTCGGCCACCCGACTGCCAAACCGCACAACCACCAAGCCGACACCCGCACCGCCCGTCCGAGCCTGCTGCGGGCCGCCCTGTGGGTCGCCCTGTGGAGCCGGCCCTGTCCGTGGCTGGCCGCCTGGCAGCAATCGTTCTTTCTTTCGCGGCCCTGTTTGCGGAAAGCGGGTGCGCCTGCGTGGGCTGGGTGCGACGCCATGGCTCGATTGGGGCCAGGCTCCGCCACCTCATGTTGGACAAGCAACCTTGTCCCCCGCCAGCGGCCGCTCATTGCCCCAATCAGGATGGGTTACCACAATCCCAGATGGCGTCAGGGCATCTGACCAGACCTCTGGTTGCGGCCGGGTGTTGCCAGTGGCCAGACCAAGATAGTTCCCCGGCCAGACCCACGTTCCCTGTCGGCTTTCGCATCCCTGTGTCGCCCGAGAGCGGAGAGCAAGGCTGCATGGGCGATCAGCAGCGGCAACGAGCGTCGTGCGAGATGGGTCAGATCGCAACGTTGGGCGGGTCAGTAAGGGCGAGCGCTGCTCTGCAGGAGGCAGCGTTGGCGGGCAGGGAGGACATGCGGCCAACCTCCGAGCAAGCAGACATGGACAGGCACCGCGTGCCACGCAGACGGAGAGGGAGACGGATACCAACGACCCGCAAGGTCGCGGCGATTGGCGGCCACTGGGATTCTCGAAAGCAGGCGGAGTGTCTCGCGGATCGCAGCATTTTCTTGCGACTGCGAGGCGTCGGACAGGCCGCCGCAATCGTGGCGGGATCGCCGGGTGGAAAGAGGGCAGACAGGACAGACAGGGCAGGAGGAGAGGAGGAGGAAACATTCCTCCGCCGCCGAGCGGATTCCGATGGCGAGATAGGATACCAACAGGAAGGATGGGATGCCAGCATAATCGACTGGATCCCCATCGGATCCCGATGGAGCCTGCAGACTTTGATCGCTGAGGCACCTTGCACAGACCAGGGGGTCCTCGGAGCGCGGGGACAGGATGTTGTCGGAAGCAGACAGGTTGATCGATGTCGGTGGTGAGGGAGGATGCTGCTGCCCGGCGGCATGCAGAGGAGAGAGGCGTCACCGCTGCCGCCAGAAGTCGACAAAGCTTGCTGCAGGCGAGACGGATGGTGGCCGATCCCTCATCTGTATCGAGGAGAGGGTTCATACTCAGTATTGAAGAGGAGGGTTCACACTCAGTATCGAAGAGGGGGGGGGTTCACACTCATAGCCGCATTCAGTACTTTGGTTATGATAAGAGACATCATGACGACCGTACGCGACTGGCTCCAGACACAGAGTTGCATGGATGCGATGATGAACCTTTTATTTGAGGGCTCAACGTTGTGATGGCAGGCAGCAGCCGAGTGAGAGCGGGTGTGAGCGAAAAGGCCACAACCCAATAAATAGAACCTGTGGTCTCTCATCAGTCGCTCCTGGCCCCACCATGATGGAGGAAGGCTTATAACATCTGTCAAAGACTCTAGATACAAAACTGAGTCTGCTCGTATCAAAATGGCAGCCACAATAGTAAAGCACAAATGCACAGATACACAGAGCAAAGAAGAAAAGTGGAGGAGATGGATAAGAGAAATAAAAACGAATGCATGATGTATGACTGAATTTTATCCTTTGGTCTGCCAAGAGCCGTGAGGTTCCGGAGCAAGGCCATCCGCCCAGTGATTGGGTAAGGTAACGCATGTCAAGCTGCAGAGTTTGATCAGGACAGCAACCAGCTCTAGCTGGAACAGGCCTGGGGAGGGGTGGCAACTGCACCTGTGTCCTTCAGTTCAGGACCGGTCGGGGGAGCCAGGGCGACTGCACGAGACCTATGGGGCAGGATTGCGAGCCACTTCGGAGAGCTTGACCAGTTGCGGGACCGGGAGGCCGCCGAGAGCATACCGACAGCCCTTGGTGTTGGATTTTTTGGAAGAAAAGTGGCTTCGGAGGGCATCGACCCGGGCAAAGCCCTTAGTGCAGGCCGGGCAGATCCACGGCGTTTCGCTGCCGTGGATGCAGCGGATGTGACGATGCAGCTCCTGCTTGCGTCGGAAGGCCACATTGCAGTCTTTGCAAATGAAGCTTCGATCGGGCACCGGGTTGCGGGAGGAGAGCCGCCCGGCATGCGAACCTCGGGGTGGTCGCGCCGGGGGGCTTGCCAAAGACGAAGGAGGCTCATGCATCGGTGCCAGTCGCCGCGGCGCAAAGATGGCCGGAGGCGACGTGAACAGCACTGGCGTGGCCGGAAAGCTGATGGCCACCGACGATGGAGGTGGGGTTGGCAGCGATGCGCATGCCAGGGAGGAAGAGGGCACCAGGTACTTGAAGCCATTGGCCAGCTCAGGAGAAGGCAAGGTGCCTTCATGAGGCGGAGACGATGGCGGGGTAATGGGCGAGGGAGGGAAGACGCTGGTGTCGACAGAGCCGAAGTTGTCGGAGGGATAGTTGAGCAGATCACGGATATGCATGGCGCAGCGGTGGTGGTGGTGGTGGTGGTGGTGGTCGAGAGCAAAGGCGATGGATGCGGAAAAGCGGTGCGGGAATGGGGGCGTAACGGCGGCGAGATGCAGGACCAGGAACGAGGGGCCGAGCGAGACGTGGAGGAGCCAGAAGGGAGGCGGGCAGCGGCGCCGTATTTGTACTCGGCAGCAAGGAGGTCGAGGGCGGCCGAGGGCGAAATGCTGGTGAGGGGAGCACAGTCGGAGCGCCGGGCCTCGCGCATATCGGACAGGGACGGCATGCCACTGCGCGGAAGACAGCGAACGTAGCAGCCCCAGTGGGAGTAGAGCAACAGGACATGGCAGTCGAGCAGGCAGCAGAACGTAACAACGGCACTGCCCGCCGCGGCGGGCGAGGCGGTGGTTGCTGGCTGGCCGGCTCGCGTTCGCACGCTTGGGTTCGTTATGGCTGGTCGACGAAGTTAAGGTTGGCACTGTCACCCGGCCGAGCGCAAAGGGGGCCCAGCCTCCCCAAGGCGGACGGCATGGCGGGGTGGACGGGGGAGCGTCGATGTTGCGGGTGTGCCATGACGGCAGGTCTGTGCGGGCGTGGGGAGGGGGTGTTGTCGAACTCTGCGCGGCTCAGAACATGACGGGGCATATGATATGATATGCTATATTGTATATGCTATATGCTATATGTCATATGCTATATGTCATATGCTATATGTTATATGCTATATGCTATATGCTATATGTCATATGTCATATGCTATATGCTATATGCTATATGCCATATCATATATGCTATATTGCAACCATAGTCACATTGATCGATGCCGCCGTCCTTGGGCTATATCCGCGGCCATTCTCTTCCCCCCCCGTCCAACCCCGAATCGTCGCCCACATCTCCTGACACTGTTATTGTGCCCAAGCTCAGCCATTCGCCCTTGCGCGGCGGCGTGGGCCGTGTGCTCCATCGTGCTGCCGTGCGAATCTTCTGTGCTCCTTTGCCCGCTCGCCCATGGCATTGCCCGCGCCGTCGGCAACAAGGGCCCCGCACGCTGGCTGTTGGCGCCTGCCCTGTCGCGCGGCGATTCGATCCCCATCTCGGCGTGCCTGGCTGCGGGCTGCCCATTCGGCCCCGGCCCGCGCGGGACGGGTGCATGCCACTGCCATGCCATCGCCATGCTCTCGTCCCCGCCTTGTTCTCGCAACGGCGAAAATCATAATGGGTGGGCGTGCCAGCCAGCTTGATGACGGCCTGCTTGATGACGGCCTGCCTTGCCAGCGTTCGTTTTGGCTGCTTTCGCTTTGGCTGCCGGGGTGGAGCCGCAGACGTGAGCCTCTCGCCGCCGCGGCCGCGGCCGCCGCTCGAGCACGACAAACGGATATCGGCGGATCGAATTGCATCGGCCCTCCTCGCCCGACACCCGCCCGGACGCTGCGTGGCCGGGCTGTCGCTTTGTGCTCGGCTTTCGACGTATCGGAACGCAGCCTCACTGGCAAAATCAACTCGCACCGCAACAGCCAGCAGCACAAGTTTTAGCCGACACAACACTGGGAGTCCCGACGGCTGAAATGCAACAGCCATTGGCGTCGACATGGACACGGACACGGACATCGACCTCGACATCGACATTAACATGGACATCAATGTGTGCGTGGACGTGACCAGCAATCCAATCCAATCCAATCTGTCCGAGCCATCTGTCTTGGATCGACGCAAATTTGCTACGACCCCCCTCCTTCTTTCCCTCCCTCCACGAACGATCAGCCTCGTCCGCATCCAAATGGTCCGGTCGCGACTGTGGCTCTTTGCCGTTGCTCTCCTCACCAGCCGGACGAGATGGGGTCAAGACGGGACGAATCCACAGCGGAGTATTGCCACCCTATGGCGCAAATGTGCCGCTGTCGGCCCCAATCGCGACGAACATCGTCACCCAGCCAAGTCCATGCGGTGCGTTTTGTTCATTCCCTCTGGTGGTCCGTTGGCGTCCTCTGCGGACCGCTGATCGCCGCCGAGCATTCCTCTCTGAAACGTCCTCTCGGGCAACACCGACGGACGGACGGAGCTGGCGAACGAGGGACGTGGTCGAGACCGACAGAGCCCTATCCTCCTGTTGTCATCGTTCGTTCTCGGTCTCGTGGTTGGTTCAAGAACCCGAGTGATTGCGTGCTGCAGCGACTCCATCCAGGACCGCGGCTTCTGCTGCCTCGTTGGTGCGGTTTTGTCCCGGCCGCCTTGCCGCCAGCCCCAGACCGTAAGAGTGCCTTGGGAGCCAAGCGGCCGCCGGCTGCGAATGCATGCCACCAGGACCCACGTTCGCGGTGCAGCCCTGGCCGGCATGCGGGTCCCGGATGCAAGACCTGCGTCCATACAGCGGCCGCTGCCGCACCACTCGTACGGGGTTCTTGGGAACGACACCGATCCGCATGCGCACGGGGGGGGTATCAGCCCTATTTCGCGTGGGTGCGTCTGTCTGGGTTGGCAGCAGACGCCCGTCCTGGCCCGGGGCTGCCGTGGATGCCGTGGATGCCGTGGATGCCGTGGATGCCGATAATGCAGAACGTGCTGGTGCCGTGGCTGCAGAAAGCCAGCACAAGCCCAGCAGAGGGCTGGAGGAACATGGCGAACATGGCGCATACAGCGATGTTTTGAAACGGGACACCTCGACGCAGTGTCTTGCGACCTTCCAGCGGCACCGTCCGCATTGCCTCTTGGCTGGCCTCCAAGCGGCCTTCCTGGCTGCCCACCCGGTCCGCCTGAATCACAGGCCGGCTCTCCAACACAACCGGCCCCTGTTCTGCTCTGGATCTGCTTTGCATCGACCAGGCCGCACGATCGACCCCACAGTCGCCACAGTCGCCACAGTCACCGCTCCGCACGCGTCTCCAACCCCAAAGCAAGCCATTCGGAATGTTCGGTATGATGGCCAGACGGGAACGAAGGCACTGCTGGGCTGCAGCCTCGCTGGAGGCCAATATATATCGCGCATGCTCGTCATCACCACGGTTCTTGGCGTCGCTCACGGAGCACAAATGCGGGGTGTGGCTCGATATCTGGGCACTTGAGAAATGCTGACTCTCGCCTGGATGCCGTCCATCATAGGACGTCCCCCCACCGGATCCCTGGCCAACCGCCCCAGCAGCCGCGGCCCTTCATGTGCGTTGCGCATATCCGATGGGCTCTGTGGCACATTCGAGTGTTCTTTCTTGTCGAGCGTCGGCAACGTGATGCACTTCAGCCGCGGGTCGCGCAGGAATCAATCGATCATTCGAGCGTTCGGGAGGAGCCTGCCCCTTCCGGAGATCGGCTCCACTCGGTCATTTGGACGCAGAGGCACTTTGCATTCCATTTCTCACTTTCGCCGGGTTTGTTCATCAATCGCAGCATGGGGTCGAACCACTGGAGCACCACCAACAGGACTCGCAACACGCGCTGGTAAGCCCAGGATCCGTCGGCCTCGGGGGAAAGGGCTCCGCACCAGATATCGCAGAACCCGATGTCCCGGAGCTGCAGTGGCCGACATACGCATGAGCCACATCGCCGCAGGGAAGGCTGAAGCATCGACCTATTCTTCGCTTCCGCGCAACCACGCCCGTTCCAGGACCAACAGGAAACGTGAGTTTAGCGCAGCCGCCATCGCCGAGTCATCGCGGATTTGGCTCATCAAAAGAGGCTATGCAGACGAAATCTGCCCGTCTCCGCGTTTGTGGCGGAAGAGACTGTGGTGTGCCATGCAGTCCGAACGACCGAAGCAACTGAGACTCATGCTCGACTCTCTCCTGCACCACCAGCGCCCTGGAACCTCGATGCGAGGCGGCTTTGGTGAGCAGTCCGCATCATCGATGTCGAGCACCGAGTTGGAGCGAACGGGACGAAGCGTGCCATGGAGCGGACTGAGCCAGTCCCACAACACCAAGTGCTCGTGTCGACTGCTGACATTCTGGATGCAGGATTCCAAGTTGTCGATCGCCCCGTCACTCAACAGGGTCTCGGTGGTATAAGGGCGTCCAACCAAGGTACCCCTCTGTGCCGTCGTGCTGTTTGCTCTGCGTGGCTGACGATGCCATGGGGGTCGGCATTGGCAGCAAACTCCTCCACCCATCCCATCCCATCCCATCCCATCCCATCCCATCCCATCCCATCCCGAACACAGTTCTGATGCTGTTGACGGGATCCGGTTGCTTTTCCAATGCCAGGTCCAGGCCGTTCAATCCAAGACCGCACCTATTTCCAGAGCGAACTGCGACAGAAGATCAACCTCCTCACCAACGAGATTGGTCGTCTCAACCAGGAGGCCGAGGCCACCATGCGCGAAAATGCCAACCTCATTGCCTTTGAGAAGCGGTGAGAAACCCGTTGAGAGGCTCGCTGAGGAAGCAAGAGTGAGATGAACAGTCGATGACTCGACAATTTGACAACTCGGTGATTCGACGATTCAATGGGCCCGTCCTGCGGAGGCATCCCGATGAAGGGTCGCAGGAGTGCTACTGCATCTGCAATTCACGGGCTGATAATCTGGATGGCCGTGTCACTTTTGGACAAGCGTATTCACCCAATGGGTCTCTCTTGTGTGTTTGTGGGGGGTGGTGATGCTGGTGGTGGTTGTGCAGGGCCGATGCTCTTGCGGAAGAGCTGCGGGAGCTTCAAGGACAGTTGGGCGATCTCAACACCCTCGTCGACAAACTCCATGCCGACGCCGACCTCGAGGACTTTGAGAAGCAGTACAATCAGTTGAAGGCCCAAAATCAAAGAGAGTCGCTGGCCTTGGACGAGTATTTCTCCACGAGACAGCTGTGAGCGATGCACATCCGATATGGCTCCCCGAACGGCTCACAACGGCAATCATCGCGGTGACTCTTGTGGACACCGACACTGCCTCACCAATACCAAAAACATGGGTCTTTATCATCTGTCACAGAAAGGAAAACATCTTACGAGAACTTGATCGCCAGATCGAAGAAGAGAAGCGTCGGGCTGAAGAAAAGTTCAACGAATGGGTGAGTTGTGCAATCATACCACAATAACCAAAAAAGAAAAACAAAATGCAATGTCCCGACTCACTTATTGTGCTGGAATGCTGTCATCGAGTGCGGCTGTGCCCAAGGTTGCTCGAGACGAAGCTGCATCGTCCAGCAACGGCATTCCAGTTCCAGCATAGTAGTGATGCTGGATGCGAGTGTTTGTGCTCCTGCTATGACTATCTCTCTCCTTAGACTTCACCGCTTCGCTTCCTCCGGCTCCACTGAACTCGTCTGGCTCTAGGATCCTGTTAAGCGAGACACTTATTATGAGCTCAAGAAAGCCAATGCCGAGTACGTGACCGAAACCCAGAGGAAGCAGGCCGAGCTCGACGAGCTGCAAAAGAAGCTCAACGGTCTTCAACAGGCAAGTGACAGGAGCGCTGATTCATCTTGGCAAGGCCTCGGAATCGAGCTGCATTCGCTGTATAAAGCCGGAGGCTTCGATGCAAAGCGCTGGCAGGAGGGGGGTGGTGGATATCGATGGCGGAGAGGCTTGAATTGGGTCCAAGTGAATCGCCAAGTGGCCAGCTCGGACGGAGCACATAAATGTATTTTTGGGCCATCAAAATGTAGTCGCTGCTTTTTCTCGGCTGCTTATCCGCCTCGCCCACCAACGATTCCAACACCCGGTGCCGCTGCAACCGCAGGATCTTAAGCAAGACCCAGTCAAGCAGAAGGCTCTGGTTCAGCAGCAAAAGTTCAACGAGCTCAAGGCCAAGCGCAAAGAGATCGAGGAGTCGCTGAGCTCCATCGAGACCAACACCGGACCACAGGAGAAGGCCCGGCTCCTTGAGCAGGCAAGTGACTCTCCCGATCGCAATCCTCACTCGCTGCCTGTCTCCTCCGCCTCATTTGGTCCACTCCGTCCACCTCATCCACCTCATCCACCTCATCCACCTCATCCACCTCATCCGCCTCGTCTATTTCGCCTTTCGTCTTTGTCACCACCGATAAGCCATCGCTCCGGCGCTTTGTCGGCCGCGATGGCGAATGGTGTGGAGATATGGCGAAATGCGGATCCAATCATCATAGATCCTTTGTGCATCCCGGAGCCTCCGGTGATGGACCAGATCATCACGTGGTGGTCGTATGCTTACACCTCTTTGCGGACCTTGTCGCTGTTGTCATCCGGTCGAGCAGGTCAAGGAGGACAACCAAGAGACGTCGGGCATGGAGAGAAAGCTGCTGGAGCTCGAGGAGCTTGCGAAGCGGCTCAAGGAGGAAGCCTCGCAGCTCGACGTCGAGCTCGACTCGCAGCACGGTAACTCGGAGAGCGAGCAAGCGAGAGCGAGTAGGAGACAGAACGGAGCCTGTGCGGTTCCGGCGTGGGAAGGCCGGCGCGCGGGACAGACAAGATGGCCAGCCGTCCGGCCAGCCAACCAAGCAACCGACAGATGCTGACAGACGGACGGGAAGCTCGCCGGAATGGGAAGGAGAGGCAGGCAGGCTGACCGGCAGGCTGGCAGAATGCAGGCTTGGTCCGCCGTCGCAGCACTCACCCAGCCACCGCTCGAGCACACTGCCTTCCCCTCCCCACCATGACCCTTCCGCCAGTCCTCGCTGCTGTCATATGCTCCTCGTTTAACGGTCGTTTCGTCTTTCGTCCCGCATCCTGGCGCTGCGCCCCACCCGGTTGCGTGGTGCTGGTCGGATCTGCTCTCTGGCGCAACTTGGTCCAGGCGAAAGAAACACAAAGTATGAGGAGCTTCTCAAGCGCGATAAGGACATGCAGGCCTTTATTGACTCGTTCGAGTCCAAGAGAACCGAGATTGCGGATAAGAACACCACCACCGAGAAGAACATTGTTACTCTGCTCGAGAGGATCAAGGTATGGGCCTGCTGCGCCTCACGAACTGCGAGTGCTGGAGCGCTAGACAGATGTGTGCAGAGATGGCGGCATAGATTGCAGATGCTTGCCACAAACTCCTTGGTGGTTGTTTGAAGATAGTGCTGTGTTTGGGAAAGTGTCTGGCCCAACAGCAAGGCATTTGCGTGGGTGGTTGGGCTAGAGACTCGCCCCAGGCGCTAACAGCACCGCTTGTGTTCCCGAATGCCCAGAACCTCTCCAAGCACGAGACTGAGCCGATGCCGTCGGTGGCCAATATGAAAGAGCTGGAGAGCGACCTAAAGTTTAAAGAGAAGGAGATGCAAAAGTCCGAGAGCACCGTTGAGGCGTTGCAGTTAGGTGAGAGGCCTGGCTCGCCGATCCAACCCACCAACAAGACATGCTCGGCAGATTTTAACGAAGCGCCGACGCAGTCGAGCTTGCGGGGTCTCAATGGCCCATATGTAAATTCGCGCCGACGTTCGTCGGGCGTCTCTGCCATGCGATTCATTCGATAGACAGCATAGACCAGATATAGTGCATGACGGAGAGGTTGACGCCAGCGCTTTTAACCACCCAGAGCGAGAGAGGCGCCTCCACGAGCTCGACAAAGTCGAGCAACTCGAGGCCAAAGTAACTGCCGAGCTCAAACACCTCACCTCTCGAATGGAAGACCTCAAGAAGCAGCTCGGGACCGTCTCGAACATCCAGGCCATCAAGGAAGAGTTTGAGCAACTCAAAGTGGTAGGTGCACAGCGGGCGCTGTGGATCGGCCCTGCGTCGACGGCAGACTCGATCCTCCTGATCTGTTGAGCAGATCCATACCTTTTGGCTGCTTGATCTGGATCTACTTTCTCCGTCTGGACCTTCGTTTGAGCAGGGTGGTCTGCGATGCTTGCTGCTGGAGAGCCCCTCGGACACCACCCTGTTGCTGCCTTCCCACTGCGATTCTCGCCTGTAACCCACACACTGCAATCCAATACCCAACAAACTACCCTCGTTCCTCCCGCTTGATCGCTGCTCGACCCGTTGGTGCCTCAGAAACACAGTCGGGACCGAGAGATCCTCAAGTATCAGCGCGACTCCCTCCGCCAGCACATCCAGTACTTGTCGACCCTCCACGATGCCAAGAAGGCCCAGCTCCAGGAGAACGAGACATACACTCAACTTGGCACCCTCGAGCAAAAGTTGCGGCACCACGAGTCCAACAACTTCCATCTGAAGGAGTGTAAGTGGCCTCCTCTCGCCGCTCTCCACCGACGCTTGCGGGGACTTCCTGGTGGCGTTTGCAGGCTTGGGTGAAAGGCGCCCGATACAACGAATGCGCCGCTGTCGACGCTGAGGATGCTGTCCGGTGCGTCCTGCAGCGTACCGACAGAGGGTGGATGCGACGGGCTGTTTCAGCGGGATAGGCTCCTAGTGGATATCGAGGGTAGTCAGCTTGGAGGTGCTTGTGAACTAGCTGGCTGTTCCCAAGAGCGGTCCGCTCCCGAGCCTCTTCACTTGCATCTGTTTGGCTTCCATTCCCTCCCCACCACCACCGTATTTGCTGCCGATCGGGTCCATATTGGGTCCACATTGGGTCCATATCAGGTCTCTGTGGGCGATATGGCGCTGCTCGCAGTCCGCCGACATGCTGCTGATCATCTCTGCTCTATCGCCACGTCCAACACTCGACAAACCATGTCCTTCACTATCTTGGTGCTGCGGCTGCGACGACGGCCCTTCGATGGCGCTTTTGCTCTCGGGTGCTTTTCAAATATGCTTGCGACGACCACAGATATCTCGGTCAAGACCGCCGAGAGCGACTATCGCCCCGTTGCCAGCGAGGTCGTGGGGCTGCTTGACGAGCTGAACGGCCAACTCAACTCGCTGATCTCGATGATGCCCACCCGATGAAGGCTGTGCCGAGTGAAACCTCTGGAATGCTTGAAGCTCTTCGCTGGTGCTGCCCTTTGGTGTGCTCCCGACCCTCCACAACATTGTCTGCTTCACACACTTTGCTTCTGCCTCGCACATTGCCTTCGTTTCCTACATCCTACATTCTGTTTCCACAACACCCACGCTCCTCGGGATGACACCGCTGCCTCTGCGCTCGCGCGCTGGTCCACTCCGGACATCCCTGGTCGCCTGCCTCTGTCCCCTCACTTGCTTTCGCGCCCTCGCTTCTCCTCCGCATGGCACCCAACTCCACGCCGAGCATCTCCCGCTTCCGAGCCGCCTTGGCCCCTTGACCCTCCGCTGGTGATGTCCCCAGTTCCGCATTCTCGCAAGCTTCGGCTCCCTTGCATCGCTCCCCACACTTGCCAATACACGGACGTCCAGGCCATGCAGCGTGCCTGGGGCATCCAAGGCTTTCGGGTGGCACTCGCCATTGTGCTGTCGGTCGCCTGGAGAGACAAAAGCATCTTTGGGCGTCGGCTCGTGGCATGCTTGTCGCTCACGATGGCAGCCGAGGACAGCCGAGGACAGCGGCCTGGCGGCCGGTCTCCATGAACGTGCTTGCGCAAGGGGGTCAGCATTGCGTTCCCGTGCCATCCAGTCGCTGCCCAACAAGGTCTTGAGAAAAGACGCAATCGCGGGGTAAGCGGGCCCGATCTTGGTCCGGTCCGTAACAGGTCGGATCAACGGTGCTGAGGTCTGCAGCAGTGCTCGACTCACAGCAGCGTCTGCGCCAAGGGCCCACATTAATCATCAAGCCAGCCACGGTCCTGGACAACCGATGCGCTTGCAGGCCACGTGCGTTCCACAGCCGTTGGATGCAGAAGCAGAGGGCCTTGGCCAGGCAGGGAGCATGGCAAGCAATGGCGAACCCGCCGGACATCAGCACATCGTCGCGGCAAATCGCGCCATCGCCTGGGCCACGCCCGCCAATGACAGACGACGCCAAAAGGCAGGCGGAGTCTTGCGCGATCGGCGCGCACGCGATTGGCTGGTGCCGGCGACCCCTTGGCCCAGCGCAATCACGCCAGGACAAGCCCCCAGCGGTGGCGGTCTGTTGGCTCATTGTCGGCCATGGGAAGCGCATCCCCCAGCGTTGCTCCGGAAAGAGGTTTGGGAGCTTGTGGCCGCCCCCCGCCGGGTACTCCGACAGCCCCGTTGGCCAATCGTCTCACTCCGCGGGTGCTATCTCTTGTTGTGGGACCTGATCGCGGGAAGGACTGTTGCTGGCTCCTTCGTACTGCTCGTATGCTGCTGCTGCTGGTGCAACTGCTTCAGCCGAGGGAACCGCTGCAACCAGCGTTGCGGGGCGAGCCGCCGCTCCTGCCCTCGCGGTCCTTTATAAATAGGCCGCCATGGATCGCACGCCCCGCCGCAGAGCCGTTTTTGCTGCCTCCATCGCCAAGGGATCTGTCGGCATCGCATTTCTGCCGATCTCGCCTGCCGATCTCGCCTGTCCATCCTATCGATCCTGCTTCAGTCTTGTCGATCTCGTTCTCCGCCCTGTCGATCGCTCCCCCCCCCACCTCTTCTTCCCCAGCATTCATCGCACTCTGTCATGACAACTCCCGAGGAGCAGACCATCGTCGAGCTTCTGAACGAGCGAAACCGACTGCTGCTCGAGCTCAAGACAAAAAACCCAACCATTCTGCCGAGCGTCCTGGGCTCCAGTTGGTTCCAAGGTCAGGATCCGAGAGAGCGATTTGTCGCGCCCGCGATCGAGTCTAGTGTCCTTGATCTGCTCGGCCGTCGCAGCCACCGCCAAAACGACGTGTGGGCCGATCGAAACCGACGACAGCGCTGTTGGAGGGGTGAGGCACCCAGCGGCGTCCAGGGCATCCAGCGTCCAGGGTGGCCTTCGCTGGTCCTGACTTGCGATGTGACCCGCCAAGTCCGCCGCTGCTATCGTGATCCGGGTCCCAATTCGCTAATCTGGCACCGCATTCCCCCTTTCACCACCAGATGGCTCGGCTGGACAGCGAGAATCGTCTCTGAGCCGGCGTTCGTCGGTGCACAGCATGGACATGTCGCCTCTCCAGCCGCAGCGCACCGACTACCAGCTGCAGCCTCCGCCAAACCAGGCCCAGTTCACAGTTCCGCCACCACCACCCCAGGCCGGATCGGTGCCCTTCTGGCCCCCTGCCGGTGTGTTGGCTCCCCGGGCACAAGGCACATTCTTGATCCATTCCGCTGGATCTTCGACCTCGGGGGTCACTCTGGAGGCCATTCCCACCCCGTACTTGGTCAGCGGCCATGAGAGCCTTGATCGCCACCCACACGCCCATCTCCGCCAGCTCCCGCCGGACTATTCGTCTCACCGATACTCCTATCCGATTGCCGGCGACCTTGCGTATTCGCCGTATTCATCGCCGAACCAACGCGCCTCCATCTGGCCGCCACAATACGCCGTCTCGGACAGTGGGGTCGAGACCGGTAACTATATCGTGGCAACCGATTCGCAGAAAAGCCAGTCGCTCTCGCCGTCGCCCGAATCGCCCCTGGTCACCGACACAAGCCTGGAAATCCGAGATGCCTCGTCCAGTGATCGCGGCGAGCTCAGGAGCAGCCGACTTGCACATCCCAAGGAATCGTCCACAAGGTGCGTGTTGCCAGCCGCCCTCATTCCATGGCGAGAGAGGCATTTGTGCATGCTGCTGGCATTCAGATCTTGTCGATCCCTCGATCTCTGCTCTCAGCAATTCGAAGTCATCCATGCACACACGCTGTTTCATGCTCCGTACTTACCCCGCCCGATCCATGGATCTGTCCCATCCCTCCGCCATCGTGCCTTCCTCCACCCAACAGCACCGCTCGCAAGCGACGAGACGCCGAGCACTTGCGGCGGATTACCCTCAACAATGGCTTTTCAGAACTGGCGAAGCTGCTGCCCAACATTGACGACCGCAATCCAACCAAGCTCATGATTCTGAGGAAAGGTAAGCCCACCCTCTATCCTCTGCATCGCATCTCGAGAGGAGCTTGGCTGTCAAATTTGCCTTTAGATCGATGGAGTGATGTGATATGCTGACGCCTCCAATGTCCCGTCACCAGCCTGTGAATACATCATGGACCTGGAAGACCGGCTACGCGAGCAAAACGCCTCAACAAGCGATTCGCAGATCTCGAAGGCAAAGTAGCCTTAAGAGTTGCTACCGCCATGTGGTGCTGCTGCCCCGGGCTTGTATCAGCCCTTCAACCTCCTCCAACCTTGCCGATCCCACAATCTCGCTGCAATGTTTATCACGTCAAGATTTCCTCCCTCCCCATCAGCCATCACTACACGCATCTGTGCTTTTTTATACACTCGTCTTGGTCAACGTCCTTTTCTTTTGTATCATACACGGGATCGGCACGGACTTGGTGCATCCCCACCCCTTCAGAGTCCACCTGCCTTGGTTGGTCATGGCGGCAACCAAGATTCGCTTGCATTTCTCTATGCGCTGTATATTCTACCTTTGATACCATAAAGAGCTGCTTCCTTTGACCTTGTGGGAGGCTTCAGTCGAGCCCACATCCCCCCGAAACATCGCTCACTTGGCTCGGCTCGGCTTTGCCATTATGTGCTCAATTGGTGCATTCCTGCTCTCTCCCATTCATCCTTTCTCTCGTCATTGGCTCTCATAGATTTGTGCCTCGTCCCGAGGACGCCCCACCCCTTCGCTCCGCTTCCTGCGTCTGCGAGTTTTGACCCTCATGACTTTTTGAAATACATTCTCAGGAACCTCACTGTGTATTCAGTCATTGGCTGTGTCCTGCGCTACATCTCGGTGAAAGCCGTGAGCCTGGATCAGCTCTGATCACCCCTCATTTGATCCTGGCGGTACGATGGCTGCTCACGCAGGCTTTCAGTTGCCCTCACTCGCTGCCAATGCAGGAGGGAGGGGAGCCAAGGACGTCTACGATCGCAGCAGGTACCCGACACTGAATCCGTTGAGCACTCGCCTGTCCGGAGGAAGTGTGCTGGTGGCGGCCTCGAGTGTTCGCAGCACATCCAGGCAGCTGTCGGTGCGATACCGAATCTGCTCGACCTGCTTGTCGGCACACCATGTCGCTGCCAGTCTATCACAGTTGTGAGGGGCATTTGGGCATCAGCGAAAGCGGACGTCGCTCTCGCCTCGTCGGCGAGCAAAATCCAGCACACGTCACGGACATACGAAATGCATAGCGAGCCGGAAAGCGCAAAATGCCATCGTCCTCGCTGGACTGCTTACCCCGGGTTGCTGGAGCACGATGAGTACAGCACCTTGATGGCTGTGGTCGGCATCGGCGCACCAGAGGTGTCGGCATGAGTTTTAATGGTTTGCGGACGTTCCGGCAGCGGCACAGGAAAGAAAAAAATCGACCAGCCAGCTGCACTGGGGGTTGCAAGCAGCGAAAGACCGCCCCACGCAGTGCGTTGGAGAGGACGCAGCAGCCTACCCGGGAACATGTTTTCTGTGCTGGTGAGCCCGCCGTTCTCGCCCCAGAGATAGCCCAGCTGGCGGCGGCACTCTGGTGAGCCACCGGCGTTGGTAGCAACGAGGAGGTTCCAGTTCAAGACCCACATCTGTGGACAACGACGGTTCCCGAGCCAAACGCAAACAACACAGAGATGAGGGAGGCACGTCAGCACCAGAAACACAAGAGTCATCTGCGGCAGAGATGGCGAAGCCCACCGGCATCGGCTGCGTGTTGGGGCCGCCATGCGGTCGGCCAAGTCCTTACGATCAGAAAGGGGGTCTTGTCTAGTGCCGTCACGACAAACCGGAAGGTGGCATGGGCGCTGACATACTCCATAACTTGGTCGACAAAGTAGGCCATGAACGGGAAATGGTGCAGCGTGCGTGCCATCGGAGCCGGGGGGCTGAGGATTCACCGCATCCATGGTGCAATCCGACGAAGGGAATCGATGAGCAAGCCGGTCGCGACTTTTCGATGCCATGACACCATCCGAGGGCATGGCTGTGGCCAACGCACCATCATTTCCGCCATCATTTCCGCCACCACGGGCCGGCCGGGTGATTGCTGCTGCATGGTTGCGGCATTCGAGGGCATCATGGGTCCTCCTTGCGGTTGGAACACCGGGGCCTCTTACCTCGCCGATGCGCTCTGTGCGGCGGCTGTCCAAAAGTCCACTCGGTACTTGAACACCTTGACGGCAAAGATATTGCCTGTTATCGGAGGCGGCAATGCCACCAATGATCCACATTAATCGTCTACTAGCGCCAGCATCAGTACCAGTATGGTGCAAACGCACTCTGGGCGATAGCGACGGAATCAGTAGCCCTTACCAGCGTTGACCAGGTCGTAGAAACACTCGCCGAGGCTTTCATGACACCGTGAGCAACAGACTTTCTTCCAGTTCCCTGGCTCGGCCGTCTACCGTCGAGTCCGAAGCCGGCAGGAAGGGAGATTGCATACGGACAGAGCCCACAAAGGATGACAACGAGGACGCATCGGTAAGATCGCTGCTACTGGAATACTGTCTCGATGTTCGAGCCATCGCTTGCTCGGAAAGGAGTTTTCCAAAGCACATAAGCAGCAACAATGATACGTCGCGCATGCGGTGCAAGACTGGCCTTGCGACATAATGCAAGCACACGGCCGTCAGCCATTCCCGACATGTGCCCCACGGCAGTAACCCAGAGGTCAGACTAGAAGCCTCTGAGGGTTTCTGAGAAGGGCCTATTGCTATTGGAAGGCTGTATCGGCTAAAGACGCAATGCTAGCTGTCTCTGCCTTCTTGAGCCTTCCGGACTTTGCTGGTGCACATGCGACGGACACCGACCAAGGAGCAATCGCACTGTCCCAGCCCGAAGCAAGAAAGCGGATTGGCTGGAGTGATCGACATTGCCGTGCAGTCTACAGGTGTGCCCAGGCACCTCAGCGACCACCTACCTCGGCCGGCTCGCACTCCAAATGCGTCATATCGAGGTTTCGAGTGTGCAGCAGCACGTGGGTGTTGGCGACAAGCATGGTCGACTCCTTGGCAGGAATGACGCCGTTTTGATGATCCTTCTGGAACTGCGAGTAGTCCTCTTGATGACATGCCCAACAGTCCATCAGCTCGTACCAGAACTCGGAGGGCAGATTCACGGTTTTGGTGATGGCCGAGCCCGGGTCAAGCAGCGAGAGCTTGCAGGCGTGGCACTGAATATCCAAGACGTTCTCGAGAGAGGCCGCTGGCAGTGGACCCAGATCCGAGGGATCACGCGCAGGAGCGTCGATGGGACGTGCTAGATTGAGCTTGATGTCGATGGTGGATGAGGCCGGAGCAGCCGCTGAGGCCGTCGAAGGCGATGTTGTGATGGCGATCGAGGCCGGCTCGATCGGAACAGGGAGGGGCACCTTGATAGCCTGATTGGCCGACACCGGGGCGATCAGCACATGGCCCGATCGCGGGATGATCCTGGGCAGACCCGGCGAGACAGAGGGCCCGTGAAGCGGCGGCTCCAGACAGACGGAGGCCGAGAGCGTCGACAGATTCGGCAGGATCTCGATGTAGACACGGACGGGAGCGTCGGCAGACATACCAGCAGCCATGGTCGATGGGCTATGTGGATATCGGGTAGTGTATGTGGATATCGGGTAGTGTATGTGGATATCGGTGGGATATGTGGCTGCCGGGTGGTGTATGTCGTCGCAGATCGTTTCGTCGGTTGCAGATCGTTTCGTGGGTCGGTCGCAAGCCAGATGCCAAAGGCGCAACGACGAACCGAGCCGGCAAGGCGTCCCGTGACCGGCCCCGTGTCTGGCTCTGGCGGTGCTTTCGCTCTCCCCGACCCCGATGCCCTGGCGGCCCTGTCCGTATCTGCTCTCTCCCACCCATCAGCACCCACCCCCTGCACCATCGCTGCATCGACACCGCCGGCCTGCACTGGTGCCGCCAAGAGCGTCTCCAACCCGTCCCTCATCTCAGGCCCGGCTGTCCTGTGGCGCTTGCCGCACTCTTCCTCGGCCTCCTCATCGTTATCCCCAGCGGCTCCTGAGCCGCCCGCCTCGGACTCGCTTACAGCCCTCGCAAGCCAACTCGCAAGCCAACTCGCAAGCCAACTCGCAAGCCAACTCGCAAGCCAACTCGCACGCCAACTCGCAAACCAATTCGCAAGCTCAGACTCACCACAGAAAGCACACATGGCTTTGAACTCAGAATCTACGCCTCTGCTTGTTGGCCACGCTGCCTCACAGGCTCCGCCGAGTCCCTCCTATGGAGCCACTGCGGGCTCGGCCTCCCTGCCTGGGCTGCCCAGCCAAAGCTCTTCCTCCGACTCTGTCGTGCTCTTTGTGGATACTTCCAGCTCCAGTGCCGAAGAAGAGGGCTTCCGGTGCTGGTGCTGCTGGGAGTACCACAACACTCCCGGCGACCCGCTGATCCGGGTCTGTCTGGGATGTCGGGACAGGGATCTGCAGTATATCCACCAGCTGTGCATCAACAAGTATCTGTCGGCACTGCCGCCGCCACGAGGCCGAACGTTCCGAGCCCTTCCCATCCCCGAGAGCGAGCAAGAGTTTGTTGCCAGCCTTGTCCGCCGTGACAAATGGTACCACCGGCTCACACCCTCGTTCTTGCTTCCCCGCTTCGAATATGTGATCGAAGGCCACCAGTGCACCCGCTGCAAGTATCCATACAAGGTCTATGCTCGGCGTCTGAGTCCGCTCCGGGGGTTGCTGGGCGACCCCTATCTTCTGGCTGCAATTGTCGTCATGACCATCTGCGTGGGCACCCTGACTGCGTCATGTGTGTTCTTGATCATCGAGTTCTGGTCCGACGACATCATCTTCCTGAACCTGGGCTTCATCAAGATCGGCGTGGTTGCCTTTGCTGCCTTCATGCTCCTCTTCTGCCACTCGATCAATATGGCCACCTGGACGATGATCTTTGAGTACTGCGGCGAGCAGTGGGACAAGTATGTCTGCGGCATCGACGAGTCGCGGCTGATTGAGCAGATGATCGATCAAGAGAGCAGCGAGGATGGTCTGGACAGCTTCAGCATCGATCCAGAGCGGGGCCCAGAGACTCCAAGCCACGTCCTGCATCTGGCCTCTGCGTCTGGATCCGGAGACGAAGGCCCGCTGTCGACCGCAGGGCAACAGCAGCCGCAGCCGCAGCCGCAGCCACTGAACAGGTCGACCTCAGTCCAGGTGCCAACAGATACGAATGCCCAGCCATCCAGCTCCTGAACGACCACTCGTCCTATATGTGCTTAACAAGATGCACCCAATTTGAGGCCGGCGGCCTATCCTTTTTGTTCTTGATAACTGAATACACTTCCTCATTCAAACATATTGCTCGACTGCAGCAGTGCTCGCCCACGACACCCAATCAGCTCTGGACTACATGCAAACTGCCGCAATACCCTCACCCGAATTACTGCGATGATATTGTAACTCCAAGGTGATGGCTTGATGGCCGTGTCTCACCGTTTCCCACACAGAGTTCCCTGGAAATGTACTCCCGGTACTGGGGTCATGTTGTCGCTATGCCTTTACTGTACTCTACCCTGGTTTTGCGATGGACGCTCTGCCTGAGCGACATCCCTGTCGGGCGCTACTGGACCGCGATCGCTCCTGCCGGGACTCCCAACCCAGATCCCGCAGTGATTTTTCAAAGGACCCATCGAGTGGATCGCCGCCGAGATTCAGCCGCACGTCGGCGCCAGCGATCTGCACCAAACCACGGAGAACCTCCACCACTGCCTGGGCTGGTACCAAATGCATCAATCCATGGTGGAAGGGGTGGTGAAGGACGCTCCTCTTGGGCGGAGCAGGCGGCGCCACAGACTTTGAATGCCCATACCAGCTGTTCCACTGGTATTCGGATGAGTTCTCGCTGATGATGGTTCCATTCAGGGAGTCGGACTCGGCATCGTCTCCAATGTCCTGGATTCCACTCAGTCCGTGCGCTGCAGTGAACTTGCTGTAAGATGGGCTGTACTCCACCATGCTGTGGGATCGCTGGTGTCGTCGCTCAACAGCACTGTTCCTGGCTTCTGCAGTCGCGTCCGTCAGCTGGCTGGAGTTGTCTGATTCCTTTGACGGCTGCCGTGAGCGTTTGAATCGCTCGCGCGCGATATCTGCTGCAGCTTCGCTACTCGGTTCGGTGTCGCCCTTTCGAGGATCGCTTCCGACACTGAAGCTCCGCTGGCGCTTGTAACCCGGCTTGACGACGCTCGCTCGTCTGCTTGACTTCCCAGGAACAGAGTTTGACTCATTACGGGACACCATTTTGTGAGTCGAGCCCATTGGTGAGTGGGTGGTCGGCTCGAGATCGGTATCTTCGCTGTGAGTCTGGTTGCTTCGTCGAGAAGAAACACTGGATCGACGTCGTTCCATGGCGACTTTGGAGGGCCTCCGGCTGTCGGCGGTTATGATATCCCCTGTTTTGGAATCTGTTGTGTGAACCGATCTCTGGCCCGGTGCCTGGAAGAATGTCAAGAGTATGGGTAAGATGTGTGCACATCATGACCCAGAACTGTTTGACCAGCCGCACTCACATGCAACCGCAACCGCAGCCGCAACCGCAACCACAGCGTCATCTCAAGCTCATCGTCATCCGACACGTTATCATACATGGAAATCATCATGGAATCGAACGTGATCGTGGTCGTGTCGAGTGTCGCTGGCCATGCCAAGAAGCAACCGGTCCTCCTTGGGCAGACTGCCGCAATCGAAGGCCGTACTCCAGAGACCAACCAGACCCCACACCAGTTCAATCTCCCCGGCATCTTGTACAGTGTGTTCAAGTTGGGAAGGTATTGCGCCTGAGTTGTCGCTCGAGTCCATGTGTTGGGTATCTTGTAAGGCAGCGGCATTGGTCAGTCCCTCAGTGCCACCATCAACATCCCCAGCTACTCCAACGTCGGCTGCTCTGCCATCGATGTGATGAATCACAGGCTTTGACGCCTCCTTTCTCGTCCGGATGTATACCCGGAACCGGCGAAACTTGATGTTGGTGAGGCTGTCGGTTTCGCGCTCTCTGACGGTGTGATTGAGTTGCGACCAAGTGGACAGTGAGTGGTCGAAATCAAAGGAAGCATCGCCGGTCATCTGCGTTGATGAATTATGGTGGGTTATTCTGCTCCCGCGGTTGTCTCCGAAGCATCGCACCCGCTAGCACCTTACGCTGACTGTACCGAGTGCACGACCGCTCCTAAATGCATCGGTGTGAAAGGTCCGGAAGGCTGATGGCCTCAACCTACAGATTTCATCATCTCACGGTAGTACCGTGCGAGCTTCCAGTATCGGTAGTGTCTGCACGAGCTCAAAGGCTTAGTCGTGCTCTTCCGTCGCTCCAATCTGCAGTGCTGTGCGTCAACGAATCTGACCAGTCCCCTTGATCATGCGGTATGTCTGCACGCTTACCGCTGAATGAAGGTCGCAGCATCATGGTAGAACATTCGTTTCCGGACGGTCGCAAAATGCCGCCATGCCCTGAGCAAGCAGCGGATAGAGCAGGAAAGAGGTTTTAATTGCGCTGTCGCAAGGTAGACATCGCCATTGTCGATCACTTCGATATATGACCGCACGATGCAGATACCATGACGAATATAGTACCTTTGGATGGCGACGATCGCATAGCCAATCAGATACAGCTGGCGCCGCACGATGGCAAGAGCGGACGGCAGCACACTGCTCGCTCTTTCGTCCTCCGCTGGCACTTCGGGAATGATGGGACGCGGGTCGTGAGGCTTGACGATGCTTCTCTGGCGCTCTCGTTGCACGCCACTACAAGGTCGAGCCTGCATGGTCTGGTGTCGTTGCGCCGTCGGTGGTCGCTTCTCTGCGATCAGAGACATTCTTCGGGCAATGGTTTCCTTCTCTGACTCTTGCAAAACAGCCACATCAACAGGCCCGTGTAGTGGAATCGTGGGCGCGGGCAGATCCGACATGTACTGATGCGGGGTGATCGGTCGGATGCCCATCATGCTGCGCCGTCGATCGTTGAGGATCAAGCCCTGAACAACGTCCATGGTCTCGGGAGGCTCGCTCGAGGCTTGGGGTGCGGCTGTGGTACCCGCAACAGTGCCTTGGAGCGATGAAACCGACGGCGCAGGCGTCTCGACTCCAGGATGCATAGCAAGGGCACTGTCGCCGTCTGTGTAGTACCAGTCATACCCCAGGTTTGCCGGGGTTGCCGGCGGCGGAGGCGGGGGCTCGAGAGACAGAAGCTTCGGGGGCGGCCGAGTCGACTCCACAACGGGCTTAACGACCATCCAGTTGCCTGGACAGACCTGGGGCTGTACAATTCCGACTTTTCGCGGTGGTGTTGGCAAACTGGGCTTGGTCGAGGGAATGGACTTGCGGAAGGCCTGGTGCTCACCCAGCAGCGTTGATGGGTCCATGTAGAAGCCGTGGAGATCAAACTTGATGGGAGAAATGCGGAGCACTCCTTTCGTGGGAAGCTCGAGGGTTTGGATACGAACTATCGGCGGCTTGTCGCCGTCGGACGAGATCACTGGATTGCTCTGGACTTTGCGGATGCTGGAAAGCCGGGCAGCTGGTCTCTCTCGTCGAATGTTTGGGATGGAGTTGTGGCGCTGGTCCAAGGCCTCGTTGATCTTGCTCTCGAAGCCTTTGAGGTCGTCGTTCAGGCTGTGGGTGGCAAGACCGATCTTTCTGCCCTCGACACTGGGTTCGGTCGAGTCGGCGATCGGAAGTCCCAGGTTGGACACCATCGATGAGCCTCGGGTGATGCCTTCGATTCTGGTGCCGTCAGGGCAGTCGTACCATCCTCGGCTCTGCGCCACAACTGCGCCCGAGATCTCGATCCACTTGGGGGTGATGCTTGTGAATGAGACGCTTCTGGAACTGCGGCGGACCTCGACCGTCTTTGGTCGGAGCACAGTATCGCCCGAAGCTGTCTAGAGCGGCGCAACATCAATGGAGAGCCAACGTGTGCAATCGTGATGTAAGGGGGAGCAAAGACCGACCGCGGAAGCGGATCAGCCAAGGCAGCTATCTCAAGTGTCAAAGCGGTGGATACTCAATAACGCATCGGTCGAGTTTTTCGTCCGCAGGGACTGCGAAGTAAGCACGGTGGATATCATATCGGATGGGAATAGAAATCTGCGCATAGTTACCTCGCCAACCTTGCTGTCAGCATGTTTCTCGACGGGCAAGCCGCCTTTTGTATCAGTCGCTGCCACAACATCGTGACTCTTGGGTGTTGCCATTGCATTCAAGTCCAAGGTAATGACTTTGGCGTCGGGATCGTCCTCCCAGCGCGAGAGCGTGCCAATATCGGTTTCCCTGTGCAGGCGGTGAGCCAGATCGGAGCTCTTGGTCCCGGGGTAGAGTCCTGTGGCAGTATTCATGCCACCGGCACTTTCGAGAGCAGTCCGAGATGATCCGCCTGACAGAGTCATGAACGTCAGGTTGTTCATTTGGATACCGCCATCTATCTTGATGATGGACACCTTTTGTTGTCGCTGTATGCCTTCGGGTGCCGTCTTGGCCCGCGACGGACTCGAGCTATCGTCCAATCCAGAGTAGCTCTTGGTTCCTTCAGCCAACCCGAATGCCAGCGCTGAGCCTCGGGACATGGTCCGTGGACGGGACGGAGGAGGCGCTGGGGGGATTCGATGGAATGCCGACGATACCCGAACCTTGAGGGCCGACATATTGCGTTTCTGGTTGGCCGCGCTTGATTTTGCCGTACTCCTGCGATGCGACGCATTTGGCTTGAATATGGGCTTGCGGATGGTGACGATGTCACGGGCCGAGGCAGTCAGCTCCAAGTCGACGCCGAAGCGATTCGATGGCTCGGGCTCAGGCGTCCGGGGCGGTTTTGGCCAGGGTGTCGACCTCGGCACTCGAGCAGAGGGTGGCCGATGTGACATGAGTCTCTGGAGCTTGCGACTTGCGGCATCTTCGTCTGTCGTCTCGAGCTGTGGATCAAGCTTGTCTCCATGCGGGTGTTCCTCTGGAGGCTCGTCACCGCCGCCAGTAAAGTTCACAGATCTCAAGCCGCTGTGAGTACGGCTAGCAGTCGGAGACCCGTCGGAGTGTCCTGGTCGCTGTCCGCTATTGAAGCATTGCTCAGGAGCATCCAAGGTTGGGAAGTGGATGGTTGCATCGGTGTCTGCGTGGATCTCAGAGTGACTGGGGTGAACAAAGGTGCGCGGCCACACCATTTGGTTCTGACGAGAAGAACCGGAGGTCACGCCCCGACTATGAGCGCTAATTTGACTTCCGTGCATTGCGGCACCGCTTCCGGATGCCGCTGCTGGAGCCTGCGGTATGGTAGGGGCGGCCAAAGGAGTGGAGATGTTCATGTCGAGAATAGAGACGTCCGGATCGTGTTTGCGAGAGGAGTTGAGCCGCTGCTTGGCAGACGAAGTCGATTTGGCGGCGGCATCGCCCTGGTGAGCACTAAGGATTCGCTCCAGAGTCTGTTTGTCAATGCGGTCGGAGTGGCTCTCGTCCACATGAGAGTGTCCATTCGCTTGCAGCTGCGGGAGCGTCACACGGTCTCCAGAGGCACCTGTCTGTGATTTCGACACACTGGGCTTGATTGAAAAGTGATTCCCGCCGGTCTTGAGGGGCGCAGGCGAAGGCGATCGAGGCGGCGAGGCTGGGTCCGCAAAAGTGACAGTGACGATGTCTTTTGTGGTGGGAACCGGTAGGTGAGCGCTCGAGGCTGCAGACGACAGATCTCGTGGGCGCTGCGCTGGTGCAAGGAGGTCTGATTCGCTAGCTGGATTGCTGACTCGGGGAAGAAATGTCGAGGCTGGGGCGGGATGGCAACATGGCAGAGAAGGGGGACAGGTCAGTAAGTGAGTCGACAGCATCGGCCCCTGAGGTGCTTGCTTCTATCCTCGTTTGTGAGTCTCTGCAATACCTGACTCTCTCGCATCGGTATCGGATTTGTAGATAGCTCCTGATGACTCCCGCTGAAGACTGGACACACTCGACTTTGTCAGGCTCGTGTGAAACGATACCGACAGCGTCCTGCGAATGTCCGAGCCGGCAGTCTCGGTCAGCTGCTCCTGTGCGAGATGGTCGGCAGCCATAGTCGAAAGTGAGCGCGCACTTCGGAGGGACGGCTTGTGGGAGAGTGGTGGTGGCGGCGGTGGTGGTTCGTGGCCGGATATCGCACTGTGCGGCAGACCCCGCTTGGAAACCAATAAACTGGAGCCCAGCGTCGAGCGGCTCTTCTTCATGGTCGGGAGCACCAGTGCTGCTGCCGCACCGGGGCTTGGAATGTCCAGTTGCGGGGCCAGATGACGGCCGGGGTGGACTTTGGAGTCGTAAGGGGCATTGCCCCGCTTGACAGCCTTGGCAGCGAGAGCTGTGCCCTTCGAGAGCGTGGTCGAGCCGCTAGCAGTACTGCCGATTGAGCCCGAAGAGCGTTTGGGGCTGGCGCTGTGCCCTTTGGAGATGTGTGCCGATGAGTAGCTGCTCCAGGGGCGGGTCGGGTCGTTGTTGTCGATCTCGATATGGGCCGATTTGGACTTGGATCCCAGCGAGACCTGTGATCGATGATGGTTGCCGGCCAATGGAGTACGCTGGTGCGAGGAGGGTGTGAGCATATGGCTCTGGTGGTGAGGAACGCCATGGAGCAGATTGGACTGGGAGGCCTTTCGTCGTTTCCGCTTTGACTTTTTACGGGGCCTCTTTTTCTTGCGATCTTCATCGGGGCCATCTCTGGCATCCGCATCGCTGTCGATTTCGCCGTCGCCGTCCTGGTTCTCGATCGAGAAGACCGAGCCCTCGCTGCTGTCGTCGTCGAGGTCGACACTGCCGTTAAGGATGATATTCCAATTGCTGCCTCGTGCGACCCTGTTGCCGCTATCATTGTGATTGTCATTGCCATTACCATTGCCATTGCCATTGCCGCCATCATCTGCACTAACGCCACCGTCATCGCCAATATCGTATCCGCTGCCACTGTTGTTGCGCCCGATGTGGAGTCGGCTGTCCTCGCTGTTGTGCAGGCTCGTCGAGCCTTGTTGCTTGTGGCGAAGATTGCGGCCGCTGCTGTGCCGGCTGCCGAATGCCGCTGGCTTGGTGGTCTGGATCCTGCCGAGCGAGCCCATCGACGACGCCGAGATCTCTTCGGTCGACCGGCCTGCGGCCTTGGGGTACTTGAGCGTGGGAATCGATGTCGCTGTCGGAAAGAGGCCAGAGGAGCGCGCGGGCAGAGCACCGCCGGACCGTGGCCCGAGCTGATTCTGCGACGACAGCATTTGGGTGAGCCTTGAGAATCTCAGTGATGGCGGGGAGGTGGGGGGGGGGGAATGAACTGAACTCCACTAATGGCTGCCGCTGGGCAAGACGAGGCTCTTTCTGTTTGATGCAACACACTTGATCAAGACTCAAGGAGAAACGGTCGACCAGCCAGTTTGAGGTCAAAGGATGTGCAAGCCGAGCCGAGGAGAGGTTGTTTCGCCTGGGCTGTTGGTGTAGGTGCAGGTGTCGACGCAGGCGTGGGGCAGAGTGACCAGCGGGCTGCTCTGACGTAACGAGCGGTGAGAACTCGACACTGGAGCGGGCTGCCGCATGATGTCAACGGTTTTGCCCAATCACGAAGGGAGTGGTCTGGGACACTGCCACCGGAAGTGAAAGCCGCCGTGGTGAGGGTCTTTCGGTGCTTGCCAAAGGAGCACGACTCTTGCGCCTGGGATGTGCGTTCTTTGAATGGGATGGGTGCTTTTTGAATGGAATGGGTGCTTTTTGAATGGAATGTGCGTTCGTGAATGGGATGGATGCGCAGTGGAAGCAGGGCAAGGGATGCGCATCATCAGCGACGGCGTTGATGAACACGACTCGCTCATCGCCGCCTTCGTCCTCGGTCATGATGTCTGTCGCCCCATGAACGTTTGGAAGGGCTGTGCGCCAGAGAGTAAGGCAGGACGATATTTTGTATGTATTCGGAATGCCGTACCTCTCTATTGTCGCCGGCACCTTTGCTTTCCCGCGCATCAAGGCCTGTTTGGCCTGAGCCGGGGAGAAGCAGTAGAGGCAAAGCTCGACGAGTTTAATGAGCGGCTGTAGCTTTTTTTTAAAGGGATAAATACGAAAGGGAGAGAAAGAAAGACGCAGAGAGCAGGTGGCGGGCAGCATATACTATACATCAGGGGGCGGATGGGAGCAAGTGATAGATGGATGGAGGGATGGATGGACGGGCGGCGGACGGATGGAATCAATGGTTAGGATGGCCGAGCGATGCGCTGGCTGGAAAGGAGGTGTGGGAGGGGTCAGGGCACAGTATGGAGGAATGTATAGCGGGAGAGTCTAGTGGGACAGCTGTAGCCGGAGGCTGCTGCTGCTTGCGTGGCTCGTCGCCAGGCCGCTGTTGCTTCCGGAAGGGAACGATATCGAGGCGCTGTCGTCTTCGTCAAAGAAGCCCTCGTCCCTGTTGCTATCGGTGCTGACGCTTGGGCACGGCGACGAGCAGCTCTCGTCGATAAAGTCTTTGCGGTCGAACCGGGAGACGGGGATCTGAGCGGCGGCAGACTTGACCACGATGGACACGACGTCGGCGCTGTCCACAACGCTGCTGTACGCCGGCGGCTCGACGCTGATGGGCTCGTGCTGCGGGCGGTGCAGGACCGGCTTGGCGGCGACCTTGTAGTCCAGATGCTCGGTGAAGAGATGCGACAGCTGCGCGTGGATCAGAGGCAGAACACCAAAGGCAAAGCCGGCAAAGGGAATGTAGGCCCAGTCAAAGAGGTGGCTGGGGAAATCGCGGTAGCTGGCCAGCGACGCACGGATGCCGAGGGGCTGCACCACCGGAGTGAGCTCGGCCGAGGAAGTGACCTTGAAGATGGACATGTCCGAGCCGAGCGACGGGCGGTTCAGCTGCTCCATGAACTCGCGGTGGTTCTTGAGAGAGACATCCTCCTCCTCGACATAGGCCTGGCTGGGGTCGTTCATGCGTTCCAGGCGCTTGCACTCTTCCTGCTGGGCCAGCAGCTCCCAGCGGGTGCGGCCGACCCAGCGCTGGTAGTGCTCGTAGTAGGTGATCATGACGACATTGGGCACCAGGATGGCGATGCGCACCCAGAAGGAAATGCCAACGGCAAAGGCGACCCAGGCATGCACAGGGTTGCTGGTCAGGCGCGAGAAGATGGCGACCGAGAACCAGTAGTAGAACGACGACTGATTGACGGGCAGGAAGATCGAGGTGAAGAACATCAGGATGAACATGTGGCCCATGAGGATGTGCGACTCGAACATGCGGTGGAACAGGAAGGCCAGGACGGAGGGCTTGAAGCCCGACTCGGGGAAGGAGGTGCCGGTGGTGTCGACGGTGGGCTCGTATCCGGGGGCGATCATGCGGAGCAGGGTGCGGCGCAGAACGTAGCCAGTATCGAGCGAGCCCCACAGATGGCGCTTGCCCTGGGTGTAGCGGGCCGACAGGTTCGAGACGTAGCCGTTCCAGCCCGTGCCTTCGCCCTCGATGTTGCACTGCGACGCGGGCGAGAAGATGGACTTGACAATGACCTTGCCATCGGTGGCAAAGAAGCACTTGAGGTACATGTGCATGTCCTCGCCGATGGCCTCGGGACCAGCGTCCCAGAAGCGAACGTTGATGGCCAGGTCCATGGAAACCGAGTACGCCGAACACGGGATCTTGACGGACGACGACGGATACAGGTTCGAGATCACACCGACGGACCAGAACATGTCGGTGACACGGACAAAGACGGGAACATCGTTGGAGTTACGGTCGAAGACGGTGGCGGGGGCGAACATCATGATCTTGCGGTCGCTGGCGGGGGCCACGCAGTAGTGGTAGGTGATGGAGGCAAAGTAGTCCTCGGCAAAGGCCGTGTCGGCATCCATGACGGTGATGATCTTGTTGGTGGACTCGTTGGCGAGGGACGTGGACATTTGCCGGGCGGCCCAGGCAACGTTGGAGGACTTGCCGCGAATCTCGCCGGGCTGGCCAAGGGGGTGCATGGTGAAGGTGATCTGCAGGAAGTTGTTTTGGTACTTGTCCATCAGGCTGCGGGCCTTGTCTTCAGAGCCCTGCTCGCCCTGCTCCATGGCAAGGCAGACCTGGGAGAGAAACGCGGCATGGTGAGCAAAGGGTTCGGACACGAGGGCTGGCACTCGGACGAAGGATTGGGAGGGTGTGGTGAGATGCAGCGCGGCACGGGCGGGGGTCGGAGCTGCGGCTGAGGCTGAGGCAACATCAAGAGGGGCAAAGAAGCAAATGCACTGGGCGGCGGTCGGCCGCAGGCCAGCCCGGACGACGGCAGGCAGTGCCGAGGCCGGACAGGCGACCAAGGCCGGCGAACGGGAGACATGACATGGCGGGTCATGTGGACGTGCGGCGGCGGCGGTGCAGCGTGGCGAGCCGGGTTGCCAAGACTTACTCGGTATTGAGTCAGGGCGCGGCCATGGCTGGCGAGGATGTCGAGGGTCTCGCAAAGGGTATCCCAGGTCTCTTTGTAGTTCGGGATGATGACGACGTGCTCGACAGAGCCGTAGGGCATGTCGTGGTAGTCAGCATCACCATAGCCGGCGTTGGGGACATCGGCCCGGTACTTTTCGATCCAGTTGGTAGTCGAGTACAGGATCGACGAGTGATAGGCGATGTAGACGGCGTACGCCGAGCGGATGTTGTTGGCAAGGAAGATCAGGTGGAGGGAGAGATAGTACAAGCTGAAGAGCACGGGGGTGTAGATGGGTCCGAAGATGGCAAAAGGGATCAGGAGCAGGATCCACAGGCCAGGTAGCCGCTGGAACATGGGCTTGAGCGGGACCGAGTCCAGGAGGGAGTGGAGGGCGCTTGCGGAGGATAGGGCAGGCATGGCCGAGGACGACGGTGTTGACGGCGGGTGGTGGAAGGTCTGGAAGGAGGACATAACGCGAAGGCGGTGATCCGAGGCGGAAGACTCTCAAAGGACGCCGAGACAGAAAGAAGCGCAGGGCAGGGCGGAGAAGCGAAGAGGAAACAGCGAGTCAACCACCAGCGGGGGACTTCAGACGGGCTCCAGACGGGCCTGGGGAGAGGATCGAGGAATCAGAGGCTCCGACGAAGGACAGACGGAGCCAAAGGCAGAGGGCAGCGAGCTGCTGGTCCGAGAGGGAGGCAGGCTGGAATCGAAGCGAAACGGGGCAAAGACGGTAAGAGGTCGCGGGTTATATAAACGGAGACGCTTTGGATGCTTGCCAAAAATACGAAGCGAAAACAACAACGTGGGTTGGACGAGGCCAGCCGGCGGGGCGTTAAAAAGCGTGGCCGGGAATAGCGAGCGAGGCGAGGGGCGATAAGGTTGCAGCGAGAGGCGGGCGAGAGGCGGGCGAGAGCACGGCGAGAGCACGGCGAGAGAGCGGCGAGAGAGCGGCGAGAGGACAGAGCGAGAGAACGGCGAGGCCGACGAGAGCGAGAGAGGGGCGCCGTGTTTGCGTGTCGATGACAGCACATGATGGGCAGCAGCAGTGTCAGTGTGTCGTGGCGAGCTGTCGCGGTGGGCAGCCGTGTGCCTGCCGCCCGACGCTGTGCAACGATGTGCGACGCTGTATTGCGCTGTGGCGACGCGTGCTGGCCGAGAATGGCAAGCGCGGCGACGCGTGGCGCGCGGCACAGAGTCCACAGACACAGCACAGGGCTGCGCGCCTGGCAGCGCCGGGACCGCACACACACACACGGCGGTGCGGGGACGCGGATCGGCGTCTTTTCGCGAGTGGCCGGTGCAGCAAGGCGCGGCGCGCGTCCCTTGCCCCTTGGACACACAGGCAATGCCTGTCGACGCGTCCGACCTGCGTGCGATGCGGCGACTGCCATTTCGGGCACGCGGTCGCGCCAGGGGCGTGCTGCCTCGATGCCGATTGGTGCAGCGGTGCGCGTCGCGCTGGCCCCCTGTCTGCGCAGCGGACGCTGCACCGCCACGGGTGCTTGCTCTGGAATCTGTCCGCGGGTGTGGCCACGGGCATCCCCCCTTGCTGGTGAAACTGAGGGCGGCATGGGCCGGGTTTGCCGGCCGTGGTTGCGGTCATCTTGATTCGGGGTGCTGCTGCCGGGCTGCTGCTGCCGGGCTGCTGCTGCTCGAGGCTCCGGTCGCATTTTTGCCTGGGCCACGGACGCTTGGCCACGATGCCTGTGCTTGGATCGGATGCGCCCGCATGAATCGACTCGCATGGCCGGGCTGCCGATGCGGATTGGCCGACGCGCCATGCCAGAGCCAGCGCAGGTGCCAGAGATCGTCCCGGAGTGGTTGGTGCAGCGCACGTTGGCCCGCCACAGGGCGACCGCAACCGCCTGCCGCCAGCAGCGTGGCCGCAACACATGGCCGCATGTCGTGCTTTCCTGGCCCCAGATCACGCCCATGTCCCGAGGCGGCACCGAGTCCAGGGACACGCGAAGGCAGCAAGTCCTTCGCAGAGCGGACACCGGCCGATGACCTGCAATCCACGCGAGCGAGGCAGCCTCCTGGTCGTGGTGGGCAAGTGAAATCGGTCGCCATTCGCACCAGCGTTTGCACCAGCGTCCAACGGGCTCGAATCGAAATCGGAGCTGACACAGCCGACCTGCAACAGCGATGCCCATGTCGCTGTGCTCGAGAGGAATCATCTCCCGCACGATCAGGAAGTGCCATATCGCCTGCTGGAGAATGTGGGCAGCGCTCGCGGCAGGTTGGCCTCAGGACTCGGCCAGCGGATGGTCTCATACCCCGGATCTGCACCCGCATATCCCTCCTCGCTCGCATCTTGCATATCCCTCCTCGCTCGTGTTGTCACCAATTCCAATGCCAGCCGACGGATCGAACCGGCACAATGCAGCCACTCGATCTGCACTCCAGCCGATCCAGCCGATCCAGCCAGCCGCCTGCCCCATGCCGGCTGGATCCGGTTTTTTTTTGTTAGTGATCTCGTCTCGCTCGCCAGCGAGAGCGACCCGCGGTTCCCACAGAAGTACTCCCGATGCCTGCAATCGCTCGCAAGCAGCGGCAACACCACGCCAGCACCACGCCAGGACCATGCCCGGCTCATCTCCATCTGCCAGCATCATCTGTGACCTCCTGCCGCCGCCCAGATCCAAAGGCGGGGCTGTGTGAGCGCCGCAGCCCTTCGGCCCGCTGTGTGCTGGGTGCCGTCCCTCGCCCCCCTCGCCTCTCGCTGCGTTCTCGCCTCGCGTTCGCGCCTCGCTCTCGTTGTTCGCCCTGTTTGCCCCGTCGACTCACCGCCGACTTTCATCACCGCCTGACTCTGTCTCCATCTGCGAGCTTCGGTCGAGCCTGCATCCCTCCCGTTCAAGGTACCTGCCCAAGCCCCATCGCTCGATGGCTCCTCGTCGCGGCGCTGGGCCTGTTCGGCTGCATCTCGGGCTTGGCAAGATGGGGCCGCCACCCGGGGCTCTGCGTCCGTCCTTGGGGCTGATCGCCCTTCCAATCCCCCAAAGGCGCTATTGATACACGCTCCATTGCCGCCAGATGGCCGCAGCTGCGGAGCCTCCTCGCCCTAATAGATGCCCTAGACGAAGGACCCTGGTGTCGGTGCCTCTCCGGGCTCTTCAGCCAGGCTCTAACAGATGCTCTTGCCTCCACCCACCCATGTCTCGTCTCGGGCCCCTTTCGTATCCAAATCAACCTCACGCTGGCCCAAAACCGCATCTCACGGCCATCCAGAATCTTATAATTTCAGATCTGTATCTCCATCCTCTCCCTCGATAATGTACGTATTGCCGCCCGGCTCTGTTTCGCAGTCGCCCAGGCCCTGCTCCCTCGGCAGTCCCTCCCCTTCCCGACCCCGGCTGTATTTTGCCGTCGTTTTCGTTTTTTTGATTTGCATCTGCGGCAAGCTTGCCTTTTGCATCGACCGGGCTCTCTCTGGCTCTCGCGGCTCGATCGCTGCCGCAGGTCTTCATTCTATCTCACCAGTGCACCCGATCTGGCTCGATTGCGACCGGTCGAGTGTGCTGAGTTTGGCTCGGCCGTATCGCCGGACATGGCTGTCGGTTCGGGGCGGTTGCCTCTGTCTGAGCCTGCCTGTCAGCCGGCCTGCCTCTGCGGCTTCACGCCTGTGCGTTGTTCAAGCAGCCCCTCCTGGCCACGAGCGACTCGATCACCAGCCAACCACAGTCCACCGACCTGTGCGTCGATCAGACATCTGTCTGCAGCGACATGCGCTGTCGATGGATTCGCCGTGGACTTGTTGCGATGCGCTGCTTCGCCTCTGGTGTCGGAACTGAAGATCCCGCGAGTGGCCTTGAGTTCGGCTGCCAGGCAGCGGTCCTGTCTTGGCTGTCTCGCCCCCTCCCCAAAACTTTGCTTCAGCCGCGGCCCCCACCCCCATCATCGGACGTTTCGCCAGATCTGCTCGACTCCCCTTCCACCCCGCTGAGGGCCCCTCCAGCTTTTGATCGTTGTTACTGCTGCTATCTCTGTCGTGGCGCCCTCCTTGCCGAGCTGCTCTTGCCCATGTCTCTCCATTTGCGACTCGACTTCCTGGCCTGTCACCCTCCTCCATCGCCCTGTTGCCTCTGATACTGCTGCGCGATTGCTCACAAACTTGCCTCGATACCTATAGAAGTAAATGCCAACGTTCCCAACATCGGTCGCTCACCAACAACAACAGCAGCAACGACCTCCTATGTATCCAAGCGCGAAACCCGGATTCCAAACGGCTGCAACGGCAGTTCGCGGCGCCAACCCTGTTGCCAGTCTCCAGCAAAACGGAGTCAACCCGATATCGGGCGATCGAATGAGCATGTCGGATTTTCCGGCCCTCGGGGCTCCGCGAGACTCGGCCTCGCCGCTATCATTTTCGTCGATCGCCGGCGGCCAGCTGCGCGAGCCGCGGAAAGATGTCGTTGATCTGACATCCGAGGAGTTTCCCTCGCTGTCGGCCTCGCTCGCCTCGACGAACGGAAGGTATCCTTTCGCGAATCGGGATGAGCTCGGCATAGGCGCCTTTGCGAGTAGTCAGCGGACGCAACCCATCGGCGGACCTCTGAAAGCGCAGCAACAGCAGCAGCAGCAGCAGCAACTCCCACGGTCGCAGCCGCCGCCACAACAGCAGCGGCTGCAGCACCAGCTTGGGTCCGTGGCCCCCGTTGGTCCGCCTGTCTCGGGACCCGGCCTCTCGTCGCGGTCTGGAGCGCCGATGATGCCGCCGGGTACACCCGCGCAGCATGTCGCCTCGCCCACCGGCCCATCATTAGGGAGCAGTCTCGTCGGCGCCGACCCTGCCGGCCCCAAGACCTTTGGCGACCGCTTCGGGCTTCTCGGATTGCTGGAGGTGATTCGGATGCAGGACCCCGACACCAACACCCTGGCCCTCGGGAGCGATCTGACAGGGCTGGGGCTGAATCTCAACGCGACCGAGAACCTGTACTCGACCTTCATGTCGCCCTTTGCCGAGAACCCCTCGCTTGGAGCCGAGCCGCAGTTCCAGACGCCGCCGTGCTACACGCTGCCTCAGCCGCCTCCCGCCGCGCTGTCGAAACTCTCAAGCTTTTCGGACGAGACGCTGTTCTACATCTTCTATTCTATGCCCCGCGAAACAATACAGGAGGCAGCGGCCCAGGAGCTTTTCGGCCGGAACTGGCGGTTCCACAAGGAGCTCAAGTTCTGGTTGACCAAGGACCCCGGCTCCGAGGCCCTGATGAAGGGTGCTGGCTTTGAGCGTGGCGTCTTCATCTTCTTCGACCCTGTGTCGTGGAGCCGAGTCAAGAAGGAGTGGATCCTCTACTACGATCAACTGGAGGAGCGCGGCCCCAGCATGCCGACCCCGTCGCCTTCAACCCTGAACGGAACGCGACCCACGACCCCCGGCATCATCGGCTCGGGTGTGTCTCCTGTCGGCCAGCTACCCCCACTGGGTCCCTTTGCAGGCTCGTCGGGCAACACTTCCTCGTCGATGCTGAGCATGAACTCGAACGCCAGCGTGCTCGGCGTTCTTGTCGGAGGCAACAGCGCCGCAAGCAGCTACGGCAATACCCTGGATACCCTTGGCGGTGCCGGTGTGTCAAGTACCGTGGGACTGGCTGGAGGCAGCCTCTCTGGCGGCATGTTCGGCACCACCTCGGCACCACTCTCGGCGTCATCGGCGGGGCCGTCGATGTGGGGCGCCATGAACGGAAGCATGGTCGGACCAGGCTCGTCAGGGTCGTTTTTCGGCATGGGCGCCCAGCAGCAGCCGTCGTCGCAGCAGTCGCAACCGCAGTCGCAGGGTCAACAGCTCTTCAACGGCGGTCTCTCGGGCTCGATTGGATCCGGCGCAACAGGTCCTAACGGCCTGCCTTCGACTCGATGAAGGGATTATCAGCAAACGGGAGGCATCTTTTAAGTTATATCTTGTTTTCTCTCTTTTTTTTTTTTCTCCTCCTTCCATTCTCTCGCTCTCTCGCTCTCTCTTAGCCGTTCCTTGCGATTCGTCATTTTGACAACTTCTCCTCCCCTCACCCTCACCACACTTCTCACGGCTTCCAAAACGGCACCCTCTGTTCATGATCTCGCTTTGCCTCCTCTGATATTTTGCGCTCCTAGTTGGCCTCGCTTCTCCCTCCCGCCCTCTTGCATCTCGACATTGCATCTCTGCATATTCGTCGTCGATCATCCTGGCTGCTCTTTCTCTCTTTCCTCCAGGCCCCCCCTCCTTCCTTCCCGTTCCCCGCCGCCCTTCATCTTCCTTGCTTCGTTGTTTGCCTGCCCTCGTCTCCCCACTGCCATGTTCGCGATCACTTCCTCTTGGGTTTCCATGTTTGAAATCAGCCATCGACGGAAGGATATCCATCGTCCCGTCACACTTACACACCCACTCCCCCCTCTCCTCCCCTTCCTCCTTTTTCACATGGACGTTCTCTTGCAACGAAGGCGTGGATCAGACGGGCCATGAGTGAATGACCTCCGTTCATTTGCAGCTGAGGATGTAGACAATACAAAGCCCAAGAAGCTGAGAAGCCGACCCAGCGCTTCCCCATCCCAGATTCGCGCGATAGATTCGGGCCGTATCGTGATCGACTGGCCGTACCCAGAAGAAGTGGGCGCAGTGAGCGGAGCAGCTGCGAGCAGCTGTATCGGCATTGTCTGCCGTTGCCTCGGTCGTGCCGACCACCCTGCCGTCCATAAAGCGCGGTATTCTTGGTTCTTGGCGAATGCCGATATTGTACTGCTTCCAGGACAGGGATCCTGGGTCGATGTGGAAGCACCGGGTATCAGGGAGCACTGACAGACGACAGCACGACCAGGGAACCAGTCCCGGCCTGAGATCGCCTCCTGCTCTTCTCGCCAGCAGCCTACGCCCTGCTGTCAGCGGTGCACTCATGCCGTGCTTCTGCTGCTGGGCCAGGAGGCCACAGGGCCAACATGGCCGCCCCCGGATCGAGGACCGAGAGGACTCTTTCGGTTCACCGCCGCGACGAGCTCTTGAGGGCATAAATCTCCCGATCGACATGCTGGATCGCAGGCGCGATTCCGTACTCGGTGGCCAGGCCCTTGATGTCCTCCAGGATCCGGATCTTGGACTTGACGGCGCGTGGTGAGTTGCCTGGGTACTGCGCCAGGTGGTCAAAGATGGTCTTGGTCAAGGCAGCGAGGCCGCCGCGCTGTCCTTCCTTACCTGCAGGACACATCGTGGCCAACAAGGGTAGTTGGTGCGAAGGCAGAGCGTTGGTTAGCTACACGGAGCGCCCTCTGTCAAACTCTGTCGTACGACACTTGTCGAGGCCGCACTTGCTGGAGCTGTAGCGTCATAATCCAGGAGAAGGGAGGTCATCTGCTCTTGCGCTCACAATGCATCCGGCGCGGGCTTACCATCGGTCGATAGTGATGCCATCAGCTCATGGATGTGCTCGATGAAGGGGTCCGTAGTGACCAGAGGGTGATCCCGCGCCTTGCGCTCCTGATCCAGCGCCTCGATGTCCGCCGCCACCAGCCCCGAGTCCTGGTCGTTGCTTGTGAGGCCGCTCGGGATTCCCTGGCCGACGGTCGGAAGGCTCGTCTCCGCGTGCACGCTTGGGATATCCTCGCTTGAAGCCTCCTCCGCCACCGTATTGCAAGGGCTGCATACCGGCTTGAGCGGCTGTGTGCGGAGGCACCAGCGGGCCTTGTGTCTGTCTGTCTTGATATAGAGCTGCGCTGCCTGGCTGAGGCATGGGTTGAGTTCCAATCTGGTGCTGGAAAGATCCCAGCATGTCCATGGCCGTGCGTCCTCCGTCGCCATTCGGCACCAGAAACGGGACGGCTGCCGCGCCCGATATTGCCGGTGCCATGCCACCGAACGAACTCATATCGACCGGGCCCACTACAGCGCCCAGAGGCAGTGCGACCGGCGCAGGTGCTTGCTGGGGTTGCTGGGGTTGCTGCTGGATGAACTGGGACTGTTGAGCCGGCTGGGATGGCTGCGACAGTTGCGACAGTTGAGTCAGTTGCATCAGATGGGATTGCTGAACAAACTGTACTGGCTGAGCCAACGGATTCTGTTGAGCCTGGCGCTTCTGTAGACGAGGGTCGCGCGGGATGCCACTGCCCTCGGACGAGGTCCTCGGCTGCTCCGATTGCAGCGGCATCAGCCCCGGCATAGCCGGGTACTGGACAGGGGCAGAAGGTGCGCCGCCGTTCGGCTCGAGCACTTGCGTTGGAGCAAACAACCCTGTGCCGCCACTCAACATGCTGACTGCCGCAGCAACAAACTCGGGGGCCAAGTTTGACAGATTGAGATTCGAGAGGGCATGTTGGGGCGCAGGCGGGAACACACCCGACAGGGGTGTGGATGAAAGCAGCGGTAGGTTCACCAGCGGCTGCTGCCCCAACAACCCCGCAGGCGTAAGCGGGCTGGATGAAACGGAAATGTCGAGATCTGGTGCGTGCAGCGACTGTTGTTGCTGTGTTTGAAGTTGCTGTAGCTGTTGCTGCGATTGCGGGGGAAGCTGCTGCTGCTGCGGTGCCTGGAGTGCCTGGGGTGCCTGGGGTGCAAAGCCACAAGCGGCTGGGTATCCTGGGGTCAGGGCGGGGGTGGAGTTTGCCTGGGGCAAATACAGGTGCGCTTGGGTCGGGGGAACCGAGACGGAGGTGGCTGCATAACTTGTCGGAGTTGAGGTGGTCGGCGATGTCACGCCGTAAACAGGATAGGGAAAGCGGCCATCGGGGCCATCGTTCTCAACAGCAACGATAGATGGACGCGAGTCCCACGAATGGGTCCGGCTCAGTTGCGACGCTTCGTATCGGCTCTGAAGATCCAGGTCTGTGGCTGGCTCGATCTTTGCAAGTGTGCTTGCACCATCGATCGCTATCGACTCGCTGCGGCGCTTGGCATTCTCGCCAAGCATCTGGACATAGTCGCGACGGAGATTCCCTCGTGGCAGGGGTAGCGCTGTGTCCGTGATCGACTCCCAAGTCGGGATGCGCTCGAGCCGCCGCTGTCGGAGCTGCTCAAACTCTTGCATCTCCGTGTCGTTGAGATGTCGTCGCTTGCCGCGTCGTGCGAGTGACGATGTCGAAGAGGTGCTTACAAATGACATTCGCTCGCTGCTTTCCACAGAGGCTTCGTCGGCCTCGTCAATCGATACCTTTTTGTCACGCCGATATGGGTTTCCAAACATGGTCTGCTCTCGAAACCGAGCCTCATCATCGTCTTCGAATGGATCGCGCAGTAGCTGCCGCTTACTCATTCGGGCAGCATAGTCGCCCATCTGAGCAATCGGTAGAGAGTGGAGCCGCTCATCATCTGCTCGCAAACCAGAAGCCGTTCATGAGCAACAGCGAAATCCATCGCCTGAATGAGCACATCCATACTCGCATCCACTGTTCGTGACTCTTCCTCTCAGCGCTGCATATGTCCCCACCTGTTGCTTTCTTGCTCTGTAGATCCGCCGCTGGATTTTCAAGGAATTGGTTCCTCAGGGCCTTGAGCTTTGAGCGCAGTTCTGGCTTGGATACGTCGAAAGGATTCAACAATGTGAAAGACGCAGCCTCTTTTGGATTCTCCTTGGTCTGCGGGATGATGGTCAGCAGTTAACCGATCGTTGAAGGAGGGTTGGCTGCGTCTTCCAGTCCGACTGACATCAACCAGGTCACGAATCCAATCCAATCCAATCCAATCCAATCCCACAAACACACAGCATGCGCAACCGGAGAAGATCCATTTCATGTCGTCACGCCGTACCTCAGGGCTGGTCAGCTTCAGAAGCTTCTCGTATTCGATCTTGGCCTGGGGAGTGTCGTTCAGTGATGTGTTAACAAGGGTCTCAAAAGTACTGCACATGTCGTTTGGAGCGTGCTTGGAGGCGCTTTACCTGGGCACGCACAGCAGAGACGTAGTTCATCATCAGGGGGGTTGGCTCGGGAAGATCGGACATCAGCGAATCGATCCCCAGCAAACGGAAGGCGATTCGGAGGGGCTGAATATTGAGAATGCATGGGTGAAATGCGTATAGAAAGCATGAGGTGGTGTTAGCGTGGTTTTTGCGAGTCTATCCAGGGGTATATCTTTGGAGTCAAGCGCGGCAGTTGACAACACCGTCGCTTGCTTTGAATACGTACGGGGATATAGTACGAGGGGATCTTGTCCATGTATTCGCGCATATGCTGTCTCCATGCCGAAGAAGGTGTTGCATTCGGATTCCGCTTGAGGAGCTTTGCGCGATGGTCTGAAACAGTAGCCCGCAGAGTGAGTGTCATTTGCAACTATCGCGCAACACCAGTCCCGAATGAGCCTATCTCGTTCAAACGGCCCAGGCAAAACACGCTTCCACACAAGCAGCACCCGGACGAGCGCCGCCCTACCAATCACTTACCCAGCAGAGAAAACAGGGCTTGGAAGTTGTACGGGAGAATATACAAGTTTACAAACTTTTGGGAGGCGCCGACTTTGAGAAAGCCAAAGGGTGGGCCGGGCGCGCCGGGCTCGCTACTGCTGATGACAAAAAGTGGCCATGAAGTGCCGGGCTTCTTTGTGGAGAGCTCTTGGATGACTGGGTTGCTCTGGTCCATGCTGAAGCGATCAACTGGAAACCTTTCAAAGATGGAGAACTTCTCGTCTGCTTTGCGGATGAAATGGACCGTTGGATGGGCACGACGGGGCTGCATAGAAACGGTGCGAAGGGCCAAATGGGAAGCAAGTACAGTCGGATCCGGGGCAGATCGTGAGTTACTCGCGCACCATCGTATTCACATGTGCCTGGTTCACAGACCAGCCGGTGCAAACGCTCGGGCCGGAGATTATACCGGAGGAGACTTGTCGATTAGCTTTGGCGCATAGGACTCGGGTATAGGGAAAATGCGAGATGCCCTCGAATCGGCATAGATGATGGCTTTGCTTGGCGGGAGGCGTGGTTGATTCTCGGGGGCATCTTGAAGAAACAATGGGCAGACGTGCGCGTGAGCGGGGATCGCCTCATAAAACAAAGTCAGGCCATTCTCCATAGCGAGCCACTCGTTTCAGCGCTGCAAACAGTGGCGGGCGTGAGGTGCAACGGCTTACCAGTCGGAATCTCCTCCAAGGCAATGACGACGCCCTGGTTGATGGCAATGTGCGTCTGCGGTTCGACAGGATGTGGCACAGGCTTGCTGGCGCCCATACAGTTGTCGATACATTGCAGCATGTGTGTCAGAGACGATATCTTCCAGCTCTCGCCTGCAGCGTTGTAGTGACGCAGGAGGGATATCGTAGAGCCGTGTCAGGATTCCATGCGATTGGCACGAGTCCAGAAAAGACACCAACAAGCAATGGCGTGTACAAAGACTCGCCAGCTACGCCATGATGCGAACAGCTGCAGAGCCTCAATCAGATGCAAAGCACCGATTGATCGGCCCTGTGCCCATCGCACGCTCCCACATACCGTACATATCCGCACTCATGCCCTGTAGCTGTGGGTCGACACTGGAGCTTTGCGGGACCATGAATAGCGTGTACAGCCGCTGATCCCATCGAAACGGCTCGATATAGAACTCGCCAGCGGGACGCTGCAGGCCAGGCACCTCCAACTGCCCCGTTTGTCACAATAGCGTCGAGGTGTCAAGACAGTCAATTTTGTCAAAGAGGACAGGCGTTCGGTCAGTCATGGCAGCAAAGATGGCCTCGTCGTCTGCAATGAATCGAACACATTTCTGCAACGAATCGGACACACGGCAGGCACGCCGACACTGCCCATGTGCTGGTGCACCCACCCACTTACCCTGTCAGTGACTCCCTTGGGCGAAGTGAAGCGAGCATTGTCTGTCATCAAGAACATGATGGTGGTCTCGGATCCTCCAACATAGCGGCCCTGCATCGAATCGAGCGTCAGCAAGGCAGATCATATCGGCTCTGCCGTGTTTGCACATCAGCCGGCCTGGCTGCCGGCACCAAACGGCCTACCGCTCCGGGCTCGTCCATTGCTGCCTGCAGTCGGTACGTGTTGACGTAGCTGAAGGCCGCATGCAGCGCCTGGCCAGGGTTGCTGAGGTCGTGGGCCTTGACAAGCTTGAGGGCGGCCAGGACTTGCTTCTCGGTGTCGCCAAAGCCAGCCTGGTGTGACGGAGACGACATTAGCACGTGACGCGAGGCAGGGCATCCTGTGCAACGGACAGCCGACAACGACAACCAACCCTGTAACATCTGGGGTATTCCTCGTAAGTGACCAAGAGATACTTGTTGTTCTGGCGGTCCGAGCGCTTCTGCTCCCACTGCACCGCATTGGGCCGGCGGGTGCCGGGAGGCAGATGCCACGAGCCAGGCCGAGGCAGGAGAGAGGTTCAAGGCCGTTGATCAGATTCCGGCATTGTGGGACCGCCCTCGGGCAGCACACTGACAGTTGAATGCACCTCGCCGGATGCTGTCTCCCGGCAGTTCGTCTCTGCTATCCATGCGCACTGCATCGGTGGCATGCGTCCGGAGCACGGCATTTGCCGGTGCAGCGACATCCATGTCGCCGGACACGCCGATGGCCTCATTCGGGGTCTCAGGATCCCAACCACCTGGCCGCCTGGTCGCAGCGTCTGCTTTGGTGCCGGTGCCAACGCACAGCAGCCCGACAGGAGCAAGAGTCTGTCTCTTCGTGATGGCAAAAGTCGCTCTGATCTCGCTCTGGCCTTCGCTGGCGCCATGTCGCTTTCACAGATATCTGCCGACGCCGCAGCGACCCTCGCCAAGGTGTGATTCGCCAGAGGCAACACGTACCTTGAAGAACTGTTCAATGCCGGCCTTGGCGCACTCGAGATAGGACAGGCCGTTGCTGAAAATGCGGTTCATGGATACACTGGTATCCACGATGAAGATGTAGATCATGGTTGTCTTGGGGCCCAGCGACGTGAATTGGAGGGGGGGGGGCGATGTCCGGGGTTATCGTGGACAGGCTGGAGTGTGAAAAATGCGACGGGGCGTGGGGTGCAGTCCACCAATGCTGAATCGCTTGAGGCAGTCGCCAATGTGCTGGCGATAAGGATATCGTTTGGCTTGCTTCGAGCGAACAGGCACTCTTGTGTCGATCATGAAACGCCCAAGTGTTCGGGGAGAAGGAGAGCCAAAGCGCAATGGACGAGAAATGTGAGTCTGTGCATTATCGTCGCCTTGCAGGATCCGGTTCCAACATCGCCCAAGACGATATCTCAGGAAAATAGGCCTGTCAACCGAGTCGAACGAGTCTCGCTCACACAATCATCCACAACACACCCGACACTGCCGCCGTCCACCGTCAAGTCGTCCGATCACAGCCCGCCTTTGGATGGTCCATCAACAGAAAATAAAGAAATGGGAGCGCAGAAAAGCCAACGTGCTCTGCCAGCACGAGCAACGGAGTGCGTCCGTATGCATAATGGGAGAAGAAGAGAGGGAAAAGGACCAACGTCCGGGATGCGCAGATGCTACCTCGGCTGTCGGCGGGACGCTCGCAGCACTGCGACAACAGCGAACCAATGCAATGCATCGATGGCCCGTCCTCGACAGATGCCACCGCCATAGCCGTGCTAGGCTGGGCCGAGCCAGACCACGAGACATCAACGTCGCCGTCGCCGTCGCCCACCTCTGTCTACATGCCAGGAGAGGTGGGGATTGGGCCTGTGCATCGGCTGCCATTGGGCTCCTGCTCAGCGCCCAGAGAGCGCCTTTGCAGAATTGCAGTCCGACATGCGCGGGCCCAAAGATTGAGCCAGGGCCTAGGCCGATCGGCTCTCAGGTCCAGCGCTGCCTCGAATACGGCCCCGCGGGTCAGGAAATCCAGCCGACTGCCCAGCAGCCAGGAGGAAGTCCAGACGACAGGCAGTGCGACGAGACAGCCAGCGTAGACCCGGAGACACGACCAAGCATAGCGGACAGAGGCAGAGTCGTCTGCTGTCGCATGGAGAAGCCGCGGAGCAGGAATAGGGGCAGAAGGAGATGGAGCGAGGTGGGAAAGGCAGTTGGGGAGAAGGCGGCAGCGGGAAGGAAGGAAGGAAGGAAGGAAGGAAGGAAGGAATCGCAAAATGAAAGAGAAAAAACAAAGCCCAGCCAGAACACAGGCATGTCAGAGTCGGCAATAGGGAATCGGTAACGGGCAAAACCTTTCGTTGCTCTCTGCTTCTGGTCCGAATGTAGACACAGGCAGGCGGGGTATTCCCTCGTCTGTACCAATACGTGCACCAAAGCCCAGCGAGATGGTTGATCGCGGACCAGCCCCGGCGCCCACGACGGAAATGCAAATCGGCGAGAACGTGCCAGGCCTTCTCGGTCACGTGGGTGTCACACAGCCCACGCCACAGCCACTCCCGCCTGCGCCACGACCAGTCCAACCCCCCAAACCCGCTCGGCCCACCAACGAGCACGCCGCGTCTTCTGGCCCCGCACGATTGGAGGGTCCGTGTGCAGGCCGCGGATCGGGTTGTGGCATAACGGCACAGCGACACGGACGTCGAGAGCGCGGCGAATGCCGACTGTGGTTGTGATGGATGAATATGAGTGTACTCAAGATCCAGGAAAAAAGCTGGCCACTGGCCTCAGACAGGTGCTCCCTTTGGTTTGAGAGCGCCGTCGGTAGGAGGACGCCTGGATTGGCACAAGTCCAGGCGCCGCCTACCCCGCCGGTTGAAAGCCAAGGGTAACGCGGTGCTGCCTTAGAGGTCCTCGAACTTCTTGCCCTTCCAGTCTGATCGGTTGTGGAAAGGAGGGTTGGTCAGGAACATCTTGGATCCCCGCCACCACTGAGCCGGAATCGATTGACTGGTGGACTTTTCGTCTTCGGGAAGGTAGACCATCGAGGGGGCGACGTAGCGGCTGGTGTGGTAGACGGGCTCGGACTGCTCGGGGTCGCGGACAGCATCCTTGCCGATGCCGCGGACAGGGGCCTTGAGATCGACGGGCTGCCAGTCAGGGTGGGCCTCCTTCATGATCTCGTACTCCTGATTCTTCAGAGATTCGAATCGGCGAACGAGGTCTCGATCGGTCTCGGCCTGCAGGAGAGGCACGAGGCTGATGCGGCTCCAAGCCTTCTCGCGGCGGTGTTCTCTGTGCAATCACGTTGGATCAGTCCATCAGCAGCAGGACACCGTCGACGAGGTGGGACAGCCGGTGGTTTGCATTGGTGCAATGCCGTCCAGATCCGGACATGCGACATGGTTGAAAGGCCATCGCATCGGGAACATCGGAAGCGGGGCCAGCCAAATATCGACGAGGTCAGCCGATCGAATGTCGATTGCAGACGACCCGCCATCGAGGAAAGTTCGCCAATGAGTTCGGGATCCAGTATGTTCGTTCGGCCGCAGTCCACGATCGTGTTCGATGTGGTCGTTCGGTTGCGCGCGAGCATCGGGAGGATGCAATCGTCAAAGGGACGAGGAAGAGAACGACGTCAATCAGATGATGGCCGATATTGGTTTTGGGCTGGGCTGGGCCGCGCGCTGACACGGCGATCCGTCAGCAGCAGGAATCCCACAGCCGAATGACCGCATGGTGGTGCTGTTGACTAAGCCTCCCGACATTCTACGAGTCGGCTCGATGGCGATCGGATCCAGCTACTTCTCGGGCTTGGGGGGGACTGACTGCAGTCCGGCGCCGACTTGTCGTGGTCGCTCCGCCCAGTGATAACGCGACCCCTCGAAAGCGCACGTATCTTGTCTGCGGCAGCAGCAGCAAGATGCTGCTCTCTCCTACCTTCGCTCGGCGTTGGACAGCGTGAGCCAGTACCATCCGTAGCCCATGATGCCAAAGGTGACCGCGAACATAACGAGGCCAGTGGGGCCGCGCTTGGGAATGAAGCGCTGGTACTTGATGGTTTCCGGGAAGCCGCCGGCGGGAGGAAGGTCTTGCACCGTCTGAGACATTGTGGGCTATCTATACCGGGGGGGCAGGAGGAGGGGGAGGCTGGCAGAGCAATCTGGCAGAGCAACCTGGCAGAGCAACCTGGCAGAGCGCACGAAAGTTGCTGGTATGGCGAAAAGGCAAAACGCAGAGGCGAGGCGAAAAAACAAAAGGGGCGGCTGCCGGCTGGATCCATAGACGCCGGCTGGATCCATAGACGCCGGCTGGATCGATCCGGGGTGTGTGTGTGCTCCGAAGGAACGGTATCGGCCTTGGGCGATCCAGAGCAACTCCCACACGCTGGTCCATCCGGCTGCTCGCCGTCATCCGTCATCCGTCATCCGTCATCCGTCGTCTCGCATCCCGCCGCACATCTCGCCATGGCAAACATCTTCGCCAAGCGGCTGACGAAGGAGCTCCGGGATCTCAAGAACAGCCCTCCGCATGGAATCGAGCTCCAAGACCCCGGCGACGACATGAGCTGGTATGGATGCTGCTTCTGCTGCTATTCTCTGGGAAAGTCGGTATATGTGGCCCACCCACCCGCCTCACCGCCTCCAGCGAGTGCATGATGGCATTACAGCCTTGGCGGCACCCGGCCCACCCAAACCACATCCAAGCCTTTCGCAGCTGCCGTTGCTGCAGCCCCCATCCATCGCTTGGCACATTGCAATTGGGCACTGCATCCGATCATCCACGGCGGTGGCGGCCTCGGTGCTTGCGATCCTCCCTCTGCACTCACTCACTGGCCCCCGCATTCATCCCAACCGCATAGTTGGAAAATCAAGGTCTACGGGGCCTCCGGGACCATTTATTCCGGGGAAGTCTTTGTGCTGCAGGTATAGCATCGGCAATGCTGCTCGTTTCGATTTTGGGCTCGTCCGATTGTCGACGCCGTCGCTGGACGGCCCAATTCCTCGTCTCCGTGTCCGTCGCTTCGACATGACCTCTCAGCCGCCCTATCTGCTTCTCAGTTCAAGTTTATGGGCAGCTATCCCCTGGACTCACCCGAGGTAAGCTGCCGGTCGGATACGCCATCAGCCGAGTTTGGAACAAGCCCAGTCGTATCATCAAACACCGAGTCTTTGCTGTCGCAGCCTCAGCCAGAACCGCTGGCTCGAACATGGACATGTAGCTGCCGCTCTGCTCTGAGCCTCTCACCGACGACACCGCCTGTCGCACTCTAGGTCATCTTTATCGAGTCGATTCCCATTCATCCACATGTACGTGCTGCCGGCTCCTGTCCCACGCCATGCTTGCTTTCAGCGTCCGTTTCACTCCCCCATCACTAACCGACCCATCTACGATATCGCTCCCTTCAACGTCTCTGTCGCCATGCAGGTTTACAGGTGAGTGCATCGACAACGTCCTGTCGTTGCTTGGTGCTGCCTGCCGAGACAGAGTCAGCCGATGTATAGCTACAGCCAAGCAATGACTACCAAACGATGGATAACAATGCTGATTGGCTCTCTGCTTGGTTGTCAGCAATGGCCACATCTGCCTCTCAATCCTATACGATCAATGGAGCCCCGCTCTGACGGTCAGCTCAGTGTGTCTATCGATCCAAAGCATGCTCAGCAGCTGTACGAAAAAGGTCAGACAAGGCAGATCGTCGCCGCCTCCATCAACCCACATTTGCCACCGGCAGATGCCCCAGCGCTCGGCCGACGTCTTGCACTTCCGAATCCCAGCTTTCGTCTTGCCGTTGCCATGGGCGCTCTTGCAGCCCAACACTAACTCCAAACACATCCCAGGAGCGGCCCCCGGATAACAACATGTACATCCTCACTGCTAAAAAGTCCCCAAAGAGCGCCCACTGGGCTTTCCACGGTAAGCACACACTGGCTGACTGACAAGCCACTGCATGCCCATCATCACTGTCACTGGCCCCCAACAACGGCAGAGGCGACTCTGGATAGTGAACAGCTTCAATGTCGAGGTGCTCTGCTTCCGGATATCCAAAATGCCGTGGCTGCCAAGCAGAAGCTGCAGTCGCTAACAAGATCATCCGTGCCTGTGTCCAGATGACTCTGTGTAGTTCGAAGCTGTCGCTCCGAATCAGTAGCGCAAGAAAACGATGAGGTATGTGGTTTGCAGACTGCAGAGTCTACGAGTGTACTGATCAGTGTTCGCTGCTTGATCTCAAAAGCCTTCAGTTTCTGTGGACTGGGTGCACTTCCGATATGAGCACTACCAGCACATTGACCATCAGCCCCGTTTCCAGATGCTGCCTTTTGGATTGGAGTGAGACCGGCACTCGCGGGCACACGGCTGTTGCGGAGAGACCCGATGGGTCCTCTGGGGATCTGCAATACAGCTCCTTATACAGTGTCCACAGAACACCATGGTATTCGAAACGATTTGCTGTCGACATAGGAGATCCTGGACACGCACGTATTGTGGGCTCGAGAGCATCATTCTCTTCCGATTTCTATGTTCGGCGGACATGGTCGACGATCGTGCGTCAAAATTAGACGATTGATGAGCACGACTCGGCGATGACTCCTTAGCCAATCTCGATCATCGTGGTGTCCTGGGGCCCTCAAGAGTGCTGGGAGTACTTTCAAATCCAATCAGCCCAAGCGTCAGCCGGCCTACGGACAATTGCATCAACAAGCTATATTGGTATCCTGTAGCCGCCGGAATCCCGCCAGGGTTCCAGGATGACTTGGAACTCTACCGCCTCCAGGCTGACTACTGAGGGATTGGAACCGTCGGAATTGTAAGCACCGCCGGTGCTCGCCTCGAGCCTTTTCTTCCCTGCTGCGCGATCTCCAGCGGCCGTGATATTGGAGGCACTTCGGCGGGGATGGTGGGCGCATCGGATGAGGCACCATGAGTCGGGCTGCTGCTCCGGGATATCCTGCCGGCGACGTCGTGCTTTCGCGCTGTGCCTGGGTCCGCAACGATGGTGAGATCGCCTCCGATTTTCCATTTCTCCAGCAGGCTAATCCACGGGAGTGGTGCAGGGAGCTGGTGAGGATGCCCTGCGCGAACTTGGAAACCAAGATACTGCGATGCGAATGAGGTTGGGAGGCGGTCGGACGGCTCCAGTTGTTGCTGGCTGGGCTCGGCAGTGTCAGATTGGCTTTGTGCAATGTTGACGCCGTGCTGCAAGCTCAAGCTTGGATCCAGAGCATCGAGTATGACCCGCATAGGCTTTGGCTTCATCCCGAGAGAGTGGCTGAGCTCGAGGTGCGGCACATGGAGCCGCGCGCATGTTGGAAGGTCCGGGTTGGGTTGTGGATGGTGGTGTTGTGGTGGCTCGGGAGTCGGCGGTTTGCCGGGATAGGTCCACCGCAGCAGCTCACACACATCCTGGTACTTGGACGGTGTGCCCGGGAACTTTTCACGCAGCGCCGAGCGAGGCCCCACCAAATCCTGTCGCAACAACGGGCAGTTAGTACACTTGACGATGTGCTTGTCTATCCCTTTGACGACGTGCTTGCCTGTCGTTTTGCATTCCTCTCAGCTGCCTAATGCAATCACAACGACACTGGAAGAGCAAGTGTGGGAGTCCTCGAAGGCAGCACCTACTTTGGACAACATCTCGCACGAGGCCAAGGCAGGCGCTGCTCTTGATGGCAGACATCTGTAGAACTGGTAGCTGTGTGTCCGCCTGGGCTCGCGCTGGGGCAGCTTGTTTTTCTCCAAAGGAGCAAACTCGAACGACGGCTTCAGATGCATGTCCACCAAAGCACTGTCGTCGATCATCTTGAAGAGCGAGGACAATAATGAGGACCCATTGACTGTCGACATGATGTTCCCTGGCGAGGATCCGAGGCACCGTCGGCAGAATCCGCCACATGCTGGCACCGCACTGCACCTCGACACTATCGATATCTCTGCCCACGATCGCAACACTCACCAAGGGACCACTCTCTGATTCGCTGGTAATGCCAAACTGCCGCGAGCGGTGGTGATGATTGCGCATCGGAGTCTGGGTGGGAATAAAGGTCGGCGGGCCGGACTTTGTGGTATTCTCGAGCCGCTTGACCTTGGGCGCCTGCACCTCCATATGAATATCGACGTTTTTCAGCTGCACCTTTGCTTTCTCGCCACCATCCTTGGGCTCGTCAGGCACCACAGCAATCTTTGGTCGGTTGCGTCTCCGGCCGCGGGTGTGTTTGGACTTTGCGATGGAGTCTTTTGGGGCATTGGTCCGTTCGCCATCGACTTTGGCGGGCTGACTTGCAGCCTTCTCAGCAGTTGAGGACCCAGCCTCTCTGCCGATGAAGGCGACAATGCCTTGCGGGTCGGATATCAGCACCGGCGGCTCGCTTCCGATCAATGTTGGCACCGGCGCTCCAAAGCCACCGGTGAGTCCAAATCCAACAATGTCGGGCAGAATGGAGATGCCCTCGCCAACCGTCACCCTATTGATCTCGGTCTGAGAAGGCGTGAACGTATCCCGGACGCTCCGGGACGCTGTTCGAGGAGCGAGGTTGATGGCCGAGGAGGGCCGGCTGAAGAGATCCAGCAGCACCGACGGGTCCGACACAGCATTGGCGATCCTATGCGATACCGACAGGCGGGTTGCGCTGGCTCGTGCGCTTGGCTGTCGGCTCTCTGGCCGCTCTGGAAAGACGATCTGGGTCGACGACACGGAGAGCAGGTTGTGGTGTCCCGGGCGGTGTTGGCTGTGGATCTGGGTGTGCGAGTGGCCGACAGAGTCGCTGCTGATGGCCCGGACGTCGAGGGTGTCCGAGGCAGCGGCTGGGTTGGGTGGGTTGGGTGGGTCTGCAAGCGGGTCCAGCCGATAGATGAAGCTTTCTGCAGATTTCGACGAAGTGGGTCTCGGTGCCCCAGGCTCGGGCGTGAGTAGACATGAGCCCTGGACCTCCAGATTCTCTGGGGCTGCGACTGTCGACGGTCTCAGCGACGAAGCCGTTCGCTTGGAGGTGCCTGGCCGCGAAACAGCTGGGGTACCATCGCTCGGAGTGGTCATGGATAGAGGCGAGGAAGTGGTTGTGGGCTGTGTAGTCGACCTTGCGGGACACTTGAGACAATGCAAACGATGCTACCAGCACTGGAGGACTCGACTCTGCGGATCGACTGGGCAGATAAAACAGGGCACGGCGGCGGTCCATCCGCCAGGGAGAGCGCAAAGGCATAAGCAGGCGCTGACCGCTGCCGTGGGGGACGCTGTGTCGGTCGACGACGACGAGTGGTATTGTTGTCGACGACAACTGATTCGCAGCGACGACGACGGCGGCGACGGCGGTGACGATGGCAAGCATTCAGATTGATTGACGACAATCAAGCGGCGACAGCAGCAGATCTGGGCTGGGAACAGCAACGAGGCAACAGAGGCCTACGGTGCATTCGGTTGCGAGAGCGAGCCAATGTCGTTCCCACGGCAGTGCCTCCGCCAGGCCATGCCGCTGAGGAGCAACATCGACACCAGATGGAGGGCTATCATCACTCACATGGCATACGCTGGATGGCGCTCTTGAGCCGTGTGAATCGGCAACCCACCAAACGGCCGTGCGAATCGGCAGCCCGCCCGAACCTGCTTTCGAAGTGCGCACCAATCGAGCAAGCGACAATCCCAGCTCTGTCTCGTTCTCCCCACCCGACTTGGCCGTCTGTTCCCAGTGGCTCGGCCGTGAATATCCCGCAAGCGAGCCCGAGTGTGTTCATCTTGCCGTCACGGCTACGAGTGGCGGTCCCATCAAGTGCTATCACCACTAACAGCTTTCGGTTCAAGCCGACGCATCTCTTCTGGCTCTTCTGGGGCATCGAGCATCGTCCCTACAGCGCATGGAGATAGACCCGCAGTCTGCACCACACCAGCCGCATCAACACCGAGCCGCCCGTTAAGTCGGCACAGCCAGATCGCATCGCCTTCATCCAGCACACCGTCGTTCTCGAACCCCGTCCTCGTCCAGGCCATCAGCGCGTCCACTACACGAAATGTCATTGCAAATCCGAAGCAGCCCGTCGCTCTCCTTTGCTGACTCGTTCTTTGTTGTTGGATTCGACACGAGCTCGACTCTGAGGCAGCAGAGGACCTCATCCAACTCGCTGCCGAGCGAGAAGCGAGGCTCTGGCACCGTCGAAAGCTTGCAAAAGTTTAACGAGCGACGGCGCTCGTCGCTCAAGCCAGAATCCCTCACGGTAACAGACCCTTTGGCTTGCGAATGCTTAGAGCTTGGCAGCTGGATTCCCATACGTGTGCTTGGCAGTTGGATGCCCATACATGTGCTGGCTTGATGTCCATCCATGTGCTGGCTTGATGTCCATCCATGTTCAGCCCCAGTCGCGTTGCCGATTCCATTGCTTCTCGGCCCATGAACTCGGTCGCGTCGATCGTTTAAAGCTGTCGTCCACGAAATCATATCCTCCAGATGCGGCGCTGTTCTGCGAGCTTGGATGCATTCTGGGAATCTATGTTGCCCTAGTGCGATTCTGGCGTGCGCGGTGGAGCGGCTTTGTGACCCGATGAACTTGCAATTCACCTGCTCATTCGGTTTCTTGGATTATTGCTGTGTCAACCGCCGAATGCAACAAACGTGCAGCGACCCATCTCAAAGCCCCCTGCCGAAGCGCACGCAAGCCCCGATCCTCCAAAATCTGCCCCTACTTCAGTTCCAGCATCCACAACTCCAACGGGCGCACCCAAACCGCCACATCCGCTCGAACTTCGGTTCGAAACCTCGGTGCTGTATCGGTATCCGCATGACGACCAGGAGAGACAAAAGTTTCCGGCCTATCTGCCTCTGGTAAGACCCATCTCACCGAGAGAGTATTTGGCCAACCTGGATTCAGCCTGCATCCTTTGGATCGCCACGGGTGCGAACAATCATGGCAGACAGCCTTCTGGCAGCGAGTTGGTCGGATCCAACCTCAGCAAGACTGGCCTTTGACAATGCTTTGCCAGTTTTGCTTTCCAGACGATATGCGCTTCATGCATAGCTCTGATGGCACTCCGTCAACAACACACCATTCGTTTGTAAGTTATCCACGAGCATAGCTGTCCACACGATCTCATGCTCGAGCTCATCGCCCCCTCTCGGCCGTCTCTACGTCCCTCCCCCGTGTCTCTGAATGAACTATCGACATTGACCATCATCATCGCTTCACCTGTGGCAGGTCATTACCGAGGACATGGGCGTTCGGCGGTACGGAGTCTGCCTGACCATCTATGAACGGCCACCTCCGGACATCAGGGCAGAGCTTGAAGAGATGATTCGCGAGTGGGAGAGGGCGTATGTGGTATGTATATGTGCACTGCATGTCTGTGTTGGTGATGCTCAACCCAGCGCTTTACCGTGTGTGATCTGGTCACTGGCAGAGTCATATCACGGGCACACTGGGTGCGTTCATCGCCATATATCATTGATATTCACTGGGGGGGGGGATTCTCTCCGTGCCTGCAGCTGCCCAGCGACATCGAATACTTTCGCCATCTCCAAAGCCAGCTCAAGCGCCACAAGGAGAGACTGGACAGGGCACGCAGCGGCATTCTCGACCCGGGGGAAATTGATATCGAGTCGACCGTAATGGATTCGGAGGAGCGAGTGGCCCTGTTCACGGAGCTGATCGAGCCCGTCAAGGATACTCTGCTCGCCGACATCGACAATGTATATCTTCCTCGGACCATTGGCGTGCTGAGTCACTGGCCGTGGCACAGTGTGCTCAAGGACTGGCTCTGCGAGCTGGTATCGATGTTTCGGGACTGCGGCGAGGTGCAGACCCGAACTCTTCCCACAGTTCCAATCGAAAGGTACATTCCTAGTTGGCATGGCTCGTGGCAGAGGAAAACTCGATGCCAAAAGTCGCTGAAACTCGAGCAACGGCTGGAGTCTGCGATTGTGTGCAACTCCGAGCCAGCTGCAGCCGGATTGCGTTGTCTCCCAAGACAGTGGTGAAGGGTGGTGGTTTGTAATTGCGACATGCTGCCATCGCAACCCCCGATGCGACTCCACATCACTCACGCTTGAATTTACCGCACATACATGAACGAACATGCTGTCATACCGCAGGTACCTGGTCAACCTGATCCACGAGATTCCGCTCCCTCCTCCGGGCAAACTCGAGCTTGCCATCTCGATCGGCGAGCTGCGCTTATTTTGTGCCCGACCGCCGGTCAACTCCATCTCCTCGGTCCACAACGTATGTATTTCCAATCACTACAGCTGTAGTCACCGCTCTTTGCTTTCTGATCGATGACTCTCTCGCCAATGTCCCTGCTCCTGTTTTGACACGGCTGCTGTCTCTTGCCCCTGCCGCGTATACACCCCCGGACCAGTTTTCGATGTACCCAATCTTCCGCTCCATGTCGCTCTCAAACATTGTGCTCCTCTTTGAGTTGCTTCTCGCCGAGCGCAAGATCATCTTCACCTCGTCCTATCTGTCCATGCTCACGCTGGCGGCCGAGATGCTTTGCTCGATATTTTTCCCGCTCCAGTGGCAGCATATTTTCATCCCTATCTTGCCCGAAAAGCTCCTCAATTACTTGCAGGCCCCAATGCCGTATATCGTTGGCGTCCACAGGGAGTACCTTCCAGTCTCCGACGGCGACGACGGCATCCCGAGAGACGTAAGTGCGTCTCTGTGCCTCTGCACATGAGCTACAGTCACCGCTCTGCCCTCTCAGATATACTCCCGAGAGCAACATCAACAAACACATCGCTGAGCTTTGAGAACACTTTCCTCTCTGTGGCGATGCCTTAGGCTGCTCTGATCGACCTGGACAACGACATGTGCATCTTGCTTGAGCATCCGCCAACGCTTCCTCAGAAGGAGCGGAAGAAGCTGCTCTATCGACTCCAAAAGCACAGCGGCATGAGCATCCTGCCCTACCCGGACCTGCACGCCCGAGGAGTTCCCAGCAACATGAGAGTGGCATTTCCGATTCAAAAGCATATTCCACAGTCTTGCGAATCGTATCGCACCCGACTGAACGACAGTCTCAAGGTCACGCGCAAATCCGAATTTACTGCCATCAGCCGGGCAAAGTCCAAGGAGCTGCTCGAGAAAATCACAAAGATGACGGGTGACCACAGAAGTAGCCCCGAAGGCGCTATGCACAGCAAGAATAGCTCCATCCTGTCGATCAACACCAGCCTCGACTCGTACGCCTCGCTCGCCTCGAAGCGGCTTGGATCTACGTCCTTTGACAACCTCAAGGAGAACAGAGGACCCAAAGGGAGCGAACTGCCCTCGGGTATGGACTCGATGAACCCGCACGCCCTCCTTCCGGAGGAGAGCGAGGCCACCGACCAGGTAAGGAAAGCAGTCTGACGGTGATTACATTTGCCCTTGGCTGGAAGCATACTGGCTTCCGTTCTACAGGACCGAATGCACCGATGGCACGACCCCGTGGCTCACTGCATCCGTCTCGTTGCCGGCCCCAAGGTTAGCAACCTCGGCCGGCGGTGTTCCCAGCAAGAGCCCGACGAACTGGCATCGCCGACGACCGGAAGGCTCATGGCCATATTTCGAACCGCCTCCTCGAGTAGCCGCGAGCACAAGGTCAGTTGCATCGAGTCTCCGACAGTGAGATCGCGATGCAGTTCCGAGTGAGCAGATTCGCGGAGCGGATACGAGTGTGGCGCCAGACTCGACTTTGAGCCCACAAGTACCCACCTACCGTTTATTCATAGATGCAGGAAAGCGTCAAGAAGGACACGATGCATACCTCGCCGTCAGCTTCCAGCTTGAGCTCATTTTTCAGCAGTCTAAGCCACGGCGGAGGAAATGCACTGACACGAGCCATCTCTCCGAACCGCAATCGGGAAAAGTCGCCGCTGGATGGAAGAGGCAAAGTCAAGGACGATGTCGCATATGACGACATTAAGGACGACGGACGGACTCTATCAGACAAAGAAGATCGAGTATCGCCCTTGAGCAGAAGGTTTGACAGTCGCTTGACTCTACCGTTGTGCGAGAGCAGTACTGCAAACACCAAGCAGCAGTCTCGGACATTTGGCGGCTACAGGTACTGATAGACTGCCACTTGACCCTCAGCGGAAGTACTGCGATATCACAGAAAATGGGATCGGTAGGCTCGCTGCTCAAGAGGACCGAAGGACATGCCCTCTACGAAACCACGGTCGATTCGATCCTGAAGGACAAGGCACCGGCAAGCGATGGCGGGATGACACCGACTTCTGGAAGGGAAAGAGGCTCTCTGCGGCCACCATCGACATCAAGCGGCACCGACACCTCCGAGATTGTCTGCGATCTGTGCCAGAAGGACATCAACAACCTCGTTGAGATCAAAGTCTGGAAGTGCCAGCAGTGCTCCCTGCTGATTCATGCGTCGTGTTTGGGGGCCATCGAATGCCGTCCATGCAGAGCTGTCTTTCACGAACACAAGCTCCAATCGGCGTTTTTCAAGGTGTTCACATCGCTCCTCAAATGCTACCGACAGTTCCTTGTTCTGCACGAAAAGTCCGAGAGCGCAAGCGGTAGCCACAGCGGCCTGTTTCCGACCTCGAGCAACCTAAGTCTGACGCCGAATGGGCTCCAAGATATGCTTCAGAGCGACTGGTTCCACAAGGACGACTTTTTGGATTCATTTGATCGGGATGCACGGGTAGGTCGCTGATATGAGAGATACGACTGTAACAAATCGGATACGGCAGCAGAGCTATTGATTGCGAGATATGAGACTCGGGGAGGCTCTTGTGGCCGTATGGGGCAGAATAGCATCGCGGGCAGATTTGTTTGATGCGCACTCTTGGTTAGCTCAACGGCTGCTGAGGACTTTGACAAGGAATGCATGGCTGTTGCTCACCTTCTCTTTCGACCTCGGGCAACACACTCTGCCAGCCATTCATGAATGTCTTTGTCGAGACGCAGGCGTTTTCGCAGTTTACCCTGGACCGAATCGAGCGGGCCGAGTCGGACTGGGAGAATCTATTTTTCGACGAATCGATCAAGGCCAAGCTCAATCGATCCAAGCTCAAGTTCTCGAAGGAGACCACGCCGTTTCTGGAAGACAAGTCCTACAGTATTTCCCAGACTATATCGACGATATTCCCGAATTACGAGGATATCATGATAGGCAAGCGTCTGGATGACTGTCGCTTGCACTTCATATCGTTTGCTCGTTTGCTCTCACATTCATGCCATACTAGCCCTGCATGCATACCGGTATTTCTTGTTGTGGCGACTGACGTTGATGCCTTCGACGCTGCTACCTATTGTCTCCAGCCTGGGATCCAAATCCGTCCTGCTTCCCATCATCCCTGGTTGAGGAGCTCATCTGTCCACCACGACATATACCACCACTCTTGACTCAGTCTGACCAGCGCATGATGCTCTCAAGAACAACCGAGCTGGTGCAGCGCGCTCGCTCGGCTAATAGTGCGGTGAGTCCTTGAGAGCCGAGAGCGCTGGATTTGAAGGCAGGGACCTGGGCAAACATCTGGCGCCCATAAGCTACTGGGCCCATCCAAACTCATCTGAGTCCATCCAAACTCTCCTCGAACCTTTGCATTGGCAACAGAAGCGGAATCAAGACTTTGGAAAGTGGATGAAATCCAAGCTGAAGCACTTTCAAAAGGTCGGAGGCGGTGAAGTTGTTGGCATCGGCTTTCTATCGGATGAGCAGCGACGGTGAGTTTCAGATCGAAAGTGGCCTCCAACCAGTCGCTTGGATACCCGCCACGGCATTAGGAGTAGGCGATTGATCGATTCAGGTCTGCGCGGGATACAGTACGGCTCTGAAGCCGGCTACCGAACAGCGGGCTGTGCGCATGCTGATCTTATGGTGGTTGCGATTCCCATGGTCTATGCCTTTCACTCCAGGGACATGTTTGAGCAGCGACTACGTGAGGTTTCGGCCGAAATCGACATATTCGAGGCAGCGCATTTGTCATCTCAAACCAAAGAAGACATCCAAAACGCTCTGTCGATACTACACAACCAGAATCTCCGCCTGATGTATGCTGTCAACGAGGAGCAGCTTGTCGAGAGGTGAGACTATCCGCATGGATGCTCGATTGGCAAGATGTAGCTACGGTCGAGAAGCACATATTATCGTCACGGTTAAGGTGCAACTGAGACTGAGACTGAGACTGAGACTGAGACTGAGACTGAGACTAATGCGAATCTCACTTTCAGTGCCGACGAAGAGGAGCTGCAGCGGATGCTGACGCGGCTTGTCCGAGTCATTACCATCTACCAAGACCATCTCAACTCGATGAGTCCAGACTCGGCGCTGCTGCCTTGGAAGCGAGAAGCATCGCTTGTCGAGCCCGTAGCAAGCGACAGTCCTCTGTCGATCACTCAGACTCCGGAGAGGGCACACGGACACTCGCCGCTCCAGGTGACTATTGTGGGAGCTGCGGAGGTCAGTACCACCACCGAGACCGAGTCGGACGTCATCAGCCCCTTTACAGACACGGGGAGCATCTTGAGCACCATCGACATTGCTCCGGAGCGGTCGTCGACGCGAAAGGCCCCGCTGGAGAACATTGAGGAGGCGCCGGACTCGGGCAGGACTGATCTCTCGCTCCATGTGAGCCGCGAGGATGGCCTGCACATGTAGTACTCTGTGGCAACGCTGCAGGGGAAGTCGATGAGCCGACCCGAGCAACATACAGTCAATCCAGAAAGAAATGGGACAGTCACTTTCTGGCATCGACGACACAAGTTTGCTGAACTTCGATAGGCACCAGTGGGCAAGCCATGTGATTGTTTCCCGTCCTGGTTGGCAATCGAGTGGTTTTGGTTGAGTCTGGAAGCATGGTCTTTAATACACTTGTTCGATCTCCTATGTCGATGTGGGGGTGTGGTGCATTCACTCGATGTGGGAGTGTAGTGCATTCACTCGGCCCTCTGCACAACTCCATGGTGTATCGATATCAAGATACTCGGCCTTCTCGAGTCGAGTCGCTTGGCTTCCCCGCACTGTGAGCACGCCTGGAGATCGGCTCGCTTGAATCGCCGTCGCCTGGGTGGAGCCTTTTGCTTGCGGGGAGCCATCTGAGCGAGAAAGCATCCTTGATCCAGATCCAGAACACACCACTGAATGGTCATGGCCAGTGTGTGATGTTTTGAGTGATAACATTCGTCAACGACCAAAATCCGTTTTTTTTTTATTGGATTGGCTGTAATTCAGGCTGCGGCGATAGGTCAGTCCCGGCTGCTCCGTATTGGTCCACCGGTGCGCATTGCATATTCCATATCACCGCGGGGGGAAGTTGATGGACCGGTCGCTGTGCGATTTTGGCGACCGCAGCGCCACGCCTGTTCCCAGGCAGCCTTCTTGGCCCGCCCCCCGCTCGGCCTGCGGCGTCTGCTCGTCCTGCCGGCTGCTCCAAGAATCCATCAGCCATCGCCCGTCCCTCTTCCTCCAGCACCCACCGTGCATCTCGCTCCTCGCATCCGCCTGCCGCGTCCGTTTGTCTCAGGGCAGCACTCTCCGCATCCCACCACCACTGAGCTCCCTCTGGTCTTCTTGGTCTCGAACAACCCGCCCTATCGTACTCGACACTTTGGTCGCATCGATCGCATCCGGCCACTCCCTGCACACCCAACGTGAACCCTCTCATCTCAAAACACGACCAATGAGCTCCGATTTCGCACATGCTATCTGCAAAATATCCGTCGCGCATCTGATCTCCCAGAGCGGATTCGACAAGTCGTCGTCCCAGGCGTGCGATCTGCTCACGGAGATCCTAGATCGCTACCTGATCCATCTCGTCGCGCGATGCAAGGGGTTTGCCGAGATGGGGCAGGGCGATCCCAACGAGATTAATGCCGTGGACGTATCCAAGGCATTCGAAAGTATGCGGCTGGATTTCACAAAGCTGGAAGAGTTCCTGGGCACCTGGAAGCTGGCCAAGGCCAAGACGGCAACGAAAGGAGCCATCCATCTCGACCGTGCCGAGGAGCCCGACGTGCCTTCGGCTTCTGCTCTTGCGCGGGAGCCGCCAGCATTTCCTCGGCTGGAGCCGGCATCTTTTCCTATAAGTGAGTAGGTAGTCTGAGGCAGCATCGTCCCCCCCCCGCTTGCGCACGCAACGTTGCGAGAATCACGTCGGTGGACGGCGGTTTGCTGTTGCTCGATTCACGATGGCTGCTGGCCTGTCGCCAGAGTCAGCGAAAGAGCGGCACCCCCCCCTTCCCGTCCTTGGGGTTGCGAGTTGCCTGGGCCCGCAGCATAGTTGATCTGCTCACGATCAGCGCTTGTGCTAACGGGGCTTGGATCGAGAGTCGCCTCGTCGGTCTTTATCGCACCCAAGCAGCGATTTGCCCGTCGTTTTCGTCCGCCATTGGCGATACACTTTGCGAGCCTGCGACGGCAAGAGAGCGTGCGCTGTACTAACAACGCTCTCTGTCCCTGTTTCTCTTGCCTGGCGGATAGACCTCGAGCTGGCCCTGTGCAAGGAGAGGAGACTACCTCCATCACTCGCCGCCTATTTGCTTCAAGACGAAAGTGATGGGCGATGTCCGTCCAGCCATCACCCGGGGGCCGATGATTCTGCAATCACCACGGCTTCGATCCCTCCGCACTTTCCGCCCTTTCCCGATATCGGTTCTCTGGAACCCTGCCCAACGTCACCCTCGAAAACACTGCGATCCTCTTCAACACAGGAGAGCACACCTCCCGCCGAGCCCAGCGCCTCCTCGGACCCACATACACATTATCCTGCTGCAGACCAAGATCCCAACCGCAAACAGGCGCTGTCGCTTGCAAATCCATATTCGCACACTATACCGTTCTCTGGGTCACAGCTTTGCTCATTTGGGCGGCTATACGAGCGCACGACACCGACCCCTCTCAATTCGTTCAGCACGCAACCAAGCACCGCGACGGTCTATCTGAGCCAACTCCTGGAGACCGCCATCCTGGCATCATCGCGACCGCAGCCCTCCCGAGCCGTGCTTCCAAATGCGACTGCATGTCGGCTGCTTGACCACCGCGCAACTTCTGGCACTGGCATCGGCGACGAGTGCACTATCTTTGGCGCCGATGGCGGGACTGCCGAGAAAGGCGTTTTGCATGAACTTCTCAAGTCCTCGGCTCTACCCTATATACCACAACTGCTGCTAGAGCACCCACCTGCGCCGCTGAGCAAATCGTCCAAAGCAAAGAAGACCAAGGAGGCGGCCAAGCCGAGTGCTGTGCCAATTATCGCAGCGGCGCCTCTGGTCATTCCACCGCTGTCGCCTCCTCCCATACAGGCGGTCAAGAGGAAAGACTCGGACTTTTCTGCAAGCTCACCACCGCCTCCCGCAAAGGAGAAGAAGAAGAAGCGCAAGGACAGCATCGGAGTCGCCAAGGGTGATCCAGCCTCGACTGGGGCTCTGGGGCACTCGAGCAAACCTGGCGACTCTGCCGAATCCGTGCTTCTCGGCAAAAAACCCGGGTTCTCTGATGCGCTTGAGATGCAGCCATCCGCGCGAGCCATGGAGCCGATTTACACAAACGACGACTTGGACGGCCTGGCCTCGGGATCGATGGCTCCAAAGATCAAGCTCCGATTGAATGTAGCCAAGTCATCATCAACGACTGCTAGCCGCGAAGGCGACGCCGACATGCTGTTCTCTGACCCCTTCCAGCCAGCTACGAATGGCGAGGCGGACTCACAGGAAGCCGCCGTACCGAACAGACCCGCAGCAACAATATCCCTGCTGGGCCGCCCCGTCCGAGCGGACCCCACTACTATGCATCCAATGTATATGAAGGAAAACGATGTCCCGCGCAACGTAGGTTCACCCCGCGACACGACCGAAGGCTCTTCAGCTGTACACTATGCTAATGGGCAGCATGCACAAGGTCGTCTACCCGAACCCAGTAGTAATCATAATCTTAACCATCATCCATTGCTCCTCCAAGGCCATGATTTACCCGACTCCCGGCACAGCCCCGAGATGAGCACCCAACAGGCGCATCCACCATCGTCCGCAGACACGCTCGGGCCTCTGGAGCTTCAGCCAAGCCTTATCCCCATCTCCGAAGTGGGCAGCCAGCACCCCGACGCACGCGAAGATGTAATCCGCTGTATCTGCACCAGCCCTACTCTCGACGACGGACTATTCATGATTGCCTGCGATGCGTGTGGTATTTGGTTTCACGGGCGATGCGTTGGGATCGAAGCAACGACCGGAGTCGAGGAGTGGCACTGCGTGCGGTGCCACGGAGCTATGATGACTTGAGCTCGGATGTGCGCGTCGCCGACATATCCAAAGCTCTTCCAAGAGAAAGAGGCCCGCGCTGCTTGGTTCAGTGGGGAATCGATGGACTGCAATACACTAGATCCGTTCACTGCAGCGTCAGCGCACCTGCTGAGTGCCGAGCTCGTTGACCGAGTGCGCCCTGATAAGCGCATTCTGGTCGTCGTAGAGTTTGACTCGGCACCAGGTGCATTACAAGCAACGCGAACTGCAAGGCACAGATTTGAGAGCGTTGCCAAGCGTCCCGTGTGGACACACGGACCCGGCGTCGACTGGGCGGTGGCCCAGGTTAAGGGCAATCCAATAAAAAACGGGACACCCGGGTTTTTGACCATTCATCGAATATTTTGTTACCCAATGTTATCGCGCACTGGCCATGACCATTCGCCACACATCCGACTTTCGCACCGCCGCATTGCGATGCTACGCCCTCATCCATAGCCTGCGTAAGGTCGCCTCCATATTCAGTGTATCCAAGAGCACCATCCATCGATGGCACTCCGAGACCAGTGTGCAGGTCGATTGTGGAGACCGGAGAGTGACCGGTGATGTTCACTCGGAGGCTGCCAAAGTGATCTGTTTTATTTCTTGTGGCTTTGCTTGACGCAAGCACAGCACATACTACATGTTCATGGAAACGGCTATATTGTCCCGTTTTTTTCTGAATAAAGTGTAAGGGCAAAACTAGATGGCGCACACAAACGGACTTTTGATCTGATATATTCGCACCGCTGACTACGCTGTCGCTCGGCCTTCAGCGCTCCACAGCCTGCGCACGACCAAACTCTTTCTTGACTCTCTTTTTGTCGTCATTGGTGTCGCTGCTGCCGCCGGTGCTCATGTCGAACCACTGGTTGGGATGCTCAATCGTTTCAATGATCTCTGGGGCAGTCGCCCCTGCTTCTTCGCTGGAGCCTGCCCGGCCCGACTTTGCAGCCGCCCCGTGGGTGAACTCAAAGAGGCGAGTGCAGGCAATTTGGTAATGCCCTTCCTTAGCAATCTTGAGGACTTCGTTGGCGGCAGGCTCGGAGAGGCCCTGCTGCAGGAGGTTGGCTCGGAGGTTGTCTGGCGAGAAATGGCGGAAGGGGCAGCCGTGGTGATCGCCTGTGCTAGGCTGGTTGCTGGTGATGATTTTCATGCACGAGTAGGGATCGTAATTGGTTCGCTTGCCCTCGGCACCATAGTTGTGGCGGATGTTATAGGCGTACTGTTTCTGGAAGGCGTCGTCCGAGATCTTGTTGAAGGCCCTCCTCCAGAAGAGCAGGGCTTCCTCGAGCGAGAGGCCAATACCCTTGAGGAACAAACCGTATTGCATGCGGCCGCCGTGCTTGAGGTGGTTTGTGCTGCGCAGGTGATAGTGGAGATTCTGCATACAGAGCGGGAAGTGCTTGGCAAGAGAATCGATAGACTCATGCGACACCTGGCCGTCAGCGTGGGTGCGCTTGCTGCCATATCCTGAGTTGATGTGCTGGCGCGCGAGTGAAGTCAGGATCGGGATCAGGCGGTTATCCTCCTCCATCATGGGCAGCATCCGAGCGGTCTCCTCGAGTGCCTTTGTGAGCTCGTCGCGGAAGGCGTTGACGACGAGGACGCGCTGCTCGGTGTCAGGAATGAAGGCTTGGCCGCGATGCAACAGCACCTGGCGACGGGCGACGAGATCCGGCACAGTCTCGAAGGGCACCATGAAGAAATTGGCGCTGGCGGACGACAGCTGGGCGCGGAGCTCCTCGGTGCCGGGACCTAGAGACTTCACGACGGCCTCGCGCTCGTCCGCCGAGAGGGGCTTGAGGTCGAGGCCCGAGGTCTCGACAAAGCGCTGGAAGTTGATCTTGTGCTCCTTATTGATCCTGTGCTTGAAAAGCTGTACTTCTTGGCGAACAAACCACTGACGCAGGTCCTCGGTACGACAGTAAGCTAGCCTGAGGATGAAATGACTGATGTGGTCCTTGCGCCGCTCCTCCATGATATTGCGATAAACGTCGTTGGCAAGCCCGACGTTGCTGACAGCCATGTTTGTGGAGAGCGGAAGATGCTGCTTGCAGACCTCGTCGATGTAGGAAGCCTGCTGTTCCTCGCGCTGCTGGCGGATGTGGGCGGTTTCGACGGCCTTGAGGACGTAGAGACGATCCAAGGCGTAAAGTTCGAACTGGGTCAGGGTGAGCTCGAGCTGTGGAGGAAGCTTGTACATGTTGAGGGAGTGGGGATATTCAGAATGCTGGAGCTGATCGAACGAGCTCGCAAGGAGCCCACCTCGGGGCTGTTGTCGCTTCATGGGAACGGCGTGGTAGAGGCTCGAACCAATAAACTGGAGCAAGTGTCTGCAGGAATGAAATGGGGCTGGAGGTGCTGCTGGAAGGGAACGTCGCTGGGTTGTTGGCACCGTGAGCGATCGAGGCAAGGCAGCGCAACGAGGCCAAAGTCGGGAGGCGTGGATCCGCTGAAGGAGATCAGGGTGCCGACCACAGCTGTGAAAGCGGCTTTGAGGAAAACAAAAGGCCCGAGGGGCCAACGAGGGGGGGGGAGTCGGCGGTGACTGCCGTGGATGATCCCAAGGACCGCTGGTGAGATGGCGGAAGTCCGGTCGCTGGGAGGCCAGCTGAATGGCCAAGGCGGCGTGCGATTGGCGGCCGGGCAACCATTTGCCCATTTATGGACAAATGGTTGCCCGTGATGCGCAGCACTGCTGCGCGTGTCCGCTCCATGCCAAGGGCTGGTCTGCTTCGCACATCACGGCTGCCGGTGTCCATCTCTCATCAATATGGCTCGACTGGACGTCAACAACCACAGCCCGGACATCTTCGCCATCGTTTGCTTCAACGACAGCTTCCAGCTTGCCCTCGACCTCGCCACCATCGAGATCCTCCTCCGAGTGTGCAAACGAGCACGGCCTCTCCTGAGCTCCAAGCTGCCTCGCTTCCGCAGCTGGTGTCAGAATGCAGGACTGTGTCGTCCGGACGGACAGTTGCGGATCGGCCTCACACCCAGCAACCAGATTTCCCTTTCGCTGCGCTGCAGGTATCAAGAATCACCAAGTCGATCCTGGCTCGTTGCTCGGACTTATCGAGGCGATGCTGCCGCCTCGTATCTCCTAGCCATGATCCTCCGGGCTGACCTGAATGGGGGTCAAATTACCGAGTTCAAACAGGAAGCCACACGTCGGTATATCGTCCACCTCCTGAAGAGTGCCGCCGATAATGACCACACCATGGCGCAATTCCACCTGGCCGAGTGCCATCTCAACGGGTCAAAGGTCGATCGAAGCCATACCAAGGCTCTCAATCTCTATCGCAAGCTCGCAAGCCGAGGAATATCGCAAGCGCAAGTTGCTCTCGGCCAGCGCTATGAGGCTGGCGAAGGAGTCGATCGAGACTTCGACACAGCCATCGAGTGGTACACCAAAGCCGCCGACCAAGGCAGCGAGGATGGCCGGCACCACATCATGTTCCTCCGTGGCTGGGCCTCATTCATCGGCCATAGCGTCGAGCAGAGCGACATCGGTGCCCTCAGTTACTGGCAAGAGGTCAGCACCAAGTCCACCAACCCTGTCCTCAAGTCCATCGCCACACACATGGTCGGGTGGATGCATTATCTTGGCCGGGGTACCCAGCAAGACGAACTGAAGGGTGTCAAGATTATCCGAGAAAACGAGTCGCATGGGTTCAAGCTTGGGGAAGACCAGTGTCTGGGGTCGAATTGGAACTCTGTATCATCTGACTCTCATGCAGCTCACAAGTTCTTCGAGCTATGTCAGCTGGGTTCAGACAAAATCTGGCTATGCAAGCACCTGATGGCCGTATGTTTGGTCAATGGATTCGGAACCGCGCAGGACCAGAAGAGGGCAGCAAATGCATTCCAGCAGCTCGCCAGCGAAGGTCACGCCGCCAGCCAGTTTTGGCTCGGAGGTTGCTACTACAATCACTGGGGAGTGTCGCAGGATTACCGACAGGCATTCGAATGGTACAACAAGTCGGCCGAGCAAGACAACTCGTACGGGCAGTGGATGGTTGGTTTATGCTATTCCGGCGGGGCTGGGGTCCTCAAGGACGATAACAAGGCAGCCGAGTGGTTTCGCAGGTCAGCCGAACAGGGCAATCGGTGTGGACAAAACGCCCTCGGGCGGTGCTATAAAGATGGCAAGGGCGTCGCTGAGGACATCGAGACCGCCGCTTTCTGGTATTGCAAGGCCGCGGACCAGGGCCACCTGTATGCCGTCAAAGCCCTCAAGGAGCTTGTTTAGTAGCTTTTCAAGAATGAATCTCCGGGTACAAGCTTCCAGCAGCCATGTTGCGGCGCTGAATAGGAACCCAAGCAAACCAGCCACAGGCGGAAACTCCCAGCCAGTACATGGTATATCCATTCGATCGAACAGGTAGCATATATTCAGATGGTTTGCTCAGTTGGGATCGCCAACCCAATGTGTCTGTACTCTGAAGTTGAAAAATTGAGTTTTTCAGGGTCCGTGACGCCCTCTGCTACCTGATATTTGAATATTCGGAGGACTGCAACCTCGAAATACGCATGGGAAACTAGGTAATAGTAATGTAAGCAAGAAGAATACAACCGCGAGAGTAAAGGAAGGGACTGGCGCCCAGATCAATTGGCGACGTCGGTGGAGTTCTGTATGTCAGTTGCGGCCGGTGCGGGTGACCGCGCTGGTCTCGGGATACTTGATCTTGAAGGGCGAAGACGGGTCCAGGGGATCGCCCAAGAAGCGAACGTGGTGCAGATAGTTGAGACACTTCTCGACAACCTCCTCCAGCGAGGGACAGGAAGTCGGGTAGATCGAGCGGGTGTTGGTGTTGTCGATCTTGAAGGACATGTCCATCATGATGTGCATGAGCGGGAACAGGGCGTTGCTCTCGACGGCGGGGTGGGAGTGGAAGGCCTCTTTGAACTGCTCGCGGGTCTCGAACAGGATCGGCCAGCCATGGTCCCTGACAATCTCAAACAGCCGGGTCTCGGAGATGACACTGCGGTGAGTGAGTGAGTGAGTGAGTGAGTGAGTGAGTGAGTGAGTGAGTGAGTGAGTGAGTGAGTGAGTGAGTGAGTGAGTGAGTGAGTGAGTGAGTGAGTGAGTGAGTGAGTGAGTAATCAGAGTCAGGATCCACCATCGACACCATACCATATCGCACACCACATCACACATTCCTCACCTGTGCTCCGAGTCGCTGATGTGAAACACAAACTTGGACAGGGACTCCTCCGTGCCGGCAATCTCGGCAACCACCTTGGCAACATGGTCAACGGGATCCATGGTCAGGGTGACGGGAGTGGCGTGCGAGGGAGCAACACCGAGTTGGATGCATCCCTTGACATATCGCCAGATGTAGTCATCAGAGTTGGACACTGGGGCAATGGAGGGTGTGAAGGTGTCAGTTGGTGTCAGTTGGTGGATGAGTGGCACTTGACAATCGAGACCATCGATTCATGATCAGTTCATGGGGACGAATGAGACATCTCCATCACATCATATCTCCATCACATCATACCACACCACATTCGACTCACCTCCGTACTGGCTGTCGCCGGCAATGACGGCTGGACGAATGATGGTCACCGGCACTCCCCTCGATCGTGCCTTGTTGACCAGCTGCTCAGAGACCCACTTGGTCTGGCCATACCCGCCAGAGATGTTCCAGGCCGAGTAGATCTTCTCCTCGAGCGGCTTGTCTGCCTTCTTGGCCATCGGGATCGTGCCGATGGTCGAGATGTAGTGCAGCGGTTTCAGGTGGTGGGTTGTTGCCAGTCTCAGGGCCGTCGCCGTACTGAGGACGTTGGGTCCCCTGAGTCTGTCATAGTCAAACAGCCAGTGGACCTCGGCGCCGTTGTGGACAATCATGTCGGTCTCCTCGCTGATCTCCTTCCATCGCTCGTCCGAGAGTCCCCACTTGTCCTGCGACAGGTTGCCGCACAGTCCAACGAGTCGAGACTTGAGGTTGTGGTCAAGGAAGGCTCTCTGGCTAGGATCGAGGACCAACTTCTGAGCCGTGCTGATGATGCGCTCGACAGCCACCTGCTCGGTCGGGGCTCGGACCAGGCAGTAGATCTTGGCCCGAGGGAACTTGTGTGCCAGCTCAAAGACCAGGAAGGCACCGAGGAAGCCAGTGGCACCGGTCAGGACGATGCCGCGAGGGTCCTTGGGATAGACAAACGGAGGAAGACCCTCGGCCGTCACACTCGCATCGTCGAGCTTGGCGGCCTCGGCAGCCAGATCAACTGTCGGCGGAATCATCGGTCTGTCGTCGAGGATGTCGACAACTAGCTGGGCGACATCAGTCGGTGTCATTCCGTTCGACAGGAGGATCAGTGGCGAGACCTCGACATTGAACTCGTCCTTGATGGCGAGGGCCAGACGGCCGACACTCAGCGAGTCAAAGCCGACGCCGCCGATGTAGTAGTTGCGGCCGTCGAGGGCGGGGTTGTCGATGATCTGGCTGCCAAGTGTGGATATCTTGGCGGCAGCGCGGGACAGGGGAGTGTTAGCGAGTTTCAGGGGAGGGTACTCGACCGACTTGCCGAACTGATCGACATCCTCGGCGATGCGCCTGAGTTTCTTGAGGTCGCGCTTGCCCGAGTCGTTGAAGGGGAACTCGTCGAGCTCGAAGCAGTTGTGGATCGGGAACTTGGCGACGTTCGTCAGCGCAAACATGTCCTCGGTCAGCTGCAGAAGCTCGGCAGGAGTGGGGTTGACCTGAGAGCCCCTTCTGCGGACAAAGAGCATCACGATCTTCTTCTCGGTGGTTTGGATGAAGGCACAGTCCGAGATGATCTTGGACATGTTTTCGTTGGCCAGTTCCTCGAGGGCGTTGAGGTCGACATAGACGCCGTTGACCTTGATCTTCTGGTCGAATCTGGAGTGATGGTGTGAAGTGAGGGAATGGATGGCGTGAGTACTCGGGATGCAGGAGTGGGATGTGTAGTCAGGATGCCAGATGTGCAGTCGCCATCAACGAGAGATGCAACACCCGGCCATTGACTTACCTTCCAACCACAGTGAACTCTTTTTCGCCAACCATCTCGACCCAGTCCATGGTGCAGACACGGGGCGAGCCATCCTCGAGGAAGCCGAAGGGTGCGAGTTTGTCATTCGGATTTGCATTGACAAAGTTGGGGTGGTTCTTGATGGGATGGTCCTTGTCGACGGCAAAGACGAGTACACCACTCTTGGAGATACTCTGGTCGACAATGTTGCCCTCCTCATCAAAGAGGAGACAGCGCACTCTCTGATTATCGAGTTTGTAAACTAGATCCGAGGCCTCCTTCTCGGATGGAGACAACTTGAAGAAGGCAAACGCACCAAGCAGTGCCCCCTATATCACCATACGCTCAGTCAGATGAGATGTCATTCTGCTCACTGATGATTGGAAATGCAATAATACCTCACTACAGCCATATCCTGACTGAAATTCGGCTCTCGGGCATAGTCTTCTAGCTTGAGACACAACCGATTTGGGAACAAGCTCGGATCCAGTGACAACCCGGTTTACTTTCAACCACTTTGCGCTTGGGTTATACCGCAAAGCAACGTCAAATAGCATTTTGAGGAAATACGGGGTCTTTCCAGAGAGCAGTCAAGTCAGGTCTTGGTTGCCGCACCAGAATACCATCGTGCAGTTCACTTGGCGAAATTACCATGAAAATGTGCTGTAGGCCATCATCCAGCATCCCGACTATGCTCTGAGTTTTTTCCATGGTGTTGGCAGTCACTTTGGGAATCCACAGCGACCCCTTCAGGTTGCAACTTCCAAGTACGTTGAGCATCATAACACCGAAAGATGGAGCCTAAGAATCATTGCAAATACATTAGTGCCTGCTCAACTCTGAAGCTTTGCTGTTGCACATACTAACTTGAAGTAGTCCAACGCTGCTATAGGGGATGCCTATGGAGCCCTTTGTCGAGCGGGCTCCGGTGTGGGACACAGGGTATCTGTTCCAAAGGAAGTTGTGGTTAGGCTCGCTCCGTTCCACGAATCGTCCTTAACACATGGTTTCATCGGTTCGTATAGAGCATATCGACCTACGTCTTTGGGACACCTTTGGGGTATAGAGCAAGCTGTCATTAGCCTCCTGGTGACGTGGCTTCGTCATACTTATCACACAGTCACAGTGGCTACACGTACCTGTCGTTCCAGAGGTGCATGCATACACAACGAACTCATCGAGAGGCTCGCAGACTTCAAGAGATGGGGGTGGAATGTCGTCCAACACCGGGAAGGTGGTAGCATCGATCAGCGTCACACCCTCGGTGCGGCCGGGTTTAGTGTGGTGGTGGAGAATGTACTTGATCGCATGTCTGTCGGTTGGTGATGTGAGTGTCAGATCGGGATCGAGCATAGCTGGCTCGATTCAACCCCCGGACCAGCCTGCTCATCCTCACGACAACATGGCAAGGACATACCTCTCGCACAGGGCCTTGCGGGCTGCAGGAGGCAGGTTGAGGGCAAGGTTGAGTGTTTTCCTGGATGGAGTTCAAAGGACAGGTGAGACTTGAACCTTGTCATGGCACGGAACAAGGGTTGAACATGTCCCTTGCTTGAATCGATCTTCATGGCCCCATATCACAACATCACACCACACCAATTGCGAATACTCACTTGCCAAGCATCCACACTGCAAACAGGTACAGAACCCAGGCAGACTCGCTTTCGCAGTATGTGCCGATGACCTCGTGGCCATCGTCGTTCCAGCCAGGGAGAGCCTTGAGGGCTTGGGCGATGGAATAGGCTTGCTTCCACACCTGGAGATAGCTGAAGCGCTCCGAGGCGCCGTTCTCGTAGGTGTTGATCAGGAGGGCATCGGGTTCAGCGCGAGCGGTGTTGACGAGGCACTCGACGGGATGGAGCCAGGGGCCAAAGGGATCGGGCTGAGGACGAAACGTTGGCTGTTGGGAGACAGGGGTCTGCGGGGAGACATCTCGGTCCTTGGGTGGGGTTGCGAGTCCTCCGAAACAGCAGGAGAAGGCTCTGAGCATGGCGGAGAGGTGGGATGAGGAGAGACAGGAGGCAGCAATCCACGATATGCAGACGAGGCCAGGAGAGCGACGGTGGAGCCAAAAGGGAGAAAGGAACTGAAAGCTGACGAAGGAAGGCGAGGGAGAGGGAGGGGGACAAAAGGAAATCACGCCGGCAAGGGGGGTCCGCCACCAAGGGGGACACTGGGGGAAAGACGCACCAGTATATTGTGCGGAGTGTGGTTCAGTCGGCGATACACACGAAGCCTGCTGTGCACTGTTGGGCACAGGTCGACTCTGCGATGTCGCCCCACCTCAATCTCTCCTCGCACAGGTCACGTCGTTCTCGGTTACTCTGGATGAATTCTCATTCTCCAAGCCCATAAGAGGAGGAGGGGCGTCCATCCGGCTCTGCTTTCGTGCGGTCTGTTGCGGTCTATCGGAACGATCATCTGAAAGTGTTGCTGCTGATGATGTGGTGTGGTGACAACGACGGTATAACGATTATATATGCACTTGATCTCACCATGTTATCGCATGGTTGGTCCAGTCAATAGGTGGGTCTTTATTAAAGACTTTGCCTTAGCGTCCCTTTTGGGCTCTGGCACTGGGTGTTGGCTTTGCCAACCGGGACATTTGGGTCGTCGGTGTACAGCTCTCTATCCCATGGGGCCTGTTTGCGGAGGGACGGCGATGTCAAGTTTTGCCGAACTCATCCATTCAGTGACAGTTTGGGACTCCAGCTCCGGCTTCCCTGTCCAAGTGTCTGCTCATGCGTCTGGGAGGGTTTCTTTCTCAGGTACTTGTTTGCTGCGATTGGTCAGCCCGAGGGGCCGCTGTCCACGACAGACATTTGGTTGCGATGTCATCCAGCACCGCCACGACATCCAGCCAGATCGCTGGTCTGTTGTTCAGTACTCGGCTGCGCTTGGCACGCCATCTTCTCTGTTTTTCAGGATCGGTGGTGAGTGGTCTTGTTGGCACTCGAGCCAACTTGGGGAGTGCGTCGATTGCAAAGTCGATGTAGGTGATGCCTTCGGGGATCGATGTGGGGTGAACATATTTCTCGAGTCGGTCCTTGGCTCGGACACATTCTGCTGCATGTTTTCTGTTGACATACACCTTGGGGCCGTTGGGTCCGGTCTTTTTGCACTCCTTGTCGGGTTTAGGTGGGAAACACCCGACTCGCCACAGGAGTATTCTCCTTGCTTGGGCAACTGTTGCTACTGGCATCCGCGCTGTCAGGATGGGGTCGCCTTCCCACTTGTAGGTGCCTGCGATCGACATTACTTTCTCGGGCTTCCGCTCTTTTTCAAAACTGTGAACGATCACCGCCTTCTTGATGGGTGTGCCGGTGCCAGTTCCAGATTCAAACAGGTCCAGTCTTGTTCTGTCTGGGGAGTCTCGGTGCTGTCTCTCGAGCTCCTTCCATGCGGCGCTTCCGGTCAGCTTGGAGAGTATCTTCTTGTTTGGGTTTCTTGGGGGCAACTCGGTGATGTACTTGAGCACGTGGGATCCAAGATATCCTGGGTCGTCTTTCCTGTCGAACCACCGTCCGAAGCACTTGATCATCAGTATCTGTTTTCTGGTCGCCATGGTGTAGATTCCTGTGGCTGTCATGACAGCCGGACCAGACGCGTTCTGGCGGATGTTGAGTGCCGATCGCAGTGTGTCCAGCATGCACCCCTGTAGAGTGTTCATTATCGGGCCCTTCATGTTGACGATGGCAAGGCCGTACTCCAGACGGGGCCGGATGAAAGCCTTGTAGATTTTGACGATCAGTCCAGGGTAGACTGACTTGCTGAAGATGCCGTGTTCCTTGAGCTCTTTGGTTCGGAACTGGGCTTTGTGCTTTAGTTGAGTGACGTGGGCCTCTGCGTCGATGCCATCAGGGCCGAACTGCACCCCGAGGTACTTGTAGGTGCTGGTGACGAAGCTAAGAGGTGTTCCCTTGAGTGTGATTGGGGTCGGGTTTGCTTCCGCGGTAAGCACTTCGCATTTGGTCGGAGAGAAAGCGTAATTGTTTTCGTCTGCGTGTGCTTCGGAGATGTCAACAAGTCTTTGGAGGTCTTCTTGGTTTTTTGCTACCAACGCCATGTCGTCCGCGTACATGACATTGTTGATGATGAGGTTCCCTATTCTGGGTGATGTGACTGCTCGTAGGTTCTGTGCGAGGTCATCCATGAAGAGGCTGTAGAGGGTGGGTGAAAGAACCGACCCTTGCAGCAGCCCGATCTCCAGCCAGTACGGCCGGGATTTGGTGCCGCTCACGAGAACAGCGGTGGTCACGTTGTCGAAGAGCGCGCGTAGGATGCGGATGGTATGCGGGGGGATGTCTCGTTGCTCGAGTTTGTGCCAGAGCCGATCCCGGTCAACTGAGTCGTACGCGGCTTTGATGTCCATGAACGCGATCCACGGGGTGTGGCCGTCGTTCTGTAGGAACTTGACGATTGAATCGAGTGCGAATACCTGGTCCAGGGTTCCCCTGTTGCTGCGGAAGCCTCCTTGGGAGATGTCGATGGGGCCCATCTCCTGGAGGAGTCGGCTATGTAAGATCCTTTCGAATACCTTTCGGACAACTTGTAGCAGAGAGATCGGGCGATAGTTCTTGATGTCCTCTTCTTCGCCCTTCTTCTTCCAGATGGGGTGGTTGATGGCGACATTCCATTCTTGAGGGACGATGCCGGTCCACATGCACCAGTTGAAGAGCTGACGCAGCCAATCCGAGACTTGGTCGGTTACTGGGTGTAGGAGCTCGGCACTGATCCCGTCGGACCCAGGGGCCTTGTGTTTCCCCATGCGTCGGATGGCTGTTTTTACTTCTTCTGCTGTGATTTCGCGGCCCAAGAGGCGACTGAATAGTATTTCCTGAGGACGCGGTGTATCGTTGGCTTCTTGAACACCGAGACGACTTGAGATGTTCCCAAAGTGGGCCCGGTACTGGTCCATGCTGTCTTGGTCGTTCGGAAGAATCGACCGGTTGAAGAAGCCGCTTTTGACCTTGTCTCGCTTGCTGATTTCCTTGAGGAGCTCAGAGTCCGATTTGGTGGAGAGAGACTGGGCCCAGGTGTTGTAGAAGGCGCGTTTCTGTCGTCGTATGAGGTCCTTGAGTTTGTTGTTCATGTTTTCGTAGTCGGCCATGGCCTGCAGTTGGATTCTCGAGCCTTGTGGCGACTGGTTCACGATTCGATAAGCCGTGTTTCGTCGTTTCTTGATGTCAGCCATTTCCGGTGTCCAAAAGCCGTTGCGGGGAGCCGGGCCATCCTTCTTTCGCTTCCCAATGACGATTTGTGCCACCGCTGTGACGTGGTTCTTGATGATATTCCACCCAGATTCAACGAGGGCTTCGGCGTCTTCGCGTGCCATAGGTCCATCCTCTTGTGGTAGCCGGGTTCCCAGCTGTGTGATCTGCTCTACGACTACTGGGTGGTGGACTCTAAAGGCTTCCGTGTATTGCTGGAGGGTTTCGGGATCTTCGAGCTTGTTGGTTCGCCACACGAGGATTGGTGGGCGGGCAGGCTCTCTGGCGGCGTTCCATTCAAGTTCCATCGACACCATGCGGTGGTCTGAGTTACAGGTGTCGTTGGAGTGGACCGTCACCGTCTTGGCGTTGTGTCTCAGTGCCGTCGAGACAAAGAAGAGGTCCAGTACTGAGTGTTGTGGTTTCTTCCCGTTGACGACGTGGGTCCAGTGTTGCCCCGTGGGGTTGGTCGAATCCACGAATTCCAGGAAGCCGCCCGCTACAGCTGTCCGCAGTGGTTGCAAACGGTTGGCGGTTTCATGGGTGTCTCTGCTTGTCTGGCCCATGCGGGTGTTGAAGTCGCCCATGATCACAGATGGGATAGGATTGTTCATTTCTGTGGTGTTGGTCTTGATGGCCGACAGGGCTTCTCGGAACTTTTGCAGGGCTGCCGCATTGGCTGACAGAGCAGGCTTGAGGTAGAAAGATCCAAAGACGATGCCTCGGAACTTGAACCAGATGCTCGTGTGATGAGGTCCAACGCGGAAGTTGCTAAAGTCTTCGATGTTGGTGGTTTTCGGGTTCCGAATGAGGGCGATTCCTCCGGTGCCTCTTGCGAGGCCGTCGACAGAGACATATGGCTCTCGGGTTTCGAAAACTATGAGGTTCTTGTAAGGTCCGATGGATTGCTGTGGTTTGAGCCACGTTTCTTGGACTGTTATAAAGTCGAGGTCTTTTGCTTTTACTATTTCGATAACCTCGTGTATAGAGGTTTCAAGTCCGCAGACATTCAGGGTCGCGAACCTAATAGTGGGCGTAGGTTGGGGCTGCATCATTTGCGGGGAGGAGTGGTTCCTTCGCGTCCGCCTTTTTCTTGGCGGCCTGGTTTGTTGCGAGCCAGTTCCTTCGCCTTAGCAGTGATCTGCTCGGCGACGGCTGGGTCGTTCATCTTCCGTTGGTACAAGGTCGCCGTGAGGAGGTCATTGGATTCCGCACATATCCTGGCAGCGCGTTCAATGAAGCTCTTGATTTGGAGCTTCTTGGACTCCTTCTCGGCCTCGGTGATCTTCGACACGTCCATGTGTGCGACTTCAGTGAATTTCATGTCCGTAATGTGCTTCAAGAATTCTTCTCTCGAGCTCTTGTCTCTGAGAACAAACTCACAGACGCTGTTGTTGACAAAGCTGATATTGAGAATCTGGTTGGTGGCAAAGCCCTTCTCCTTGAAAGCTTGTCTGATCGTACGGTAGCTACCCCGAGGGATACCCTTGACGTAAACCCAAGCGGCGTTGTCCATCCTATCCTTTAAGGGTCCTTCCTCGACAGGGACCGAGGATCTGATCATCCTGAATGGCGTGGCAGTCTTGGGCACCAGCCACTTGCCGTCGGTGGGGTCACGGCCGCGGAGGATGGCGCCGATGGCCTCGTTCTTCTTGCCGGCATCGGCCTCCTGGTGGACTTTTTCGAGGGCCGCCAGCTTGCGCGCGTCGATTGTCTTGTTGTCGGGCTGCTTCTTAGCACCCCGCTGGGCGGCTGCTGCGTAGGATGTCGGAGCTGGGCGTTCCGAGATGGCCCGGGACGCATGCTCCAGCTCCGAGGCGAGCGTCTGCATGCACTCGGTGGCGCTCTGGGTCAGGGCCTTGAGTCTAGCAACTTCCTCGGGTTTGCTGAGGTCCAGCTTGGCGAGTTCTTCGTTAATCTTCTGAGCTTTCTTGAGAAGCTCACTCTGGATGTGCTGAAGCTGCTGTTGGGGACTCTGCTTCTTGCGCATGTCGGTGGCGCAGACGCGCTTTCCGACAGCCCTGGCATCGGCGAGGGAGGCCCGTTGTTCGAAAAGCTTCCATCCGGCTTCGTCATGGCGGGTCATCAGGCCCCAGAATACGAGGATGGAAAAATGCTTCCCGCATTCTTCCACCTTGGTGGCGGCGTCCGGGCTCATCAGCATGTTCTTGCAGACGACCGAGTGCTGGGCGTCGTCGATACGCCAGGCGGGGGGCTTGCTCCCTCTGCAACGGGAGCATTGAACTTGGTCTGCCTTCAGAGCGAAGACAAACCTAAAGCGGCGGTAGGTGATGTCTTTGAAATCGACCGGGATGAAGTCCTGGTCGGTGAGAGTGTTGTTCTTGGCCTTCTCGAGGATCGAGAGGGCCCACTTCTTTTCTTCAACCACGTCGGGCGGGTTGGGAAAGATTGCCGAATCTGCATAGAGCTCTTCGATAATTTCTTCGACGGTCTTCTTGCGACCGACGTGCAGCTGGATGGGCTCACCATCCCTGCGGTGCTTTTTGGTGGGTGCTGATTCGGTGGCCTCGGTGATATTGGCGCTACTGACCTGATGGCCGTTGCTTTCTAGGCTGCGATTTTCGTCCGGTTGGCCTGGTTCTTGGGCAGCAGGGCTGCCCGAGGTGTCTATGGCCATCTCGTTGATGGCCGTTTGGGTCGGGGGCATGTGGAGGGGGTCGTTGGTTGAGAGTGTTGAGCGGTTTGTTAATAAAAGAGCGACGGAGAGCCTGTGCCTGTGGATCCAAAAGTTGAGATCAAGGTCAAGCTCGCATGGTTGGTCCAGTGGTAGAATTGCCGCCTGCCACGCGGCAGACCCGGGTTCGATTCCCGGACCATGCACGTTTTTTTTGATCGCCGCTCGTTGGGCCTCGTCCGTTGCTGGTGGTGAGATCCCTGACTTCGACACCGCTGGCATCGACACCTCCGTCCAAGAAGACCCAGCTGGATCTCCTTGGCATCAGCAGGGACGGCGCCCGAGACGTTGACAAAGCCTCCGCTGGTGCCCATCCACTGGCCAAAGGTGGTCGAGTCGCCAGCGGCGTTGACGGACTTGAGATAGACAAAGTCATAAGCGGGCTCGATGTCATAGGAGATCTTGGACGGTGTACTTGGCGGTGTTGAGGTTGACAAAGAACGAGAGGGTGGACTGGACATTGTCGACGTAAGGTTGGCCGACGACCAGGCGGCTGTCCTTGATGTACCAGCCGTGCTCGAGCGAGTTGTGGCGGTTGTAGAGGGCCAGGTACGGCTTGTTCGGGTCATAGTCAAAGGTGTAGTTGTCGGGCAAGGTCAGGTAGCTGCTGAGGGCAGGGGTCAAGCGCACGAGCCGCTTGGTGACGAGGGCGGGAGCATCGTCGGTGCCCCACCCCAGTAGTCAGAAACACCCTTGATGGTGACGGTGTAGAAGCCCAGCTGGGCAGGGGGAGTGATCTTGACGGTGAAGTTGGACTTGGCGATGGTGTTGACGTCCTTGGGGAGGTCAAAGGGATGCAAGTCGCTGTACATGTTGCCAGCGGCATTGACCAGGTGTGCATTGACCAGGTGTGCATTGACCAGGTGTGCGTTGACCAGGTGTGCGTTGATCAGCTTCGTTTCGATAGACTTCTCGCAACACCCACCCCACAGCCACTCAAACATCGATGCATGACGCATCTGGCCTATGTGAAAAAAGGCATCGATATGGTCATGTCGATAGAGTATGGTTTTAAGGGGTGTATTACGTGTCAACAAAAAAGGAACACATCCGATTGCTGTCAGACAAATCCTTTGATCCAATGAGCAGCGGGGGCGCAAACAGGAAGGGGGGGGAGAAGGCTGGTACCGCGGGGGAATGCAGGGAGAAGGCTGAAAGTCTACTGTGTGCAGGAAGCTGGGCCGCTTATTTGCCGCCGGTGGTGCCCATACCCATGACACTCTTGAAGGTGTCATAGATGTACCACTGGAGACCTGTGAACAGAGCCAAGCGGCGAGTGTCAGTACCACGAGCGTGACGGCGGGCGCAGCTGTGCGACTATTGACATTTGCAAGCACACGCGCTGCAGACAGATACATACCGGTGAGGGTACCGATCATGAGGACACGGGTGCCGAGACCCTTGGTGCAGAGGTTGAAGTAGCCGAACTCAGAGGCGATGGCGCCGAGAGACTTGCCCTTGTTGGCAGGCTTGCCGAGGAGCGAGACGACAGTGTCGGCGGGGTGGGAGACGATGGCGCAGATGACACCGGCGGTGTAGCCAGAAGCGAAGGTAACACCGAGCTGGGTGCCCTTGGAGTAGGTCTCCTTGGGGGCGGTGAAGACGTGGGTGTAGAAGAGCTGGACGACCTTCTCGAAGAAGAAGAACTTGGCAACGGTGTAGGGGATCTGGCGAGACCAGAGGGGCTTGAGGGAGCGGAAGGGGAAGCCGGTCTCAGCACGCTCGGCAGACATCTTGGCGAGGGCGGGGCCGAAGGCGGTGGGGAAGGTGCCGGGGACGGAGGTCTGGACCTTGACCTTGACCATCTCGAGGGGGCAGAGGGCAATGTCGGCGAAGAACTCGGCAGAGGCCGAGGCGGAACACCAGATCAGACCCTTGTATTCCTTGGAGGCCTGCTCGCCGAGGGCGTTCGAGTAGATGTCCTTGAAGACCTCATAGAGACCGTACTTGAAGGCACCCTGGGCAGAGTAGCCGAGGAAGGTGGGGGTGAAGCCCTTGAAGAGGCCAGCGGCACCCTCCTCAGCGAGGATGACACGGAGACCGCTGACGAGACCGGGGTACTTGGCAGCGTTGACCTGTGCGAGGGCAGGCGCAAGGGATTACGAAGGGTTGGTCAGTTGCAATGCAAGGCCAGAAGAGGACTGGGAAATCGAAGGGAGCGCAGGCCGTGGATTGCCAAACAGACGCCAATGGGACAGAGTCCTGGCACAGTCTATCTGCCAGCCGCGATTGTCCGTTTTGCTGAATGCACCCTCCCATGCGCAGGCCCGAGAGGGCTTGGCTGTTGTGGTCCAGCAGCGCTGCCAGACGCAGACCGCCATGCGCTGGCCGACATCCTGCGGACCAGCATCGGCCTGGGATCGGGTTCGGGCGGTGGATTGCACCGGCAGCAGCAAAGTGCCTCGGTTGTTCCGACAACAGCCCCACCAAGATCTCTGCGAGGATGTCGCAAGAGATCTACCCCAACAGGGAATCCTGCGACACCGCCTCGTTGGGCGATGAGACCAGACCCGGCAACATCGACGCGGACCGACATTGCGGTGGCAATCGCAGCACAGGAGGGACAGCACCACCTCGATACTCTGCAGAAGCGAAGGAGAACTGTACCTGCATGTTGCACTTGGTGACATCGAGGGGGGTGATGGCAGCGTGGGTCACACCGCAGGCCAGGACACCGCCAAGAACACACTTGGAGTAGTAGCTGATGTCATGAGGAACAGGGCCGGAGAAGCGGGAGTCCCACTTTTGAGGAGTGATGGCAGCCATGGCAGATAGACTTTGAAAGCAAAAAAAAGGATTTGGATCAAAGGGATCGACAGCGATGAGGGCGAAGCGCCGCGAACGAAGGGCGAGGAAAGCACGGCTTTAAAGGAGGCGGGGCGAGATAGCACAGCGCACGAGAAGAGAGAAAAAAAAAAAAGTTGCGACTGCCAGCCTCTTCTGTGGAGGGAGGCGATCGGCCCTCTGGGAACGAAAAACGCAAAAGATGCTTCTGCGCGTCGGCCAAGCCACATGCGATTGTCGACGCGGGTGCGTGTGTGGTGCCTGGATTGCTGTGGGTTGCTGGGCTATTGTGTGCTTGGGTGATTGAAGCGAATGCCCTGGGATGGTGAGCCGCTTGGACAGAGGACAGCTCGGGGATGTGATGAGCAGCTCGGATGGTCGGTGACTTGGGTGCTGGGTGCTGGTCGCTGGACCATGCGCACGCTGCGTTGTTGATCGTGCCGCTGCCCCCCGCCTCGCTCGCCTCGCTCACCTCCCTCCTCTGCCTCGCTTCCCGTCTCGGCTGGTGCCTGTGCGCTTTGCTCCGGTGGATTGCTGTTGGCGACCCCGGGTCGCACGGACCGGAACGGCGACGCCGCATCGTGCGACCGTCGCACGGGCCAATCGGCGCGCGCCGGCCGCCGCGCCTGCGGACACATCCAGGCTGGATCCGGCTCGATTGGACTCGATCCGGCTTGGCGCGCATGTGGGTCCACATGGATCTCACGTGCGTGTTGTGTCTGTCCCACCGTGGCGATGAAGGGACTGGCTGTCTTGTGCGACGCAGTCCCCCACACCGCCACTGCTGGCCGAAGCGAGTCCTGGTGCCAAGGGCCAGTGCCAGAAATAGCCTTGGGTCAAGGACGGCCCAAGCAGCGACGGCGTGGATGTGTCTGCTGCAGCAGTTATTATGATTGCTTCTGCTGCTTCTGCTGCTTCTGTTGCTGCGGAATGCCACTCATCCATCATCGCCACTACGCATAATCGTCACCATGCATAATCGACACCATGCATAATCGACGCTGCACATCGTTCATCGCAGGATACTGCTTGGCCCTCCCGCAACTCGTGGCCGGCGCCTGCTTGTACCCGCAGCCGAAATAGCCCGCTCAGGTTGCATCGGCGCGCGCTTCTTGAGACGTCCTTGTCTCGGCCTGGCGTCCTTTGCCGAGCCCGACAGAGTTCCAGTTTCGTCTGGCATGGTCCTTTCGTTGTCTGCGCTCTCTCCCTCTCCACCCGCCGATCGCCTCCCCCGCCCCGGCTGCGTCGTCCATCTCTCCAGCTCCCCGATCTGACCCCTCCAGGACGGCGGCTGTTCATCCACCAACCGAGAGCCTGTCGACCCGAGCCTCCCCCACCACCACCACTTGTAAGTTTGTGCGGGCCAGATACGGGTGTATCCTCAGCACTCGCCCCGCTTGTTGAGCGCCATCGAACCAGAGCCAGCCGATGTGCCGAGATCGGCGTTGACGCTCGCATCTGCATTTCAATCCGCTCGGTTGTATCCTCCGTTCGCCGTTTCTCACAAACGAATTGCACTCTCCGCGGCCCCGGCCATCTCTCCCAACTGCTCGTCCCGCGAACCGCATCCCAACCCGTCGCTGCTCGGACCATCTATCTTCCCACGCATCCCCGAATCGCACATCTATACCCCCTACACTGTCTCGACAACGCTGGTTTCTCGCTGTTCGCATCGCTCCATATCTGCACTACTCATCCGGACTACATCAGCAACGCCATGAGCCGCCACTACTTATCGGCTTCTGTCGCCGCCCATCCCTCGGCCCCGCAGAGTCTCTATCTGCGCTGCAATCTTCAGCCAGTCGTCGACCAAGACCGTCCCCAACTCGAGTTGGTCGAGGCCCTCACCCGCACCCGCATCTCGCTGAGGATCATCCGCAAGTTCTGGGCCTCTCAAAACTCGCTTCTGGCGACCCAGGCCGAGGGCACTTTCGTTGCGACTGCTTCGATTGCGAGTTCCCTCGATTCAGCTGTCTCGGCTGCGAGCTCCCTCGGTGCTGCTGATCTGGCTGGTCCGTCTCTTTTGCCTCCCTCGGGTCTCGATTTTGAAGACTTTGCTGCTGCCATTCTGCACAACTACCCCGCCGATCCCTCGTCCATCCAGGTCCCCACCGCTGCCCTCAACCGGATCGAGACCTCGACAAAGATCATCGAGGACCTTGCCCACTGCATCGTCGACCGACCCTCTGTCCTGGCCACCATCGTCAGCGACATTGAGGCTTGGACTCAGTATCGGTCCTTTGCCTTCAAGTACGGCATCACCTCTGTCAAGTGCACAGATGCCCCGGCCCTGCTTTCCTCGCACTTTGGCCTCTCCATTGCCTCCCACGTCTCCAAGGCCGGCTCCCAGCCCGACCCCGAGTGGCAGACCACTCTCAAGCTGCTCTATCAAGCCTTTTCGATGCGGGAACGGCAGTGGGCCGCCGAGAACGAGCGCCTCGCCATGGCGCTGGATGCTGCCCAGAACCAGCTCTATGCTCTGACAAAGTCCATCACTGATCCACTGCGCCCGCCGAACGAGCTGCTCCACAGCGACCGGAAACCCACAGGGTCGCCTCTGCGGCAGTCCCGGTCCATGCCCAGGCTGCATGCTGTCGTTGCCTCGCCCGAGGCAGCGGCCCCGTCCCAGCCAGCCATGATCTCGCCGCCCCAGTCGCCAGCCGCTCATGAGTCCGTCCGCGAGCCTGCTCGGGTCTCGCTGGGGCCAATGAGCCTGGGCGACCTCGAGCGACTCGCCACGGCCGATGTGCCCTCCCGCGACCTCCTGGCCGACCCATCCAACTTTCCTCTCAGCTTGCTGGCCAGGCCAGAGGGTCCCTCCAGCGGCGCCGGCGCTGCCAACCGGGGCTCTGTCTTCCTGGACGAGCAGGATCTCGTGTCCGGCTACGAAACCTCGACCGACGACGATGCGGCCTCGATGCCCGGCTTTCGTGCTGTGCCCTGGGCCCGAGCCAAGGCCGAGCTTGCCCAGCGGCAGCAGAGCCTTTCGGCCATGAGCGACTCGCTCGTCCACCGAGTTCCATCGTCGTCGCCGTCGGTCGGGTCCCAGCGCCGCCCCAGCGAGCGCATCATGCTGGCCTCTGGCCGGACCCGCTCGGGGCTCAGTCGCTCGGGTGCCGAGGCCACCGATGGGTCGAACGACGACAGCGACGTTGGATCTCCAACCCAGGCGAGACATCCAAGCCAAGTCCATTACCACTCGCACCCTCACCCGCATCGACAGGGCCATCGCTTCGACATCCATCCAAAGATCGCTGCAGCCGCACCTTATCTCGCCCGACTCGAAACTACCACAGACCAGGTCCACCGCATCCACTCGCTTCCATCGCAGGCCTCGATCACAACCATCTCGCCACTTTCCGAGATCTCGACTCCCAGCACCATGCTCGCCCAGTCCAGCGAGACCGAGGGCACGCCCTTCCGGGCCCACAATCGTGCTTCGAGCCCGTACATGACCATCGAGGAGCTTGCGGAAGCCGCCAGCGACTCACCCTCCGACCCCGAGATCCCAGCCCAGCTTCACACGACTTTCCGCCCGACTCGGCTTGGCCAGACGCCCGAAACACCGGCCGGGATCGTCACCGACGATGCCGAGCCTGAGCCACTCCTGGTTTCCCCTGGCGTCGTCTTTACCCGCACGATCCTGGAGCCGCTCTCGGAGGGAACCGAGGACGAGTCCGTGTCGCTGGCGAGCGGACGGGTCCCCGTCAAATCTCTGCTCGACGTTATCTCGGCCTACGACGCCGCCCAGGCCTCAAGCGAAGACTCTTCGGGATCCCAGAGGGGTGGCCGGCCCACTGTGCTATCGCCCGTGCCTCGGCGCATGCCGGTGCCGTCATTCCTGCTGGAGGCCTACAGCGACGCAACCGGCCTGGGTCGCCACGAATATGCCGAGCAAGCGCCCCACCATCCCGAGTTTCGGCCGTCGAGCATCCACAGCGACGGCAACTATCCGCAGCCGTACCCGAGCGACGACGACGACCCGCAAAACAGCGCCTTCCTGGAGCTCTACCGAACGATGCCGCACCTGAGGGGCTCGGCAAAGTCCCCGACGCAGTCCCCCTCGATTCAATCTTCCGCCCGCATTGTGTCCGTCAGCGACAACCAGAGCACTCATACCGTTGAGGACGTTCTGCAAAAGACCGAAGTGATTCCCATCGAGATCACCGACCAGTGCAGGACCGCGGCGACGTCCGAGAAGCCAGCCAAGCGGTCTATCTTCCAGCGATGGTTCCGATCGGGGCGCAAGTAGCGTGAGGGCGAGTCCAGTCTCGGTGCAGGCGTCGTGATATAATGCATGCGATGTTGCGCACCTGCCGCCAAGCCGGGTCCATGTCCCCCCCCCTTCTCAACTGCATTTCGTCCCACTTGTGTTGGCGGCGATTTTCCTATCATCATTATGTTTCCTTTCCATTGCACATCATTTGAAAGTGGGGCCATCCGCAGCCCCATCATCGCACCCTTCAACACGCCATCGCACCCATCGCACCCATCGCACCCATCGCACCCATCGCACCCATCGCACCCATCGCACCAACACGGACCAGGGATCCTTCGGGCCGTCGCTCGCTCGTCGTTCGGAATGAGCGACTGCACTTGCCTCTGTGCGTGCTGGTTGCGCCTGTTCCATTCCATCGAAACTCTATTCCCCCCTCCACGAGGATCGTGGAATCCCACAACCCCCAGCCCAACACAAGAACATGTGGTCTGATCGACTGCTGGCCCGGAGCGGTCTGGCTGACAAACACTCTCTGCCCGTGTCCTTGTTGCGCGGCGCGGCTGGGCAAAACCTTCGGCCGTGCTTGATTGTGCGTTCCCGCAGGCGGATGCTTGAGCGTCGCTCGAGACGGCTGGCGACATGTTCTTCGGGACGGCGGGTTCCATGTTCCGCTGAATCACAGACTGGATGATCTCAGATCATGCTGCTTTCCCCTCCCCGGCCATGCAATCGACGCTGCGACCATCGCTGTGGTGACGATGCCGACCGCAAGCAACTTTGTCTCCGAGCCGGCAGTGCCATCGCCGGGGAACTGTCTGGCGTCGCGCACAAGGAGCGGCCGCGGATGCCAGCCAACACAGTCAGCTGTGCTCGAGCTGTTGCCCCAAAGCCGGAAGATTCCACATTCCACTCCCCACCGCTGGGCGCCATGGGATTTCGCGCAACAAGGAATTTTGCCTATAAATTTGCCAACGTCCCGCCGTCGTCCGTTGGAACTCTGAAACCTTCTTCCGGTCGTTTCGCTGTCGTCCGTTCTTTGCTTTTTGTTCCTGCCCTTCGTTCCTCGCTCCTGTCCGGCCCCTCCCCCTGCTGTTCTGCTGCGTTTCTCATTCGCATTCGCATCCGTATCCGCATTGCATTCTTCTGCTTCCCAGCCACTGCTCTGCTGCCCCTCCGCCTTCTCAGCCTCATTACTGTCACTCTTCCATCGCATCACGTCGCATCGCATCGTATCGCATCGCATCGCACCCCATCGATATCCCGCCCCATCGCCGCTGCATCCCACTTGCACCTCTGCTCCTGCTCTGGCGCCCCGGCCCTGAATCTTGTCCACCGGCTCCGTCGCAGCCCTGCTTTCAGCCATGAGACGCTCCAGAGACCCCAAGTTCAGCCATCCCGAGAACGATGCCTCCTGGTTCTCGCTGCTCTTCTTCAACTGGCTCACCCCGATTGTCCTCAAGGGCTACCGCAACCCCCTTCAGATCGACGACCTCTATCCGCTCAACCCAAAGCGCACGTCCGATGACATGTTCCACCGCTTCTGGACCGCCTGGATGGCCGAGCGAGAGCAGCACCCGCTGCCGTCCGCCGACGATTCCGAGCCCGGCCCCAAAAAGGGCACCGCCTCGGGCCCGTCCATGACCCGTGCCCTTTGGGTTGCCTTTGGCCGCGAGTTTGTCGGCGTCTTTTGCGTCCGTGCAGTCTCGTAAGTGGCTCGCCGAGAGTGCGATATCGCATACGCATCCATGCATTCGTCCACCCGAACGATGGGCATCCCTGGCTGTGTGGGGTTGCACTCGAGGCTGTTGCTCTGGTTGTTGCTTTGGCTGTCCAGGCTCGCATCGCTGATATCGCTGGGCGCGCGAAAATATCCTCATTTTGCTCCTCCCGGCTGTTTCTTCAAGTGAGGGCTGCAACATCGCCTCTCCCATCCTCCTCCTCAACATCATCAACTTTGTCACGGCCGCCTACTATGGGACCCCGAACAGACCTGTGAGTGTTCTCCACACCCCCCCCCACGCAGCCCTGGGGCCGATTCATCCATGTAAACTCTCCGCTTCGGTCGGAAACACGGCCGGCTGATGCAACTCGGTTTCTCTTCAGGATTGGTCTGGCTTTATGCTCGTCGCTGGCTTGTTCATTATCCAGGTAATTCCATCCTGTTCTCAGGCCGTGGGTGTTTGGATGCGCCAGGCGGCTGTGGGCAAGCTCTATGGGTGAAGCAGTTGAGAGGACGGTCATGCTCGTCGATGGCCGTTGTATCGGATGGTGGCCGCATGGATTTATCTGCGCCATATTCACCATCTGCGTTATCCGGTTGTGTGGCCGCTCACCTCTCACACGGCGCATACTGGCTCGTCTTCTCGCCACAGGTCATCGGCAGTATCGCTCAAAACAAGTATGCCGAGCTGGCCTTCAATCTCGGAATCAAGATCCGAACGAGTCTCGTCGCCTCTGTGTAAGAGCCGCTACTTCCTGCGGCGACCTCTGTTGCGATCTTGGTGCCGCTTGGCTCGCAGTCTTTTGGTCTGTCGCCCACCTTCGACTCTCGATCCTTTCATCGCCACTTTCACCAAGCCTTTACTCTTCAACACCCATCACCAATATCTCTGACATGACCCACTCGATCATTTCTGACTACCAGCTACCAGAAAGCCCTCCGACTTTCCCAAAAGTCTCGCCAGGTGAGCATCGACGGCTGCATCCAGCCACCTGCCTTACCTTTCTGTGTCATGTTTTAGCTCTCCTAACTCCTCCTTGGAATCCTGCTCGGCACTTTAGAGATACACCCACGGCATGATCGTCAATCTCATGAGTGTCGATACCGTTCGACTCGATCGCACTACGGCCCTGACCCAAAACGCCATGGCCGCTCCGTTTGTTGCCTTGGCCACCACCGCCATCCTGATCTACCTTCTCGGCCCGTCCGGTACGCTGCAGCACTGCAAGCGACTCGATCCGTTGCTGGCGCAAGGGCAGAGCGGCTTCTCCATCCTCTCCATCCTCTCCATCCTCTCCGTCCCCAGGCAACATCGATACTGACTCGTCCTTTCTCATTTCCCTGCTGCATACCACGGCAACGTCCTCGATCGACACCCGTCGTCCAGCTCTCGTTGGCTTCGCCGTCGTTGCCCTCAACATCCCCATTCAGCTTACTTTCACTCGATTCCTGGTCTCCAAGCGTCGCCATGGCGCCAAGGTCACTGATCAGCGCATCAAGGTCGTTCAGGAGGGCATCGAGGGCATCCGAGTGGTCAAGTTCCAGGGCTGGGAGCAGGCTGTGTTGGAGCGCTTGCGCAAGTTGCGTATTTCAGAGCTCTCGTGGACCAAAATCATCCTCCTGACCCGAGCCATGCAGACTGGTGTTTCCACCGTAAGTACATGCAGGCAGCAGGCAGCAGGCAGCAGGCAGCAGGCAGCAGGCAGCAGGCAGCAGGCAACAGCTCTGGGTGCATTGTTTGGTTTACTTATGCACGGCATGGTTCTTTTTGGCCACAGCTTCTCCCTGCCCTCGCTGCCATCTGTACTTTCATCGTCCACGAAGCAATCAATGGCTCGCTGAATCCGGCGGTGGCCTTGGCCTCGCTTGCCCTCTTCGACTGCATGGCTTCTCCGCTGCGATGGCTGGTAAGTGGCTGCTTAGGCAGCTCGTCGGCTCGTCGACCCATCAGTTCATCGGCCAATCCCATCAATCTTATCAATCCAAAGGATCTACTTGATACTGAGTAACCATGTCTCGTTGTCATCATATGTGCCATCTCCGGACTGGACTCACTAGCCCCAAGCCATGGGCGCCATCGCCGATGCCTCTGTCTCGATCAACCGTCTGCAAGGTCTCTTCCTCAGCGAGGAAATCGTCCCGCAAAGCTACCTGCCTTATGAGCCCAACCCCGAGAAGCCTCTGGACTGGGTTCTGCGAATCGAAAATGGTCTGTTCCAGTGGGCCGAGACCATTGACGTCCACAAAGCCACCACCTCTGCTCCCGAAAAGAAGATTCGAAATCGCTTCCGGCATCGCGCCGAGGCGCACGAGATCGCACTGGAGAGCAAGGTGACCAGCCCACCCGTCGTTGCCGAGCTGTCCAACATCAACATCCGCATTCCCGAAGGCGCGCTGGTGTGCATCATTGGTCCTGTCGGCGCGGGCAAGTCGTCGCTGGTTCAAGCCATGGTCGGAGAGATGGAGAAGTTTGGCGGTCGGCTCGATATCCGCGGCAGTGTCTCGTATACCCCACAGAGTGCCTGGATTCGCAATGCATCAGGTACAGTGTCTGCCTCATGGGCAACTTTGGCTCGCAGCTGCACGCCGCCGCTGTCCATGTCTTGCTGGACATATGGCTGCGGATCGGGTCCCTTATTCGAGACCCGCCTCTTGCTGACTTTGCTCCTCTGGTGCCTCGCTGCAGTCAAAAACAACATCCTCTTTGGTCTCCCCTACGATGAGGCAAAGTACAAACGGACCCTCAATATCTGCTCGCTGGAGAAGGACATGGAGATTCTGCCCGGTAGGTCCTGTGGGAGCGGCTTAGTCATCCCTTGCCTCCCTATTTCAGCTCCGTGGCAATCCAAGGCCATGTGGCTCTGACCCCCTGGCTTTGCTCTATCCAACCAGATGGCGACGCGACCGAGATTGGCGAGCGTGGAATCACCTTGAGTGGTGGACAGGTACGATCCCGTGCATGCAGCCAGCTTGCTCGATGTGCTGCCACTCTGGCCGCTCGGCATGGGTGATTCACAAGTGGAGAGGTGCATACACAGGAAGCAAGATGGCTGCCTCGCCATTCGCCATGCGAGCCTCGGCCTGCCGTGGGCGTGAGTTTTGATATCTTGCCAACCAAGCATACTAATTCGACTCGATTGTCTATTGGCACGATAGAAACAACGAATCAGCTTGGCGCGTGCTGTGTATTTCGATGCAGATATTGTGATTCTCGACGACCCTCTCTCGGCAGGTGAGCAGCGGATTCGTTCTGCGATTGCAGCTCGACTGAGAGGATGCGTCACTGCCACTCGTAGTTCAAGACACGTCCTGTGCTATGCTACAGGGCTTCCGTACAGCTGTGCGTTCTGCATCACTGACGACAACTGCACATCCGTTTCCAGTCGACGCTCACGTCGGCGCTCACATTCTCAAACACTGCATCTTGGGCGAGATGAAACGCAAGACCCGTATTCTCGTCACCCACCAGATCCATGGTAAGTCCGCCCCTCCCCCACTTCGGCATTGCTGCTTTGGTGCATCACTGCGCTTCGGGCCTTCTAGACTAACGCGCCATCTGATGCTCCAGTGGTTGACAAGGCCGACTGGGTTATCTGTGTCAACAACATGGGAATCGTTGAGCAGGGCACATACGCGGATCTGATGCAAAGCTCGAACGGATATCTCGCTCAAATGGTTGAGCAGTACGGCCGCCAGGAGGCTGAGAAGGAGCAGAAAGGGCAGCAAGAAGAAGCCATGGTCGTAGAGACCGCCGAGGCTGCCACTGCGGAGGCTACCAATGCCGAGGCTACCAATGCCGACCTCACTATCCAGCCTGAAGAGAAGAGCCCGACAGAGTCCGAGAAGGCTGCCCCCAAGAACGACGCCCCCGCCAAGCTGATGACAGCCGAGGAGCGCACCACCGGTAGCCTCCCGATCACCATCCTCTTCAGCTACATCCGCGCGCTCGGGGGCTTCTTCCGTGCTGGTTCCGTGTTCCTGTATCTGCTTCTCTCCCAATCGTCTAACGCGGGACAAAATTACTGGCTCACGATGTGGAGTTCCAAGGTAGGCGATTCCACTGACCAGAGCTGGTCTGGTGCTTGTTACCTGGACGTTGTATTTTGTATGCTGCCGAACATAGTATCAATGCCTGATCGCACTCCAGTCCAAGCAGCAGCAGCAGCAGCAGCACGACGTCTCCGCGGTGTTTTGGCCCATTGGTCTGCCCGAGTTTGACTCACACTCTCTTTTCCTCCCGCGATCCCGGACAATGTCAAACAGCAATACCCATTCTCTACTCAGGTGTACATGGGTGTCTACGGCGGTCTTGGTCTGTTTCAGATGGTCATGGTTATCTTCAGTGGCTACGCTGTGGTCACAACATGCTTGCGAGGTGCCCGTTTCCTTCACGACCGGGCCATCCGCAAGGTCTTCCGCTCTCCCGTCACATTTTTCGACACTAATCCCGTTGGTAAGACATGGTGCAAGACATAAGCGGCGCCGCTTGTGGCTGGTTCTCCACTGCTTTGACCCTTGCTTTGCTGGGCTATCTGTCTGTTCATTCGTCACCGAGCCACGCTCATGCATCTTTGCTGTTGCCCATCCACAGGCCGCATCATGAATCGCCTCAGTCGCGACGTCAACGATGTGGACAATGAAATCCCTGAGGTATGTGTTTGGAAACACTGCGGCAATGGTGGGCGCTTCGTCTGCCCTCTGCCCCTCCCTCTCACGTCTTGAATCGCGGCGAGGCCGATTGGCGTGCATCCTAACCAGATGTCATCATTCGTGGACACCCCAGAACTTGAGAATGTTCATGGACAACTCGGCCGCGCTGCTGGTGGTCCTTGTTATGATTGTGGTTGTCTACCCCATTTTCCTCGTGCCGCTGGTGCCCATCGTCTTTGTCTTTTACATGATCCAGAAATACGTAAGCATCCCGCTGTCTGTCGCTCTGGTGCTTGGGTGCAGTCGTGAGATTGGTAGCTACCCGAGTCGCGATTGGTATCCATGGTATCCATGTTATTGCCGCCACGGCCTTGCGCCTTCTGACCCAACCGTCGTTTCGCAGTATCGCACCACCGCTCGCGAGCTGAAGCGCTTGGATAGCATCAGTCGTTCCCCACTCTATGCACACTTTGGAGGTAAGTTACAAGCTATGCGTGCGTTCTTCCAGCTGCAGCCATATCTAGTCGTTTGCGCATGTGCACCACACATTCCCTCATCCTGACAATGTGCTGGCTCCCGGCGCACAGAAACCCTGAGCGGTCTAGCCACTATCCGCGCCTTCCGAGTCCAAGAGCAGTGCATCCAAGAGAACAAGCACTACATCGACTACAACAATCGGGTCTACTACATCCTCTCGCCCATTCGCCGTTGGCTCGGCGTGCGTCTCCAGATCCTGAGTGCCATCGTTGTGCTCGCTGCCACCCTGATCTCGACCCTCTCTCGATACGGTACCATTCTTCCTTCCATTAGTGGACTGGTGATGACCTACTCGCTCCGAGTATCCTCCAGTCTCCAGATCCTGATGTTCCTGATGACTGAAGTCGAAATGCAGGTAATGCAAGTGTGTGGCAGGTGCAAAGTGAATCGGCGGTGTATATCGGCCTTCTTGAACATGCCCATGGGCTGCCATGGTCTGATATGCAAAGACAGCCTCGACAGTCTCCACAACAAGCGCTGTCCGGACAGCTAACACTCGGGCGCTCTTGCGATGCTACTTCCACCAGATGAACTCGGTTGAGCGCTTGGCTTACTATGGCGAGGAGCTGGCTGAGGGTGAGTTGTCTGTGGGCATATTGCGCACATCAGTCACCCAAAGGGACATATGCACCCCTGATCTGCGCTTGCATTCCATCGCTGTCGATCTGTATCCGGTACCTGAGGCTGACGAAATGAATTGCTCTGAACGGCACTGCAGAGGCGGCCGAGGTTATCGAGGGCAATCGCCCGTCCAGCGACTGGCCTGCTGCTGGCGAGATCGACATCAAGAACCTGACCCTCAAGTATCGTCCGGAGCTGCCGCCTGTGCTGAACAACGTCAGTCTCAAGATCAATGCCGGTGACAAGATTGGCATCGTTGGAAGGTGAGATTTCGGATCAAGCCGCGAGTGGTTGGGCATGGGGAAACAGGGGTGTGCGGATGCATCTATGGCCGTGATGGAGTGGCGACCGAAGGTGAAACAACTCGATATGGAAATGTGATGTGTGGATCTGATGAGGCGAGGGCGTGGCCACGGCCAGACGGTAAGACAGGACTGACACGCAGATATCCGGTATGCTGGCCTGCTCTATGGCCCTGATTAGGACCGGCGCCGGCAAGTCCACTATCCTGGTTGCGCTTTTCCGCTTGATCGAGATGGCCGAGGGACAAATCATCATCGATGGTGTCGATATCTCCAAGATCGGTCTGCACGATCTGCGCCGCCATCTGTCCATCATCCCCCAGGGTAAGCGGCGCAGTGATTTCAGCTGTTTGCGTGGGATCAATATGCTTGAATGCTTGGCGCTGCTTGGCGCTGCCATCGCGGCGTGGTGCTGCCTTTTTTCTGACACTGACACTGCCTCCGATCTTCCATGTTGAATGGAACATGCAGACCCTGTTCTGTTCTCTGGCACGGTGCGAAGCAACCTCGATCCCTTCGACGAATACTCTGACCAGGAGATCTGGGACGTTCTCAACCGCTGTGGCGACATTGGCAACACCATCAGCACCAACCCAGGCAAGCTCGAGATGCTCGTCAGCGAGCACGGCGACAACTTCTCGGTCGGGCAGCGGCAGCTGCTGTGCCTCGGTCGTGCCATGCTCCGGCATTCGTCGATTGTTGTGATGGACGAGGCCACAGCCTCGGTCGATCTCGAGACGGACCGCCTGATCCAGGAAACCATCCGCAACGACGAAAAGTTCAAGCACCGCACCGTCGTCACCATTGCCCACCGACTCAACTCGATCATCGACTACACAAAGATTGTCGTGATGGGCCACGGCAAGATCCTCGAGCTCGGCGCTCCCTGGGAGCTTCTGGAGCACGAGTCCTCTGAATTCCACAAGCTGGTCATGGAGACGGGCGAAGCGAACGCAGAGCTGCTGAAGGATATGGCTATCAGCGCCAAGGAGGTGCAGGCCAGCCAGCAGTCGGGCGCCCAGTAAATCCATCGCCGAGGCATGATACCGGTCCTCCAGCCTCGTTCAATGCCCTGTCCCGCCATTTACCCCCCCCCAGTTTGACCGTTCCCCCACACATGGTGCATATACGGTTACGCACTTCTTTCATTTGTACCGCTTCAGTCAATATCTCCAACAACTCCGGTCTCGACAGTGGTCTATGTGATTATGTGGCTCTGCGAGCGGGCGACCATGCTCCCAAAGAAAGAGAGCGACCATGCCCTCAAAGAAAAAGGGCGACCAACCCGAGCTCTTTCAAATTGATTCCATTCCATATCATCTTCATCTTCAGTTTCATTTTCAGTTTCAGCCTTAGCTTCAGTACCAGTTTCAGCCTTGGCTTCAGTTTCAGTTTCCATTTTTTTCAGCTCGAGCACCCGCATCGACCCCATTTTCCGCTTCCTCTTTCCCACTCTGGTTGCCCTGGCACACCTCATGCTCTTCAAGTCTTTGGACACAATACATTGCAATATCCCCCAAGCTACAGTGGTGTGAACGTCGCTCATCCTTGGTCGCTTATACTGGTCGTTGGTCACCAAACATCGGCTTGCATAAGCTACCACATGCGCCTATATTCATCTCGATTTCGATATCGATTCCATCCATGTTGTGCATGTCATCCGTGAAAGCGCAGGCAGTCGACCTGTGACAAGAACGCTGTGCGATCGATTTCTGGGTCCAGGCTGGAGGCACTCGTGGCAAAGTTTGTGATTCGTCTGAGCTGTTCGTTGGCCAGGAGCGACGACCTGTGGGCTGTCCAGCATATCCGCTCAAGCAACTCAAAAGGAAGAATCCAGCGGCATCGCAGCATCAGGGCTCTGGCTTGCCGCAGGACCCGCACCGACGACTGTTGTACCAGGGTCTTGATGCCAACATTCTGCTCGATGCGGTCGCGGATTTCGGTAAAGAGGCGGTCGATAGAGCTGCTTGGGACCGAAAATAGAGCCAAGGCCTCGAAGTGGATCTGGAGCAGATTCCGGTTACTTCTCAGACATCTCGCAAAGGCAGACAGCACCAGCTCGGTGGGATCGGCGTTATCGGCCAGATTCAAGCGCTCGAGGCGAGAGGGGCCGGGAGCAGCCTGGATCCGGGGGGCTCCGCGGAGTGGGCATTGTGCATCCAGGGTTGAGTTGCCTCGGGCTCCTCGGTGAAAGTCGCCGGATGCGGGTTTCTGGGGCGGCGCTCCAGCCTCGAGATTGTCGACGAGACGAGGATCTTCGAGACTGTGGGCCAGGGCGACCAGGGCTTCCTCGCCAAGATGATTGCCGGACAAGTCCAGATCACACAGCGCCGGAACACTGTTATTTCGCAGCAGTTGGGCCAACCGCACGCCTCCAACCGAGGTAATGTAGTTGCTGCCGAGGTGAAGTCGAGCGAGGCGGACAAAGGAGTTGGACTCCAGGTATTCGCAGAGCAGCTCGACACCGTCGTCGCCGACAAGATTGCCCGTCAGATCGAGCTCTGCGAGCCCATAGATATACATGAACTGGCAGAGGTGGGCAACGGCGCCATCGGTGATTGTGTGACTGTAGAACAGCTTGAGGGAGGCGATGGGTCGTTGACTGGGCGTTCCTGCTATCAGTCGACCAGGGGGCTGCAGCAGTGCGGCAGTCACCAAGGCGGACCAGGCTGCCGACGATGTTGTCGCTGGGGCGAGGGATTGCGGGACGAAGGATTGCGGGGTGAGGGATTGCGGGGCCGCCGATCGGTCTGTTGCTGGCTGGCAACAAGCTCGGCAGAATTCCTCGATCGAGATGTCGCTGAGGCTGTTGTCTCCAAGCCAAATCTCTCGAAGCCAGGTTCCGCAGAGACGACTTGGATGGCTCGTTTGGCGTATTGGTTGCGGTGGATCCCTTCCCAGCCCAGGGCCGCTCGCACAGGCATTGTTGATGCGCAAGGCGTTTCCCAGAGCCAGCAACCCGTCCGTCTTGATGTAGTTGCCGTTGAGTGACAGAAGCAGCAACGGACAGAGCGGATGGCCGACCAGCTCCCGAGATACTATGACACAGCCTTTGTTGCCAAGCTCGTTGTTGGCCAGATGCAGGCGCCGGATGCAACTCTGACGCACAGCGTGGCTGATACTGAGCGCACAGATGTCTGAAAGTCCGGTGTTGTTGAGGCTGAGTTCCTGTGGAATCAGCGACCCGACGGACGAGGACAGCCGATGCAGCAGCAGCGATAAGCAGAGCGGCGGTGGTCAGGATGATGAGGATGATGGAGGGAGCCACTTTGGTCGAGAGCGCCATGCGGTCCTCTCAACACAATAGGCGTTGGTCAGAACAAGTGAGCGAGTTTGAACACACCTGCAGTGTAGGGCAGCATGGGAGGGTTGATGCCAGCAGTTCCAGCCCATCATCGCCGAGAGGATTGCTGTCAAGGGACAGATATTCCAACGGGGACCTTGGCAGGATCTGGACGAGTAACTCGATGCCAGTTGCCGTCAAGCGGTTACCACCGAGGTCGAAGCGACGGACCCATGCAGCTCGGTCGTCGAGATGGCACACATCGACAATCCAGTCGACGTCATCGTCATCGAGCCTGAGGAAGCTGAGGTTGGCGAGCTCTGGTTTGTTTCAGAGACCCGGCGAGTAATGCCCGGGAAGCGCGAAGGTGAGTCATATCCGTTCGTTGCAGCGGTCGAGATGAGGGTGGGCGAGGACAAGGAGCACTCTGGCTCACACGAAAGCATAAATACGAAGCAGACAAGTCCTCGTGCCAGAGATGAGTGCTACGGTTTGGTGTACTGACCCAGTTGGTCTGGGCCATCTGATGCAGTGTATACGCGAGCAGCCGACGCTGGGGCCGAAGACAGAACAGAGGCTTCCGAATCCGTCATGCCTCTGGAGCTTCAACGCCTGAGGATGATGTCAGAAAGCCAAGTGACAACATTGAAGCAGGTCGCAAGGCGCTCGACAGAGCCCCGTTCGTAGGCCAAGCAACGGCCCTTTGCTCTCCTGGGCGCGACTGGTGGAATTCTTCGAATCCGAAGAGGACAGATTGGGAAAGGGTGGGCTTGGTGGAAAGCAGAACATGCGGATTCCTCTGTGCGGGGCTGAAGCAGATGATTGCATCGCAACCGAAGGGTATTGAGCCCATGAAACTCGATGCTCGTGAGCGGATGGCATGTTCGGGAGGCGATGAACATACTGTCGGGGGCGTGCGCAAGGCAGTCCAAGGTCTGGTCAAATGAGTCATTCGTGCTCAAGGTACTTGGCGAGCCATGGACTCGATAGATATCCCTTCGACGAGACACGCCCGAAAGTAGCCCCAAGGCAGCCCCGGACACGCTGTTGGTTCTGGTGGATATCCAGGGTCGCCCTCCACTCCCGGAGATGTGCGTCCTGCGATTCGGTTTCGAGTGACGTAAGCACCCAGTCCAGGCCGCCAAGCGGCAAGCCCGCTCTCCTGTTGAGCTGAGCAGACCCCCGCGCTATCTTGTGCACGCCGCCTCGCCTCGCCCCGCTTGATCGGCCCTCAGCTTCTCCCCAGCCCGCTGTACTTGAGGACCGCAGCAAATTTGCTTTCCCTCCCCCTTGCCGAGCGGTACTGCATTGGTTGATTTTGCCCTTCCCTCCCGCCGCGATTTCGCTTTGCCTGCCCCTGATCAGGAGCGGCTCACACGACCACAAACTCACGCTTATCGATCGGCTGACCGCCACTTGCCCGCCGATGCTTGGCCCAGAGTCCAAGCAGCAGAGGCTGCTCCAGGCCAGCCCACAGGAGGCTTTGGGTTGCCACGGTGACGATCTTGCTTACACTGCGCAGCATGTAACTGTACAGCCGTATGACTCCGAACGTACACACATGTACGCGTCTGTGGCACTGTGTCGTTGAAAGACCAAACCACATGACCGCCGCGTTTGCGCTGGACTTTCCCTTTCATCGCGGATACACCGCCCCGCCCTGCTGCCGCACTGGGCTGCGCTTGGGCGCATTTGATCCGCTCTTTGTTGACACTCGCCGGCCCATGTCGCTCGTCCTCCCGCCCAATGGCGGCCATGGCCCATGGTGTCGCTGTCCTCGCACCTGACCCCCCATCGTCTCCTTGCACCACACCCATGTCTCTTACGCTGCGACGCCACCGCATACAGAGTTGCCGCCAGCCGCGCACCCGCTCTTTCTCGGCCAAAAACTTTAACTGAGGCCGGGCTTGCCCTCGGGGCCACCACCCACACCCCACTAGCTTAGCGTCGCCCGCGCGATTCACATGGCCCCGGATTGGCGTCCGGCCAGGCAGGGGCCGTTGTCCTCGGCGACCCCCTGCGCGGCCGGCTGCAGATATAAAACGACCACCCGCGACGGCCCATCTGCTCTCACCATCCCTCTTCGCCTCCCCGATCAGTCGCCATGGCCATCTCGAAGGCTCCCATCGCCCAAGTCGTCCTTCTTGGATTCATCTGCTTCGGTTGCCCCGGCATGTTCAATGCCGTCAACTCCCTCGGTGCTGGTGGTGGCACTGACCCCACCACTGGCAGTAACGCCAACGCCGCTCTCTACACCACCTTTGCCCTCTTTGGTCTCTTTGGTGGTGCCATCAACAACATCCTCGGTCCCCGCATCCAGATGTTCATCGGTGGCCTGACCTACTCTCTCTACATTGGTGCTTCCCTCAACAACGATCTCTCTGGTGGTGCTGCTGGCTCTGCTGGTGCCAAGGCTTTCTTCATCATTGCTGGTGCCGTTCTCGGTGTTGGTGCTGGTCTCCTGTGGTCTTCCCAGGGTGCCCTCATCATGGCCTACCCCACTGAGGAGAAGAAGGCCACCTACTTTGCCGTCTTCTGGATCATCTTCAACCTTGGCTCCGTCTTTGGCAACACTGTCGGTCTGATCCTCAACTTCAACAACCCCGATGTTGCCATCTCCACTGGTACTTTCGGTGCTTTCATCGGTATCACCGTCCTTGGTTCCTGCTGCGCTCTCCTCCTCGCTGACCCCAAGACTGTCGTCCGTGCTGATGGCACTCCCGTCGAGGTCATCACCCAGGGCAACATCATTGGTGAGGCCATCGAGGTCCTCAAGCTCTTTGGCAACTGGCGCATGCTCCTCATGGCTCCCTGCTTCCTGGCTTCCAACTACTTCTACGCCTACCAGTTCGGCTTCATCAACGGCCATTTCTACAACGTCCGCTCTGGCTCGTTCAACGCCATCTTCTACTGGGCTTTCCAGGCTCTTGGATCCTATGTCATCTCGAAGTTCCTTGACAACGAGAAGTGGTCCCGCCACACTCGCTCCCGTGTCGGTCTCGCTGTTGTCTTTATTGGCAACGCTGCTCTCTGGATCGGTGCCATCATCTACCAGCAGACCGCCTTCAACGATGTTGCTCCCGGCACTCCCCTCGGCAAGACCCGCGTTGATCTGTTCGGCACCCCCGGCCAGACCCACCCCGCCATGTGGGGCATCACCATTATGTACGTCCTGATGGCTGCCCTCGACGCCATGTTCCAGTCCTATGCCTACTGGATCATGGGTGCCCTCACCAACGACTACGCCACCCTGTCCCGCTATGGTGGTTTCTACAAGGGTATCCAGTCTCTCGGTGGTGCCATCTCCTGGATCGTTGGTGGTGTTGTTGGTGCCTCTGTCTGGACCCAGCTTATCATCACTGTTGTCCTCGTCATTGGCTCTCTCCCCATTGCCTATGCCACCGTCAACTCCGTCAAGGACACCTCCAAGGCTGATGACGAGGCTTCCAAGGCTGCCGCCAAGGCCTAAACTGGTGTTATCATCACTATTACTTGATATGAGACCATCACGCGTCCCATCCACTCCGACCACCACCCCCTTCCCTCACTTCCGTCACTTCTAACTCGAAACTGAGACTCTTGAATGAAATGTAAAGCTTCTATGCAAGTCAGAATAATATATTGACTTTGAAACGTAGCTGTTCACTGGCGAGAATCTGGATATGCATGCTGGCCCACGGCGGCCACATTGGGTTCGCATTCATTGGAGATGCATCCTGCACTTCGAACAGAGGCCGCGGCTTCCTGGCGGGACACCATTGCCTTCTCGTGAATGCGGCTGCCGTTTGACCCAGACCGCGCTGATCCGCATCACCACCGCGCTGCTGTCCGGCTTGGCGGACCCGTTTGTTCGTGGCGGTCAGTCGTGCGCAGCCGCCAACGTGGCCGAACGGGGCCCTGACACGACATGTTTCTGTGTCAAGCGAGTGCCACGGAGCGAGAGCCTCGCTGGCCGAGAGCCGCAATAGCGCGCGGCGAGATCGGTCTCGCGCCTCCTCGCTCGGGCTGCCAAGACTTCCAGAATCACCGCTGTTTCGCGTGAATCCTGCCAGGCAAGCGGACCGCATTCCGCCACGATGCACCGTTGCAAGCGGGCGGGCACTTGCTTTGTCTCGGGGGCCAAGATCGGCCGCCTGCGAGCCGGTGCATGCACGGCGTGGCCTCTGATTCGCTGGGTCGCCCGGCCCTCCAATTCCGAGCTGAGACCCAGCAGACCAAGGGGAAACGTTGCGCCGTGCCAAGGCGAATCCATGCCTATAAATCCGATGTCCCCTGCACTGCCGGCAGTCAGTCCCTCGTCCACTCACCCAGTGAACACAATCCAGTCTCTCCCTTCAAAGTTCCAACTTCCCAGAATCTCACCCAGCCAAAATGACCTCGTCCTCTATTGTCACTTCTGCTATGCACCTGGCTCCTCAGACTCTTCCCCTTGCTGGTGCCGGTGCTGTTGTTATCCAGCATGCTCTTGGGCAGATAGCGCCCGGCGTCGTCGCCGGATCCACTCGCTTCGCCTCCAAGTCCATCCAGGCCGCTGCTCCAGTGTTCGCACGCTCCATGTCGACCCGTCTTTCGCACAGCGCCGCACAAACCCTTGGCTCAGCCGGCCTCCACTACCCGACCACCCCAAGTATCCGCAACATTGGCCTCAACTCGATGCCGTTCCGATCTCCGGTGCAGCGCATGCCCTTGTTCCAGTCGGTCGAGTCGCGACGCTCCTTCCAGTCCAGCTCGGCCCAGCAATGCGGATGGAGACGCTTTGGCGACGGCCACGGCAATAACTACTACTTTTACGAGCGCAGATGGCGCGGCTCAGTGATCCGCTTTCTGATCCTGGGTGGCCTGATTGTCTGGATCGTGCCCAAGTTTGGGTCCGAGTCCTTCACCAGCCTGCCCTCGCATCCGTTCATGGCCACGGCCTATGACCACGCCACCTTCACCACCTTGGCCGTCGCCGGCGTCGGATTCTTGACGCTGCCCCTGCCTCTGTCGCTTTTGGGTGCAGCTGGAGCCGTTGGCTATGCCTTCTCAAAGTCGTTCAGTCGAGCCAAAGACCTGGCCACCAACGGCTTCGACTCGGACGAGTGGGAAATTGTCAAGCTCAGCCCAAACGAGTGGAAATCGAGCTACAGCCGATACAACCTCGACCCTTTCTCTGAATACTTTAGCCGCCATCAGCACCACCATCGTCATCTGGACCTTGAGGACGAAGATGAGATCTTGGAGCTCTACAATCGCGTTCGCAACCACCCCAAGTGCCGGAAGGCTGCCCGCGTCTATCTCAAGGCCGGTATCGAGGTCGAGAAGGAGATCCAGAGGCGCGAGGCCCTCGAGGGCAAGGCTTACCCCGACTTTGTCGTTGCCCGATCTGTGGACAGCTCGATTGTCGTGACCCTTCCGTTTGACCGCAAGATGATCCAGCAGGAAATGAAGACCCGCAAAGAAGCTCAGGCTGCTGCCGCTGCCGGTGGTGCTCCTGCTATCCAATCCAAGCCTAGGTCCCGGAAGCGCACCGACCCTGAGATCGAGAGCTTGTAAGCTTGCAGGCTTGCAGGCTTGTAGGTCGCAGGCTTTGTCTGCACCAGAACAACCACATACTTCCTCATACGTTGATTGTAAATACGAATTGATGTGACATCAAAATAGCGATAATAAAGATCCGTCAAAGAAAAGCTCTGTCGGTCGTGGAGGGATGGTATGAGATGGAGGGTCTGTCACCCTGAGGAACGTGTGAACAGCATCGGAATTACACTGGCACCACACCGACATCGCATCAACACCACACCGACATCGCATCGACATTGCATCAGCACTACACCAACATCGCAACTACTCGGGTTCCCACGGTACAGTACAGTGCCCGCCAGCAGCCCAGCCGCAACACAAGCGCCGCCTCGCACAGGCCCGCGCTGGTGCTGCCGTCGCTGCCGCAAACGCACAGTGCGTGCCCCCGCATGTCACACGATGCTCGCACACACGCCCGATTTGGCAGCGCCTGCCCGCCGCACTGTCTTTGTCGCCGAAAAAAGCGGTTCCAACCCCCGCGGCCTTGGCTGGATCGCCGTGGCCGTCGCCTTTCCTCGCACGCCTTCGACATCCGTTCCTCCTGCGTCCTGCTCTGCCTCGGCACTTCTCGTCGTCGATCCCGCCGTCTTCCGATCCCGCCGCCGCCGCCTCCCGTTCCCAACATGCCTCTGGTGAGCGTCGGGGACCTGCCTCGTTCGCTCTTATCATGCTGCTCTGCCTTCCTCCTGCGGCCCGCTAACCTCTGCCGGCTCGTCCTGCCCTCCAGGAATACGCTCTTCAATTCCGTGGTCGCTACCCCGATCCCGGACCGTGGAAGCTGCCCCGCTCGATCCCCGTCCGCCTCAGCGAGGAGCTCGGCATTAGCGACCTTCCTGTCCAGCGTGTTCGTCGTTCCAAGAGACGGCCCTATGTCTTCAACATCATGGTTGCTGGTGAGCGCTGGTCCCTGTGCTTGCTCGTTGTTGCTCCCTGTCGTTCATGCCGTTCCCCCCCCTCCACCCAGCTCTCCTCTCCGTCGTGCCGCTGCTGTGTGCCGCCTCCCTTGGTTCTTATGCGCCGGTTGGGCTTTGGCCGTCGACCAAATGCAAGCACGGCCACCGCACTGCCTCACACTGCTTGTTCAATCTGCTACTTTCCCGGCTGACGTAAGGCGAGTCTGGACTCGGCAAGACCACCTTCATCAACACCCTCTTCAACGCTCCCCTCGTTGAGCAGTCCCAGCGCAGTCTGTCGCAGACCCAGACTGTCCAGATTAACCCCACTACCTACGGTACGGCTCGCTGACCTCCTTTGCTGGCCCCGCCTCGTCCTCTGGGCTGCTCGTCTGGATGCAGCCTTCGTTGCTCATATATAGGGCCTCTTTTTCTTTGCGCTTCTTCTCTCCGGCAGAGCTGGAGGAAAACGGCGTTACTCTGCACCTCACCGTCATCGACACCCCCGGCTTTGGCGATCAGCTCAACCGCGAGACCAAGTAAAGTGTCGCTGTCATGCCTTCGCCATTCCCACTTCATCGCCGCATCGCCACTGCCGACATTTCCTCGCTCTCGCTCTCGACGGATCCTGTCGAAGTGAAGCACACCCATTCACCCCGAGTTCTCTGTTTTCTCTGGCAGCTTCCAGCCCATCCAGAACTACATCGAGTCTCAGTACGATGCCTATCTCCAGGCCGAGAGAAGCCAGGAAATGCGCCGCAACATCCGCGACACCCGTGTCCACGCCCTGCTCTATTTCATTCCCCCCACCGGCGGCCACAAGTAAGGGCGATTCCTCTTGGTGGTCTGGTGTTGCCGGCGTTGCATCGTACAACATTGGGCTGTACTGAATTTGGCTGGCCTGGCCCAGTTGTTGTCAGCCCAGGGTCTCTGCTGCCCGGCCTGCCAGCCAGCTTTTCAATTGCGCATGCGGCCGGGGACCGAGCGTCTGCCCTGTGCGATCCACATGCTTGATATAGCCGGTGTGCCCAGCCCTGCTGATCCTTAACATTAACAACCATATATCCTCCTGCTACCACACAGGCTGAAGGAGCTCGATATTGAGTTCCTGCAGCGGCTCTGCACCAAGGTCAACATCATCCCTGTTATCGGCAAGGCCGACACCCTGACCCCCGAGGAGGCCTCTTCCTTCAAGAAGGCTGTAAGTTGTCCCTGCATACATTCTCACCCCTGCTCCGACGGCTTTGTCTGCCTCGAGTGCTGCTCTCGGTATTGATACGCCAGCCTGTGTCTCCAGATTCTCCAAGAATTCGAGAAGCACGATATTCGTGTCTACCCCACTGCCCACGCCGAGGACCGCGAAACCCTGGTTGATCTCGAGGTGCGTCGTTGCACACAAGCATCTCTCTGTCCAGTTGCATTACCAACAGCAGCAGGATTATGCCTTACACTGCCATCACGGATGTCACTGTGGCTGTTACTGCGGCTGCCACCACGGCTGTTACTGCGACTGTCGCTGAGACAACCCACTAACCATCACTTTGTGGCCCGATGCCGCTCCTTCACACACTCTCTCCCACAACAGCGTTACATGCCCTTCGCTGTCATCGGCAGCGACACCTTTGTCGAAGTCAACGGCCAGAAGGTCCGTGGACGAACCTACCGATGGGGTGTTGTCGAAGGTGAGTGCCAAGCCATTCATTTGCATCGTGCACCGACATTCTGAGACCCGAGCGCACACATCGTGCTCATATACTGTCTCGGCACTGTCTCGGTACTGACACCCGGTGCGCCCTCACTTTAGTCGAGAACGAGAAGCATTGCGACTTTATCCACCTCCGCAACCTCCTCATCAGCCAGAACCTCCAGGATCTGATTGAAACCACCCACAGCATCCACTACGCCCAGTACCGATCCACACAAATCCGCGGCAAGGGTCGTCCCGAGTCCTTCCTGGCTTGCGACGACGCTTACGACTCGCGCATCGAGGTCGCCCAGCGTAACCTGGCCGATGACATGCACCGCAAGGAGGAGGCCATGCGCCAGATGTTTGTCCAGAAGGTCCGCGAGAAGGAAGCCAGTCTGCGGTACGTTTATCACACGGAAGGCGTGAATCCAGCGTCGCTCTGTACTCCACTCTCTGCATCATCCCTGTGAGTGGCCTTGGTTTCTCACGTTCCCTGCGCTCTCATGCTTCATTGCCATCCCCCAGCGAGCGCGAAGAAGGTCTGAGCACCAAGCGACAGCAAATGATGGACGAGCTGGAGAAGCTCCGCCGCCAGATCGAGGTCGAGGAGGCCGCCATCCACGACTTGCAGACCGGGTAAGCTTCACTGGAGACGCAGTCGTATACCCTTGCTCGAACCCGATCCTGCTCTGTGCGAGCCTCCGCCACCTGACCTCCGAGCTAACAGATTCCTCTGCATTCGCGCCGCATCCTATCCCATCCAGTCGCCGAATCTAAGTCGCCTCGGTATAGCAGGCTTGCCCCGAGCCCTTTCGTTAGTTCCGTTCAATGCAGAATAAAGCACCATTAATTGTCAGTTCTCCCCTCCCCTCATCCCCGTTCTTGCCTTCAGCCCTTCGTCAGACTGCTTGTTTCTCTTTTTATTATGACTCAATTCACCTCAAGCCGCCTCCAACACCCTGGATTTTTGTCTCCCATGCTCGGACCGCCCGTCGGATCCCGATTTCCATCCGCTATGGACCCGTGGAAAAGGCCGGGTCCGTCTCTCCGTTCCGTTCCGCTCCCTCCGCACCCCTCCCTTCGGTATCCCACGTTTGTCCTGCGATTTTTCTTTTATTTCATTTGGCTCTGTGCCATCAAAATAGATTTGAGACTGTGGCCTGTGCCCTGTGCTTCATTCAACTGCAATGGCGGGACATGAGTGCTCCCTTTGGCTGGATGATTCGATCGGGCTTGAGAGAATCACCAGTGTCGCAGCAGCCTTCGGCATCGGCTCGTGGTTACCGACCATTGATGGAATCGAACTTCCCGCTGCTCTTTCTGATGGTCCGCATTTCTTGCATGAGAGTTCATTCGCACGCGCTTGCCCCCCACAATAACCATGCACTTCATGAAGGAGATATATGCTTCGGGTCTGAGGGCACCCAGGTGCTTTGAGCGGCTGTTCCGCCACAACAAGAAGGAGCGGCCAGCGAACGGCCTCCAGGTCGTTCCCATGTCGTTACTCCGAGACGGCAAAGTAGTCCTTGAGGTAAGCCGCAACTGGCTCGTTTCTTGCCTTCTGCGCCGCGTCAACAAAGTTGCGGGCTTGGTTCGGTGGAATGAGCTCTCGATAGGCGGTCTTGGCGGCCTCGTTGAACAGACTATGAATAAGGTCGAGCTCGTGAGGGTCAGTGCATAAACGGTGGGCAAAGTTGATGCCCACCCGCATGGTGTCGGGACCTATCCGTGCGCCGCGATTGCACAAATACTGGAAGACTATCCGATAGTGCATCTTGATGGCCTGCTGGTCGCTGTCGCAATGGATCGGGCTCGGGCCGATATGGCGCCGAAGGGTCACAAATGTAGCTTCGAGGGCCGTGTCCAGGAAATGCTGGTAGTCCGGGTAGGGTGCCAGCTCGTCCAGTACCCACATGGGCTCCAGGCTTCCTCTGCGGAAGCATTGATTCAGCGCCTTGGTGACGGCCAGGTCGCCAAGCAGCATCAGATCCCTTTCCCGGGCGCTACGTCGAGCTCCGGGATCGGCTCCCTCGGCAAGCAGGAACCTCAGCGGCTCAGGCGAGCCGCAGCCCACCGCCCACAGCCACGGGTCGCCCAGCTGGAAGACGAGGCTGTCGGGACCCTCAGCATCCCCGGCAAACGGCATCGACCCAGCCCCGGACGGATACGACAGCGCCAGCTCGTGGTTGAGCCTCTTCCAGAGGCTGCTTGTGACGTCGGTGCGGTCGTAGCGCTCGGACTCGCCCGGGAAGAGCGGTGCGTATTTGAACTTTGCTCCGAACTGTTGGACGAGCGCCATGAACATGGCGACGTTGAAGCCCCGATAACGCTTGATGCGACGGGGCTGTGTGTTCTGGTGGTTGGTGGGCAGGGTAACCTCGGGGCGGAAGAGCACCGAAGCGGGCCCGTATCGCCGCAGCAGAAAGCGACAGCGGGTCGAGTTGAGCTTCCACAGGCTGTAAAAGAAGCGATTCGTTCGGAAAATATCGGTCGAATCAGTCCAGAGACCGATTTCAATGAGGATGGTGCTTGGGAGTGATATGAACTGCTGCATGTCTTGGACGGCGCTGGCGGTGTCGGCGGTGTTGGCAGCGAGCAAGCAAGAGCGATCAGAGACGGGAGAGAATCTACAGACGAAAGGCAGTGGGCCGGCTTTTGTATTCGGGGAATGCCAAGAAATCAATTTGTGGCTTATTGTTGGGGTGGATGTTGTTGGTCAGATCCACCCCTCTGTTTCCAACACCACCCCCGGCAGCTCGGCAGAGGACCGCGGCTTTCGTCCAGCTTGCCCTTGATCTTCCAACCCGCCGGATCCTGTCCATCCACCGCATCTGCATCTCCAGCCCCCATGAGCCAGGCAATTCGACCCGCTGCAATCCGGTCGGCTGCGAGGTAGCTCCGCCGCCCGAGTCGAGCAGCCGATACAGTCAATCCATTCGCTGACAGTATTGCCGATCTCGTCTCAACCGCACGACTGCTCGCCATCCTCGTCGATCCCAGCCTCATCATTTGCGCCCGCAAGAACATTGGCGATTCAGCGCCATCGTCCGCCGGGAACTTCAGGATCCTGACCGTGAAACGGTACAGCCACACACCCTTTGCTCTCGTTTGCCGCTGCGGTGCAGTTGCGATGTGGTTGCGGTGTTGTTGCGGTGCCCTTGGACTCTCGCCCTTGGGGCTGGATCTGTGCTGGCTCTGATACCCGACATCCGCAGCAACGACTCTGGATCCTATGCTTCGGCGCACGTCTTTCCTGGAGGCAAGCTCGAGCCCGTGGACACTCTACCCTGGGTATGGATGCCCTATGTATGCCGACCCATCTGTTCTGGAAAGTCGTCACGACGAACGCAGGCTGATTCCACACACACTCGCCCATCGACATGTTCTCTGGCTCCATGGGCGACCGACTGCCGTCGATGCGTTTGGTCGGCAAGAGAGTGCACGGCGCAGCCGAGCCCAATCTCGACCATCGACTTGCTGCCATCCGAGAATCCTTCGAGGAAGTGGGGTTCCACGGTCTTCTCGACTCGCCTCCCAATAGCAGCCCCAACTTTGTTCAGCTGAGGAACCAGGCATGTCAACGAGCCTCCTGATTTCTGCTGTGGCATATCCCTGTGACCGGCCTACGCATCAACTGTATGGCCCAGCGGGCGAGACACTTGGATGGTGCCTTGCAGGCGAATGGCTCCTTTGCCATGGCTGACACTCACTCCTCGACCCACACCCTCTCTCAAGCTCAACGCCGGACAGATCAACTTCCAGCAGCTCTGTACCGACCACAATCTCGTCCCAAATGTCTCCAAGATGGTGCACTGGTCCAGCTGGATCACTCCGCCAATGATCTCGCACAGGTTCAACACCCAGTTCTACTTGACCGTGGCCGATCGCTCTCGGCAAGAGATCCTAGACCTTGGCTCGGACGGCACAGAGGTTGTTCAGCTAGATTGGCTGTCTCCAAAGGAAGCCATCGATGCTTTTGATCGTGGAGGTGAGCTTGTGGTCATTGCGAATGAGTGGGCTATCGGGATCCGACGTTGGGACACTTTCTGCCTCTTGGCGATCGCTGCGTACTTGAGCGACGAATGGTGACCAGAGCTGCCTCCAAAAGACATCAATCTATTTCTGCCACAGTACTACACACTCTGGGAACTTCAGAGGTATTCGCTGGAGGACCTGGAGGCCCTTGTCGCCAAGATCTCGAGTCGGGCAGTGCCTCCCACTTTCGATCCGGAGCTGCAAGTAGAGGACACCAAGCGGTCGTTCCTGGCGCTGCCGGGTGACTACATCCACTCATCTTCGCCAGGTAGCGATGGCGACAGAAGGAATATCCATCGGGCATACTTTGAGCGCCACAAGGGAGCCTTTACAAAGTGGAGTATCTGTCGCAGTGACGAAGAACTTGCAAAGCTTTAGTATTGAACAATAAAAACGGGACACCCGTGATTTTGACGATTGATCAAATATTTTGTTACCCAATCCAATCGCGCGCTGGCCACGACCATTCTGTGATTTGAATCAAGGAAGCCATTGTGGGAATCGCTTCCAGCTCAAGATGCGCTGGATGAGCACCACACCAAGTCCCAAGATCCCCGGGGTGGCTTCCTTCCTGCAATATATTCGCCATGTGTTCGATGGAGACGTGCTGGACAAACAGCTATACTTCAGCCTGACCCGGCGACGGCGATTCAAGCGACTCGATCTCCAGGTATGCTCACATTGTCGGGAAGCCAAGCGACTCGATAAGGTCGAGCATCTTGATATCGAGAAACCACACTTGTCCGGAGCTGTGCAAGCTGCCATACGCTGTGGGATCGAGACATCAATGCAGCCAGGAACATGATCTCGGTATGCCAGTCGATCATCGCCACAGGAGATCGACCGAGTGTATTCAAGACTGTGCTCCCGAAACCAACCAAAACCACTCGATTGCCAACCAGGACGGGAAACAATCTCACGGCTTGCTCACTGGGGCCTACAGTCAGTCAGCGGGTTTCAGACATCTGAAACCAGGAAGGGGAAGTGTCCCGTATCTTTCTGGACCGACTGTACTATTGAACACGCTTTCTCCCAGCTCATGAGCCGGTATATGGACGAACAGACAGACGGGCGAACGAGTGAGCGAATCCGCTACCTTCCAGGTGTGCTGTGGGTGTCCGGCCACAAAGAGACTCGAGTCCCCCTGGATGCGTAATAGATAAATATACAACCTGGATTCAGATGCAGATGATGAGCAGCCGCGAGGGGCCGGAAAAATTGATTGCGCAAACGTCGTGTTCCTTTCAATGGCATACAGGCTCGCTGCGGGCCAAGGGCTGGCAATATGGTCATGGTCATTGTGCCCGCCATCTGCTTGACCAGCCTTGGCTTGGCGTCGCCGTCGTCACGTCGATAGCGGTGGTGGCAATCCGTTGCCGAACTCAACTTCCTTCGCCGTGGACCTTGCCTCACCGACATCCTACCAACCATGGACCGTCCTCCAAAGCATGAGAGGAGTCTCAGCCGTCTCGCTTCCCGCCGCAACTCGGAGATGTCGAACGCCGGTGAGTGCGTGGCCGTAGATGAGCTCTTACAACGACTTTGCTGCGATTTGATGCGAACAAGCATCTGTAGCATTCAGCCATGATACTGCTCCACTCCCCTCTGGATCTGGTGCTGCTCACGCCGTTTGCAAGCCGGCGATCGTCCTCTCCTTCCGATAACACCTCCGTTGAAATCCATGCGGCTGATTACAACTTCGAACCCCATGCTCATCTGTCGTATCCTATCTCAACGCGCGCCTTGCATCCGATGCACATTCAACAACATGGCACTTGCCTGCTTCTGCATGGCGTCATGGATAAACGAATGCACTCCTGTCTGCGCTCAACCCGAACGCGTCAGCATCCGATCTTGGCCCCAGCTTCGGAGTTACAAGCGAAGGCTCTCAGAGCTCGATCGACGACGATGCTGAAGTCTTGATCGGACGCCACACGGTCGAGAGCTTCTTCTCCGTCATATTCTTCTTTCTCATCAGAAGAGCTGTCGCGCCCGTCTTGGTCGCCGAATATGTCAATATCGTTGTCAACGATCTCATGATGTACTCGTTTCTGTTCTATCCAAGTAAGTGACTCGGGCAGCGCGTTTATGATGAGACCTGTTATGTATCTCTCAACTGGGTTGCAGTCCAGCCCCAATCTTTATTGACGCTTACAGCCGGGCTCGTTCATCTGCCCCATCTGCGTTGCTAGACCCTTGGATCCAGTTTCCGTACAACATTGGCAGCATTGCCGTCGAATACCACTTCATGTCGCTTGCTCGCTATATGCCGTTCTTTGTGGTGGCTTGTGCGCTGGTGCTTTCTTTCCTCGGCCTGGTTCTCTACGTGGCGTACGATGTTCTGAAGGGATCAGGTCGCACACGTACGTTATGGCCTCTGGATCTCTCTCGAATCATGGGCGTGCTCGTCGGAGAGTGCTTGTTGTAAGTTGACCTGATCCGTTGTGCGAACTGTGACAAAGTCATCAACCTTCCGCGGATAAGGCTGACTAATTGCTCTTACTACCGCCACCAGTCTCCCAATTCTGGATATCTTTTATGCACCTTTGCTGCCTAGCGACGGTTCAGCGGTGCCATCGGATTCGCTTGTTGCTATCGGCTTTACGCCAGTAAAGATTGTCATAATCATCGTCGCATGCATCCATATTTTGCTAGTCGTTGTATCCTTCCTCATCCTCAGACCATTGTAAGTTTGGGCTTGCATCTGCCCATTGGCTGAATCTGCGATTCTGCCGACTCACCGGACCGGCCGCTATTACTCCTTGACTCACGTCTGTAGAATGCGCATGTGTGTCTGAGGAGGCAATCTAATTGATTACCTGGCGCCTTCCTCATTCCACGACATCAACCATCGGCCTAGTCTCTTTACCGCCAATCCTGGCGGATCCGCACCACTCAACAGATCCAATGCACGGATCGATTTGATTTTCTTCTTCTTCAAAATCGCGTCACTTACGGTCTTTCGATTCGTGACCAATGCCAACCTGGAGACACTGATCATCAAATTGGGATTCATCACACTGGGGACGGCCATAATATGTTTCTTGTTCGTTCGATGTAAGGCTGACGCTCTTGAGAGTCCTGTCCGCGATCATGGCGGCTCTCACTTGCTTGATTTCGCGCCACTGAAACACGTTCGATATGGATGCGGGGGCACCGCCAGGGCTACCATACTACAATCCCCTATGGAATCGCATCGTAAGTACCTCTGCAATACCAGATTCTCACTTGTATCGATCAGATCATTTGTATCCAGACACGTGGGCTGCGATACAAGGTCGATCGATCAAGCACCTGCTGTGTGCAACGACTTCCTAACGATATGTATACCGGTCCCCAGCGCCTGGCACTCTTGACTGCAGGCTGCCTGATGTACCTCGCTCAGTTTGTGGCAGCAGTGGTGATATATGTTACGGGCGAGCCCCTGTCTGAGACGGCAGCCCTTGCTACAATCATTTGGTTCTTTCCCGGAATCGTCATTGGCTATATTCTCCCCGGTATAAATGTTGAATGCTATGGAGTCGAATGGGATATCTGCACGCAACAGCGCGGTAATGAACTAACCCTTGTTCCATGAAACCGTAGGATACATACTTGGACGCATACAGCTCCTGACCGAGGAGAGGATCGTTCGGTATCGTGTGAGCCCAGAGGACAACATGATAGTATTCTCGGACGCATATCATGTCGAGCACTCTGTTCGCCATCAAGTGGTTCCTGAGAACCTCATCAACGATAGACTATGTTCCTCGGCACTACAAACCATCCAACGTAACTTTAGAGTCAGTGTTTTCGATATTCCTGCGCATGCGTGCACCAGCTTCTGTCTGCATCGTTACTCAACAACTGCTTGGTGCGATGTGAATAGATCGGGATCAGCGAGTTTCCGAATGACCACCTCCTCAAGCTGTCCTATGCCGACTATCTCATACACCTGTCACCCCATACGGCCGAAGCGGCGAAGATAATATACAACCTCGAAAGCAACTACCAGCAGCTCGATATCGACTCTAAATTCCATCTGTATGCCCTCGGACAGGTGAGCATGATCGTCTCGGCATGCATCCAGGGCCGAGTACGGCCCTACGCATCCTGTATCTTCATCGTATCAGTATCCAATGTGGCACGAGTCTACCACTCTAAATGCCAAAATGGCACTCCCTTTGATTTCTGTATCACTTGAAAGTTGCTGGCGTATCAAAACAATGAAGTTTTCGGCCTGATCGGAGACTCTGCGGATGCGATTCGCTTCCTGCAATTCAAGAAAATTCTTCAATTTGCCGACGCCAACTACCACAGTGCTCTCATTCAAACCGCCAAGCTGTGGCAGGCCATCCAAGAGAAGGTATGAGGGCCATCTTGCTCAGTCAGCTACAGGACTGCGAAGGCATTCTGTCCTGTCGCTTCACTCACATCTTGGCGCTTGGACAATAGTCTGCTACTCTCGAGATGCTTGAGTACTACGCCGTGACCATATTCAAGTACCAGAACATGGCCAATAGCAACTACACAGCTTTGATCCAGAAGTAGGTGGCATACACTGTGATCGAATGTGCCCAAGCAGATGGCGGGATTGCAAACTGGACATTGTGCACTCTGTGTCCGTGGCTGTCGGAGGCACACCGATTTCGATATTACTCTGTCCATCTGTGCCAACCGAAACTGGAATTCTCTGCAACAGATATCCACAAAACAAAAATCTACTCCGCATATACGCAAAGTTTTGTTTTGAAGTAAGGCGGTATCCGCGATAAGGGTGCACAGCCAGTACCATGGAGCCAACCGGAACGGCTATCTAATCAGCACACTGCCTAATATTACCATGCAGATCCTCGGAGAGTGCACCAAGGCCCAGCGGCTACTCCTCATGGCTGACATGCTCGAGGACAGCCCAGCCACTCACATGGATGATCCAGAGTTTGTTTTTGCCGAGAGCAGTGAAGACGAGTCACGAGTGTACGAGTACGAAAGCCAAGCCCTGCTCCAGGTCAACAGCCGCCCACTCAAGACACTCACAATCAGGATGTCACTCTTGAGCATCCTCGTGCTGGCCACAATCATCGCAAGCTTTTGGGTGGTGTATGATGTGATCCAATTCCAGAGACAATCTACTTTGCTCTTTCAACGGTAAGCTGCCTGCTCTTGCTCCATTTGCATATTCTCCCATGCAATTCCGATGAATAGTGCGCTTACGAAGGAATGTATATGCTGTGCGATTGATAGGATCGACAGCGCCATATTAGGCGGTCTCCTGATCGAGAGACGAGTCAATGATATGCAGACCGCATATGGACAGAACAACTCGGCCGCATATCAGAAGGCCCAAACGGTTATCGGACAGATACTCGAAAACATTACATCAACTGACTTTGGCGCAAGGTAATCGCTTTATGCAACGGTAGCGTTTCCTGATTCACAAGTGCCATGCTAACTGCGCCGGACTGGTTGGTTACTCTCCAATTATATCTCCAGCGACACGACAATGGTATGTGCAATGATCCGTCGATGACTCTATGAAACCATCAACTCGTGACGAAGTGCTTCGTCATCAGTGACTGCGACACCTCGATATGCATCCGACATATACCAGTCCGCTCACATGCTGATTTGGGTCAATTTAGACGAGCTTCATTACGTACTATCCCTCAAACTCCTCGCGCGTGAAAACTCAAGTTTCAGCACTCTCTGCGTTCAACGTAAGCTGTGGGACATTCAAGCAACCGGATCGTTGACGATATGATTCCGCTTGATTGACACTTGCTTGTCGCTACATGCGCGATACCCTTGGATCCAGCAATACGTCGACTGCGCGACAAGTTTGTTGAATATGTCCATGACGAGCTTCGCAACCAATACAACCTCCGCCTCGTGCGTCACCAGCAACGTTTACTTTGCAACATCACTCCTATACAATCAATGTAAGAATATATGGAGCTCTGCTGTTATACAAGGCGAGCGGATTCCATCACAACCACGACGCTGCAGTGTACAGTATCTGCGTGGCAACAGCATGCTGATTTGATCGTTTCGTCACGGTAACATTTGGACATCTCTCGATTCAGCCAGCCAGGTAGGAGATCATGCTATCCTGTTGGAAAGGCAGCCGGCGATCCTCAATCAAACATCTAGTAGCCCCCATGCACTCCTTCTCACCCCATGCGCTCCTTCTCATCACAGGGCACCCAGGGATCAAAGTCCTCTCTCAACATTGCCCTGATTGGTGGACTTTCGGCGGCGCAGCTTCTGCTTATTTACACATTTATAGTCCTGCTTCAGTATCGCCTCAAACGATTCCGTCAAAATCAGAGATCGATTCTGGGGGTTTTCTTGAAAATATCGGCGTCACAAGCTGGGGAAGTGCTAAAGGTGGGTTACATGATAACGATGGGCTGTATGGATCATCCTCCCTCTCCTAGAGGGTTGCAAGCAGTCCAGTGCAATGGCATCCCGAGAAAACTGAGTCAAATTGTTCCGATCATGGGACCGAAAACACTGCTGAGCAAGTACAATTGACTCACAGGCATATTTCGAGAATACGGTCGATGAGGGGTTCATGGAAAGGGCAGAAAATAGCTGGTGGAGAGACATATCGTCGGACTCGATAAGGATTTCTGTGCTCGACGACCTCAGATATCACCTGCTGTTCCACGGAGTGTTTATGACTGCAATCATTATCTGGAGCACAACCTCCAGTGTACTGGTAAGTGTGTAAACAAGCACCAAGCCCGGGACTATGAGGAGCAAGTTGCTTCCAGTCAGAGCATTTGCTCACGCTTCGATACGTACTCGCGATAGAGCTTGAAGCAAATCATGGTCAATATCAACGCCTACGGCAACTTCTCGATGATTGCCAGCCAGAGCCTGGAAGTCGATTGGTTTCTTCGCCAGCTTCGGAGCCCGATCCTCGACCCGCTAATTTGGGATATCAGAGCCCAAGCTGTCAGCCAGTATGCGAGTGATGTAAGTCGCCATCTTGAGCTTGCTTGACAGCATATCAAACCGAGTGGCTCTGAGTCAGATGATTGTGGCAACCCGTGCACTCCTCACTTCTTGAGTGGCATTCGCTCACCCGTCTTGGTATCTCTACAGTTAAGCTCACTGAATCAGCTCTACGGTGTCGCCGTTTATGGTGTCGGAGACAATCAACTGCGTACACCGGCCTACGTCGCGTACCCAAGCGATGTCTACGGAGTCCTGCTTGATTCCCCGTGCTTCGCAAAAGATCCATCATACTGCAACACCTCCGCAGCCTGGCTGAACGGTGCTATGGGATTCGGCGCCAACTCGATCCAGCATGGCTTGGCTCATCTTCAAAGGAAGTACATTGTGGCACATCAAACCCTCGTGAATGAAGTAGCACGGGGAATGTCCCTGAGCTCGTCGCCCTTATGGATTTCCCAGTACGCAGTCGATCCGTATATCACCGACGGCTGGTCGATATGCCAGTCGAGCCTTGCGAGCGAAACAGACACGCTGCTGACGTATCTGTATCGCCTGAATCTGATTGTGTTTGTTGTCGAGATCATCACTGTCCTAGGTAAGGCAGTGTAATCCACCGAGGCCACAACGAGAGCGTCTACTTGTCCAGATTTACTTCCAATGCCAGCGGGCTTCCACGGCACATCTTCAATCCGGCGTGTCGGACACAAGTCCGTAGGCACTGATGCTAACGCACAATATGACTTGGATTCTGTAACACCAGTTTGCGAGCTCTATCAAATGCGCATCATTTTTAGACGCATGGAGGTAGGAAACATGCGCTTGCTGACTTGGAAGTACGGACGGCCTTGGTTCAGAGTTACAGTCCCGCCCGACCGGCACGCATCTGCCAGCGGGCTCACTCATTTCACCTCTGCGCCGACCCATCACCAATGTTCGAATCAGCTGGTCGACCGAGCCATCATCAATCTGATTGTTCGAGCTCCGCCCAATATCAAGCTGCTTCCAAACATTGTCCAGATCATCGAAGATGCGGTCGAAAAATATGCTGCTACTCATGATGGCTGGCATCCTCATAGCCAACCAGAGCCCGTTATTCCTGTGGATCAGTCAAGCCATGTCGACACTCCTGACAGCGACCACAAGTCCAACGGGAGAAGCGAGTTTTCCTTCAATCGGGTGAGCTGGCTGCTTGCTATTCGAAGAATTCGCGGTGTGCGAATCAATGTGCTTCGCTGGTGATGGCGATGTGTGCTGACCTGTCTTATCCGGGCACACAGAGCATCCAGACTTCCGAAGGCTACAAGAGCAGCTTCTCTTTCAACAAGGTAAGCGCTCGACAGAACTCGCAGCGTTGCTACCCAGAACGCAGGAGCGTTGCATGTGCTCAACTTGGCGATAGCCGGCGCTGGCTGACATTTCACCGACGGTCATTCATGCCACATTTCGTTCATAAGCAATCATCGGGCATGGTTGGGATCCATGGCCACAACGACAGCCGACACAGCGACATTCCCATTAGCTTCCACGACCACGAAGCAATCCAGGAGATGAGCCGCAACAGCTCCAGGTCGAATTTTTGAGCCCGACCCGCACAGCCTAATCAAGATATGCTAACACTGCAGTGACCACAATAGCCGCATCCCAATCCAACATTGCGGCAACCAGCAGAGTCCCTGGACATCGAGATCCATGGGCATTGGACATAGCACATTGGGATATATGCACATTGGGATTTATGGACATCGTAATCTATGGATATTCTCGCCAAAATGCACCTGCCCACGACAACGGGTGGCAAGAACGGTTATGTGGTGGCCCAGCAAGATGCCTGTCGATGGACACTGTCCACTCATCACAGCTCTCTTCGACCTCGATATCGCAGTGTCCTGTTCAGAAGGATTATATTCGGAATAGCACACATATTCGAGTGGTTCATTTACAAAAGCTGAGTGACTCGCCATGGCCTTCGTGGCTGTCTCCAGTTATCGACAGCAAGTCCGTCTTGGAGGGCTCGTCTTTTGCTGCACAGATTGCATCCGCTGGAAGTGGGAATCGATGAGTGGCGCTCGCGGACACAACAGAGATGGCGAGCTCGAGTGGGATCGAGTTATTGCATCGCAGTGGCGTGATACAAAGTGTAATTGAGGACATTCAGCGCTTGTGTGGGTGGAACTTCTTTGGAGGAGGGGTGTACGGGGGACGGGGCTCGCCCTGAATGCTTTCCATGAGATATACGTTGGCCGGAAGCTGTGCATCGCCGTTTTCGAAGTACTCGGCAACGGAATCAGTGTTGCTGAAGATCGACTCGGAAGACTTTCGCTTCTGGGACAGGGCGGTTACCAGCGACTTGACGTCCAGAGTGTTTGTGAGGTCAACGTTGGAGAGCGGCTGGCCGCACTGGGTCATGGCTTCACTGACGATCTGGGAAAGCATTGGCACAAGCGACAGGCAGGTAAGTGGACTCGTTCTGAAGAGAAACACATAAACCCCTCGCCAACAGAGTGTACGTATGTATATCCTGCGTCACGAGGAGGAGATGCGTGCTGCCGAGCCGGATGCTCGCTGGATGCTCGACGGACACAGTCGCAGCTGACAATGTGACAGATCCACTGAGGCGCTGAGACGCTGAGGCGCTGTGACGCTCTGAGGGTCCTCAGACGGTGCCGTGACAATCGTCCGTCTGCGATCGCATGCCTGATCCCGATCTACCTTGAATTTCAACGAGGGCGAGGCCAGCTGGACTTCCTGCCACTCGCCGTCCTTGCATGCCACGTATTTCTCGACAATCTGTCGGACCCGGAGAGCCACTTCGGATGCAGGGAGGGGGGAAGCGTCGTGGGTCGCCGATGATGTCAGTGCCCGGACGCCGTGTGATGACGGGCCCATTCTCGAGATGGTGCGACTGACTCTGGACAGGAACATGGCTTGGATGTGTCTCGGATGCGGTCTCAGACTGAGAGCGTGCAAGCGGCGCTGGCTGAGGTGCGGCAGGGAGGGCAGTGGCAGCGACGGCGATGGCGATGGCGATCCAGATCGGCGGCGAACTGTCCTGGAGACGGCGAAAATTTTTTGTGGTGCCAGTGTGTCATGGCGAGGGCTGGCGAGGGCTGGCGAGGGCCGGAGAAACCCTAGGGCGGCCCTAATGAATTAATGCACATTTTTTTTGTTGCTGGGATTCGCCGATCGCGCCGACACCAACACCCACCACAACCATCATCCGACCGACAAGAGACGGTCGCTGTAGCAGCCAGGACGGCGATCGAGTGCAGAGACGTCGACCCAGAGCCCAAGTGATATTGCCACCAGCGCTGCCAAGTTCACAATGTCCAAGCCATCGGAACTGGCCAAGGAAGCCCTGGCCTCAACCAAGAGCCTCAACAACATCGTGTCGCTCCTGCAGCTCTGCGAGGTACGTCCCGCCAAATCTCATAGTCGGGCATGCATTTCATATGCTAATCACATCTATTACGCCCCAGTCGACAAGCCAGAAGACATCGCACGATGCCATCGTGGCCCTGGCCCACGTCTTTGTGAAGCTGTTTGAGCGCGGCGAGTTCCTCAAGCCGCAGTTACAGGATTCAAGCCGAACTACCGTTTTGGCTCCGAAAGTTGTCGAATGGCTGAAGGAGAATCTCCTGCTCTTCAATACTCTGCTCATTGGCAAGCTGGATCACAAAGAGCCCGCTATTCAGGTACGCCGACTCTGGAAGCGTCCGGATTGCTTCAAGATAACCCCGTAGATTAGCACGGGGGTGCTGGCTACAAAATGTGCTATGACCCAGGAATCCTCAGCAACATGCTCACCGTCTCTTCACGGCGATTCCTGTATCGCGTGGAAACGGTTGCTAGATCGCCGCCCTTTCGAGTCTTGTCAAGATCATCAAGCACGAAAGCGAGAACCTCAGCAAGAACGAGGGATGCTGGTGCTTCTACAACCAGCTCTATCAGCGTGTTGTCGAAGCCCTTGTCAACGTCCACGATCTCAACGAGCATCTGCTTAAGAATTGGGTGCAGCTGGTCGATGAATATGACGACTTGCGATTCTATTTTTACAAAAATCTGACGTAAGCTCACCCCCGCCCACGACCACGGCGGCACTGGTTTGGTGTTGATGCAAGCCGCACTACACGCACCGACGGATGTTGGCTCACTTTCTCGAATCACAACTTGATTCTAGTACATACGTTACCGAGTTGAATACCCACAAGCAAACATCTGGGGCCAAGGTGAGCGCAACCGTTCAGCCAGCATCACAGCGCTAGTGCGTTTCGACATTGGTGGCTCTGACCGTCTCGGTTTTCGCTTCTTGCCAGCGCTCTCGCCGCACCCCAACATCGGACCAAACGCGGATCATGCAAAATGGGTTTGAGATTCTGAAGACGATGCAGAGTGTCCCGATCCAGGAGGATGACATCAATTCATTCCTTTGCGAAGCCCCGTTCGAGTCCAAGAATCCCGACAAGAAAGGTCAGCCTCCTGCTGATAGATTGGACATGGCCGAGAGGAGCGAGCTTTGATCGACTGTGACCACGACTGCTGATTCACCGCTGCTGGGTGGATTCTGTCTGAGCTGTGAGGGCAGGTTTCGAGCCTCCATCAATCATGGCCATGCTTAACTATGTGATAATCGTGCAGACAAGCCAAAGAAGAAAAAGAAGGCGCCAAAGATTCGAAAGCCAACCCAGAGCATGCTCGACGTTGATCTTGATTTTGGGCTTGACGACGATATCGGTCTTGACGATGAGGAGGCCGAGAAAGACGGCACCCGAACGAATCCCGTCCAGCTGCTCTCGCAGCACAAGAAGGTCTTTGGCGAGTGCTGGGTGGCGCTTCTGCGCCTGCCGCTTACCGAGGAGATCTACAAGAGGACCCTCCTCATCATCCACAAGAAGATCATTCCGAACATGAACCGCCCGGCCCACTTGATCGATTTCCTGACGGACTCGTACAACGCAGGCAAGGACGGCGTGTAGAGCAGCCTCGATCCAGGGCGGGATTGTCGCCCCCCCCCCTTGGGGCCACTACTGTCATGTGGCTGATCCGAGCCGAATTTTTCTCCAAAGTGTCTATACCACGTCGCACTGACTCCTTGTTGATCCATCTGCCTCAATTCCAGGCGGTGCCGTCAGCCTCCTGGCCCTGAACGGTCTCTTCACCCTTATTCAAGAGCATGGCCTGTAAGCTCCTCGCGCAGAGCTTGCAGCAGCGCTCATCGCGCCAGATTGGCCACCGTTCACCCTGTATCTGACCCTGCCCTTCGCTTCTGCTTCGATTCAGGGACTATCCATCGTTCTTCCCCAAGCTCTACGCCCTGCTTGACCGCAACATTATGTTTGCCAAGCATCGATCGCGTTTCTTCCGTCTCCTGGATCTCTTCCTTTCGTCGACGTGAGTGGCTCCTTCTCAAAGCTAATCATAGCCCATTCATATCCCAGCCACCGGTTGCGGAAAGAGTGCATTTTGAGTTGATCTGGCCCAGCTGTGTGGCTTCGCTGCTCATTTTGTGCGTGGGCATTTCCGATTGACCAATCGACCGATCGACCAACTGACCGATCGACGCCTTCAGTCATCTGCCGTCCTATCTCGTGGCGGCCTTCATCAAGCGCCTTGCTCGCCTGGCTCTGACTGCCCCTCCCGCTGGCACCGTCATCATCATCCCGTTCATCTACAATCTGCTCCGGAGACACCCTTCGACCATCCAAATGATCCACGTCGACGGAGGCAGTTCCGCACCCAGCGTCGAGACAGGCACGTCCCCCTTCGATTCTTTTGGACGACATAGGGTTCTACTGCCACGCTGTCCGCAGGATCCATATCGCCAAACGACTGATCGAGTCCTCGTCCTATCCCTTTGGCTCTCCAGATGTGTATGACTTTGCCGAGCCCGATCCGGCCAAGTGTCACGCTCTCGATAGCTGTCTCTGGGAACTTCAGGTATCTTATGCGCCGCTGATGCTCGCTTTGGGGACAATCAATGGCTTGTTTCTCCATGCGCCCCTGCTGCTGGCTGGAGCTGAGCGCATTTTGAGCGGAGCTTGTCTCAAGTGCCGGAGCCGAGTGGCGAGTTACATCCGGCCTCAGCGGTCCTAAACATCACTGACAACCGCCCATGTACCAGGCTCTCAAGTCACATTACATGCCTAGCATCTCTGGACTGGCCCGGACCTTCGAGGAGCCGCTCTCCAAGCCCTCGTATGACCTCGAGGACTTTTTGGACCATACCTATCAATCGGTATGTGCGTCTCACTGCAAATGTATGTCTTCTGGCGTGTCGATCATCACGCTGCTCACCGATACATACCCGCTCAACACAACACCGACCCTCGCAGATGTTCGATGCAGAGATCAAGCGACGCAAAGTCGACGAGTCAGTGCCACTCGCGATTGTCAAGAAGGACGAGCCCCTGTTTGCGGCGTCGGCAATCTGGCAATACTAGCGCAGATGCCTCCCTCCAAAGCACATCATAATACACTGAGGATCATCTCTCGGTGGCCTCTTGGCCAAACACACATTGATGCGGTAGCGGGATGTTCAGGTGGAAGCTATCATTACAAGCTCTGCTTCGCTCGGGTTCTTTGTTCAAAGCGACTGGTCGATTGGATGTTGTTCATGGGGTGGAGCGAGCACGACTGTTGTCGACCCCAGCACTTCAAGTCGATCGCTCATAGCTCATCCCGACCGACACCGGGTGCGGCTTTGGGCTGGGCTGTACCGTCGGTTTGCTGGGTGTCGTCGGCCTGGGCCAAAGGCGGCTCCTGTTTCGTCAGTTGGCGACCAAGGGCATCCTGCTGGTCCTGGACATGGCGCATGATGCGTTGATAGAGCGCTTCGAAATCGATCGGCTCGGCGTCTCTGCCATCGTCTTTTGAGCTCCCAGGGCTCTGGTGCTCCTTGGCCAGCACAGTTTCGGCCGCAAGCTCGGCTGCGGATGTGTTGGTGGCTCGCCACCTCTGGACTTCCTGTTCAAGCAGCTCGACAGTCCGCGTATCGGGGCAGTCCGTTGGGGTTGCACATCTTCGTCGCCGGAGCTCTCGCATATGCATATATGACATGGGTTCCCAGCGGAACAGGTCCTCGACCGTCGAGGGATGGGCGGGCGTATCCTCCAGCGGCGGTGGATGGGACGGGGTATGCTCGGGAGCGAGCGCACGGCATAAGATCCGCGAAGATTGAACCTGCTGATCGGGCTTTTGCAGCACAGGCTGGTCGCATAGCCGAGGAGTGCGAATGTTGACGACGTAGTGGCAAACACTTGGCTCTTTGACCGATGCGATGTGTTCGGTGTTGCCGCACTTGAACTGCCCAAATGACCATGATTAGATCTCTAGCAGTTTGCAAGGTTGACCGCTGCTGCCGATGATGACGACGATGGTGATGCTGTCGGATTCTGCCGTCCCAGAAGAAGGGCCGGCACGATACATACCCGCAACTCGGCTGTTCGCGGCCGCCCGGTGATATCGCAAGTTGCGCCGCTGCCCCAGAACTGACGCAGCACGTAGTCTCCGTCTTCGATCTCGGTGATCTCGGCACCGGCGTCGGATGCCGTGTCGGTGCTAGCAGCGATGAGGCCTTTGGGAGGAACACGAGAGTATTTGGCGAGCAAATACTGTATCATGGGCTGACATTCCGAGTCGGGCGAGGCCTTGGCCGAGCGAGCGCTGCACAGCGACTGCACAATACGATCCATGTGGCAATATCGGTAGCGCCAGATATAGCCAGCCTGGGATTGACCACGGAGAGGCAAGGGTCAGCAAAGTGTCGAGGGAGGCTGTCTGGCGAGATGGTCTCGACAGGATGGCAGCAGCTCAGGGCGGCGTCCAACTGCGAGCCGGGCAAGCAGTGTCTGTGTTGGTGATGCTCAAAGATGGTTCCTTACATAGGGCAGATCAAACGTGAGGCAGGACTTTTTGAGTGGTTCGATTAGAGAGACAAGACGATCGATCGCTTTGGCATCAATCGCACCGGCGGCAGCATCGGTGTGGTCGAATACGCTGTCCTGCTCGGCAGTGAGACTGGGAAGGCGGCAGAGATACCGCTGTCCGTTGAGAGGGGCTACGATGAGCGAAGGATCGGCCTTCGAGTGGTTGATCGCAGATACAGCGCAGGCGGATGAGAAAGGAAATGTGTCATCAGCGGGGGGACTTGACTTGGCAAGAGCATGCGATCCTCGTCGGACGCTGGCCTGATGGGGGCGATATCATACCCAGCCGTCGGAATCGAGGGAGCCCAGAGCAAGGGGATGGATGCCGAAATAGACGTCGTAGGCAGGGTGAGAGAACACATCCAGATACACCAGCGAGCGACCTGGCGGCGGTACCGAGGATGCCGGTGCAGCGGCAGCGGCGAGAGGATGAACAGCGGCTCCCAGCAAAGCCAGGGCAGCAGCAATCAGGGGGCTTGGTCTCGGTGGAAGCATTGGCCAGACAGATGAACCACGATATGGCCAGATATGCGGCCGAGGGGTGATGTGCACTGCTGTGATGTGACGGAGCCCAAGACGGATGGAGACGCAGCGAGACGCCAGCCGGGAAGGTTGCTTGACAACACAGACAAGCCACTGAGATATCGCTGGACCTATTGACTGACTGAGATATCGCTGGACCTATTGACTGACTGAGATATCGCTGGACCTATTGACTGGCTGAGATATCGCCGCTTCATACACATGGCCATCGCTGCTGCCGCTCAATCTGGATCTGGGGGAGGGGAGGGGAGGGGAGGGGTGGGTCATCCATTCCCAACATGCGCGAACTGTGTGCATCCTCTGTTCGTGCGGCTGTCGCCCAGGCTTCGTCATTGTCGTCGATTGAGGCAGATCTGATCGCCGTGATTCGCTCCCAGTGGGTCTCCCGGGTGGGTCTCCCTCCGTTCAGCTCCCGAAGCATCGTATTCTCGATTGAGGAGGGGGGAGTCCGTCGTTGTTGCCAATCCTGCCCCAATCCGCATCGCTTCGTTTCCCGCTCAACCTGAACGTGCAGCTGTTTGAAACGAGATGGCGGTGCTCCTGAGTGTGCTCCACGCTAATCACTGCCACCAGAGGCACCCATTGTCCCCATGGAAGCCGGACACTTCGTTTGGCCGGCTGTCTTGATATCGAGAAACCGGCTTGTCCAAAGCCGAATGCACATTATGTCCCAAGACTCTGCTCCCGAAACCGTCTCGATGAACACCCGTTCCCCTGCACCCACGATGCTCTCTCAACGGCAACCCCAAGATCAGCCTTGGACACACTGTTGGTCATGGTGAGTGTGTATTCGGGACCCAGGTCACAGCGACGCACCTGACTTGTGTCGTTTTGGATGCGACGAAAAGCGGAGCGCTCTGTTTCTCTGCGAGCGCTTTGCAGAGCTGATGCTGTATCGGATCGACACACTGCGTCGGGCTGAGGTGCTGCACAGGGCGCGGACCTGGGTCTTCGGACAAGTGCGGGCTGTCCGACCGGCTCAGACGACCAGCCAGTTTGAACCACTTTGCATGCCTGGTCGCACAGGACCTGCCGCAGCGGACCAATGGCGATGCAGCAGCGCAGCGACACGTGCCCAAACACGCGGCGCGGCCGCTGGTTGGCCAGGACAGCGCGCTCAGCTGCGCACAGACCACCACGCGCGGGGGTCACGCGCACGGCGCGCTTTGTGTGGGCGGCAGCGCCCTCGCCAGCGGTCTCGCCAGCGTCTCGCCAGCGTCTCGGTGACGCGAGAGCCCCTGGGGCGCCTCTGTGGCCGGGGTCTCGCCCTCGCTGGCGGAGTTGTTGATGCCCTGCCACTCCGATGTCCTTGCCTGGCCGCTCACTCACCTGCTCACCCGGCTGCTCACTCGCCTGCTCACTCGCCTGCTCACTCGCCTGCTCGCTCGGCTTCGCGGTCTTTCCATATAGCCCCGCTGCCACCAACACTCGGCCACCATCGCTCGTCGCTCCTTTCGCGACTATCTCGCCCGTCCACCGCATGCTTCTTCCCCGATTGCCCTTCCTCTGAGCTCTCTATCGTGGTCTGCTCCCAGGCTTCCCAGCACCTCCTACCAGCCGCACCCCCTCGCATCCATCTCCGGGCTCTCCTTGCATCGGCCTTGCATTCTCGATTGCCGCGCCCCCCCCCCATTTCCGTTGCCAGGTTGGCTCTCATTGCTTCAACCCAGCCTCCATCGCCTCAACCCGGTCTCTCATCGCCCTATCAGGCCCTACGCTCACACATTCCCGCTCTCCTGTCCTGGGTTCGTTGCGTTCGTCCGCGAACCTCCCGCCAGCCTCCAGTCGACCGCCAGTCCTTCCCAGTGACGGCTATCGATATTTGCCCCGACACGCCATCGGTATCGCATTGTCGGGCACGCATCCCTCACTCTTCTCCAATTCACAACCCACCAATCTCGCCATTTCATCTTCAGCCCTTCCCACGGGCTCACAATACACATCCCCCATCAAGTGCAGTGCACCCTTCGCCGGTCGACGTTGCCTCCGTTTCTTCGTTCTTGCACCTTCCCGAATCCGACTCTCGACCTCCATCCTCCGTCGTCGCCCTCCCATGTCTACTCGTGTTTTGGTGTCGTTCCCCTCACCACACGCCTCCATCGAGCCTCCCAATCCGTTGACTTTGTACTCTCATCCGAATCGGGGCTCTACTGATTTCCATCGGCAGCCTTCGGACGAATGCTCCATTTGCAGCCCGTCACATACCAATCCCGAGACCGATCGCGTCTCCTCAATCGCCCCTGTCGACGAGTGTGCCCACGCAGATCCGTCGTCGATTCCGCTTCCTGGACGCGACGCGGATACGGGTTCCCATGCCTGCGGCAAGCAGTGCCTCCAGGGGCCCCCTGGTGCGAAATACACCACAATCTCAGATGTGATCCACTCGGTAACGCCTTCGTCCATCACCTGTCAACCGGCTCGGCTCATCAACTGCCCGTCGGATCCACCAGCCCTGGCGCTCGATCATGAAGGTGCGGGGTCGCTGCTTTGCCGCTTTTGCCCCCGCCAGAGTGTCCATTTCACTCTCGGCGCCGCCCAACTCGTCTCGGAAAACACTCTGCCTCATCTGTGCCACTCATCCCCCATGTGCACTGTGCGGTGTTGGCGCAGTGATCTCCGGGTTGCTGTGGGAGTAATTGGCGGGCTTTTCCTTGCGGCCGCCCTTAACCAACCGAATCTCCGCCCCACCTCTTTGGCCTGCCCGTATCTCCTCCCACTTTCCCTCCCCTTCCCACTCGCCTCTACAGACCCGATCGCAACTGCATCTGGCTGCGATAGTGACGAGGGCGCCCCTTCCTCGGATTCGTCCAGCCTGCCGCTTGTTCTGGCTCCGGACTCGCCCCAGCCTGCGCCCACCCTCGAGCCCAGGATCGCCACAGCCTCCAGCAACGCAAAGTGCTCGAGCCGCCCTTTTATCAAAGTCGATCAGATCTCCGCCACACGCAGGTCGCGCAGCACGCTCGGTCCCGCTTCCAGGATCTCGAGGCTTCTTGCCCTGAAGCAGCGAGGTCTGCCCTCCACCAACACCTTTACTTCGCTACAGAACATGAACATCAGCCCTCCGCCTCAGAGCGACGCCGCTCCCACCCTTGAGAGCACGAATCCTGCGCCTCCCGATCAGCCCAGCGAGCCCTGTCCAGGCAATGCCCTGCCGCCATCACCCGCTGGAGCCAGTGCTGAGGTGCAGCCGTCAGTTGCTCCGTTGGATATGCCCAGCGATCTTCACCATAGAGACGACCATGCCGGCATGGCTCACCACCCCTCCGTCCGGACCGCAGCCATATACAACAACGGCAACATCACCCGATGCAGTATCATGCTCGACACTGCTTACGGCAAAAGAAAGGCCGGGGCCATCTGCTGCGAAAACCCAGAGGGCCTCAGTCCAGACTCGATCCTCAAGTATGTTCCAAGACAGTCGCCCTCCCGCACCATGCGAGACCTTCAGTTTTACGGAGTCGTGGATAAGGACCGCATTGTCTCGGAGATGCTTACGGCCGGGTATCAGGACATCAACTACCGGAAGCTTTTTGACGACAGCGAGGTTCTCATCTCGAGGAGGCTGGCGGTCGACTTTGCTCTCCAGATGCGCGAGTCCAAAAGCGAGAACATGAGCATGGACATGATCGAGGACTGCTCTGGGCTGATGACTTCGACCAACTACGCCATTCCGATATCGCGTTCGAATTGGCAGGTGAGTCAGAGGCTACAGGTGTATGGGCAATATGCGCGGATCGACGATCGCCCAGACACGTCGTGAGTGATTTTGGATTCTCACGGTGCTCTTCCGCTGGCTTTGTGGGGACGGCAGCCGGACAAGAACAACATCGAGTGCCAGTCGTGCCTGGTTATCTTCAGCCTGTTCAACCGGAGACACCATTGCCGAATGTAAGCCTCCTGAGGAGTCATGCGAGGACAGCCTTGGATTGCTTGGCGGAATGGCTTGAGCAGAGTCAACGGTGGGGTGGGCGACAAAAGTCTGGGTTTGGGTGGTGAGGCATGCTGTGTCGCATGGTTGCCGACACTGGAACTCGGAACATTGGGGCTTGGAATGCCATATACTCGGACACTGATCATTTGCAACGCCGCTGTTTGCGCCAACCAGCTGCGGCTCGGTCTACTGTCAGGACTGTTCATCGCGAAAACTGCAGCTGGAGCGTGGAGAGCTGGTGCGATCATGCAACGACTGCTACAAAAAGTACTCCAGACTTTCTCCACCCTCCGAATGCGGGTCGACGACGGATAACAGCATCGCGCAGGATAGTACCGACATGGACGCAGAGCGGCGTGACTCGGCCTTCAGCTCGTCGTCGATTTCTTCGTCGATGAACGAGCTACTGTCCTCAACCCGGGAAGGTATCGCCGCGGCACTGCCGGACTTTTCGCATTCCTCCGTCCGAAACATGTGGAATACGCACCAGCGGCCAGTCCTCGGTCTGATCTGCAATGTTGTCATGGCGTGCTTTCGCATGCCGACGAGCCGGATCACCGAGTGAACACGAGCCGATTACCAGCATTACCGATTCTGCAACGTCCGGCTGAAACAACAAGCGAACGAACGAACAAACAAACGAAAGAAAGAAAGAAAAGAAAGGGAAAAAAATGACTCTACCAGCAATAATAGCCAACCTACGCACATACACATGAATTCATACCAGTTTATTGACGCCCCGCAAGTTTATCGACCAAGGATATCGATAATTATATACGAATCAGATCCAGCGATAGCCGCCAGTCGGCTGTCACTGCAACTTGGCTCTTGGAGCCAACACCGGCCGTAAGCGCCCACTTGGAATTCACGGACCACTGGAGCCGACATCCCCCCCCCATCGATGGTCCACGGATGGCCAAGGATCACTATATCCCTCTCCCACCCCCCCGCACTACTGGGCAGAGAACCGTGTGCCTCTCGGCCCACCAACTTCAATACCGTCTTCGAGCCGATCGTCACGGGGCAAAAAATACCACTCGTTGCGATCGGATTTGCCGTGTGCGCTTCAACATCCTATTTCCTACCTCATTTAGGAGTCTTCTTGGTCAGCTACAGCCAATCCAATAAAAAAACGGGACACCCCGGATTTTGGTCATTGGTGAATGTTGTCACTCAACACATCGTGCACTGGTTATGACCGTTCCTTCTTGCAAGACATTCGCCACGTGTTCGATGGAGACATGCTGGACAAACAGCTGTACTTCGGCCTGACCCGGCGACGGCGATTCAAGCGACTCGATCTCCAGGTGTGCTCACAGTGCTGAGAAGCCAAGCGACTCGAGAAGGTCGAGTATCTTGATATCGATACACCATGGAGCAGTCCAGAAAGTCGAATGGATGCACCGCACAAAGAAACTGCCAACCAGGATAGAAACAATCGCATGGCTTGCCCACTGGAGCCTATCAACCTCATTTCTTTTCGGATGGGGATATACTCGCATTCATAGCAGACACCGGCCTCTTGGAAACCGGGCAGGAGATGCGCATGCCAGGCGACTCGCCGTCGTGAGTCGTGAGTCGTGAGTTGCTCATGGAGATCGACCGCCTATATTCAAGATCATCCTTTCCAAAGCGAGCTTGCTGTTTGCCACTGGCGCCAGCAACGGCGGTGCGGCGACTCAACGAGACCCCGATCACACCGTTCCCAGAACGATGCCAGCGGAGCCCGCAATCGAGACATCCCGCGGTTTGTTGCTGCGGTCGCTTTGGCCCTGCTTGGGGCTCCAAGGGCTTGCTTCTAGAGGCTCTCAAAGTCATAGTAGAACATGATCGCATCGACAAGCTCGTCCGAGCCCTTGAGCCGACCGGCCTTGGGCACTCGCCCGATTTCCTTGAACCCGAGCGACCGCCACAGCTCGACCGAGGCAACGTTGTTGGCAAAGACGAGATTGAACATCGATGCCTTATAGCCCAGCGACGGGGCAATCTTCACAAAGGCTCGGCCCATTACTTTGCCAACGCCTTTGGGCAAGGGCCGGAGAGAAGGCCACGGCGCATTGGTTAGTGCGGATGCAAGGAAGGTGAGCTCATGAGCATGCCTATGCGAGTCCGGATCCGAAGGTACGGTGCATCACAGGGAGAGGAACCATGCAGGTTGCCGAGAGAAGGGAAACTGAAGCCGATGCCTACCTCGCCCACGGTGATCCATGTGGGTCAGAAAGCCTCCGTTGCAGATCTGTGTGGGCATGCGGCAGATAAATGATTGCCGTGTGAGTGATGAATGACTACGTGAACCCAAAGAAAGCTGGTATGCGATAGTCCGAACGGCAGGCCGACCAAGGGGCCAAGAAGCAACAACGATAGGGCCATCGTCGATCGGATGCTGCGGCATCGGAGCAGCTATTTGAATCTTGAACCTGCATTCCAACCGCCAGCAAACTGAACCATCGTCGCTTCTCCCTTGCCTCTCGCCTCTTGCCCCTCGCTCCTCCAACTTGATTTTGCGACTCCTACATGAGAGCATCGGCCCGGAAAGTTGGGCTTGACGTAAAAGGTGCCGAGCAGCGACCCGGCCTCGTCAAGGGCGACAAAGGCGTCATAGGACAGAAAGTAGGCCTCGAATGTCGTCGGATCGAGCGGCTCTTCCTGCGGATAGGTGTTGCCCTGTTCGATCTCATAGTTGAGCAGCTGACGCAGCTCGGGAATCAGGGCAGCATGGGCTGAGACGGCGTCGACTCGCTCGATCCGCACCGCCGCACCGTCCTTGAGGCGGTCGACGATCGGCAGAGTCACAGCAGCAGTCGATCTGGGCTGGGGTCGGGCAATCTTGCCGTAGGCAGACGACATGATGACCACAGAAGGGAGAGAGAGAGAGAGGGCAAGGTCGGGGAACCGGGCTGGGCTGACCAGGGTGCCGCTTTGTTGGGGGAGTGGGGGGCTGGGGCTGGAGCCACGGGGACGGAAATTGGTTTCGGGTTTTGGTGGAACCAGCCAAACCAACGAGGCAACCGAGCAACGGATATCACCTGCAGGGTAATGTCATGCAAAATACTCAACAGGCAACCAGGGTCAATTGCCACACTGGTGGCCGGGATACTCTCACTTTCGCTGCAGACACAGGTCAGATGGGCTCGGAGTTTCAAAGTCAATATATTATTCTGACTTGCATAGAAGCTTTACATTTCATTCAAGAGTCTCAGTTTCGAGTTAGAAGTGACGGAAGTGAGGGAAGGGGGTGGTGGTCGGAGTGGATGGGGACAGGTGATAGTGTCATATCAAGTAATGGTGATGATAACACCAGTTTAGGCCTTGGCGGCAGCCTTGGAAGCCTCGTCATCAGCCTTGGAGGTGTCCTTGACGGAGTTGACGGTGGCATAGGCAATGGGGAGAGAGCCAATGACGAGGACAACAGTGATGATAAGCTGGGTCCAGACAGGAGCACCAACAACACCACCAATGATCCAGGAGATGGCACCACCGAAAGACTGGATACCCTTGTAGAAACCACCATAGCGGGACAGGGTGGCGTAGTCGTTGGTGAGGGCACCCATGATCCAGTAGGCATAGGACTGGAACATGGCATCGAGGGCAGCCATCAGGACGTACATAATGGTGATGCCCCACATGGCGGGGTGGGTCTGGCCGGGGGTGCCGAACAGATCAACGCGGGTCTTGCCGAGGGGAGTGCCGGGAGCAACATCGTTGAAGGCGGTCTGCTGGTAGATGATGGCACCGATCCAGAGAGCAGCGTTGCCAATAAAGACAACAGCGAGACCGACACGGGAGCGAGTGTGGCGGGACCACTTCTCGTTGTCAAGGAACTTCGAGATGACATAGGATCCAATAGCCTGGAAAGCCCAGTAGAGGGCACCGTTGAACGAACCAGAGCGGACGTTGTAGAAGTGGCCGTTGATGTAGTTGAACTGGTAGGCGTAGAAGTAGTTGGAAGCCAGGAAGCAGGGAGCCATGAGGAGCATGCGCCAGTTGCCAAAGAGCTTGAGGACCTCGATGGCCTCACCAATGATGTTGCCCTGGGTGATGACCTCGACGGGAGTGCCATCAGCACGGACGACAGTCTTGGGGTCAGCGAGGAGGAGAGCGCAGCAGGAGCCGAGGATGGTGATACCGATGAAGGCGCCGAAGGTGCCGTTGGAGATGGCAACATCGGGGTTGTTGAAGTTGAGGATCAGACCGACAGTGTTGCCAAAGACGGAGCCAAGGTTGAAGATGATCCAGAAGATGGCAAAGTAGGTGGCCTTCTTCTCCTCAGTGGGGTAGGCCATGATGAGAGCACCCTGGGAAGACCACAGGAGACCAGCACCAACACCGAGAATGGCACCAGCAATGATGAAGAAAGCCTTGGCACCAGCGGGTCCATCGGCACCACCAGAGACATCGTTGTTGAGGGAAGCACCAATGTAGAGAGAGTAGGTCAGGCCACCGATGAACATCTGGATGCGGGGACCGAGGATGTTGTTGATGGCACCACCAAAGAGACCAAAGATGGCAAAGGTGGTGTAGAGAGCGGCGTTGGCGTTACTGCCAGTGGTGGGGTCAGTGCCACCACCAGCACCGAGGTTGTTGACGGCATTGAACATGCCGGGGCAACCGAAGCAGATGAGTCCAAGAAGGACGACTTGGGCGATGGGAGCCTTCGAGATGGCCATGGCGACTGATCGGGGAGGCGAAGAGGGATGGTGAGAGCAGATGGGCCGCCGCGGGTGGTCGTTTTATATCTGCAGCCGGCCGCGCAGGGGGTCGCCGAGGACAACGGCCCCTGCCTGGCGAGGTCATGGCTCCACGACGCCGTCTTGCTTGTTCCTGGCTGCTCGGTTCCCGCGTCCTTGGCGCAATTTCTGTGTATCCTGGGAGGCTGGTCAAGTGTACATCACAGTTTAGTCCTGTGCCTGTGGCTGTTCTGGTACTGTCGCTGCCAGTTTGGAGGGACGCGGCTCTGCCGCCCTGTCGCGGTATTGGCTTGGCTGTTGTGTCTCCATCGTGGCGGCGTGTGCATTCGCAAGAAACCACATGGTCCGAGGTCGGTTGCACATGTCACCATCGGGCTCCCCAACAGAGGCCGATGTCTCCCCACCGACGGGTAAGCGACTCGCACAGCCATCCAGCAGCAAGGACACGTCCGACGCTGTTGCCTCGGATACTGTGCCACAGCCTGGATCACAGAGGGGGTTGACCTTGGGCTGATGCCGCACGACGTTCCACACGGCTGGACACCCTCTGCCAGGCCTCCTTGCTGCCCCTTGGCTGTGGAACCGGACCGCTGGTCGTGAAGGGGCGCCGTTGCCGCTGTGCCAGGTGGGCCGTTGTTGTGTATCCGAAATCGAGAGGAGGCCAATGAGGCGCCCGCGTCCGCAACAAGCGGGGGTGCTCGTGTGGCCTGGCCTCCTTTCGCCCCATGACCGGATCGGATGATCGACGGCGGTCGGCTGAGGTCGATCCGTCAAAGGAGGCGGGCAGATCGTGACGCGAGACTCCTCCCTCGCCTGTCTCTGAAGCAAGGAGTGGAATCCGTCGCTTCGTCCGGGCACCGTTTGTGTCCGATTTGCTCGCCGGTAGAGGCAAGACGAGCCCCGCCACCCTCCGGAATCCATGGCCACCAAGCTCCACCAAGGTCGATGCGCCTCTTTGGGGAATGACCAGGATCCCATGTCGCCGTTGCTTGAAAGGGCTGTTTGGGGAGAGCAGGGGGGGGGGTGGTCAAATTTGCTGGCCATGGATGTCTTGACTCGAGATGCATCAGGCTTGCCACCGCTCCACCACGGCAGCCAAGACTCTGTGGACACTGCCTCCGCTCTCTCCCCCCATGTCAGATGTCGGCTCATCCGTGCTGGTCGCCCAGCTCCTCGAGCGGATATGTCTCCTTCGCGATGCATCCGTGAATGACTCTCGAATCGAGCATCGCGATGGCCAGCAGTCCTTCCGTTTGAGTGCGTCAACGGCCGGCTGTCATCTGAGATGCCCGTTTGCGACACGGGTTCATCTCTGACTGACTTTGAAGTTACTTCCAGCACGTCAACTGCTTGCCCATGTGATTGAGTTTCTCACTCTTGGGCAGCAGCTGTGATTTTGCCGTCATTGCGCCATTCCCCGCAACCGGCTTCTGGATGCTCAACCACGAAACGTCTCTGGCGTTCCCGCGATGTGGCCCGTCCTTAACAAGTTGGGCAAGCACCCTATAGCTGCCCCTCCCCCACATACACATACACATATACCCGCACTTGATTTTGATACCTTCTCACATTGTAGTCAGCTGTGGATGGCTCTTGTCTGCACAGCTGGAAAAGTAAAACGAAACAGCGATCGAGAGCGCTTGGGTCGATGTCGATCCGATTTGAGTAAATTTCATCATGGCAAAGTTGCGTCGAGCGAGCGACTTTTGTCAGTACGGTGTGTGTGCGATAGCCGAGTCATCTATGGGGACACCGGATGTGGAGCCAGTACTGGCATATGCCCCAGCATCTCCATCGTATACGTCGCCTATCTACAACAGCCCCCTCCTGACCGCACGGATGCCAGTGATATCAGTCGCCCAAGCTCGAGGAAGGTTTCTCTGGTGGGTTGGAGGGCTCTCCCAAACCCGACCGAGCCTGCAGAGAGTCCGGACCCAACGGTCCCAAAGTCCCTGTGAACAGAAAACATGCGTCGGAATGTGTCCGAGTCGAGGACTGTCTCGGGCAGTATGTGCGACCTGCATCAATCCCCGAAGACATCACGTATATCGACCTTGCGATCGATGCACTCCCCAAGCCAGCTCGGGTACCTGCAAAACCAATAACCCTCAACCAGAAACGATTGGGACAAAGCCGTGTCCAACGCGAACGAATCCTCAACAACAGACCAGCGATCCGGCTGGATGTCGTGGCGGTGTTGGATGACATCACAGTCCAATGCTTGTCGTGGATGGATGAATTCGGCAAACTTGGCATCGCTGCCCTTCCGCAAACAGTTTCCATGGATAGAGAGCCGCGGTGAGGATTGTAAAACGTCCTGGTTGGCAAGGTCAACACCCGGTACCAACACCCAGTGCCGGAGCTCGACAAGAACGCCAAGGCAAAGTCTCTATATAGATCCGTTACTGGCTATCCATATCGCCATCATATATGCCACAACTACCCATCATAGCCACTATCCAACGTCGCCATCATCCAAGCTTACCTCGTCGATGTTACCGCTCCGTCTGACCTCCCTGCCGTGGCTTTCAATCGTCAGCCTGAAGCGGCTGTCCTGGACCCAGCCGACAGTCCGAGAGAGGATCCCGTCCTCGTCCGGCAGCTCCGGCCTGTCGTCTGACTGCTCTCCGGCTCTTGTGACCCTGGCAATAGAAGCCAGGCACAAATCCTCTGCCATTCTGGACCCGCTTGGCTTGCCAACGGGCTCGCGATCCACCGGGAGCCCAGGTCAGATGGCGTTGTCCTGCGCTGCGGGCAAGACTCCTCTTCTTTCAAATGCACCTATTGGTTTCGGTGTGGATGGTCCGACAGTTTGAAACGAAGCCCACCCAGACGTAGGATGCTATTCGACAGAGGTCCCCGCACGCCATATCAAGTCGTGCCATAATACCATCAGCCGAAATAGCCTGCTTCAGTCGGCTGTCCCGGCGTGCAACATCAGCCAGAGACCACAACGCCCTTGTGCACCCGCACACTTTTTGACCCAAGCCAAAACCAAAGCCGAAGCCACAGACGGACATTGTCCAGCCGAGCCGCCGCTCGTCCTGTGAGGCGGGTGGATGCCGCCGGCCTGGCCGACGAAATGGGCGCAGGGCAGGTGGACAAGCACACCCGGCTGGTGGCGCTGGATGCGGCCAGTAACATGGGCGACCGGGGCCCAAACCGGCCCATGCAGCCGGGTCAGCGTCGCCATGTGTCATGGGCATCGGCGGACATGATCGGCGGTGGATTTCCTCGCTGTATCCGCCACATTACGACGCCTTCCTTTGCACGGCGTCTGCTCCATGCGCTGCGTGGCATCCATTGCGCCTGTTGCGTCCATCGTCCGTCGCATCGTCCGTCGCATCGTCCGTCGCATCGTCCGTCGCATCGTCCGTCGCATCGTCCGTCGCATGGGCTGCGGCTGTAATCCGATCCCCATCACACGGACAGGCCTCTGTGGTGCTCGCAGGTCGTACCAGAGGACCACCGTTCCCACAGCTGCCCCGGGCTACGTGGCATGGCATGGCATTCCGAGCGTCTTCTGCGAACGTGTGTTGCTTTCTGTCGCCTGCTCTGTCGGCCAATTCGTCCTGCTGTCCACAAGGCGTGCGGCCGTCGATGCACGCGGCATACTGTGCCGATGCGGCGTTGCCACATGCCGCAAAGGTTGTTCGCTGGGGGCACTTGTCTGCGAAGCTTCTTGTGCTTGTTCTGTTGGTCCCACCGACGCTCATCGTGACCGAGCCTTTCCGGCCACGGTCCCGCCTCCTCCTCGCCGGCATGCCAGGAAAACAACATGGCTGCTGGACCGGCTGCTCCTGTGCGAGTCAGTTGCACCGTCCGACAATGTCCATTCGACACAGCAGATGAAAAAAAAAAAAAGAGTTCCCAGTGCCACCCGCTGTCGCATCGGAGGAGCAGCAGCATCGGCGCTGTCGTCCAAGAGGCCAGTGGCTCCTCGCTCCTCGAAATTCCACAGGAGATATAAAGCTTCGCCTCGCCAGCGTCCTCTGGAGACCCCACCACCACATCCAAGCCATCCCAGCCCCTGTCGGCTCCCTTGGTCTCTACCAACTCCTCCCACCTTTACTTCCCTCGGCAGCCGTAACTCCCGCACTCATGGCGAGCAGCTCCACCCTCCCAACCGACACCGTCTCCACCGGTCCCAAGCAGCACTCTGTCTTAGTCAAAGAGCTGATCCAGGCCGGCGGAGAGCTCTTTGGAACCTTCCTCTTCATCTTCCTGGCCTTTGCAACCATCCAGGCGTCGCTGCCGGTCCAGGGACCCCTGTTCAACCTGTTTGTCGCCCTGGGCTTTGGTGGTAAGTACTCCACAGGGGTCGCCGGCAATGTCGGTTACCGGGCGGTGCGTCGCCGTCTGGCCCTCTCTCGTGGAGGGTCTGGATGTTCCTCGAGAAGGTTGTGTTGTTCGCCGCGCGGTGGGCTGTCACCATTATTTTTCCCAGGCGATTCCATTCGGCACATGAGAATCTCCTGCGCCTGTCGGTGTTATTGCCCGCACTTCGCCTTGACCCCAATGCCGGGAGACAGACGTTTGCCTCTATCGAAAGCACGACTCCTGACATCATGTACATCTTTGCCATCACCCCTCCCACACACAATCAGTCGGTCTGTTGCTGGCCATCGCCCTCACTTACCGCATCTCCGGCGGCGTCCTCAACCCCGCCATCACTATCGCCCTCGCTGCCCTGAGACTCTTCAGCCTCCGCAAGAGTGCTCTCTACATCGTGGCTCAGCTCCTGGGCGCCATGGCGGCCACGGGCCTGACGTCCCTCCTCTTCCCTGGCCCAACCAAGGGCGCCAATGTGATCGTCAACCCGGCCTTCACCGCTGTCCAGGTCGTCTTCCTCGAGGCCATCGCCACCTGCGTCCTGGTGGCATCGGTCCTCTTTCTGGCCGTGGAAAAGTCTCGGGTCACCTTCTTGGCCCCGGTCTTTATTGCCCTGACCGTCTTCCTCGACCACATCATTCTCATTCCCATCGATAATGCCTCGCTGAACCCGGCCCGGTATGTGACGCTTTTCGCTGGGGACATGCCGTGCACCAAGAGACATTTCGGTTGCTAGCAAACGGTCGCTGCTGGCCATTCCTTTAACCACCATGTATCCTTTTCTCCAACAGCTCCTTTGCTGCTTCCCTCACCACCAACACTTGGGACAGCCACTGGATCTTCTGGGTCGGCCCGATTCTCGGCGGTCTGATCGCGGCAGCCATCTACAAGATTTTCAAGGTCGCCCGATATGAGCAACTCAACCCTAACCAAGATGCTTCGGAGTGAACAACTTCCCTGCCAGTACTGTCCCCGACATCCATCCATTTCAACCATTTTGTCCTTTCGTCCTCGCAACTTTCCCCTTCCCTCCACACATCACTCGCTCGACCTCGGCCTCGGCCTCTGCTGAGTCGGAGGCAGCAATCCCGTTGCTTCTCCACAGCCGCGCCTCCCTCTCATATGGCTGTGCCGCTTTCACACAATGCCGCTGGTCGTAAACGCCCCTTGCCCGTCTTCGTCTCCGACCGGCTTCTCTCTCTGTGCTGCCCCCTCAATGCTATGCCCGCTCGCAAATCAAATAAAAGTATCAACAGTTCAAGGTCGTTTCAGCCGCCAGCGCTAGCTTGGGCGCAGTGTGCCATCGGTGCTGCTCGGTATGGTTTGCCTTTTTATCATATTTCATTGGTGGCAGCAAGATCGGCGCATGGTCGGAGTCCGCAGCTTAGAGATACAAGCTGGCGGCGAACACAATGTCTCGCTTGAGTTTGTTGATACCTGCGCAATGATTTCCAGTTCAGTGCACACCGGGGATGAGGAGCAAGGAGGGAAGGGAAGGAGTGGGATGAGAAAGGGAAAGGAAGCGGGAATGGGAATGGGAATGTGAGTCCGGGACCCAGGTTCAGTCATGTCCACGATCAGCCGTGTCCATGCTCAAGAAAGAAAGAAAGGAAAGCATCCCACTCGATGCTGACACACCCGCCAGCGCGATCGGCGCTTACCTTCGGACATCTTCGTCTCCAGCTCGGTGTTGCCGATGCTCTTGGCAGCCGCGCACATCTGTCTCAGCAGCTCCTCAAGCCGCCTCATGCATCGGATGATGCTGCCTTCGAAAATGTCCGTCATCGTGCAGATCTCCGCAAACTTGGCACCCTGGCACCACGCGTACGTGACGTCCATCATCTCCGGGCCAAAGGATTTTACGTAGTCTTCTTCATCGATCGTCAGTTTGGACTCGATCGAAACCTTGGCGATGCGGCGGGCGGCTTCCTGCATGGCCCGGAAGGGCCCGCTGAGTTCTTCGCGGATGCGAGAGGGCGAGTCATTGGAGGTCTGGCGAGCAATGGCAGGCAAAGGTCGGACGGACGCCAGCAACCATTGCGAAGAGCAGTATATCAGCATCGGCGCTACAAGACCACAAGGTGGGAGTGTGCACTGTGGTAGAGTGCCATTTGACTTCCGTAACCATAGTGCTGCGGGCGCTGCCCGTCATCGTCGCAGTTGCCGCCTCACAAGCGCCCAAGCTCTCTTCTCGGATGATGCACACATACCTTCTCCTGGAAGCAGAAGCAGCTCAGAAGCGCCACCGTCTGGTCGACCGTCAGCTCGTTAAACACACCGTTGAACATCATCTCGGTCAGCACGAGCTCGTCGCCGCAGGAAATCTCACAAGCGACACGGCCTTTCATATCGATGACGTCGCTGTCGGAAACATAGCCCATTCTTCGGAGCACGCGGCGTCGAGACTTGAGTTCATCCAGCTGGAGGACGCTATGGGCCGCCGAGATCTCCTTTTTCATTGAGCGGATCTGTTCTCCAAGCTGAACCTTGAGCACATAGAGGTCGTATAGCTCCTTGAGGCGCGGGTCGTTGTGCAGCTGGTTGGCAAAGAGCTTGCTCTCGACCAACTCTACTTTCTTGATGAGTCTGCCAAAGCCCTCGTCCTTGACACCCATATCCTCTACCGGGTCGAGCAACGGGAGGCCGTCCGGGAAGCGCTTCTGCACCTCCGTGACCGCCTTGAGGACTTGCTTGCGCGCATCCACGCCCTTGATGTCCTTGGGCACATGCAGCCTCACGCTTGAAAACTGGCTAATGCAGTCCAGGGTCCCTGTCAGCAGGACCATATCGCCCTTCTCGCCTTGGGCGCATGGCCGAGGATGCTTGCTGTAGGAATCGGTGCCCGCTTCGCAGTGCACCAAAAAGTCCACTACGTAGACAGGACCCTCGGTGGCTGTGGTGAGATCGTCCTTGTTGGCGTTGGCCTGGATTCGTTTCGAGAAGCCAATGACCATGCCCCAGCCAAAGTCGACTTCGTTTCCACTCTTGGGGGTTGATCCACCAATCATCAGCCCGGCGCCATCGTCGATCGAGAAGCGGGCCACACGGCCGGGCTGCAAATACGGCAGGCAGTAATTTGGATGTGTGATGACTTGTCGGATATCCCTCTTGTATCCCTCGAGCTGTTGTCGCAGGTCGTAGTATTCTTTGACAGTGGGTTCCTCTTCAATCTCCATGTGATCGCGGCGCTGCTCCAGAATAATCAGCTCTAAACACGAATGGATTTACCCGCCCGGATTAGTCCGTCGCGCACCGATCGCAACAATCAGCCCGCCCAACCCCATGCAGCACTGGCATCCATATGCACACCGGCCTCTCCGAAAACACCGCCTCGGCGCTGGAGGCCGATCGGCCTATGCAACTTACTCTTCTGCAGCTCCGGTAGCTTGGCGCTGTTCTGGAATTGGCAGAACGACTTCTCCAGCATGTGCTCTGGCATGATGCCCTCAACTCTCATCAGATTCAGGATCATCGTGTAAGTCAGATGGAAGGCGCTGTTGAGGGGATCGGACACGCCCTTGAGCATGCCCTTGGCGACGTTGGGCTCCATCTTCTCGTCGATCATCAGGATGACAATGCCACGGTCATCCAAGCCTCGTCTTCCGGCACGTCCAGACATCTGAATGTACTCGCCGCCGCTCAGCCATCGGTTTTCCTTGCCGTCCCATTTGCGCACGGCCGTGAAGACGACCGTCTTGGCGGGCATGTTCAGGCCGATCGAGAACGTTTCGGTGGCAAAGAGAATCTTGAGCAAGCCCTCCTGAAAGAGAATCTCGATGACTTCCTTGAGGATGGGCAAGAGTCCCGAGTGGTGGATTCCGATGCCACGTCTCAGCAGCGGTAGCAGGTTTTCGATCTGGGGGAGCTTTCGGTCGTCGTCGTTCAGGGCATGGATGGCGTTGGTGAAAATCGAGTTGACGAGCTCCTTCTCTCCGTCGTCGTTGAAATCGAGGCTCGACAGCTGCAGGGCATTGGCCTCACACTCCTTCTTCGAAAACGCAAAGACAATGACGGGATGATAGTTCTTGATCATGATCAGTTTGATGATCTTGTACAAGTCGGTTGGGCCTTTCGTAGACTTGTCCTTCTTTCCCTTTGGGCCCTTGGGCCCGTTCTCGGGCTTTGAATCGCCGAGGCTGCCGATTGCTCGCTGGAAATTGTCTTCGCGAAAGACACCCTTTTCATCGACGGCCAGATGCATGCCGTCTGCGCCGGCTGGGAAGAGATAGTGCTGGAGCGGAGTTGGTCGGTAGTCGGTGTAGACAACGTGGCACGGCTGTTGGTGGATTTTGCAGATCCATTGCGCAAACTGCATCGAGTTTGGGATCGTGGCCGAAAGAAAGACGTGATGCACTTTGTCCGGTAGCAGGATAAGGGTTTCTTCCCAGACAACACCGCGGGCTGGGATTGCAGCAAGGGGAGAGACAGGCGTCAGCTGCGACATGGTTTGCGCTGCAGAGTCGACGGGAGCGACAGATTACCATGCATTACCACTCTCCAATGCCCCGTCCGCTCGGCGGCCTCCAACGACTCACATTTGTCACGCATGTAGTGGACTTCGTCAAAGATGACCCAGGCGACTTCTCGCATGACTTCGCTACCACGGTACAGCATCGACCGCAGAATCTCCGTCGTCATGACGAGACAGCTGGCCTGGGGGTTGATTGTCACATCTCCCGTCATCAGGCCAACATCGCCAAACTCTGCAAGCAGTTCACGGTACTTTTGGTTCGACAGAGCCTGGTGGTTCAAAAGAACAGACAACGATAGGTTAGCGATCATCGCTGCGATAGACCAAAGACCCTAGACACTGCAGTTGCGATGCAGCCAGACACCGGCGGCCGTCGCTGAATCGGCTCTTGACCGGTCACGCTCAACTCCGCACAAACAGACCTTGATGGGGCTGGTATAGATGACGCGCTGCTTTTGCAGCAGACTTTGAGCGATGGCGTATTCGGCAACCACGGTCTTGCCGGCACTGGTGTGAGCTGCAACCAGAACAGATTCGCTCCGCTGTATCGAGTAGATTGCAGTCTGCTGGAAGGGATCGAGCGTAAAGGGGTAGGTGCGAGCCGGGACGGCAGGAGGGACATGTTCCGAGAGCGGAACGTACGGGTAGCCGGGGGGACAGGCAACTTGATGGTGAATCTGGATCGGGAGCGTAGCGCCGTCAGTAACGCTCGAGCATTAGGCGCGTGGCAAAGCCCCGAGCGGTGCAATAAAGCTCAGCAACGGTCTGGTGGTAGGAACAGAGGTGTCATGCGCGGCCCTGCCAGTTTGTCGCCCTTAGCCGGTTCGAAGCTGATCCTTAGATCGGTCGATATAGTTGCCTCGACAGGGCTTCGCTCGCCGGTCTCGGGCAATGTGCTGACTTTTAGGACACTGGAAGGCCCTCCACTCACTCACCGAATGCGTAAGAACCAGGGTATTGGATATGGAGTCTTTGGACTCGGGCTCATTGGCCGTCTCGGGCGGGACGGCATCTGCCCCCTTGTGGGTGCTGGCCGAGCTGACGGAGGGAAATGCGTGCTTGGCGCCGCCGCCGCCAGTTGCATTGCGAGCCTCGAGCGACGTCGAGCTTGCGGTGTATGCCTTTTCAAAGTTCTGTCCAAAGTCATCCGACACAACTGGGTGCTCCTCGATCTCGGTGATCTTCAGGGTCTTTTGCTTCTTGGGCGCCTTGGCCGGCGCTCCAGCGGGTGTGGGCGCGGGGGCAGCGACAGGCTGGTCCCGGGATCGCTTCTGGGCCACAACAGCAGCACCGCCGTCCTTGGACGCCGCCTTGAGTGCGGCCGAGCCGAGCAGCTGCGGGGCGGCATCGTCGTCGAACGCGCTGAACAGATCCTCGTCGCTTCCGTCAAACATGGTGGGCGATAGGTGTCGAAGCAGAAGCGAGGTGGTTGCGCTGCCGACCACTCTCCAAAAAAAAAGTGTGCCAGCGACTGCGCTCGGGCGTGGCTTGGCCTCCAAGACCCAGAGCCGCCGCGGCCAAGTCCAACCGCCGAAACCGGCAGAGGGCCTCACCCGCCCCGCTGCTGGATGCGGTGGGCGGTGCTGCGTCCAACGAACACTGCTGGCACTGCCGGCATTCACTTCGGGGTGTCCATGGTCCGCAGATACGCCAGCAATTCGCCTCGTTGGGCAGTCTGGCCGCACTAGCCAACACCGCGGATGCATCTGGGCACCGACAGCTGCTGTCGCTCATTGTTCGCATCGTATTGCATCGTATTGCATCGTATTGCATCGTATTGCATCGTATTGCATCGTATTGCATCGTTCGCATTGCATCGTATTGCATCGCATTGCATCCTATTGCGTCGCATTGCACCGTATTGCATCGCTCGTATGGCAGTGTTTGCAAGCCGTCCTGCATGCGTCACATGGATCTGGGCTGCTTTCACGTGTGGCATCGTCCATATCCCGCGGGCCGCTGGCTCCTGCGCTTCCCGTCCTGACCCTCATCTCGCCATGGAGCCCCTCGACGACCCGCCAGCGAGCACCGATGATGGTGTAGCCTCAGCCATCGACAGCAAGAAGGCCGATGTCGCTCATTCTGCGGAAGCCGGTGCTCAGACCAGCCCGACGTCGGATGGCCTCTCGGCCCCAATGCCAATTTCCGATCCCAACGCGGCAACCCTGAGCAGCAATGACCGGGCACGCATCCGAGCCGAGCTGCTCGCAAAACAACAGTCGTCCAGCGAGTTCGTTTTGGCACCCAGTATCGAGGCGCATGAGTCCGAGCCCCGATCCATTGCTTCCGCCGGCTCATCAAGCCCAACGCAAGCACTGTCGACTATCGAGCCGCCCATCAGCCCGTCGCCTGGCTCCCCCAGCAAACTCCGGAACGATAAGATCGAGCTGGCCGTGGCTTTCCTCACAAACCAGTCTATCCAGAACGAGCGCCTGTCCAAGAAAATCGAGTTTCTCCAGTCAAAGGGGCTGACTCCAAACGAAGTCAATGCCGCACTGGAGCGTGCCGCCCAGAACCCATCCGCCGGTACAGCTGCGGGCGTTACGGAGAGTCCAAGGCCGCCCAATACCAACCAGCAATCTGTTGGTGCGCTGCAGGGCCCTGCTCATCCTATTCCTCCGCCACTCCCGCCCCGGCTTCCACATTCCATGCCCCACTACTATCATCCTGTACCGGCCCATCGCGACTCCATTCCACCGCTGATCAAATACTGGGTTGTGATCGTGGTTGTGTGTGGCGGCCTTGCTGGTCTGGTTTTGGGCTGGGTCAAGGTAAGTTTCCACCAGTTTCGATGTTCATGCTCCAGATGTCCTCCCCGCTAACGACCGGGCTTGAGCGCATCGATGTTGTGGGTAGCTGTCTCGGACGTTGTGCCGTGACTCACTTTTGGTGCTCGTCCGCAGATATACGGCATCAAGATGTACAATTCCTTCGTAGCAGCCCTATCAGATCGCATCGGTGTTCAGAAGAAGCTCTTTCTTTCTTTCGCCGAGCAAGTGCTTTCGCTTGGAAAGTACTATGGCACCAGCACCGACGCCGAGACGAGCCCATCTGGCAGCAGCAAAAGCCTGACCTCAGCAACCAGGAGCCAGGTCCGGAGCGTAAGCAGCAGCATCAAGAAGGCAAAGTTATTGCTCAAGCAAATCCAAAGCAATGGCAGCAGCCATTCGGACGAGTCGCTGCAAGAACTCAAGGTGTCGCTGCTGCAGCTGTCCCAGTACGTCACCCACAAAATCTACTTCAACCCTGGAGCCAGCACCCTGGCCAACTACCCGAAGCATCCCGCTGGTAGCGATGGCGAGAGCGATGCCTTCTTGTCAGCCGCACAGGAACTCAAGAGCGAGATCCGGGGGCTCAAGGGCGCTCTGTTGAGCCGTCGCAACTTTCCAGTCATTGGCACCACGGCACCCGAAGCAGCCACGGCAGACATCCGGGCCTGAACCCTGGGATGGCGCATTCCAGACGGAACGGCCTGTGTTGAGTCATGGAACAGAGGTGTATTGCAATGCGTTTATCAGGAAACAATCGCTCGCGGGATGTGGGGTGTGAGAAAGCTGAAACCCCAGCGTCCTGTCGCTTTCGACGGCATTAGTCCGCCACCCTGGCAGGAGCACCATCGGCGAAAGGCCCATGTCGCCAGGCCCGCCAGGCTCACCCAGAGTCGCATCCCCCCCCCACTCGCCACCCCCTGCTGTCGTCGATGGCTCCTGGACGTTTCCACCATCGGTCTGGCCCGTTCAGGCTCTGTTGCCGATCGACCCTCTTCCATCCGGCTCGGAAAAATGGCGCGCAACGCCTCTGGCTCCAGCAGAGAATCGCAGATTGCCCCCGCTCGCATCGGCCTTTTGCGCATCGACTCGCTCCCGCTGCTGTCGAGTACCCTCGTCTTCCTACAGAGACTACTCCCTGGGCTCGACTGGCGACGACTGCCTTTTCCAGGCCCGCCGCATCCTCTGCACCAGGCAAGGCCCCTTGCCGATGCCCAGCCGCTGTCCTGCTCCGGCACCATGTACGAGCTCATCATTGCACACCGACTGGACATGCACTTGAGGCACATTCTGCTGGGCATGCTCCGGCCGTGGGTCCATGCTGCCCAGGACAGGGATGCCCATGCTGCCCGAAACCGTGCTTTGATCCACCTGCTCGTCGATTCGGACTCGATGGATCCGATGCTGCTCGCCACAATCACAGCCCTGTCCAAGGCATATCGAGCCGCTTTCCACCCGCATCACACCATGTGGCTCCGTTTGCTGGCCAGGCTTCTGCGGCTCCCGCTGCGGGTAATGCTGGACTATTTCGCATCGGGCGTTGACGAGCAAGCGCCAAGTCAGCGGCCCATCTATCCCTCGCTCTCCCCCAAGGTCGTCGCACTAGGGGCATTCTCCTTCTTCACCCGGACCGACGACAACCCGCATCCCGCCGAGAGAGCCTTCTGGCAGCTGGTGTTGAGCCGCCAGCCTCTGCTGATTCCATGCGTCAAAGCTCTCTGCCAGGAATGCGACTCGGCTCTCCTGGGCCGCTGGCTCAACTCCAGCTCGCGGTACCGTTCTGCCATCAACCGAATGACTTACTGCCAGAGCAACGGCTACGACTCGCTCTGCCTGGACTATCGTTTCCTGCGGTCGCTACCGGACTCGATCGGCAATCTGTCGTCACTATCGCGGCTGTGGGTCAGCGACACCCGCCTCACGACGCTGCCCTCCGCAATCGGCATCCTGGACTCGCTCACGGGCATCAACCTCTGCAACAACCACATCCGATACCTGCCCGAGTCGTTCGGCTACCTGAGCCATCTTACGACGATGCTGATGATCAATAACCAGCTGCAGGCTCTGCCGGACTCGATCGGCAACCTGAGTCTGCTGACGTTCCTGTCCCTCGGCGGCAACCAGCTATCGACCCTGCCGAGCTCGATCGGCGCCTTGACTGCGCTGACCTATCTCTCGGTCTGCCACAACCGCCTCAGACATCTGCCCGACTCGATCGGCAATCTGCAGTCTCTATCGCAGCTCTATCTGAGCAACAACGACCTCGTGGCTCTCCCGGATACCATCGGCAAGCTAAGGTCGCTCTTGCATCTCGACGTCAGCCACAACCGCCTCGTTACGCTGCCCGAGTCGGTGGGTCTGCTTGATAATCTGACCTCGCTCAAGGCACACCACAACTCGCTTTGCTCCCTGCCCGAGCCCATCGGCCGACTCACGACCCTCAGCCACCTGAGTCTGAACGACAATCAACTCCAGGACCTTCCCGAATCGATTGGCCGCCTCACATCCCTCTCGGTCTTGCAGATTTCCAACAATCCGCTGGCATATACCCCTCGATTCGCCTCGCTGCCCTTCATCGTGATGCTGGAGCATTCGTGGATATTTCGGATTCGGCGATGGCTCGAGGGCAAACCGCTCGTCAGCCACTCAGCCGAGGATGAGGTGGTCGACATGACCGCCAGCTACTGCCGACAGTAGCATGCAATGGCGTATCCATGGCAACAATAGCAGTTCTTTGCCAGGATGCCAACAGCTGAGCCCGCATCTGCAAGACGAAGCCTTCCGCTTTTAAACAGTACACTTCTCCCCCCTTACGCATATGCTTTCAGCGACAAGTCCTCATCGTCCCAACTCTATTACGCTGTCTCTCTTGGTTGTGTCGAGCCTAGTCATGTCAATTGATCCAGTCCATAAGGCCACAAACAAAGTCAAGTACACCCAACACGGCGCATGCACCTGAGCCGTTCCCGCGATTGCAGAATGGATTGATGGGAATGGATTGATGGAATGCGACGGCTGCGATCCCTCTCTTGATCGCCACGACTGCTGGTGTTGAGTGGCAGAGCGAGTGTCGGATGTGGAAGCAGTGCCGGTGTGCAGTCGGCGTGCAGTTGATGTTGCACCCGTGGCGAGGATGCTCCAAAATCGATTCTAGGTGACCAAATCGTCAAAAGTACGGAATGTGGACGCCTGCCTTGATCATGTTGACAACAGCCATCTTGGCGGCATCTTTCTCGGCGGGACTGAATCCGTTATGGTTGTCGTGCCAGTGGACCAAGAGGCTGTCGATGAGCCGAAAGGCACGCGATTCCCACAGATGCGGCAGGATGACGAACTCGGCTCCCTCCAGATCCAAGTTGACGACTACGTAGTCGTCCGGGCGAGCCGTCAGCTCCAGCCAGCGTGCAAAATCGATAGCTTGGACCTTCCGCACCGGCACAGCTGGATCACTGCGGATGGCCCAGCCATCCCAGGGGCGAATGCTGGACGCCTGGTGTGAGCAAATGGCCCAAGCATTTCATGTGAGCGGCGAAAGATCGGAACGCCATGCTTCACACATCTCCAGAATATGCATACACCATCAAAAACATCGCCAACGGGGTATATGTATGCACGGAACCAACACCCAAGCACTCTCGATCATGGCGGCAATGCTCTTGATAACGTACCCAGTAAGCGTTGTCATGGCTCCACTCGTCGACAAAGAGATCAATGTCGCCATCCTGATTGTGGACCGCAGTAGCGTCCCGGAGCCATACCTTTATCGGCGGCTCCGACTCGGCCAGCTCGGCGGTCAAGTTCTGCAGATCCGGGGTGAATCTGTGGTCGGCTTCGAACATGTAGATGACAAAGTCCTCCCTAGCGATAAACCATGGGATCTGCACTGGCTCCTGCAGTTGGCACTCCGACTCGGTCTTGCAGCGGCCGAGAAAGTTGCGCACGGCGTCTCCGAAATGGGCACCGAGGTCGACAAACATTGCTGCGATCGGCTCCTCGGCAGTAATCCATGTTGGCTGAGTCCTGTCGATGATTTCGAGATTGGGTGAGCCGGGTGGCCGATGGCACACCAGGCGAACAAGCAGCGATACCAGCACCAGCGCCAGGGCGGTCGCCAGACAGATTCGCAACCTCCAGCCCCAGTGCAGCCGATGAAGTTTCGACAACATGATCATCGAGACGAAAAGATGCGCACACAAATCTGCGAGGCACAGGATTCGGCTCTATATTGGCGGTGGTTTGCCAGCAGGAGCGGGGAGCGGAAGCTACTTTGGCGGGAAATCAGACGGAGCGATGGAGCAACATAATTGTATCCCAGTAGGGGCAGCGACCACTGCTACGGCATGGCTCCGATCCTCTCCCATCCACTCTCTGCCATTACGACGATGCTGGCTGGGAGGTCACGACCGATGGGTACTCTGGCCTAAAGTCGTTCATCACGATGCCGGCTTGGATGCAGGCACAGGCTTCTCCTTGTCGGTCGGGCTCTGGATCTCGGACGTGATCTGGTTCAGGTCTAGCATGAATTGTTGGATCTTGTCGAGCTGGTTGAGGGTGTCGACGGAGGTATTGACTCGGTTGTTCAGGTGTGTCTTGACGAGCTGGAAGAGATTGCTTGCGGCCCTGGAGATGCGGCAGTATCAGCAATTTGCCCAGAAGGGATAGGGACCATTCGATCGGGGTGACATCGTAGTGCATCGATGTTCCAGATGCCGACGAAATGGACCAATGTCCCAGATGCAAACATGGTGCGCTGATGCACAAGGGGTTTGCGCCGTTCGACAGAGTGCATCAACTCGATTCGATTCCAGGCGAATTGACTCGACAGGCAAGCCCGATGGCGGTACTCACATTTTGATTTGGCCGACCAGTAGCGTCTTCTGGCTCACGCTGTTCAGCGTAGAGTCGTACTCGGCCTGCCACTTTGCACTCTTGAGCTGACTCTCTTCCAAGCGAGTCTGCAGCTTGGCGATCTCGTTGTTGTAGTTTAGGATCAGATTGTTCTTTTCCTCGGTCGAGAGACTGAACTGCAGCCGGTCTCGCTCGGTTCTCTCCTGAGCCTCCCGGGCCCGGTCGATGAGCTCGCCGTTGGTGGCGCAGAGGGTGTCGAAGCGAGCCAGGATGTCCTTGACCTCGCCAAAATCATCGGTGTTCTCGAGAACAGACTCGAGGTAGCTCTGGAAGGGCATGACTGGCAAAGGAGAGTGACTGCAGATGAGGACCGACATCCGCAGCCCCGTCCACTGGCAGCCCACGACATATCGCCCCGTGCTCTACGGCGACGGCCTGTTGCGTTGGGCCGGCGGTGCAGCATCACATACAGGCCTCGATGATGTGGGCTTGCCGATCTTTCTTGTTGCTCAGATTGGAGAAGTTGTCCTTCAGATTCAGGATCTCGGTTTCCTTTTGCTCCTTGGTCTTGCGCTCGTCCAGCGACTTTTTCAGCGCCCTCGTTCTCTTGGCATCGTTTTCCTGGCGAGAGCCAAGCGGGCACATGGATGAATGCGGACGGGAAGTGGTCAAACTCCATCCATGGGCCGCCATGGAGAACTTCGCGTGGACGAGCCCCATGAAACGCGCGAGCACATCGGCGCCCTCGCAGAGCAAGCCGTTGGGGCTCAATGTACTCGCCAGCATCAGCCCGATCTCGGCTCGAGCCGGCAGCGAGCGCAAGCAGGAAGATATGTTGCTCCAGGGGCGCCGGGTGGCCAGTACAAGTACCTTCAGGAACTTGTCGAACTTCATCAGCGACTCCTTGAGTTGGTTCTCCTTCCGCGCAAGCTCCTCCCGCCGCTGGGCAAGCGACTCCATCTTCATCGCAAACTCCTCCTTCTGCTGGACAAGGCCGCTCTCGACCTCGAGCATCTCCCGTCGCTTCTCCAGCAGCCGCGTTGCCGGCGTGAGCTCATGGTCTTCTTGCTCAGGGACCTTGCTGGAGCACAGCGGAATAGACGTCAGCGCAAGCCGGCTGCTGAAACCCCACCACAACCCCAAAGCAATCTGGGCTCGCTGCGAACATACATGAAGAGCTTCTTCTCGACGTTCACGCGGAAATATTCTTCCATGTTGGGCGATGCTGAGCGGCGATATGATGGCTGGGCCCTTCGGCTCTCGATCGGAGGTGGCTGCGGCTTCTGACGGTGCGCTTTGCGGATGCTGACAGTCGATGCACCGACGGCGGCCGGAGCAAGCCCCTCCGAAGCACCGGCGCAAATGCGGGAGCGACCCAGCAACAGACCGACCAGCGGCCGCCCGCCAGATCGGCAGCGGCTCTCCCTCGATCAGCCAGCCTCTCGAATCCGTCTCCCGCCGTTGCTGTCGCAGCGCAACAGCACCTCCTCAATCGCAGCATGGTGTTGCAAGTCTCGGCAATCCTCCACCTCGGCGACCAACAGGAGACACTTCGTCTTCAGCAAGGGCCAAATGCGATCGGCCAGCGGTCGTTCCGGCTGCTGCTGGGCCATCCCAGGTACCTTCTCTCCGTCTGGCCCAATGCAGATGCATATGCCCGAGAGCCCGCCTTCTGAATTGCTTTGCACCCGCCTGACACCTGTCTCGGTCGACAGCCGTTGCTACGTCAGCCGCGAGAGCCAAGTTACGATTCAAGTCGATATTCGCTCGCAAGTCGTCACCGTCGAGCAGGTAGGTCAACCACTTCCATCTCTTCCCCCCCCCTTTCCTCCCCCCATCTGCTCACCGCTGCTACCTGTGTCGCTGCCACGGCTTGCCGCTGACTCGTCTGGTATGGTGACCTTGCTCCAGAAAGGACAGAACGCTTCGCATCTGAATGGCCGGCCGCTCTCCAAGAAACTGCTGCAAAACCTCCGCACCGGCGACATCGTCACCCTCTTCCGTGACCAGTTCCCCGTTACCATCACGATTGTCGACCAAAGCGACCACGTTCCTTCGCAATTAGAGATTGTAGAGCAGTATGACTTTGACCGCCCCGCGACCGACGACGAGACTTCCGGCGACGAGGACGTCAACTCTGGCTTAGCCGGGCATCCAGCACAGTTTTGGCCCGACGACTTTTCGGAAGAGTCCGACGATATCCACTTTCCGGGACAAGCTGTGCTGGTCGCCGGGGATCTGGACGACCTTAGCGATCTCGACGACAGCCTAGCGATAGCCTCGGCGGCCAGACAACCAAGGGCGCTGCAATCTGGACAAGCAGCAGAGCCGCTGGGGCATGTCCTAGATCAAGCTACCGATTCCTCGAATGAGGCAACTGCTCCAGCGGCACAATCGACTGCTGCTGCTGCTGCTGCTGCACCAACGGCGGTGACGGACCAACCCAGTCGGACGCCAGCGACGGCGTACGGCCGATTTGCTCAAATGCGCCGTGTGGAGTTGAAGAAGCAGTATCCCCACTCCCCCGCCAGCGAAATTACCAAGCTCATCCGGGCCGAGTGGCAGAAAATACACCAAACGGTGAGTGCTGCTGGGCTCGCATCAGCCGTGCTAAGGACCGCAGAGCCGAACGGTATCCAACCGGGCGCCAGTCGCTGATCAGTGTTGCCGCTCTAGCCTGGTGTCGATCCTGCAGGAACAGCAAGCGATGACATGGACGAATCGAGCGAGCCAGGGAATGAGCCTAACAAGCTCCCGAGTCCTTCAATACCAGGCGATGCGAAAGCCGATTCAGAGACGGAACGTCGTGGAGCCTTGCCGCTACCATCACTCAGTGCTCCGGATAGCCAACAGAGTCGCTCCAATGGCCTTCCGAGCAATGCCAGCAGCACCCGACTGGAGAGCCACTCGAACGGCCACTCGAACAGCCACTCGAACGATTACTTGGGTGGCGACCAGGGCAGCCTGACTGACGTCTCGCCACACTCCCTGCGCGATATCGATAGTCAATCTGCAGCAAACAGTACCAACGAGCGACCCAGCGGGTCTCTTGGCTGCAGCGGAACCGAGAGCTCCCGGAGTAGACATGATGCCTCTCAGTCTTCCCCACACACAACCGCCGATTCGCAGTCCTACATGTCTGACTCTACCTCCGGGGCCGTGCCCTATCGTACGCTTGGTCTCATGAATGATCATTTTGATATCGGCGAGATCATGTCAGGAAAGAGTCAGACGGAGCAAAGCGAGGCTAGTGGAAGCACTACCGGCCAAGCAGCACTGTACTCTCCTGAGCTAATATCGAGCCGGAGCAGCACAACGCATCCCGAGCCGAGCGGCTCAGTCCGGACTGGGGAAAGTCAGGATCATATCGCGAACGATGACGACGACGATTATCTTCAGATGCATCTCGGTATGCTCATGGGTGTAGTATCAAAGCGGAGGAGAACAGGTGCATGAGCAGCCTGTCGGCAACATCACATCTCCTCAGTCTCATGCACAACCGGCCTCAAGACAAGCCACATCTCTTGGCGCACACAAGTGCATCGCCAGTTCAGCCAACGCACGATCTTCTCCAAGGGCAGAGTTCCGCAGTCGTTCTTTCAATATAGCTCGCTCGGTAGATATTGACCGAAATGGGTAGGCGAGAAAGGCCAGCGTTATGCAGATACCGTATCTGTGTCTGGGGCTCGAGGCATCAGCTTTGCTTCATGGGTGCACCTGCGGCCCGCTTGCACTGTCGTGCGCATGATGGAAATGATGGTGTATTGAGTGTTTCGGCATCTCTCTGGTCAATCTCCATAAGTGATCCAGACACCCGAGGAGGAAGTTCAAAACATCAGAATATGCTCCATGAAAGGCGCAATCCCCTCGGGAGGTGATTGGGACACCTCACTGTTGCGCTGGTGAGGTAGTTTGGTGGCGGTGGTGACATCATCAGGAGCGTCTACATCATCAGCAGTCGACATCATATCAGACGAGCGATATGGCAACGTAAGGTCGTCGGGGCAGCCAGCTACATCAGGCTCGACCTCATCGACTCCACGCCCAGTCCATACCAATTCTTCTCAAACAGGCATGAAGGCTCTTGTTGCTCAAACCACACTGGCTCCACTCAATGTCCCTGGGATCGGCGGTGGAGCCAGTCACCGCAGACCGAGCACCCCGTTTGCGCAAAAGCCGCCCGGCTCGACCGAAAGTGTTAAGCGCCCATCGGGTTTCCCACGGCGACTGGTTGGGCATGCTCCGAAAGACACACAGGCTTTCCCACTCCAGGGCGCTCACCACGAACTCGACTTTCTCAAGGCCCGCGAGAAGGTTTTGTGGGGAGCAGTCGAGTATATCGGACTCTTCAAGGTCAATCGGCCAGAGCAGACTGATTTGATGATGGTTCAAGAGGCCAAAGATATCGAGAAGGTGTTTTATGAGCTGATGAAGGTGAGACCAGCGAATGTCGACAAGGGCCGAACGCAGCAACAGACCCAGTGTCGTTTCGTCGCCTTGTGCCTGTATCGTCGGCAAGTTCCATCAGGGGATTGACGCAATCGGTCACGTATTTCGCATCCAAGGATCTTTCCGAGCACCGCCAGTCGCTTCGAAAGACATACGAAGATGATCTGGCCATCGCGGTTTCCAATCTAGGCCGCCGTCTCTCGTCTGACATCAGTCTGCTCAAGAGAATGTTTGAACGAGACATGTCGCGGATTCGGCGAGCCGCACGATCCCAGCTGGCCGATGCGGTGGCGAAGGTGTCCCATGCCATGATGGTAAGCTGCTTGGTCTGACCCAGCGCCCGGGCCAGGCGTATTTGGCAAAGATATCAAAAGGCTGGACGGACATTTGCTTGCTCCCGAGACCAGTCATGTGCTGACTGCTGTCTCTGATCTGCAGCGCGACCGCGAAGAGATTCTCTCCGGACTCGACGAGCTTCATTCCGCCGACCAAGGTGCGGGCGAGGAGCTGTTGTTTGTGCTGAAGAAGGAGAGCCGTCATCGAGCCGATGATGTCAGCAAGTTTCGACACATGGTATCCAAATTCCAGGTCCTAATGAAGCGAAACGGCATCACCGACCACGACGTATGTACTGCTGGCTCTTGTGGTCATTTGATTGCCACTTCGCACCCTCAACCCTGATGAACTGAACTCGGTTCGAGATCCACCGCCGCTGCACACCCATGCCGGGGGGGGGTGATCGGGGTAGTGCGGACATGCTGCTGCACGCACATGGAATGAGCCGGACTGTTTGCCGATTTGTCGTGACCTGATTGTGCGCATAACACATATTCCACGCAATGCGGTGTGCTCCATGTCTTGTTCCTGGCTGGACTAGTCCTACCAAGTTGTGCAGGACCAGCGCGTACGCTCGGAGGAGCTCATCGAATCGTATCAAGCCATGATCCTGGCCAACGAAGGGCGCATCGAGGAGGTCCAAGCACAGATCTACGCACTCGAGAAACAGATCCAGAAGCTCTTTGAGCTCCCGCCGCGACCAAACTCGGCTCCCAAGGGCCGCAAGTTTGTGCGAAACGAGGATATCTTGATGCAGCAACAGCAGCGGCGACAGTCCAGCCAGACGTATAGCGAGGCCCTTCAGGATGCTCGCCACAGCCTGCTCTCACGACGACACACTCTTTACGAAGGCTCCCAGTCAGGCGACGATACCGGCAGAGCCGAGGGAGCCCCAGCAGAGGCACTCGAGCTCAGCATCGAGCAGATCCGCGAAAGCTACGAGCAAAAGCTACAGGCCGTCCAACGAGAGCACGAAGAGCTCATGGCCAAGGAGAAAGAGGACTATGTCCGTCTGGACACCGACTATCGACAGCGGTTCGAGGCGCTGAGACACGAGCTCGCAGGCGACTCGGTGCGGGCCATGCTTCACAATAATCAGAAGAAGATTCGGCGGTACGTTACCAAGGTCTACCCAAAGCCGGCACGCAGCGTCGATGCCGAGGTTCAGTGCACACTCGACACCGAGAGCAAAGTCGATATGGAGGTGCGCGATACGCTTGGACGAGCATCCGGCGTCATCGAGACGCTCGAGCGACAGGCCTTCAACATCCGAAGCAACTTGGGCCGCGGCGATCTGCAACCAGTGGTGGTGCTGACGGACGGCAACGACGGTACTGCTGCACCGGGCGAGATCGAAGAACCCTCGACACTGGATGTGGGTCAAGCGGACGACGCCCGGGACCTGGATGCGCTCTCGCGAAGGTCGTCGATGGTGAGTCTGCAGCCTCGATCAAGCACCCCAGGACGGCGACTGAGCATCAGTAGCGTCGGTAGCAACGATCGGCGCCTCAGCATCAGCAGCATCGGCGGCAACGACCGGCGTTTGTCGATCTACTCGGATGTCGAAGACGTTGAATCGCGGGTGATGGCTGCCCAGCGAATGAGCAAGATGACCCGGCTCAACGAGCCTGCTTATGCAACAACGGCAGCATCCAACGCGGATATTGCAATCCCAACCCCCAGGATGCAGTTCGAGCTGAATGTTACCGACGTTATCAACCTCGCCAAGCTGACAAAGCAGCGTGATGACGAGGAGCGACAGCAGCTTGCTCAGATCAAGACAAACGAGATTCTGCAAGACAGCCTCAGGCGATCCACCAGCGGCGTGCGCCCAATCTCTGGAGAACTCAGTCAGTTTGCACAGGAAGCGACCGACGACTCCACCCCAAACGATACTGGCGACGAGTAGCCGATACCGAGGGCCCATGGACGGCTCAAGGAAAGATGTGGCTCTGGTCAATGGCGGGAGGGCAGCGCCACAGGGGGTGCCGCAGGGGCTGGGGTCGGATTCTGGATGGGTGGGATGAGAATGGAAATGGGCGGCGCAGAGCACAATGATGCCGGGCTTACAGAGGGGGGGACGAGTGGCTGTACAGCACATGGAAAGGACAATCGAACACTGTAGCTTTCGGACAAAGTACGCCTCGGTCGGATCATATCACACTTGGCCAACAAACGCCAAGCAGATTGTATCATGTCTGTCTCATGGAGTGTGTCCAAGACTCCAACGTCTCACCACCCGAGTCCATCGCAATAGTGCAAGTGCTGATCGAAGCCGCTCAGTTCGGCGGCTTATCGATATCACTCAACCGCATAAGCCATCTGCGTGTGAAGGTGTCCCTTTCAGCAGAGACACGAGGGACCGATAACGAAAGGCCGCCGTTCTTCTCTGGCCATAGATCTCCTCCCCCCACAGCCGAAGTCCCAGCGATAACACCGTGAGCGCAGGCGACCTGCCGCCTGACCCCCATCGCCGATCCGCAAATTCCCGCCCGGATACAAAATGGCCCGCCCTCCCCCCAGCGCCCGTCGTCCGCTCGGCTCGGCCTTCCGTCTCGACTCTCCGGATATCGCCCGCACCATGGCCAAAACCAAAAAGTCGCCGCGCAAGGACCAGACGGGCTCGCCGGCAAAGCAACATGAGTCGGACGACCGCAAGCGGCGCGATCCCCACGGTTCCAAAGACGATCATGCTGCCTCTGGGCCCGCTGGACCCACCAGCACCCAAGCTGCCTCAACTCCCAAGCGCCAGAAGATCTCGGCCGGCGACGAGCCCGTGCCCCATCGGCCTCTCAAGATTGACACAACCCAGTGTGGTGCGCGTCCCATCGATCTGCAGACGCCGTTTGTGTACTTCCCCAACGAGAGCATCGTCTCCAAGATGCGGGATCAGGGCAAGCGCCACCACAAGGAGCAGCTCGAGTCTCTCCGCTTCCGAGAGCCCAACCTCTCTCCTCAACAGACGAGCCCCGTCCTGTCGCCCACCAATCCGCGACGAGTCCTGCGTATCGCCAATGGCCGCATTCTGCGCAACCACGCTTTGATCACCGATGACCTCTGGATCGAAGACGGCAAGATCATCAACCCGGCCCCGGTCTTTTGGGACGCCAAGTCCAAGCCCCACATGGTGGTCGATGCCCATGGCGCCATCATTTCCCCCGGCTATATTGATCTACAGATCAATGGTGAGAAATCCGGTCGCACGCTGTCGTGTCGTGGAGCTGAGAAAGTGCTGGGGTTGCGGCTGCTCGCTGTCGATGATCTGATGGGTCGAGCAACATGATGGTCCCGGCCGTTTGGGGCTTGCTGGTGCGCTCGGGAACCATGCATCCAGCATCCAGCATCCACCTCAGTGGCTACAGCGTACACATATGGCCTTGTCGTGCCCTGTGATTATGCGCTGATTGTCGCTGGCCGCTGTCTCCGTCCCCAGGCGCCTTTGGAGTCGATTTCTCCGATGCAGATGATCTTGAGAAGAAGCTTCCGGCCCTCAAGAAGGCGCTGCTCAAGTCGGGCTGCACTGGGTTCTGTCCGACGATCGTCAGTACCTCCCCCGAGCAGTATCGCAAGGTATTTGGGCTACTTCTTTGCTGCTAAAGGAATCCACACTGGACGGACCAGGGCAGCCGTCGATCAGACAACAGCGCATACTGACAATCCCCCCCGCGGTAGCTCATCCCCAAGCTCCAGCCTTCTGCGGGATCCATTCGCAATGGAGCTGCAAACCTTGGTAAGTATCGAGACCTGATCATGATCGCTGTCCTTGCTCTGGTCCGCTAAGCTTGTGGTTTGGGCAGCGAACCCCACGCGATGCTTGTGTAGAACCGGCTCTCAGCGGCTATTACTGGGCCCATTCCACGAAGGGAACGATACAAACGAGCCCACACCCCTCCAACCAATGCACCGTCCCCTTCACCGATCATGCAGGCATTCATCTCGAGGGCCCCTTCATATCTCCAAAGGTGGCTGGCGCTCACCCCTCGGACATTGTTCGCGAGGCACCTGGATCTTGGAAGGATTTTGCGACCACGTACGGCTTTGATCGCGACGACTGTGAGCGCAGACGAGGCAACGGCGACGGTGAAATAGCCCAGCGAGCAGTCAGAATGATCACCTGCGCCCCCGAGGTGCAGGGTGTGATGAAAACGATCCCTGATCTTGTCCGTCGAGGATTTGTAGTCAGTGTTGGTAAGTCCATGCCATCCAGGATGCTCACAGGCGGCTTGGAGGTCCTCAGTCAATCCGCTAATGCTGCCCTGGCTGCTGTAGGATACACTAACTCGACGACGGCCGAAGCCGAGGAGGCTATCAGCTCTGGAGTAAGTGGTGGCTATACAGCACAGCTGGATGAATGCATCGAGGATGCACAGTGTGGTATTGGGCAAATGCATTGGGCAAATGCATCGAGACACTCCTGGCTGGATGCATAGTGCCGACTGATCGTGGCCATGCCGATACACATACTGCATCGGGACCATCGCCACTGCCATCCATCGCTATTCCTGCGACGCTGTCGTCTTTCCATCCAACGCTCTCGATCTGATCCTTTGATGCTGTTGGCCTCACATCCCTGGCGTACAGGCCAGCTTTGTCACCCATCTCTTCAATGGAATGCAGCCCTTCCACCACCGAGATCCCGGCACGATCGGCTTACTCGGGTCGACTAAGCCCTCCAAGCGACCGTTTTACGGGATCATTTGCGACGGATTGCACTCGCACCCCTTCAGCGTCCGAATCGCCCACAATGCTCATCGTGACGGAATCGTCCTGGTGACGGATGCCATTCCCGCAGCCGGGATGCCGCCTGGCAAATACAAGTTCAGCTCCACCGTGACGGAGAAGCATAAGGACGCTGCGTATATTGAAGGCAGCGATGCGCTCGCTGGAAGGTAGAGAGCAGAACAGTCATCGATGAATTCTGTGATTGCGTACAGGGAATGTCTCCGGGAGCCCACCACGATCGATGCTGACAGCCACTTTGCTTGCTCCACGGCAGCGTCATCATGATGGATGAGTGCGTCCGAAACTTCAAAAAGTTCAGTCGCTGCACTACCGTCGAGGCACTTGAGGCCGCAACACTGAACCCAGCCCAGGTCTTGGGAATCCAGAAGACCAAGGGCACCCTGGACTTTGGGGCGGACGCCGATCTGCTCTTCCTGGACGACGATTTGAACGTCAAGCGCGTGTTTATTGCTGGAAAGGAGTTGGTCTAGAGCTTGCCCAAGAGCCAGCGAGCACTTGATTCAAAATATATCGATCATCATGGCATTCGCGGCTGATGAGTGTATATTTACAGTCGGTCAAGAAACGGGACAGTCACTTTCTGGCTTCAGCGGCACAGGTCTGCCGAACTTCCGTAGGCTCCAGTGAGTAAGCCATGCGATTGTTTCCCATCCTGGTTGGCAATCTCTTTGTGCGGTGCATTCACTCGGCCCTCTGGACAGTTCCATGGTGTATCGATACCAAGATACTCGGCCTTCTTGAGTCGCTTGGCTTCCCGGCACTGTGAGCACACCTGGAGATCGAGTCGCTTGAATCGCCGTCGCCTGGGTGGTGTCTTTCACTTGCGGGGAGCCACCTGTGCGAGGAGGAAGCGACGACGACTGGTTCTGCCCCTGGGCAAAGTGCGAAAGTCGAGGGTGTGGCGAATGGTCATACCCAGCGCGCGATGTTTTGAGGCAACAACACATTTGTTCAGCGATCAAAACCCGGGTATCCCGTTTTTCATTGGATCCTCGATATCATCAGGCATTGCTGCGGCGGAATGGGCAACTCGCACTCTCTCGACCAGCGGCTCGACCGGGCGAAGAAGACAGGCAAGGCTGCCGGCCCGGAACCGTCCCCCCTATTGTCCCATCGCTTGCTGGTGCCCTTGAGCGGGATGATCCTGATATCCCCTGCTCTGTCCTCACACAGGCATCCTGACTCTGACGAATGCCTCGCTCAAAGAGATATCCGATGAGCTGCTGTCCATCTCCACTCTCAAGAACTTGGATCTGTCCTGCAACCGCATATCCGAAATGTACGACACCCGCATCCACCAGGCGCTTTGAGGCTTTGGGTCGTTGGTTGATGGCGAGTGCTCCTTGGAATCGAGTCGTTGGCATCGAAGCCTTTGGTCTCGCATCTCCGGGATTATATTAGCCACGACCAGCCTTTGAGCTCGACTGATCCTGGTCTGTCATCTCTGTCCGAAACCGCAACCGTAGCCCCATCCGCTTCGAGACGCTTGAGCTCCTCAAATTTTTGTCGCTGGCTCACAACCGGTTGTCGGTCTTCCCGACGGTCTTTGCCTCGCTCACCAAGCTCGAGACCTTGAACCTGTCCTATAACCAGCTCACCGGTATCCACGTCGATCTCTCGCCGCTCGTTTCGCTAAAGTCCCTGAACCTCGCCCACAATCAGCTCGCGAGCCTGCCCAAGTTTGCCAGCCTGCCCAAGCTGGTCTCTCTCGATATCTCCTACAACCGTCTCTGTCAGCTTGAGGGGACGTTGGAGGAGCTATCACAGCTGGAAGAGGTCAACCTGGAGCATAACCAGGTGGAGGAGGTTCCGGCGAGCTTTGTAAGTATGAAGAGTCTCAAGACGCTCAGGCTGTCCTTCAACCGCATCGCTGCCTTTCCCTCCGAGCTCTTGATCGACACGGGCTTGACGGCGATTGAGCTGGAGGGCAATCCGTTCAACGACCTGGACTTGGTCAAGGTCGAAGGATTTGATCAGGTACGCATATGCATTTGGCTGGCAATACAGAAGCACTGGTGGTTGTGCTGCATAAGCATTTTGGGATATCTTGCGAGCGACTGCTCACCCGCTTGGCGCAACAGTATCAGGCGAGAAAGAAAGCCCGAATCGATCAATTCATCAAAACTTGACCAGCGAGCCGTCGGGCACGCATGCTGTCTCGGGGTATGCTCGGACGGAGGTAGCTACCGACCCGGTCGTCTCCACATCCCGTGCACCTCAAACGAAAGGAACACCCTGGGTTACATTGTTTTGGGTCCTGAATACACCTATGAATCGCCCGACACGATGACCGAACAGTGCCCAAGGAGACTGAGACTGAGACTGCGGCTGCTTTTCGGGAGTACATCGTGGATGGATGGGTGGGTGCGTATGTATGTATTCTGGCCGAGAGGAGCCCAACGAAAAGCCGAGCAACCCGCTTCAAAATGTGACTGCTATATCGTCCTCTCCTTGTCGGCAAACGACCTTGCGGTGAATTCGGGGGGCGTGGCCGTGAACAGATCCAAGACGGCGGGGTAATTCTCATGGACCCATTCAGGATGAAGACATACTTGCAGAGGAGAGGCATTGCAACGCAGTGTCGAGCAAGTCAAAGGTGCGGAGCACAGTTAGTCACTCCATTCACGAAAGTCAATAAAGGCCTCATACGACAGAGCGACCCGCATTTCTATCGAAAGGCGCTGCTGCTCTGGCGAACCATGGAAAGTATACGAGGTATCTTGATCGACTGCCGACGCTTGGATTTACTTGAGTTATCAGGTTCGGTGGGCACATTGGCTTCGGGCACATTGGCCTCGGGTACATGCTCAGGTTGCGGAGCAGAAGTGATCACGACCTCGGGATGAACCTGTCAGTGACCAAGGTTAGCGGGACGTCGGAGCAAGTGCAGGACCGTCGCCATGAGATATGCAATCATCAGCCAACGTGACACTTACGTGGACAATCACAGCAGGATTGTGAGGCGGGATATCGGACCATATCACCAGGCTTCCCAGTGGCGAGATGCTGCGATGGCCAGCAATCGTCGGAATGCTGGGAGGAATCCTGATGGCATGGCGACCATAGCGGACCCAGTGAGGGGCATCCTCAACATCGGCCCAGACTGCAACGGCGGCATTTGCGCTGGCGACGAACGAGCTCGAAGGCTGCCTGGAGCGGACAAAGCGGCCATCCTGAAGGACCCAGAGCATTTCGCTTCCCCAGATATCTCGAGACAAAATCGAGCTGCTGTCGCTCGAGCAGAATACGCTCTTTACCGATCCCTTGTGTCCCTCGAGGGTGCTCATCAACTGTCCGGTCGACATGTCCCAGACTTTGACCGCCTTGTCACCGGAGCCAGAGACCATCAACTTGCCATCTGGTGAGAATGCCGCTGAATTGACCACGCTCCTGTGTCCGCCATCCAAGGCATGCTGTTGATGATGAGGGGCGCAGTCCCAGATCTTGATGAGGCTGTCTCTGACTCCAGCGCGAGAGCCGGAGCCGCTTACAGCGTTTCCATCGGGCGAGAAGGCTACTGAGTTGACCGTCGACGTGTAGCTATCCAAGCTGCACTGTAATTCTCCCGTGGATACATCCACGACTTTGATCTTGCCGTCCCCCAGGCCACAGGCGATTCGAGAGCCGTCGGGCGAGAAAACTGCACAGGTCACTGCTATCCTGTAGTTGCTGAGAGTGGAGAACAGCTCGCCCGAGGCGGTATCCCAGAGTTTGACGGATCCGCCGTCGGATCCCGAAACGATAAACTGGCCGTTGGGCGAGTAGGCCACGGAGTTGACCCCGTGCTTGTGGCCCTCCAGAGTCCATTGTGGATCTCCAGAATATGCCGCTACAACCCGGATCTTTCCGTCTTTGGAGCCATATGCGATGGACTTGCCCTCGGGCGAAAAAGCCAACGAGGTCACCGACCACGTGCAGGCATCTATATCGGCATGCAGATCGCCAGTGGAAGTGATCCAGACCTTGATTTTGCCGTCCTTGGTTCCAGCGACGATGTACTGGCCGTCGGGTGAGAACACAACGGCAGTGGTGGCCAGAGCATAGCCGTCGGCGGTATAGCAAAGCTGACCCGCAGAGAAATCCCACAACCTGATTTTTCCATCACTTTGACCGGACACAATCCAGTGGCCGTTGGGAGAGATCGCCAGGGCAGTCACCGCATAGGTCTCCACGTCCAGGTCCAGCTTATGCTCGCCCGTGACCGAGTCCCATACCTTGATGGTGCTGTCATAGGAGCCCGAGACGATCCACTTCCATTTGGGCGACAGTACCAGCGAGGTCACTGGTCTGCTATGGCCTGTAAGCGTCATCACGCACGGATCCCAGGTGGGAGCCGGGCCGGCCGTGACCAGGAACGGGGTCTTGTCCTCGAGGCGGGCCGCATATGCCTTGTAGAGTGTGGTCCCCTTTGGTGTGAATGCATATCCCGAGTTGTACACTTGCGGTGCACTCTTGATAATGGGATATGCAAACTCTCGGATGAATCGGTACGTGTCCTTGACCAATTCCTTGGTGGTGTCGTCGAATATGCTGCTTGATGCGGTGGTGGCCACTTCCTCAAGTACAGCCAGTTGCTCGATGATGGGCTTGACCACATGCGTGAGCGACCCACATTCGAGCCAGAAGAACACATGGCTCAAGAGCAGCCGAGACATGAGTCTAGTCATTCCCACGAACTGAGGCAGCTTGACAATGTGCCGCGACGCAGCGTCGTCGTTCAAGCAAAGCACAAAATGGGGAATCCAGTGAGCAACGCTGTACCGCAGCGATGGCGCGATCTTGTCCTTGACTTTATCCTCAAGGTCAGGGATCTTGTCGTGAAAGTCGTAGATCTCGCAGATGTTGATCACTGGCTCGTGCGCGAGGATCACGGCCAGGCACCGGGATGTAAAGAGTAGGTTGAAGATGGCCGGCACATGGTACGGCTCACCGACAGATTCGTCGCCGAGGAGGAATGTCACAGCTGCTTGATGAAGCAAATTGGAGGAGCTTTCACCAGGACCATCGCTGTCGTTTAAAACCGGTGCAAGATTGTCGACAACATCAAAGACAGCTTGGGGCGTCATTCCAAACAGCTCGGCAAGGGTTGCTGGAATCAGTGGCTCTTGGGCAAATGTGATCGCCGATATCACGGCGCGGGCCTCGTTAAGGTTGCGCAGCCGATCAAACACAGCATCGAAAGCAGTCCTGAGGGTATGGGCTTGATATACCCAATCTGCGTCCTCCTCCAGCTGGACTCGAAACTGCAACTTGCGGCCTCGGCGGATTCGAAGCTCCTCCTGGAGGCGAGATTCCTCCTTCTTTTGAGAAATGTGGGCGTCCAGTGAGTCGAGCTCCTCGAAGTAGTCGAGCATATTCCCACCAATGTGGCTGAGGTTTCTTTCGACGTTATCCAAGGCGGAATCGAGCATGGAAACTCTGTCCAAAGGGTCATTGATGTATGAAGAGCGGCTGCCAGTGGTGCTCTGCGCGGGGCGACCTTCTAGCGATCGCAGTGCTCGTACATCCGTATCTGGAGATGTTGACATTCAGGTTATGGGTGTACTCTGTCAGAGACTCATATTTCCTTGTCCACAGGCACAGCGGCCTTTCTGCCATAGTCACGCGGGTTACAGATCTCGAAGCAGCCAGAATCAAGAATGCATTGCCATAACAGAGCAGCATCTTGATTACCTGGTATAACCGATTTGTACACCTGCAGAGCGCTTAGGATATCATTGAATGTCGGCCGCGATGACGGCTCCTGGTGCCAGCATTGCTCGATAAGCGACCAGATTGCCTCGGGGACGTGGTCAAGGCGCTTGGGTCGCTTGCCCTTGCAGACCTGACGTTCGATTGCACTTGGTCGCATTGCCTGGCCGTCCTCGGTAAGCCAGATCTCACTTCCGTTATTGAGGGTCTCGTACATCATAATGCCAAACGCATATACGTCCGTCTTCTTGGATGACCCCGTGGGCCGCTCATCGTCCAGCATCTCCGGAGCCATGTAATCGAGTGTGCCACCAGCGAGCTGGACGGTCTTGGTGGTCGCGGAGGCAGACGTGCGCTTGGTGCGGGACATGCCAAAGTCGGTGATGACTGCGTGGTAGTCTGAGTCGAGCAAAACATTCAGCGGCTTGAGGTCGCCGTGGACAATGTTGTTGCCGTGGAGGTAAGCCATGCCCGAGGCGACCTGATACATCAGCCGGAGCTTGTCGTCCACAGGGCGCAGATTGTCGGGGTCGGAGACATAGCCGCGGAGCGTCCCATTCTTCATGAAGGGCGACACCATGAAGGGTCGCTCTGCGGTATCGCTTGCACCAAGTAGCGGGAGGACGTTAGGATGCGTGAGTTTGTGCCAGATGTTGATCTCTCGACGGAATTCGGCAATGCCTCGCTCGTCGTAAGTGCACAGGAGTTGCTTGACGGCAACATCGGAGCCGTAGTAGGTGGCCATGTAGACCTCGCCAAAGCCGCCCCGGGCGATCGGCTCTGGCGAGTAGTTTGTGATGGACCGGGGATGGATGCGCCACGGCTCGGGGCCAATTGCGCGGGACACGTTTGACAGGCCCTTGAGCAGCCGGAGTAACGGGGTCACGGCCATGTCAATGACCGGCTGGGCAATGTCACTATCGCGCAGAAGGCCCTGCAGGACATCGGTGGCCTGGCGGAGCTTCCATTCGTGCTGGTCAAGGTGGATGTCGACCAGCCCAAGCACCTCTGGGTTGTTTTGCTGAAGCATATTCGTGATCTTGTTGATGAGTGCCATCTCCTGGGCCTCGTCCGCACTAATAGCCACGACAATCTCGGTCTCGACGTCGGCAAGCTCGGTGACAAAAGTGAGGCCAAGGACAAACTTGATCGTCTGCCAAAGATGGCTCAGCTCCTTGCAGAACTGCCCGATTCTCTGGCGAACCCTCTCGGCCTTGAAGATGGACTCGACTTTGGAGAGTGGCAAGACCTCGTTGGCATGAAAGTGCTTGATCTGAGCATGGAATTGGCGCAGGTACTCGACTTGGTCGGCAAAGCCAGGGGCATCGGGCGCCGACAGCGAGAGTGCCTGGAGATCCTCCAGCGACAGATTCGCGAGCAGCGTCCAGGAACCGGTGTTGACTTCGATGTGCTGCACCGCCGAGAAGAGGCCCCTGGCAGCCAACACAGCGTCCTGGAGTGGGGGCGTCGATCGGTTGCCAAGGGCGACGAGGCTGGCGACGACAGAGACAAGATCAAGCACGGGCATGGGAAGCGTGGTTGGAGAAGGCGAGGGAGAGTATGAGGGGGGGGGGAAACGCAAGGAGAAAGACGAGACTATATGAGGGGCCTGGGAATCCGGCTGCAAGCCAACTGCCAGCCGGGCTTGGGCCATCCCTTCCAACCAGCCGACCAGCCGACCAGCCGACCAGCCGACCAACAGACAAACGGACCACCCGACCCATCTGGCACGCCTCCGGGTGAGGGCAGGAGGAGCCAGCCCGCATCGGGACCTCGACTCCTTGTGCCGTCAGGCAGTGACGGTGATAGCCAGTTGGCAAAGTGGCATAGGTTGGGGAGGGGTGTTACGGAATGACGGGTCATTGGTCCGATGGGCTGCTGGCTCGACAAGGCGATCGGCGTTGTATCGGCTCTCGGTCTTTCTCATTCAACAAACATGGTGTCGATACCGACGAGCCGCGCCTGGCCAAGACTCGATTCGAAATGACTTCCCCACAGGATTGCCACAGCCCCAGCGCTGCCCGCATCCCAAAGCCAACGCAGCAGAAGCCAATGAAGCCCGACGAGCTAGATGAGCCGAAGAAACCGAGGCGGACTGCGGCCCAGTTTCTATCTCGACAGCGACGTGAGTTATCTCCAGCCAGCCAGCCAGCCAGCCAGCCAGCCTGCCAGCCACCGAGTTGCGCAAGCAAGCCGAGAAGCAATGTGCCGCGGCATGTCCCTATTGTTCGTGCTTCTTGCTCGGCGAGGTGCTGCTGTCTACGCCATCCGAAAGCAAGCCCCCGTTCAGATGCAGTCGAGGCTGCTGCACGGCCGTCCCGGCGAACGGAGATCTGCATCCTTGGCCAGGCAGAAGCAGCATTGTCGGGAATCTGCTTTGCTCGGAAGTTCGCTTCGATGGGGGTTCTGGCCAATCGCGGCTGCTTCCATTCGTCGTACCATCCCGCCAGGCCCAACATCGGTCCGTTTGGAGATACCAGGGCTTCCTTCATTCGCCTGCTCTCCTTTCCATCTCTCCTCTCTGACCTCACGCCCGACCCGCAGTCGATAACTCGTTCGGCATGGCGCAAGTGCTCTACAGCCACTTCCAGCACGACATATTGACGATCCTTGTCACAAACGACGGGTTCCTGAGCACCATCGATGCACCGACGCTGACACAGCTCCCTCGCCTCTCCAGGCAGCAAAGGGACATCCTCTTGCTTGTTCCGAGCTCGATGTGGCTGTCCGTTCTCTTCAGACACCTGCAACTTCCAGACGATTTTTTCAAAGATCTCGAGCCGTCCATCGATCGGGCCGTCGTTGTCGAGGGCCTGTGTCATTATATCGGTCGTAAGGACAAGTATTATCCTCTCTCGGCTGCCTCATACCAGCGGGAGCTTGCACTTTGGTGGGAGGTCTGCAAGAACGGGGTGCTACGCTCCCGGCTCATGAAGTTTTGCCAAGACGTCAACATGAACCTCCAGTATCCGCAAGATCTGGTGGAATCCATCGGGCAGCGGACGATCATCCCCGAGGAACTGAGCAACATGGACAAGTTTCGGCTCTTTGATAGCGCTCAAATCTTGATGCCGATGGAATACTTTGATTTCGAAGAGCACCAGACCTACTTTGCCATCATCCGCTTCAAAGGCCATCCGATGCGTTTGGACGAGTCGAGGCCGGGTCTGCTGCCCCACGAGATGTTCGTCCTCACGACCGGATGGCAGCTCAGCCTGGTCGTTTGCGACTGCAGCCACGACGATCTTTCCGATTGGCCAAGGGACATGGCAAATATTAACCAGATCAAGTTCATGGAATCGGAGGCCTTTGTCCACAGCTGGGACTGGAACCGGGTGACAGCGCTGGAATATTTTGAAAACGTCACCCTGCCGCCGTCGGTCAAGAGCTTCGTCGGCGCTCCCACGGCGATGGACATGATCGAGAGGTTGGATCTGTCTCAGTGCACGGAGCTGTGCTCGTTCGCAGGATTTCCGAAGCAGGACGACCTCCAGAGCCTCGCACTTCCACCCCAGCTACGTGGCAGCGGTGAATTGGCCTGGATTCCCGAAACCCTCGTCTCCCTGGACATGTCGCACTGCACCAAGATCAAGACCCTTGCTGGATTGACCTTTATGGATACAATTCAGGTCCTCACTCTCCCTCCTTCACTCGAATCGCTGGACGGAATCGCCGCGTGCCCAGATCTCTACAGACTCGACATGTCCAAGTGCATCCATCTGTCGTCCCTCGGCAAAATACCCCTGAAGTATTGTGTCATGGATACCCTCATTCTCCCGCCTGGCCTAGCGAGTCTGAAAGGAATACGCCTGTCCGCTCCGGAGCTCGTGCAGTTGGACCTGTCGCCCTGCACCCTTATGACGAGCTTGGTTGGCGCTCCCAAAGCACTCGCTGCCGCTGAGCATCTTGTTCTCGGGCCAGGATTCGAGAACCTGAAGGGAATCGAGCAGTTCAAAAGTCTCAGAGTCCTCGATCTCTCCAAGTGCAGCAAGCTCGCGAGTCTGGCAGGGCTGGCCAGCAAACAGCCGAAGCTGGAGGAGCTCGTGCTGTCGCCAAATCTTGAAACTCTCCAGGGACTCCCGCAGTCGCTCGATTCGCTTGAGCGACTGGAAATGTCCGGATGCGCAAAGTTGACGAGTCTGACGGGCATGGCCAACACGCTGGCTTCTCTTGATCAGCTCACGCTTCCACCGAATCTGGAGCACCTCGCCGGGATCCCCGAGGCGATGCCAGAGCTCCAGGAATTCGACCTCTCTCACTGTGTCAAGCTGAAGAGCCTGGCCGGCCTGCCAGCGGAGCTGCCGAAGCTTTCCGTCATCCTGCTTCCGCCTGCGATCGAAGATCTGGAGGAACTTGTGCCGTTTGGGCACACAATCCAGCACGTAGAGCTATCCAAGTGCACTCGGATCCGCAATCTCGCCGATCTCCCCCGGATCCTCCCGAACTTGACCGAAATCAACCTCCCTCCGCTGGAAAGTGCCTTGGAGACGATCGACTTTACAAAGCTTCGCAGCCTCCGTCGGCTGAGGCCCGAAAAATCGCTTCTTCACAACCGCCGTGTCCACAAGCTAGTAACGGCCATTGGACGTGCGTGTCCTTCGCTCGTGATCTTCTTCCTTTGATGAAGTATCTCGACTTTGGTCCCGGTTGAGTGTCCTGACCCGAGCCGCTCTCGCCAAGCTCGGCCCAGCCGTCATGCCGCCGAGAAATCACACTTTGAACGGAGAGCATTCCGGATGATCAGATGCATATTGTATCGCAAGACTGTGTTCCCCCCCCCCAACCCCGCAATGGGCAGTGGTTGGCGTGCGAAAGAATTCAAAATGGAACTATCACATTTCATTCTTCACGAGCTGCAAGGGGGAAGTAAAACAACCAAAGAGGGCCGTGGCACCGCTTACGCGCAAACTACCGCCCATCGGCCATGGGAAAACAATGGCAAAGTAAGCAGAAGCAAATCCGGAGGGGCATCACACACAAAAACAAAAACAGAAACAACAAAGCAAGAAGAAATTTTGAGAGATCGAGAGATTGAAGTGGAAGGGAGATACGTGGGAATAAGAGGAGGAGGGCAAGCAGCCAGTCAGATAAGCACATGGTACTCGTCGGCCAGCCTGAAGCCAGTCAAAGTATCCCATACGACAGCGGCAAGTCGAAAAGGACGTGGGGTGGGGTGTCAGAACTGTGAAGGAAGCCCGGATCCTGGGCCGAGTCTTCGTCCATCACTCGCGGTCGTCCCGGATGACGATGACGGGGATCTTGGAGTTGGCGACGCAGTAGGCCGATAGGCTGCCGACAAAAAGGCTGCTGGCCGTGAAAAAAATACGGCCCAGTTGCAAGAGAATAGGAGAGTAAGCAAGGGCTCAGACAACCGCACAGCCGGATTTGCTCCTACACACACTCGATGGAGGGCCACACCGCCGCTGCCGTCGCCATCACGACCGCCAGGGCTTGCAGTTCTTGCAGTTCTTGCAGTTCTCACCTTTCAAGCTTCGATAGCCCACGGCACCCCATCACGATCATCGTGGCCTCGATGTTTTCGGCAAACTCGACAAGGTGCTCCCTGTGCAGCTCGCCGAACTTGACATCGACAATCAACTTGGCGGTCTGCAAAGGCCATCCGAGACGCAGCCTGTCAGCTCGTTGCCTCCCGAGTTTGCAGCGCGGCCCAGTCAGATGCACTGTCATCTGGTGCATCTGACCGGGCCGCATCAGGGCCATCGCAGACAGCAGGTTGGAACACTCACCCGGAACTCGGGATACAGAAGCAGCTTCTCCCGATATTTGGCGTAGATACTGTGGGCCTGCATAGAGGCAAGAACGAAGCCGCAGTTGTGCTGTCAAGACTCTGGTTTCCAGAGGATGGACGACTCCCGAGTGCAGGCCCAGAGATAGAGATATTGCTGTGCCTGAGGCTGACTCGCACGCCCTCAACTTACAAAGTTGTCCAGGAACTGCGGCAGCTCATGAGTTCCATTCTTCTGGTCCTCTGGATCCAGGATATTCGAGCCAGGCGATGGTTGAGCGGGTCGGAGAAGGGGGAAGAAGACAGAGCGGCAGGTTAGGTTCAGCCCGGTTGGGTTGGAGACGAAGCCGGGCAGGCCCAAGCAGACCGTAAGTCGGGCGATCTGCAAAAGAACAAAGACTTGGGCAGCAGCACACCCGCCGCCTTGAGTGTGGTTTTTGTCCGAACGGTGGTCGCAGGAGCAGGAAGCGAAGGAGGCATCATCTCTGGGCTTGTGCCTGGTTTGCCCTCGACGATGGATGCTGCCATGCACAAGAACCCACACTGCGGCTCCTTCCTCAGTCGCATCGCCCATCGACAGGCACTCGGTGCTGGGCCCATGGCTCTCATCGAGCAGCCAGCACAGCCCGCCTGCTCTTCCATCAGCCTGGGCCTCTCACAGACACTCAAGGGGAAGGGGAGGAGAGGCTGTCTCGTTGGCCAGCGGGGCAGGGGGACGAGGACGCATACTCACGTTTCTTCAGCGACACCGCATGGTCCGAGTTGAGGACGTGGAACATGACAATCTCGTCGCCGTCCTTGACGAGGTGCTGGAGAGCCCAGTCAAAGGCACGCTCCGAGTGGAGAGATGGATCCCAGGGCACCATGATTTTCCGGACCTTGGGATCCTTCGAGATCTCGGGGCGGGCGGCTTCGTCGCCGGTCGAGCCCAGGGAGCCCACCATCGACGACAGGTTGAATTGGGACAGGCGGAGGGCCGACGCCGACGAGAACTCGTCGAGGGCATGGTCTGGGTGCGGGGGCGATCCGGGCGGTGGCGGCTCGAAGATATTGCATTCGTTCTGGATGGACTGGTCAGAGACCTCAACAAGATCGTCGTCTAGAGAAGCCATCATCTGGTATTGCGCCGTGCGTACGGGATGGCAGGAGGGTTTGGTGAGAAGGGGGGGGGAGGCGGTGTGCGGAAATGTGCCGGTGTTGCTGGATGCGCAAGATGCAGGCTGAAAGCGCAAGGGGGGTGGAGGCGGGCAACGGTGGGCTCCAAGTCCGGGTGCGATGGCCGCGAGCTCTGGCTCGCCGTGCCTCACGCTGCGTCGCACCCGCTGGCAACGAAACGAGCGAGCGCTGTTCGACTCGGCTCGGCTCGGCTCGGCGGCTCAGTCGCAAACCAATGGGCCCCAACTTGTCCGGCTCTCTGAGTCAGGCGGTTGTGCGGCGCTGGTGCATTCCGGCTCTCCCTCGGAGCGGCTGGCCAAGGCGACGCCGTCCCCGATGCTCCGTCCGCATGAAATGCATTTACGGTTGTATTGGGATCGAATCATGAGAACCATTCAGCCATGACGATGCGGGGAAGGCGGAGAGAGGGGATGGGAGGAAGGGGTGGGGAGGACTTGGCAACCTTGTATACATCCTCGCGGGTTGTGGGGCTTCAACAATGCCGAACGCAGGACAACGGCTTCGATTCGCGATGCATCGAAACCTCCTTTGGGTCCGAGGATTGTGGAAAGGGCGAACTGCCCCCATCCATGATGTCCATGGGAGCGGCCCGCATGATGAGTGTATTTAACAGCAGCCTCCGGACTGAGCAGGAACGTTCTGGCCGGCTCCGGGCTGGAGGGTGACCTTTTGAGATGGCTGCGAGGTCTGAGTGGTGGCCATGCTACAGAACGAGGAAAGCATCAGACGAGCATGAGTATAAGCATAAGCATAAGCATGAGCACCCACGACGCCGGTAGCGACCAGGATGCACCGCTTCGCACAGAATCGGCGTCCACTCTGGATGTGCGAGGCTCCCTGTGCTGTGAGCCAGAGTCCTGTGAGGTGCAAATGTCGCACGCTTACCGGTCCTTGATCTGCTTGGCCATGGTCAGGAAAGCCTGCTCGACGTTGGTGGCGTTCTTGGCCGATGTCTCCAGCAGCGGGATGCCAAGTTGGTCGGCAAACTCCTGCAAGGCACCCAAGCCATATGCGTCAATAATCAACACCGGCAGTAAAATCCCAATCGCCCATTGATTCCATCGCATTCGGGCCGCGTGAGGGACGGGAAGCAATGTTGCCATCCCCAACGCCAAGCGATATCCAGGACCACGGAATTACAGCACGCCATAGGCGTTGGCCCCAAAACAGATCCGCAGCTGGCCTGCATTCCACACGAACGTGCCGTAACAGCCGAAGTAGGGGCGCCCGGACGTACTTTAGCAGCGTTGTAGTCGACGACTTTTTTTGTGGTCAGATCGCTCTTGTTTCCAACCAGAAGCTTGTTGACGCCCTCGTTGGCGTATCGGTCAATCTCCTGCAGCCACTGCTTGACGTTGTTGTAGGTGTCTTGATCCGTAACATCGTACACGACAATGATTCCGTGAGCGCCACGGTAGTAGCTCGAGGTGATGGTTCGGAAACGCTCCTGGCCGGCGGTATCCCACTATAGAAAAAAGCACGGCGTCAGCGAGATACAGCGAGTCCTATATGCAGACGTGGTGCCGCATGCAACTTGGAGGAGCGGGCGGACATCCCAACGAGCCACGAAACGCATCCACGCGCATCAGCAAATCAACCACTTACGATCTGAAGCTTGACGGTCTTGCCCTCGAGCTCAATAGTGCGAATTTTCTGGGGGGGGAAGAGCAGATCAACGGCCCTGTTATCATCAAGAGGCGCGGCTGCTGCTGAAGCGCGCGGGCGGGGTATTCAGGAGCACGAGCCCGATCGAGTCGATGCCGAGAGTCGTGCGTAGACCACCTACAAAGTCGACGCCGATGGTGCTGATGTAGCTCTCGGTGTAAGTATCGTCCTAGGGGACACAGTCACGAAAATCGTTGCCGAGGGTTAGATTCCGCTCATTTGCAGCAAGACGAGGCCGATACGCCAACACGAAAGGCGACGGCGACGAGAGATGGCCCAGACACATACAGCGAATCGGAGGAGAAGGCAGGACTTTCCGACACCAGAATCGCCAATCAGGAGAAGCTTGAAGAGGTAGTCGCTGTCGTAGCGATGCACAAGAAGGAATGTGTCCGTAAGCTCACGCTGCCAGCGATACAGTGCTCGTCTCCCTCGTGGCAGAGACGAAGGGCGCAGGCATCCCCCCGTAGATCAGATGCGAACCGAAAGCAGGCCAAGTCGGGGCGCTGGCTGTCTACTATTGAGCAAGCTGCTGGGCCGACGACAAGTCTGTTGGCGCGACGGGGAGCGAAAAGGAGCAGACGATATAGAGGCCCAGCGGTCGGTACACTCGACGACAGGGCTTGGTGTTCACGCCAAAAACACACTCACTATTCGGGATTCATGTTTGCGAATCGGCTGTGAGCGAGATATGGATGTTCCTGGCGACATTGGGAAGTGCAATGGAGCAGAGGAAGGATGAGCATGGGCAGAGAGCATAGATGCATCAGCCAGCAGTCCCCTCCCGCTGCTGCTCGCGGTGGGGGAGGAAGGACTCTGGTTGTATGCAAACGTCCGGGGGTTGTCGTGCTGCTCCAGCCACACAATGGCAATCCGAGCGCCCACAGCGCGCAGGGGATTCCAAAGACAGGAAAGCGAGAGTATGGGCAGAGGCGTCTGTCTTTAGCGACGCAAGAAGCCCGACAGGGAGGTGGGAGGAGTTGCTGAGGCGGCCGGCGGCTGGATGGCGAGTGTGCCAGGGGGGGCACGGCAGCCTCGGCAGCCAGGGTAAGATGCCTGGACAGGCCAACGACGCCGGGTGCGCTGGAGCTGAGCCGGACAAGGCGATGAATTCGGGCATCGAGCCGCCAGCCGCGCATTGAGGAGGAGCCGCAGAAGGCGGGCAGCACGGGCAAAGGAGGATCGACTCACTTGTCTGGCCGGAGGGAGATGACGACGAAAGCCGGGTGCGTTGGTGCGTGGGCGTTGCCGAGGGGTTTTGAGAGAAAAGGCAAGGGCGGCAGCGAGGGCCGAGCGAGGGGTGAGCGAGGGGCAGGCGAGAGGCGAGGGCGGCCGAGACGCACGCGAGACACGCCTGTGTCGCCGGCGAGATGCTCTCGCTTGCCCCTCGCTCGGCCATCGCTCGCTCCTCGCTCGGTCTCGAACGGCATTTCCAAAACAGGGAGAGGCACGCCTGACCTGCGAGCTCACATGTGCGGCCAACACAACGGCCTCGTATCCATTTGCCATCGCCATTGCCATCGCCATCGCCATCGCCATTGCTGCTATCAGCAGCGCCGCCATCCCCGGCACCTGCACCAGCAGCGGCCCGCGAGCATCGCTGCACGGCCGTCGAGGCCACGTCGCGGCCCAGCCAACCGAAAGCCAAAGCGAAAGCCAAAGCCAAGACTTCCACTTGGAAGGTCGCCACGTGATCGCGCTGCTTTTCTTCTGTTCGGCCTCGCTGCCCAGGACTCGCCCTCTCTGTCTCATGAACACCATGGGCGCCATCACCCGGCTCTCGCCGTGGCTGCGTCTGGGTGTCTCGGCTGCCGAGCTGCGGGCCGACACAACACTCAACTGCGGCCAGTCGTTTCGCTGGGTCGCCTCGGGCGAGCACGAGTGGTCGGCTGCCCTCTGGGGCTGCCTGGTGTCGATCAAGCAGACAGGTTGGTACACACCAACGTACCCATCCGGTATCGCCAGTATGACGGATGCAGCCCATCGGCCCTGGTCACTCACCTGTTTGGTACCCTCTTGGCCTGCCTCTGGCGCCCCCTCAAGATTCGGACATTTACTTCAGAACCAGCGGTGACCCGGAGGAAACGAGGGACTGTCTCAACGACTATTTCCAACTCAAAGTCAAGCTCGCCGACCTATACGACGCTTGGCGAACGGATGTGAACTTTAAAAAAAAGGCCGGCAACCTCGCAGGCATTCGGATTCTGAGGTGGGCTGTCGGTCGGTGCCACCTCTCGCTGACCAAGTTGATCAAATTGATCAAGCTGGCAAAGTCGGTACAGACATGCCGTTGGGCCGACACTGACCCCCCACCATGGCTGCTTTCCAGACAAGACCCCATCGAAAACGTCTTCTCCTTCATATGCACATCCAACAACAACATCGGACGCATTACCTCAATGGTAGGGATCGCCACCCGGGCTTCGCTGCTCGCAGAACCCGAATCGGCTGCTGATTGAGACTCACCGCCGTGCGACGCATGAACCGCTGTTTCTGCCCGTTCAGGTGAATGCTCTGTGCTCCAACTTTGGCCCAAAGATCGGCACCATCGAGAAGGAGGACCGGACGATCGAGCTGCATGCGTTTCCGTCTGTCAAACGGCTGTCTGAGACGGATGTCGAGGCCAAGCTGCGGGTACTGGGGTTCGGATACCGTGCAAAGTACATCCATCAAACTGCCGCCATGATTGTTCGCAAATGCGAGAGCGAGGCCCTCGACCCTGAGCAGTATTTAGTCGGGCTTCGCAATCTAGCAAGCAAGGAAGAGAAGCGCGAGGAGCTGCTGAAGCTCTCGGGAGGTAAAGCTCATGAGGCACCATTGAAAAGCGACAAGAATGGTCCGGCCGGAATGCCTTTCTTTCTAACTGTTGCTCACTACCCTCATCGACCGCCACGCATCAGTTGGCCCCAAAGTTGCCGACTGCATTCTGCTGATGTCGCTGGACTGCCCAGACTCAATTCCGGTGGATACGCATGTCTACCAAATTGCTGTTCGAGACTATGGCTTGAAGACCCTCAAGTCCAAGACCCTGACTCCGGCCACATACGAGCAAATTTCGAATACATTCAAGCTGGTGTTTGGACCGTACGCTGGCTGGGCACACTCGGTAGGTGAAGATGTCGAGACACAGGACGACAGGACGACAGGATCGACGGACGGGAGGATTGATCAATGGCGGGCAAACTGATGGAGGCTCTGGTGCTCATGCTCTCCTCCCGTGCTGCAACAATCGGCAGGTTCTGTTCACGGCAGACCTGCGTCAGTTCCGCGACCGTCTTGCTCCTGGGAAACCTGTGTCTGGTGGACCCTCACCCAGAGAAGACACCCAAGCGACAGAAACCAAGCCGGACAGCCTTCCGGGGAGCATCGCTGGGAGCACTCTCGACGATGCTGCTGATACAACCAGGTCCGAGCAGGCGTCACCGGCTCCGAGCCCGCGGTTGCGGAAACGCAAGTCACCACCGGACACTGGCAATGACAGCGCATCCACGCCCAGCACCCGCAGCAACAGTCCCGAGCCATCCGCACAGCCGCGGCGATCCAAGAGAAGCTCCCGTCGAATCGACCGATGAGGATGGCAGTTTCAATACAGGTGCTGTGCTCCTGCAGCCCCACGCATCAGCAGCAGATATCCAGGGTCATTGAGCCGGTCAGGGAGCATCTCCAACATCCCCCCCCCAATCGCGTGGCTGTCTCGGCCCGCTCTGTCGCTGGCGGCACCCCGCGCATCCGGCCGATTCACTGGCTGGTCGTCGCACGCATGCCCACCGTCGGCCAGCACCCGCGCGATCCCCCCTGGACCCAGAGCGTGGCTTGGGGCCGGTCCGCCAATCACAGCGGGGCGCCGCCTTCACGTTCAAGGGCCGCCGCGCACCGGCCCTGTCACCAGACCGCCGCGACAAATCCAGGCGAGCGTGTTCCCATGAGCGGCTTGCGTCGCGTCGGCGCGGCGGAGAGCAATCCTCCTCAGCTTCGCGCCCTGCTCGCGGCGACACCTTCGCACCGAGACCGAGGCCGAGACCGAGGCTGGGACCGAGGAGGGATGGGGGGGAGGGAGGGAGGCGATCGCGGAGGGTGGCGGCGGGCTTGGCTGGCCAGAGACCGCCCAGCGGACAGGCGAGCGAGCACGAGAGCGGGCCCGAGAAGAGCATCTCGCCGTCGCAGCAGCGCTCTCGCCATGGCATCGCCAAATCCAACGAATTCATGCGGAACGGAGACGCACGCCGTCGGGGATTGGTATTGCCCGCGTCCATGTGGCGGGAACTGGGGGGGGGGCCGAGGGCGAGGGCGAGAAGGGAATGCAGTCGGGGAGATGCTTGATGTGCTTGATGTGCTTGATGTGCTTGATGCGCCGGGTGCATCTGATGCATTCGATGCATTTGCTGGGCCGTCGCAGCGCCGTTGCTCGGCCAGACTGACTCACTCCCCGCCCAGAGCAATCCTCTGTCGGCAACCACGCCTCCAACCCTTGCACTCTCTCTTGCGGTCGCCCACCACTCATTCGCCAGTATTGGCCCTCGCTCGGCCCTCGCTCGGCCTCCACGGCTCCCATTGGCGGCGTCGTAATTGCTTCTCGCCGCCGATTCGTCGCCCTGGTCGCCTGTTGTCGCTTATTTGTTGGCTGCTGCGGCGGTCGCCTCCCGCCCATTCGTCCAGGGCCGCCTCGTTCCCACCCCTCTTCCCGCTCCGTCCTCGCTCCGTCCTCGCTCGGACGCCCTCTCGTCATTGCGGCCCACCATCCCATATCCCCCTTGGTTCTGACGCATTCCGGCCGCATCTCCCTTCTGACTATAAATACTGCCCCCTCCATCGCCGTCCCAAGGTGCGTTCGTCTGCTGTCTCTCGTAGCAAGCACCGCTTCCAGCCCATTCCGTCCATTTTCTGCCTCGATCAAAGCCGAAATTGCGTCCGTTGCCTGCCATCCCACACCGATTGCCCAGCCTTGATATCCCGCCTTCCTTTCTCGTGCACTCGCTGCCTACCCACTATTCGACTCCGCTTTTCGCTCTGCGTCTTCCCAGCAGCCTGTAGCCCTCCCTGGTTGCTTTGTTTCGGCTTGATTCTCGTCCCCACTTGATTCCACTCTGTACCATCAGTCCCTCAGCCCATCGCGCCCGCCGCCATCCACCGCCCATTCCCCCAATCTCACGGTGCCCCCTCCCTCCAAACACCCTTGCCATCCTGCCTTGTAACATGATTGCCGATTCTGATCACGACACCAGCATGAACCAAATCAACGAAAAAAAACTGGCCCGAGACACCTCTCCGCTTCAGCGATCGCCCCAGGATGCCGACGTCTCCTGCAGTGAGCTTTCTGATACCGAGCTGCTCAAGATTGAACAGACCGTCGCAAACGAGCCCCCCAAGAAGACCAAGAAAACCGGTCTCTCTTGCCGGCCAGTCAAGCCAGGAGATTTCGAGGCCGAGTGCCACTTCTACCCCCGTGTCCTCAACGCCAACATCCACCCGCTGGTTTCCTCGTTCTTTGCGCTGGGAAACGAGCGCATCCTCACACGCTACTGCCATCTGAATCCGCAGATCAAGCTCGACACTCTGCAAGAGTTGCTCGCGTACAAGCCCAAGTACTTTATGTGGGCAGGTATGTCCGTCCGGCGGCTCTCGAGGGCGTAGCGGCGCTTTATCTCTGGCGATGAGCACACCCATGCTTGCGGTGTTCTTGGCTCTGGCTACAGAGATTCGTATAGCAGATGCCGTTTCATTTTTTCGGAGGTGGTGGTTTGCATCATTAGCATCTGTATCACTTGATTTATAAGGGGATCGGCGCTCTTTCGATGCCCACCTGTGACGGCATCGGCAATCGACTCGGATTCTCACGCTCAGCGTTCTCGTGCTTCCCGACCTCCATACATCGCCATCGTCAAGGCTCGGATCTCTTCAATGTCACCACGGCCAGTGGCCAGCGCCAAATGATCATTGTCGAGACCAACTCGTGCCCCTCTGGCCAAAAGTCCATGCCGCTCCTTCAAGAAATCGGCGACGATCACGGCGGCTACAGCGTCGTGATCGACTCGACATTCAAGGAGCTCATCAAACAAGCAGATCCCGCCGTCGGCGGTCTGGCCGTTGTCTACGACAAGAACCTCATGGAAGCCTCGGGCTACGCCGCCGTCATGGCCGATTCGTTCAAGGAAAAGGTCTGGCTGGTGGAGTTCTACCACGAGGATCCCGATCCGCCCGTCAAATGGGTTGATGCCATCATGTATGTCCGAGACGAGCAAAAGGGTAAGTGTGCGAGTACGAGCCTGATCATTGGCGGTCGGCCCCTGATCCAAAGATCCAACTTGCACATGCGCGCTCCAGCAGCAGCAGATTCCCATGGCAGTAGATGCGGCTTTGCAATCTGCTACTGTACTCCACAGGTCGTCGCATAAGCTTATCCGTCTTGCTCGTGTCTGAAACCTTTCGCACATTCCAGAGTGGCATCCGATTCGCGCCTGCTTCCGCTACGTCACCCAGAAGCCTTGGAACCGCTTCCCCATCAACACCAAGACGATTGTTCTCAACAGCGTAAGACACCCCCGCCGCATGCCCGCCCGGCTGTACCTTCCGGATATCTATGCCCGGTGCAGACCAATGGAGCCATTGCCCTTTGTGGCCCAGCACCTGAACCTCACCACATGTGTCTGCTGTTCGTGATGCGCTCCAGATCCTCTCCTGTCTCGCTGGCGGCCGCAATAAGATGATGGCTGCTCGCGCGTACGAGTTCCTGAACGCCGAGCTCGACGGAACAGGACTCGCCGTTCGCATGCCCGAGACCATCCGCAATGTCACCAAGAGCGAGATTCCTCTCTGGCTGGACAGCATGGGTGGCCACGCAGTCTTGAAAGTGCCCTACTCCAATGCAGGCAAGTGCTGGCTCGTCAGCACTAGGACAACACCGATGGCGCATGCATATGGCTGCGTATGTATCATGATAATGAGCCCCTGGAACTGATCGGCGCCCCGCCCTGGATCTGCAGGACAAGGAGTCTATACCATCACCAACAAGGCCGAGCTCGAGGAGTTCATGCAGAAGGACCATCACTACGACAAATTCATCGTGCAGTCCTTGGTCGGCAACGCCTCCTGGAGCTCCGTCACCCGTGCCGGCAAGTTCTACCACGTCGGCACAATCCCCAACAAAAAGCACCAGACCTTCGTGAGCGATCTGCGAATGATGGTCACTGCCAACCAGAACGGCTTCCGGCCCGTGGCGCTGTATGCGCGAAAGGCACGCAAGCCGCTCATCAAGCATCTAGATGAGGATCCATTGAGTAAGTGCCGACGAGCTGTGATTGTGCGAATTATGTCAATGTGCGGACACGGAACCCATGCGCGTGTGATGGATACGGGTGTATGCCGCCGATCTCTGCAGGGAGAGTACCCAGTTGCAAATGCCGTGCAATCAGCTGTGGTGATTTCGCATGCACGTTGCTGATGGCATACCTGTCGTTTGCCACTGATTCCGCAGCCACGTCCTGGGAAATGCTGGGCACCAATCTCTCTGTCAAGCTCAGCGACGACCAGTGGACAACCGAAGCACAGCGTCTGCTGCTGATGGACCGCAAAGACTTCAACATTCTCGGAATCGGCATCGACGATCTGATCGATGCCTACATCCAGACCGTTCTCAGCGTCATTGCCATCGACCGGATGTCGCAGCGACTGATGAAGGACAATACCGGAGAGGTGTCGGCCCAGTTCCCCTGGTACAACCAAAAGCTGTTTGATTACGAGCTCTTCGAGGCGCTCAATCCTGACAAGGCTCTCCTTGGCGAAATCACTCTTTGAGCAGGAGTATATCGAGCGAGCCCCATCACCCACCGGCCGGTAACGAAGCCGGCGATCGCCTGTGTGGGCAAGCTCGGGCACTGGCGTCGACAAGAGACAGCTTCTCTGTCGCACCTGATGAGCCATGCAATATTTTGCGCACACTCTGCGCTTTGGCGCCTTGATATGTTCTGCATCATTGACAATTCTCTTCAAAATATATATAAGGACCGCTACAATCTTGTGGATCCATCGTAACCGCTATATCTTGTGGATCCATCGTAACCGCTACATCTTGCGGATCCACCGTAACCGCGGGCAGCATATCGTCTGAGTCTGCCGGGCTGGTGTTTGTCGATCCTGGCAATCCCACCAACAGTCCGCCCGATGGCCCACTCTGCCGTCCCATCGGCCATCGGCCATCTGCTCCCACTCCCTCTCATCCCGCCTCACGCCGTCCCATGCCACCTCATCCCATCCATCCATCCATCCACCCATCCGCTCGCTCGTGCCACCCGTCCGTCCATCCGCGGCCTGGTCCGTCTCGGTTCCCGTCCCTTTCGTCGTCGCCCCCACCCGCCGCCTCCACCGCAACCCGCCGCGTCGGGTCGGTGCCCGCCGCTGGACTTATTTCGACGGCCCCGTCCTCGGCTTTGAGCGTCCGCCCTGTCTCCATCTCGTCGCCGCCGACCATCCTCGAGCTGCGCCGTCGTCCACTGCTGTTTGGGTACTCTGTCGTTGGAAGCGGTGTGCTGATTCGCTATCGCTGTTTCTGCACATCTGGCCGTCGGGGTTTTGTCTCATCCTGGTCTATTGTTTTACCTCTGTCCCGGGCACCACACACTTCCGCTATTGCTGCTCCAAGCCCAAATCACCCCCCCCCCAGCAGCCCCTCTGTATACTGGACCGTAGCCCATCCCTCGCCTCTGCATCTTCCGTCGCCGGCAAGGCTGCAGCTCCATGTCTGACCCCGCTACCACCACCACGCCGCTCCTGAAGGACGATGCTGTCCAGGCGCCTCCAGCGCCAGCACTGACTGCCTTCCAGAAGGTCTCGCTGGGCTCCCTGCCCCTGTCCGTGCCCCTGCCCGATGCCGAGCAGCTCAAGGCCCACTTGACAAAGTTCCTCTCCGACGGCTCTGACCCGCTCGACCCGTACCACTCGTACATCGAGCGCCTGCTCAAGTGGGACTCGCTCCGAGCCGGCAGCTATTTCGTCGCCGGTTTCTTGGGCGCTTTCTTCCTGGCTCAGAAGCGCTTCTTTACCTTTGCCATCGTGGCCTTCCTCTTCTGTTTCGTGGCCTTCTTTTTCATCCGCAACTTGGCCAAGCTTCGCCAAAAGATCTCGGCTGAACTGGTCCGAAAGGCTGGAACTAAAACGGTATGGACAAGCGCCACTTGACGTCATCAGCCGGCATACTGTTGTTTCAGGCGCTTTCTTGATTGCCGCTGCTGCCACCAGTGCGCTGTCCTCGCTGGCTTTTCGATACCGTCAGCCGTTTCGGCCTTGGAGATTGCTTGCTCTGCCCACCACTCACAAGCATATTGCTGTCCGTCGAAACTGCTGTGTGCCAATGCCGGTCGCCCATCCTGACCCATCGCATCCTGGGCACTGTATCCTTTCCCGCCTCGACCTCGCCGGGCTCATCTCCATCGGGATCACTCAGCTCGCCGAATCGAGTGAGTCTGCCGAGTGGCTCAATGTGTGGCTCGAGAAGTTCTGGACCCAGTTCGAGCCTGGGCTTTCCAAGACCATCATGGACAGCGTCAACGGCGTCCTGTCTAGCTTCAAGCCGGCGTTCCTGGTTTGTACATCCGTTTGGGCACTTTGATAGACCGGCTCCTCTCTTTGCTCTGCATGCCACTCCCCGACTGCACATGTCATCATTGCGACCATCCGCAAGCTTGTCCCCGTTTCTCACTGCCTCGATGCTCCTCATTTATCAGGACGACCTTAGTCTCAGCGAGTTCACTCTTGGCTCCCAGCCCATCCACATCAACTTTGTCAAGATCCATCCTGCTCCGAGCCCCGACGTCATGGTAGGTCTTGCTCTCTGTCCTGCAGGCTTTTGCAGCTGGGTCACTCACATCTTGCTGTATCGCTAGATCATGGACATGGACGTGGAGTTCACCCCGTACGACGAGGAAAGCCTGCCAAACTCCGATCAGACCCAAAAGAAAGCATCCCGAGTGGCCTTGATTGCTCGCATGGGCCGAAACATTGCATCCGCCCCTATTCCTGTCTTGGTCAAGGACATTTCGTTTTCTGGCACGGTACGGCATCGCTCCAGCGTCGGTGGTCTGCGCGAGCCATGGAAGCTCCATGTGCACGACTCGATCGCACCCGCTCTATTCAACCATCACTGCCTTGGAGCAGCCGAGCACCCAGCGTACAGGCCAGCGTACAGGCCAGCGTACAGGCCAGCGTACAGGCCAGCGTACAGGCCAGCGACCCCTCCTCTGTTCCTGGTGCAAGCCGCAGCAATAGAACAGAGCATAGTGCGGCCTCGGGACTTGGGTCATGTTTGTGTCTGGCCAACTTGGCCGGCTGATCATCTGCGTTAGGACCGATGTCGAGATGCTAACGTCCCTCCGCCATATTTACCCTTTGTCTAGATGCGGTGCGAGCTTACCTTCTATCCGGTGTTCCCTCATATCAAGCAAATCGATGCCAGCTTCTATAAACCCCCCAAGATCGACTTTAACCTAAAGCCCTTGTCGGCCCTCAACGTCATGGACGTTCCGGGCTTCAAGACGCACATCATCAGCATGGTCCACGCATCAATCAAAGACATGCTCATTGCGCCCAACAAGTACACCGTCGACATGACGGCTGAAGCCATTGGTGGGTGCATTGCTTTCGCAAGCATCAAGGCGACCGGTGGCACATGCGACCACGTTTCGCTTCGAGCACATGTGTCGCTCCATCGATCTCTTAGCCCTTATTCTATGTTTCTCATCATTAACCCCATCCCCTTGTCGTATCCACGGTGTTGAATGGTTGTTTGCGAACTCTAGAGTCGCCCCTTGGCGTTTTGAAGGTCACTGTCTTCCAGGCTCGCTCGCTGAAGAACACCGAGCTTCTCAAGAAGAGCGATCCCTATGCCAACATTTTGCTCGGGTCCAACGTTGTTGCCAAGACAGTTCCGATCGAGAACAGCGTGGACCCGCTCTGGAATGAAACCCACTTTGTGCCCGTGTACAAGTCCACCTTTGCGCAGCTTGCCGGCGGCTCGGACGAGCTCAAGATTGAAATCAGAGACGACGATACCACGGTCGGCAAGGACGGGCTCATGGGCATCATGGAGCCTCTCAAGCTCTCCAAGTGGCTTACGCTTCTGTCCTTGCCCAAGAGCAGCGATCCCTTGAAGAAGCGTCCTTGGGAGGATCTTGAGATCTCCGAGGCGGAGCGCAGCGAGCTTGAAGGCACCTGGGGTTCCCCCGAGGAAACCAACCCTACCTGGAGGCCCCTGGTCATCAAGTCTGGCAAGGCCCTCAAGCAGACCAACTCGCAGATTCAGGTCGAGATCAGCTTCCTCCCGGCCGCCGAGAAACCATCCAATGCCATCGAGGCCGCCAGAATGCTCAAGGACACGCACTCGGGCATTTTGCAGATCTGCTTCCATGGCGCCAAAGATCTCAAGACCGGCACGTCCCTGACCACCAACCCGTACCTGGTCCTGACTCATTCCGACACTCACTCCCGCGCCCACTCCACCCCGGTCAGAAAGCGTACCTCAAACCCTGTTTGGGAAAACACATTCACGAGTTTCATCAAGGATTACCGCAAGATCAAGTACGTTGCAACCATCTACAACTCGATGGATCTGCTCGTCGACGCCAAGCTTGGCGATCTGACGATCGATCTGAACGATGTGATCTCCAAGGTGAGTTGGCTACTTGCTCGGAGGCTGCTGGTCCCCAGGGAATGAGTCGATCCGGATCGCACCTGTACATATAGCGGCTGCTGGGCTCTTATCACCGAGCGATGCCATTCCTTTTCCCCAACTCTGTACTATCACTGGCTGCATGCGCTCGACTGCTTTCTTCATATGCTGCTGCCCTTAGCCTGTCTCGCCAGAGAGAAGAGTGGCGGCAATACGGTGGCGAGGCCTTTGAGCTCACCCACAGTCCTCTGGCAACACGCTGCCTTTATTGTCTCCAAAAGGAATCCTTGAACGGAACGTGGATGCCGCTCTACAACACCACCACGGGTCAAGTCCGAATCACGGTCAAGTTCATCCGCATTCCCATCGTTGGCGCAGCTGCAGCACCAAAGCCGTCCAAGCCTCCTCTCGGCTCGTTGGCCGTCAAGGTGCAGTCAGCCAAGGGCCTCAAGAACGTGGATGGCCCCTTGGACAAGTCGGATCCCTATGTTGTGCTTGACGTTCAGCACCGAACCTTTGGCCGCACGCGTGTGATCGAGGACACCCTTGCGCCGGAGTGGAACGAGTCGTTTGAGGGCGGTGTCTTCTACCAAGAATCGGATGTGTTGACCCTGACTCTTACCGACTGGAACCCTGATGGAAGCACCAAGCCACTGGGCTCGCTGGATCTCCCAGTTTCGACCATGTTTGGTGACAGCCGCACCTCTGACTATGTCAAGCGTGCCCTCAATGATGGCCTCCTGATCGAAAAAATCAACGATTCTGCTGTTGCCATGTAAGTGTAGCTCGATCTCGCAGTGCTGCCAGACATGCTGTCGGACATGCTGTCGGGCGGAAGGAACAGCGCGGTATGGAGGGGGGAGGCTGCACAGAGAAGAGTAGCTGCATAGTTTCATGCGCGTTCGCTCCTCCCCTCGAGATAAGCACTCGTATCCGGGCATGGAAATGGAAATGCCACCGTGCTGACCATACCCACTGCGCTCTTATTATCGGACTGGTGTACAATCCACAGCACCGCCCCGATCTACCTCGTTGGAAAGCGAGACATGAGCCACGAGGGAACGATCAAGTTTGAAGTTTCGCGTCGTGATGTCGTCAAGGACAAGCTCGTGGGGTATGAGCAAATCGCGGCAGCTGAGGCCACGGCTGCGCCGCCCGTAGATACGGTGCCGACAGAGTCCAGCGATGCCAGCGCCACTCTCGCCGAAGCCCCGAAGGCGTCTGTCGATCCCATCCAGTCCATCCTGGACAACAACAGTAAGTTCGTCGAAAGTCGGGGCGGGATCTGCATCATTGACTGGACTCTCCTTGGTCGCACTCCATTGTTCGGGGATAGGTGTTCTCATCGGTACTGACACCCGTCCGCGTGCTCCCTTCCCAAACCTTTTCGCAGAGTCTGGCGTGGTGCATTTCCGGGTTGTCAACTCTGAAAACGTGAACGCTACGCATACCTACTTTGAGATCTATCGCGGAAAGCGACGCCTGTTCAGTTCCCTCACTCAGGCTGACGCCGAGGCAACCTGGGATCAGGCCGTCGACTTTATCGTCTCCGATATCGACACGGATGTCGTCGACATTCTCCTCAAGGTCCAGGGCAAGGAGTTCCAGGACGACGACGACGTCACCATTGGCCAATGGAGCAATCCACTGCGATCCATCATCGGCACTCGCACCAAGATTGACCTGGGCGACGGCCAGCTCCTCAACGTGGGCTCCAAGTTTGCGGCCTTGACAGAATCGTCTGTTGCCGTCGAGGTTGACTACGGCACCCCCGATGCCCGACAGCGCCGCCGCATCGTCCGTGGACCGACTCTTGGAAACCTCAAGAAGGTTGGCACCGGTCTCGGTCAGGGCGTGAGCCAGATCGGACAGGGTGTCACCTCGGGTATCGGTCAGATCGGACAGGGTGTCACCTCGGGTATCGGCCAGATCGGCCATGGCGTCACCTCGGGCATCGGCCAGATTGGTCATGGCGTCACCTCGGGTATCGGCAAGCTCGGAAAAGTCCTCACCCGCACTGGAACCTCGGGCAACCTCCTTGAGGGTGTCGAGTCGGGCGGGCTCTCCAGGTCCGTCGCTGCGCCAAAGCAGTCTGGATCTACCGATGCCCTGTCGTCGGGTGAGTACCCCACGGGTTGCGGCCCTCATTTGGATGTATCTACGTCCATTGCTTCAATCCAATCCAGGCACGCCGTGCATCGCTGCTCCACCCACTTCTCGGCGCTTGCTCTCTGCTTCTTTAAACTCTGTGGCCACTGACATCGATCGGCGCTTATCGACCTTGTCTCCGTGAAGCAGATAGCGGCCTGGTTTCCGGCACGCTTTATATCACCTACAAGAATGGCATCGATCTGCCCTCGGTGGACTTGAACGGCAAGTCCGACCCCTTCATCCGCACCTTCGTCGACGACAAGAAGATCCACACCACCGCCACCCACAAGAAGAACCTCAACCCCGAGTTCAACGAAGCCTGTGCGCCCCCGCCCGCCGTCGTCTTTGGCCAGTCCAAGGTCCGCATCGAAATCTGGGACGAATCGCCCATGCACATGACCGACAAGCTCCTGGGAACAGTCCAGCTGCCATGGAAGAAGCTGGAGGGCCAAGGCGGCAAGATCGTCGAGCTTGTGGAGGATCTGAGCGGCAAGCACAACTGCGGCCGCCTGCGATTCGAGGCCAAGTTTGTCGCAAAGGAAAACTAGAACCAGCGCGATGACGTTGAAGATTCACCCAAAAACAAATAGGGTGTCCCACTATTTTGTCGAAGGTGTTGGACCATCCTCCCCTGCGACAACAAGCCGATCTACGCTCCCCCTGCGTTGATGGTCCCATCCATATGTTCTCTGGTGTGATCCGGCCTGTAGCTACAGCTTTTTCTCATGGATTTGCGCACGATCTTTTCATGTCTTTTTATTTGAAAGCCTCCCTCTTTCCTTCCACCCTCATTTTCTTCGCCGCCATCCTTCATGCTCTCATTCTTTGTTTCCGTTTCATCGGATCCTCGCCGCCCACCAACCGCCATAGAACGAAGGGGTGTGTCACGTTTCTTTGTTTTTATATTTCAAACTCGGCATCTCGAATCCACGTCTCCTTTGGGGTCGCAAGCTTGCATAATCTTGTCCCGGACGCGCGCATGTCGAGAGCGATCGCCCACAAGTCCGCTTGTATTGGCAAGAGTATCTCGAGGGAATAGAGACAAGCGATCCGACTAGTTGCTGCATAAGCCTCTGAGATCGAGATCTTTCCGATAGGGCCGCTCTACATCTGGCCGCACTCGGAGATGATGACGGGGAGCTGCGATCGACAGAAGGAGCACGGGTCAGGATCATCGGATGTGGCAATTACTGAGATCAAGACAAGCGCCAGTGGCCCGAGAAAGGGAGGGAGCAGGAAAGAACGTAAACCAAGAAACTCCATCGATGGCGCATCCTCCTGGTCCGAAGAAACACCCCCCCCCCAGCCAGCGACACTCACCTTTGGGCGGTTGTTTGGGCCCGTCGGGACGTTCTCAATCTTACGTAGCGTCAGCAGGCCGTCAACCAGCCGACCAAAGACAACGTGCTTCGAGTCCAAAAAGTCGCATTTTGTGCATGTGATGAAGAACTGGCAGCCATTGCTGTTGGGGCCGCTGTTGGCCTGTCGGAGGAGCGACGGGATGGATCGAGAGCCGGTCAGCAAATGGCATTTGGATCGATCGCTGCAGATGCAGATGCAGATGCGAATGGATGTGGCTCTATCGCTGACTCGGCCGATTCGGTCGATAGCCCCGGTGGCTCGCTGCAGTTGCTCCTCCGTACCATCGATAGCAGTCCTGGGCCCGAGTGCTTGAGCTGAAAGCTTTCGTCTTCGAATCGCTCGCCGTAGATGCTCATCGCCCCGGTTCCGTCGCCCTTGATAAAGTCACCGCCCTGGATCATAAAGTCTGCGACACACAAAATCAATGCCATGCAGCAAAATCCGGTCATCGACAAAACGGGGCTTGATCCCGGACGAGCCTGATCACAAGACAAGAGCCGATGCTGCATGATCGCATCATTGTCCCCTCCCCGATGGTGAGTGCCAGGGTCTACCTTTGATAACTCGATGGAACTGGCATCCTTTGTATCCCTGCGGGACACCGTTTCTCCTTCAGAGAGACAGATCGTCGCAAGTCGCTGGCTTAGAGATCCTCAACGAACCGTGACTGGCGAAAATGCAAAAGGCACCATGCTGATCTCGACTTGGAGACGATGGCGCCTTGGCGAACAACAGCCACTCACTTGTACTCGCCAGTACACAGCTGGCGGAAGTTCTCGCATGTCTTTGGTACAACGTCGTTGAAGAGCTCCATCTTCAGCCGACCAGCTGCATTGAGGGGGAAAGAGTGCATATGCATGTTTGGGATGGGTCCAAGTGGGTCGAGGAGGACAAGCGTTAGACGAGGCAAGGCTCGATTGAAGCGACACAGCGGATCCAGAGGCACTCAACTCAACGGTATCAGCAGCTGCTTCCGCATTATATGCTCAAGTCGATGCAATCCGATGCACAGGCTGCATACCGGGCTGTCCGCCGATGGTGATGTCGAAGAAGACCTGCAACAGGTTCGACAGAGACGGGTTGGTGGTTGAAACGAGCAAAACACAGGCCTCTCCATCGGCGATCGTGCGCGGCTTCCAGCTCCTCGGCGACACTTACGATCGGATTCTCCTCGTCCGCCATGATGTGCGCCTTGTGATCGGGTGTAGATGGCAGATGGCAGATGGCAGATGGATGCCGACGGGCGCGGAGTATGAGCGAGGATGGATGAGGCCGTGATCTGGCAATTTGGTCACGTGATATGCGCAGTCAACCAGAGCGTGGCTAGCCATGACACACACACACACACACACACACACACACACACACATTCTCTCTCTCTCTCTCTCTCTCTCTCGTTGCAATCGGATCGTCGGCGCTCGGGTCAACACCCCCTCGCGCTGCTGGCGAGGAGGCGATGCATGCGGCAGGTGGGTCGAGCCGGACTTGAAACACAAGGCGGAACTGAGCCATTCGAAGCCAGGGGCGGTGCCACTCGAAGAGCACCAGGCACAGACACAGTGTCGTCACAGCCCTGTGGCGCCAGCAATATTGAGGCGCCATCGCGTGCGCGCCTCGGGATCGCGACTCAGCAAGGGTGGATGTGACACACATGCGCCACGCCTGCTCCGCGGGCCACTGAGAGTCCGCAGAGCCGCGCTGCTGCACGCGTCGGCGCGCTGGTGGCACCACTCGACGCGCACCCCCGCGTTCGACAATCAAAGCCGTGGCCACCCCAGAGCCAGCCCGTGCCAGTTCGCACTTTTGTTTTCTGGCTCCGGGCAACCTCGCCGCCTCTCTCGTCGCTCGTCCGTTTCCTCCTTGCAGATCCTGTCCTGGATCAGAGCACCTTCCTCAGCGAATCATCCGCCTATCGTCCTCCGTGCCCACCATGCAGCTCCTGTCGCTGACCGCTCTGGTCGCCGCCGCCTTCATGGCCCGCACTGCCTCGGCAGGCACCCCCTCGACCGACGGCAACTGCGTCTCGGGCCACTACACCTTCACCAACAGCTCCCGCATCTACTTCAACCCGATCCCTGGCGACCATAGCTCCAACGGCCCCTTCCCCGAAGCTCAGGCCCAGCGCAACCTCTATGACTTTACCCTCGACAACGGCGTCGAGAACGCCAGTGTAAGCCTCGCAATATGCGCTGCACTGGGGTGCCAACCCCTCCAGCCCAAATGTCGTCCACCACCAAACTGTCCACCAAACTGTCCGCCTCCAGGACTGTGAGGAGCACTGCTGTTGGCCCTCGCCCATAAATGCTGTTGTCGGCCCTCGTTTGTGAGCGCTGCATGGGCACAGACTAATCCTCTGCTTGACATCTGGCTGTCAGTTTGGTCCCGAGGGTCTGAATGTTACCCTGACCCGCTACACCCTTCCCAACGGCACCAACTGGGCCTGGGGTGCCCAGCTCAGCAGCAACTTCTACATCAAGTAAGCCGAGCAGTTCCACACACCCGAGAGATTCCGCTGCCTCGCCTGCTTCTGCTCGTTTGCTCGTTTGCTCGTTTGCTCGTTTGCTCGTTTGCTCGTTTGCTCGTTTGCTCGTTTGCTCGTTTGCTCGTTTGCTCGTTTGCTCGTTTGCTCGTTTGCTCGTTTGCTCGTTTGCTCGTTTGCTCGTTTGCTCGTTTGCTCGTTTGCTCGTTTGCTCGTTTGCTCGTTTGCTCAGCCTCCCTGTGCTGTCCTCTCCTCCTGCTGAAACAGATACGGCAAGATTACGACTCGCTTCAGCGCCCCTCCCATCCCCGGTCTTGTCACCGTACGTATCCCAACCTGCCGGGCCATGTTGGTGCTTCGCCTCCGTGATCTGGCCGAACCAGCCTCTGCCGCATCGGCGCTTGTCATCTTTACGAATCGACCCACAGTCTGCCACTACCCCCCGGCACATCATCCCTCGCGATTCAATGCACGGCGCGACGCATGATGGGTCGCTCCTGCTCACGGCTTGCCTCGCTTCCACAGACGTTTTTCACCATGTCGGACGTCAAGGACGAGATCGATGTCGAAATTGTCGGCATCGAGCAGACCGACATGCAGTCCAACATCTTCTACAAGGGCATTGAGGAGTTTGGCCCTCACATGCAGCGTCTGACCATCCCCGACGGCGGCAACATCGGCGGCCTCCATGACTACACCGTCGACTGGAACAGCCAAAGAATCATGTGAGTACCATCGGCGATTGCCATGCTGCCCCGATAGTCGTCCTCGCCACTCGAATGGGGTCGCTTGAGCGGGCCACAGCGCCGGACCATCGACCAACACCACCTTTTGGCTCTGACTTTTCCCCGCCATGACCCTCCATCAGCTTTTCGATCGATGGCGTGCCCCTGCGCACCACCTTCAAGAACGACTCCTTCTCGGCCACCAACGCTACCACGGATCCTTGGTTCCCCAATACCCCATCGTTCGTTCGCCTTACTGCTTGGGATGCCGGAGACTTTTGGCGCAACGGCACGGCTCAGTGGGCCGGCGGCCCAACCACCTGGAATGCCCCGTCGTACTCGGCCATCTTTGCCTACATCGACATCCAGTGCTACGACGACAATGACCAGCCTGTTGCCGCCTGGCCCCCTCAGGCTCTTGCCTCGCTCTCGGCCCACCCCTCTGGCACGGCCACGACCAGCGGTGCTGGCGCCACCGGCTCGCCCCAGTCGACTTCGAGCGCCAGCACCCTCCTCAAGAGCGCCATTGTGCCCTTGGCTGCTGCTGCCATCTCGGCCGTGGGCATGATGGCATGGCTCTAGAAGCGTGCGTTGTCCCTGTTTCCCTTTCTCCGCGGCCCCTCCTTCAACTCTCCTCAGACTCTCTGGCCTTCAGCAGCCGATACCTGACATAAAAAACAGTCCGTTGTCCGACTCTGTGCTCGCCTCTATTTCCTGACCCATCTGGCTGTCTTGCCTTCGTCTATCAGCCCACTCGTTCATATGTCTGTCGGCAGGGCCTCTCTTGACTCTGCTCCTTCAAGTTCGTGTCCATCGAGGCAGCGGTGTTGTACGATTGGTCGCCGGATTCAAGCGACGTAGCAGTAATCTACGATAAATACACAAACTCTGCTCTCCCGTACAGCCTCACCATGAACCCGGGGCTGCGACAGGATCGGAAAGTGAAGTGTATTGGGCATTTCTTTTATGGATTCCGTGAATGCATGCGATGCATGTAGCCAAGAATGTACATGCGATGGCTTGTGAAGGCTCCTGATGGCTTGCAGTTGACAAGTCATTGACTTCCAATCTTTCTCACTACTACTGCTACTACTACTACCTATCACCGCCTTGGCTGACCCACGATCTGGGGTTGCGGCTCTACTTTTTCTTGCTATCCAAGCGCTGCTGAGCTTCGTTAGATTTGGCTTTCGGTGCTTGGCCATGGCGGTTTCGGGTTGTGGCCGGCTCGGTGGAAGAGGAGTCGTCTCCAAGGGACTGCATTCCAGCATCGGGAACCGAGCGGCTGCCGGGCTTGGAGGAGGAAGCGGCGGTCGTCGCAGAAGCCGATGCGGACACTGACTGGCTGTGGACCCGGGCTGACGACGACGCCGAGGCGGTTGCCACCCGCTTGCCCGTCACTGCGTGCCGCTTCGATCGGAAAAAGAAGCCAAGCATCATGAACAGGACCACCACCACCTTGGCATCGGAGTCGGAAAAGTCGGCGACGGGGAAGCCGATGCTCTTGAGGGTGTCGCTGGCGATGGACGTGATTTCGGCCCAGCTGAAGCCGGCCCCCAGGGTCGCTGCAACAGGAACGTCCTTGATGCCGGCCGAGCCAAAGAGAGCCACGATTGAGGTCACGTCGATCCCGCCGCGGAGGACCAGGTACAGAAGCGACGACAGGCAGCAGATGTTGAAGTCGTAGCCAGGGTAAGCGAATGGCGAGACGTTGGTCCAGCGGTAGAGAATGCCGCCGCCAGTGGCCTGCAGGACGCTGAGAATGAAGACCGACAGGATCGAGCCCGACACTGGCGAGCTCGGTGCATCGAGGAGCGAGTCGATCATGTGCGTGAGCGAAAAGGTTCGCCCGATCGCATCCACGACGTCAAAGAACAGCTCTGTGACGGGCGAGAGCGAGCGCAGGATCTTGAAAGTGAAGGGCACATGGAAGACAAGAAGATAGCCGAGCGTGTAGAGCGGAATGAGGGTCTGATTCAGGATCGTCGGCACGGGTCGGCCCAGAAGAATGGCTGTGTGAAACGACAAAGAGTCAGGTTCGAGATTCTGCGGGCCTTCATGAGTGCATGTCGGGGCAGACAGGAAATAGCGAGTGCGCATTCTTACCTGCAAGCGTTCCGCCTCCAAAGGCCTGACACAAATACCCCACTGGACAGATCGGTTCAATCGGAGGAAACGGAAAGGTGCAAGAAATCAGTACGCGACTCCGAGCCGAGCCCAGAGGCAGAGCAGCGCGCGGCAGGAGCGTAGCAGAAGTGTGGCAGGAGCCTAGCAGAAGCGCCGGTGGAAACAAATCATTTCGGATCGGCGGTGCATGGCAGCAGCGTCGACACGGGCGATGGAATCTGGACCGAGGCGAGATGCATACCGTATCCTCGCAGGACTGGCTGCCGAGCAGCAGGGTTGGTGCGGGTGTGCTTGTAGAAGGCAAAGGCATACCACAGCCCGTGCAAGATGGGCAGCCAGATGGAGTGTTTGGCGAGGTAGAGGTTATCCCTGATCAGCGGGTAGAGGGAGTGGAGCGAGTCCCAGTCGAATCGCTGAGTATCGACCATGGCAGAGACGGCGGATCGGCTTGGCGAGAAGACGAGAGGCGGGTGGCTGGATGAATGGATGGGATGGGATGGGATGACCAGACGGCGATCAAGCACAGGCCAAGACGACAAAGGCAGAAAGGGCCGGGACGAGACGCACGAGCTAAACGCACGGGCAAGTGCCGGGGTGAAGAAGCGGGGGGCAGAAGCCCGCCAGAAATCAACCGGGGGCCACCGGCCCATGCTCCTCCGGCCAGGTCCTGCACCTGATCAAGGAGCGATCCCGCAAGGAGCGATCCCGCCAAGACAAAACGACAAGCATCAGCACGGCGATACATTCTGACGACTTGCTTTCACAAGCATCAAGGCAGCGACTCACTTTGACGAGTGGCCACATCGACGCAGCCGCTCTCGGGTAACAATCAGCCCAGCCCAGCCCAGCCCAGCCCAGCCCAGCCTGATCTGGTCCGGTCCAGCATCTCCACAAGCACACAGAACCTCAGCAACCGCCGCAAACATCATGGCTCAGGCCTTCGTCACTGTCGGAACAACTCGGTTCGACACGCTGATCGACCTCGTATCGACAAGCAGCCTGGTCGCCAGGCTCATGAATCTCGGTTTTGCCCGTGTGGTCATCCAACATGGCCGCAGCCCGCTGGATGTTTTGGCCTCAGCCCGGCACTCCAAGGCGATGGAGGAAGTTGCAATGAGTGCTCAGGAGCGGGACGACGTTCTCCCGAGCCTAGGTCTCGAGAGCAGCAGCAATCCCACCGTCTGTCGGCTCCGGAAAGCCGCCCGAGGTGATGGTGCCATCGAGCAGTCGCAAGAGCCCGCCGAGGCCCATACGACCATCGAGGTCGTGGGCTTTTCCTTTGCTCCGTCACTTCGACGACAGATGGAGCAGGCCGACCTCATCATCACACACGGAGGCTCAGGATCGATCCTCGAGGGACTCGATCTGCGCAAGCCGCTCATCGTTGTTGCGAACCCCAAGCTCATGGACCAGCACCAAGCCGAGCTGGGAAGTGCGCTTTCGCACGAGGGATTCCTGTACTTTGCCGCGGACTGCACCGAGGCCAGTCTCGGAAGGCAGCTGGAGCTTTGGCAGCGAAGCGATCCAGGGTTGAAAGAATGGTACGATTGCGACGGGGGCGAGTTTGTCCGTCTGCTCAAGGACGAGATGGGGTTTGTGTAGACCAGGGAGCTCTGGTTGTGGGCAGAGATCCCCCCTCGCATCAGTGGTGATAATAGTAGCCGATCGTGGGCAGCACTCACCCGATATTCGTGGACGCCGGTGAGAAAGCGAGAGGGAGAGGGAGAGGGGAGCGCGATGCCGACGACCAGACCCAGATAGGACATGGTTCCCACAGTCCAGCGGCATGTTTGTCGAGCGGCATGTTTGTCAAGCGGCATGTTTGTCGAGCGGCATGTTTGTCAAGCGGCATGTTTGTCGAGCGGCATCCAAGGCAAGACAGGGGCAGGGGTCACTCTCGGGCCATAGGGAAAAGCGAATGGCGATTGGTGGGAGATAGGCATCAGTGTGGTCGAGCAACACCAACACCAAACACCAGACACCAACACCAGACACCAGCGGCGAACCAGAAATATCGCGGCGGCCAAGCCAGATAGGAGGCGGTCGCGCCGTGGAACCCTGGAGGACGAGGGGGAGGGTGGCCGGACACCGCTGGCGACTGGAGGAGATTGCGAACCATCCGCCATGGCCAAGGCGCGATGGAAAAAAAAAAAAAGTCGAAGGCGGTGGGCCGATGGACAGGGAACTGGACTGCCCAGCAGACGACCCATGTGGATGGGGAGGGGGTCCCCGATAAATTGCGATGCCGCACTTGGGCATCACGGGGAGCGACTGGGCAAGGAGCAAGTTGCTGCGGCGAGGCGTGTGCGGTAACGTGAGCGAAGCGCAAGGCCATGAGGCAGCACTGGCGAGAAAGAAGGCAAGGCAGCCCAAGGACGCGAAGACGAGGCAGAAGTGGTGGTGGGGGGGATGGACGTGGGGACGAAGGGGGAGAGGGAAGATGGAGCGCTGGCGCGACGGGCGTAGTGTGGAACTCGCCACCAACGCCAAATGCGACAGCCATTCGTTTCGAAGAAGTGTGTAGAACGGCGACGGGGGGAACCAAAGCATGCGGGAATGTGGGCATTGGATGAGGCGAAAAGAACGGCGCGACATGATATGCCAACATGATAATATGAAAATAGAATAATATGATAATATTATAATATGATAATACGATAATACGACCATACGACAATACCACACCACCACCGCAATACACCACCACCACCGCAATACCACAACAATTCCACCGCAATACCACACCACCACCGCAATACCACAGCACCGCGACCATCCGCGCGGGCATGCCCACGGCCGAGCACCACCGCCGCGCGCCATGGCCGCCGAGCAAATTTGCGCTGTCCGGGGCCTTTCCCATCCAGCACCGCCCGTGCATTGTGCTCTGGCCGGCGCCGTGTTGGTGCCGCGGCCATCGCTATGCTCGACTGGAAAGTCGCGATGCTCGGCTGGCGCATTTCGCCGTCGTCTTTGTCGCCGCGGGATTGCTTCTCGGCGCTCGACCGGCGCTCGACACTGTTCCGTCGTCGTCCTGCGATTCTCCCGACCGACACCTTGCGGTTCTCCCACCAAGCACATCGGCCATCGTTGCTCATGCCCTCGCCCGCACATCTCAGTCGGACGCATCTCAGCACACATCCCGGCACACATCCCGGCACCCATCCCGGCGCTCTTCACCGCACCTTTGCTGACCCGACATGGCTCATGTCCGGCTCATGCCACCTCACCCCTGTCGCCATGTCTCTCGTCCACTGTTGCTTCTCGGCCCTGTCGTTCTGGTCTGTGCGGCGGCAGTTCTCCTTGCTGGCCCCGCCGCCGCTTTGTTGTGCTTTGTTCGGCTGCCGCAGCCAAGCGTCCTTCTCGGGAGGACATCGCCGTCACCGTGACCACTGCGCCTTGTCTGCGACCAGCTGCCGCGCAGTGCATTCGAGGTCGGCTGCCCCCCCCCTTTCGCCCGGTTGCGGGGCGTGTGGTCGCCCGACCCGTCAGCTGATCCGCGCCAGCGCGTCCCTCGGGGCTGTTCGGCCCAGCTCGTCTCCAAATTTGCCTTGCCGCGCGTCTCCTGTCCCGCTTGGTCTTGCAAGGCCCCACTTGCTTCCGCCGGGCTGTATTCCTGTCGGTCCTGCCTGCCTTGCCTGGCTTGTCTGGCTTGTCTGGCTTGCCTGGCTTGTCTGCCTTGCGACCCCTTCTTGACCCCTCGCGTCTTGCCAGGAATATAAATACATCCCCCTCTGACCGCCTCCCCTCCGATTCATCCTCATCCCCGCTTCCCCGACCCCCCACAAGCGCCATGGCCATCTCCAAGGCTCCCATCGCCCAAGTCGTCCTTCTTGGATTCATCTGCTTCGGTTGCCCCGGCATGTTCAATGCCGTCAACTCCCTCGGTGCTGGTGGTGGTACTGACCCCACCACTGGCAGTAACGCCAACGCCGCCCTCTACACCACCTTTGCCCTCTTTGGTCTCTTTGGTGGTGCCATCAACAACATCCTCGGTCCCCGCATCCAGATGTTCATCGGTGGCCTGACCTACTCTCTCTACATTGGTGCTTCCCTCAACAACGATGTCTCTGGTGGTGCCGATGGACCCGCTGGTGCCAAGGCTTTCTTCATCATTGCTGGTGCCATTCTCGGTGTTGGTGCTGGTCTCCTGTGGTCTTCCCAGGGTGCCCTCATCATGGCCTACCCCACTGAGGAGAAGAAGGCCACCTACTTTGCCGTCTTCTGGATCATCTTCAACCTTGGCTCCGTCTTTGGCAACACTGTCGGTCTGATCCTCAACTTCAACAACCCCGATGTTGCCATCTCCAACGGCACCTTCGGTGCCTTCATCGGTATCACCATCCTCGGCTCCTGCTGCGCTCTCCTCCTCGCTGACCCCAAGACCGTCGTCCGTGCTGATGGCACCCCCGTCGAGGTCATCACCCAGGGCAACATTGTCGGTGAGGCCATCGAGGTCCTCAAGCTCTTTGGCAACTGGCGCATGCTCCTCATGGCTCCCTGCTTCCTGGCTTCCAACTACTTCTACGCCTACCAGTTCAACTACATCAACGGCCACTTCTTCAACGTCCGCTCCGGCTCGTTCAACGCCATCTTCTACTGGGCTTTCCAGGCTCTTGGATCCTTTGTCATCTCCAAGTTCCTTGACAACGAGAAGTGGTCCCGCCACACTCGCTCCCGTGTCGGTCTCGCTGTTGTCTTTGTCGGCAACACTGCTCTCTGGATCGGTGCCATCATCTACCAGCAGACCGCCTTCAACGATGTTGCTCCCGGTACTCCCCTCGGCAAGACCCGCGTTGATCTGTTCGGTAACCCCGGCGAGACCCACCCCGCCATGTGGGGCATCACCATTATGTACGTCCTGATGGCCTCCCTCGATGCCATGTTCCAGTCCTATGCCTACTGGATCATGGGTGCCCTCACCAACGACTACGCCACCCTGTCCCGCTATGGTGGTTTCTACAAGGGTATCCAGTCTCTCGGTGGTGCCATCTCCTGGATCATTGGTGGTGTTGTTGGTGCTCCCGTCTGGACCCAGCTTATCATCACTGTTGTCCTCGTCATTGGCTCTCTCCCCATTGCCTATGCCACCGTCAACTCCGTCAAGGACACCTCCAAGTCCGATGACGAGGCTGCCAAGGCTGCCGCCAAGGCCTAAGTTTCGCGTCAAGCGACTGACCTTATCTTCTATCCGCCATCACACCTTTTCACCCAACCTCCATCACCCAGTAATGTCCTTTGCTTCTTTGTCCGACCTGAAACTTGCGCTTTGTTCCCGAAAGCTTCTATGTGTAAAAATCAAAGCGAAATAAATGCAGACTCTTCTATCCGTCATTTGCTTCTCTCGCTTGAGTGTGTGTTTACAGTCTCATGGTCGCCGGGCAATGGGGGAGAAGGGGAAGGAATGAGGAGTGTATTTCAATTCGGGCTGCTAACGGGGCCGCCGTCCATGTATTCAGGTGCTGTCATAGGCATCAAAGGTGGTCAAGGCAATGGCAAAGGCCTCAACGACCGTGAGTGGGTACCGAGCATCGAGAGTGAAGTTGTCTGGCCCGCATCGTCCAAACTGCATGATGATGTTGGTGTCTGGGGACATCGGGTCAATGTCAGCCACCCTCTCAGTCACCTTCCCAGCCACCCTCTCAGCCATCTTCTCAGCCACCAGCCGTGCTCCTCTGTCTGCATTTGCAAGCCCATCCACATCTTCAGCCAGGACCGAGACACCGACTCTGAGCATGTATCAACACCATGACCAACGCCTTCCCTCTGACCCGACTCTGCTCCCCAGGGCCGGATTCCTTCACTCAGGACGGGGCACGCTTACCATCGCCGTCTCGGATCAGCTGAAAGTTCTTGATGCTCGGCATCGTCACCCGCCCACCAAAGTTAAGACAGTGGCTCTGGGTGGCTTCGTTCCACCGAGGGGTCTTGTTTCTCAGAAATTGGAGGCGGCTTGTGTTTCCAGCCTCGGTGTCGGCCAGGATGTCCTTGGAAACGTCCTCGGTCTCAGGGTCGATCGTGAGGGATGGAATCGAGACTTTCATCTCTCTGGGAAGAGCCGACTTGCTCTGAGTGAGAAAAATGAAATCGAGTCAAGACAGCTCGCTATTCGACTGACTGATTGCACCTGAGTGGGCCATTCTATTTGAGCTGCGATCCTCTTGGCGATGCTGTATCCCTGACGACTGGCGACGGAGAAACTGGCCCTTGACTCGATTGCCAACTCGACCACGGTACTCACTACCAGCGGTCGCACCCAGTTACATACGTAGTTGACACAAGCAAGCTCCTTCAGTCCCTTGTTCTCCGTCCCCTTCTGGTATCCTCGTGCGTCCATCAGGACAAAGGTCGTTCTCTGAAAGTTTGCTCTGAAGCGGGGAGAGAGGGTCATGGCAGTCAGTCAGTGTACGAACGCATGAGTGATGGCTTGGATCACAGAAGCACATGCAGCCCCAGCAATATGACCCACTTGAGTTTGGCCACATAGTGCTTCGAGTCCTTGGACAGGTCGTCTGGGCTGGTCGAGATCAAGTAGTTGACGTATTTGGACTTTTTGCGCTTCCGGGCGGCAAGAATGAAGGCGTCGTCGGTCTCGTTGTGGAGATAGAAGGTTGGATACGCCTTCTCGAGCAGATTGGTTTTGCGGTACAGTCGGCACTTGATCACACCCCCGTCGGCCAGTCGCCTGATATTGGAAAGGAAATGGGAGTTCATACATGGGGACATTCAAATGCGTGCACCCTCGAGGAAGAAATGCCACTCGTCGCAAAGACGATGTATGTCGCTGCCTTCACTCGGTTGTCCCCAGGAATATCTTCCTCATTAGAGTGTTCATCGCATCAGCCCCGGCCATCAGGACCGTGACGGCGGGTCGGCAAGGGCAGACTTACGAAAAGAGGCTCGGATTGACGATCGAGGTTTGGTTTTCTCGCGGGGCCATGGTCGTTGGCGAAGGAGAATGGACCCCGACAAGCGACTTTGGATCTGCGCCTTCTTCGCCCGCGTCCTTCAAAGGCGACAGCGGCTCGATGGCGACCTCGGGAGTCAGAACCTGCGGTGAGGGTGAGGGTGTGATCGGGGTCACATCTTCGCGCGGGCTCTGCTCGGCCTCGTTTGACTCTGTTGGATCATAGGGCTTGATGAGGTCCTTGATGTCGATGGTCGTGCGGCTCTTTGGAGTGGCCGATCGATCAACGCTAGCTGCATCCGACGGTACTGGGTCGACCGGCAAAGAAGCCTGCGCACCAATGTTGATGACGGTGAGCTTGGAAGGTGGGGCCATCGAATAGTAGGGCGTAGATGACATTGGCGAGCCGGCCACAGGGCTTTGCTGGAGGGGCGATGGCGGCTGCATTTGCTGCGGGGTCTCGGCGCCGGGTGTGCCCGTGGTCAACGTCTTGCTCTCGATCTGCTTGCGTCGCTGCCTGAATTCCTCAAACTCTGAAGAAATGTATGCCTCGCGCTTGATGAATCCGGCTTCGGCCGAACTCGAGTGTGAGACCGGAGTGGTTTGGGACGGGCTTTTGCTGGTGTCGGCGGTGGATGGTCGTGTATCTTTGGATCGCAGCCCAGGACGAGCGGCCGAGGTGGCAACAGAGGTGTTAATAGCAACGTCGAGGAGCTGAGCGCAACAGCCAACGCTTGATCGGGGTGGCTCGGCTTGGGTATCGTGATGTCTGCACATGCACCGACAGACAATGGCACGCTGGCATCGTCTCTCAACCAAGACCGCTGCTACACTGCCAGATCCAAGCGGGTATCTGCGGATGTGCAACAAATGCTCAGAAGCTCCCGCCACGATATGCTTCGAATATATCCTCCCCCCCCCCTCTCCCAGGGTCCAGCTGCTTGTACTTACTTTTCAATGCCGCATCGTGCGATGGCACCTTGGAGATCCCCTTGGTCGACACGGGCCCCATCACGATCGTGGTCTTGCGCCGGATCTGCTCATGAGGGCCGTCGCTGGGTGCTGTCTGAGGGCGACTCGGGTTTTTGGCCTCTTCGGTAGAGCACCGCTCCGTGCTCGTGGTCGACAACAGCGTCTCTTTGGAGATGAACGTTGCCTTGATCGACGGCGCCGAGGTTTTGGACTGGTTCGACAGCTCGCCCTCGCTGGCTCGGTTGGAGGCGCGATTTGAGCCATCTTCGCTCGCCACCGCCTGGTCTACTTTGAGCTTGGAGTCGGCAGAAAAAGGCTCGCGGCGAGTCCCGAGACCTGGGGCCGTATGGCGCTTCTCCACCGCCGAACGACTAGCGGCGACATCGATGCTGTGGAGGCTGTGGGAAAGCTGTTGCTTGGGTTGGGCATCGACATATTCTTGTGCCGCGTCCTCGGGTTTCTTGCTCGTACGGTTCTTGACCTTGGCATAGAGCTTGAAGCGCCGGGCTACAGACGACGACGACGACGACCAGGGAGGGGGGACGACGACAAGGTAACGCGATCGTTTGGCGATGAAGGCAAAGGGAAGTAATTTCAGCAGGACGGCGCGGCAGCATGAATTCCTGGAATGATGCTCGCGCAAGTCACCCTCACACATTGCCTGGCGAAGGCAAGCAATAATCGCGTGGGAAAGCAGACGAATTCGATTCAGATCCCTTGGAACCAGGGAGCCCTACCGTTCCCACGCGGGAATCAGTCAGCAACCCTGACCGACAGGGGTTGCGTGGGATGCGGTGAAGTGGGAGGAGAGGGGAGGCCGACACTGCTATCGACACTGCTATCGACATTGGTATCGACACTACTATCGACACTACTATCGACACTACTATCGACAACTCACCAATGTCCTTGTCTGCTGCAATGTCGCTCTTTTCGGGCTTGCGCCCTTCTCGCTCGAGGAATGTCCGCTCCCACTCTTTGAGCTCTCGCTTGAGCTCCCTGATCTGGTCGCTGTCCAAGTTGGTGCTGACGCGTTCTGCGGTATGCAGCATGGCGAGTCGGGCGACGTGGTGAACGGGATGTGGTGGACGGGATGTGTCGATAGATTGTATCAGTGGATTGTATCAGTGGATTGTATCAGTGGATTGTATCAGTGGATTGTATCAGTGGATTGTGGCGGTTGACCCAGAGGTTCAAGGCAAGTTGCGGCAATCCCGTCAGGGAGCGCGGTATTGTCGGGGTGCCAGGGACAGGATAGGACAGGACAGGACAGCAGAATAGGATATGGATAGTCGGGAATATATCAGGGAAGAATCCCAAAAGACACAGCGTGAGAAGGAGGAAGGAGGGATGAGTAGCAAGAAGCGACAGCAGGACGAGATGGCGGTCAGAGCGGGCGGGACTGGAATGGAGGTGGGATATTGGCGCTCTTGAGAGCCGAGGGACAGTCCGTGTCGGGACTGCAAAGGTCGAGGACTGGGAGCAAGAGTCGGGACAGAGGAATCAAAGGGTTGTGTATCTGGCCAGCGACGATGAGCAGAGGGAAGGAGTCGCCAGTGCCAGCAGCCGGATCGACGCTCTACCACTCTACTGCTCTGCTGTCCTGACCTGGGTCGACAGGCATTGTAGGGAGACGGGAGCCGGAAATATATTACACCTGCTCCCTCCCCCTTTTCCCCGGCTTGGAGACCAGCCAGCGGATCAGGACCGAGCAAAAAAAGGGGGGGGAGGCGGCTGTGAACGCCCCGTCGAAACGACGATGATCGTGATCCACCATCAGACGACCAACACGCATCATCGAGGCCGAGCCCAAGGCGCATCCACTTGCCCTCAACCTACTTGCAGACACCATGACGTCGAGTCCGCTGCGGCATCAAGTGCGCCAGCTCTACAAGAACGTAAGGCAGTCACTACAGACATTCCCTCCACCGTCGACTGCAGGTAGTGCCGCAACAAGAACGACGGCAACCAAAGGGCCCAGCTCCCAAGCTCATGCCATTTTCTCTATTTCAATGTCTCGCAGCTGCTCTGGATTGGGCGGGAGTACCCAGCAGGGTGAGCCGATCTGCCGAGAAGGAGTCATTGACATTAGGGTGGTCCGTTGGCATCCAGAGGCGAGAGGAAAGTCTCTTGACGCTGCTTATCGGCTGACGTATGCAGATTCGAGTTCTTCAAGCCCAAGCTCAAGTCTGCGTTTCTGAAGAACAAGAGCCTCGAGACCGAAGAAGACATCAGGAAGGCTATCCAGCACGGTATGCCGCAAACGGCGCCATGGCCGACGACACACATGCCGGGGATGGCCGCACCATCGCTTATGAACTGCGACATCGATCCTGATGTGTCCTCCCTCGATGTGCTGCTCTGGCAGGTGAGTTTGTCCAGAAGGAACTCGAAGCCCTGTGGTTTCTCAAAAAATACCGCAGCATCAAGAGCAGCTACTACGCCGACAGGCCCGACGACAAGCCCGGCGACAGATCCGACGATCGCCCCTCCAAGTGAATCGGCGGCCTCTGTGCATTCGCCTCCGGCAGTATATGGCTCGACCAGCCCGTCTCAACCGCCAGCGACCGCCTTGATCAAAAGGGCGGCCCGACTGCCGAGGCGAACCATTCGCTGCATCAAAGAGATGATCTGGTGCGCCAGGCTCGCCACATATCCTGCAAAACACTCAATCTTGTTGTGGAGTCTATTCGACGGAGGGATGCGTTGGATGGCAAGTCCGGGGATCGGCCTGGCTGCGAGACAGTCTCGATCCTGCTGCTGGCCGATGGCTGCTGCAATGGCTGCTGCAATGGCTGTTGCAATGGCTGTTGCAATGGCTGTTGCAATGGTCTGCTCCTCCATCTGTTCTCCATCTGCTGCTCTTCACCCGCTCTTCACCTGCTCTCCCATCTGCAAATCCTTGCCCATCGCGAGGACCGATGTCGTCAGAGCGCCGCCGTGGGGTTGGCCAGCGCTCTCAAGCAGCTTCCTTTTCCAGCCAGCGTCCTTGTTGCCTCCATCAGCTCGCGCTTCTCCCGTGCCATCGGGTCTGGGCTTTTCCTCGATCAGCCTGCTCCTCCAATGCCTCTGCTGCGTCGCTCGCTCGCTCTTGCCTCCAAACCCGCCTCTGCGTCCCCGGCCACCCGGTTCCCATCGTCGTTACCCCTCTGTCTTTACACCCTCCGATCCATGTCGACCGCCCGTAAGATCTCGCCCAAGGTACCGATCGTCGAGCTTCCGCCTTTCTCGCTTCCCCCACCCACACACTTCCATCCGCCCCTCCGGCGAACGCTGCCGAGCCCCAGCCGATCTCATGGGTCTAATCGCTGCTTCCCTCTGCGTCTTGTCTGCAATCTGTTAGTCGGCCCAGCGCCTCGGTGCCCTGGACCCCAACGGCACCGTCTTTGCCGAGTTCACGGCCCTGGCGATCAAACACAATGCCGTCAACCTCGGACAGGTTCGTATTCGCCCCGTCCCAGCAAACGAAGCGGAGAGGAGAGGAGAGGATAGGACAGATCGGCATCGGTGGTCTCTCGCAAGTTTGTCGCTCTGGACGATATGCTGACAAACCTCTCCATCGTCCCGCCATCGATCGGATCCGACGCATCTTGTCGCTGTAACAGGGCTTCCCCACTCTCCCCGTCGCCGATTTCATCAAGGAGTCTGCTGAGCGAGCCATTGCCAAGTCGAGCCTGCTGCACCAGTACACCCGCAGCGAAGGCCATGTCCGTCTCGTCAACGGTAAGGGAAATCTGCCCACTAATCACTGCTGTCGATGCTGTCGATGCTGTCGATGCTGTCGATGCTGTCGATGCTGTCGATGCTGTCGATGCTGTCGTGTTGTCGATGCTGCCATCGCCTCCGGAGCTTACCCTGTGCGCTCTGTCTTGTATCAAAGCCCTCTCGAACTACTATGTCGACAAGCTTGGCAGAAAACTCAACCCTCTTACCGAAATCATTTCGACGGTTGGCGCCAGTGAAGGTAGTGATCGCATCCCACCCTCGCTTGCAATGTCCAAGCGAGCGATCGAGATCCGGCCACCCATATTTATCTGGCTGACACGGCCGCTCCCCGGTCTCGTTTACGTTAACGCTGACGCTGACGCTGGCCTTGTCGACACAGCCATCTACTCGACCATCCAGGCCTTCATCAACCCGGGCGACGAAGTGATCCTGATGCAGCCGTTTTACGACAGCTACCCTGCCAGCGTCCACCTCGCCGGCGGCAAGCCCGTCTTTGTATCGCTCCGCCCTCCGTCCGATCGCCCTGCCACCTCTTCGGATGACTGGAAGGTGGACATTGCCGAGCTCGAATCGGCCGTGACGCCCCGCACCAAGATGATCATCATCAACAACCCACACAACCCCATCGGCAAGGTCTTCCGGCGAGAGGAGCTCGAGGAAATTGCCGCCTTTGCGACCCGTCATGACCTGCTCGTTCTTGCCGACGAGGTTTACGAGACCCTGGTGTACTCAGATTCGCCTTCGGAGCTGATCAAGTTTGGTGAGTATAGGGCTATGTTTTCTCCCGCTTCCTTCAAGCTGCATGAGCGAGAATCGATGTGCTGTCGAATGTGGCGAGAGTGAGATGAACTCTGGCCCGATGTATGAAGGGAGGGGAAGCCAAAGGACCGGTATCGTGCTCTGATGATCGGGAATCCAGGCTCTCTCGACCGCGCAGCACTCGTTTCCTGCATCCCGTCCGTCGAGCAACTTGCTCTCCTGCACATACAGCCGATATGAACTGCACACCCCGCTCTCAGGCTCGAGCATCTCTCACCTTCATCGCTGACCGAAGCCCATGGCTTTTTCTCTCTCTCCTTCTTGCACGGCACCCCCCCCCCAACGCCTGTGGACAATAACGGCTGTCGCTTCTAGCCAGCCTGCCTGGAATGTTTGAGCGCACCATCACCGTCGGCAGCATTGGCAAGATGTTTGGTGTGACCGGATGGAAGATCGGATGGTGTCTCGGCCACGAGGAGCTCATCCGTGCCATCTGGCTGGTTCACCAGTTCATTCCGTTTGCCGTGGTCACTCCGCTGCAGGTAAAGTCTCCAGAACAAGCATCTCTTCAAAGTGGCGCTTCTGGCAAAGCACATTACCGTGCCGCTGCGTCGTTTGCATTGTTTGATGTCGACGACGCCGATCCTTGTGATCAGTATACCCGCAGCGCCGGTTCGTCCTTCCAATCGTGTTGTGCTCATGCTCGCCGCTGATTTGCTGTAACCAAAATGCGACACAGGAAGCTACCGCCGATGCCCTCGAACAGACCCAGACCAACGGATACTTTGAGACCACTCGTGCAGAGTACGAGGCCCTGCGCAACAAGCTCCAAGCCTCGCTGACGTCCACTGGGCTGACTCCCACCTTGCCACACGGAGGATACTTCATCCTCGCCGATACCTCGTCCCTCCCGGATCCGGCGCTTCAGCCCGGCCATCAAGACACCGACCCCCGCCGCGATTTCCGATTGTGCCGGTTCTTGACCTCCGAGGTTGGCGTGACTGCCATTCCCCCGAGCGCCTTCTATGACAAGAGCGATGTCAAGGGGCAGCAGGAAGTTGCCGGCCATCTGGCTCGATTCGCGTTCTGCAAGACTGGCGAAATGATCGACGAGGCCGCCGAGAGACTCAAGTCCTACTTTGAGCGCGTCCACAAGAGGACCAAGCAGGAGTGAGGTAGCTCCCTTCTCAAACGACAAGCCAAGCGAAAGCCGCTCCAGGCAATCGTTGGGTCGAGGAGAGGCATGCATGTGGCCGTGTGGCTGTATGTGAGGGGTAAGAGATCCAACAAAACAGAGCATTCATTCACCCGCATGCCTGAGCTGAGAGCAATACATTCCTCAGAGCAACTGATCAGCGATTGGCTCGGTCCTGCGGAGGGCTGCAAAGGGCTGCAAAGGACCGCGAGCACTGTCAGTGCTGAGTTGGCGTTGGTCGGTGTAGGACGCAGCATGAACCTCATGCGCAAACTGGTGACGATGGTCGCCCAGAGCCATCCCAACTCGATCTCCCTACTGATCCAATCGGATCCAATCGGACAGGCGGGGGGGGGTCCTGGTGCTACTCGTGCTGGGAGACACCACTCTCTGTGGGAGGCAGACATTCTTGCAGCAATCCCCTCACGAGACAGAGTTAATGAACTGATTCTGAAAGAAGCCTCTATTGAAGTGTAGGAGGGAGTGTAGCCACAGGCGGGGTTGTGGGTTTGAAGCTGAGATGTCCCAGAAGAAGAGGAGAAAGAAAGGATAAGAATAATGAACGACACAAACATAAATACGGTCAATGTGGATCAAATGCAGTTGATATCTTGTAGAAAGAGTGAAGATAAGGAGTTGAAGGTGAGGGGGGGGGTTAAGAGGCGGGGAGCGGAACGGAAAGGACGCAGGAGAAGTGGCATCCTGACGAAATATAGAATTTTTGGTATGGCGCTACTTTTTGAGATGGTTTGAAGGTCGTCATTGATGGCCTGGGCTGTGCTATATAGCGGAGCATTGTTGACGCCGATCGTTGTTGGGGCGGCTGCTGAAGCGAGGCGATGAAAGCGAACAGCGGTGCAAGGGAGATAGTGACATTGACAAAAGTCGAGCCCGTTGAATTGGTGAATGCGGCAAAGGAGAGTTCACAAGCTGACCGTGGTGGCGGTGGTGGTGGACACGAGGAAGAGCCGGGAAGGTAGAGAAATGTGATGGCTGGCAGTAAAATACTATCAGAAGAATGCTTGAAACGAAATAGTCATGAGGAGAGGAGGAGACGAAATAGTAGAGGCGAGCCCATGGCCCGACCGAGCCGGACAAGGAAGGTGGGCATGGCATCAGACCCGGATGATGCCCACCATCCAAGCCGTATGTAGGTAGCGTTGGGCTAGCTGTCTGGGTTAGTAGCCTCGGCTGTGGCCCTGGTTGTTGTACCCCGGAGGATAGGTGCCCTGGGCATAGCCGCCTTGGGGATAGCCGCCCTGAGGATAGCCGCCCTGAGGATAGCCATCTCGGGGGTAGCTGCCCTGAGAGTAGCCGCCTTGAGGATAGCCCGCTTGGGGCTGGGGAGTGAAGCCACGCACCACATGCGGGTTGGATCCGTTGCTGCCTTGGGAGTGCTGCGAGCCGTAGGCGCTTCCGCGGAAGCTGCCAAAGCCAGGCAGAGGGCTCTGGCGGCTGCTGACCTCGTTTGGATAGGCGTCGTTGGCGATAACAGGGAGAGGGCCGTCGAAGGGAACCGCGGCGCTGTCGCCTCGTTTGCGAGCCCTGAAGGCAGCCGAGGGGCGGAGGTAGCATCGACGGAAACCCCAGATGCCGGCCATGATGAAGACCACGGCGACGACGACGCCGATTGCAATGTATGTACCGTTCACACCGGATGAGGCTGCAGGGTCAGGGGTTGCTGATGCTGTCGCCGAAGCCGTGGAGGACCCGCTGGGTGCCGAGGTGTCGGTGCCTCTCGATCTTGTGGTCTGGGTGTTTCCGCCATTGTCGCTCTGGGTTGTAGGGTTGCGAGTGCGTCCCGAGTCCGTGGTTGTCGTCACGGCCGGCGGAGGAGGAGGAGGGGGAGGGGGCTGGGGGATGGCCGAGGAAGTCGCAGGAGGAGGAGGAGGAGGGGCAGCCGAAGTCGCCGGGGGAGGAGGGGGAGGGGCAGCCGAGGTTGTCGGAGGAGGAGGCGGCGGAGGGGGAGCAGACGATGTCGATGGAGGAGGAGCAGCCGAGGTGGCAGGCGGTGGTGGGGCAGGAGCCTGCGAGGTGGGAGCGATGTTTGCGGCAGAGGTTGGCGGTGCGGCGGGATTAACGATGGGAGCTTTGGGGCTGGCTTGGGCAGGATCTCGCTTGTCAAGGGCAGCAGCCGAGGCGAGCTGGCTGCTGAGAAGCAGCAGACACAGCCAAAGACCAAGCAGACGCAACGACAGGACAGGCATCTTTGGGGGTTCGGTATCGAAGAAGGATCACCGGCGGCCACGGACGACAACAGGGCTCAGAGACAGGGATCAGAAGCGAGGGCTTGCAGGCGGGATCAGCGAGGCCGAGGAGGAGACCGTGCGCTGGGCAGTGGGGTCAGGGCGGAGGCAGGCCAGATGGACGAGCAGATGGATGGACGAAGGACGGACGGCGCAGGACGACGAAAAGCCAAAGGACAGCCAGAGGGAAGAGCGGAAAGGACGGCCAGGGACAAACACAGCCATGGGCCAACGGACAAAAAACAACGATGCGCACAGCAGCCAATGGCCGACGGCGGGCCCGGGCGGGCTTGTTGGCCACAGCGGCTAGTTAATAGCACGGCCAAGGCCAAGACGACGGCGAACATCTCGGCCATCGCCGTGGCTAATAACATGGCTAATAACATGGCTAATAGCATGGCTAATAGCATGGATGCTTGGGCTGATTCGCGGTTGTTCGCAGCACCGCCCAACTCGGCTGCTCTCCCAACCAGCCACTCCCAACCAGCCACTCCCAACCAACCACTCCCAACCAACCACTCCCAACCAACCACTCTCCCAGCCGGCAGCCGCGCAATGTACGTGCTGAGTCCCGGACTGGCACACCAAGGCCGCTGTTCGGCGCCAGCCCGTGCACAAAGCACAGCCCAGGCAACACCCCCGAAAGGCACACCCCGTCCGTCCGTGGTGCTTGGTGCTTGGTGCTGGCTCTCCTCCTGGGCCGATGCCGAGCCCTGTCTGTTCTGGCTTCTGACGACACGGCTGTCCAAGGTCGCTGCTGCTCCCACCGACATCCGCAACACCGCAATGTCGCCGCAGTCTCGGGCAAGTCGTCTTGCGCAAATTGCATCCCCATCGGACATCTCGTGCCGCCAGCCACACAATTGCCCCTTGCCGGCGGCAACACTAGGCATGCGCCACACGCCGCACCGCCACCATGGCCGTGCGCAGCCCTTGATGTGTTGTCACGTGTCTGATCGCTCCCCTGCTCATCCCGTCTCATCCATGCACCTCATCCATGTACTTCATCCATGCATCTCGTCCATGCATCTCGCGAAATGCTGCCTGCCGCAGTGCACCCCTCGCTCCCCCCGGCCGTCCGGCTGCTGATTCTGGGCTTGGGCTGGACCGGCCAGTTTGTTGCCCGGCTGGCTGCGCGAGAATCGCTGGCCTTTGCCGCCACAACGACCTCCGGCCGCGATGGTACCCTGGTAGGTAGACCCTGGCTGTGCAGATCGCAGCCGCTTGTTGGACCATCGGGCGATATGCAGACTCGCTCGCATGGCCGATCCAACAGGCCGACGACAGGGCCAACTTGACATGACCGGCGCCGTCGCAGACTCACCCTCCCGGTCTTGTCTGGTTCCAGAAATTTGTCTTTGATCCCAAATCCACCGACGACGCTGCCTATGCCGGCCTGCCCAGGGCCGAGTTCATCCTGATCACCTTTCCCATTCACTCTGCCGAAGGCATCCATAATCTGGTTCAGACCTACGAACGTGTCCACGACATCAAGTCAAGTCTCATTCTGCTTGGCTCGACCTCCGCCTTTGCTCCATCGCCGCAGAACCCCCTCTGGCTCGATCGTCATTCGTCCCTGGTTCAGCCCTTGCCGGATCGATGTCTCGCCGAAAACAGACTGCTGGAGCTTGGGGGCTGCGTGCTGAATCTGGCGGGTCTCTGGGGTGGCTCCCGCGATCCTCGAAACTGGGTCTCTCGAGTGGCGGGCGACAAGGATAAGCTCTCGATGAAGGGCTCCCTCCATCTCATCCACGGCACCGATGTTGCGCGTGCTGTCCTGGCTGCGTTCCAGTCGTTCACGCCCGGAGAGCGCTGGATCGTCTCAGACACCCGGGTATACGACTGGTGGCATCTCGCATCCGCCTGGGGCAGCGCCGGCTCCAGCAGCCCCCGGCCCGAAGCCAGATGGGCTCTGGAGCTGATGCAGCAGCACGGCGTCCGCGCTCTGCCACGCAATACCGAGCTCCTTGGCAGGGCGCTGGATTCGCGGGAGTTCTGGACCCGCTTTGGCATCGAGCCCAGCGTCGCCTTGGCCTGATCTGGATTCTGATCCTGATTCCGGCCTTGGTGCTGGGTTGTGATCCTGTCTTGATCCGGCGTCGACTGGGCCCCGCGCCCGTGAATACATCCGCTTCGTGGTTATATCGAACTTATTTCGAAACGGTCCACCTTCATACACGGATGGCTTGTGTGAGTTGGTGAGTTGCGTTGTGTGAACCAAATGGCACCCGAACTCCATGGCATATCCTGGCCGAGGTCTTGAAGCGATTATTCTCTTGCCCTGCGCCTTTCTCCCTCATCCCAGGTATGTCTTCTTGCTTTGATCTGCGTGACTGTATCATCTGCAGCGGCTTGCTGGTCCTGTCGTGCCCACTTACTCCGTGTATCTCCCTCACACAGGGGAATGACTTGACACTTGACCGGGTGTGTGATATGATCCGTGTTTGTCCAAATGTGACGATGTGTCCCATTTTTTCTTCAACACGCTGTACATCGATTGGGCTGGATCACAGCCCTTGCTGTGAGCGATGATTGCTTGGGCTCTCGGTCATCCTGCTTGGGGCGCTGGTGAGGGAGAGCCATCACAACGCAGGATCAGCAACCGCAACGTCGCGCTGAGCGGCCAGCCCGAACCAGCCCCACTCTCATCCAACAGCACTAACAATGCCAGCGATACATCAACACGAGCGCTGCCGCATTTCCTCTCGTCTGTCGTGGTGTTGCCATCACATTGCTGCTGCGCCGCTTGCATGGATTTCCAGATTGCCCGCAGAGTTGAGTTGGGCGGCGACGCCGACGCTCTTCAGAGCACATACGTCTCTACTGTCTCAGCCGGCGTTGCACTTCCTCCGCTCCCAATCACTCGGAGGCGCCCCGACGGCATTCCAGAGACCGCTGGTCAGCAGCCACAAGTAGCGCAATCAGAGTCGATGTTTCTCGAGGCCCCCTGTGTGTCGCCTGAGGGGGTAAACAGCGGATGCAAGTGAACTCGAACTGCTCTCCGCCCTCAGTAAACCTTGGGGGGAGGGCATTTGTTTGTTGGCAAGCTCCTGGCGGCGGCCTTCTCTGCATCGACATGGCTTTCTGTTGTTCCATTCCGGTGAAGATCGTCCAGAAGAAGCAAGCGGTGACCCCGGCCGGAGCGCACAGGACACTGCGGGGGCGTCTGGAGTGGATATGCCTCCTCTGGCCGGCCGATCCTGTTATAAGCCCGCCCTGTCGCCCGCCTATCCTCGAACCTCACCTCCGCCGTTCCAATCTTGCGTGCGAACGACTCATCTTCATCTGATACAGTAGACTCGCACCACTTGCTACCCCGCCATCATGGTGCTCTCGAAGAAGCCTATACACCAAGTCATCCTTCTTGGGCTCGTTTGCTTCGGCTGCCCCGGCATGTTCAATGCCGTCAACTCCCTCGGTGCTGGTGGTGGTACTGACCCCACCACTGGCAACAATGCCAACGCCGCCCTCTACACCACCTTTGCCATCTTTGGTCTCTTTGGCGGTGCTGTCAACAATATCCTCGGCCCCCGCATCCAGATGTTCGTTGGCGGCCTGACCTACTCTCTCTACATTGGTGCTTCCCTCAACAACGATCTCTCCGGCGGAGCCGCGGGCTCTTCCGGCGCCAAGGCCTTCTTCATCGTTGCCGGCGCCATTCTCGGTGTTGGTGCTGGTCTCCTGTGGTCTTCCCAGGGTGCTCTCATCATGGCCTACCCCACTGAGGAGAAGAAGGCCACCTACTTTGCCGTCTTCTGGATCATCTTCAACCTTGGCTCTGTGATTGGCAACACCATCGGTTTTGGTCTCAACTTCAACAACCCCGATGTCGCCATTTCACCAGCAACTTTCGGCGCCTTCATCGGCATCACTATCCTTGGCTCCTGCTGCGCCCTCCTCCTGGCTGATCCCAAGACTGTCATCCGTGATGACGGCAGCCCCGTCAGAGTCATCGTCCAGGGCAACGTTCTCGCCGAGGCCGTCGAGGTCCTCAAGCTCTTTGGCAACTGGCGCATGCTCCTGCTGACGCCCTGCTTCTTCGCCTCCAACTACTTCTACGCCTACCAGTTCGGTTACATCAACGGCCACTTCTTCAACGTCCGCTCTCGCTCCTTCAACTCGATGCTGTACTGGATCATGCAGGCTATTGGATCCTATTTCATTGCCAAGTTCCTTGACAATGACAGGTGGTCGCGCAGCGTTCGCGGCAAGGTTGGTCTCGCTGTTGTCTTTGTCGGCAACACTGCTGTCTGGATCGGTGCCTTGTTCTATCACCAAGGTCCCTACAAGGACATTGCCGCAAGCTCGACCCTGAGTGCCACCAAGGTTGATCTGTTCGGCACCCCCGGCCAGACCCACCCCGCCATGTGGGGCATCACCATTATGTACATCCTTGGCGCGGCCCTCGACGCCATGTTCCAGTCCTATGCCTACTGGATCATGGGTGCCCTCACCAACGACTACGCCACCCTGTCCCGCTATGGTGGTTACTACAAGGGCATCCAGTCTCTCGGTGGTGCCGTCTCCTGGATTCTGGGTGGTGTTGCCCAGGTCGACCCTTGGATCCAGCTTATCATCACCGTCGTCCTCGTCATTGGCTCTCTCCCCATTGCCTATGTCACTGTCGTTACTGTCAGGGACACCTCCAGGACCGTTGATGATGAAAGCCAGGGAAAGTCCTAAATAAGCCATAAAGAGTCCCAGATAGACCATGGATATCGAGGCTGGGTTGCTGTTTGCTGGAGGCCGCTATGGCTCCGCTATGGCCCTCTGCCTCTCCCTTCAACTTGTCACCTGGCATCTTCACTCCCTTGTCTTTGGTCTGCTCTGTTACTGTTATTCTCTTTCAGCTTCCCTCCCAAGTCTTCAATACACATTTATTCAAAAAATTCGCAACAGCTCGAGTATCCATTATATGTGGCGGCTAGAAAGTCGTTCAAGCTTGTTGACTTGAGGACTTGGATTTGCTGACTTGGCCTGCAACGCCAGCGAACAGCTTTGCATGACCGCCATGGATCATTGGGCGAACAGCCCCTCTCTCTGGGACTCAGGCTTCAAGATCGAAAGGGAAATAGCTCAAGATGTAGCGCCTCCGCAACCGTTCCCACGCCATTCGTCCAAGTGAGGTATATTAGAATATTATTAGGTTGTAGTCGAGAGAGTTGGAGGTGAAGGGGAGAGAGAGCGAGAGATTGAATCCAGTTTGGGAGGACTGACCTGGCAGTTGTCGAATGATGAGGTCCATTGTAGGTAGATAGCGCACAGGTACAGCACATAAACTGGTGGGTCTCGCGCTGCCACCCATCCCTGGACACGGCGGGCTTAGTACAGGATGATGGATGTCTGCGGCTGTGCTCGTCCGAGCGTCGTTGCGATCGACTGGAACGATCTGTTGCTGGCGAAACGGGCGGGAACGTGCAGCTTCGACAGGTACGGGATGTGTGTCTGTGCCAGGACGAGCAGCGAGCCAATGTCGAAGCGCTCGTGAAAGGGGATCAGAAGCGACCTCATGGCGGGCATGCGGCTCGGGAAGCCGCTGAGGCAGGCAGTCCAGCGAGGCTCTGGATGTGTTCGCAGCGCGACAGATCCAACTCCTTGAGAATGTCCATGGTCGAGGGCATCCCACGGAGATCGGGGGCGGGTATCGTGAGTCCGCGACAGCTGGTCATGTTGTCGACGGTGACCCAGGGCGAGAAACAGAGCGGATCGAACGAGGCCGAGAGACAAAAGACAATGTCCAGCGCCTCGACATTGGACAGCTCGTCTGGCCAGCCCGAGAGCGTCGAGAAGCTGCAGTTGACGAGGCTCAGGGTCGAGATGTGGGCGGCCTGCTCGAGAATGAGCCGCTCCTGGGGCAGCAGCGAGCGCAGGGCCTCGACCCGCACGACCGAGAAGATGGGCGGGGTCGAGTACCGGCCCACGACCAGGTTCTGGTCCCAGTTCGGGTTGGTCTCGATCAGCCGACGGCCATCGAGCCATCGGAACTTTGCCATGCCCTCGTCCTCGGACCCACCCAGCTGCCCAATGGGGTTGTGCATCGGGTGCGATGCGAAGAGCGGCGGGGTCTGAGGGGTCCGCTTCTGCCATGGAATCTGCTGCAGCCGGGTCATCAGTCCCTGGTGGTGATAGACCTGCCACCAGAAGCCAATCTCCTTCTGAAAGGAAGGCGGCGAGTCGGGCTGGTCGGGGCGCTGGCGCATCGCGAGACAGAAGAGGCCCTGCAAGGCTGCCTTGACGTCCAGGTTGCCGTCGAGGTTGTCGAGGACCGAGGCGTTGGCTCCGAGATGCGGGAGCAGCATCCGCTTCCAGTAAAAGTCGCAGTCCAGGAAGGCGCGGGCATATCTGGAGAGCCGGACAAGTCTGGCAAAGGTCGGCAGATCCAGGGCAGCGATAAAGACGTCGCTGGAGATCAGGATGGGGAATACATCGGTCAAGGACGGAGACATGTTAGCCAGGGGGACGGGGTGGACAGAGGTGGGCAGAGGCGGGGGGGCAGGGGGAGTGATGGGCGATGAGGTTCGGTGATGTGGAAATGACAGGAGGGGCTCGAGGCCGAACAGGGGGGTTTTGAGCTTGCCGAGCGGCCGGCGTGGAAGCCGCCGACAAGAACACAGGCGCGACCAGATCTGGGTGGACACCGAGGAAGCGAGAACAGCATCGGTCATTGCTGCAACAAGCCCGGGTCAGAGCCACAACGGTCGACAGATAAGCAGAGGGGGCGGCGGATATTATGGCTGGGGCTCGCCGAGATTTGAGGCGACGAGAACGTATGTTTTATTAGCAGTTCATTGCTTCATTTCATAGAAATGTACAAGAATTTGAAAAGTGACTGCTTGTAAGAGGTGGAGGGGACAGCAGAGGGGCGTAAAAGGCTCACACAATGTCGAGGAGCTTAAGCCTTGGTGGCAGCCTTGGCAGCCTCGTCATCAGCCTTGGAGGTGTCCTTGACGGAGTTGACGGTGGCATAGGCAATGGGGAGAGAGCCAATGACGAGGACAACAGTGATGATAAGCTGGGTCCAGACAGAGGCACCAACAACACCACCAACGATCCAGGAAACGGCACCACCGAGAGACTGGATGCCCTTGTAGAAACCACCATAGCGGGACAGGGTGGCGTAGTCGTTGGTGAGGGCACCCATGATCCAGTAGGCATAGGACTGGAACATGGCGTCGAGGGAGGCCATCAGGACGTACATAATGGTGATGCCCCACATGGCGGGGTGGGTCTGGCCGGGGGTACCGAACAGATCAACACGGGTCTTGCCGAGGGGAGTGCCGGGAGCAACATCGTTGAAGGCGGTCTGCTGGTAGATGATGGCACCGATCCAGAGAGCAGTGTTGCCGACAAAGACAACAGCGAGACCGACACGGGAGCGAGTGTGGCGGGACCACTTCTCGTTGTCAAGGAACTTGGAGATGACAAAGGATCCAAGAGCCTGGAAAGCCCAGTAGAAGATGGCGTTGAACGAGCCGGAGCGGACGTTGAAGAAGTGGCCGTTGATGAAGCCGAACTGGTAGGCGTAGAAGTAGTTGGAGGCGAAGAAGCAGGGAGCCATGAGGAGCATGCGCCAGTTGCCAAAGAGCTTGAGGACCTCGATGGCCTCACCGACAATGTTGCCCTGGGTGATGACCTCGACGGGGGTGCCATCAGCACGGACGACGGTCTTGGGGTCGGCGAGGAGGAGAGCGCAGCAGGAGCCGAGGACGGTGATACCGATGAAGGCGCCGAAGGTGCCGTTGGAGATGGCAACATCGGGGTTGTTGAAGTTGAGGATCAGACCGACAGTGTTGCCAAAGACGGAGCCAAGGTTGAAGATGATCCAGAAGACGGCAAAGTAGGTGGCCTTCTTCTCCTCAGTGGGGTAGGCCATGATGAGAGCACCCTGGGAAGACCACAGGAGACCAGCACCAACACCGAGAACGGCACCAGCAATGATGAAGAAAGCCTTGGCACCGGAGGAGCCATCAGCACCGCCGGAGATGTCGTTGTTGAGGGAAGCACCAATGTAGAGAGAGTAGGTCAGGCCACCGATGAACATCTGGATGCGGGGACCGAGGATGTTGTTGATGGCACCACCAAAGAGACCAAAGAGGGCAAAGGTGGTGTAGAGAGCGGCGTTGGCGTTACTGCCAGTGGTGGGGTCAGTACCACCACCAGCACCGAGGGAGTTGACGGCATTGAACATGCCGGGGCAACCGAAGCAGATGAATCCAAGAAGGACGACTTGGGCGATGGGAGCCTTGGAGATGGCCATGGCGACTGATCGGGGGGGGGCGAAGAGGGATGGTGAGAGCAGATGGGTCGCCGCGGGTGGTCGTTTTATATCCCTGATGGGTCGAGAGCGGGAAGCCGAAGCCTTCTGCGACCGACCGCGACTCTGCCGAAGGATCGGTCCGCCTGAGATTGCAACACAAGGCCCACCAGACACGCAGTGCACGTTGCACATGGTCACCCGCCCCGTTCCCAAGGCATCACACGCCGTCGCTCAAATCGTATCTGGAGTTGTGCAGCCTCTCCAGGCGCGGTGGTCCTGTCTGATTCGCGGACGCGAGACCCAGACGGCCTCGTGACCGCCGACCTGGACCCAGCAAGGCGGCCTGGCATGGGGTGTGGCGCCTCTGTGCTCCCGTGCTCGGCCGCTGTGCAACGGCTCTTGCCTTTCCTGCCGTCGCCACGTACACGTGTGCGCGCCTGCGTGCCAGACTCTGCTGCGCACAGATCACGCGGCAGCACCGGCGCGGTCGCGCTCTCTTGTTGGCCGTGCACTGCGCCACACCGCCTGGCTCTCATTTGTGGCTGGGGTGTGCTGTACCGCACTTGGACAGCAGCGGCTCTGCGGCTGTCTTGTCCAGCGCCATTCCCAGACCAGTTGCTCTCGTGACAGCACTGCCTTTGCACAGCGCTTCTTCTGTCGCCAACGCGCGGCTCTGCTTCTTGTCCGACCCTGCCTTGATGTTCCCGAAACAAGATCTTTCCTCTGCTCTTGCTGTTCTTGTGATCTTCTCTGCTGTCCCTTCCACACTCGTGCCTGTCTGGTTCTGCTTCCTCCAGCTGTCTGCTGTGGATTGGTCTGCTCTCGTTTGGGCATGTTCCACCGCCTGGCTGCCTTGGTTGGTCCCGTCGCTATCTGCCGGGCACCCTGTTGGTCTTGCCCTCCTGTCGTGTCCACCGCTCCTCCCACAAAGGCGATGACTCCCTCCCTCAACCGCCACCACCGCGACCTGGCTTTGAGCTCGCCTTTCGGCCAATGACTCACCAGTCGGCTGAGTGTCCACGGCCAGAGCTGCGGCCCCCAAAACGAACCATAACCACTCCACTTCCAACTGAGACTGGAGGCAATCGCATGACTGCACTCCTGTTTCGTTTTGGACGTGCTGTACAGAAGCTCCCCTCTCAGCACCAAGGGAGAAACGTTGTGGTGGATAATAGATTTCGTTTGGCCGCGGCCAGCACATGCCGCATTCCTTGGCTCACGCGGACGATAGCTCGCCACTTACACAGTTGCTAATTGCTTCCCTCGTCTCCCTCGTCTCCCTCGTCTCCCTCGTCTTCGTCGTCGTCGTCGTCGTCGTCGTCGTCCGAGTATTCCTCGAATGGCGGCAGCTCGTACTCGAATGCAACGTCCCATCTGCTACCCGGAGCCAGACCGCTGACGTACTTGATGAACCGCATCACTCCCTCGTCGCGCATGACGAGGCTGAGTGTGTTCCAGCTCGCCGACACCGTCAGCAGTGCGCCGCCTTCGGCAGTGGCTCGGTAGATCGCCGCGTCTTCTTCTTCGTCTGGAAGCATGTAGCAGTCGTAGCCACCGACTTCGTCCTCGCTCCACATCTGCTTGTCGTCGGCGCTGCGGGTCGCTGCGAGACACAGCGTGGCATCAAGCAGAGGGCATCCGCGGGTCTCAGTTGTCGCGAGCGAGTAGTCCAGGCCTGGCCGGAATCGGCGCACGCGGCCTCGGAAGGTTCGGGGCTTAAGTTGCGTAATGACTGCGAGCCACTTGCGGAACGATGTCGATGGGAACAGCTCGTCACGGAGTGATCGAAGCGCTGTGGTCAGTGAATCGCCATGGTCCTGTGCAGCAGGCGCTTCAACATCGAGCTCAAGCCATCGATTGCGGTGGGCCGCCCCGGCAACGAGCCACCCTGCCTTCGCGCCAGCTCCGTGGGGTGGAATGGCCTGCTTGCTCATGCCATCGTCGTCGTCCGCCCGAAGACTGGCCTTTTGAATCTGCTCCGCCAGGTCGCTCTTGAGGAAATCTGTGAGCTGAATCGAGGACTCGTCCAAGAAATGGCGGGTAACTTGCTGCAGCGTGCGGATGTGCAGATACTGTGGGTTGATGAACCGGGCCAGGAACTCCAAGTCGTGCTGCTCCAACCCGTCCAGATCCCCATCCTCGAGATCTGTCTCGTAGTTGCGGAACGGCTCCATGTCGTTCACAGCGGTGGCCTGGCCGAAACCGAATGCGGGTTGGTCAGTGTGTAACGACAAGTAGACAGTGTGAGCGGAGCAGTCTCGCACATGGCGGTGAGCTGAGCTGTCATCGAATGGCATTCGCAACCCAGTCCCGATGCATTTGGCACAACTCGGACCCAGTCAGATATCGATCTTCTTACCAGCTGCGACAGCGACGAAGGGCCATCCTCCTTGAGACCGGCGGGGTCGTACCCATCCTCGCCTTCCTGTGGAATGTGGAACCACCCCTGGATACTGAGGCGGCGCTTCCCCGCACCAACAACCTCCTGCACCGTGTGGAACGAGTGGCCTGGGAGAACCGTGAAAAATGCAAACTGGTTCCATTTGGGCAGGAGCGACACGGTCGGGACTTGGGCCGGAACACCCCTTTCGACAACCGGATAGAGCTCCAAGGCGCCGCCGTACTCGGCTTGCCAGTCGTCGTTTGGGTCCGGGAGATACAGGATGAAAGACACCCGGCGGGTACCGATGACATCGTCGTGGCAGATCAAATGGCAGCCTTCGGAATAGGTGTTGATGCTCATGTCCATCTTGGTGCCGCTAAGCTTGCCACAGCTGCTGACGCTCGAGATCAGGTCACGGAACTCTTGCGAATAGAGGCTGTTTCGGAGACGCAGGAGGCTCTTGAATTGCGCCTTCTCGTCCGGCGGAAGGCCGTCCAGGTTGGCAAGATCGCCAGTTTGGTTGACCTGCGCAGAGTCAGCGGCGTCTCATGAGCTCCTCGCACCATCAGACAGCGGAGCATCGCCATATCAAGTTCGAGGCACCGTATCAGAGGAGATGGACATAGGGAGGGAGAGGCTGCAGTCCTCACCTTGTAAATGTCCGTCTCCTTCTTGGTGAAGCGCAGCGACGTCAGGACCTCATTGCGGACTCGTTTGAGGAGATCCTCGTTCACGAGCCCTGCGATAACGCCATGGCTATATGGCTTTGAGGATGAGTAGCTCTGGGCGAGCTTCTGGACTGCCGGGGAGTTGAAGAGACCATCGCAGAAGCTCCTCCGCGCCTCCTCGGGGGTGATCGGATCGGGCGGAGGGATGCTGATCGCCTTGGCCTTCTTGGCTGGGCCGGACGAGCCCGAGTGCGTGTCGGCCTGGCGCTTGGACGAGGGAGACATGGGATGGTGCAGGTGGAAAGATTTGGTGTGATCCTGAACAAACGCAGATCGTCGTCTCGGCAGAGCAGGGATGGTGGATGGGCTGGGTGGGTGGTGCGTCATCGCAAGAAAACGAGGCCGGTTCGATCCGGCAAGGTGAGCAACGATGACAGCGCCACACGGGCGCGCACCGGGCGCGCACCAGGCGCTATTCATAGGCCAGGCGCCAAACCTCTGGCTGGCTCCTGCGCTGGCCGGCCGCTTTGCCATCATCACAATCAGCAGCACCACCATCGTCGGAGATCGGCGTCGCCGGGGCCAGCAACAGCTGTATCGACTGCATCAACTCCAGCACCACTCGATCCATCTCCGGACAATGACCGGCACCCAAATCAACCTCATCTCCCAGAACGGCGATGTCTTTTCAATCGATGTCAATATCATCCGCCGGTCGGCGCTCATCAAAAACATGATTGAAGACGTTGGGCAGGATGAGACGCCCATCCCCCTGGCCAACGTCAGCTCCAGCGTCCTCAAGAAGGTATGCAGCCCCTCGTCGTTGGAATAGGCTCACGATCTGTCGAGCGCTCTGCCGGATTCCCCCTCTCTTGCCGCACCCTTGCTGCTCTGGCGACCTGATTTCCCCATCCCAGCAATGATATGTACCAGACTCGATTTGCTCTTGCATCATCACTGACACCCCCTCCCAACGTGCCATACTCTCGCTGCTACTGCTGCTACTGCTGCTGCTGCTGCTGTCCAGGTCATCGAGTTTTGCACACACCACCAAAATGACCCTCTACCCGAGCCTTCGACCGCAGCTGCCCCAAGCACAGGCACATCAGAAGCTGCAGCCATCATCGGAGCAACCACTTCTGTCGCAGGCACGCATTCAAAGGACAGGACCTTCTACCCGCCAGGCACCCTCAACACGATCGACCCATGGGACGAATCCTTTCTGAGCTTGCCCGAGGCCGAGCTGTTTGAGATTCTGCTAGCGGCCAACTACCTCGAAATCAAGGACCTGCTCGACGTTTGCTGCAAATACGTCGCCAACATGGTCGCCGGAAAGTCCATCAGGGAGATCCGCGACCGGTTCAACATCCCCCACGATGACGACATCATTCCATAGTCGCACATAGTCGCCCACAAGGTTACCCCCATCCTCCTCCCTCGCACCCACTGCTGTTGCAGTGTATCGATACTTACTCTTTAGAGCGTCCACATATGAACCAAAGTGCAACAGAACATCGCGTATTGGAGACTGTCTGAAGCTTCATGGCTGTTTTACAGTCAATGCAATAAAAACAAGGGACGCCCATATTTTTGATCAACAACCACAGCTTCCCCCAGAACGAAACGAGTGCCTCGGGCACGTCCACCACTGCCAGAGCCGCCCAAGGCCCAAAGCACACAGCCAGTGACTCGTCCGATCCGACTTTATTGACGCCAAGAAACCATGGAGCCGTCCAAAGGGTTGACTGTATATTGTATCTCAACACTGTGCTCCCCCCCCCCAAGTTAACAACAGTCAGCGGTCGACATGCGGAGGGACACAAATGCCACTATCCCGATTTGGTCTGAACAGGCTGTGGTATCCGAGTGTCGGGAAAAGCGGTGCTATGGGTCCGCAAATAGGATCGCGGTCCCTCCTTTCGTCTTGGGCAATACATCCATTCGCATCAGTACAAAACTGGAAGATACGGCTTCCAATTCGAGGCAGCGCAGCCGACGGCAGCATCTATCACCGTTATGAGGGCATCGGCCCGGTTGAGACTTCAGGTCCTCTGGGAGCAACATGCTGGCGGGTTTGGCGTGGATCGCTGGGTGTCTCACTTGCTCGCGATGTGCGCTCGGATAGCGAAACCAAGTTAGTGATTGCCTTGGACAGCCCGTTTTCATCAGAGAGCGATCGGGAAGGCGGCATCATCGGATTCGCAGGCTCGCTTGTCTCCAAAAGGGCCGCGGATACGAACGGTCGGGCTGAGCCTGCGGCCAAAACAGGATTCTTGGACAAGTTTGCGGTGTCGGCGGGGCTTGGACCAAGACTTTCGTTGGAAGATCCGTGACGATCGCCTTCCGTGCCTTTCGGCTGGCCATCAACACAGCGAACCCAGCCGGGCGGGGTCGCTTCGGTGCCTTTGTATTTATCGTAAATGCTGATGTCAAACGTCTGGAACTGCTGCTCGAGGTATTCGAGCTGGACATCGGCTGCGCTCTTGGACTTTTGGAAGGCCTTTATGCCCTTCCGCGAATCGGTTTCGGTGAGCCGCTTGGGCTTCCAGGGACGATACTCGAGAGGGTCTTCTTCCAATAAGATCTCTTCGAGGTCATAAATAGGGTCAAAGTTGATCTCACCGGACTGTTATTGCAATGAATAGGGAGCGGTCTCAGATTGCGTGGAGTCGCTGCTTAGCCTCACTGATCCAAAGGCACTTGGTGACATACATCATTCGCACAGCGACACTACAAAATGCGACAACTGGGGCCATCGCACGCACTTACCTTTGGCGAGAACGGAGGCTTGAGCTCGAGATTCTCCAATGCAACCCAATCCAGGTCGTCAAACCATGGGTGCGAGCAAAAGTCCCTGATGCCGCTGGGCCCGCACGAAAGCCTCGACGGGACGTTGCGCTCTAGCAGCCGCCGGATAATATCGATGCATTCCAGCGCTGGGTTGATATGTGTCTTCTGGATAATGTGGCGGCTCGGGAATGTCAGTGGGGCATTCACAATATCGTTTTGGACGCCCTGATGGTTTTCGCCGGCGAACGGAGTCTTGGATCGACAGGTTGTGAGAGTTGTCGCGAGGCGGGGCGGATCATCATAGAACAGCAGTGAGTTGATCGACCACGCATATCATATGATGATCAACGTGGCAGGTGACCTTGAAAACTCAGGTGCGTCGGTTCAGCATTGAGCTAGCGGTCCGGGCGAGAGCCATTGAGGATTGACACATGCGCGTGGGATCTATCTTGGCGAGCATGATCACCTACCCGTCCAAAGGTCAGTTCGAAGAGAATGATGCCCAGACTCCACCAGTCCACCGAAAATGTGTATCCTTGGTCCATAAAGATCTCTGGTGCTATTCGCAATCGGCCGTCGTCAGTATGGCGAGCAGTCAGCACATTCAACGACGGACAAAGCTATGGCAGCTCGGCGTCGAAATGGATTGACATCTGTGCTGGCTTAGTGCTTACCCATGTAGCAGAGAGTACCAGAATGAGACCGCAGTACTTTGCCCTCTTCAATCTTGCGAGCAATGTTGAAATCGGTGATGTGGATGTGGCCATCGTCATCCAGCAAAAGGTTATCGGGTTTGAGGTCCCTGGGGATGACGGCAGTTGATTGTGGTCAAAGTCCGATTCGATTTGTCGCCAGGAGGATGGATGTGGTTTCCGTGCGGTCGCAGCAATCAACCAGTTGCCGTGTTCGAGGAATAGGGACGATCCAAGTTCAGCCGGTGGAAAAAAACGGGATCAGACGACAGTGCCTTCGACCGGCCTCCGGAGTAAGCCCAGCGCGGGACCTAGCCTCAGTGCCATAGCTGGGTCAGCAAAGCTGCTGTTGCCGCCGGCTGTACAGACAAGTACGGTAGTCGATAATCCGAGAACCGCCTTGGGAGATTGTGATGCTCGCCCAAAAGTTCCCAGCCTGAGCCTCGCTGTGCCCGAGCGACACACGGCATCGCTCCGACCCCAGCACAATACACCAAATCCGTAGCCATGGCCACAGCGGGATTGCAAGATATGCCTACCGATGCACGATTCCTTTGGAGTGGAGATAAGACAGAGCGCATCCGATCTCGGCGGCATAGAACCGAATGGCCTCCTCTGGGAAATACTTGATGCGCTCAAAGTGGAATCGCAGGTCGCCGCCGAGCATCAGATCGAGGACCATGTAGATGTTGACGTCGTCTTGGAAAGCAAACCACAGATTGACAACAAAGGGGTGCTTCAGTTCCTCGAGGATCCGTCGCTCCCGCAGAATGTTTTCGACGGCATCCATGCGGACACACTTCTTCTTGTTGATGTATTTGAGGGCGTACATTTTCTGCGTGTCCCGCTTCTGAACAATGCGCACCTGGGTCGATAGTGAGCGAAGCCGGTGCGGATGAGCAGCGGCCTTGGTGGAAACAGGCACATTGGAGTCGGCACCAGCGCCGTGGGGCTCGAGCGAATGGCTGCCTGTGGCTCAACGCCGACAGAATCGGGGACGCTCGCAACCGCGAAGGACCGGCCAGCGAGACGGAGACGTTACGAACCTTTCCGAAGGCACCCTTGCCGATGTTGCGAAGGAACTCGAACTGGCGTAGATCGACTTGAGGTTGGAATCAGAGCAGATCCGCTTGGTCAGGCAAAAGACATTGATGCAGGACGAGTCATTTGCCCCCTCCCCGACTTGAAGACAGCGGGATACCTACTCTCTGCGCCGTCTTCGGGCACATAACTTTTACCAGACACGTTGCCCATGGCGGCGGGTCAGCACCAGGGTTGTTGCTGGGATGGTGAGGGGACACAGCCACGACGCAGAAGCGAGGCTGCAGGTACGATTGACCGCAGTTGGAGACAGCCAGGGAAGTCTTGATGAGCGACAAGCAGACGACGCCAACAGGCAAACGAGATCGAGACCAAGGTGAAGGAGCGGAATGTGGGGGGGGGGATTGTGGGCGGACGAGGCTGGCGTGAGGGGCTGTGGCTGCGACTGCCACAACGGATTCTGGCCACCGGCTCGAATCGAGACAGGAGCACCGCCCTGGACGGCATCCGTCCTGCTCTGCCCTTTGCCTGGAGCTCCTCCGTCCAGCGCGGACACCACAAGCAATCGGGATTGTCCATGGCGACCTGGCCGTGGACAAGTCGGCGCTGTGGCAGAAAGGCTTTCACGTGCAGATCGCCTCCACAGCCATGTGCGCCGTGGGACGGTGCGACCGGGTGCCTGCTGGAGCGCATGGAGTTGCGTGGTGTGGAAGCGACATGCTGCTGAAGAGACGGGAAGACGCAACGCGAGAACGAAGCAGACTGGATATCCCCGAGTGCTCCTCGGTGATCCGTCGGCCACGGCATATGGGCCATGGGGTTGCACTCCAGTTGATCTCCTGTGGCGACACTCGGCTGGCATTGGTGTCGCGATGTGGGAGTGTGGTGCATGCATTCGACGAGTTGGACAGGCCCGATATTTCTCGACGCCGAGATAGTCGGTCGAGCAAGTCGTTTCGTTCCAGTCTCTTGGACAGACTTTGTTCATGATGGACGATGGATGGACGTGTGTGCAGCATGCAGTATGAGGTATGCGGCATGTAGAAAACAGCAGCAGTTCCGCTCAAAACAGTGTCCGGCTCCGTTTTGGTCGTGCTGTATGTATCCTGTCGGGATGCCACCGATGTTCCTCAAGCATCCACTCCATATTGCCCAACTGAGCGAGCACTCGCTCCCCCAGCATTGCAGCGGGCCCAAAACTGCCCGCCAGGTGATCGAGCGCGACCGCTGTGGGCAACCACACAGCTGCACACCCCGGCGGTGGGTCGGTCGGTCACCTGCTTGGGAACCTCGAGGGCGGGCTTTCAGACTTGCCCCGCTGCCTGCATTCGGTCCGCCGCCATCGCCTCTTGTCGCTGGTCTGGCTGCATAGCGCTGCAAATTCCCACGCGTCTCATCAGCATCTTCTCATCTGCCCAACGCACATTTCTCCAGCCGCGTCTCCTCGACTCTGAATGGATAGCGAAACCGACCCCAACTTGGCCGACTCGGGTGGCGACGACGAGAACCTGGCCGATGCCGGCGCAACTGATTCGGGCGAAGCTACAAATGCAAACCTTGACGAGGACTCCAGGGCCGGTGAATTGGGTGTCGATGCGGACGAAGCCGCAATTGCTGGCGACAGCTCCGAGGCCGTCGCCGAAACCAAGCCCGGGCGTCGGACCGATGGTGCGCGTGCTTCGGCCGCGAGCCCTCGAGAGGAATTGCAGCTCGAGACGCTGCCGCGAGCTCCACCGCCTGTCAAAGAAACGCTGCCCTATGACTTTCTCTACAAGAAGGACAAGTACATCCCGCCCATCAGTGGGCTGCCTGATGACTCGGAGCTTGCCCTGGCCAAGGCCTTCCTCAAGACCAACTCGGAAAGGTCCGAGATGAATCTTTACGACCACCTGACGGTGTGTCTGATGAGGGTTCTTGAAACACGGCCCAAAAACGCGGTTGGTATGTAGTCGCTCACCGACCGCACAATGCTTGACGGCATGCGCTCTCCGCCTGGGCTTCCCTGGAGACAGTGTCGATGGCAGCCATTTCCATTTCCCTGGTGCATACTGCCGCATCGTATCGCGCGAGCGCGTTCTTATCGCGGCATTGATACCGCAGATATCTTCGAGAGCCTCTCGATAGAGTGTAAAAAGTCAGGGTTCCGTGCCGAAAATGCAGACTCGCCCGGTGCGCTTCAGGTGCGTTGCATCCACGTCCTGCCGTATTGCTGGTGCGCCTGGCCCCCTCCCTCCCACGCTCATGACCGATGCGGACATTGCCAACCTAACGCACACATTTTCCGGTGCGCGCGATGAGATTGCTCTCTGAGGGTCCGGAGTTACGTGCTAACCCACCGGCGCTCCTCTGTGCTTAGAAAGTGCCAGACACCTCGCTTGCTGCAGAGTTGGCAAAGATCCAAATCAAACTCTTCGAGGTGGGCACTCGTCGCGTCAGCCCCTGGGCATCTTGCAGACCGTACCGTCTCGGAATCGACTGCAGCAGGTTTAAAACACAGATCACTGCTGCGTGACATGGCCACTCCAGCGACATCGATGGTGCACACATGACTTGATCCAAGCTGACGATTCGATTGCTCTGCAGAGGCCACTCCTCGAGGACGGCAGTGGGGAGCATGCCCCAATCGAACCGCCTTCGGGCGAGATTCCCGATATCATGGACATTTCCCATCTGTGGGAATGGGGCGGCCTCACCCTTGGCAGCGAGGAAACCTTCTTGCTGTTCCTGTCCTTGAAACAGCTTGTCGAGGAAAAGTCCCTCAAGTCCGTGCGCCTCTGGGGCAAAATTTTTGGACTCAAGAGCAACTATATCATCATCGAGGGAGAGCTCCGCGAGGGTACTATTGATGAAGAAGATGCCGTCGTCAACGGAACCCTGGCATCTGACGAGGCTCCTCAAGAAGAGGCCGAGCAAGCGGCCCCCAGCGAGAACGCAGCCGCCAATCCCGAGGGCAGTACCAACCCCGAGGATGAGGAAGGAGCGCCAAAGCCAAAGAACAAGGTGATCCCTCCCTTGCCAAAGGAAATGCGAACAGGCGTCAACAAGTACATATACTATGTCACACCGTACCGTGAGTAGAACTCGAGTGCCTCAACCGCATACACTCGCGCACTTGCTGACTTTTGACTTGGCGACCCTTGGCTTGGTCAGCGGGAGGACCTTGGACTCGCCTGCCTGACGTCATTCCAGAGAAGATGCAAATCGCACGCAAGATCCGCAAATACTTCACCGGAGACCTTGCCCACAAGGTGACCCTCCATTCAGATCAGCACTGGGGGAGGGGAGGCGAGTTGCTCCACTTGGGTGAACGTTTGCTATGGAACAAGCCCATGTCTCTTAGTGAATGGAAGTGGACAAAAGCGAGGGAAGGGGGTCGCTGTGGTTCCGATGTCCAGGCTCGACGTCGGTGGACATATGAACCCGAGCATTTGCCCGCCCAATGCTCACTTGAAATCTATTGTGTCGTCGGATATGAAATGTGCTATCGGAAACTGCCGCGGACAGATCATCAGCTATCCAGCGTTCGATGCCACCGAGGCGCAGTACCTGCGCTGCCAGATTGCTCGAATCTCTGGCGCGACCGTGGTGAGCCCGGCCGGCTACTACATCTTTGATCCCGAAGAAGCTGACGGAGAAGATCTAGAGCGTAAGTTCCAGAAGGGCAGTGATCAACAGGTTCTGACACCTGTCGAGGATACAAAGGGGAGTTGATCGCTCGATTGAAGGCGTTACCAGCCTAGCGAGTGCCTCATCAGATGACATGACATGACTTTTCTTCTGGACAGATAACACATCCATCATCATCAATCCCGAGTACGAGGGCCAGCCCAACGAGGCGCTTTTGAATCCAGCCAACTGGGTGCACCACGTTCCGTATATCTTGCCCCAGGGACGAGTCACCTGGGAGAATCCATTGGCGTCGCTCAAGAAGGAGGGTAACGAGGGAGAGGAGGATGAAGAAGACGGCGGCAGCGATGCCGGGTCGCAGGAAGACAACGAAGAAGCTCCGCAGCCCGAAGCCGGCCCCCCAATCCTGAGTCCCCTGAGTGGTGATGAAGGTAGGCCACTGGTAGCAAATGCAGGAGAGCACCCAGCTGGAGTAAAACGATTGCTAGGGCTGTTGCACCAAGCGAGAGAGGGAGAAAGCAGCATCGAATTCTAGAGCTCATATATATCTTGGGACTTGACACAACTTTCCCGAACGCTACCACTACCACTACCACTACCACTACCACTACCACTACCACTACCACTAAACAGATCACGGCGACATCCCGGCCTGGACCAGCCGCATCTGCAGCACTCTCAGTCCGCCAAAGTTTACTCCCGTCGTGATGCGGTCGACACGATGGCCCGGAGCTGCCGTGGTGGCCTTCAACGACAAGTTCACCAACATCTACGTCGGAGATGGGCTCAAAGATCTCGGAAACCCCGTCCAGCACTTTATCCCGCCCAAGCTGCCGGAGATCCAGAGCGAGTACACCCCGCTCGGCGCCGAGATCACAGAGCAGGTCGACCCGACGGTCGAGGAGGAGAAGGCCTACGAGGAGGCCCTCAAGGCCAAGCTCGAGGAGAAGGAGGAAGAGGAAGAGGCCGCCGAAGGCGAGGCCGAGGAGGGAGACGATTAGCCAAACGGCCCGACGTGGTATTGAGTACTCTTCGTTGCATGAGGAGGTGATCAGCACCCGCTACTTGCATAGAATCACATCGCATCACATCGCATCGCATCATATCATATCGGAAAGAATAAAATGACAGGAAAATATGTTCATGAACCCAACGCCGCGGGTCCACGATACTGTGATGTGGAGCGACAAAATGAGGTCGCATGCACCAAGGCACGACACAAAGGCAGCTGGGAGAAGTGAGGACATGCACTTTCTTCACACGCCAAATCCGACACACAGACACCGCCCTGGGCTCGATTGTCAGCCGGCCAACCACGGACCAAAGCCGGTTACTCCTGAAGGGGTTCGCTGTCGTTGGTTTCGGTGGACGGCTCGCCAGAGTTGGCTTGCAGACGCTTGTTGGCCGAGTTGGTGTTGGGCCCGATTTCGGTGAGCCCAACGGCCTTGCCGAGGCCAAAGGGTGGCATATTGACATAGATATTTTCGTAGCCGCCGTTCTGGATGACATAGGTTTCGTGCCAGATACCCACTTCACCCGAGGTGCCGACGAGCTGCTGGAATTCCTTCCAGGCCGGCAGGTGTTCGGCATTGCGGTTGCGGCTGTAGCTCATGAGATGCTCGCGGGAGCGCCAATATTGGATCATGACCGTCGTTTGGCCGAAATACGACTCGGCTCCCAAGAAACCGAACTCCTCGGGCTTGGAGTTTAGCTCCTCGATCATCTTGGGCATGGCGCGAGCAACTCGTAGCCACGGCCCAAAGTTCCAGAACCGGTTGATTCTCATGCCTATGAGGAAGACGACAAACTCGCCGGAGCCAGGAACACGGGCAGTCATGCGGCGAGGGATGATTGTGGATGAAGCCGTGGGTGCCGAAGCTGCCCGGGAGCGGCTTCGGATGAAGAGAGCAGTCAGTCCCAACGTGACGGCGGTGAGGCCGATCTTGGCAGAGAGAGAGAGCTCCTGGGCACTGGCGGCGAGGGAGCTTATCGAGGCGAGGAACATGGCTGGCGGTAGGTTTGCTTGATGTGGGTGATCGGCGGCAGCGATGTATCAGCAGGGAAGAGAATGAGGCGAGGCTTTGATGTAGCTGTGGATGCGGTAGATCAACGAGGGCGAGCGGAGGATGAGGTTGGATGAGGCTGGACGAGGTTCAGCCGGGCTGCTTTAATTGGTGCTGCAGGTCTTGGCATCGGCCAGCAGCCCGAAGGCATTGGGTGAGCGCCCGCCACGTCCCCAACGCCAAGGATCGGCAGATGCGGGTCCGAGACGAGCGATGTATGTGGGTCCATGGGCCAAGCCTGAGGAGAGCTGGCTGGTCGCCGGACGATGGACTGGCTCGCACTGGCTCTGCCAAGAGGGGCCATCCAGCACTCGGAACTCAGGAAAGCATATCGCCGGATGCACCGTCTCTTTCTGCACAGGCAGCTATATGGGCATGTATTTCGGCAACAAACGAGGGTCCGACAAGCACCAAGCGCGCCTTGTCACTCTTCTCTCAGATCAGTACTTAGTGGGTCTAGTGGGTGTGTTAAACCAAGGAGCGCCCTTGAAGAGATTAATATAGGGTTACAGACGGGGCCACGATCAAAACACCGGCAGACAGCGAGTCGCAGCACTATGCAGCTCACGGGGCACCTACCGACTTGGACTCGCCTTCCGAGGCATCGGCGGACTTGGGAGCAGCAGCGGGCTTGGCGGGCTTGGATGCATCGGCAGCCGGGGTGGGCTTGGCAGAGGCGGCGCGGGCGCCCTTGACACCCTTGGTGAAGGGAATAAAGGACTTGCCACCCATGTAGTTGCGGAGCGGAGGGGGAACGACAACACCGTCCTCGGTCTGATAGTTCTCGAGGATGCCGCAGATGGTGCGCTCGGTGGCGGTGAGAGTGCAGTTGAGGGCGTGGGCATACTTCTTGACGGTGTCGTTCAGCTGCGGAATGGATTTGACATCAGCATCAAGACAGTCCCGGACGGGCGAGAATGTGAGGGACTATGGGCTGGCAGGCGGGAGCTTCTCCGAGCGTCAACAGTCGGCTGGCTACTAACCTTCTTGGGACCGACACGGATTTCAAGGTTTCGGCTCTGGTAGTCCGTGCAGTTGGAGCAAGACACCAGCTCCTTGTAGTCAGCCTGGAAGGGGAACCAGGCCTCAACGTCGTACTTCTTGGCGGCCGCGTTGTTAAGGGCACCGGAGACGATCGAGACCGTGCGGTAGGGCAGGCCGAGCTGGAGACATTGCAGTGGCAAAGATACGGGGGTGCGATGTGAGTGGGAGGGCGACAATATGCCAATCTCTGTCCAAGTGTGTCGACTTGTCTCGGCGGGGTGGTCAATTTCGCGTCCATGGAAACCCAGGGGCGGCGCAAAGCGTCCAAGGCACTGGAATGGCTGCTATGAACTCGACGAACACAGCAGCTGCGACGAATATGACTGATGGGCACTGCGATTGCTGGGGAGGCAGCGAAGGAGCGGGAGGCAACTTACGCTCTTGTAGAATTCCTCGGCAGCGGTGCACATCTCCTCATGCATCTCCCAGGACTTTTCGGGGTCGGTCAGAACAAACTGCTCGACCTTCTCGAACTGGTGGACACGGAAGATACCCCAGGTGTCGCGACCGTGGGCACCGGCCTCCTTGCGGAAGCAGGTGGAGACACCGGCGTACCTGAACAGCACATGGCAAGATTAGCCTCAAAGCCCAATTACCGTCGACACCTGCACCGCGGTTCGTTGTCTTGCAGCGGACTGTGTGTCCAGAGAGCTTACTTCTTGGGCAGATCCTTCTCGGGCTCGGCGAACCACTCGCCCATGTGGAGGGCCGAGATGGGCTGCTCGGATGTGGCGATCAGATACTTGGCACCGTCGGCCTCGGTTCCGTCAGGGTCTGGTGCAGATACAGAGGATGTTTAGCAGAAGCTTACAGCGTCAGAGAGACATTGGCCACACCTGTATTCTCCCGCCACCTCTTCTGCCAAGGATGAACGACACAGCTATGGCGATCGTGCAAAGCCCAGACGTACGCAAATCACACCTGCTCCACTCTATTCTTTGGCGACTGCGGAGGGACACCCGGACAAACTTACTCAGCTCTCCGACAACTTTGTACAGGGCTTCGTCAAACTCCTCGAGCTGGGCAGTCTTGGCCATGATTTCCTTCTTCATGAAGAAGGGGGTCCACAGCTTGGTGTATCCACGTTCGGCCAAAAAGTCCAGGCCGTACTGAATCAGAGCAAGGTTGAAGTCGACACCGGGGCCCGTCAGGAAGTATCCACGGTGACCAGCAACGTTGGAGCCTGTGACGAACAGAGACCAAGGCCACACCGGAAGTCAAAATCTAGCATGGGCTGAAGGAGCAGCGACGCAGCACACACGGCTCGCAATGTGTGCATATGCAACAAGAGTCGAGCCAATGGCCATGATGGCGAATACACAGGATTCCTGGCCAGCCCCAAAGCTGGCCCAGCTCTCTTGACGGTGTGTTCAGGGCTGTAGTTGCAACAATAGTGCACACAGAATAGTCCAGTACCTCGCGGAGAGTCATAGCCCTCAATCTTCTCGAGGACTTCGTGATGGCTGAGGAGACCGGGGACGCCCTTGCCATCCTTTCCAACAAGAGTGGCCCTGCGTTCACGCTCAGTGGCTTCGTCGCGGCCTTCGGGCCACCAGCTGCGAACGATGGCGTTGTTCTTCTCGTCGTTGGAGACGATGACAGAGTCGTGAACGAGGTTGCCGATCAGACCGAGGGTCTTGAAGAGGACAATCTCCTTCTGCTTGGCGATCTCATCGAGCTCGGCCTTCTCAGCCTGAAGCTGGGTCTTTTGGGCCAGGAATGCATCGGCCTCCTCCTTCTTCTTCTGCTTCATGAGCTGACCAATCTCCTTGTTGATGGCATTGAGCTTTTTGTTGATAGCATCGGCGTTGAATCGAGCTGGGCAGGGAGAATGACATATCGAGTCGGCGATTACGATGAGTGTGCGTCATGTCGGCGGGCAAGGGAGTGCTATGTGAGATCGGATAGGATCTGGGGCATGCTGCAAGGCCCATGGATGAGCCCGATCCTGATCCTGGTCCTGGTTCTGGTCCTGATCCTGATCCTGATCTTGGCGGCCGATCAGGCCGAGTCGACATCAAAGGAAGGCAGATCCCTGCAGGCCACAAAGCAAGAGCGCCAATCGACAAACAGATACTCAGGGGCGCTTTGGAGTCGAAGCTCTGGGTTACCTTTCTTCCAGTCGTTGTCGAGCTCGATGACCTGGTCGACCAGCTCGACTTTGCCGCCTCGCTTGCGTTGGGACTCACGAACGAGCTCGGGGTTGCCGCCTCGGTCCTCTCTCAGCAGGTTGATGTCCAACATGGTTCGGAAGCTGGGTTTGTGGGCTAGATGGGGTCTGAGACAGTTTAGGCGTCGGGTGGCAGCGGCTCTCGTGCTGAATACACCGAAAAAGGGCATAAACTTGAGCAGCCAGAGACAGCAGGGGACGATGGGCAGAAAAAAAGGGCGGCCAGACACGCCCCCAAACCAGAGGCGACAAAACCGGCGGGTGGCGCCTCGGGCCTCGCTGGGATCTGGCTGCAATGCATTCGAGCCTCCGGGCTGGGATGAGCCACTGCGCCACAGACACACCAGGCCGAGTCACCAGCGGCGGAGCTGGTTGGTGCAGATGGGGGCAGGGCGATTGTGGACGGGAGAGCGACGGTGGATTGAGCTGGCAAGTTGAGAGATGCCACCCACCACGGACATCTGGGAGCCACAAGACTCGCTCTGCCCACCACCTTCGCCGAGCGGTCGATAGCATTCAGTGATAAATTGTATATACGATGCAACTGCGACAGCGACGGAGGCTGCGACTGCCGTGAGAGGAGGGGAGCAAGAGGAGGCAAGAGGATATGAACACAGATGCGGTGTCGCTCGGGCGGGTGCGAGACGAATACTCCCCCCCCTCTGGGTTGCAGGCGTAGTACAAGGGCAAATCGAATGCAGTGAGTGAAAAGAGAGCGAGAGAGAGCGAGAGCGATAGAAAGAAAAATAAGTAAGGTGGAACGTCAATCCGAATACGTAGGAAAAGGGTGCTAAGTTCGTCTATCCTCGTCCGATCGGTGCCTCGAGCCGCGGCTGCCGTCTGTTCTTGATGGGAACGGGAGGGAGGCAAGGTGGTTCACTGGCCGAGAGGAGCTTCCCAAGGACACAGCATGCTATTACAGTGATATCTTTGTCGAGGGCGCTGTTCCCATTCGTGCTCCATCGCCAACGAGATTTACTCGGACTTCTTGGCCTTCTTCTGCGCTCGGTACTCGCCAATCACCAGGGCGTGATCTCTTTCGTAGGGCTCCAGGGTGAGCTGTTCCTGAGGCTTGACCTTCTCTTCTTGCAGCTTCTTGACCTCCCGGGCGAACACAGTGGCGGCATCGACGGTAGAGTCAATGCAGTTGGCCTGTACGCGGAGGTGGTTCAGGAAAGGGTTCATGAATAGAGAAGGCTTAGCGACTGAGACACAGATCGATGGATAGAACAAGGGAATCGCTGGGTGTCTGCACTGCAATCCAACAACACCGACGACGCTGTCCTCCCCCCCCTCTCTCTCTTCACGCGAGCATCAGCCCGTCCAAAGCGTACTGACCTTGATGGAGATGACAATGTGTCCACCGTTCTTCAGGAACATGTGGCTGTTCATGGTGATGATACGGGCCTGATCGGGCTGGGCAACATCGGCAAAGACAACGTCGACCATGCCAACCAGCATGCGGTACTTGTGGGGATGGCGAGCGTCCTCGATGATGGGGATGACGTTGGTGCGCTTCTTGGCGACGTTGATCAGATCACGTCCAGATCGATGCGAGAACTCGACGGCATAGACAAGGCCGGTCTGTGATGGCGGATAGGACCGGTCAGCACCGGCCATCGGCAACGGGGCAGCTGCATTGAATGTTGCACAGGACAGCGCATAGGAACCGCTTGCGTCCAAAGGCAGCTACTTACAGGACCAACGATATCGGCGACGTGGCTAACAGTGGTACCGCTGGACGCGCCGAGATAGAGGACCTTCTTGCCCGGAGCAATGTGAATGTGATCGATACCACCAAGGATACCGGCAGCGATTTTTGAGCGGAAGGGGTTCCAGACACGGTATTCGGTCTTGGTGCCATCGGGGTTCTGCCAAGCGAATGATGACCTATCAGTGTCTGTTTGACGGAGAGCATCACGGTACACTAGGACACCACACTGGGCGCAGCTGACAGCTCAGTGAATCCAACACGAATGCCAAACACTGATTGCCTTGGAATTGCAGGCCTTCGATAGTGGATATTGTCCAGCTCGACTCTGGGGAGTGAAGGCACGGGAGGACTTACATCAACGCTGATTCGCTTCTCTCCGTAAGTGCTTTCTCCAGGAACCAGGTTCTTGGTAACGAGCAGATCCTCCTTCTTGCTGCGGGCAATGAAGATGCCCTCGTGACGATGGGGCTCGATGATGACCTTGGCTCCAGCAGCAGCACCCTTGGGTCCACCGGCCATGCCACCGCGGCCACCGCCACGGCCACCACCGCGAGGACCACCACGGCCACCACCACGGCTACCACCACGGCCACCACGACCACGATCGCCGCCGAAACCGCCACGATCACCACCGAAACCGCCACGGCCACCGCCGCGAGAAACACCGCCGCCGCGGGCACCTGGATTCATCGGGCAGACCAAAGCCGGGAATGTTAGCCTTCAAAGTGGCGAAGCACAGTTCGACGCTAAATCTGATCGGACTGATGGGTCCAGTCGAACACGATCGACCACGATTACTCCACAGGATGTGCCGAACAATCAGGCTTGGAAGGTTGATCGCAATTGCTATGAAGTGAATTGAGAGGGTCGAAGTCCACATACCGAAGCCACCGCGACCACCGCTGCCGCCACGACCGCCACGACCACCGCCTCGATCACCTGTGGCCAACACGGAAGAGGGTGCGAACAGAGAGATTGAGATCAGCGATCTGCACCGGCACCTCCGGTATACAGAAGGGAATCGTCACAGGCCCCATATCTGGCAGGCGAGACCAGGGCACCGCATCATGCAGGACTGGACACCTACCGTAGCCCATGTTTTTGTACTTTTTTTTGAGAGTGGAGGAGTGGAAATCAAGTGCAAGCAGAGACTAAACCCAGCTGTATCCCAGACGAACGTGGGAGAGCAACGATACTGGAAGGCCACGGCGAAGAAAACCGCACCCACAGCGGGGAAAAAAAATCAGGCAACAAAACAAAATGAATTTTTAATAGAAGGGCCGGTGCGGTGTGGCGCCGCGGTCACGGGCGCTGCCGTCTCGCGAGAAGAGGTGCGTCTCGCGAGAGCGGTCTCGCCGAGGTCACGGGTGTCATGTGATCGATGTCGCGGCAGCCAATGGCAGACCGGCAACGACAGCTGACGCAGCCCACTCATGATCTCGACCCAAGACTCCATGCACTGCCAGTGTGAACAGGACGATGAATCGACCCACTTGGCAGTGGTTGGTCGAGTGTATGATATCATCTAGGTGTATGATATGATCCAGGTGTATGATATGATCCAGGTGTATGATATGATCCAGGTTTATACCATGTGCTTTTGTCCAAACGAGACGATGTGCTCCATTGTCTTTTCAGCATGCTGCATCGATGTATTGAATATTGAAAATCGAAACCAAAAGTGAGCATTGGCTTCAACAACAGGGTATCCCGCTTTGTTCGCTGCAGGCTATGCCAACACGATAGTTTGTGCCCGGGCATTCCGGAGCACTTGGCTTCGATGATACCCAGTGGCGGTGCACGATTTACTTTCGGATGTTTGCACCTCTGTCTTGTTGGACGGCCCAGCGGCCTGGTTGTCTCCGCATTGGGTCGGACGAGGGGCCGCAGCTCAGAGGACGCTGCACTTTTTTGACTTTTTTCGCTCCCGGGCACTTGCAGTCGACAGATTCCCGGTGCTGGCCGAGGCTGTATTAGCAACTCGCTTCTTGTTTTCTTCTCGGATCGCTCTGACGAGGCTATGGAAGGCTTCGTCGACATTCACCCGAGTCCGAGCGCTGGTCTCCATAAAGACGGTATTGCCGCACTGTTTGGCAAGGTCGCGGCCTTCTTGCACAGAGACCCGACGGTCGTCCTCCAAGTCAGCTTTGTTGCCCACGAGCACGGTTGGGAACCAGTCTCGGTCCTTGACCCGCAGGATCTGGTTGTATAATCCCTTGACTTCGTCGCAGCTGCTCCGAGAAGTGATGCTGTAGACCAGGAGAAATCCATCGCCGTTACGCATATACTGCTCCCTCATGGCCGAATATTCTTCCTGACCGGCTGTGTCGAGGATGTCGAGGATAGCAGTTTCGGCATCGATGACGCATTGTTTGCGATAGCTGTCCTCGATTGTCGGGTCATACTCGCTGACAAAGTGTGACTGGATGAACTGGATTGTCAGTGCGCTCTAGATGGACGCAGAAGCCAGGGAAAGATGGCGGGTTAGCCCTTGGACATCATCCTCCAAGTCCGGGCTTCTGTCCTGGCATACGCAACAAAGGCAATCCAGCCTTTATCATATCTATCGCTATCTATGGCGGCTGCTCTGCAACTTCTGGCCGATCGCCGCGTCCCGATGTGCGATGTTTTATGCGATTCCGCCAACGTGGCCGGAGCGATGAGTCCGCTTGAGGACTTGGTCGCGTTACCTTGCCAACTCCGCCACCTCCGACAACAACGATACGATATTCCCGAAGCAGATTTGCGCGAGACATGGGCTCGTTGCAATACTGTTCAAGAGCACAGGTTGGCAATGTGGGGGTAGAGGATGGACTGATGTGCACTCGCGGTGTCCGTGGATTGTGTTGGGTGGCCGTGGACTGTGTTGGGTGGATCAGTTGCTGGATGATTATGACGGGGAGGGTGTGAAATACAAAAGTGTCCGCGTATAATTGATATTGGCCACGACTTGTGCCTTTGCCCAGCTGGAATGCGGTGTGTGCTCGTTCTCTGCGGCTGCAAAGATTTAGATGCGGATCTCTCCAAGCAAAGCCAGCGTGACTCTCCTCGTTTGTCATTTGGAGGAAGCCCAGCCGGGAGCCCTGGCGGACAATATGGCCCAATCACTCGCCGGCGAGGCAGCATTGTCGCTTGCCTCACGCCATTGGCGGGCGAACGTGAGCAGGCAAGTTCGGCTCGACTGGCGAGTCTGAGCTCGCTCGTGGGCGTCTCACGGAAGCCCCTTGGTCATGCACGCCGCTGCAAGAACCGCCAAGCCCGGAGAACGACATGGTCCACGGAGCCTTTGGATGGATGTGGAGCGCCTGCACCTGCCCTCTGCGAAGGCCGGGATAGTTGGCACTCCATCCGCGGCCTGGGTGGCTTGGCTCAGAAGGTTGGATTGCTGGGCACTGCTGGACTGCTCGCGGCGGCTGACCGAAATGCGGCTCCAGGACCATGGCTGAGCCGAGCATTCGGGGTGGTGAGTGACATGGAATCGGCAGGATCGGCGGGATCGGCGGGATCGCAGATTCCTGCGACATGTGAGCTGGGCTGGATGCAGGTCGGCGTGGCAATCGGAATCGCACATTGCTGGCCGACAACGGACGGAGATGGCAATGACGGATGGTGACGGGGAGGCCTTGCTGGTCCCGAGGCCGGGATCGCTGGCCGGGGGGAGGAGTGTGGGGCAGCGGAATGGCACGGGACAGACGACCAGGGGAAGGCGAGCCGGGCTGGGGCGTTGGACCTGCCAGACGGCCGCGGGTGCGACCTCATTGACGGAGAGCAAGGCGGGCGGTCTGGGGCAGAGACAAGACGAGGCCGGGGGGAATAAGGCGAGGGAGGAGGCCAAGGACAGGAGAGGGCCCGGCAAGGGGACAATCTGGCGATATGGCGAGGAGACGGACCCACACAGCGAGTCTGCGGATGTGTGCGCCGGCGCACAAATAGAGCGGTGCTGTGGCCACAGATCGCGGCGCCGTTCGGGACCGAGGAACAGAAGCAAGGACAGACAGACACATCCACCGGGGTGGGACAGATATACAAGGGGACTGTCTCCGGGCTGGGGCAGCGAGATGGGCGGGTGGGGATTGTGCTCGGCAGCACAGAGGAGCAAGCACGGCGAAAGCACGGCGAAGACATGGCAGAAGCACGGCGTGTCCACGGGAGTGCTGGATTTGGAAGTGTGCGACCGCTGAGGGGGAGGGATGGTTCCCGCAAACAATGCGCCGCAGCCACAGTCTGGGGCGGCTTGAAATGGCTTGGGGACATGTGCTTGCAGACCGGGGCAGAGGACTTGTCCGGCAAGTGCTCTTGGCGATTCGCGACAGCTCCAGCAGGGCGGCGAGGACGATAGGACGAACAGCAACAGCAGCCACGACACCACCGCGATCATCACAACTGCAACACCGCCAAGGCAGCAATACATCCTCCCAACAAGCGGCTTTCCCGCCCTTCCTTTTTCCCAAGGCGACCGCAGGGAAAGTGTGCGACGGCGTCTGGCAGCGTGAGCAGCCCGTGCGCCTGCAACACAACGCCGCCTTCAGCCCTCCTCCCTTGCTTCTTGAGACCACCTGCCGATGTCGGGCGACCCCCTTATCTTTGCCGCCACAGCGCGCTCTCTTGTCGTCGAACGTTCGTGGCCATTCCTCCACAGAAGCAGGTGTCACTCTGTACGCCCCGCTTGCTCAGCGGTCTGGCCGCCGTCCTGTTTCCTCGCGTCGTGTGCGCCAGCGTCGAGCCCAGACCGCCCTCGGCAAGGGGGTCAGCTGAGCCGCATGGCAAGGCTGCTCCGACCACATGACGGATCAAGTGCCGGCACGGGCGGTGTCGTCGCCGCCCTGCACCGGGACCAGGGAGGTGCTTCCCAGGGCCGGCTGCAGATATAAAACGACCACCCGCGGCGACCCATCTGCTCTCACCATCCCTCTTCGCCCCCCCCCCGATCAGTCGCCATGGCCATCTCCAAGGCTCCCATCGCCCAAGTCGTCCTTCTTGGATTCATCTGCTTCGGTTGCCCCGGCATGTTCAATGCCGTCAACTCCCTCGGTGCTGGTGGTGGTACTGACCCCACCACTGGCAGTAACGCCAACGCCGCCCTCTACACCACCTTTGCCCTCTTTGGTCTCTTTGGTGGTGCCATCAACAACATCCTCGGTCCCCGCATCCAGATGTTCATCGGTGGCCTGACCTACTCTCTCTACATTGGTGCTTCCCTCAACAACGATGTCTCTGGTGGTGCCGATGGCTCCTCCGGTGCCAAGGCTTTCTTCATCATTGCTGGTGCCGTTCTCGGTGTTGGTGCTGGTCTCCTGTGGTCTTCCCAGGGTGCCCTCATCATGGCCTACCCCACTGAGGAGAAGAAGGCCACCTACTTTGCCGTCTTCTGGATCATCTTCAACCTTGGCTCCGTCTTTGGCAACACTGTCGGTCTGATCCTCAACTTCAACAACCCCGATGTTGCCATCTCCAACGGCACCTTCGGCGCCTTCATCGGTATCACCGTCCTCGGCTCCTGCTGCGCTCTCCTCCTCGCTGACCCCAAGACCGTCGTCCGTGCTGATGGCACCCCCGTCGAGGTCATCACCCAGGGCAACATTGTCGGTGAGGCCATCGAGGTCCTCAAGCTCTTTGGCAACTGGCGCATGCTCCTCATGGCTCCCTGCTTCTTCGCCTCCAACTACTTCTACGCCTACCAGTTCGGCTTCATCAACGGCCACTTCTTCAACGTCCGCTCCGGCTCGTTCAACGCCATCTTCTACTGGGCTTTCCAGGCTCTTGGATCCTTTGTCATCTCCAAGTTCCTTGACAACGAGAAGTGGTCCCGCCACACTCGCTCCCGTGTCGGTCTCGCTGTTGTCTTTGTCGGCAACACTGCTCTCTGGATCGGTGCCATCATCTACCAGCAGACCGCCTTCAACGATGTTGCTCCCGGCACTCCCCTCGGCAAGACCCGTGTTGATCTGTTCGGTACCCCCGGCCAGACCCACCCCGCCATGTGGGGCATCACCATTATGTACGTCCTGATGGCCTCCCTCGACGCCATGTTCCAGTCCTATGCCTACTGGATCATGGGTGCCCTCACCAACGACTACGCCACCCTGTCCCGCTATGGTGGTTTCTACAAGGGCATCCAGTCTCTCGGTGGTGCCGTTTCCTGGATCGTTGGTGGTGTTGTTGGTGCCTCTGTCTGGACCCAGCTTATCATCACTGTTGTCCTCGTCATTGGCTCTCTCCCCATTGCCTATGCCACCGTCAACTCCGTCAAGGACACCTCCAAGTCCGATGACGAGGCTGCCAAGGCTGCCACCAAGGCTTAAGCTCTCGACACTGTGAGCCTCCGCCTGCTTTCACTATCACTCTCACCTCACCCTCCCCCACGCTTCCTGCGACAATAATTGTAACTGAATGCCAAAACTCTGGATGCAGTCCAATGTGTTGATATAAGCCGTCCTATGAGTAAACAAATACACTGCTGACTTCTATGATACGTCCAAAAGTCTATCTGCGTCTTCATCCTGTCATTTGCTGGTTGGGGTCGTGGTCGAAGCTTTCCCACGCCGGTTTGGCCTGCTCAGTTCAGTCTCTCAGATCGCTTGTCAACAGCTTTGGCAATGACCCCCTGTTTTGACTCCATACCGCTTGCTGCATTTGCCTGCAGTCGTTCTTGCCCCTGGTCTCTTGCTTGCCCTTTGGCTTGGCCTGTGGTTTGCTCGGTGGTTTGCTCGACCTCAACCACAGCGCCAACCACAGCCATATCAGGCCCAACCCTAGCCCTACAGACCCCGCGCCGGCATGGTCGTCATCCGGTCGCTGGTCCGTGTCTGTCGTTCCGCCCCTCTCCTCTCCATCTGCCATGTCCGTCCTCCCTCCGGATCTCATTCAGGTGCCCGACGCCTCTCCTGTTTCCCGAATCGCCTCCTCTCTGTTGATCTTTACATTCCGGTGCTCGCTTTGGCGGACTGTGCAATCTGCCCTCTCTCGCCATTCCGCTTGTCCCAGTCGCTGGCCCTGATCCCGATCCCGCCTGCCCAACTACACACTCGCGGCTCTAACCCCATCGCCAGTCAATCGCCGAAGCAGGAGGCATCCATCTCAAGGAGGATGTCGCCAAAGACCTCGCCAGAGACGTCGAATACCGTGTGAGGGAGATCCTCCATGTGAGTTAGCGGTCGTGGAGTCTGTGCCTGCGTCTCCGTGATCTGTTGGTATATCTGGTCCTTGGTCCGTCGCTCGCAAGCCGACACCACCCATCGTAGCCGCGTGTATCAAATACTCTACAAGATGGCTCCATCGTCTTCTCTCGATGGCAACCGCGGCGCCTCGGATCTGTCGTTGGTCATCTCCATCGAATCACCAGCACCGTTCATGTGCTGTTGGGCCAGCCCTACTCTGTGGATGGATATGAATGTTGTTTGGATGATCTGGCTTTTGGTCCTCACCGGCTGGCCTTTCAAATGAACAGGAGTCCAAGAAGTTCATGCGCCATGCCCGGCGAGACAAGTTGCTTCCCGATGACATCAACATGGCTCTGAAGGTCCGCAATATCGAGGTACGACAGAGGTCTATACCCTGACTCTTCGCGAGCATCGATCTGTCGCCCACATCCTCCTGAAGAGGACCCTGTATCCAAGACATCAGGCAGCCATAGTACTCATTCTGTTCCACGAGTGCCGCTTACCTACTGGTGTGACGGCTTATGCACCAATGCCTTCCTCGTAGCCTCTCTACGGCTACTCCAGCGGGCCGTTGCCTCACTTCAAGCAGATGACCAACATCACGCAGCCCACATTTTATTTGGAAGATCCTGAGCTTGATCTGGATGAGATTGTGCGCTCCCCTCTGCCCAAGGTTCCTCTCGATGTGACCTACACAGGTGAGTCCTTTGGCCTGCAACCGCTTTTGCCCTTGTGCCGCCCACTTGAAAGACATTCGTGCCCGATACTGCCTCGCCGCGAGGCGACCCTGTATATTCAGAGCGCAGCTTCTCTCTCTCTCTATTTCTCTTTCTCTTTGGATTGTAGCCCACTGGCTTGCTATCGATGGTGTGCAGCCAGCCACCCTTCAAAACCCCACCCCGGCAGAGATCAAGTCCATTGCTTCACAGCAGCCCCCAAGCAAAAAGCTCAAGGAGAGCAGCACCCGCACCCCTGCCGCGACGCCAAAAAGCGTCGACGAACCAAAGCTTGAGATCGTCAAGGCGGTTCTTTCCAAGGAACTGCAGCTCTATTACGACAAGATCATCGAGTATCTGGCTGGCACCAACGAGGATCTCAAGAAGAACGCCATCATGAGCATATCCAAAGACCCCGGCATTCAGGCTCTTGTCCCGTACTTTATCGAGTACATCAAGGAGACGGTGGGTTCGCCACAGCGGCACACACTTGTTTGGAGGGAGGGGACAGGAAGGACAAGGGCTGCATCCACTCATGCGGGTCCTGCATCTCTCTCGCTCTCATTCTGGATGGGCTCGGGTGCTCAGATCACCAAGAATCTCCGTAATCTCCCGCTGCTCTGGTCCATGATGCGCTTCACCAACGCGATCCTCAAGAACCCAAACATCTTTATCGAGCCTTATGTACGAATCACCGCGCAGATGCATGGATCACTTGGACGCGCGGATTGCTTGGATGCGCAAAGCTTTCACTGTTTGGGGGGGGGTCGCCGATGCTCTAACACCTGCTCTCCGTCAACTCAGCTCCACCCGATTCTGCCATGCATCTTGACTTGCCTTGTGTCCAAGAGGCTCTCGGCCTCCCCTGCTGAAGATCATTGGACCCTGCGCAACTTCTCGGCGACCCTCGTCGCCTTCATCATCAAAAAATTTGGAAGTATTTATCCCACGCTGCAGTCGCGCACCACCAAAACGCTCCTCAAGACTCTGCTGGATCCGCTCAAGTCGCTCCCCACCTACTACGGTTGTTTGATTGGCATGGAAGCACTCGGCCCTGAGGTTGTCAAGGTCCTGCTCGTTCCAAATGTCAAGACCTTTGGCGAGCTGGTTAGCCAGCAGGCCCTGGCATCAAGCAATGCACCCACCAACCCTGATATCCAGGACAAAGAGAAGGACAAGTGCCATTCGGCTGTCGCTGTACGTACCGCCGATGCTTTGCCAGTGCTATTCGGCAGATCGCTTCTCGAGATTCCTTCCGCCTGTTTTGTGCCATTTTTGTTTGCGTTCTCTGTCGAGCTGTTCTCCTTCACCACGTGTGCACAGGACATTTCATTCGCCCTTCTGCATCTTCGTCGCCCGGGGCCCTTACTTCGATGGCTTTGGGTCTCGCTATTCGCGGCCACTGGTTGTTTGCAGCTTGCTGGGCTTCTGGCATTTCCGCAAATCCCTGTGCCTGCCGCCGATCGTCGGTAATCCCTGCTCATTGCTTCCCATATATCACCGCTGTATCCAGGGCATCGTTGCTCGTCATCTCCGGAGAGAGTTCCCCGACCAGTCAAAGCTCGCGGGTGTGCCGCCACACCTCCACAATGCGGCTATGGAAGAGGAGTTTGGCGTTTTTGGTGCTGCGATTGCGGCGGCCTACCAATCGACTGTGCCCGAAGTGCCCCAGGAAACCAACGACATGGACATGTCATAAACTCTGCGGTACTGCCCCCACCCCTGTCCAATAAAGCTGCCCGCTCTCGGGCCCCTGTCATCCTGATGCAGTCCGTGCATCCCGAACATCGCCTTCCATCACAGAGAACGAGACGGCATCTGCGCCACTCGCACTCTCGGTGCGCAGCATGGATCTTGGCTGGACCTTTCCCACCTCATTTCCAGGCCTGTTCCTTCGTCGCCTGCAAGCTTGCCTCGCCCTCCCCTCCACACTCTCTTCCGAAACCAGCTGCACCATCCACAAATGGCCGACGAATCGCGGACTATGGACGAGGTCGACCCTCACGCCGCCACCGTTACCGTCCGGCTCATCAAGTCCTTTGACTTTCGCACCTTCAAGAACGTCGTCCTCCATGACGTCGACCTGACGACCACGACCACGGAGCTGCTCCGCCAGATTGTCGAAGAAAGTACGTCCAATCTGCTATCGTCATCATTGTTGTTGTCGCTGTTGTTACTATTCGACTGAATCCGGAGGGATGTCTTGCACGTATCGATGGACGTAGATGGCAGAGACGGGCAGCCCTGGAATCGATCGCCATTCTTCGCTTTCCATCCTCTCCCCCCCTCCCTAGTTTCCTTCCGCAACGCCGCTCTATCTGTTCCCTCGTTGTCGCTCCATCTCTTCTAGTGGCTCGGATTCGTATGCTGGATTTGGGGGGAAGGATGGGTGGACCGCTTGCTGACACTCGAGATTCCTGTGTCCGACTCTGACCAGAGATCAAGATGCTTCCGGGCATGCGTCCCTACCACAATCACAACTTTGGTTGGTAGTCGACTCGGTGGTGGTGGTGGTGGTGGTGGGGGAGAGAGAAATTTGGGTGGCTGTGAAGGCAGGCTCCGGAATATCGACAAGCTTCCCGACCGCTCCGAATCCACGTCAAGTTCTGAGGCTAAACCAACCACCTTGGAGGAGATGAGGAGTGGGCATTTCGATCGGTTCATGACCACCAAAGAAGGCCGTGGTGGTTGTGGCGGTGAAAGCAAAGGCGACAATTATTTAGCTCTGCTGCTTGCGGTGTCTTCATCGCTGGCCTTCTAGACACCCTCAAGCTCTATACCAAAGCCCATGGATCCAAGGTATTTTCTCCAGATCGCTGCGTTCGAGCATGACTCTCACAGCCAGGGCGACACACCCCAGCCCCTGGCCCACCAAAGTCTCATAACGGAGATGCCGCCGTCTCTCTAGACCCAGAATCTGATCATCAACCTGGATCACGAAGATTGGTTCCTCGATCCTTCCAAAACGTTGCTGGAGCAATCCGTTGGTAAGTGCTCGCCCAGGAGCCATTCACGATTGCTCACGGTGGGACGAAGCAAAGATCTCCTCCTCCTTCGCAAGTGGATCGTTGCTGATCCGACCTGGACCGTATGCTCCCTTCCGCGCTGGGATATTCGCCTCCTTAGCCAACGAAACCGAGATCAGCTACTTCAACCGGGTGCTCTATGAGGAATACAAAAAGAATCCGGAGGTGAAATGGTGATTGTGGCTATACCGACTTCCCCCCCCCCACATGCACACCCTTGAAGATGGCTGTGTCGAACTCTCGACTGGATCATGTATGATTGGGGTCAGGAACAAATACAGGAAAGGGAGGAAGGTTGAACAGGAACATTGTCGACGGTATCAAACCGATAGCGGATATACTCGTGTGGGTGGCAAGAGAATAGTCGCTTCAAGACCTCGGCGAGGAGATGAGATAGGGCTTCGGGTGCCGTCTGATTCACGCAAGACACACAACTCACACAAGTCATCCATGTGTGGAGGTGTCCGTTTGCTGTAATCAGAGTTGATGAGAACCTTCCCACTCCCAGTGATCCCAACTCTCTGGGATCGTACACAACCCCCATGAGGGATGCCCTAGCCTGGTTCCTCCGAACCAATCGCCATGAGTAGGATTTGCTACAGCCATGTGCAAGTCCAGATTGTGGGATGAATGCAGGGGGGGGACATTGTTGTCTTGCCAACAGCGTCAAATCGAGCCAAAGTATCCTAGATATCCGCAGATGTGAGCTCGTACTTATTGAAACTCGCGCGGCTGATGCAATATTGAATCAAGGCCAGCAGCAATTCCACACACACATGAATAACGTGCTGCCAATTCAGCAGTGAAATAACCTGTCCATGGACGATGCGCGTGTTTGCATGCGGCTCCCCAGCAAAGTCTATCTTAGATGCGCCCAAGGAAGCGTTTGTTCAGTCGGACCTTGATGACGGTGATCAAAATACCGGCCACCAACATCATGGCACCGCCAACGAGGATGCCTGGAACAAAGTCAATGACCTTATGCCCGTTGACGATCCAGGTGCGCTGGTCGATGAGGAAGCCAGCCAGAGGAGTGCCGGCCATGTCGCCAAAGGTGTAGCCCTACGCAGAACCAACAGCCAAGTGTCGCAGGTCAATAGGTGTGGCATTCCTTGGGCGGCAAGATATCGGATAGGCTGCCCTCCGCTTGGTCATAGATTGGAACTCCTTGCGCCCGAAAGGGTGCCTGCTCGTCAACGCCCCCGCTGTCGCTCGGATTGCATGGCACTTACAAAGTACAGGATGCCAGTGATAGTGGCAAGGTTCTTGGATCCGTAGAGCTCGCTGATGACTGAGATAGCACAGGGCAATCAGTCTGTTAGTGGCCGCAGATGCCAGCGACGACTCCAACACACGAATCCGGTGAGTCGGTCCCGCAGTGCGCTTGACCTGCTCCCTGCCACCTTGAGCAAACACCAGGACAGAGTCAAGACACTTGGCCACTTACCGAGGGGGAAGAGGCAAATGAAGCCACCGGCAAAGACTGTCGTGTGAACGAGGCGATAGTCCCAGCGATTAGCTCAACGATAGTCGGACGACGCAGAGAGAGCACTCCCGAGTCGCAAGCATGACGTAAATGACAGCGAGACCGGGACACTTACTGCCGTAGATGATGACAAAGGTGATGAGCAAGCCAAAGTTGGTGGAGAAGGGCCAGAGGACCATCACCGAGATGGCAGAGATGGTGGCGGTGATGGCGAAGCTGTTGATTCGACCGAGGCGGTCGGCCAGAAAGCCGAAAAGGATACGCCCGACGGCCTGAGCACCACCGAGGATGCCGATGATCAGAGCACCCTGGTCGGCGGTCATGCCGTAGTAAACGGCAAAGGCTGATCGCAGCAACGGTGATTAGCTGTAGCAGAGATAGCATGATGTGCACAGCCGATGGGGGGGGGAATCTTGCCCGAGCTCGTCAAGTCGTCATCCGAATCGACGTCAGCTTGCCGTGCATTGGCGCACTTACTGGAAACAAAGAAGGACGGGATGAAGAAGCCAAAGTTGAAGAACAGAGGAACAAACGCCAGACAGAGCGAGTTGAGGTTCATAAAGATCTTGTAGTCAATCTTCTCGGTTTGCTGTTGGTTCAGAAGCCGCGGGGACTGAGTTAGTTATTCTGATCCTGGTATCGCCGGTTGGCTCTCCCTTCATCACAGTGCCCAGCACTCTATCGGCGCGGACGCTCTGCTGGCGATTCAGAGGCGAGAGTGTCGACCCATGCACTTGCCTTCTTGGGAGCAGCGCCTCGCCTGTAGAAGAACGGAGCAACGCCGCAGACTGGCGATTCAAAGTCATGAAAGTGTCAGGATATGCCAGCTCCCGCGACCACCGATGCGCAGTGTAGCAGTGACTTACAGACAAAGCACATGATGCCAATGAATCGGAAGCCCCAGGGCCATCCCCAAGCAACAATGATAGCCCGAACCATGGGGCTGATGGTCAGTCCGCCAATGCCCGATCCTGCGGCCGCAAATCCGATCGCCGTTCCGCGCTTGATCTTGAAGTAATGCGAGATGATGGTGATCGCGGGGAAGTACGCCAGGGAACATCCAAAGCCGACCAGGGCGCCATAGGTCAAATACAGATGCCAGATTTGAGTCGAGAACGATGCGAGAATGTAGCCGGTGGCGATGAACAGCGTGCCCAGCTGGCCGATCAGGCGGTAGCCATAGCGGTCAGCGAGCTTGCCGGCGAGGATGCCAAACAGCGGCAGACCCGAGATGCTAATGGCACCAATGAAAGAGATGGCCAGGTTGGTCGAACCTGGATATCAGAGGAACAAGACGTGAGAGACGCTCCCAAACACTGCGGTTTGCCGGGGGGGGGCGAATCGTCGGAAGTGCCAGGTTGCCCTGCACACAGCGCTACCAGAGGAATGCATCCATACTGATCACGGAGACGTACCGGGAAAGGTGTTTCCGGCGACAAAGAACTGCTGGAAGACGCCAAAGGATGTCTGGCGGCCTGGCATATGGTCGAGGGTGACATGGTAACATGCAATTAGGGGATCGGTGAGCATGCGAGCGGTCTGATTCTACACGGAGATCGCGCGCGGGAGCATGGACCCTGCCGCCGACCCCGAATCATGACCTCGCTGTGCAGGGTATCGGTGTATGCGACATACCAAGAACGGCATAGTGGACCAGGAAGCTGGCAAGCACAACGAGCCAGGCCTCGGCGCCGCCTTCTGGGTAGTGCTCCTCGACCTGGTCGGCGAGGTCGGGGGAATCGAGCTGTTCGACTTTGTGGGACTCGGACATGGCGGGGGGAGGGTGCACAGCGGTCTGATGCCAGAGGATCGTCGCAGAAACGGCGATGCAGGCGAGAAAGGGGGGGACAAGTTCGATTCAGCCGCTGGGCAGCGTAGATATGGCTGCGATCTTTTTTTTTTTCCTGCTCCTTCATTTCGGTCCAGCGGATTTTGGGGACACCGAGGCAGCCGTTGGCTGGACCCGGAGCACAACGGCACCGAAATGGGATGTTGTGGAACGTCCTTCTCGGCTCAATTTGGCCACAGCGCCGGTGGCGAGCGACTGCACGGCGTGCTGATGGAAGGGACTGATGCAGACGGATGGAGGCCAGCGAGCGATGCGCCGATGCGGAGGGGAGAGGATGGGATGTCCTCATGAGCACAGACGGGGCCGTTCCGTTGATTGGGCCCGCGGCAGCTGATGTTTCGGAGAGCACTGGCATGCGGCCGCAGCTGCGCTTGGTGGTTCGCTTGGGACTTGCACTTGGACTTGCGCTTGGTGTTTCGTTTTCGACTCAATCGTTTTCGACTCAATCGCCGTGGACTCGATTGCTTTGGACACATCCTCCCTGCCGCCGCACCATGAGATTCGCAGGCATCCTCTGGCTGCTCTCGCTGCCCCTGGCCGCTCAGCTCCCCTGTCTAGACAACTCGTTCTGGTTCCTATCGGCCCACGAGCCCAAACTTGGCTCAGGCTTTGGCAGCCCGGGTCTGCATCCACAGTCCGGCCTGGCCCTCTGTCGCTGGACATTCACCGGCAACACTATCACGCATCCTCGCCCTCTCGTCGAAGTTTGGCCGCTGGGGACTCACATTCCCCTCTGGGCTGGAATCTGGAGCGAGAAGCACCGGCTTCTGCAAACCCCTGCCTTGCGTGTGCCGTCGACTTGGGCTGCCGTCTGGAAGGATCTCTACAGCCCCGCATTCGATACCCCGCTTGCCATCTGGGCATTCCAGTTCCTGGCCTCACTCAATGCCGCCGTCCTGATCTTTGCCTTGGTGGAGGCCTCTCGCATGGGCGTGCTCTCGGTTCCTGCGCACCCGTCGCTGCTGTCGGTACTCCACAGCCTGCACCTGGCCCCGCTGGCTGCATCGGCGATCTATCTCCCCAACTATCTGGCCTTCAACCACCAGGGGCCGGGCTCCGGGGGATATCTGAGGTCCATGTCCATCGCCGCCCTGTTCCCCGTCGCTGCGGCCCTCGTTCTGTTTCCCGTTGGCCTGCCCTGGCTCTGTCGGTGGAGCATGCAACCCCTCCCCGTCATGATCCTGTGGAGCGTCTTTGTTGCTTTTGCACCTTTGCTGCGAACCGCCCTCGAGCTGCTCGTCTTCTCGCACTGGTTCCCTCTCAGGGATCCCAAGCCGTTCGCCAAGGTATACAAGTATGAACTGGTCCAGGATCCCGCAAGCTGCTCTTCTCCCGAAAGCGTCCTCGCTGTGTCCCCAGTCCCGCAGCCATTCCCAGCATCTCGCTTCGGAACCATCTACCAGCATCCGCGCCGACGAGCATCCCGCCTCGCCATTCGGCTCTACCGCCTCTGCTCTGGACTGGCTGCCGCTGCACATGCCAGCACCGTCGCCACTTTGCTGATGTCGTTCCGATCGAGGTTGTCGGCTGCCGATGCGACGGTCTCGGCCGGCGATCGCATCTTCCACTCGTATTGTTGTGCATCGTCCATTGCCCTCCAACTCGGGGCTCTGTTCTGGTTCGTTCGCAAGGAGCAGCCCAATATCTTCTCTCTCGGCCAGCTGCTACGCAAGTCCATCCTGCTCTCGCCTGCGTCGGCGTTTCTGGACTGGTGTGCCGCCAGAGAGGCGTGCATCGCCGGGATCATGGAGGACTGATTCTCTCTTCTTCTACTCGGGTTCATTTCGCCTGTATCTTGGAGGATGCCCACAGCCCCATTTCTTCATCGACGCATTTTTCAGCCCGAAGCCGTCACGCGGCATTCAACCCGCCCGCTATCGCCGCGCGCGAGCATTCCGAGATACTCCTCCTCTTCCAAAAACTGTCCTGTTTTGAATATCCGCTGTCGTCACTCATTGAGTCTTGGCAGCCAAATGCATTCGACTGCCCGCTGGATACCATAGGGATGTATTTGGGCATGGCAATAGAGCATCCTACTTTGTGCGCCGTGGCTTTTTGCTCGCGATGAATGGTTCACGGAAAGCCTCATAGATCCGCCGCACTTTGCGCTCGCCAAAGCCAGGGAGGAGCGACAGCTCTTCTTCGGTGGCATTCATGATACTCTTGACCGAGCCGAATGTCGACGAGAGTGTCACCACGTCCGTCTTGTTGACGGTCTTGATCTGGGTCAGGAAGTTGGTGGCCTGGATAGGCAGCGGAAGAGATTGGCAGATCGTGTTGGTGCGAAGCCAAAGCTCGCGCCGATATTCGGATTCCCCCAGCCCGCTCTTGGGCTGTGGTTGTATCGTACCTTGGACAGATACGTCTCATCCACCCGCTCTTTGATCGAGTCTGCCGGTTGGTTTTCGTGCATCTTGAGTGTCTCGAGGTACTTTCCAGCCTCCTCGTTGCTGTCGCCAAGCCGAAAGTCGGTTAGTCCCGACAAGTATCTGGTATGGGACGGAGCGACAGATCCTTGCCGGTAAGCGCAAACGTACCTCCATGCCAGGATCATGGCGAAGTTGTTCATGATCGTTGTGGACGTCAGCTCGCGAATGGCTTGCTGGTGGTCCTCCTGCGTTGGATCGATTGATGAGTCATGTCTCCATGCATCCGTCCAGGGTGTGGGTGTGGGTGTGGGTCCCTCCATGCGACTCGCTTACAATATCCACCAGACACAGCACGATCCGCGAGATGTAGTTTGAGCCTATGAGCTTGATTCGGCCATAGAGATACTCGGGATGGAGCCGATGGTACCTCAGGCTGTCCAGCGTTGGAAACAAAGCCACAGAGGGTGAGAGTCAATCCCCTTGGCATACGCAATTCGCTGGACACACTGCGCTCGTCCAACCTACTCCTTTCGCTCTGCAAACTCGGGAAACCCGGCCATCTTTCGCATCATACCTGATGAACAGCACACAGCTGGTGCGACCCACTTGATAGTCGGCAACGATGTTTCCAAACTCCCATCTGGCATTCTGGACGTATTCGAGCACCCGGTTTCCTTTCTAACGCGGCACATCCAGGAGGAGGTTGCGCCCAAGGCCAAGCGACGAAATCGCAGTGGAGGAAGGAGGACAATGAGGGACCAATCATATAAGCCAGGAATATCATCAACTGCACGGCACTGCCAATCGCAGCTGTCGTTTCCATTGGATCATGCGTTGACGACCCAAAGATTCGTCTGCAATGGAGGGTCGAAGCTCCTTGCCCCGATCTTCAGGACAAGACTCTCACCTGGCAGGGATTGACCAAGATTGATGAATGTGATCTCTGGCCGGCATATGGTGGCCGTGGTGGTTGGATACCGGCAGAGGCAGAAGCAGAGGCAGAAGCAGAGGCAGAAGCAGAGGCAGAAGCAGAGGCAGAGGCAGGTACAGCCAGAGTCGTCCGAGGTGGATTGTTTGCGACAGGACCCGCAGGCGGGCCAGGGTATGGCCGACCGATTCCGTTCGTGGGTCCAGACGGGCCGCCGATGGTGATTCTATTCTCCACGGGAGCCACTCGGGCAGCAACGGGCTGGTCCAAGCCTGCAGCAGATATCGAGGTCGAGGCCGAGGTCGAGCCACCGAGACTGTCGGAGGAGCGGGAGGCGGATGTCTTGAAAAACAGCGTCGGAGCAGCGGATTGTTGTCTGGCCTCAACCTCCTCGAGAGACGGGATACGGAAGAGCGAGGATTTGAATCCGGTGTTGCCGGGTGCTGGGTCGCTCATGTTGTAGAACGCAATGGTGTCGGTTGGTATTGATGGAGCAGAAGTTGCAAGGACGGATCGCTGTTCGAGATCCAATGGCTTGTTGCAGATCGGATGGGACGCAAAGGGAGGCCGATGAAGGGCGATGGCGGTCGACAGAGCCGCCCTCGCAGTCGTCGCGAATGGCATGGGTCTCGATCAGCACATGCATGGGTCGCGATCGGCACATGGACATCCGCACTCCAATATTCATTCCCGGCGACACCATGCTCGGAGCAATGCCTGCGTCGCCTGCATCGCCTGCATCGCATGAAGCACTCTCACAGGACACCCCATCGGTGCTGTTCGCCACGGCAGCAGTCGACGGAGCTGCTCGGCCCAGTAACAGCAACACAGTTCACTCCCGACGGGCGATTGATATTAGGACAATTTATGAATCATCTGCCTTGGGCAGACTCAGTCAACCAACGGCAATATGCCACGACCCACTGCAGGACCACTTTAACTTGTCCTAGTCGCTATCGCAATCGCTTTCGGGGTCATCATCGTGCTCATTTTCTGCTCGGGCCGGGATCGCTGTCGAGGCTGCCCTTGCCCTTTGCCGATCGCAGGCTGCTTCCTTGCCCAGCGAATGCCGAAGGAGCGTTGGCGTCTGCGGCCTGAAAAAGGAACAGTGTCAATCGCCGACAAGCAAAACATAACCGACAGTAACGATAGCGACAACTCACCTCGCTGCCCGGCAACGGAACAATTGGATAGCCTGATATCATATCGAATGGCGACAGAAGCAACGTCAGAAGAGCCGGGGGGGATAGCTCAAGTGCTCAGAGTAGCGCTGGCAGAGCAGCTCGGTAGCCATACCAAAGAACAGCTTGCCCGAGGGCAGGTGGAGGGCCGCGGGAATCTCGGTGACATTGGATGCTCCAGCGGCAGCCAGCATCTCGGCACTGCAGGCCCACAGACGAACATAGTTAGTACTTCCTGCCGTTTCATAGCGCCGCTTGGGAGGCAGCAGGTTGAGTTGAAACCGACGCAAGATGATTGTGAGCAAATAATGCGATCCGAGCGAGTGCGGCGGTGGGACAGTTGCATGCAGCCATCCCAACCAGGGATACTTGCGTGTTGGTGATCGAGACGGTTCCCTTCAGATTGTTTCCGGAGCCCTTGAAGGCCACGAACTGATTCTCGCGCTCGACGATGTGTTCCTCGATGCTACTGGAAGGCAGCGAAGACTGTAAAGCAAGGCCGATAGTCAGTCTCACAGCGGCCTAGTGCGTAAGGGGAAATGCATCTGCCCTGCTTCTGGACTGGGTGCATGGGACAGCGGTTTGTATAAACCACTGCTTCCGCCTCGATGGGCCTTCGGCAGACTCTACACTGATGTCGAGACTCACCACCGAGTAAGATTTCGGGGTTGGCTCTGGCTCCTTATACCCGACTGGGGCAGCGAAATCGACCTGATGCAGATGAGAGGGCAAGGCGGTGCTGTGAATACAATGGTAATGGGGGCGGTGGCATGGCATGGGACACCGAACCCATGTGCAGCATTCAAGCCGCTGTTGGGTATCGACATGAGCATCGGCATTGGCCGTGACACTCCTGACACAAACCTCAAGATCAGTTTCCACAATGGATATGGCTCTGCCCTTGGGCCGGGTCTCCATCACCAAAATCTCATATGACTTGTCGTTGTACTGGATGGTGATGATGTCGTTCTCGGTCAAGGTCGAAAAGTTCCGGAGGGTGTTTTCGAGCACGGCCTTGGGGTCGGTGATGTCGAGGAAATCGACCGACTGGGGCTGCAGCTTGACAAAGGTGCCAAGCGGCAGCCGCACATTGGTGACCCGGACGATGGTGCCCTCTTCGATCAGCAGCGTCTGCATCATCTACGAGTCGCGGAAGCACGTAGAGTATAAAGTGGAGGTGCAATTAGAATCCATGGGAAGAGTATCGACTCAGAAGAGGCGTCGCATGGATGGGTTGGCGATTGTTTGGTCGATGCAGATTGCGAATCCGTTTCAGCTCCCAGAGCTCAATGCCCAATGTCCAATCTCAATCTCCTAACTTCAATCATCGATCCCCCCCCCTGCGAACCCCGATTCCCGATCCTCCATCCACGATCGCCGTTTCTTGGAGGCCGTGCCCGCGACAGCCCGTCAGCTTACCCACTGTGGGACATAGACCCGCCCCTCCTCGGCAGTAAACTCGAGCACTCCCGAATGGGAGACTTTGGTTTCGTCCAGGGTTCCAATCGAAAAGAGCATGGGGTACTCCACACTCAGCTGGGCTGTTCCGAGGGCAGTTGTAAGGATGTTGGGATATCACAGAGTCTTCGATCAGGAAACCGGCCGTTACGTTTCCCTTGCCGGGTCAAGCGCACTCGAGCGACTGGGATACTCATCCAAGCAGGAGCCCAGAGTCGAGGAGAACGAATGACACGCGCTCAGCTCAAGCCAGCGGCCTTACCAAGCTTGTGGAGGGCTGACGGGGGCAGCAAGACTGGGCCACCAAAGCGGCAGGGACGAAGCGCAGGGGCAGGTCGTTAGCATCGATCGGCAACGAACGATGGTGGAGGCCGAGCCTTGGAGCTGATTGCGGCAGTCATCCGAGCCATAACCTCGATGCCCCAGCTTCCGATCTTGGCCAGGCTGCTCGCCGACAAGATCGGACTCACTTTTTCCTCCAAAGTTCAGCTCAGGCTTGTCGTTGTCGGGCTTCATGGCGATAGAGTAGCATCTGAAGCGATCGCTCTGGTGGTGGGGTTAAACGGCCAGCCAATCGAGTTGCCGTTGGGGGGGGGGAGGCACAGTCATTCGATCAGTTGGATGCACCAGCAGCAGAGAGATCTGGTTCGGGGGATGCCGAAAGGAAAGCTTACAAACGGCGGCAGTTCTCTCATGCGAGCAAAGCCCATGAAGGGATTGAATTGGGGAATATCGTCGTCAAAGTCTTGGTTGAACTGCTGCGAGAGAGGCCGAGGTCGATTGGTACGCAGAGTCAGCAGCCGGGGTCTCAGATATTGCACGGCATCGTCGCAGGGGCGGGATCTACCATGGTGGGGAGGCTGTCCTCTGAGGATGGTGTTGAGCCGGAGCTGAATGGTTGGGTAGAGGGAGAGTGCGCCGAGGGCAGCGACGGACAGATGGACGGAAGAGCAGCCGGGGTCGATGATGTCCCAATCCAAGCAGTGAGAGGACAGGCGCTGGCGCCACGAGCAGGGCCGGCCCTGGCCATGGCAAATCAGGTGGCCCAGTTCCGTGCGCCCTGGACGCACCAGAACCCTCATCAGCGACAACGACGACGACGACAGCACTGTGGCTCACACACATCGCCCGCACATTACATTGCACGCACGCAGTAGCCCCACAGATGCACCCCGGAAAGACGCCAGAATTATTGCGGAGGGTGTATTTGAGCAAAGGATGTCATGTACAAATATTGCCCAGGGTCGAACATGAAATTTAGACGACGGTGCCGGCGCTAGAGCAATAGGAGGTGGATTCGGGGTCAGCCATGTCTTTGCAACGGCGCACCGCCCGGACACATCGAGACCGCTCAGACAGCAAACGCACCTGGAGGCGATCTTGGGCCAAAGATCAGCGCACTCCTTGCCGACGGGGCCAGTGATGGCAGAGCCCTTCATTTCACCCTTGGGGTTGACGATGACACCAGCGTTGTCTGCAGACACAGATGGGTGAGAAACAGGCACGGCGAAGGCTCGGCCAGCCGACACAGGCGAGTCGATCTCGCAGATTGCTCGGGACAAAGGCGCTTGCTTACCCTCGAAGTAGAGGAAGATACCATCGCGTCTTCTCCAGGGCTTGCGCTGGCGGATGACGACAGCGGGCATGACTGAGAGCAAACGACAAGCGCATAAGTGCCAGATACACGCCGTGCGAATAGACACCGACGCAGTCGCGAGCACACACAAGCACCCCCACTCACGCCCAATACTCACCCTTCTTGCGGAGTTCTGGCTTTCCCTTCTTAACGGTGGCGAGAACCATGTCTCCGACACCAGCGGCGGGGAGACGGTTAAGACGGCCCTTGATACCCTTGACGGCGATAACGTAGAGGTTCTTGGCACCCGAGTTATCAGCGCAGTTCATGACCGCACCCACGGGAAGGGCGAGAGTCATGCGGAGTTTCTGACCAGTAGCTGCAGGAGGGCAGGCAGGTGGAATTAGCGCACTGGACGTGGGCCGTTGGACATCATGCACATACACAGCCGCTAGAACCCTCAGCAAGCAACCGACACGCGATAGTTACCAGCAGAACCGGAACCTGGGGGTTGCAATCAAGCCGCAGTCGCCAATGCCAAAGAAACGAAATGCCATCACTGTTAATTCCTGGACGTCAACGACATGGCTATCCAATCGACTGGGCCACCCAAGCCGATCCATCATGTTCATCCATCCATCTGTCCCTGCACGTCCTGCCGCAGTTGCGTCATGGCCGGTTCCGTGCACAAGCTCGTCCAACGACTTGATCGGAGATGTGAGGTTTCTGCTGCAACAGAGCTCCCGAGACTCGCTGATACTCTTGAAGGGTTTCTCCCCGTCGATCGGCAGGATCCCTGCGCTTTGCAAAATCGGTGTGATCGCCATTGGGTCTCTCGTCGGCAGCGCCATGCCGGGTGGTTGCATGTGAATATCCGCTCGAGACACTGGCGCACATTGTCATTGCGGAGAGGCAGGTGCAGCGTCGAGTTCGACTGGGCCAAGCCAAGACACATCTTGTAATGTACTGGTGTGTGTGAAGTGATGCTGATGTTGAGACGACCCCGCTCCGAGGAGCTTGCTTGTGTGCGAAAGAAATCGCCTGCTCTGTTGCCGAATCCCATGTCGAGCCAGTCCAGTGGTCGGGGTGTTTGAACTCGGGGGCGGCGGCTGTGCACGGCAGGCGGACGGACAGACGGACGGCTGCATGGACGGATGCACGGGTGGATGGATGCACGGGCGGATGGATGGATGGATGGATGGATGGATGGATGGATGGATGGATGGATGCAGCAGCAGGTCGCACATAGCACCGCCATCAATGCGCGGCGGTCTCCGAAACTGACCCATGGTGTTTTACGAGGCTGTAAAGGAAAGGAGGATTCAGTGCGAAATGCCAGAGTCCAGCAGCCTTGTGGTTGTGGTCGGGCGGCGGGCGCGCGGTTCGAATGCATGCGGCCGGCAGCCCTAGCAGCAGCCCTAGCAGCAGCGCCAACCCTAGCAGGGCTGCGAGCCAGCAGACACTGTGGCGCAGCCGGCGGCCAATCGACGGACACACACGGGCGCGGCCAGCGGCGCGAGACTATAGGGCAGCTGGTCGCGCACCTCTGTTTGGAGTCTCCCTTCGACTTTTGACAATAAGCGACATTCCCCGCTTCGTCGACAAACAGTAACAACAATGGTCAAGTTCCTGAAGAACGGAAAGGTGTGCATCCAACATGCACGAGTGGATGGATGGATGGATGGATGGATGAACGGATGGGTGAACAGATAGGCGAGTGGATGGATGGATGAGTGTGCGCCGACGAACGACCACGAACCAGCCGTGACAACTTGTCGAATTGGTCAAGATTCTCGCCCTGAGCCCTTATCGACGAGGCGTGGCTCGGACCAACCCACATCACACCCGGCCGATCTCGCCGCCCATCCGTCAACAGCAACCCCTGCATCACGCAGCATCGTCGAATCCGATACGAAACCACAATCGCTTGGTTGTCGCCAGAGACCCGAACTATTGCTTCGCATCGAGAGGCAGGCGGCCAACGAGACAATGGGGGCGCTTCACGGACGCTGGTCCAGACGCAGAGACTCGACCCAACACCCGATCTCGTCCGTCTCTAACGCATCTCCCATCACCTCTGATCCATTGCACGCATTTGGACAATCCAATCTGACGACACCAACGGCTTGGATTCACTCGATTGCCCGGCGACGTGTGGCTGACATTTGACAACGGCGATCGCGGATATCGCTCAACGTGGCATTCTGTGGCAATCGTATCCTTCGATCATGGACCCTGTTCGTCGCCCAACCCTCCAGGTCGTCCTGGTCCTCAACGGCCGATACGCCGGCAAGAAGGCCGTCATCGTCAAGAACTTTGACGAGGGAACTGCCAAGCACCCCTACCCCCACGCCGTCGTTGCCGGTGTTGAGCGCTACCCTCTGAAGATCACCCGCGGTATGGGCCAGAAGAAGGTCGCCAAGCGCTCCAAGGTCAAGCCCTTCATCAAGGTCGTCAACTTCAACCACATCATGCCCACCCGGTACGAGCCCCGCCATTGTGGGACTGCACGCTCATGCTCGATCAGCGCCACCGATTGCGTATCTCGAGCCCCACATCGACAGGACGCTGACTCCTTCCCCCATCTTTCGACTCTGTCAATAGCTACAACCTTGATGTCGACCTCAAGGCTGTTGTTACTGCCGATACTTTCAAGGAGCCCACCCAGCGCATCGCCGCCAAGAAGGCCATCAAGAAGCTCTTCGAGGAGCGATACAACTCTGGAAAGAGCAAGTGGTTCTTCCAGAAGCTCCGTAAGTGCTTTGACCAATGTCTCTCGAGCGTCGAGATGCTGCTGGCGCACGCGGCGTCTGGAATGACCCGAGCGCACGTTCGTCAGTGAGGTGATTGCAGCTCTCCTTGTCGATGCCGTCGCCAACACTAACCCGCTCTGCATCTGTCTTTTGTGCTGCGTCAGGCTTCTAAATGGCTGCTGTGGGACCCCTGCGTTTGTATAACGGCCGTTGTTGAATAAATTGGTAAATGTCGTCAAATATGGACAGCACCAACCGTCCCTGCGACAGGCACCATCCGTCACCACATCCGACCCCAGCCATAATACGTGTGTCGGGATGGGATGGGATGGGCTTGGAGCTGGATGCCAGTCTCGGGATGGTGGCAAAGTGTCATGGTATGTGTGAGGGCACAGGGACTGCAAGGGCTGTTGTGGACTCTCTTCCTCTCCCCGGGCACTGATCAATACGGCACTGCCTTGCGGAACCGGACATCATGTCGCAATGGCTGGATGTCCCTTTCCATGAAGACGTGGCAAGGAGAGCGGACGCTTCCAGGCTCAATTGATGGAATGCCGCCTCATCGATGCGAAGGCACTCCATCCCTCTGCCTCATTTCAGAAACATTGTATTGAACAACCGAGACCAAAAAGAAAAGCAAAAAAAAAAACCGGACAACCCGAAAGGAAAGGGAACCAAACAGACAATATAAAACAGGCCGCTCGACTGCTGCCATCGCTGTTCCTCGCCGTCGCCACGGCCATCAAGAAGCGATCGGATATGAGGGGGTGTGGGGGCTGGGTGCTACTCAGACACATTGACGGAATCGATTGATATTTCGGTGTTTCGGGGCTTCGGTAGATGGGACGGAGCCGACGCCGATGCATGGAAGTAAAGGATCGCATGTATCGGCAACACCTATGCAGCCAGCGGGCAAGCTTGCGCGATGACAGCAAAGCGAACGGGGACTCAGCATTCGCACTGCGGGCTGCTTGTGGACGACGGTGCATTTGGGTTGATGTTGAGGGTGCGTTTGGGTCCAATCTTGACACCGTGTTGCTCCAAGCGGCGTAGATCGGCCTCTGTTGTCAGAATGTGGTGATGCGATGGACGAGACAGGTGGATCGTCGGAGCGCTGGGTGAGTAGATGCAGCCGAGGGGGGTTGGGGCCTTCCAAGATTCTGTCGAGCCACACTGTCGAGCCACACTGTCGAGCCACACTGTCGAGCCACACTGTCGAGCCACCTCCCAAGATCACGTATAGCTGTCCGTCCTGGTTGCTAACATCATCCAGCTTTCCCCGCATCTCAAAGTCGCTGTGCTGCTGCGTATCAAGGGCCTCACCAGGAATTTGGGTCAGGTCCTGTGACAGATTCAAGGCAGAGTAAATCTCTTGTGCCAGCTCCAGGAAGGCTTCCTCGACATTTTCGCCCGACTTTGCCGATGTTTCGATGTACAGCAGATTGTGCTTCTTGGCAAAGGCCTCGCCTTCGGCCCGGGACACTGGTTTGAGCGCGAATCCGGACGACAGCGGACAGGTTAGGCCAGGATTGATGCAAGAAACAGACACATATCGTTCGGCAGCGGACCCTGGCAATGGGCAGGGCTGTCTGGGTGTCTAGCGATCCCTTTCACATCTGCAAGTTGCTGCATCGCGCGCATATGAACACTTGCCGACTCGTTTCGAAGCCAGATCGCTCTTGTTTGCCACCAGCATGGTGATGATATCCTCGTTGCCATGCTGGCGCACATCTTCAAGCCATGTCAGCAGATGATTAAACGAGTCTCGCCTGTTCCGTTGGCAGCAATGCGGCAATGGTTCGGTTAGTGATGGCTGATCGGTTCAGAAGGCCGTGGCCTGATCAAGCGTTGGGATGAATGTGAACAGCGCTTCATGATCTTCACTGCAAGGCACATGCCCAGACTTCTCAGTGCAGAACGAAGCGAGTGAAGGCACTGGGAACATTTGTTCACAATCAGCTGTGGCCAGGTCGGCACCTGTGCTTGCGCCGGGTCTTACCTTGTCACTATCATTCACATGCCGTATTCACGCGGGATGACCAAGGTGCACATCCAGCATCGCCGCAGAGATGGAGGGATGTGCAGAAAGCGCAGAATAGCCAAACGAATCAGTTGCTGTGAGATACGGATGGTCGGCCATCGATAGCCGATCCAGACTCTCGACTCGACTCGACTCGACTCGACTCGATCCAGTCGATGTATTGATGCTGCCGCCGGATCCAGTTGATTATTGCAGCTCCAAGGACGGATGGCACCGATAGATTGCAAGCCACCTCTCATACAGCGCGAGCTATCTTCCAAGGCGGCGACTTACTATCGTAGACAAGTAAACAGCCGATGGCGCCGCGGTAGTACGCCCGGGAGATGGATCGAAAACTCTCCTGTCCGGCAGTGTCCCATATTTGCAGCTTGAGCTTTCTGTCCTCCACCGTGACGACTTGACTGCCAAACTCGATTCCGATTGTGGTTTCGGTCGGGATGTATTCACGATTGGTGAATCTTAGAAGGATGCATGATTTGCCAACGCTGAAAGCCGGACAATGTTCAAGTGGCGGGGCCAGTCCGTACAACGGTGCCGGGTTGTACGGGAGTATAGGTCGGTGTGATATTGTGGATGGACGGAATGGCGCAATAGGGCCCGGCATGGTTGGCGTTGGTGTTGCCGGCGCCAGAGGCGGATGGGACGGGTGGATGAGGTGGACGAGATGAGTTGGGAGGTGGATGAGACGAGTTGGGAGGGCTCCTCGCAGCCATCGAGGGGATGCAGTCGACACCCAGCCAAACCATAACCCAGGGACACATCAGAGAGTCGACTGCGACGGCCAGGTCGATTGGGAAGCATTCAAGCCATCCCATTCCCCCACACGCACAGATGCACGGCCGGTGTTTCGTTCGGCAAAGCTTTACCCGCTGTCGCCGACGCTGTTGTGGAAGTTGATTGGAAATCATCGCGACGTGGTTAGCACTCGAGATTGAAGCACAAGCCATGAAGATCCAGCGCGCTGCGATTGAGAGCAATGGAAGCAGCGCTGATGGCCGAGAACCGGCTCTGATGCGGGCTGTGTGCTGGACAAAGGAAGGAAAGCGTCGGCATGGTGCGAGCTGCAACTCGATAGGGATACCTGATGAACTAGTTGCCGACAGCAGACACCAAAGGCATATGCGGAAGCGGGTGGACGGATTGTCGTGCATCAGGCCCAGCAAGAGATGAAGACAGCAATGTCAGCGACATCGCAGGGCGTGCCTGGGTGGTGCGGATGGCCGAAACAGCAGACGGCCGGCCAGAGCCAAGGCCGATGGGCCGAGGGAGCAGACAGGCACCTTGAACAAGAGATCATAGGAGTTGGAGGCCATGAGGAGACGGGTTTGCGGGATAGATGCAAGATGGCGAATCGGGCAAGCGGGACGGGACGGCGGATGTTGGAGAGAGCCAGGGTTGTGTCTGGACGCAGGAGGACGGGCCAGTGCGCTGCGGGGGGGGGAGGAAAGGCGGACTTTCTCGCCGAGGAGCGATCGCGCGGATGGGGCGAGCGAGGGACGTTCTCGCCAGGCGATCAAGCGTCAAGTCGTCGCAGGCATGGTCGCCGCCAATGCGATCGCCAATGTAATGATTACCGCCGTCGACGTAACGATCACCGCCATCAATGCCCACGATCGTCGCCGTCGTCGCTGTTGGACACTGTGGTGTGCGCCTTCCCCAGCACAGCGATGGCACAGATACGGGCTGCTCCCGCCCCACAGCGACAGTGGCCGCCCAGCACCGCGCCCGCCTGTGCGACGCCTGGCCGAAATAGGCAGGTGCGCGTCCACGGGACCTGGCCATACACACACGCACGCCGCTGCAATCCTGGCTTCGCCCCTCGGTCCATCGGCGGCCTGCTTGCTCCTCGATCTCCCTCCGATCTTCTTCTGGATCTTCTTCTGGATCTTGCTCTGGATCTTCTTCTGGATCTTGCTCTGGATCTCCCTCGGATCTCCCTCAGATCTCCCTCCTGCCCGTCACCCGCACCGCCATGTCTGCCAAGATCCACCTCACCTCCCAGGACTCGGTCTCGTTCACGGTCGATCGCCAGGTCGCCGAGCGCTCCATGCTGCTCAAGAACATGCTCGACGACATTGGCGAGTCCGACACCCCCATCCCTCTTCCGAACGTGAGCGGCAAGATTCTCGACAAGGTACCAGGCGATTCCTCTGCGGCTTCGTGTGCTGCCTCCATCTTCTGCGCTGCCTGCTCCCGCGCCATCCCGGCCGGCTGAAGAGCCCGCTGATTCGTCTCCTGTATCTGTGTCCCATCTTGCATCTGTGTGCGCTTTGGCGCCCCCTCTTTTCGTCGCAGCTCATCTCGTCATCAGCGACAGTCTGATTGCGGTGCTGGCTGTTATCCTGGCTGCGTTGCTGGGTGGTTGCGTCCTTGATCCAGCCAAGCCATCCACCGATGCATCCACCGATGCATCCACGCCAGACCCCGCTCTCCAATTCCACACGCCTTCTGAACAGCAGCGTCCACGAGTGCAGCGCAATCCCCCTTTCTAACTCGCACACCGCCTCCCTCTCGTCCCTCCTCACAGGTGATCAGCTACTGTGAGCACCACAAGGAGGACCCCCCGGTCGTCCACGACGAAGAGCGCGATGCCTACGATCCCGCCAAGAAGCGAGTCGATGACACCGACGAGTGGGACTCGACCTTTATCCAGGTGGACAACGACCAGCTCTTTGAGATCATCTTGGCTGCCAACTACCTCGACATCAAGCCTCTGCTGGACCTGGGCTGCAAAACCGTTGCCAACATGATCCGCGGAAAGACTCCCGAGCAGATCCGCGAAATGTTCAACATCGAGAACGATCTCACCCCCGAGGAGGAGGAGCAGATTCGACGAGAGAACGAGTGGGCTGCCGACTCGTAAATCCAAGTCGTCGCTGCTCGTCTCCCTCAGCCTCTCCGGGTCCTGCATTCCCAGCGCGGGATTCCCAGTCCCGCATCCTTGATACCGGAGTCTCGTTCGTGCACCCTTGATCCCCCAAATCCTCAAGCTCGGCATTTCCTCCTCCCTTTCTCTCCTTCCTATCATGTCAACGCTTTTCGAACCCGTTTCCATCCGCCCTCCCCGGCCTATGCTTGCGTGTATTTTGCTCCGTCTTCTCGGGCCAGGTGGGTCCGCCTGGCCGCCATCCCTGCAGTCGCTGTGGTTCGGCTTTGGCCCGCGTCCAATACTACTCCTCCGTGGCTGCACCAACACTACCTTTGCCTGGGATCAGCTCTTCCAGGAGACTGCGGCTCAGCCCGAGGGGCCGACCGCCACCACCGTCGTTGGCATCATGTGTGCTGCCCATCCAGCCGAATGACCGGTGCCTGGGCTGCCCACGCGACCAGCCAGGCCGTCCTTCGTGGTGTGGGACTGCCTTCTGGCGAACTTGCAGCACCGCAAGACCAGAGCCGAGCCATGACCAGCCACCGAGGGACAGTCCCGTCCTTCCGTTCTGCTTCCGGCCGCCTTGTGGCATCGCCCGCCCACTCCCTCGCTGGTGCTTCTTTGGTGGTCTTGTTCGCTGGTCAGGCGGGCGTGGCTGTCCATCGCAGTCCATCGCAGTCCATCGCAGTCCATTGTCCATGGCTGTCCATCGCACATCGGCCCTGTGAGGCCTGGTCCGTCGTCGTGGGATTGTCGACTCCCATGGGCTTGCCTCCTGTCCCTGCAACCAGACTATCCACATAAATAGCCATCGTCCCCGCCATGCAGCGGTCCACCAGCATCACCCATTCGGCTCGTCCTCCTTTGACTAGTCTCCTCTATCCTGTCTTCGTTCCTCGATCCCTCGAACAGCGACCCTTGGATATGGCTCCCCTGACTCTGGCTGTCCTCGGCGCCGGCGAGCGCGGAAACATCTTTGGCAACCTGGCCCTTCAGCATCCTGAGCGGGTCAAGGTTGTCGCCGTGGCTGAAGTCCATCCCTCGCGTCGCTCGATCTTTGCCAGCAAGCACTCGATCGCCGATGCCTCTGTCTTTAGTGACTGGAGGGCACTCGCCGAGCAGCCCAAGCTGGCCGACGCTGTCGTCATCACCACCCTGGTGAGCATCCTGTTGTCGCCTCGCTCGAATGCTGCTGATCGCCTGCCGATGACACCTGCTCGTCTGCATTGTGATCCTGAGACCAACTCGCCGCTGCATCGCTCATGCTCCAGGACCGAATGCACTATGAAGCGACGATCCTGTTTGCCCAAAAGGGCTACCACATTCTGGTAACGTCCTCCGTCAGCATCCCCGCCGGAGCGCCTCCGGTAGTCGCCACATTCTCCAGTCAAAGCTATCGGTGCTTGGCACCCGACACGGCTTCATGTTCCCCCATACGAAAAACGCAGCAAATGTCAGACTTGGCTGATTTGGTTTCCGTCCTTGCAGTGTGAGAAACCCCTCGCCACCGATCCAAACGAATGTGCCAAGATGGTCAAGGCCGTCCAGGATGCCGGCGTCATCCTCGCCGTTGGGCACGTTCTCCGATACAGCCCGTACTTTGTGGCTCTGAAGAAGCAGCTCGACAACCAGGCCGTCGGCGACATCCTCAACATGATCCATGTCGAGCCTGTGGGCAACTACCATTTCGCCCACAGCTTTGTGCGTGGAAACTGGGGCCGCAAGGATCTGACCTCGTTCTCACTGATGACCAAGGTACGAAAAGCAGCAAGCCGGCAATCGCCCCATGCAACTCTCTCAGCATTTGCAGCCATCCACATACTCGATGTGCCTGTTGCAATCGCTGCGGACTGTTGCGCCCCCCTACTCACTCGGCAGGCTCAGCGGCATGCCGCTCTATCCACTGCAATTCTTTAACCAAGCTCGTCGTATCTTTTCCCATGCTCGCGAACTGCTCTCATGGCCACAGAGCTGCCACGACCTGGACATCATCTGCCACATGCTCTCTCCCCGACGGCCCCTCTTTGTTTCCAGCTTCGGCTCGCTGACCCACTTCAGGAAGGACAAGAAGCCCAAGGAAGCCGGCGACGCCAAGCGATGCCAGGAATGTGCCTACGAGCCGCAGTGTCCTTACTCGACCAACAAGATTTACATGGACACCATCAAGGGAGGACACAAGGGCTGGCCCGTCTCGGTGCTCCATCCCGAGCCCGACATCGAGAACATTGCCGAGGCCCTCCGGACGGGCCCATATGGACGATGTGTAAGCATGTGAGATGTGTGCACTGCATTGCCAAGTTGATGCCGTGCCTCGCCTCGACCAACCAACCAACCGAGGATCCAACGGTCGTCCACCGGGCTCAACAGCGACTGCTGGCTCTCTTGTACTTGCTCATCGGGCACACTTGTATCCCTTCAGGTTTACGAATGCGACAATGACGTCAACGACCACCAGGTGGTCAACATCGAGTTTGAAGGCGGTGTCAGTGTGTCCTTCACCATGGTCGCCACCACCCAGCTCTTGTGCCAGCGACTGACTCGTATCCACGGCTCCCTCGGCGAGATTACCGGCGACATGAACATCTTTGACCTCTTCAGCTTCCAGGACCGGCAGAACCAGACCCATCACCCCAGCACCACCCTGGGCGGCCACGGCGGTGGCGACGACGGACTGTTCCATGCCTTCGTCGAGGCGCTCGAGAAGAACGACCAATCTGTCCTGGGATGCACCCCAAATGACATCCTGACCTCGCACTTGCTTGTCTTTGCCGCAGAGTCGGCCCGATTGTCTCGAACCGTGGTCGATTTCAATGAGTTTGCCTCCACGTACACTGGCCTTGTCTGAAGTTGCCGATGAGCCGCCGCATAACCCGTGGCAGATGATTGACCCGGCTGGTCCAGCAGGAGCGCAAGAGCGCGGGCTGTGTGTCTGGATGATCCTCATTCGCAGCATGGAATGGGACGCACTGTTATTGAGGACAGCCGTCATCCTTTGCCCGTTGGCCTGGTCTCTGAATACACGATGCTCCTTCACCACGACCCGTCGCCATCATGGATACTGTGGGTCTGTGGACCATCGTTCATGGAGATTGGACCTGCATGTCCACGGCCGTGTGCTACTCAGGAATCCGACCTTCAACGGAATGGCACCGCACAGTCGAGGCAGATGCTGACGGGCGATCGCCGCCCCGAGTCCAAGAACCCGGTCGTTCTGCGAACTTCACTTCTGCTTTGCTAGTTGGACCCCAGTTTGTGGTGCTGGGCCATCTCGCGGAACATGGCAATTGTGGCATCTTCCTTCGCCTTGTATGCGCGAACCTTGTCGTCCATAAAATGCTGCTTCTCGTCCTTCTGGGCCTGTATTTGCCCCTGGCGACGATTCTTGGAATGCTCCATCGCGGCCAGCCTTGAAATGCAGAGTGAGAGAGAGAGAGAGAGAGAGAGAAACATACCCGGAAGAAGATAAATGCCCGGAGCGACATCACCAAAGCGGGCAGACGCAGATGTCGGGCCGGTGGGTTGGTTGGTTGAGTTCGCAGGGTCATGTCACGGCGCAACTCACTTTTGTGCAAAACTGTCGCCGCCCATGAGATCGGCATCGTTGTATTCGCCATCGACATCTCGCTCTCGTTTGTGGTAAGCATTGGCGGCCTTTCGCTTCTCCAGCATCGCCTCCCTGGAAACCAAACGAAGGGCATTAGAAAGCATCCCCGAGCCGAACCAGGAACTGCCGGTCCACTGTCGACCGACTTTTACATTGACACATCCGGCACGCTGCTGTCGTCACAATGGCCCACTGACCCATTCTCCGGACATGCTATTGGGCTCACCTGCCCGTGGCCTTTGGCGCGAGCTCCTCCATAACCATCTCATGGTATTTTCGGTCGCTCGAGCGTTCCTTACGGGCCAGCGCCCGCGAGTACCGGTCCCGATCTTCTTGATCCATTTCTTCGTCGTCGGCATCGCGGCCGCGCCTGACTCGAGGCTGGCCCACTGGAATGTCGTTTGCTCCGGTGCGGGTGGAGGTGTCCTTTGAGCCTGTTGCCGTTGGGATTCGCACTTGGCTCAGCTGCTATCGTTTCGTCCGCGTCCGCTTGGCCAGCTGGCCAGCACGACCCAAATCGTCGGAAACGAGAGCGCAAGGCGATCATCGCTCACTCAATGAGCCCCACTCGCCCCCTCCACTTCCAGTTTCAAGTACAACGCTTGATCAAGCGACAGCCTTCCAGCCCCCCCCCAAAAAGCCAAGTGCATCAGACATTGAATCGCCGGCCTCGATCCGACAACTCATTACCCCATCGCTTGCTGGATCGATCGTCGCCACTTGGCTCCTCGGGTGCATCGCGCTTGCGCTTGTATGCTTCAACCAGCTCGGTCTTTGAATGGGTCAGGGCCCCGACCGAATCGCGGACCAGGGTTTGCTCATCCTCGTTCTGGACAAACAGTTGGTGTCAGTGACGACGGAGGCAAGTCGGGGGCAGCAGAGTAATCCTGGTAATGCGAATAAAGTGCGAAATGCAGCCCAGAGAGAGGACAAACGATCATCCCTCGCCTCCCACTCGGTTGGTTGGCTGGTCGTTTGCAGCTATCCGTCTTTGCATCATCAACCGATCCACAGTTGCTTTCAAAACGCATTCGTCCACGATCACAGCGGTGGCCCAGCACAAAAGCGAGCAGAGGGAACACCCACAATGTTTTTGAACTTCCACTTGTAGTTTGTGATTTCCGAGTATTCTACATCGGCAGCCGAGATGCCTTGATAGTATTTATCGATCAACTCGCCACGGTTCCATCGCTTGACGAACTGCCCCCCCCCCATGAAAATAGAAAAGCGAAAGGTCAGAGGGTTTGCCCGGCGGTCAAGCGCCAGTGCTATTATCCTTGGACGGCAGGTCTTTGAGAAGCAGCGATGATCCCGAGCTCGGTCATTCACCTTGTCAAAGTAGTAGCGGGCATCGTCACTCGAAAGATCATTCAGAAACTGGAGCCGTCGTCGTAATAGCCATAATATCACCGTCAATTCGCCAGAACAGAGCCGGTAATGCGGGCCTTGCTGCTCGGAGCATGGATGCGCCCGTCACCTTTTTCTTGGCTTCCTTGAGCCACAGACGAAACTCGAGCGATTTCTTGAAGAAGTCATCCTTGGAGATCTCTGCAGAGTATCACGCATACATGAGCATCAGAAAGAGAGGCGATGTGCGACCCCTTGCAGTGCCTTTGCTTGCTCCTAATATTCTCTTGGACCACATGGTGACGAGTTCCATCGCTGGGACCGGATCGGCGGTGCACGTCGAATCGGCCGAGGCGACATACTTTGGGCTCCAAACTTGAGCTGGACATCCTGGCTGTCGTCGTCGCCGTCGCTGTCGCGGTGGTGCTTCTTGGACTTTTTCTCCTTCCCCATCCTGTGTCCCTGTTGCTCCTGGCTGCGGGTGGTTGCGTCGGGGGCTCTGTTCGTTGGGATGCGATGCGATGATGTAGACGCGGTTGCGGATGAGGGTGCTGGCTGCGTCTTGGTCTGGCCAGAGAGATCACGCTTTCGCATCTCGGCGAGGCCCACCGCGCTTCACAATCAATCCAGAAAGAAACGGGCCACTACACTTGCCTCCATGACCATGTAGTATGTGATGGCTTGCGTCAAGCTTAGCCATAAGAAATAGAATAGATCACCTCCGAGTGAAGACCGCCGGTCGCTCTCTGGTATCCACAGTGGGCCTGCACTGGTGTTGGAGTGTCAGTGGCGAGCGGTGCTCTTGGACGCATTGGCGAATGGTCATGGCCAGCGCGCGATGTCTTGAAGCAACATAATATTCGGTCAATGACCAAAAACCAGGGTGTCCCGTTTATTATTGGATCGACTGCAACGGAAAAGAGCCCGCCGGTGTCTGGGAGAGACTATGGACTCTAACAAGCGGGACAGGAGTCATGGGCACCCCAGCCAAGATGGCTTGACAGCGACCGGGGTGACAGCAGGGATGTGTCGTTTCAATAAGACCCCTGGACACTGTTTACTCATTACAGCTCTCAGCCATATGATATGGGCAACTTGGATTACTTTTTTTCGAAGCCGGTATGCACCCATGACGCCTCCACGCCCGCCATGGACACTCCAGAGGACGATGCAGATGGGCCGATCAAAGGCCAATTAATTACGTGGTCCTGGTGGTAGGCAGCAACGAGTAACAACGGCCGACAGCCGGGACGAAGGGGAAGGCAGCGCATATCATCAGAATCTCCGACCAACCACGGAGCAGGGACCGACAGCTCTCTGGGTTGGCTCTGCTTGATTCATTTTGGCGAGGGTGCCACTCATTGGCAGCAGCTGTCCTTACTGCACAATCTGGTCCAGAACGACCCGCAGACACTCTGGGTCAAAGTACTCGGACTCTGGTCCCGCCTGGACCTTGAGGCAGGTGATTCCCAGGGCCGTGATGGCCTCGATATCGATCGGAACAGAGCCATCCTCGAGGTAGACGAGGTGTGTGATGTACGTTGACGGCGGATACGGCGCAGTGCAGTATTTGCGACCGTCTCGGCTCTCCATCTCGGCCCGCAGCTTTACCAGGTTTTCTTGGACAGTCTCCATAGGCGGCGCTGAGCGGAAAGTGCTGCGGGGAGTTCCGTCGGTCTGCCCCTGCCGAGCCGCTCGCTGCTCCTTCTCGGCGCGGAACGAGTAGTTCAGGGCATCGGTGATGGCCAGAACAAAATCCATGGCTGTGTAGCCCTCTGTCTCGCGATCGGTCGAGCCATTGAGTAGAAGGACCTTGGGCCGAGGCGGCATTTCGGTGATGGGCGGATCAGAGGCAATCAGACGACCGACACCCGCGACAATCAGGCACGGGATGATGGAGGTCCAGAGCGAGCCCATGGCGTACACGAGTGTTCGTTTGAGCTGGAATTGCTTGTGGATGAGTGGATTGATGGGAGGCAGGATCTCTTGTCGCTCGTTGTTGAAGTAGTAGACTCGGCGGATCGGGCTTGCAAGCGGAGGGCACTCGGTCTTGGAAAAGAGCAGGTTCTGGGAGAGACCCACAGCCGAGGTCGAGGGCGACACCGATGTGGAGCTGGACGCCGATATGGGCATGGACATATTCATGACCTTGAGCAGCGTAGAGCGGGGCGGATGTGGCAGGGTCGAGCCAACGGGAGTGCTCGACTGCGAGGCTGTCGGGGTTGCCAGCGAGTTTCGCCTCGTCAGGACCTCGCCAATGTTGCTGCCGGGATGCGAGATCTGGCACTGTCCATAGATCACGGCGCCGCTTCGGAGCTCGGCTGCGATGCGGATCTGAGTCGAGTCGATCGAGGTCAGGATCGGGACGACGTCGGTGCGGGCTGGGGTGCGCATGATGCGGGCGAACTGGAAGATGGCGGCCTCGAGCGAGTGGAAGAAGATGCGACAGCCACTCAGGAAAAAGTTGCCGATGCTGCCTCCTCGAAAGTCGAAGCTGTGCCGGCCGGCCCGGCGGATGATCTCGTAGTTGAAGAAGCTCAGAAAGCTGCGGATCGACTCGCGGTAGGCTTCCGAGATGCCTTCCCACAGAGCATGCTGGCCCTCGACGATCGCATGCCACTCGAGCTTGGCACGCTGGGTGCTGTCGGTGGGAAGCCGGTGGCTCAGCAGCTTATGGACGGCACGAGCCTGGGCGACGAAGGGTATCGATTGGCATCCGATGAGGATCCGCGGGGGGGGGCATCTTCCGCAGCAGGAACGAGCTGGCTATCTCGGGCAGAGCGATGGAATCGGCCATGGAGCATCTGGACGATGATCCTTACCTCGGCAGACTTTGTCTCGGCCAGACGCACCAGTCTTGAGCGAATGTCACCGATGGCTGGTCCTCCGAGGACCTTGATGATCTCAGCCGTTGATCCGCCTGCGTTTGGACCGACGTCGATATCGAAGGTCAGCAGAGGAAAGGGATTGTTGAACGGAGCCGCAGCGGTGCCGCACGCAGCATACCCCTGGACGGGGACATGAGTGCATCAAGCCTGGGCTTGCTTTCGCAAAGTACCGAGGTGACAGGCTCCAGCATCCGATGCCAGGCCATCGGGCTTTGGGATTCATGCATCCGTGATCATATCCGGCATTTGGCATTTGGCATTCGGCGTCCTGCATCCCGCATCCGCCATCGGGATCCGCACGTTCAGCCGGCGCCGCCACCGGCCAGACAGCACATACCATCATCGCTCACGGGCAGGATGTAGGCAACATCGTCAGTCAGGTTCTGGATCATGCCCACGAGGGGATTCAGGGCCGAGCCGCCCGAGAAGATCAGCAGCGATCGCGGCGAGGTCAGGGCTGGCGAAAACAACGGCGTCTGCACATGCGATTGGGGCGACGAGAGGGCCGCCGAGCACTGGATCGCAGCCGGCAGCGTCGGGCTTTGGACGAATCGGGCGCCTGTGACGGAGGGCTGCTCCATGGTGTTCAGGCAGCTGCAGTCGAGTGCTGGAGACGGGTGGCTGGAGGGAGATCGAGGGCAAGCGGAGTGGTTGCCGGCGGGGGAGCTCTGGCCCGGTTGAGAGATCGGTGCCAGCGGGTGGAGTGCCGGGACAGCGGGCGGCCGAGACAAGCGGTGCGCCGAGCCGGGTCGACATGGTTGATGTGGTTGATGTGGTTGATGTGGTTGATGTGGTTGATGTGATTGATGTGTTTAATGTGTTTAATGTGTTTAATGTGTTTGATGTGCGGTTGACATCGTCAGTTGCATCGCTTGAGGTATTGCCGAATGATTAATCACACATCGCCCAATGCATCGCCCAATGCAGTAGCACTCGCAATGCCACTCCCAGTCGGCCGTATCGAGCATTCTGGCGATATCGATCTCGACGGCCCTCTCGACGGCCCTCTCGACGCAGACTCGCTTCGGACATGCACATCCTTTGTGCCAGGATTGATTCCCTCTGAACATCTCCTTGTCCGCCAATCCAGACGCCCAGACATGGCCGTGGTGTGTGCGGATGAGGCACAGGCAGACAGCGATCGTCGCAGCGCAGACGGTGGATGAACATGGAGGGCAAAAGTACTGGCGGGTGGTATGGACTGTCTTTCGGCAGTGTGGTGATGAATTGCTCTCGGATCTGCCGCAGCGCCGGTTGGCTGTTCATGGGACATGGTGGCTCGTTCGTGAGATGTTGCTGGCTTTCCGGGCGAGCAGATAGACAGACCAGGGCTTATGACAAGCAACAGGAGGTACATTGGCCGGATGCGCTGAGGTCGACGACGGCGATGGTGTTGTTACCGCCCGCCGATAGTGCACACATCGATGCACAGACCGTATTCTACGAACAGACACTGCAATGCACCCACGCTAATGATATCCCGCACACGTTAACATCGCATATCCCGTACACGTTAACATCACATATCGCCCACAATATCGCCCACAATATCGTCCCCGCTCGCCGTCGGCCTCAGTCCCAGCGCAGCATCGGCCGAACGGCGCTGGCAGACACAGCGCGGCGTCGAACCTGTCCGCCGCGCGGCCGTCGTCGCTTGCCGTGATTCCGGCTGTCTCTTCCTCGGGCTGGACTCCGTTTCCTGGCCGCCCTCATCGCTCGCCTCATCGCTCGCCTCATCCAACCCGCCCCTCCCCGGGCATCTCTCGGTCCAAGTCTTGTTGGCCAAACATCGACTGCTTGATCTATCTGCGTCCCTGCCTCTTCGTGCTCGACTCCCACCCAGTTTGCCCTCTGCCCAGCTACCCAGACCCTCCACGATGATCCATGACACCGGCCCGCATCCCTCGTCGTCGCAGCTCACCTTCCCCGAGGTCCTGCGGTTCCTCCAGTCCCAGCACCGAAATTACGAGCTGGATCGCTCTCAGTGGGCACTCGACCGAGCCGCTCTCGAGGTTTGGCCTGCTTCTGTTCCTGATTCCACCTCTTCAGCAGCTTGCATGCACTATGGGAACCCCTGGCCTGATGGGGTCGTCGTTGCCCACACCCTCGCCCGATCCATCATCGCCGCGATCGTCGTTGCTGCCACTGCCGCTGCACCATTCTCCTCATTATCGCCATCACCTGTATCGCCATCTGTTCCCTCGCCCTTGTTTTCACGACTTTATCCTCTGCTCCTGGATCTTCACCCTCTGTTCGCGATGATGCTCATTGTCTTTCCGCTTTGCCCCATCTGCGTCGACCACAATGTGTATATCCCCCGCGGCTCTTCCAGAACGAACTCGCCCTGCTACGGGGCCAAGTCACTTCTCTGAAGCAGACCAAACTCGATCTGATCAACTCCGTCAAGATGCTGGAGCAGGCTGTGCGGATGGAAAGGTGGGTGTCTCTCTGGTCGGCGCTGGCGTCGATGGAACTCGACCCCGGTCGTCACCGCAGCCCCTGTTATGCCGCACAGACTTGCATCTCTGCCCACTGGGCAGACCTGCGGCTCCATCCCGGCCTTGCTCTTTCGGCACTACATACGCGCCATCCATCAGTGCGGCTCCAAGCTATCACTGATCGCCCGTCAACCATGTTCGGCCGAGGCTGCCCTTGTCTTTCTCGGCTTGGGCTTGGGATTGGACTTGCTCTCTCCCTGACCCCAACTCACCTGTTCTAACTCTCTCCTGACACACAGGGCAAAGCTACAATCTCTTGCTTCCGCCTCTGCTGATCCCCAGCTCGATTCATCCAAAGTCTCCGCTGCATCGAGCGAGCAGGTGCCCAGCGATGATGCTCCGGCTGTCCTGACTGCAGATGCGAAAATCACTGCTGCCGATGAGGTGCCCAACGTCATTTCCAACGCTTCCAAGACCGAGCGCAGCGACACTCAGCAGTCTGCTTCCCAGATAAAGTCGATCGAACCAGTCCTGGAGAGCCGCTTGAGGATGGGCGAGATTCTCAAGAGGTACGCACGGCTCAGCGACCATGTACAATCCGGCTCAGAGATCGGCATCGGCATCGGCATCGGCATCGGTCAAGCAGATGTTCTGGCCTCGTTGATTTGATGCACTATCTGGGCTACCTGGACAACGTGGGCAGTTTGGTGCTTGACTGTCGAAACTCATGCTTCCATTCGCTCACACTTGCCTTGCACGCCAACTTTCCAGCTATCTCCGTGAGTCCCAGCTGCTCGCCCACCAGACCGCAGCGAGCCCCTATCCGCCTTTCGCAAGTCCTGCAGCGAGCAAACCCAGCGCCTCTTCCTTTGGTGCCATCTCTGGTCTCGGCAACGGCGAAAACGGCTTTCAGATCATCAACCGCAGAATCGGGGGCCCTCAGATCCTCGCAGATCTCCCAAAGTCTGGATCACCGGCTCCTTCGCGCTCGCCCCGCACGAGCCAAACCCAGCCACCCCGCAAAGAGTCCTCGGCCCTCACAAAAGAAGAGTTCTTTGCCGAAGTTGCGGATGCCTCTCAAGCCTCTTCATCCAAAACTCGAGGCGCTCCCCAAGGCGTGATGCCTGGTGATATGGAGGTATGTCGACGTATTTGGGTGAAGCCGGGCACTTGGAAAATGTGCCATCATGATCGGAGGAACTACCTTGCGCGCCGGATCTCTACTATAATCGAGCAAATTGCGATTCTATGCTTGATCTGCTGCTGCATTTTGGGCCTTTGAAGCGAACTCAACGCGATGCCGATGTGGCTATTAACACGCATTGTGTTTGCCTCGCCAGTCATCTCCGAGACGCATCGCCTGGGGGGTCTCACCGACTGTTACGATGATCAAGAAGCGAGACACCGAACAGCAAGCGGGCAAGCCAAGTGGCCCTATGAAAGGTCAGGCCTTGGCCGCTGCATAATAGTCTCGAGGGGCTTCAAGTGGCAGTGCCGCTGTTGCTACTGGGGCCAGCGATCCATTTCGAGTAGCGAGTAATCCTGACCCCGGGGTAAATGCATCAATTTGTTGCGTGTTTCTCCTCCGCCTCGATCAATCAGAGCGTAAGAAGTTGGAGACCTGCTTCAATGAGTCTGAAATTCTGGTATGTTCACGGAGCCGGCCGTACGATGCATGCACATTGTGCGTGTAGCAGGAGGCCGAATTGAGGTTTGCTCGCTCTGTTGTGAGCCGCTCACTCCGTTGGTGCAGCGCCATCGCCAATCACATGGACTCAAGCGTTTTGTCGCCCTTGGTTTTTCCACTAATGCAGGCAAAGTCGCCTTCACCTGTCTGGAAGCAAGAACATGCGCTCAGAAGGTACAGTCCCCCTCCCACTTGGCGAAAAGCAGGATATAATAGCCCGTCTCGGATCCTGGTCTGTTGCCACATCAACAATGCTGGCATGTGCTGTGGATAATATGCTCAGTTGCATTCTCCGCTCGCTTTATTGCCCGGCAGCCACCTGGACTCGGTTCGGTGCATTGATTTCCATCCGATGGAGGGATTTATCTTTACCGGATCGGAGGACAACACCGTCAAGATATGGAATCTAAGCGACATCATTGGCAAGAGGTTTGTTTGTTTCTCATGTTGCCTCTGTCTGCACTCATCCATCGCAGTGAATGGCAGGAGAGCCACCGCAATTGTCGTGTGATAACTGGGTTTGCGATGAGCATTTGGCTTGTGGTTTGCTACTCGTTTCCAGCTGAGCCTTTGTGGCGCTTGCTGTCAATTTCGTGCACTCATCCATCCATTGTCCGCGCATCGTCAGGCCCGAAAACAGGATGAACCCCGATGTCGAGCCAGTCTACACCATCCGCGGACATACCTTGCCGGTGACTAGCATCGTCGTTTCTGGATCCGGCACCGCTTTGTTTACCGCCAGCGTCGACTCGTCTATCCGCGAGTGGGGCATTCCGTCCATCGACACCCGTCCCTATGGCAAGCACGGTAGGTTTCTGTATCTCGCAGGTTTTACAAGTCTCCACATTATCTTCGGTGGTCGTGGCCACTGTGCCATTCGACATGCGGTCTGCTCACCCACAACCATATCGTCGAACACTTGACTCATCTTCCCTGCCGACATTCCAGATCCGAAGTTGTACCGACACAAGTATGTGGGACATTCTGATATTGTATGGGAAATCAAGCTGCATCCGCTTCACCAAGAATCCACGCCCCTGTTGGCATCGGCATCGAGCGACGGCACCGTCAAGCTATGGGATACGCGCCCTGAGAGCCGGGGACTCAAGACGACGCTGTGGTATCGCGGTCCCACCAAGGATGGCGATGGTGTTGTCCCGGACGTGTCCAACACTACGAGCGAGGACAGTAATGGCAATGAGAACAGCGACAATGGCCACGACAGCGAAAACGGCGATGGCGATGGCAACGATGGCAGCGATGATGACTTTACTCGAGGCAGCGATGAATATGACGAGACAGCACACATTCCTACCAGTATCGACTGGGTGCCGGACCAGCCCAACCAAATTGCCGTTGGATACATCAACTCCAGTGTCAAGATCTTTGACATCGAGACTGGAGCTACTGTTTTGCACATCCGGAGCAATACCAAGTCAGGTGAGCCTGGAGCAGAGCGACGAAGCGACGATGGACATCAGCTTCAGTCGAGGGTGCAGTCAGTGTTCGAGGTTGAGATGGCTCAAGACAAGATCTCCGAGCAAGGCAGATGAGTGGTTGGTGGGGGTGGTCAGGCTCGTCCATATGCACCGACTTTCCGCTTTGATCCCACATGGCTGCTTCTTCTCATGCATACAATGTTTTCACCAAACAGGCGAAGGCTACGCCGCGACGCAGATCAATCGCATCCTGTGCCATCCCAGCCAGCCTCTTCTGATCACGGCGAGCGAGGATCGCCATCTCCGATTCTACGACATCAAAAACGGCAAATGTCTCAAGACCCTGCTGGCACATGAATCTGGCATTGCCTCGATCGACATTTCGCCGAGCGGCAGCGTGCTTGTCTCTGGAGGTATGACGCCGTGCGCTTGGAGGCTCTGCTGGGGGCTTGGCCGCTGCTGCTTCTGCTGGCAAAATGCCTGTGGGGCATATCGGTGTGAGGCAGGGGTCTTGGGCGGCCGACGCAACGTTTGCGGATCGCTGCTACGGGCGTTCTGGCTTGGTGCTCTGGCTTGGGGGGCTGGCTTGATCGCTAACCCGCACTGGCAATGCCACAGGACACGATGGCTCGGTTCGGTGGTGGGATCTTGCCAGCTACACATGCAACCAGGAATACGCTGCCCATGTCAAGAAGAACGACGAGAGCGTGTGGGCTGTCAAGTACCACCCGTCCAAGCTGACGCTGATGGCCTCGGCCGGTGCCGACAGCGTCGTCAAGCTGTATCAGTTTGGACAAAAGTAGTGGCCGTATCCTTCCCGGATCAGGTCCTGCTCTCGATGCCGCCAACTTGCGTCTGCTCCTCGGCTCTGGTGATGCCCAGTCCCGCCCCATGGCCGACGGATCGGCTGGTCTGGACCCGAAGCTCTCGGCTGACGACGGCCGGCCTTTCCCACCCGTTTCCTGGGATATCGGCTTCTGGCTCCCGCAGCGCCTGTTCCATCCTCTCATGCTCTCATTTTCAGCTCATGCTCTGTTCTCACCCATCTTTCGAACCCTCTGTCTTTATCATTTCTCCCTGCCGCTTTCGGTCTGTGTCGGCCTTGGAGTCGGCGCCTCCTTCCACCCATCTCCCTCTGTCGCTGTTGGGGCGAACGAAACGACTTTGTGCTTGGCAGGATGCTGCCTGTCGATTCCTTGAGAGCAACGAAGCCCTGCTATTCCTCCCTCGTGCTTGACAAAAATATATGTGCAGAGTTCTAGATACACCGCGCGACTTGCTTCCGAGGCGATGGAGCAGGGTGCCGGCCAGAGTCCGAGACGGCGCACCTCACGCAAGGCCAGAACGATCAACCAAACCGTTGCTGTTCGCACTGGCCATTTCGCACGATCACCATCCCCGGTCGCTCGCGGCTGTGCATGGCTGATGGCGAGATCGGCCAATCCGAATCCTGTTGCTGCCACCCAGCCGTCGCGCCGCAGCGCCCAGGAGCGGCGTGTCCTCCACCCTTCCAGGCCTTGGCCTGCCTCTTCCTTCCCTCCCCGTCATCCATCCGGCCCTGAAGCCCAGCGACCTCTCTCTTTGCCGCCGCCGTCTGTCTGTCGTTCTCGGCTGCCATATCCAGTGCAGCCACATCCGATATCGTCGATTCGTTCCTCCCGATCTCGCTGCCCCCTCGTCGACTCGACAGCCACTCTCTCCCTCGCGCCACCATGATCGACAGCATCTTCATCACAGACGGGGCCGGCAAGGTCTTGGTCGAAAAGCACTACCATGCCATTACGCCGCGATCGCTGGTTGACCAGTACTGGAGCACCACAAAGTCGTCCAAGAGGGGCGTTCCGCCCGTCGCCCAAGTGTCGTCGTTCTACTTTCATCGGATATCAAAGGGAGGCGTCTTCTTCCTCGCCGTCTCGGAATTCGAGGGTAAGTGTCTGCCTCTGTTTCGGCTACTGGGCGATCGGAGTGCGGTTTAGCTGGACAGCCGACAACAGAGGAGGGTTGCGATGCTGCGCTGCCCTGAGCAGGGCAGCAGTTGGATTTCATCTCGCTCGTCGTGCCAGCGGCTGATATGTCGACAGACCCGGAACAGACGATTGCGCTGTCTCGCCTTCGACTGCCCGCCGGTGCAACTGGCTTATCCGCAGCGGAGCCTTCAGTATGAGATGCCTATGCTCAAGATATACCCATTCTCATTGCTATTGTCACTATTTGTCGAATCGATCGATCGTCTCGATCGGCACAATTGGCACCTCATCTGGGGTTCCGGCCACCGAAACTGCCAACGCTGTCCTCCACAGCTCCTCCCCTCGAAGTCCTGAGCTTCCTTCACCGCACCGTCGAGATCTTTGAAGACTATTTCGGCGCCATCTCGGAGACCGCGATCAAGGAGCACTTTGTGATCATCTACGAGGTCGGTAAGCTGGGGCGGTAGCGGCCTTGCTGGATAGCGCAGCTGGCCCTTTCGCCCAAGCCTCACAATGCCACCGAATCGGACGCCGCCTGCCATCGATGTCTCGTTGGAATCTACAGATTCTGATGCTTACTTTTTTTCTTTCGCCTTGTCTTCCGCCTGGCCAGCTCCTGGACGAACTGCTCGACTACGGATCGCCATACATCACCGAGCCCAACATCCTGAAGGAGCTCGTTCCTCCTCCATCGCTGCTGAACACCGTCATCAATGCTGTCGCCATCGGCACGGCGTGAGTGTCATTGATGCCGCTTGCTGTTCCTTCGCCGACTTGTTTGCTGGTTCCCCTGGGGGTTCTCTTACTTTGCCGCTCGGCATCGCCAGACTAGTCATTGATGCTCTTGCTGGACAAGCGCATTATCCTCCCCGCTCTTCCATCTTCGTTGTCGGCTTCCCGAGTTGCAGACCCGTTCTGACCCTGCCCGATTGTCCGTCAATCCTGCGCTCTTCTGTGTCAGATTCGGTACCAAGCAGCCGGTTGGCACAATCTCGAACGTGCCGTGGCGATCCTCGGGCATCAAGTACATCACCAACGAGGTCTTTTTCGACATTAACGAAGTAGTCGACTGCATACTCGACCGGTGAGTCTTGCGCGATCCTGCTGCGCGTACCAGTGTTGCTCCTACCTCCGTCCGATCGTCAAATCCTGGGAATATTGGTTCTTTGGCTCGGGAGAGAGACGCCGCTGCTGTGCCGCTGACGCTGTTTCTCCAGCAACTCCAACGTCGTCACTGGTCAGATCCATGGCGAGATTCAGTGCAATGCTCGCCTGAGCGGTACGTTTCCTGATCCTCGAAGGCGATGAACTGCGAATGCACCCGTCGTGGCGGGATGGAACTACCGAGCACATCCTCGTTCGCCCACGGAGCTTTGAACGAATCGTCAAATCCGGGCTGTCCTGGCCCACATCCATCTAACGATGCTGCTGCCGCATTTCAGGCATGCCGGAGTGCCTCCTTTCATTCACAAACTCCCGTGTCTTTGAAGACTCGATGGTCAGCCTGCATCCCTCTGTCAAGTCGGTATCTTCGGATCGCACAGAGATCGTAGAGATCATGCAGATCATGCAGATCATGCAGATCGTGCAGATCATGCGGATGGGATTGTTGGCTTGGCTCTTTTTTGTATGCAGTCTCTGGACCTGACAGTCGCCTGGTTGATTCGATTGCCGATATGATCTGCTCACAGACACGCCCGGTTCGAGCGCGACCGATGTTTGTCGTTCATTCCTCCCGATGGAAACTTCAAGTTGATGGCATTCGAGTGAGTCTGTTCGCACTGCCGGTCGAACTTGATGGCCGCTGTTGGTGTCCCTGTGCGCCCATTCGCTGTTCCGAATCATTCTTGCGATCTGTGCCAGCATCCAGCTGCTGACTGATGAACTTTGGGGGCGGCTCGTGTTGATATCATCCTTGGATGCAGAACTCCTCTGCTCAGCCACCAAGGTCTCCCCATCTCGGTCCGGGTCCAATTCCATGCCTATAACCAGAATGGTGCGTTGATGCTGCCTTGAGTTGCCGCTCCCGGAACGCACAGATGGATTCTGCACCAAACATTGTCTTGCAGAGGGGAGGGAAGCTCGGCTGATTCGGTTGACTTGTCCCTCTCAAAGCTGACTCTCGCGAGCCTTGGTCTCATCCGTCCTCGGCCACAGGCAAATTCAGCATCTCGCTCCAGCCGCGATACACAGCCGGCGGATCTCTGGAGAAATGCATCATCTACTTTGATGTGCCCGAGGGAGTCGTGCCGACCAAGCTAAATGCCAGCATCGGCACCGGCAACTTTGATCAGATGAACAACGTAGGCAGCCCTTGCATGCTGTGGTCCATGGTGCGCTTCAAAGGGGCGATGTGGCAGATCGGCCGTAATAATCTCTTACTTTTCTTGGTTTGGTCTTGATTTGCGCTGGATGCAAATTGCAGCAGGTCCGCTGGGATCTCGGCAAGATTCCCAAGGACTTTATGAGCTCTGGGGTCCCGATATTCACGGGCGAGCTCAACTGCGGCCCGTAAGTGATCCAGCCTCTGTTACCTCGGATCAAACCCCAACTCCGATACACGTATCTCGGATCAACAGCAGCGCTTGGTGGACTGGATTTTCCCTCTCTTCCTCTCACTAACGGCTGTGCTCATACTTCTCCTGCGTCATTGTCCCCATCCAGGGAGCACTCTGAGTTCCTGTCGCTAACTCGCACAGTTTGCGTCGAGTTCAAGGCCAGTATGTATTCTGCATCTGGGCTCAAGATCGACACCCTGCAGCTGCACCACGAGGACTACACCCCTTTCAAGGTAAGTGGTGTGGTGCGCAACTTTGCTTGCTAGTCGCCCAGACGAGTCCGTGTATTGGCAAGGGGCGCTGCTGACCGCAAATCGTGGGTTGGATTGGCGTCTGTCCTTTACCGGCACAGGGTGTTCGCTCCATGACCCGGAGCGGCAAGTTCCAGATCCGTGTATAGAACCTGGACGACTGCTGCTGACAAGGGCACCGACAGATAGCTGACTGATATCTCGGTCGACGGATCAAGCGCAATCGGTCCCAAATTGCGACTTTGGCTGTCCCCGACATGCGGCATCAGCACACTCCGTCTCCCCCCCCTCCTCCTCTTATTGCATGTCGCCTCGCAATACTCGTCGGCGGAATGGCATTCTGCGGGCCAGTCCAGGCAAGATGATGATAGGGCCGGACAGGCACTTGGCATCTCTGTTCAAAACACGGTGTATTGAGGGACTGCATAGTGTGCGCCGTGTCATGTTGCTTTTGCGAGCACAAAAGCGGGCGGGAAGAGAGGGGCAGAGCTCCCTCACTCCTTGTTCGACATGGGCGAGTTGGGCCCTTTCGTCGATCCGCTGCCGCCGCCGTGCGACCTATGACTGTATGATTTGGAGTGCTGCTTTGGAGTAAAGTGATGCGGGTGGTGGGGATAGTTGGACATGGGCGGGTTCTGGTGGGCCTGCGGCCGCACAGGTCCGTGTTGGTCGGGAAAGTACTGCGGCCGGTTCGGGGTCGGCAGCCAGTATGGGCCGGTAGTTGCAGGGGCGCCGATGCTGTGGTCGTCCTGGAAAAAAGGCCGGCCCGGAGGCTGCCAGGCCGGATTGCCGCCGGTGTACGGCCCCGGCGCCATCCGGGTGCTCATTAGTGGATATGCCGGGCGGAAGAACGGGCCCGCAGCGCCAGCGTCGAGCTGGCCATCAGCACGACCATAGGGCGAGGCGGTAGGGGCGGCGGACCAGTCGGGCTCATAGTAGAGTCCGGTTGGTACGTTCATGCCGTGCTGCGGCGGACGGAAGCCGGGATTATAGTGGGCTGGGGCGGGATAGACGACAGCAGGGCGGGGGGCCGGGCCGGGGCTATGCATGCCAAAGGCGGGAGGAAACGGAGGCTGATATCCAGGCCGCTCGCCAGCCATATGCCATGCCGGGTAAGCGCCGCCCATGGCTGTGCTTGCGGGGTTGTTTGTGTGGGCCGAGCGAGGCGGACGATATGAAATCGGGCCTTGCCGAGCCGGCACGGCCTTGACGACCGGCGGCTCCGACGGGGTTTTGGGGGCGCTTTCCTGAGAGGACGAGTCGGCCGAGGCATCGTCGTTGAATATCCGCTTGCGAGCTTCTTCGTACTCTTGCTCACGCTGCTCCCTCGTCTTCGGGGGATCGGCTTTTTTGACGTGGCCGTGCTGGTGGTGCCTGGCGCCTGGCCGGGATTTGTCCTCGCGGCGCATGATGGCCTTTGGGAGCACAACCGGCTGCTGCGATTGCTCCACGACGGGCTCAGAGGCGGCTTGCTGATCGTCTGTTAACGGGATGTCTCTTAGGGAAAATTTGGGGCTGCAGAGCGAGCAGCGGGAAAGTCAGCGGTTGAGGCGATAAGCAACCGGAAAGCCCATCGCGCATGCACACATCGCAAAATGCAATGCGGCCGCAGGATTGCGTTGATCACAGGATGGTTTGTTGGCGGTGAGACGCATGTCGGGAGTTATCGGATGCCCCGGAGGTCAAAATGGTTTGTGGCGTGGCGAAGTGAATGGATGAAACGTTTTTGGGCGAGCAAGTTGCAAAGAAAGCAGCAAGATAGTGAAGATAGAGTATCGGTTAACATGGCTTCCGGCTCGCATGGGGTGTCAAAGAGAGTGAGAGATGTGCAGCACACGATCCGCATCATGTGCGGACCCATGTGCAAGTCCATGACGACATTCCATGAGCGGATCCATGGTGCATGCCACCGGGCATGTAGGCAATGCGGCGATGCATATGAGAGCTCGTCTCATCACACGGATTACAGTCGCTGGGCTCACATTGTAGATGCAGGTGACTTTGTGATGATCACAGCGTTTCGATGGCTATCATAAATATGTGTCAGTTTAAAGGCTTCGGCGATGTTATGAGCCAGGAGTCGGTAGTACGAATTCAAATCAGGGTATTCAGTCGAGTCGCGGCTGTTGCCCCGGAGGATGGTAGGATAGAGACTCGTTAGTGCTGCGGCGGGAAAGAGAACACAGTTGCCGGCTGATCTGCACTCTGTGCCTCGATTCAGTCAGCGCGATGTATGGACGCATGCCATCGGGCATTGGTCCGATGGGATGCAGTCTGATCTCGCTTGGGTGTTTCAGATGCACCCAGCCTCTGCGACTGCGACTGCGGGACGCATATGCTGCAGATGTGTCGTGGCAGGGAACACACCTGGACTCTTGAACAAAAGCCTCCATTTCTTTCTCGAACTTGAGGACCCAAACCCGATCCTTTTGCTTGCGGACGGCGTCGACAACGGTAGGGTGCCAGATGCTAGCGCTGCTCTTTTCGGCGGCGTCGCCATTGGCCTGGCCTAGCTCTTGTTGGGCATTTAGCGATTCAGGCTCGAGGGTAGAGCCCGGCCGGGTGGATGGTTCAGCATTGCCGCCGATAGGAGTCGCAGCCGGCGCAGGCGATTCGGCCTTGGGTCGGGCGAGGAGTGTGATGGGCTTTGAGGGCGAGGTTTTTTGGCCAGACATGTGTTGAGCTGGGGCGTCTATACTGGGGGCCTGGGGCCGGATGCCGCCAGAGCAGATCACCGTGGTCGAAGGAGGCGGATGCAGCAGCAGCCGTACAGAGCATGGCCGGTGAGGATCGTTGAGCAATTGGGTTGCATTTGCAGAGGGAAAGATGTCGGGTGGGAGAGAATCGAGATGATTAGGGAATTGCCCAAGCGGAATGGATCTGGGATTGCCGCACCAGGCGATGCCGATTGCGTGGAGGACAGATGAGCCGCCAGGGAGCAGAGCAACAAGTGCGTTGCAGCAGAGATCCCGCTGGATGGATAAGTCACGAGATCGATCGACAGAATCGAGAGGGACCCATATCGGGTAGTGCTATGCCGAGCAGGAGACCGTCCGATTCGCCATCAGCGAGGACGACGGCTGGCTGAAGGTTGTCATACTGCGGGGATACACAGGTCTGTCGGCGACCACCGCCATGATGGCAGACCCTGGATTGAGGCCCAAGACAACCCGGCAACTGCTGCCGCATCGGGATGCTCAATGCAGCCGCTTGGCCCGACAGAATGCCTGCGGCCAGCCCTCGGATACATCGACACTGGAGGAAGTGAGGGAGATGGGGCGGGAAGGCAGACGAAGGGGGGTTGCAAAGCGGGCTGGACTTGGTGGTCCGCGGTGGCAACCCGGCGGCCCCGCTCAAAGCCGGGCAGATGCATACCTTGTTCTGGATCATCCGAGGCGACAGCGACGGTCGGATGGCGACGGCAGACATGCAGGGGCAGCGAGGCAGCAGCCGCGGCTGATCTGGGGATGAGGACGAGCCGCGATGGACGGGCGAGACGGCGAAAGGCGGCGGGCGGGTGGCTCGAATCCCGAAAAAAGAACGTGGCCGGATCCAGCCGGGATCGAGCCGTCCGCTTTGCAGCAACCAAGCAAGTGGGCCATGTCGACTGCCGACTACTACTGCCGACTACTGCTGCCGACTACTGCTGCCGACTGCTACTGCCGACTGCTACTGCCAACTGCTACTGCCAACTGCTACTGCCAACTGCTACTGCCAACTGCTACTGCCAACTGCTACTGCCAACTGCTGCCCCCGGCTCGCTTGGATTTACTCTTCATCTCATCTTTTCTCTATTCTTCGCTGCGTGTGTAGCTTTATTGCGCTGGAATTTGCTCGCTGTGGATGTATCCAAAAGCACGGATGCCTGGACGAAGGGGGCGGTATGGAGGGTCGGTGAATCGGTGCCTGACATGGAGGCGGCCAGTCCCTCGGTCAGTCCCTCGGTCAGTCCCTCGGTCAGTCCCTCGGTCAGCCCCTCGGTTGGTCTCAGGCCAGGGCGGCAATGAGAGCGGCTCCCTGCCCAGAGCCATCGCGCGCCTGCGACAAGACAATGTTTTCGGCCGAGAGACCCAGGATCTCGTGGAGAGCGTCGCGCATGCGGTTGGCAAAGTGCGGGTAGTGCTCAAACAGCGAGCCGTCAATGGCGACGGTGCAGCCGTCCAGCTTGTTGATCTTGATGATGATCGCCGCGGTGGCTGCTGCCGAGAACCGAGCTGCACGAGTGCCAACCAACTGGCAGATGCGCTTGACCAGACGGCGGTCCTCGAGGCTTGTGGCTGGGACCTTGAGGAGATCTTCGAGGACGGCCTTGGTGTCGGCCAGCTCGAGGGTGTGATCTCTGCAGGATGTGGGCAGTGCTTTAGTGAGAAGGCGGCGGCGACGCAGACTTTTCGCTTATCGGAGCGCCCTTTCATCAGCTCAGTGTGCCGAGAGTCGTAGCCCAGTCATCGATGCGATGGCGCTACCGTGAATCGTATCGCGCTCTACAAACGGATTGCACTCGACGAAGAGACTCCCGCTCCCACACCGCGGACAGGCCTTGGTCACCTCCGGCTCCGGCATGCGACATACCTCTCAATGCGCGACATGAACGCCGTCTCAAAGTGATAGGGCTTCTTGAGCTCCTCGGAGGATGCGCCTCGGAACAGCTCGCCGGTGGAGATGAGGTCGGTGATGGTGTAGCGGACGATTTCGCCAAGGTACATGCCCGAGATCAGCTTCTCAAAGACCTGGATACCGGGGTTGGACGAGGCACGGTCCAGCGAGTGGTCGAAGGAAGTGATGGGCAAGACGGCAGGGTCGTTGAAGCCGCCCCACTCGGTGTTCATGATCATCTCGCCGTTGGGAGTTTCGCCCTTCCATTTGGTGAGGTTGGAGACCTTTTCGACATAGGCGGCGTTGGTGCCGGTTCCCAGGATAATGCCGAGATAGGTCTGGGGATCGGAGTAGGCGTGGGAGACCAGGGTGCCGACGGTGTCGTTGACGAGGGCCTTGACCGTGATGTTGGCTCCCTGTGACGGGTTGTAACCGAGGATCAGGACCGGTACACCGATAGTAGCCGAGACAGCGAGACTGGAGAGAGCACAGGCCCGGCTGCCATCGTGACGGGAAGTACTTGCCCGCATAACACACCACACAGCTCACAGCTCACACCACACACCACACAGCACAGATCACACGGCACATACCTTGCGCTTCAGTGCGTCCTGGAGCAGGCGAACGACATCATGGCCGACGACGCCGTCGCAGCTGAAGCCCTTGTTCCAGAAGCAGAGAGCGCCTTCGTTGATGGCGGTCTGGGTCACCGGGAAGGAAAAGGTAAAGCCAAGGCTGGTCGCAAAGGATTTGTCGAGGCCACCCTCCTCCAGGAAGTTAACGACGCACTCGGCGAAAAAGTCAAAGAGATGCTCGCCCGAGCCGGTCTTGAGGTCCTCGGTGAGGGTGTACTTCTTTTGGCGGGTGCGAGCATGTCCGCGGCCCTCCAGCGAGATCTCGCAAACACGGAAGTTGGTGCCGCCGAGATCGAGGGCAAGGAACTTGCCGGTCTCGGTGCCTTTCGGGCGGTTGCTGACGTACGAGGGAATCTGCAGGAACATCTGATTATCGGCCTGCAGACCCTTCTTGAGCTCGTTGGAGAACGACTTGACGATGGCATGGAGCTGCGACGACGAGATGGTGAACTGCTTCTCGAGGCGGGCAATGGCAGCCTCGGCCGAGGGAGTCGAGACGGCCACAGGGCCCTGGGGGACGGAGTTGGGTGCGGGAGCGCTGCCCTTCGCATGAGAATACAGATAGTGCACGGCTGCAGTGACGAGGGCGCCGCTGGCAAGGCCGACGGAGAAGCCGAGTCCGGTGATGTCTGACATGGTAGAGAGTAGGTGCTGCGACCAGAGGATGGGTTATGAGGCGAGCGAGGAAGATGGCGTCGGAGCAGCGATAGGGCGACGGGTCGTATTTGTATGCCTGCGATCTGGCTGGCAGTCTCGCGGCGGCCATCTGTGAGTGCCCGAGACAGCAAGAGCGCAAAGGATGGGGGGCGGCCTCCCATGGTCCGGCGCCGACTAGGACGACAAGCAAACTCTGGCCTGAAGGTTGGCTTGCGCTGCAGCCCACGCGCGGCGAACGACCTTGCTGCTGGGCTCGGCCGACCCGAGGCACAAGGATGCGACAAAGACCTGAGCGACGGGGGAGGAGCCAGCGCCGAACAAACGACAGACGAACAAACAACAGACGAGCAAAAGGCAGACGAGCAAGAGGCGCTTGTCCTGGTGGTCGTATGATTCCCGGTGGGAGCGCAGCCGATGCGACATCATGAGCACGGCGTGGGAAAGTCGAGTACTCATGTCGAATCACCCTGCACGGGCCAGCCCGACAAGTCCAGCCCGACAAGTCCAGCCCGACAAGTCCAGCCCGACAAGTCCGGCACTGCGCTCCCCCTGGGCTGCACTCCCCTGCGGCCCAGGCCAATCGCTGTCGGTCTCCGTCCCGCGCATCCCCCTGCCTCTCCACGCCCTCCATTTGCTCGCATTCTGCCGCCGATACCGCCCTCATTGAGCGCTCGTGTCCCACTTCATCCCGAGCCTCTCTTCATCTTGGCAAGCACATCTCCTGGCATAGCCAATCTACCCCTCAATTTGCATCGCGTGTTGACCTACTTCTGGCCAGTCCCATCCCGCCCCACTTCGCTGCCGGTTCTCACGCCGCGTATCCATCGCGTTTGCATCGGCGTTTCTTCTCTGGCCCTCGCTCTCGCTCGCAGTCCCGTCGTCGCCGTGTGTCCCGACCATGTGCGATCCAGCCTTCGACGAAGTTGAGACTGTGCACTTTGCTCTTCCCGAGCTTCCCGGCGAGTCTCCTGCCCGAGGCCCAGCCCTCGGCCTGGATGAAAAGCCCGTCCATCCGGCCTTCTTCAGCTTCAAGCGCCGCCCATCCGCGTTTCTGCAAGAACGCACCCTAACCACCCAGGACCGCCTGGCCAAGGCAGCCGAGCTGGCCTATGTCCCCAACATCATCGGACTCGTGGACGTGGGCGACCTTGGCGCCAATGGCAAAGGTTTCCATGTTCCTGCCGACAAGACTCTGTTTGAGCCTTTCCCGGCCGAGGTCGTGCTGCAGGCGTACGAACCCTTCAAGACATATGAGATATCAATCAGTTTCCGCAACAACGACAAGGTGGGTCGCTCTCGACCACTCTTTTGTAAATCAACCACGATGCCGCGTATCGTCTTCCACAATGTCACGCTCCGTATACGCTCGCAGATCATACTTTTGCAAATGCACGCACAATACCGGCGCGTGCGAACCTCTGGCACGGTTATCTTGCCGGACGGAAAGGATGCTGCATCGATGTCGTCGCGTTTGAGGCCTGCGGGCATGAGTGACTTTAGCGCTTCACATGTCGCTGTGGTCCGACACTCATGCCTTTAAACTGACCGAACGCCTGTGTGTGGGCACCTTTAATTATGCGCTCCTCTCCTACACAGTTTGCGCGCACGATCCGACTCGAGCCCATCGACGGCAACCGCTATTTTTCTCTCTCTGGCCGAGAAAACGACTCCCTCAAGTCACCCAAGATTGCCCCAGGAATGGCGGTGACTTTTACCCTGATCTTTCGTCCAGAGAGTATCTCCGATTACTCCTATGACATCGTCTGTGTTACCGAAAGGGAGAAGTTTGTTGTTCCGGTGCGCTGCATCGGCGCCCGAGGTAAGATTGCGGATGGGAAGGCAAACGCATATGGGGTACCGCTTGCGCTGGCGGCGGAATCAACTGCGTCTCGTACTGCCTCAACAGAGCTGGGCCACACTCTGCTTTGCGAGCCGCTTGCCGGCCCGGCCAGTCGCGCACCACCACTTGTTCGATAGCCTGTTGACCTTCCACCGTCTCTCGGCATGCTCGATTCATCGGTATCTCATTCCGCAGCGATACTGGACTTTCCGGATGAGGTTTCGTTCTCCGAGTGTCCCGTGTGCTACACCACGATCAAAACTCTGCTCATCCGCAACGTCGGCAACCGGTTTGCCAAGTTTGAGATCACAACGACCGAACCGTTTGCTTGTGAGCCCAAGAGTGGGCTGCTGGAAGTCGACGAGAACATGCAGCTGGACATTGTATTCAATCCAAAGGTAGGCGCCGGATCTGCTCATCGAATGCCCACACACCTTGACCGAGCCATGGTCGAAGGTGTGCTCTGTTTGTCGCAACGGATATCGGATGTTTGACCCTGAGCTTAGTTGCCGGTACCATTGTCTACGAGCACCACTCACACTCCCGTTCACACTCACAGAAAACCGGGAGCTTTCGAGGCGAAATGACTGTCGTCTTCGACACCAAAGAGGAATTCATCATTTCGCTCTTGGGATCCGCCGAGGATGCAAACATCAGGCTCGACAAAACTACCCTCACCATGGACAAGACCTACATGACGCTTTCGTCCTTGAAAAAGTTTCGCATACACAACCGAAGTGATATCATGGTTGGTTTGGAGATACATCAGTGATGTGATTGCGGGCGAATCTTAATCACTCTAGCGACGTTGATTCTTGTCTCGCCTGCCTCGCCAAATGCAGCTGTCGCCGTTACAGTCCGTGAGGAGGGTGTCTGTTTGACTTCACCGAGTCGAATGACCATGAGCGGAGCAGAGATTCATGCCTATTGCGCCATTTCTACTCTTCGTCCCAGACACGGTTTAGGTGGAAGCAATTCCCGACTATAGCAGATGAAAGCCAGCATCGCTTCATGCGCTATCATGAAATCCAAATGGAGGAAGAGCGCGAGGCGCTGGAGTTGCTCTCGGTAGGCATGACAATCTTCTGAGGATCAGCGCATCTTCGGGCGAGCGCCAAGGAGCACTGCGTCGCGATGACCATACTGATCGTCTTTCAGGGAGTGACGAATCAAGTAGATGCCGCGGGCGATCTGTGTCTGATCGAGCAACGCTACAGAGTGAGTACCGTCTGGCCATGCTGGATGGCGACATGCTTGTGTAAATGGCCAGTGCGGAGCCGTGCTGGGCTTCCGCATGGCCTTACGGACGATGGCGAGCTCTTGGGGCGTACCCGATATCTATGTCTCATCCTGGCCTCAACATTTCATGCTTCATGAACAGAACCAGAAACGCGAAATGGAGGTCGATCCGTTGCTTTTCAAGGACTCTGTCTTTGACATCGAAACCGTTGAGGGGGTCGTTTGGCCAAACTCTTTTGTTGAGATCACAGTTCGCTTCCACCCCCACTGCGCCGGCGAATTGCAAAGCACCGCATACTGTGAGATTGAAGGCCGCGAGACTCGCCTGCCTTTGATGATGAAGGTAGCTGAAGAGCCTGATGCTTGGCGACCGCGCCTGGGCTGACTGTACAAGAATCGAGCAAGTGTCTGCTGTGCCGCTACTGATTTGCGTTAGACGGCCCGTATTTTCGCTGACGCCAACGACATATATCGGCTGCAGGGCGAGGGCATCGGCCCAAAGGCCAAGTTCTCGTACGACATTCTGTCGATCGACAGTGTGTTCATAAACTCCATGCACAAATACGAGGTACGTTGCGGATGTATCTTGCCAACGAGCCTTGCCGGTTGACCTCGCCGACGGGTGCTTCAGAGCTCAGCAGCGACAGGTGCTATGTGTCGCGCACTCCCAGACAGCCTCCTCTCCATCTTGGTGCTTATGCCAGTATGAAACCGCGCCAACAGGTTGTGCTTGAAAACAAGGGCAGTATTGAAGTCAGCTACCGTCTGCTCCCGCCATGCACGCTCTTCGGGCCCAAATTCAGTTTTGAGCCGAGCTCGGGTGTCCTCGGAATCGGAGAGTATCACCCGATCATCATCACCTTTGCATCCGACATACTCGGTGAATTTGCAGAGGAGTTTCAGTGGTCACTTGAGGTAGGTGGCCCTGCCGACTGATACTATGTGAGGTCGCCATAGACGCCACGAACCGCTCGCCTTGGATCATGAGGGCACTTTAGCAACTATTGCGCATTGAGGGTCATCTAATTATTGGATCGTGTGCCTCAACTCCGGTAGGGCGGGCTGGATCCCCTGAGCCTCATACTGAAGGGCTGCGTGGTCGGACCAACGTTCAGCTTCAACGTTGCGGATCTCAACTTTGGGCCGCTTTCCATGGGGTTTCTCAGCAGCCGAACGATAGAGCTTTCCAACACCTCCCATATCTCGATGAAGTTCCGTCTCCGGTTTTCCCAGGACGACCGCTTCGGGGAATATCGCGTCAGCCCAAATGAGGGAACCTTGCTTCCGCTCGAATCGCAGCCGGTCCGCGTGGCGCTCCTGCCTAAGAGCATCAAGCAGTACAGCAACTCGCTCATTGTTGACGTTGAGGGCGTTGGGGACGATCTTTTGTCGCTCCCGATCCTGGCCGAGGGCCTGGTACCTGAGGTAGATAGCGCGGGGCGGTGGAGTTCGAAACATGGGTAGTTTGATCCTGGACATCGTTCCATGCGGCTGCTAGCTCGTCGCTGTTTCTACGGAGGCCGGTGGATATTGCTCAATTTGTCGATCGGGCTTGTGTCTGGAGCCGGCAAGCATCGCCCTCCAACCTGATGGCTCAGTCCAGTAACAATGGCCCCGCTTCCATCCGGCAGATCTCTCTCAAGACACTTGTCCTGGACTACGGTGACTGCTTTCTGAACTACACATACACACGCAGCGTCGAGCTCGTCAACGAGACCGACTACAGTGCTCGATATGAGCTCTCTGTGCAAGAAGAGGCTGCCAAGAATGTGTATTCGTACAACTCGAGCAACTTCAAGGGGATCGTCGGCCCGCACGCGATGCAGCAGATTCAAATTGAGGTGCAGATGCGTCGGCTGGGGCAGTGCAACTTTCCGATCTTCATCAAGATTCATGGACGAGAGGATATGCCACTGGGGGTGGACATCACGGGCAACGGAATCGGGCCCAACGTGGTGCTGTCGACCACAGAGCTCAACTGGGGCAAGATCCAGGCGCTCCGGAACTCAACCTCCAAGTTGGTCCTCCAAAACGACTCCCCCATTCCGGCTTCGTTTACCTGCGCCACCGCCAGCGAGCTGTCTGTCTTCCGGGTTGAGCCTCTGATTGGATGCATCCCCCCTCACGGAAAGGACGAGGTGTCGGTAACGGCCTATTTGGACGACTCGCTCAAGTTCACCGATATCCTCAGAATCTCGGTTCAGTCGGACGGCGTCCACGAGGTACAGCTGATAGCCAGAGGCAACGGACCCACCATAACCTTTGACGAGTCCCTGCGCACCGTAGACTTTGGCGACGTATTTAGCAACCGCGAGTGCACTCGTGAGTTTGTGCTCGTCAACAAAGGTCGCCGGTCGCAGACTCTGCACTGGCTCGTTGAAGAGGAGCGGTTCAGCCGCAAGGACGCCGCAAACCTGCAGCCGCCTGTGTTTGATATTTCGCCGAGCCGATTCATGCTCAAGCCCAACGCACAGCAAATCGTCACCATCCGGGGATACTCCAACAAATCTGTCCGTGTCAAGGAGACGATGGTCTGCCAAGGCATCTTCGACAAGGACCCAACCCGCAAGGCGATCGTCGAGACCACCATCGTCGCGAACTTTGTGACCCCACTTGTCGAAGTCACCCCGAGCTCTCTCAAGTTTGTGTCGTCCTACATTCGCGACGAGGATTTCGAGTTTCTGTCACAGAGCCTGGTACTCAAGAACACCACGACTCTCTCGCTGACGCTCAACCTGAGGTGCTTTCCGCCCTACAGCATCGACCAGCTCGAGCCTGTATGCCTTGGTCCTGGCGAGACTGCCAATCTGATGGTGCACTACGACCCTTCGTACAACACCAACCGGGTTTCGTGCAAGGAGCACTCCAAGCTGCTGATCTCATACGAAGAGCATCCACAGCGGGCCTCTGTGGATCTCTTTAGCGAAGTCTCCTTCCCAAATCTGACCTTCAGCAGTACGACTGTGCCCTTTGGCTGCATCCCAAACGACACTGAGCAGAAGCGCATCTTCAGCCTGACCAACTCTGGGCTTCTTCCTGTATCGTACTACTGGTCGTTTCTGGAAACGAAGGACGAGCGCAGTTCCGACTTTTCGCTCACGCCAATCCGGCAGGTGTTCGACATCCTTCCCATGAGCGGGGTGCTGCAACCCGGCGACTCGGACAACGTTGAGGTCACCTTCTATGGGCACATTCCCGGACAGTTCTCCGCCCTTGCGCTCTGCGACGTCAGCGGGGGGCCAAAGTACGAGATATCCCTCAGCGGCGAGGTATCTCAGATTGCGTACCAGTTTGATCGGGAGTACCTCGACTACGGGACGGTTCTGTACCAGGATATTCATGAGCAGGACATTGTCCTCAGCAATCTCGGCCAGGTGGCCTTTGACTACAACACCATCATTTTCCGCTCCAGTAGTCTGGCTCAAAAGATAACGGTGTCGCCTTCCAGCGGCAGCATCCCGCCGCACGGCAAGCAAAAGATCACCGTCCGTTTCTGCTTGACCATCCCAGAGTCCGTGGACGACCATTTTTACGTCCAGATCGCGTATTTCGAGCCCATCCGAATCCGCATCTCCGGGGTTGGCGTCGCTCCACGCATATTACTAAACTTGCCTCGGGTTCCGGACGCCCGTTACGACACACTGGTCAAAGAAATGCGCGAAGCCAGCAAGAGGGCGCTCAAGCGCCGACCCTCCGTCATGCCTCGGGACGCCGGCGTGACCGAGTCGAATCTGAGCATCAGTACGGTTCGGAGCGACTCGCACGATACCGAAATCGATGCCGAGGCCGAGCGTCTGTTGCTCAAGGAGAAAACTCTGGACTTTATGAAGGGCCTTGTGGACGAGGTCAAGGGTAAGATTCAGCCTGTGCCCAAGGCAAAAGTCATTGGCTCGCCAATTCTGATCTACAAGATCCAACAGAAGGGCACCAAGGACAAGAAGGCACATTCGTCGCTGTGGGAATGCTCCCAAGTTCGTGTGGCGCGATACCTATGTGATTTCGGCAACGTCATCCGCAACACCAACAAGAAAAAGACCATCCGCATCACCAACCACGGCGAGCGCCCAGTTTCGTTTCAGCTCGAAAAGCTCAATCTGTCCGGGACTGGCTTCAGCATCGAGCCCGAGAAGGTCAAGTCGCTACCGGGCGCTCCACACTATGAATCTGTCGAGTTTCAAGTGACCTTCCAAGCCCGGAGCCAAACAACCGATCTGGGCCACATCGAGGTCGATTTGCCAATCACGGTCAATGGCGGCCCGACGACTATCCTGGTTCTGCGTGCCGAGGTGACCTTGCCCGACGTGGCCATATCCTCAAACGACATCCTCTTTGGTGAGGTGATGTGCGGTCTGCGCAAGACCATCACCATCCAGATCCGCAACATTACCTCCGTGCCGGCCGAATGGATGGTCCACACCGCTGAGGGAGACTCGGGCCTGGGCGGTGCCAAGAAGAAGCAACCTCCCAAGAAACGTGTTGGTCAGCTCGTTGTCGACGACTTTGAGATCCTGCCTTGTTCAGGGGTTCTGCAGCCCAAAGAAAAGGCCCTCATCACGCTCAGATTCTTTCCTTCTCAAGAAAAGGACTACGATATATCTTTGCCCATCAAGGTGTCGATGAACTCCAAGCCCAGCCAGATTCGGCTGTGCGGACGCGGCATCACCCCACGCATTCAATTTGAGCCCGAGACCATGGCTATGGGCCCGATTCTGCCGTGCTCCGACGGGATCGAGTCCAAGTTCATGGTCTTCAATCCGACAAACTACCCACTCGAGATTTACACCCTCAACTTTGACCAGCAGTACATTGAGGAGGAGGATATCCTGCGCAAGCTCGACGGATATGTCAATGGGGTGATCTACTTGCCTCCGCGGATCCCCGGTCAGCCTCTGCCCGACTATCTCATCGATCTTGTCGGTCAAAAGGGCAAGGTCGAAAAGGGCATGATCAAGGAGAGCCCCGGGGAGGTAGCAGTGTCTCCCACCCCTGCGGCAGCCGTGAAGACCACAGGGGCCGGCCATGAGCCTGGAGTTGGGGATATCCAGTTGGAGCTCGGGGGTGGTGTTCCCGGACGACCGGCCAAAGTTCCTGCCGATCCCGACCCTCCGATGAATGTTCTGGTGCACGGGCCGCCATTTTCAGGAAAGACGACACAGTCCAAGGCCATCTCGAGGGAGTTTGGACAGGTCTACATCCGCATCGACGATATCATCGAAGCACATCTCGCTGCCGAATCCAACTACTCTGACGGCTCGGCTTCGCTGCAGCGGAGTAAAGATGCTGTCAAACTCGAGGAAGAGCGTGGCTTGGACCGCGTCTCCACCCGCAGCTTCAACGTCGACGAGAGCGATCGCATGTCCCAGGCGGAATACTGCGAGGTCGTCGATCCGCAGCAGCCTGTGAACATCTCGGAGGAGAATCTGCTGGAAATCATTCGGGCGCGCCTCCAGCGCGAGGATTGCATTCTACAAGGAATCGTGGTCGACGGTATCGAGAGCAAGTTTGTCGGTAATCCGGTGACTATCCTCAAGGCCATCATGCGTGGATTGGGTGAGCGAAAGAAATTTGTTTTCTTCAACGTCAGCCTCGACGTACCGCACATCCGCGAACGAGAAATGGTCGAAAACAAAGCGCAAGGAGACAAGGAGCTGGCCATGCTTCAGGTCAAGGACCTGACCGAAGAAGAGTACGATGCCATGTCCGAGCTGGAGAAGGAGCAGTACGACACTGGGCTGCTCAAATATAAGCGCCGGCTCAAAGAAATCCAAGACCGCCGCAAGGTCGAGCGGCGACACTGGGAAGAGGAGGTTGCCCAACGCATGGGGGAACGCAAAGTTGAAGAGGAGGCCAAGCCTGTCAAAAAAAAGACCGCCCGGGGTGCTCGGAGCACCGCCGGCAAGAGCAGCGACAAATCGACGGGCAAGAGCGCCAAAGCTGGCGAGAAGGGTGGAGGCGGAGGATCGCCCAAGCTCGCCCGGAAGACTGTCTCGGACAGAAATGACAAGGGCATGCCCGACAAGGCCGAGAAGTCAGATCGAGATCGTCCCGATCGCCTCGAGAAGCTGGAGGACGAGAATGCCTCGCGGCTTACGCTCAGCGAGTACGGAGACATTTTCTTTGCCGAACAGACATCAAGGCGTTACGAAGCCTATGCCGCCGCCCTGGAGGCCATGATGGTGTTCATCAAGGAAGGCGACAAGCCCAATGCCGCACGAGCGGCAAACGGACCCGGAGCAAACGATGCACGCAAGCCCACCAAAGCCGCCTCTAAGGTGCCATCGACAGGGGCCGCCATCAGCACGCAAGAGCCGCCTCCAGCCGGAAGCACCGTGTTTACCGATGGTGAGCTGCATGTGACCGAAGACGGCACGCAGGTTTCGTACCAAGAGGTCAACGGCGCCATGGACGAGGCCAGCTTGTTCAAGGCCATGGCCGAGCATATCCCCAAGAAAGAAGAGACCGCCCCCCCTCCCGAGCCCGTGGACGTCATCCCAGCACCGCTCGTTGAGCAAATCGTGCACTTTCCCGGGGAGCGTGATGTGCATCCTCTGCAGCAACACTTCTGTCTTCTCCCTCCTGTCACGGCTGCCGAAGCGGAAGAGGAGGGAGCTGCTCAGCCCGACGGCTCGGTCAGCGTGGTTGTTCCGACGATCAAGACCGAGCCCCAGGCCCCAGGGAAAAAGACACGCTTTACAAACAAGTTTGCTGAGGATACCAGGGTGCCCGAAAATGAGGAAGAGACTGTGGTCAAGGATGTCCAGACAAAGTTCCGGTGGATAGTGCAGCCCAAGGAAAAGAAGGAGCTGACGATCCGATTTTCGTCCAACGAGACCGGAAAGTTCGAACAGACAATTACTTTTGAGATTGTCGGTGGCCGTGGAAAGTTCAGTCTCCACTGCGTTGGGTTCTGCCAACACTCGCAAATCAACGGCGACTACCGCAAGATCTTCAGCAAGTTCAGAAAATCCAAGGAAGAGAAGGCGATTGTGCACGGCGAATTCATTGCCTCAACATCAACCTTTGAGTTTGGTCCACTCCTCTATAGCAAGCCGCGCGAAAAGTATTTGGAAAAGTTTCCCGAGAATCGTGCCATCTTGACGATCACGAACGCAACTACCAACGACATCAAGATCCACTTTTCGCTCAAGCACGATGTCAAGTCCGATGTCTTTTTTTACGAGCCCGCGATCATGGACCTCGGGCCGCAACAGACCTTGCCGTTCACGCTCTGGGCTTATCCGCGGTCGTCCAACACCTTCGAGGACACCTTGATTTGCTGCGTGAGAGACAACCCAGAGCCCTATTTGTTCAAGGTGTCGTGCATCGGCGTCAAGCCCGAGCTTGAGATCGACAAGAAGTTCTTGTCGTTTGACAAAATTTTGCTGGGTCGCACGGAGAAGCGTGAGATCAAGCTCAAGAACAATACTTACATGCCCGTGGCGTGGAAGTTGGTGGGTGTCGATGGTCTTGGAGACGAGTTTTCGGCTGCCCCGACAGAGGGCATCATTGACTCATTCACAGAGAGTGTCGTCACGGCCGAGTTCCACGGCAACAAGCCCGTCGTTGTCAAGCGTATGATTCGTCTTGAAGTCTCCGACACCGAGAAGATTGGCGGTGTCGTTCAGGAAGTCCCCATTCTGGTTACTGCAGAAGCATATGACATTGCCGTTGATGTGCACTTCCCAAAAGGCTACGAAGGCGGCATTGACTTTGGTGTGCTCAAAGTCATTCCTCCCAAAGATCCCAAGGACCCCAAGGACCCCAAGGCGCTCAAGGACACAGCAGTCAGTCCTCCTGAGGACACCGTCAAGCTGGAGACCAAAACGTGGACCCTCAAGAACAAGGGCAAGTACGAAGTTGGCTACCGGATCGTCTATGAGAAAGAGGAGTACAAGTACATGTTTCCGATCGCGCCGTCGGTGGGTCCTCTCCAGCCCTCAGATAAGCCGGTGTCGGTGACGATTGGGATACGGCCGTCGCACGAGTTTACTCTCAAGGACATTGTCATTGCCCGATATCAGTTTTTTGAGCCATCGACACTCGAGGTTACTGCGACGGTGCCTGTGAAGATATGTGCCCGTACGGTCTTCAGTCGGTTCTCGGTCCTGCCTGTGCAGGACCTGAACTTTGGCGCCCTAGTCTTTGGAATCAAGGGCACGCGTCAATTCACGATCGAAAACATGGGTGAATTTGATTTCAAGTACGGCATTTACAAGATTGTACAGGGCATGCTCGACGCCAAGCAAGGAAAGCGCACCAACACATCCCGCATGTCCAAGATTGTTCGACCGAACTCCCCACCGCCGACGACCAAGGGCCCAAACCGCAAGGAGTTTTCAAAGATGGGCGACGCAGCCAACTTTGGCGCCTTCACCGTGTTTCCCACAAATGGCACCGTGGCTGCCGGCATGAAGCAGCAAATAACCGTCGAATTCCACTCCGACACCCCCGGGAGCTTTGAAGAGATGATTGCCCTTGATATCTCCGACCGACCGCCCACCGAAGATGTGATCGCCTACCGACTGATGGGCGAGAGTTGCGTACCAGGCATCAACACGTATGACTTGAGCTCGATTTTCGAGGAGCACACCATCTGCAAACGGCTGGAGCTGTTCAATTCTCAGGGCAATATCTACGCCGAGGAGGATCGCGTCTTTTACTTTGGCGCTTATCTGGTCTTTTCGCAAGGCCAGGCGCGGTTCAAGATCATTAATCCTTACAAAATCACCTGCGACGTGTCGCTTGCGACAAAGCCTCGGTCCAAAACCAAGTCTGACACAGCCGATTTCGCCTTTGACGTTGATCCAAAGAAGCTCACTATCCCGAGCCACGAGTACCGCTATGTCACCGTGAGTTTCCACCCCACCCTCATCCAATCGTATGCCGGCATTTTTGAAGCGGTCGTGGAGAATGTCAGCGAGTCCAAGTCCAAGATTCTGTCGTTTGAGATTCGAGGCGAGGGCAGCCTCCCTCGCGTCGTCATCGAGAAGCCCACGACAAAGTCCAAGCTTGGAGCTCCCCTACTCAAGTTCCGTCGGATTCTTGTTGGGGCCTCGCAGAGCCAGTCGATTCTGGTCAGAAACGAAGGCATACTGCCGGCGACAATCAAGTTCGAGTGGGGTCCAAAGGACTCCTCGGACTTTGAGTGCGGCAGTGTCAACAAAACTCACACTCTACGACCGCAGGAGATGAGGTCGTTTGAACTGCTGTTCACGCCGCGCAGCATACGGAAGGTTGAGTCCGATATTCGCATCCGTGTCATCGACAATAACTTTGAAGACATCGTCGTCCAGCTTGCTGGAGAGGGTTACATGGACGATCTTACCTTTGATAACCTTGGCGGCGAGTCAAATCAAAACGAACTGATCATGAGCGACTGCCACCTCAACGAAATCAGAACATGCTCGTTTTTGGTTGGCAACAACTCCAACGATGTCCTGAGGATCATCTGGCCTGAAAATACCGACTTTGTCTTTTCGCCTATGGTGGCTCATGTTCGGGCCAAGGGAAGCAAGGAGTTTGGCATATCGTTTTGCCCGAAGCAGCCCTGCGATTACAAGGCTGTGCAGCTGGCGTGCAAGTCCATCAAGATTCGTTATACCGGAGCCACGCTCGAGTCCGACTGGGACGATCGGAGCAAAGCAATCAAGTGGACAACCGACCGAGGCGGCAAGGATGCAACGGCTCCGCGCAAAGTCGTCGAGACCTACCCCGAGCCCGCCTACGAGATGGCCCAGGGCGCCATATTCACCGAGCACGTGCTCTTGGTCTCTGCCTTTGCTGATTACTGCGAGTACGAGTGCGACATCAACGCAATCAACTTCAAGAGCACCTTGATGTTCCAGACGCGTGTCTACCGGTTCTCGGTCAAAAACACGGGCAAAGTCGTTCTCAAGTACACCTTTGGGTTCTACACCGACAGCGGTCAGCCTGTGGACCAAGCCTACGACGACTGTCCATTCTCGGTCGTCCCTGCTGGTGGGTCGATCGAGGTGGGCGAGGCGCTGGTTGTGACGGTGCGATTTGCACCCCAGGACGTCGCGAGCTACAATTTCACCCTTTACGGAATGATGCCGAATCTGCACAAGGAGCAGAAAGCTCTTGTCATCAAAGTATCTGGAGAGAGTCTTCGGCCATTCTGCCACTTTGAGCTGAGCGACAGCGACTACATCACCGGGGAGCGTCGCAACCCTGAAGTCAGCGCCGCCAACGGTGTTCCGGTCACCCTCGAGCCCAATACCAAGGTGGTGGAATTTGGCTCGTGTGGTGTCCGTGTTCGCAACACAAAGCGCTTTTACATCGTCAACCCAACCAACACCACCTACGAGTTTGAGTGGACACATGAGGCCGGTAACGACGCCAAAGTCTTTCGGTGCCTCACCCCGAGGGGAATTGTGCTGTCCACGAAAAAGTTTGAGATGGCGTTCGAGTTCACTCCCGAGACCATTGAGCTCAAGGCAAGTTTGACTTCTATCCGATTGCGCTGCAGGAGGTGGCGCAGCCAACCTGTTATTGCCACGACGATAGCCGCCAGCTTGTCTCATCCCCTGGAGTCGATGACGAGCCGGAACTGGTCGCGATATATGTGCTCATATGTTACTAAATGTATATGCTCTTGTGCGATTCGGGGGACAGGAGTCGCTCTGGCGGTTTACCATTCTGGGACATAATCTATCGATCCCTTTCCTGCTGGTGGGCCAAGCCCTTGAGCCCAACGTCTTCATGGATCGCGTCAGCGTTAACTTCAAGTCAATTCTTGTCGGCCGCCAGGCTCGAGAAGTCGTCAAACTGGTCAACAATGAGTCAATTCCATTCGCGTTTGTTTTTAACGAGACATCCTTTGAGCTGAGCCCCGACGGCACACCGGTTCTTCAGTACTCCCCATCATCAGGTACGGTGGGTGCACATGGTGAAGTTCCGATCGACGTTGTCTTTTGCCCGTCGTCGGAAAAGTCGTTCAACTTCAACCTGATGTGCAATGTACGCAAGAAACCCACGCCTGTCGGCATCAACATCAAGGGTGAGGGCTATGAAATCCATGAGTCTCTCCAGAGCGAGCTGGCCGATGGATCGGTCTTTGAGCTGGTGTCGAGTCCCGGAGACAACACCATTGACTTTGGACAGGTTCAGCTCAACGAAAAGCGATTGAAGAATGTCACCATTATCAATTCGGGTCGATTCAACTTTGACTACTCTTGGAAGTTCCTCAATAAGCCCGGTGGCTTGCTGAGCATCTCTCCCGAGATCGGCACTGTCAACAAAGGCGAGCGTGCTGTCTGCGAGATTACCTTCCTTCCATCGTCCAGCATTTGCCTTAAAAATGTCAAGGGCATTTGCCAAATTGTCAACGGACGCACCTATACTGTCAGCATCACCGGTAGCGGATGCAAGCCCATGCTCAAGCTCTCCAAGACGGTGCACGACTTTGGCACGCAGTTTGTCCAGCGACAGGGATTGACTCCAGCCAGCACCACAGTGACGGTGACCAACGACGACGTCAAAGAGGTGTCCTATGATATTATTGCGCCAGACACGGGTGTTTTTGATATCCAGCAAGGTCCCCGTACCCTTGCTCCTGGCGAGAGCTCGGTCATCGAGGCGACTTTCTACCCCAAGGAGCCCAAAAAATACTCCGAGATCGTTACGATCGATGTCAACAACCTGCCTACGATGCAGCTGGAGTTACTAGGCGAAGGCACAGAGTTCAAGATCGAGGTTCTCAATCTGGAAAATCGGGCCCTCAACTTTGGCGCTGTACGGGTGGGACATGTGGTCACACGTACCGTCAAAATCATCAACCGCAGCCCGATCCAGACTTTGTTTAGTCTGGGCACGCCAGCAAGCATCGAGGCTCTCTCGGCCAACATGGTTACATTTGCGCATCCGCTCAATGAAATCACATTACGCCCCAAGGGCATACTCAACTTGGATCTCAAGTTCTATCCGCAGCAGAGAATCCCCCCGTTCTCTGAAGAAGTTTTCCTAGAGGCCCCGGGATTTTCCAGACCGCTGTTTGTTGTTATGGGGGCATGTCAAGGAATCGAGGTCAAGCTTGAAAACGAAACCTTGCCCTTCGGGGCGGTGGTTCAGAGGAGCTGTACAACGCGTAGGATCCAGCTGCAGAATGTCGGCGATATTGGAGCAAAGTTTCACTGGGACATCTCAAAGCTCTCACCAGACTTTTCGGTCTCTCCGCACGAAGGATACATATCTCCAAGCATGGAAATCCCGCTGGAGATTGAGTTCCATCCGACAGAAGTCAATCCAGATATTCGGTACGAGAACGTTCCGTGTATCATTGAGGGATCGGCCCCAATTTACCTGACCCTCACCGGAATGTGTGTGAGTCAGCCACTGCAAAACGAAGCAGTCAAGTTCTCGTCGCCTGTCCGACAATCAGATGTAAAAAGCATCACCCTCACGAACAAAACAACGACCCCTTGGCGCATCCGCCCGATCATCGACAATGAGTACTGGTCTGGTCCGGAGGTCTTTGACGTCGAGGCGGGCCAGACAAAGTCCTATGACGTCGCTTTCACCCCCTTGGACATGATCGGATCCGGCGATGCCGGACGACACGAAGGGTCGATATTTTTCCCGCTACCGGACGGCAACGGAATGCTGTACAAGTTGTACGGCACCGCCGAGAGACCCCTGCCTGCTGGCACCATCACGCGCGAAGTGCCCTGTAAGACGCCTTACACCGAAGTAATCTCGGTGACCAACTGGCTGAAGCGCCCACAGCGGTTCCGGGTAGTTACCGAAGTCGCCAAGGCCGATCCATCCGTTATCCTCAAGGGCCACGACTTTATCGATGTTCCTGGGCTTCTGACCAAGGAATATAAGCTGTCGTTCTACGCTTATCGTGAGGGCATTACCAACGCCAAGGTGACATTCAAGAACGAGCAAACCCAGGAATATCTGTTCTACAACCTGGCCTTCAAATCGACTCCGCCGGGCGTGATAGGGGTGCTGGAGCTCAACAGTGTGGTCCGTCAAGTGAACTCCAAGGAAATAACTCTCAACAATCCGCTGAACAGCCCCGTCACTTTTACTGCCGCGTGCCCTCATCCAGAGATTACGCTGCCACATACATTCACGGCACAGGCCAAGTAAGTATGCGGGGCACCATTTTGTGCAGACCCGGGCGTTTCTACGACCGGAAGAGCATTGCTGATGCTCGATCGCAGGGCTCAGTTCCGTTGACAGCCTTTGGGCACTGTCGCGACGTTGCAACTCATGGGACCCCGTAATCTATGAATTTGCAATGTGGTGTTCAGATCGGATGCCGTATGCTTGGTTGAGTTTCTACCGCTCCTCCCACGCGAAGCAACAACTCGGCTGACGATCACGAGCCAGGATCTCGGACTTTATCAATACGACATGAGGCTCATCTCAACCGTCGCATCGCCCGAACGAAGCTTGCATTTCAAAGTTGGCCTTGGGGGAAGTCAAACGCAAATCTTCCGCTTTTTGAGCTATGCAAAGTCCAAGACAGAGTTCACTTGCAAGGCAGACAGTCCTGACTTTAGTGTCGAAAAATCGGTCACGGCGCCCTCAGGTACAGGGCCGATAGTTTCCTAGAGCTCGGTGCGGCTGGCTCTGCGAGATGACCTAGACAGTGCCGTTGGTACCTTCTTTCTGTGTTGCTCAGCTGTCCGTGGGTCGACGTCTCTTGCCCTCCAGTCTTCCTGCTCTGCGTTGCTAGCACTAACACGCCCTGTACAGCTTCAGGCAGCGGAGTCGAAGTATCCCTGGATGTCACATACGAGCCTTCCAAGCTTGGCGACGTTCGCACCCAGCTGGTGGTGTCCTCGTCGACAGGCGGCGACTACTGCTGCTCGCTCTACGGACACTGCATCGCACCACGACCTCAGGGCCCCATAACCATCAAAGCAGGATCGGCCGCCTCGGTTCCGTTCAAAAATGTGTTTGCCCAATCTGCAACGTTCACGTTCGTGATGGTGAGCATCCAGAACCCATTTGATGCTGCCGCATGGCCGAGCACGAGCTGGCTATTGACCAGGAACCAACTCTTGCCATGTCCATGGTGATGCCGGGCTGCTTGTTGACGACATGGTCTGCACTTTCAGGACAATGCTGCCTTCACCGTCAAGGCCACCGAGGCCATTCCGGCCAAAAAGACAATCACGGTATGTCCTCTATCACGCACCGGTGCACACTCAGCTGTGATACCTGTGGATGATGTTGATGACAGCCAAGCCAGCTGCACCGGTCCTCCACGACAGCGCCGAAAACAGGTGTCCTCGCTGACACTCCTCATTCACTCGCTCCCACCAGATGGCAATCACTGCCCTCCCGATCTCGGCCCAAGCTGGTAAGCGGAACATTGCGTGGCCATCTTTGTTGCAGAGACTTGGGAGGGAGGGCTTCATCATCTGCTGACCGTATTTCCGCCATCCGCTGCATCGCCATATCCAGCTGCTTCGAAACTCCCAAAGTTTGGCAAGCTCACCGTCACTCACAAAGGAAGCAATATCAGCTGGGTTTACTATCTCAAATCGGCATGAGCACCGATGATGATACTCGGAGACGCTTCCACGATGCAGTGGGTCAATACAGATGGCTTTTACAGCCTATCCAATAAAGAACGGGACACCCTTGATTTTGACCATTGATCGAATATTTTGTTGCCCAATACCATCGCGCGCTGACCATGACCATTCGCCAGAGTGTCCAAGAGCACCATTCACCGCTGGCACTCCGACATTAGTGCAGGTCGATTGTGGAGACCGGAGAGCGACCGGTGGTCTTCACTCAGAGGCTGCCGAGGTGATCTGGTGTATTTCCTATGGCATAGTTGGACGCATGCCATCACAGACTACGCTATCGTATGGGCTGTGGGCAAGTGTCCCATTTCCCCCCTGAATAAAGCGTACCATCAGAACAGAGTGTGAAGTGGAGATGACGCTTGGAGCAAGCGTCGGGATGAGTGGTTCCGTAAGCGTTCTCTTCTTCCTATAAACACCGGGAACTCCAGCTTGCAGGGCTGTTCGCATTCAAGATCCTGGAGGGGCCCCTTCTGCAGCCCTGACTTCTTTGACAGCTTGATCGCCTTGCTGACCAGCGTAGCCCGCTTGGGCTCCGTAGGTCTGGTTGTACCAATCGGCGTAAGCGGGATCGTTTGCGTATTGTGCGTAATAGTCCGCATAGGCTTGGTAATCGTACTGCTGCTGCTGCTGCTGCTGTTGTTGTTGTGGCTGCTGCGGTGGCTGTGAGCCACTGCTTGGATCCTGAGCACCGTAATAGCCACCATAGCCTGTGGGTTACAGTGTTGGGGCGCGAAACAACATCAGTTCGTCAGCAGCCGTGGCCCGTCGTGGGGCAGATTGCAGCTCGAGAGCTCTTGGGTTACATTTTCACGCTCGTTGGTGTGAAAATAAGACATACCTCCATAGTGAGAGTTGTACGGCTGCTGTTGGTGTTGCGATGGATCGGCGCCATAGCTGCCCTGATATGGGTTTCCACCATCACCGTAGCCCTGGGGCCCGCCGTATCCTTGCTGTCGCTGGTACGAGGGAGGTGGAGGTCCACGTCGTCCGTACTGACGCGAAGATGGCCAAAAGGAGCAGCGTGGGTAAGCATATGAGCCGATGGCTGATCCAGAGCTTGTAAATGGCCGGTTGGTGGTATGTCGCTTGCTTGGTCGACGTTTGGCCAACGTGGGTGTTTGTGGCGAGTGCCTTTGCAGAAGCCAAGGCGACACTTACATTGGTCTTCTCCAGTATAGCCTGCTTGGCGGCCTCGATGCTCTCAGGCAGACCTGGTGACCGATATCTAGGTAAGTGGCTGAGCGCCGCCCTGCTAAGGGCCGGTATCTGGATCGAATCTGATAAGCAGAGCACATACCCGTGATAGCGACGGCGCGACCTTGAGGACCCGGGGTTGGATCGACCAAGATTCGGACTCGGTACATGTTCTCCAGCCCTCGGACGGTGTCGCCCTCTGCATATGTGGATGCATCGTGCATCGAGGCAAGACTATCAGTTGATGGCGCACGCCTGGACAGCGCGGGCAGCGAACAGAGCCTTTAAACAGGCGGACACTACTTACTCTTTCCGATGACGTACGAGACTTTGTTGTCGGGGATGTACATCCGGTCTGTTATGCTGTGGTCAGCAGGTCCCATGCCGCTAGGGCCGCCAGGGTATCTGGCCGAGTCCATATCCGAGCCTCCTCGGAAGTGACCTGGATATCCAGGAGGACCGCCAGCGCCACCTTGGAAGCTGCCCGGTGGGCCGCCAGGAGGCTATTTGGTGCAAGCATTCGTCAGTGACCCCATGCAAAGACAGGGGACTCGATTGAAGACACAAAGGCTCGGCGTTCGAGCAACCATACGTGTTTCTGATCAAAATACCCACCTTGGGGCTGTTGATGACTTCCATGATAAGGGCCTTTGCGTGCTCGATGTTTTCGGGGGTGCCAGTGATGATGAAATCCTTTGTGGCACCATCGGGATCTGCGTTTCGATCGGACGAAATGGTGGTGCGGCTCTGGTATTCGAGCTGGCGGATCTTGTCTCCTCTGCTGCCAATCACCACGCCAACTGAGGATCGGAAAGAGTCCGTGAGCATAATGATGGCTTATAGTCCCGATCGACATCGACCATAACCAACACGCTCTGTCGCGTCCGCGGGCTTACCTCGGTTGCTTGGAACCGGGAATCGCACGACAATGGTCTCAGAGCTGGACTGCGAAGGCTGGGAAGGCTGTCCCGAGATGGTTCGCTGAGCGTTGTCGCAGGACTGCTTGATCATTTCGATCGCACGGGCAATGTCGCCATCGGCACCGATGATTGTGCATTTGCGCTCAGGATCACCGTTTTCTGTAGATTTGGGGGAAGGGAAGGAAGCAGGAAGCCGAGACATTGCCCGTAGGAAGATGTGATATGTAAATCGCCGCGGGCTGGATGCTGATGCCCAAGGGACATGCTGAGGAGGGTGCTTAGTGACCTTGTGCTAGCTGAATTCGGCAGTTTGAATCCCGCTCGAGTCTCTTCAGATTCTCTCCGGATCGACCAATCAGCAGTCCGACCTGTGGAAGATTGGCTGGGTGCTCAGTTCAAGGCGCTGCACAACCGGGCGATTCCGGTTCGTGCGCCTCGCAGTCAAGACATCAGACATGTTGGATGCGCTCACATGGTATAGTGTCTACTGCCCCGATTCTCAGAGGCGCTGACTTACCAGCTCACTGGGCACTGTGGTTTCGGTCGATGTGCGAGGATCGGCCCTGCCTGGGCCGTAGCGCATGTCCTGCTGCCTTCGCTCGGTGCTTCCGAGTCCGTAGCGCTGGCGTGCATTGCCATTCTCGGGCGACTCGTAGGCCAAATCATAGCTTTGGCGCTTGGTGTCACGATTCTGCCCATAGCTCTGGGGATCCTCGCTTGTCTCCTGGTGTTCTTCAGGTGCCTTGTCACGGTCGTCTCGTCGGTAGCCCGACGACGGAATGGGCGTGCGCTCCCGAGGCTCTTCTTCTTCGACCTCCGAAAACGTACGTTTGGCTGCTGTTGTTTCTGAGGTATCCGCTGCGGCTGGAGCTGCAATACAGGGCGACAGACGCAAAAACGCACCAGGGAAAGGATGAACAACCTGCCACCAAAGCAACGCTCGCAGTCATGGGCTGGAAATACATACGCTGATTGGTCTTGGATTCAGCCAATAACCGTGCGGCCGTGGCCTTGGCCTTTTCGATGGCACTCGAGATATCCTGCTGGTAATCAAAGAGAGGCAGAATGGGTTGGTGGTTGCGCCAGCGTCGAGAAGAGCGCGAAGGACACTAATAGAAAGCTCGGAGTGGCCGCCATCTGGCGACAGACCCAGCAAAAGAATAGCCTCCGGGTATCATGCGACGAAATGTGCCACATCCATGGACTATGGCAAGCAGGGCGTGTTTCTCAGCAAGTGGCACGCAGAGCTGGGACTGGCCAGGGGCCACTCCAATGGTCTTTCAGGGCTTGCAGCAATCGAGGAGAGCAAGCAGCAGACTGTGCCGACACGGCCATACGGAGCAGACAACTGCACCGATCGAGCAGACCGAGATAAAGATCCAGCGATCCCCCTCTGGATGCCGAGATACTTACGCTTTTGTTTGCCGACTCCATCTGGGCACGCTTGGGGAGGTTGAGAGCACTCGCGACGGATCCTGGGATCGAGATCGGTCGCAAGATCGGGCAGGAGATCCAATCAGACTCTATGCCGATGCCGCAGAGAGCAGAAAGAGAGAGGGACATACCTGGCAGAGAGCGTGAGCGTTACGACGGGTGGAGCGGTGCGATCGCCGTGGGGGGGGGGAGGCTCCTGGTGATCGCTCGGCAGCAAAGATGCAGACGAAGCCGCCCAACACGCCTCCAGCCAGACGGCGGCCAGACACGCCGGCAGCCGAAGCCGGGACGGCTGGCTTGCTGCGCGAGATGCGCAGCGGGCCGGATCGGGAAGGTTTAATATGCCGCCGTTTTTTTGTTTTTGTCGCTCGGCCAGCACAGACACCCCGATCGCCTGCACTCGCATCAGCGGCAACCCACCCCTCGGACTCAACGGCCGTCGAGGAGCCTGTGCAGCTGCATTACGGTAGACTGGGCGTTGGGGGCGCTGTGTGTCCTGCTCTGTCATTTGGTGTTTGGCGCTCGCTTATTCTGGGCTCGCTTGGTGCAGCGACATTGACAAGCTGGCTGCTCCCTTCATCTCCAGATATCCGTCCAGCGTCCATCCACACACCAGCATAGACAAAGATGAGCTCGGCAGCAAAGGAGCTCAATACCACCGAGAGCTCCAACCGGTTTCGGGTGAGTTTGCGGCCGGCTCATGGATTCGGCCGATGGACTGGCTTTCGTGCTTGGCCATCGCTGCGTGCGTCGTTTAGCTCGCTTGGCCTTTCTTGCGCGAGGAGTCTCATGTGCACTCTCGCCTCACCTGTGCATGCCATTGCCCGCCGCATATTCTTCAGTTCATTTCGTTCCAAGACCGAATCAAAAACATCAAGCTCAATATCGCCCATCGAGTGGCCCAGCTCCATGACGAGCCAGAGGTGTGCATGACTTCCCTTTCCTCAAAGCATGCTGCTAAGCCATGGCACAGCCTGATCTGACGCTGGGAAAATGTGCAGTCCGATGAAGGGGATTCCGGCTGCCCATCGACAGGATGACTTACTCCAGTGGCCATTGACGCGCTTCCTTCCAAACGCTCTTTCATTTTCAGGATGGCGACAGCTTTTTCAACGAAGGGCTTCTCAAATGGAGGGATACAAACTGCACCACCCACTTCACGCAGTTCTGCCGGGCCGTTAGCCCGCTCTGTCAGTCGCTCCCCCAGCTTCTCTATCACAAGGAAGCTATAGTCAAGCACATTGAGTCGTACATGACGATTGAACACGAGCTCGCCCTCGAGCCATTGCTCAAGTAAGACCGAGTTGATTATTGTGGCCATCCGCACCACGAATGGACAATACTCTGTCGCCCAAGCTTTGTGGTTGCATCTCTATGCGACAAGGCTTGGACATGTTGACAGCTGTTCAATTGTAGCATGCGCACTCGCCTGCATTGGTGCTGACGACGGTGCCGATGATGACACCGAGGTCGATGATGATGATCATGCTGCTGATACCGCTCTGTATTCAGTCTTGTGACGCTCATTGCTCGGGATCTGCAAGACGAGTTTTATCCCTACTTTCCCCGTGTATTTCTTTGCATGCGCGCCATTATCAAGAGCAATCCTGGCGCAGCAATCTATGAGGTAAGCGAGCGCATCCATGCAAATATGATCGCCCACGCCCAGTGCCGTCTATGTAGAATCATGGCCATCGATTGATATCTGTCGAGGGCACAACTGACAGTCCGTGACTCGAGTAGATGGCATTCCAGTCCATGGCCTACCTCTTCAAATACTTGTCCGCGGAGCTGATTCGTGATGTTGATGCTACCTACGAGTAGGCGGTCGTTTCCTCGATAGATAGCAACCTGCTTGGCAAAGATATTTTGTCGCCGTCTGTGTTGCATCTCACGCCATCGCATCAACGGCGAGTAATTGACTCTTGATACCACCGCACCCACGTTAGTCTTGTGCTGCCCTTGCTTGGCGACTCAAAGTACTTTGTCCGGAACTTTACGGCTGAGGCATATGGGTTCCTGCTCCGGAAGGTGACCGGTGACCGTGCCGACAGAATCTTTCATAATATGATCTCGTCGCTCGAGGAATCGCAAAGCCAAGATCTCTGCGATGGCTTGGCAGTCACGTTTTTTGAGTCCATCAAGGTATGTTCCTCGAAAGGGCTTCAGCCGGGCAGCCTTACACTGCTCCAGGATACATAGAACCTTCGCAGACCCTGCATGTGGAACCAATGGCCCTTCTGACACACTCGGCAACACAGCATGTCAATCACCACCTTCATTCCAAGGCCAAGCTCACTCTCGCCCGTCTCTTGGCGGCAGTTTTCAAACAAACAGACGAGAATGGTTCGTTGATATCAAATATGCTCATTTAGTGGGCCAGTTTTAGCCTCAGAGCGTGGTATGCTTCCGTAACTGACTCGTTTCGTGTTTTGCACAGACATTGCCTTCGAAATGGCCGTCAAAGTGTTTGCCATGTCAGCTCATCATGCCAACTCAGCAACACTCTCAGAGGTCTTTGATTTGGCGATCGAATCGGTCGAGCAGCAGCAATCCGATTTTGATATTGCAAGTGCCTCTCCGGAAAAGCTGGTCACATTCGGCAAATCCCACGCTGTGCTCAGCACCCTCGTCGGCCTGCGAAAGGGCACTCGTGTTACAGGTAGACGTGCAGGCGTCTGTGCGTTCGGCAAGCGCTATTGAGTGGATTGATATGTTCCCATGTCACTGCCCAATCTTACCGACAGCTGTTTTGATTCGATAGATCTGAAGAGACTGTTTCGACTTTTCGAACAGTCGCTGAGGCTTGTGGCCGCATCTGCCAGTGATAGCTATTGCGCCACGGAGGTCATCAAAGGGTATGCCACACTTGTCTCGATTTCACCCTTCGACGACGTCCTCGTTCTCGGACACAATGGCATCAAGATCGTCTTTGAACTCAAGGTATGTATCCCGATGTTGTCTTGACAGAATCCAATGGCTCCTCGGCCTTGTTGCAAAGCATCGGCGAGTCGTCTAATCTAGAACCGCTCTTGGCTATATAGAGTCGGATCTATACGCTGTTGTTTTGCGAGCAGTTGCAGTTGATGAACTGGGAGCACTATGGACGATTTATTGTGCCAAAGCTACTAGAGTAGGGAAATGCTTGTCGTCATTGTAGTCGCTCGCAGCTCTGAATCAGAAAGTTCCTATGGCGCCCGTACACTGCTTGGAGTGAATTCTCACGACTGCGTCGCCTGGTATTTCTTCACTTCGCGAACGGGCGTGCTCTTTGACCCAACCGACAGATTCTGGAAGACGCGATGGGATCAGAACATCGCCCTTGGAGTCTTGGCCGTGAGCCGTATATTCGAATCCGGATTCGAGGATTACATTCCGATGCTGCCAGCGGCGCTCAAGAGCCCGAGCGGTTTTGTCAAGCTCGCGGTGACTGGCGGAAAGGGGCCCAAGGGCACCCATGGCATACGCTTGGACGATCTTTTCAAGCTCCTGAACGCACTGCCGGCTCGCGCCCTGTTCATGGCCGATGCAACGGTACATTCTCCGAAACCTGTCCAACCACCACAGCTCGACGGCACTTTCTGTTGACACTACAGTGAAGTCTAACCATCTACATTGAATTTTCAGGATAACAAGGCCTCGCTTGTTTCAGCGTCGATTGTGTGCTTGCAGTACCTGGACATTGACTTTGATGTCGTATTCGGTGCACTGGTGCTGAGGCTCCGCGAGCTGGTCGGGGTCGCCCAAAAGTTGCCAAAGATCTCAGCTGCCAGCCTGGCATTCTCTATCATTGGCCAACTCCTTTCGGCAATCACCGTTCGGTGTCGCAAGTCGGGGCAAGTTGCTCAACTTGCTGGGCTCTGGGATTTGGTCGTACACGATCTGATCTCGGCCCTTGGCCGCCACTCGGTCATTTTGGAGGAGGTCACAAAGTTTTGTGAGGCCCTGCGCTACTCGTGAGTGCTCCTTGTCTGTTCGGTGTTCCGTCGTTGCAGACCGAAGCCCAGGATGATTCTCGCGTGTTGATACCGACGTATCTATGCAGCAAGTCGCTTAGTTTCATGCTGACATCCCAAACATCTATTCTACACGCTCCGAAGTGGCAAGCATGGAGAGTGTTTTACTGCCGAGAAGCTCAAGAGAGTATTCCCGGTTCTGAAGCCGCAGATCGGCTCATTCGATAACAATACGCGCAAGCATGCCTTGGCCATCCTTCTTCTCTTTGATCAGCTTCCGCTGGTGTATTCTTCCGAAAGCGACCATTCCGGAACATGCCCTATCCTGCAATACTGTTACGACATTGAGTGTCTTGAAAACTCGATCCAGTCGCTTCGTGAAAAAACCATGCTGTTGAGAAAAATCGATTCCCTCGTAACTTCCAAGACCCTGCCCGCCCTTTATATCGACGTGCCTGTGCGCTACTTCCTCGGTAAGTTGTGATGCTCTGCCATACTCAGCCAAGGCATCGGCTTTTCCAATATTTGCTCATGCGATCGATCGCTGCCCTTCGACAACGGGAGCGCGCGTCGCCCCCGGGTTCAATGATGCAATGTCATCTTGTTTGCTAATGCTCGATGCTGTGTAGCTCTTCTGAGCGTCAATTTCGCTCCCCTGTGGCCGTCGGTCTCCCAGTCGCTCGCCAACGCGGCTTCGGCCGATCACAAGACTTTCTGGCCCATCTACTTTGAGCGGTTTCTAGAGGCCAAAGAGCAAAGTCTTCATCCCACAGATAAACGCGGCATCGAGAGCCAGTCAGCGTCCGAAGGGGGCTACAAGGCAATCAAAGACACCTATCTGAGATGCCATCATCTTGATCTCGTCAAATCATCCAACGCATCTGCATGCGAGGTCTACCGCGACGTTGAAGGGTCGCTATCGCTTGCTTTCATAAAGGTAAGAGATTGATTACGGATTCTTTGATCAGCACGCTGTTGAGCGACTGCTGATGCGGCACGGTTGGATTGGTCACGATGCATCGGCGAATGATAATCTTGGTCGAGCCGCCACGATTGCCACGATTGTCACGATTGCCAGAGATCTCTGGGCTGATATTCATCCTGCTCTCCGTCTTGACTTGCCGCAACCAGCGCTCAACCGTTGTTTCCGACCGAGTCGACTATGTCAACTATTTCCAGCTAACCATCAGAACCCTGGGTCTGTGCCCTCAAGTTGTTCAGCAAGAGTCCAAGTCGCTTGTCCCGCTGATCATCAACATACTGCGCAAACCGGCCGACGAGGATACTGAGATCCCAGGAGAGATGGCCGACGCACAAACTCAGCTGTCCGAGGCAGAGGCGGCACCGATGGATATGGATATGGATATCGATGCTGGTGAAGGGCATACCGATAACAAGGCAGCCGAGCCAAGGTCCAGATCGGCATCCCCAATGCAGATCAGAAACACAATCGTGGAGCTCCTGAAGATGTTTGCACAGATCCGCCGTCCTGCCAAATTGCATCTCGCCTCGGAGCTGTATCAAATTTATCTTGACTACCTGATCAAGGGCGATGCGAAGCTGCAGCAACTCGCGCTCGATTGCCTGTTCACGTTCAATGATTCCGGCGTGATTGCTTACAAGGAGCAGCTCCTCGGTTTGGCTGACGATCAGAAATTTCGTGACTTTTTGAGCACCTGGGACGTCGAGCAGATGCACGCTCAGATTACCGTTGACAAGTTACCACCCCTGATCGAGATCCTTATTCGCGTGCTCTACGGCAAGGTCATCTCTCGCCGCGGCCGACACAGCTCAAAGCACAGCCACCGCACCAGACGGCTGGCCGTCTTTGCGTTTCTGACTTCGCTCAGCGACTCAGAGCGACTGCGGTTTGTCGATGTGATGCTGACGCCGTTCAGCGACATCTTTGGGCAACCAGCCGCCCCCGACAACACGATGCAGCTGTTCCCGATTTCGGCCCTCCAGTCGCCCGATTCGCTCAACAAGCAGATTGGCTTCTTGCGCAGTCTCGAAGAACTTATCAAACAGTTCCGCACCCTCGTTTCGCCTTTTATCGACAAGCTCATGCGCGCCACCATATGCATGGCGTATCACGCCGAATGCACCCTGAGCAGCTCCAAGGCGCTTGCAGACTTGGGCGCGGGCGGCGCTCAATCAGACGGCGATGACAACTCCGAGAACGCCGACGAGGGTGTTGATGGAGATACCGACGGCCAGAGCAGCCTTGCTCAGCTGCGCTCCATTCGCCAGCTGGCGATTCGGCGGCTCACTCAGATATTCGATATGGATCTTGACGTGAATTACGGCTCGTTTATGCCGGCTATTTTCAGTAGCATCATCGACCCTCGGATCGATACCCTCGCGCGCGAGAATACTCAGGGGCCAAGCTCTCTTGTCGAGTTGGTGGTTACCTGGAGCAAGCACCGCCGAACTATTCCGTTCCTGGTTCGGTACAACCCCCTCCTGCTGACTCGGGCTCTTGCTCTGCTCTCAGCCAAGAAAGTGCATACTTGGGTCATTGCGTCGGTTACTTCAATCATCGAGTCGCTGCTGGAGTGCAGTACAGAGCACCCCGAAGACCTAGTGATGGACACGATCGTCAGGCCGCATCTTTCGGTGATTTTGGAGAAGCTGGGATACGCCTTGGTGCATCACATTATGGCGTCGTCAGGCCCTGTTCAGCTGGTGGGCGACAATGTTCCAACGCGCATCATTCGCGTTCTCGCCAAACTCTCCAATTTCGCTCAGAGCACCGAGCAGATCGAGTCCATCGTCGATCTGCTTGTCCCCTTCTTGAAGCGACCCGGCAAGTTCGTGCCCGAGATCATCAAAACCGAGATCATCACCATCCTGGCCAACTTCCTCCCGCACCTGCCAACGGTGCAGAGCCAAACACCGTCATCAACAAAGTACTATGGCATCGCCTCGCAGCTGTTTTCCATCACACATACTCGCGAGTGCCGCACCCAGGCGGTGGCTTTGTTTGCCCGCTTTGCTGAATTGGAACCCGAATTGGCTGTGGTTGCCGAGCTCGTCCAGGGCTTGAATGCTTTTTCGACCAGGCGAATGGACGAGCCTGATTTTGACCGCCGCTTCGACGCTTTCAACAAAGTCAGCCGAGAGCTCCACCCTGATCTCGTCCCGGTACAGTGGCTTCCTTTGCTGCATAACTTTGTGCACCATGTCCAGGATCCAACCGAGTACTCTATCCGAAGCAATGCCGCTTTTTGCATCGTCAAGTTCCTGGAAAACGCCGCCGCCCAGCAGGACTTGCAAGCAGAATACTCCGAGGCCTTCATGAGCCAGGTTGTCCATGTCGTCTTTCCGGCCCTGAAACGCGGCCTCAGGATCAACGCGGAGCCCGTCCGTCAAGAGTTTGTGGGCGTCTTGGGCTCCTTGGTGCGGCTGTTCCCCAGCGCTCCCAACTTCAAGGACATGGTTGTGCTTTTGCACGGTGATGACGATGAGGCCAACTTCTTCAGCAACATCAACCATCTGCAGATACATCGTCGCGCCAAGGCGCTGCGCCGGCTTGCTGGCGTGATTCAAGAGGGGAGAATCCAACCGGCCAACGTTTCCAATGTGTTCGTGCCCATGATCAAGCACTATATCTTCGCATCAGAACAGACAAGCGAGCAAACGCTCCTCAACGAAGCAATCTCCACCGTTGGTTCCTGTGCCGGAGCTCTCCCATGGGGCTCGTATTATTCGCTCCTACGACAGTTTACCATGGCCCTCCCGAAACTCCCCACCCTGGAAAAGGTGCTCATCCGCACCATTATTGCCATCCTGGAAAAGTTCCATTTCTTGATGGCGTTGGCTCCTGTCGCCGAGCCCGACCATATTGATGGCCAACCAAAGAGCGATCACGACAATGAGGCCGTTGGTGCCGAGCATGATGACGAAGAGGCTGAGCACGCCGAGGCCGAGGCCGAGCCTGTGGTGGATGCATCTGCCTCGAGCCAGTCTCAGGAAGCGCTTGCGATCAAGGTCCACAACATCTTGCTCGAAAAGATTATTCCGGATCTCTATAAGCTCCTTACCAAGGACGACGATGATACTCTCAGCAGCCGTGTACCCATCGCGCTGGCCATCGCTCGCCTTCTCAAGCAGTTACCAGCAGCTTCGCTCGACTTGCAGCTTCCTAAATTGCTTACCACAATGTGCAATCTTCTCCGCAGCAAGCGGCAAGATATCCGCGACACCACACGCGAGACCTTGGTCAAGATAGCGCTGCACATGGGTCCCAAGTATCTTCTGTTCCTCGTCAAGGAGCTGGATCGTGCGCTTCAGAGAGGCTACCAGCTTCACGTTCTTGGGTACACAATTCATCATTTGTTGATGGGAATCTGCCCCATGCTCTCCACCGGCGATTTGGATATCTGCACTGGGCTTCTCATCAAGATCATGGTGAACGACATTTTTGGCGAGACCGGGAAGGAGCGCGAGGTCGAGGAGCTCCGCGGCAAAATGCGCGAGATCAAGGCAACCAAGAGCTTCGACTCGTTTGAGCTACTGGCCGGTATCATTTCGTTTGAGCACATCGGGGCCGCCCTTCTGCCGCTGAAGGAGCTGATGCTCGAGACAAACAACTCCAAGGTCACGAAGAAGATCGAAGAGGTCCTGCGCCGCATGGCCCTAGGGCTCATCAAGAATCCTGATCTGACACCAAAGAACTTGATGATCTTCATACACGGCCTGATCAACGAGATACTCCCGCTTTCTCGCTTGGACCAGCAGAAGAAAGAAGCTGCCAGCGAGGCTGAAAAGACCTTCCTGGTCGAGCTCGGACGCACCAACAACGCGCAGCCACTGAAGTATTTCCAGGCCAATGCCTTCATGTTTATCGAATTCGGCCTCTCGCTCTTGATGTCTGCCCTCAAGCAAGAGAAAATATCGACGCGCGACCCGGACCACTTGGCCATGCTCGACCCCATGCTGACGGTGCTTGGGCGGTCGCTCTACTCGCAGCATGCCTCCGTCATTATCCTCGCCCTGCGTATTCTCTGCATCTTGTTCAAGGCTCCTTTGGCAAGCAGCAAGGAGGTGACGAGTGCGGTCCAAAAGCGGCTCTTTGAAATCATTGCCAAGGCCACCACCACCAACTCAGAGCTGGTACAGTCCACCTTCCGACTTTTGGTCGTCATTATTCGCGACTGCTCCGCTTCGGATGTGACCCAGAAACAACTCGTCACCATCATCACGATGATCCAGCCCGACATCGAGGAACCTGAGCGTCAAGTCACAACATTCTCGCTGATCCGAGCCATTCTCACCCGCAAGTATGTGGTCAAGGAAATCTATGACCTCATGGACACTGTTGCAACGGTGATGATCACCAGCCAAAGCGGGCAAGTCCGCGAGCTCTGCCGTGGCGTCTATCTGCAATTCCTACTTGACTACCCGCATGGACCGACGCGATTGGAGAAGCAGATTCGGTTTTTGGTGAAGAACTTGCAGTATCAGTACGAAAGTGGGCGAGAATCGGTCATGGAAATGCTCCACCTCGTGATTGTCAAGTTCCTGGACGAAGTGCTCTATGAGTATTCGGAGATGGTGTTCTTGGCGCTCGTGATGAGCATGGTTAACGACGAGTCTGCAAAATGCAGAGAAATGGCGGCAGCCCTCCTTGTCAGCTTACTGAAGCGCGTCGGTGTGGCCAAGGGCGAAAAGCTGATGACGATGGTCAACAAGTGGTTTGATCAGCCCGAGCAACTGCACCTCCAGCGCACCGCTGCCCAACTGAGCGGCCTCTTTGTCGAAGGATATCAACAAAGCGCCTCGAGATGGCTGCCTCAACTGCTGAAGCATCTACAAGCCCTGCTTGCGACCGTCATCGACGAAGTCGAAGCTTCCCAGGAAGATGATGAGTTTGATCAAGACGAAAAGCCCCAGCGGTGGGAGATTGGATACTACGCCTTGTCCACATTCAGCCGCATCGTTCAGGTCTTCCCGGCAAGCGCGACCCAAAAATCCACCGAGCCCATTTGGATCCAGCTTCGGACGCTTCTACTCTACCCACATCAATGGATCCGATCACTGAGTGACAAGATCCTAGGGGCGCTCTTCTCGATCCTTGACGCTGATGGGCAAGACGAGGGTCGCCATATTTTGCTCAAATCCCAGCAGGATACCTTCCAGCTTGCCATCCAGCTTCATCGGCAGCTTGGTTCGTCATTTTTAACGGCTGAGTGTGGAACCCAGCTTGTTAAGAACTTGTTTTTCGTCGGGAAGCAGCTCTACAAGTTTGAAGACGAAAGCAAAGACACTCTTGATGCCGATGCCGATGCCGATGCCGATGCCGATGCCGATGCCGATGCCGATGCCGATGCCGATGCCGATGCCGATGCCGATGCCGATGCCGATGCCGATGCCGATGCCGATGCCGATGCCGATGCCGATGCCGATGCCGATGCCGATGCCGATGCCGATGCCGATGCCGATGCCGATGCCGATGCCGATGCCGATGCCGATGCCGATGCCGATGCCGATGCCGATGCCGATGCCGATGCCGATGCCGATGCCGATGCCGATGCCGATGCCGATGCCGATGCCGATGCCGATGCCGATGCCGATGCCGATGCCGATGCCGATGCCGATGCCGATGCCGATGCCGATGCCGATGCCGATGCCGATGCCGATGCCGATGCCGGTGAAACCCGCAGCAACGATGAAGGCGACGATGATGATCACGATCGAGCGTCCACATCTGCTGGCGCTCTCCAACAGAGCCGAGCTCCCAACCAACGCCACAACAGCTCCGAAAACAGCCGCTCACCCCTGCTGACGTTATTCAAGAAGCTTTCATACATCGCCAGAATGGATGGAATGCGAAGAGCGAGCAACCCTGTTACTGTAGGTGACGCTTTGGCGGTTACCTCCACCACGCTACTGCGCCATGTCGGAGGCAAAGCGTGTAGTCTCCGATCAGTTTGCCCGATCCGTTGCTGTGCACCATTTAATTCTTACCGTTGCCTCCTCTCTAGAAAACAAGCATCTTTCAGTGGTTTGCTGCCATGGCTACATTTATCCCACCGACCCGGCTGAAGCCATTCCTTCATGCAATGCTGACAATTCTCTACCGGGTCTCGGTGGATGATACTGCCAAGGGCAAGGATGCTGAGGACCACAAGCTCTTGGCCTCGGAAGTCATGGATCTCCTCCAAAAGAAAGCCGGTCATGAAATGTATTTGGATGCGTACAACAGTGTCCATTTCCACGTTCAAAATGTTCGTCGGGATCGGAAAACCAAGCGAGCAGTCCAGGTCAGTACCTTGGCACCGATAGGTGGATGCATTGCTGGCGCAAAGGTCTGTCTACCAAAAAACTTCGCGACCATTGCAACATGGTTGTAACCTTCTCGAACATGCCTTCTCTCCCCCACCAGACTATCGTCGACCCCGAAGCTATGGCCAAGCGGCGCATTCAGAAAAACGAAATGAAGCGCGCGAACCGCAAGCGCAAGGCAGAGGTGATGGCCTCACATCGCGTCCGATACACGCAAAACAAACTGCGCAAGCGAGAGTGATATCAGCGTTTCCATCGCACAGACAGCCTTCGCAGAGATACAACCTATCCAATAAAGAACGGAACCCTTGATTTTGACCATTGATCGAATATTTTGTTATCCAATGCCATCACACGCTGGCCATGACCATTCTGTGATGCGGCGCAATACCATCATTCACTGCTGGCACTCCGAGGCCAGTGTGCAGGTCGATTGTGGAGACCGGAGAGCGACCGGCGGTCTTCACTCGGAGGCGGTCTTCACTCGGAGGCGGTCTTCACTCGGAGACTGCCAAAGTGTTCTGTTCTATTTCTTATGGCTCTGCTTGACGTATTCCATCACAGACTACGCTGACAAACGGGATAGGGAGTGGGTCCCGTTTGCTATGTGCAAAGTGTAAAAGAAGGCATCTCCCCACCTGTATTTCGACCAAGTCATTCGCTCCATTAGCGCTCTAATATACACTACTAATGCGAGATACAAATCGGATTGCTCATGAAACTGCATGTCTGTGTATTTAGCAGTCGAATTGTGCTGGCCAGCCATTACTGGACCCAGGATCCTGTCTCACTCTGTGGACGTTGTCAGCTGTATCGGTGCTGACGAGGCCTCTATTGATCCTGGGCCAGCCACTTGTCGAGCAATCGCTCTTTCTCTCCCTCGCGGTGCTCACACAAGCAGCTGTATTTATACAGCGCGGCTTCGTTCAGTGCTTTCAGGCCTCGAACATAGGCTTGCAGTCCCGTCGCATCAGGGATACCAAAGAACGGCCGACACTTCCAGCTGGAAAACCGAGAGATGGTGCAGTAGACCGTCCGGAGCTTGGCAAAGTTGATCATCGACTCGTTCGTGTATTTCGGGTTTCCGTCGTTGATGAAGAGCAAGTCCTTCATGAACAGGCCCAAGATGGGGATAAGCGGGTAGTTGCGCGAGTCCAGCAAGTCGAGCTCGGCGCGGTAGGTGCGAAAGTTGCATTGGGGGTTGAAGAACTCCTCGAGTTCTTTCAGCTGCCTGGCTCGCTTCGGCTCGACGAGCTGAGAATAATAGATGCGTGGTATCGAGCGGCAGGTCCAAGTCAGTGGTCGCGGCGAATCACATCGCATCAATCAGGCAGCAGCGACGGGCTCGCCATCGTGACTAGTGGCCATCAAAGCTGCCAGTCAGGAATTGGCCATCCACATGATCTGCTAGCCATACCTCCCATGTTGCCTTGAGTCTCGAAACCGATGAGTTATTGAGTCCAGATATAATCGCAAAGGACGTGCTGAAGTTGTTCAAACGCCGACACTCCTGCTCATGCCATGTGTTTGGTTGCCACCAAGAGCGTCGGTTAGCCTCATCCAGGAGCACACGGCCGGCGGAATGGACCACTGCAGTCGTTCCGTACCTTTGCGACAGCAATAAGCCTTTCCGCGATTTTCGCACGCTGTTGAGGGTCGGGCTGTGTGCATATCTCTGTAGCGGCCCAGAAGCTCACCTACGAACGAGCGGCCACAACAATTCGATTAGCAACTCACGACGTGGGGCCGAGTTATTACTATTGCCAAACACAACAGATACCCCGGGCACCCAGAAAAACTGCCTACGACCGATGCCAGCAGCCTCACCGTATTAAATGAGTTGATCATATTTTGGAGTTGGTCGTTCGGGCAGTGAAACGGCGAGTCAGGTCCATTCAGATTCCATAGCTGAGCCAGCGGCTCAAGCTCGCCTATGGATTTGAGGCGATCGTGCTCCACAAGGGTGAAGCAGTTGGCCAGTTCCTTGGGGTCGATTTGGAGGATACCCTCGATGCGCTTCTCTTTCTCGCCAATGTCAATTGGCTTGGGGACATTGCGGTCGTCCTGGCGGAGGTTGAAATAAAGGGGTCGTGAGGATAGCCGAGATTGCAATGGCGTTATCTGTCGCTTGATTGACCCTGCTGGCCACAGCCTCTCAAGTCGGACAAACTCCTTACAGCTTCGAGTAGCCATGGAGTCGTCAGGCGCGAGCTTACCATAAGCACAAAAAGCTTGCGCTTCACAATCTCGCATATTTGAATCATCGAGGGATTGACGTTGTGACCGATTATGATGTTCTCCATTGGCCTTGCCAAGCGACGGAGGTATGTGTACAGCGCATCGACCGTTTCGGGCTTCCGAAAGTCGGTTTGCCAATAGCCATCCAGCCACCGGATTACGACCGAGGTGCACCTGGATTCACCAGATTCGATGAAATCGGAGCAAACGCCAGCCTTAGTGCCTCGCACGTTCCCACCTTTTCGGCATTCTGTTAGTATCAACAGCCCTCAGCAAGGCGTGTTCGACGCTCCTCGTGTTGCCGACGGCGTTAAGAGCACCGCCCCAAGCTCACTGACCTCAGCCGGATTACTGGCTTCCAATTGTTGATTGCTTCGATTTCCTTCGGAGTAGCATTCGCTGGTGCCTGGATATTTAGCGTAAGATTGCACCAAGCCGAGTCAAGGATGCTGAGCGACCATGCCGAGCGATTACGGCGAGCAACTCCTCGCTCAGAGCTTTACCACCCACACCCAACTCGAATTTCAACAGCATTATGCTATAAAGGATATCTTTCGGTGAGTTTTGCCAGTAGAGTCGTTGGAGTGGTGATGTGTCGGTAGGTCAAGAGAAAAGCGTCTATGTAGTCCAAGTCTGCGTGTATCACAGATGATACGATCCAGAGTCAGTGCACTCGCCCCACATGGAAAATGTGGCAACGAGTGTGCCCTGGGCTTTGTATAATAGTATGGCTCAGGCTCAGTGCCTGCTTCTGAGGAGGATAACGTCCGGCGATACCAATCGCAGGGCCATGACCTTGACGCATGGTGGATTCCTACCTGGGGGTTGGTCATCGGCAAGTTTTTCGATAAGTTTGTCGAGGGTTGCACTTGCAATCGAAAACTTTCCGCTTTGTTCAATTTCTGAGCGAACACCAGCGTCGATCGGCCGATCGGCCGATTGATCACAAGCCATATCGGAGCATCAGCCAGGGCCGCTTGGGCCCACTTTGGGAAAAGCACTGAACCAAATCAATCCAACTCGCTGAACAAACAGTGAAAGTTACCAGCATCGTATCGAATGATTGAGACACCAGCTGAGTCAAAACTGGGTTGTTTGAGTAGCGGAGCCATTGTGGAAGCTTCCCAAGCCGGCGGCTGATCCTCTTGTGCCGCTAATTGGCTCTCCTGAAGAGATCTTGACTCGATTGAAGCTGCAGCGGATTTCTTGACTACATTGACGTTTCGCATCCCGGCGATCAGCTTGTGATGCTCAATGGAATATGCATCCGAGATTGTCGCTTTGCATGCAAAAGTTAGTCAGACAAGCAAAGAACGGCAGAACTGAATGCTTGGTGTCCGAAAGATAACATCGCCTTCGAACGCCATCGCGCAGATCATCCTTGGCTGACTATCATACAACAAAGCTGCAATTGCAGGAGGACCGATTTCGCCCCGCCGCAACCTTTGAGTGATGGTAATGGAGTTACAAATAGCCTTTAGCAGTATCGCTTCCCTACCTTTATCGGGCTCAAACTCCTTCAGCTCCTCGAACACGACGGCAATGTTGGAGCTCGCTGTGTTGATTGCTCCAACCCAGGCCAGCTGTGGTCAGTATCAAAGAGGTGCTTGTTGGGTTAGTGGCGACAAAGCCGTGTAATCAGCAGCCGAATGCACTCGGCGAGTTTGCGCGCTGGCTGGAGACTCAACAGTGACTCACCGCCTCAGTCGAACTGTCTGTAAAAAACTGATATGCTTTGCTTCGCTTACTGACGACTGTAAAGCTACAGGGACTGGTCGCTATGTCTGCGAATGCCATGGCACCCTCGGATGAAATGTCAAAGAGTTTGACGACAGCATCCTAGCGGCAGTATCGGGCAGATTTAGTATCTTCGTGCATATCTCAGGCATATTTCAGGTTTACAAAAGCCGCACATACCCGATCTGTCATGTACAAAGCATAGATTGTGGCAGACGTTAGTTACTAGCATAGAACAGCAGCTGTAGCGCCATGCACAGCTATGCCTTAGACTACAGGCCACTGTGTATCGTAGGCAGGGGGGGGGAGCAAATCAAACCTCGGTAAGCGTAGATCATGTAGTCCGTCAGTGCCACCCAGACTGGTTGTAGGGTTTGATCGTCGTGCACATAAGTGAGTGTGCACGCAATGTCGCTCATTTGTGGAAGCATGTGCTTGCTGAACTGGGCTTTGGAAATGGCAATAAAGAGTCCATTTTCCGCTTTGAACCCAGGTGCCTGGGTCTGAAACGACGTTCGCTTGTTATGGGTTGCCATCCGAGGTAATGTGTTGGAAGAAACTGACGGCGATAATGAGCGCGGAGATTCGGGGATGTTCTTGAGGTAGTCTGTTGTTGTGCTTGCACTGAGCGATGCCCCCAGGGCTATGGGTGATGTCGGCAGCGAAGCTTGGCGGGCCGAAGATGGCTGCGAGGTGCTTGGGCCACCCAGAAAATCCACCAGCGAGACCTCATCGGCCTCGGATAGAGCATCGTCGTTCTTGACAACCACGGAGGTGTCGATTGGCGCGAGTTCAGGGATAGCCTTATCGACCGGGGTGCTGCCCCCACGCTTCCGTGTGCGAATCTGGGCCAGCAAGTTCGAGAACGACGAGCTTTCGCTTGGCTTTCGGATCTGATCATACGACTTTGCGCGAGCATGGGGCTCTTTTTTGTTCTGCGTGCCGAGCAGGATACAGGAGTCGGTCAGGAATCGCCAGGAGTCGCCATGGCGAGGCTGCCACGATGGCTTGAGTTCGCCCAGTCCCGCATGACGACCATGCACGCACAGGATACCCACCAAATTGGATTCCGAGACCACTTCGACACGGTTGGAGCCGAGAGCAAAGCTCCCGTCTGAGGTTCTTCGTGTGCCAGAGCCCAGCTTTGCTTTCTCGGTCGATATCGTCAGCGACCAGTCCGAAGCTCGCCGTCCCTTGGGATTGAAGCCTGGGGAATATGAGACAAAGTGCAGGAACTCAGACGCCCGTTGATCCCAAACTGCCGTTAGAGTGGCACTCTGCAGATCCTTGGAGACTTCTGAATCTAGTGCTCAGTGTCCAGGCCAAATAGCGATGCGCCGCTCGTATAGACTCAATAATGCTCATGTGAGGAATGCATCGAGGAGCGAATTTGATGGACAATAGTCTTTGGCAGCCCGAGGGGGTCCATGTTCCCCAAGATGCTTAGGCTGACAAGTTGCTCGGGCAAACCAACCAATAGGCGATGCTTTCAATACAAGCTCGTCAAGGGATGCGGTCTTGCCGATCTGCTCCGATAAAACGGCAAAGTCCGAGAGTTAGGCACTCGGAGTCAAGCCGCGATCTGCACAGGACCTTGTCTCGCGCAGAGCGCTGCTCCATTCTAACTAAGGCAGCAGCATGAGTATAATATCGGTGGAGCCGTGCCGTACCTGGGCCTCCATCATCCGGAGTGAGTCCACGACGGTATAGGTTCCCCCGCCCTCGAGGCACACCAGTCCATCTTTGGTGGTGGCCAGAGGCCGCATCGTTGCGGTATCGATAATTGCGGCCGCTGCCCCAAACCGGGCCTTGACCTTGATGAGTGTCGAGGGTTGATATAGCAGCCCATCAAGTGTGCATACCACTGTGGAGTCCATATCTGATAGAGGGTAAGTTGACGACGGCGGGCGGGTTTCGGGTGGGACTGCATTCGCGATGTTCTTACAGAAGTGCTGGATAACTGCTTGGTCCGAAGTGTGCCACGACCACCAGCGAGCACGGCCCCACCGCCTTGCAAGACACTCACCTATTCTGCTGGCTTCTGTTGGTCAAATTTAGACTTGGTGCGTTGCCAAGAGCAAAGTGCCTCTCAAGTCCAGGCGGAGTGTCTGTGAGAATTCGGGGAGAAATGCATTTGCGACTTGCCGATCAGCCCCGCATCAGCTGTTTCACCCGATTTTGCTGCAGGCTCGGCCAGCTTTCTCCAACACCCTGGCCGTGCACTCTTCTGTACGTTTGATTCCGTTCTGCCGCCTGTCTGTCTCTCTGGCTGCACCGGTCTTTCCCACGACTTGCCCGATTGCACAACGTCACTATCCACGTGATGGGTGCGATTGTGTTGAGCGGACGACGCCGGGGAGAGACGGTGCTCGGGGAGCCCCTTTGGACTGCGAGAGAGGATCTGGGCGGCCATGGCAGGCCTGCATGGGCAGTTGCGGCTCAGGACCGAGATGGGCTGACGGCGCTTGCTTCGAGCGCCTGCTTCGGGCACGGCGGATACGTCGAGGCATCGCAGCGGTTTGCAAGCTCGAGCACCAGCCGCCTCGCGAGAGCACGGACAGAGAGCGCGTCCCTCTTGGACCCGTCGATTTGCGTGGACGTGGTGGCCGCTGGTCTGCGAACGATCTCCCCTCGGGTTCTCGCCAACCTGCACCGCTGCCCACACCCTGCCGATCATGGATAGAGAGGAGAAGATTCGGCTTGCCAAGAAAAAGGTTCGGTCATGGCGCCCGCTGTCCGTTTCTCTGTCTGCCATCCGTCCTTCTGTCTGCGGCTCGTCCTTCTGTCTGCTGCTCGTCCCTCCATGCCCAGCATCTCTCCGTCTCGAGCATCTGCCATCAGAGCCTGATAAGCCTGCGCAGGTGTGCGATCCGTTGCTTGGCTAATAGCGCCGCGCACGTTGTTCCGCAGTTGAACAAGTTCCAAAAATCCAAGACATCCGCCAAGTCCGATGTTGCAGATGTAGGTGGTATCTGAGGACTTTTGCGGCGATACAATTCCAGAAGAAGAACGATGCTGACTATACCCGTACCGCCGGCGTGCCCTCCCGTCCTGCGGAATGATATCTGCAAAGGCTGCGCCGGAAGACACTCGAGTCTCTCCCACTTCTTTTCCTGCTCCGGAGGCTGTGTCTGCGGGTCAGTCCATGCACTGCCGATGCGATCCTTGATAGCACTGCTGCTGCATCTTGCTTCCAAGCACTCGCAACGTGCTGGAGTGTCTCTGCCGTCGCATCATCCATCATTCGGTCTCTCGGTGACCTGCTCCATCGGCCTTGGCTCGGACACAGGAGCTGTCGCCGTTCCTGTTGCCCTGCCCACCCTGCCCCTCGGTCGGCGATCGTTGCCTCACGCGAAATCAATTCTGACGTTTTATCTGGTTGTCTGCTGGAAAGCGCCCACTCTCCCGCTAGCACCCAAGGAGCATACCTCGCCTGTTGCTTTGCCGAAAGCCAGGCCCAACACTGCGGGGGTCTTGTTGAGCGGGCTTTTCTCTACTGTCAGCGAGGTTGCCGGCGACATATACAGCACCGCACAGCATTCGCTCTCAGACATGCGAGGCCCTGCCCAGCCTCGCTCGACTCCAGCAACCTCGCCTCGAGCAGCGCCGGATCTGTTTCAAGAGCATACCCCACACTCTGACGCCCGGTTCTTTGACGATATCGCCGAACACACCAATCCCGAGTACTTTACCGAGACCAACGGCCTTCAGCCCTTTCAGCCCTTCGAGTCACGCAGATCGCCAACCACCCAAGCTATTTTGTCGCCGCGGACTCGTCCCTCTCTGTCATCGGCAGGCTCTCCAAACCCGCCTTCTATTCTCTCACCCAAGGCCAGTCGTCCTCGTGTTGTCGAATCGGTTTCGCTTATGAGCCCGTTGTCGCCAAGCCGTCTCCCGATCGACCATGTCGCCGAGAGCGCCGCCTCGCTACAGACGATCAAAAACCCCACCTCTCCCCGCAGCGGTGCGACTGCCTATCCTATCTCGGCCCTGAATGCGTCCGATGCGCTGATGGGTAGGTGCGAATGAACTCGGTTGCCAAGCCCGCTGGTTGGGCTGTGTTCGGGCTGATGACAGCACACCTTTTGGTCTAGTCTGTGCTTGCTCTCCCGCCATCTAGCCCCCCCCCTGCGTCCATCTTCTTATCCAACTGTCGGCCATTCACTTCCTTATCTGTAACAGATACAATTGCCCGTGAAAATGGTATATTGATTGAGCAGAAAAAGGTTATGGAAATCGAGATATTCAAGCTCCGCGGCGCTCTCGACCAGGCACATTCCGTCAATGAGGCGCTTCAGCGCGATCTGAACGACGAGCGGTACATCAACCAGCAGAACCTGGCTGCGCTTCAGGAGCTCGACGACCTCCGAAATCAACTCTCCGACCTGTTCACAGAAAACACCATGCTTCAGGATCAATTGCATGTCATATCCGCTTCGCGAACCGAATCCCAGAATCGAATCGCGCTGCAGGACCGTGAGCTTCATCAATGCTATACACGCATTCGGGACCTTGAACAGCATTACACGAGTATAGTCGCCGAGAAAACTGCGCTCTCGGAGCAGCTGCGGGTCAAGTCCCGGGATCTTGATCAGCTCCTCAAGGAAAAAGCTTCCCAAAACACAAAAATCGAGGCTATTGCAAACGATCTGTCGAGCCGCGGAAAGGAGTGGTCTCCGGAAGAGGCTGGAATGTTGAATCAGTCCGTCGCTACCGAATTGGAGCGCCGCCATCAGTTGAACCATCTTGCCGAATCCAAATCCACCACGCAGCTTCTGAATGTCATCGTCGCTTTGACCAAGTAAGTGGCCATCGTCATGGATCAAGCTCCCTCGTTTGTAGTGCTTGGCTCCATCAGAAAGCGGCCCAAGTCAGACACAGAGCCTTGGGACAATGTTCGGACGGCAGTAGATAGTGTGGGCTTCTCTGGGAAGGGCTCTATGGCAATGTGGTTCGTTGTTACTCTTGGGGCACCATCCGGTGGCATCGGTGGGGCTGTTCCAGCCAACTCTATCTTGTGCCGTATACGTCCGCTCAATCATCAAGAAGGCCGTCTGCTCAAAACGCTCGCTGATCACATGGCGATATTCTCTTTCGTTCTCCACCTCGTGCACGCAGCTCGAATGTTCAGCTTGGCAAGCGTCTCGAGGAAGTCCATAAGGCTCGCCCGTCGTATCTACCATTGACCGCCTTATCGGATTCCGTTGCCCCCGAGTCTGACCCAACGCGGCCGTACGACTCATTCCCAACACCGAACTCGTATCCAAGCTCCCATGCTGCACACATGGGTGTCCAGCAGCCCGCCACTTTGAGTATCCGGCCAACCGTCGCCGGGGGCTCTGATCGAGGCGATCGCGTCCTTGCTCCCACTTTCCCTATGACGGCATCGTCGGTTCGCAAGCCCCTCGCGCCAGAGGAGCCTCTGGACCCACGCCAGCTGTTTACTGAATCACAAGGAGATTACAACCTGCTCCTTGGTTCGGCTGATGCTTTGAGCAGCTACCCGCCTTCTGGCTACAGTCGGTATCCATGATGGCTGTTTTTTGGCCAGAGGGATCGGGCACCACTTGTACAGGGGGATCCCGTTCTGCCGATAGCAGCAATCGGCGCTTACGCTACTTGTTCTGAGTGAAGCGAGGTGCTGGCGCATAAGAGTATGATGTCCATAATAGAGATTTCTCAATGCGAGCGCCCGTCAGCTTGACCGATGCGGACACCCCTCGAATGTGTGTGAGGCGAAAATACTGGCCCACAACAGTGGACACCTTGAATATTCCAGGTCGAAACTCCATGCGCATTGCCGCGTACCAGATCGGCGAGAGGGATCAATGTGCGCGTGTATTCGGAACTGGAAGGACAACGGTCGGTTACTGAGCCACACCTGCTCCATTTCGGTCCGGAGAGCCCTTTGATGGATGGCTTTATTCTTATGGTGTTGCGGGGTTGGGCTTGCCCCGCTTCACATGGATGTTAAGGGCCACGTTCAAATCGGCAAACTCGCCCAGCCGCACATTGACTTGGTGGCTTCCCAGAGACTTGATTCGCCCGCCCGGAATCACAATGGCATCGGAGGGAATGATGATACTGTGCTCCTCCAGTGCATGGGAGACATCCTCGCTCGAGACCGAGCCGTAAATCCGTCCGTCGTCCGAAGCTTCCGAGATCGTAGTTCGCTCGAAATGGAGCTCTTTGAGCTGGATCAGCTTGTCTTTGAACTCAAACAGCGACAACGGCGCCTCTTCGGAAGAGCCGGTGCCTTGTTTACGCAATTCCGCCGGATTAGGGCTGCTTACAGCGACAGCAGGTACAATCTGAGGAGGAAGCAGGCCGGAGGGGGGGGGAGAATATTGGCCATGACGTGATCCAGGTCAGTCGGATATATCGCCGAGACAGCGGCTTCAAAGCGACCGCCCAGGCGCCGATCGAAAGGTGGGTGGGATACATTACAGGATCCTTGGCAAACTGGTCTTCGTCGATGGGAGGCGTCCATCCGGTCGGCAGGATCGAGGCTCCGTCGAATTTCGGAACATAGTCGGCCATACGGAAGGGAATGAGCCAGTTTCGGGCTTCCTTTACTGCAGATGTCAAATGTACGATATACGTCAGAACTTGGGGATCCAATTCCACCGCTGTTCGCGAGAGTCGGCTTTCCAAAGTCCACGGTTCACATGAGATGTTGCTTCGAATGCAGAGCTGCAAGCGGCATTGAGACAGCGAGCGTACCGGTAACTTGAATGATTTGACCTGAAATGTCCACCGCCCGACAAAGGTGATGGCGATGGCGATGGCGATGGCGATGGTGATGGCGATGGCGATGGCGATGGTCAATGATTCATCGTTTGCAAGCAAGGGATGCAGCCGACGCCCATGGATCAAGGCAAGCATGCAGTTAGCTGAGCTGGTTGAGCCATGCGGCAGGGCTCGATATCTATTTGCAGGTGAGTCGATAGCGAGTGTGCCTGACGACGGATGAACGGCATCGTTCTTTCATGACATGGGGTCCTTACCGGCTTCGCCATAACCCTGGACATCTTGATGCAGATAGACATAGGTCCCGGCACGGACAAACGCAAAGCGCTAAAAACGGCCGCGGATGCGAACCAGACACGGCAATGTCAATTTCGATCGCAGCCATCCACAGCGACCGCCATCCGGCTTGGATCGGCAGCGCCCGCCTCGGCCGCAAGAGAGTCCGAAATGCGATTTTATCAGGCACTGTTACTCTCCCCGCCGAATCGTGCGCATATCTTATCCATTCCTCCTCCCCCGAGTCGTCATCCATGCAGCCGCTCGCTCCAGCACGCAACAACCACCTTCTGGCTGCTCTGTGACAGGGTCCGTGTGGCTGCCCGTGAGGTGGCGCCCAGCGATTTGATGGTCTTGGATATAAAAGACATGGGATGCAACGGCCTCGGATCAATCAAGCGAACCGGATCAATCAAGTGAATCGGATGCGTCGGATGAGTCGGCCGGCCGGCGGATCGCTTCAGGACGAACGATGCTGTGTGGGGCGGATCGGCAAACAGCACGTTTGGCAGCGCTGGGGTGATCTGGGCCGATCACGGCGGTGCTCTGTCTCTGAAAATTTTTTCCCGATGTCGGCGCCGTGGCAGCAGCAGCAGCGACACAGGAGCATCCACGTGTGCCGTCCGCAGCCCTGGCTCGAGCCACCATGACGCGCAGTCCCTTTTTTTGTGCAGGCGTTTCGGCCACCCGGCCCTGATCGGCCCTGATCGGTCCTGATCAGTCCTCCATCGGTGCAGATCGCTGCTGGTCGCTTCAAGCATCGTCGCTGATTTCCGATCAACGCACAATGTCCAAGCTGTGGCATAGCTCGTCGGGCTCTCTGTGGCGCCAGAGTGTTTCCAGGATCCGCTGTTCGCAAGTGGGCCTTCCCCCAGCCGCATCCCAACCACATCCGCTTGCGCTCGGAGCTTGCACAAGCCCGTTCCGCCACTCCGTTCTGAGGTGCTTCACGCCTCCTCGGCAGCACACTGATTCCGGCCCGCGAGCACAAAAGCCAGTGGAAACACCCACGCTGCTTCCCTTCCTCGATGCTACGGATGCTGTCGAAACCACCGCTGCCGCTGATGGCGAGCGCCTCGCTAGCCATCACACAAAACTCCCGCATCCGCAAAACGCAGCGGAACATGATGCCTCAGGCAGCGACAATCGGTTCTCGTCAATACCGGCAATCTCTGAAAAAACACTCCGGGCCATCAACCAGGACTTCAAGTTCGAGTCCATGTCCGATGTCCAGAAAAAAGTCCTCAGTCTCCTCCCGACGACTTCCGATCTGCTTGTGCGGGCCAAGACGGGAACAGGCAAAACCCTGGCGTTCTTGATTGCTGCCATCGAAACAGCCGACATGCGTGGTACAAAAGACAGAGTGCCCATTGTGATCATATCGCCAACACGCGAGCTTGCCTTTCAGATCGCTCGCGAGGCAGCTAAGCTCGTCAAATATCACCGGTATAACGTCGTCAGCCTGGTCGGCGGCGAGAGTGCTTCACGCCAGAAGCAAGCGCTGGCACGCGGTGCGGACATTGTCGTCGGCACCCCCGGCAGACTGTTGGACCACCTCGAAAACGACTCTGCTTTCCGTGAACGATGTCAAGGAATCCAGGTGGTGAGTTGAGTAGCTCTCTTGCAACTGAACTCGATATCTGCTGCAGATACCTTCCGAGCTGCCTCTGTCTTTGAGAGGAAGGGACGAGAATCACCTCCGATGAGGGGCGAGAATCACCTCCGATGCTAGCGATCGCCTGTCTTTGCCAACTGACGATGCTCGTCTCGCCGCGCTGCCATTCCCAAAGCTGATTCTGGATGAAGCTGATGTACTCCTCGAGATGGGCTTCCGGACAGATATGGAGAGTATCTTTTCCCATCTGCCTCACAAGCGCCAAACGTACATGTTCTCGGCCACGATCTCTCAAGGCGTCAAGGGTGTTGCCAACGTCTACCTTCGTTATCGGTATAAGTTGGTGGACTGTGTTCCCGCAAACGAACAAGCAAGTCACAAGGTTATTTCCCAAAGCTACATCATTGCGCCATTTTCACAACAAGCCCTGCTACTCATGGACATCATCAACCAGCACCGTGCCGAGAACCCCGCCGGCAAGATCATTGTCTTTTTCTCGACAACAAAGGTCGTCAAGTACCTTTCAAGTGTCTTCAATGCCATCCCGGGCATGGATGTGATGGAGATTCACTCTGGCCTGGATCAACGCCAGCGCACCCGAGTCAACGAGCGCTTTCGTCGCGCATATTCTGCCGTCCTGTTCACCTCTGATGTCTCTGCCCGCGGCGTGGATTATCCTGGCGTCACACTGGTTGTTCAAATGGGTGTCCCGTCGTCGCCACAAAACTACATCCATCGGATCGGGCGAACCGGCCGAGCCGGCAAATCAGGCCAGGCCATTATGATCCTGTCTCCACCGGAGCGATCGTATCTCTTGGATCTCCACAGACTTCCGATCAAGCAGGAGATGCGATTCCAACCAGCAATCAGCGCAGCGAATACCAAGAACAAGGAGGCTCTCCGAGTCGCATTGGAGAGCTCGTCTCGCTTTGAAGCCGCACAGTGCTACACAGCCTTCTTGGGTTTCTGTAAGTGTCGGGGCCTCTGTCGAGGGCTCGTGGAGCATTGGTGACCGCAGCGACCTCGCCGTGTAGGATCGAGTATTGGGGCGGAGCGATGAGCTAGTATGTATGTACTGTGAAGGTGTGAGGCAGGCTCGGCGGCTAACATATCCCGCAATTCTTCTTATATGCTCGACTACAGACAAGCAACAGCAGCCGCGGCTTCGCTGTTCTTCTGAAAGCATCGTGGCAGCAGCGAACGATTTTGCCACGGGCCTGTTGGGACTGCCGGAGCCTCCAGCAGTCAAGTACAGCCTGCTGCATCGACTTCAGTTCCACAACATCCGCGGCGTTCGCGCCATTCGAGATGATCAGTCAACCCCGGAAGATACCTTCCACACCCCCAAGCCGCGCAAATACGATGATTTCCAGGGCCGCTCCCATTCTCCGGAATCCAAGAAAGGCGGCTTCGGCCACGCTCGCGGCCATCAGGGCAAGCCCAAGCGCAGCCCGAGGCACTGAGACCAATGGTGTTGTCGGCCACATCTGAGCCGGACCTGGCCGATGAGAAATCATGGGATGGAGACCCGGGGCAAGCAAGCTGGCCTGGTCTGTGTCGGATGGGCGATGTGGAGATCTGGCATTTGCCCGAAAGAGGCAATCTGTCCCACTGTTCGGCAAACACGCTGTATACTGTGACACCGCCGTGGCGCAGCCCCTCTCGGCGAGAGCATGGCGAGAGCATGGCGAGAGCACGGCGAGAGCACCAGCCCGGCCTGCCTCGCCTCGCCGCCGCGGCCAACACCGCCGCCAGCACTGGGGCCGGCACCCGGACGCTGTTCTTTGCCCATCCCATCTGCCGATCGCCGCTCTGCTCGGTGCTGCACTCGGAACGAAGCCATGTCAGGTTCGTCGCAGGCAGCGGCCAGGTGTATTGGCTGCAATTGCTGTCCTGACTCCGGGCCTCTACCCATCGGCTCGCCCTCGGGTCGGCGGGCCTTCCCTTTTGCCCCAGACATGTTGTGTCTGGAACTCGGTGCATAAGCGTGAAATGCCAACGGCCTCCGCTCTCCTTTCCTGCCGTCTGCTCGTGCTCAGAAGGCGCCATGCTCTCGCTCGGCCAGGCCGATCCCCAATGGAAATGCAAGCGAGGCAAGCACGACCACCCCTTTTTTCTGTCCTACCGCTTGGCCACCGATATGGCCATCGCGGAGCGCATCAAGCGGCACATGGAGTCGACCGCTTTCCAGCAACAGATCCAGCGCTTCGCCATATCTGAACCTGCCGAGGGCCTGCACGTGTACTTCAACCGCGAGTGCCAGATGATTTCCATGACGGACACTCCCTTCTTCCTCGACGGTCTCCTCACCGCCAAGGTTGCCATTCTGATCATCAGCAAGGAGGCTATCAAGAATATCATGGCTGAATACGATAATATGCTTCTTGAGGTACAGTTCGGCTCTCGATAGGCTTTCTAGTTCTTTTTTTTTTTTGTCGCTTGCTTCGATTGCTCCCGATAATTCTCTCAATCTCTTCGCTCATCTTGCTGGATGACCATCCCCTGTGCTCCCCAATCTCGGCGCAATCCACTTATCGGGCTTGTCTCTATCTCTCTCCACCCAGTGGGAGCTGGCATTAGAGCTTGCAACCTCCGAGCGCATCGTGCTCATCCCCCTTCTCGTCGGAAGAGAGGATATCGCCACCAAGCAGACCGAAATGTTCAGTCTCGATTCCATTGATACATCCAAGTTCGAAGCGCCTCACGAGCATCCCCAAAGCCGGCGTCGCCAGTTTAATATCATTGACACCCTCCGCGAGCTTACGAGCCAACGCACTATCCATGTTATCCCCAGCCAAATCAACGACATCATGGACGAGATCGCCCAGCGCTACGTTTTGGCTCAACAGCAGTCCAATAGCGATCCAGCACGGATTCCCAGCGAACCGGCGGCCTCAGCCCCGGTTGCAGCGGTCGCTCCTCCAGCTGCCAACCAGCAGCCCGGCTTGGATTCGACTCAGCCGACTACGCCGTCCTCGGCCGCCGCCGCCCCAGCTCCGGTCCCATCAAAATCAGTCTCCCACGGGCCGTCAAATCCATCGCTTGAATCGTCGCCCGCAGTTCCTCCCTCGGCTACGACCCTTGATCCTGGCACGGTCTCGGCTCCTCCTCCACTCAACCCCAGCGACAGGCCGGCGCCGCCCACGCTGCCGTTCCCGGCCCTCTCGAGCTCCCAGAGCCTTCCTGGAGGCCAACATGAAGTCGATCTTGCTCAATCGCATGCCCATCGAGCGCACACGACCCAGCCCTATCCAACCCACTCCCACGACAACCAGCCCCAATATTATGGCGCACCTCCTCCTCAGCCCTTCGGTGCGCCTCAACCTTACGGTGCACCTCCCCAGCCCTATGGCGCACCTCCTCCTCAGCCCTATGGCGCACCTCCCCAGCCCTATGGCGCACCTCCTCCTCAGCCCTATGGTGCGCCTCAACCTTACGGTGCTCCTCCTCAACCGTACGGTGCTCCTCCTCAACCCTATGGCGCACCTGTTCAGTATGTCCAGCTTCCAGCGCCCAACCAACCGACGTCGTCTACCCCTCTTTCAACCGCCACTGGCCTCGTCAGCGATCTGGTTACCGATGTTGCCAATCTCTTCCGCACAAACCAACCTCCTCGGAACCCGACAATGTATGCCGCTCCTTCTGGCTATTATTCTGGCGCGACTCCTGTGTATCCCGTCTCGGCAGCAGCTCCAGCGCCAGGTTACCCCGCCCCTGTCTCTGCACCTGGCTACCCTGCAAGCACAGCCCCAGGACAACCGTACCCGCCTCCTACCCCTGGACATCAATTCCAGCGCTACAACACCGCGCCAATCCACCCGACGTACTCTGAACCTGGCATCTCGGCCCCTGCTTCGGCCCCTGCTTTGGCCCCTGCTTTGGCACCGACGGCAGCTCCCGCCTTTGCTGCACCCCCGATGCCCCCAGCATCCAGTCCAGGAGCCTTCGGCTATCCAAGCACCCAACCTGGCGCCGTTTCAACAGGACAGACGCCTCCGTTCCCAGCTACCGGCGGCCCCACTGGTTTTGCATCCCCTTACACTAACCAACCTGTTCAATATGGTCATGGCCCTGGCACTGGCCCTAGTCCTTCACCAGCCCCTGGCCCGTATGCTGGCCAGAGAACACCTCATCCGGCCCCAACCGTTTCCGGGACCAGCTTCGGAACTGGCATGCAACCTGTTAGCGCACAATCCGACAAACTCTTCAACGAGCAAACGAACGAGATAACGCCATTCGGACGGTATGTCTACAACGAAATCTTCCAAAGCCTCAACGCCAAGTACAACCCCTTGAACTCTGGGTACATCGAAAGCTCCAAGATGAACTTTTTGTGTGATGTGATGTTTCTAAAGGCCCCTCCCACCGAGCTGGGCCGCTGTCTGCACCTGTACCCACTGACTGGCCGAGAGGTCGAGTTCTACAGGCGCTTGGGCGTCAACGCTCTTTCTATCCCCGCGAATGGACCTAATGCAGAGCTGGGATACGCTCTGTCTCAGAGCGCCTTATATCAGTGGGCAGCAGTGGCGATCAAGAGCTTCAGATCCTCGCGAGAAGCGTATCTGGCTCACGATCGGGCGTTGAGGTATCTCGGCATCAAAATCCAGCTCTCACCCACAATGTTCCCTGTGGGCAAGCCTGATTTCCACCAGTATCTCCAGGCCACCCGCCAGTTCCGCGATGGCTACGCTCCTTGATCAAACTGGAATAATATGGCCCATGTCAAGTCGATGGACGGTATGCTCTTGATCTGAATACACACCGATCACTTGAAATCGTCATCTGCGACACTGTCGATATCAGGACCGCTGTGCTGCACAGCACGACCAAGCCCTGGCCTCCAGGGCGCACAAGAAACGGGATACTCTGTTCCGAGTCAGGGCCATCGCTCCTCTCCGGGTCCTGAATACACACCTGTCCATCGCCCGTCATCACCAACAGTGTCTCCACGGAGACTGGCATTGTGGCCGCCTTTGGGAGTGCCTCGTCGAAGCCAGGGCGTGGATGTCCATCAAGCCCATACAGACCCAGATTCGCCCAGTGCCTTGGGTGTCTCTGGCGATGGTGAGGCTGCTAATGTCCCAAAGCGCACGACGAGCGATTCGTTCGACAGGAGTGTCCTGATATCGAGATACTCCAAAGCTGCCCAGGATCACGAAGCTGTCCGGGCCGGTTGAATGCGTACACCACACTCCCATATCGCGACATCCACGCCAGTTGATCGCGGCCAAAGGAGATCGAGCGGGTGTATTCGAGACTGTGCCTTCGAAGCCAGCAACCGGTGGTTTGTTTGAAGGCACTCAGAGACACCCCCATCACCCTATTTCGCTTCCACTCGACTAGTTGTATAAGAGTGGGCAGCGCAAGACACCGTCCAGCTGATCCGACTGCAGCGGCGGTTGATTCGAGGCAGCCAAGACTTCTTGCACATAGGTCTCCTTGCGCATGCCGACAAGCACAGTCGAGTCCCGTGGAACCGCCGAGAGGGGCACTCGAATGGCCTGCTCGGTCAGGGACGGAGGCTGAACACTGGAGGGCATCGATGCACTCAGCACCGAGGCGAGTTCCAAGTTGTTCTTGTTTGCATAGAGCTTGGATATTTTCAGGAGCGTTTCGCACATCTTGGCCGTTTCCTGATCGTCGGGGTCGCCAAAAGACAGCGTGAGCTTAACAGCCATGCCTCGACATCGTCTCCCATGGACTTGGCAAGGAACTGACTCCGGCACCAAGCAGCAGACTGCCAATATCCTTGACCAGCATCGCCAGGGTTGAATACGGTCGCCCAACTCCTCGACAGTGCCACGCAAACCAAAGCAGGCTCGTTCAATAGGACGTAAGTTCCCTGAGCAAGGTATGTTTCGTGTAGAGTACCTCGCGGTAGAGATTCGCCCATCCGATTGCAATATCTCGGTCTTGCTCTCGTCCATTCTTTGCATAGTCGATCAGGGCCGATGTATCTGCCAGCACCGCTGGAAGCACGGTTTTGGAAACATAGTAGTTGGCCGCGAAGGGGTTGCTGGTCAAGCGGGCCAAATTATCTGCCAAAACCTGGGGAACGGCATTGTCGTAGGATGAGCTATGGATCTGTGCTGCCGCATTCGCCTCGGTCAGCACCGCCGAGAGCCCCAGCTGGCTACTGCCAATGCTCAAAGTGTCTGGATATGCACAAGCCCGTTCGGGATCGGTCGGGCCTGGGCGCTTCAAGCGGATGACAAACGGGACGCAGCTGTCGTCGGACAGCTGTAACAGATGCAGACCTGAGCCCATATGAACTTGCCAAGGAGCTTGATATCATCAGAGGCCGATCCCACTTGGCTCGCCAAAAGGAAGCGATTATGTCGTCATAACGTTAACATGTGGATAGTGCACCTAGTAGCGACCGTCGCGCTTTCTCCGATGGCATAACCAGAGCAAAGCACCCTCTGTTGGCCGTATACTCGATCGTTGCGGGTGGGAATCAAATGGTTCATATAGCCGATGCATTTGATCGATGCATTTGCGAGCGGATCGCAGCAATCACCAAGCGAGTTCGGATTGCTTACAGATGTTGCCAAGATCCATCTCCATGTTGGTTACAGCTTCGAAGCGCCCACTCAGCTCGCGAGTCAGAGCGGATTCATCTTCAGAGGCGTCCGTTACAACATCGAGTTTGTGAATCCACGTAAGATCATTAGTCCGTTAGTGGGGATCCCGTCCACTTTGTTGTGGACGCTGCTTGACCACGCCAGTAACTCTCCTCACCTAACTGAGCAAGCTCGGGACTCGTCGTCAGCATCCGAACTTGGCCGCCGGCTACCGACATGAACGGACGATGTAGAAACTGATACAGGCCGTATTCCTATTCATGCAAGATGGAAGGTGATCCTTATGAGTATAGGACCGATCCTCAGTCGTCCCTGACCGACCTCGGTCAACTCTGGCCGTGCATGAGTGCCGCGATTGCAACGACTGGGATACCTCTGCGACCTGCGACAGGCCCTTCGGATGTCCCGTGCGTGACATGGCCGTTGTCTCAAAGAGGTTAAAAGGATACTCGATGCACGTGAAGCTGGAGCCGGTGTTGTTTGCATCCGCCGCATTCACGATCTGCTCCAGAGAGAGATGGTCTGGTGCGGTCGGAATCGACATGGAGGTCGAGCATATTCCGTAGGACCTGATGCGCCCTTTCCAGCCCATGATCGGATGGCAGTTGGTGTAAGAGCAGGGCTGCAGAGCCACGCCGTCGAAGAACGTTACGGAATCGCAGCGCATGGTATGGTAATACACCACCTCCCGGGACATGACAGCCGCTCGCGCTCACCTCTGGCGACCTCGGTTTCGAGATACTTGAATGCCTCAGCTATCATCCGGTACACCTCTGAAACAGATATCCGCCGATCCGCTGATGCCATCAAGCGTTCGGGATTGTTCAGCATGACAACGTCGAGGTGCTCGAGCTGGAGCCGTCCGAGAGAGGCATCAATGCCATGCTTCAGGAAGGACGGGGATACCGAATGCGCCACGGTCGAGGAAAGCTTGGCTGTCCCATCCGATATGTCTCCACCCTGGATCGAGCGCATGTGGTCGACGGTTGTATATCCGAACTTGGTGATCACAAGTAGATTCTATTCAAATCGATAATCAGTGCCGTTCAAGCCGAAGCGACGGCAGCAAAGCCCCCCCCCCAAAAAAAAATAATCAGTTGAGCACTGGGGCAACAGCCTTGAATGCTGGCTCTGTTTCAGCCTATGGCCCTGTCAATCCCGAGCAGCTTCCCAGGGCTGCTCAAACGCAACCGATCCGCGTCAGAGAAGAACCAATATACAACTGAATTTTAGCAGTGGCCAAATTTCCATTGATCGGCGGGACTCACCTCTCGCTGGATCTTGTCGGCACGAATGAGGTCGTTTACGACAGCGCCGACGAGCCTTTCGGAGCGGCCGCCTTCAAAGTGATCGCTGGTATCGATCACGTTGACTCCGCTGAGAAGGGCAGTACGCAGCGCCGCCCAATGCGAGGGCTCGTCGATGTTCATTCTGTATGTACCCATGCCTATCCGAGAAAGTGCTCTGGGCCATCGGCTGCGGCCCATGTTCAGGAGCGATGCCACCATCCTGCGAGATGCCACAAAGAGCGCAAAGTGATGGAGATGGGTGTCCTCTGCTGGCGGAACAGACTATTCCGAAAAACGGACCAAGATTGCTGGGGAGGGGAGCGGAAGTGGAATCGGTGTGGTCGAAGGCGCTGCAGTTCCTTTCGGCGCAAGTGATCGAGCCAGAGCCGCTGTCAGGCACAGAAGCAAAGGTGCACCAGAAGAAAAAAAAAAATGGACTGAAAGGAAACCGCGCTTGGTGCTGTCGCTGTCTGCGTCTGGATCTGGATCTTGCCGGGTCTTGCTTGGAACCCGCCCCTCTCGAGATCCCCAAGCCCATCGCCGCCCTACCAGCGTCAGTCAAATCATGACTATTCCCCGGGTCATCCTGCGCGGGGCCGTGTCGGCCAGCGGCCGGACCTTTGCTACACAATCGACCAGTGCAGACGCCAACACTGCCCGCTACTGCTCTGATTTGGTCCGAAGATACGACTACGATCATTATCTGGCCTCGATATTTGTTCCTGCGCAAGCCCGCGAGGCATACTGGGCGATCCGATCGCTCAACATCGAGCTATCTCTGGTTCACGAGAATGTCAAGGAGATTGCTATCCGCAAGATGAGGCTGCAGTGGTGGAGAGACGCTCTGGATCTGGTCTACAAGGTATGTTGGATTGTCGACCGAAGCCGTCAGGATCGGGATTCCTGTCGCCTGCTGCTGAATGTGGGCGCAAACAACCTGAAGCTCGCATGAGAAGCGGCCACCCCAAATCCATCACCCGGCAATAGCACCTCGAGCCCTCTGGCCTGACGACTGAGAGCCAATCCGATGCAATCATCTTTCCACATGCTAGGGCCAACCTCCAAACCAACCCGTCGCTCAAGCCCTCGCCAAGGCCGTCGCAGAGGGTGCACTCTCCCGAATATGGCTAAAGAGGCTAATCGACGAGCGGGTACGCAACGGGCTTGCTGCCACTCCTGTTCGCTGCTCAAGGACATGCTCTCCGATTCTCACTCTCTTCGATTCAACCTCAGGAGAAGCGGCTGACGGATGTGCAGTTCGGGACACTCCATGACCTTGAACAGTATGCAGAAAACACAGCCGGATCGCTGATCAACCTGCAAATCGAGTCGTTGGGTCTTCGGGATCTCCACGCCGACCATGCAGCTTCGCACATCGGCAAAGCCATTGGAATTGTCACGATGCTTCGAGGAACCCCGTTCCACATTCAATCGCGACAATTCTACTTGCCCTCAGAAGTCACAGCAAAGGTTGTCATCGCCACTCGTTTATGCCTTTGAGTCATGGGGGTATCGCTGCGCTGCCGCTGGTGCGATTCAGACACTTTTCTATCCCGGTCTGATTCTGTCGCTGACCTCTGTTTCCCGTCATTTCAGCACGGCATTGTAACAGAAGAGCTGTTTCGACATGGCCCCTCTGACCGGCTCGCTGACGCTGTCTTTGAAATTGCTACGCTGGCCAACGACCACATGATAACGGCGCGCTCCTTTGCAAAGGAAATCCCGCATGCGGCCTATCCCGCGCTGCTGGGGACAGTAAGTTTGGTTTGCGCACGGAGATAATGGCACGTTCTGGCAAGTATGGTGGGCCGCAGGGCTACTTTTTTTTTTCGAGAACAACAGTGATCGGTCTCTTATCACAGTCTCCTACTGGACCGAATTGCCCCGCAGGTGACATGCGATGTGTACTTGAAGAAGCTCGAGCGGGTCAACTTTAATCTGTTTGACAAGAGCCTGTTCAAGAAGGACCTGGTGCTTCCCTTCAAGCTCTGGAGAAGCAGTCGCACTGGTGTTTTTTGATTGGCAAAGTTGTCAGTCGGACCTCTACACTTTATTCAGAAAAAAAACGGGACAATATAGCCGTTTCCATGAACATGTAGTATGTGCTGTGCTTGCGTCAAGCAAAGCCACAAGAAATAAAACAGATCACTTTGGCAGCCTCCGAGTGAAGACCGCCGGTCGCTCTCCGATCTCCACAATCGACCTGCACACTGGTCTCGGAGTGTCAGCGCGCGATAACATTGGGTAACAAAATATTCGATGAATGGTCAAAAACCCGGGTGTCCCGTTTTTTATTGGATTGCCTCTAATAGAAACCCTGCGCACGATACGGAAAACCGGCGCAGACGCAGCTACGGCACCGAGGTGGAGGGCTTTTCAGCTGCGGATGGTTCATTCGACGCCGGTGCTCTGTCGTTCTGCGCCAAGTTCGTGGTCGACAGCCGGACCTCTGCGGCGGTCGAGCTCTTCTTTGGCTTGTGATGCTCGGTCGCGACCTTCTTTTCGTGACTGAGGAGTTTTTTGGCAACCAAGATCCAGTTGTCACAATGCTCGCTGTGGGAGAGATACGGAATCGGGCGCTCTGGTGAGGCTATTGCTCGCAAATGAACGTGTTGATGCAAACGGCTTCATACCGAACCAGCGCACGAAGCGGCTTCCTGTCCACCGACACCATTTCAATGTCTGCCGAGTCCTTCGTGAGATTCATGTTGAAGGCGATGAGCTGATACAAGATTAAGTATCAGCGCTGTGGTCGCATTGCAGCACCGCTCACCCTGAGTATGCAAGAGCTTTGCTACGGCCACTGGTTCTCACGAACAGTGCGAGCCAAGCAGCCGCCAGGCCGACTGACCTCCTGATTCAGTTGATGGAACTCATAATCCCACGACTCGCTTGGCTTTTCTCGGCCACCCTTGACCAGCAAATGCACCATCCAGCTGATCATGGATGTATGGATCTTGACGTTTTCTGTCCAGCGGAGAGAACAAGCAAAGGCGTGAGCGTCGACCGAGACCAAGCCCGAAAGCGTCGCCCAAACGCCGCAAAATCACCAGCCCGGTCCATGAAAGCCACGCTGTGTCACCGGCGTATGGACCGGAGCTACTCTGGATCAGTCTCGCTGACACAATCACATATGCGATCAGTGCTCGTTGGCGGTGCCGATGTAGTATCGACAAGCCCAGCTGAGGCCCACCTTCGTTGCGAATGTCCGTGTCGGTGTTGAGCTGATCCAGCACTCGCGAGAGCCAATTCTCGACATGTAGCGGGATTTTTTGCTGCTCCTTCTCGGCCGTGTTTGATATCAGCTCTGGACGAAGGCATGTGGCGCGGTTGATGAGTGCAAGGTGTCGCCCCGAGCATTGTTCACCATTTCTGCAAATATGTGGGTATGTACCAGCCGCACGGCTGGAGATAATTGCGATATGCACACGCACGCTATGTACCTATGATGGTGCCAATGTGCTCAATCCACTGGTTCAGCGACTCCTTCAGCTGGATGCGCTCGGAACTGGGCAGAGGCTTCTCCGGATCCCTGGCACTGTAGGTGGTATATCGATCTTCGAGCTGATTTTGCAGGCTTATCACCTGGGCAGCAATGCCATCTTCGCCCGAGATTCTCATGTCGATTTTGACAAGCCACTCGTCAATCTCGTGGTGTACCCGCTGTAGCGTCTCGGTCAGAGGTATGTAGTCCTTTCCGTTGGTGTTCCTTTCATTCCGCTTGAGGAGTTTGAGGCCGCAATCGATCCAGGTTTCGGTCAGCTTACGAATCTTGACAATATCCTCCTGAAAGACCAGATCGCGATCGCTGGTAAATCGGACAGCCACCAAGCTGATCTGATCCACCCACTTCTTCAGGCACTCGGATAAATTCTTTGCATCGTAGAGGTGGAAGACCTTGAGGAGGGGATGGTCGCTCTCGATGGCATCCATGGGCTCGTTGGCATTCAGGTTCTTGAGAACCATGCTCATGTCCCGCTGCATGCGGGCCAGCGTTTCGACGTTGCGCTGGTCCTCCTCGACGACGTTCTGGGAGAGCGACACCAGTTTGTCACGCCACTCGTCAACCTTGGAAGCAATGGTGTTGATTTCGTGATCGTTTGTGTCGCTGATGATGACAATCATGTGGTTGGTTGCCCGCAGTCGAGAGTTTTCGTGCTTTTGCAGGGCCATGAGCTCGGTCACGCCATGGTCCTGGCCGATGCGGAGAGCGAGACTTGTGGCTGCATCAACCCAGATGCGCTTTTCTTGCTCGATCAGGCGCACAGCATCCTCCAGTCGAGTTCGCTGCATTCGGTAGAGGCGGTGGTACTCTTCGAGGATTTCGTCGGTATTGTCTGATTGGGAGAGGACCACGACAAGCTTTTCCTGGGCGTCCTGGGCCTGCTTGGTCACCTCGGCGTCGTGCTTGCGCACCAAGTCAAGCTCCTTCATCAAGTCGGCCACGGTCTCCTTGGACCGGATCAGCTCCTCCGAGAGCCTCCTATTGAGCTTGCGATGGGCGACCAGCTCGGTGTGCAGTTGGCGCACATGCTTTGGGATGCGCATGAACATGGTTGAGTAGCGTCGCCGGATCTCGGCAAGCACCTCCCCGCGCTCCATCATGTTGACGCTGACTTGTCGGATGAGTTCCTGGAAGACAGCATCGTAGATCTTTTGTTCCTCTTGTATGACACTCAGAAAGGCATGCATCTCCGTTGGGTACTCTTGGTCGATGTCGGCGCCGATTTCCTTCAGCAAGGCCAACATCGTATGCTTAAGGAGGACCACTTCCTTTCGGGTTGCTGGCTTGAGCGAAGGATAGGCCTCCTCGACCCCTTCGCGGTACGCTGCTGAATCCGGGAGCAGCTTTCATGAGAGTGGGGAGGAGCCATGGACGCAAGTTAGCTACGACTCCAATCGAAGGAACGTGGCCATAGCTGCAAAGCCCGGCGACTTTTGATAGTCGGGGAAGGCTGCCTGCTTTGGATCTGGCCGCCGGCTCGTGTGGCTCACGGCCAACCGAGAGTATACCACCGTCTAATCTAACTACTACCCCAGCGCAAAAAGTCTCGCTAAACAGACCCCACTATTAACTACGCCAGCGCAGCCGCATCCAGGGCAAATATACCCGACGGCGCACTCATCGCCAACAGCCTCGGTTCGCTGGCCGAGAAAGCCGCTGTGTTTTTGCATACCTCCGTGTTAGGAATGACAATGTTAAGGTCATCGTGCTCGATTGGATCAGGTATGGCTTCGGAGCCGTCGGCAGACCATGTCTCGCTTTGTCCGTCCTCTGTGGCCTCGAGCTCAATCTCCCGATTGCGTGTGCTGGTGTCGTAGACAAATGCCATTCCCTCGGGAGTGTCCGCGCTTTTGCCAAAGTGGACTGTCTGGTCGGGCTTGAGATGGGCCACGCGCTTGGAAGTATTGGGATGAAGGAAGGCATTCGGAGGAATCGTTGTCAGAGGCGGAATTGCAGGAGGGGGAGGCTTGACCCTGGATTGCTTTGGCCGGAGGGCTGGAGAGCGGCTCTGCTCTTCGTATGGGGGAGCAGCTGGTGGCCGCGCCGAAGAGAAGACCGGAAGCGGGGCGGTGACGGCCGAGGAAAACGTTTGGGTCCTTGTCGAGCCCTTCTTGGCTAGACCCTTGCCGGTGAGCTTCTGTCCGCTGGCAAGCTTTCCGACGTCATTCAGGAGATTGAAGGGTATGTGGTCGGCCATAAGCAGCGCGGCAGGCGGGTCCTGGGAAGTTCTTACGGAAGTGATCGAGACGGAGTGAGCCAAGAGTCCGAGGGGGCAGCACACAAGCAGCGAGCGCTCTTTTTCTCTCGGGGCAGTTCTCGGGGCCGAAGGTGCTCTTCAAAGAGGTCTCTCCCTTGCATTTTGGAGCTGATTGGGTGCGGGCGATGGCTGCAAGTCGGGCGATGGATGTGCTCAGAGGCGAGCACAGGACCGAGAGCACCAGCCAGTCAGCCTTCTTGGTGGGATGGGCGGTCAAAACCCGCTGCTCTGGCTGCTGCCGCTGCGGCCGGGTCTTGCGATCCCATCACAACCCTCACGCACCCGCTCGCTCTGGCAGCATGAATTCGATCGACCCCATTTTCCTTGCCTACGGAGCCTTGGGCGTGATGGCTGTACTGCCCATCTACTTTGGCTCCCATGCCTCGATCAAGTATCCGTCGAAGAAGGTATGCCTGAGGAGCTGCGAGGATAGACAGCGTTAACCGGTGGCCTTCGAGCGAGGTTGAGATCGAGGACGGATCGTTGGATCGAACAGACTCGCCGCCTTCCGTGTACTCGCCAGAACAAAAGGACTTGCTCCTTGGGAGCCAGATGGGTTGACGGAGCCAGATGGGTTGACAGAGCCAGATGGGTTGACGGAGCCCATCAATCGCATCTGATCTAATCCGATCTGATCGGGAATCTTCTTCCACTACTGTCGTCGCTGACTCTCGGCTCGGTTTTGATCAAAGAGGGGAGCAAAGCCCGAGCCCGTGGCCGAGTATTTCTCGATCCAAGACGCCGCGACGTTTCCAATCATCGGCTCGATCACCCTCTTCTCGCTCTACCTGCTCTTTACCTATTTTGACAAGGCCTACATCAACTATGTTTTGACGGCCTATTTTTCGCTGCTGGGCGTCGGTGCGATGGTGGAGTCGTTCATGGCTGTGGCCCGGAAGCTCACCGGCTATTCCCTGACTGGCGAATACCGCCTGGACCTCTTCAAAAAGAAGCATGGTACTTGTAGAACAGCACTCGCAGAGCAGCATCAACAGCAGTCGCGGAGCAACATCATAGAACAGCACTCGCAGAGCAACAATCTCAGTCGGACCACAGCAGAGAGTGCTTTGGGCTGTCGTAGCAGCGGGCCACTCATAACTACCATTCTCCTCTGTGTACGTATACCCCCAATCGATCCAAGCTCTCTTTTCTCTTCAGTTCGGAAACATCCATATGGTCGCTGGTGCCTTCTCGATCCTGATTGCCGGATACTATGCCATCACAAAGCACTGGATCGTCTCCAATGTCTATGGCGAAGCCTTTGCTACATCGGCCATCCAGCTTCTCAACCTCGATTCGTTCAAGACCGGCATGCTGCTGCTGACGGGGCTGTTCTTCTATGATATCTTCTGGGTCTTTGGCACTGAGGTCATGGTCACCGTTGCCAAGTCATTTGACGCACCCATCAAGGTGTTGTGGCCAAAGGACATCTGGCAGGTGATCGAGCAAGGCATCTTTTCCAAGCCGACTGATGTGCAGTTCACGATGCTGGGTCTTGGCGATATTGTAATTCCGGGTGAGCAACATTCCCAAGTCGTGGGTCGCCATATTGAGATGTTACATCGACGTGGATGTTTGCCTCTGGGCTTCGAACACTGGCGGAGGCTGGCGACGAGGCTGGCATCAAGGGGGGGGGCAGTAGGATGGTACTGGTAAACTCCATGCTGCCCACCCCCTGCCTCGAGCCGCAGCTGCAGTGTCGCTCCGTGAGCAGGATTTCAGACGTGCTGACATTGCCATCTCGGGACGCAACGATCAAAGGCATCTTTGTGGCCCTGTGTTTGAGCTTTGACCACCACCAGTACCTCAAGTCCGAGCTGGGACAGAAGAAAAAGTTCTCGCGCAGCTTCCCCAAGCCCTACTTTACCGCATGTCTTGTTTCGTACATTGTCGGCTTGACCACCACTGTCGTGGTCATGCACACCTTCCAGGCGGCCCAGGTACGTCAGGAGCGGAGCAAGCCGAGTGAATAACAAGGAATTTGGTCGAAGCATTTGTTTCTGTCAATCGCCTCTCGTCGCTGTGTCGAGCTTCCTCGTCACATTCCGATGTCATGTTGCTTTCTGACAATTCCGAACACTCTGGTCATTCACATCTTTGCTGGCGATTCTGCTTGCGCGCCGCTGAATCCAGCCAGCGTTGCTATATCTTTCGCCCGCCTGCATCTTCTCGGTCTTGATCACAGCCGCGATTCGCGGCGAGCTTGCAGATGTCTTTGCCTTTGCCCCGGCAACCGAAGAATCAAAATCCCCCGAAGCGGAACTGCTCGAAGCCGAGGCTGTATCCAACAAGAAGCTTGCCAAGGGAGTCTCCAAGAAACAGCAGTAGCCTGTGCGGACAATGGACCCACAGCACGACCAAGCCCTGGCCTCCAGGGCGCACAAGAAACGGGACACCTGTTCCGAGTCAGGGCCATCGCTCCTCTCCGGGTCCTGAATACACACCTGTCCATCGCCCGTCATCACCAACAGTGTCTCCACGGAGACTGGCATTGTGGCCGCCTTTGGGAGTGCCTCGTCGAAGCCAGGGCGTGGATGTCCATCAAGCCCATACAGACCCAGATTCGCCCAGTGCCTTGGGTGTCTCTGGCGATGGTGAGGCTGCTAATGTCCCAAAGCGCACGACGAGCGATTCGTTCGACAGGAGTGTCCTGATATCGAGATACTCCAAAGCTGCCCAGGATCACGAAGCTGTCCGGGCCGGTTGAATGCGTACACCACACTCCCACATCGCGACATCCACGCCAGTTGATCGCGGCCAAAGGAGATCGAGCGGGTGTATTCGAGACTATGCCTTCGAAGCCAGCAACCGGTGGTTTGTTTGAAGGCACTCAGAGACACCCCCCATCACCCTATTTCGCTCTAAATATGCTGCATTGTCCTAATAGAACAAGAATGGACCAGGGCTCAACATCGGGCCGCGCGGGCTGCTCTTTCCAGACCCATACCAGGGCATGTTGGAGTACCACCAGATGAGGAAGTGCCCGCCACAGTCAGCAAAGTTGGGATGGGCTGAGACATAGGTCGACCAGGTCTGCTGGTTGACCAGCGGAAGCGTGGCGGGAGGAGTTTGGCCAAAGTATTGGCACGAGGATTGAACAAGCGTGTCCTGAGTGTAGTTATAACCTACACAAGTAAAACAGCACAGGATATGAGCCTTGGCAAATACGATTCATTGCTACGCATCAGTAGCAACATTTGCATTGTGTGGTTTGGGGCACTGTGGGCTGGCATACCTCCAAAGGCGTTGGGTGGATAGTGAACGTTGCCACAGCGCGCATCGTAGGTTGGAATGGAATACTGAGTTCCAGATGAAGTGGCGTTATCGAAATAGGTCATGGCGGCGGAACTTGTGGTCGGATATGTCGTCAGAACACCCCCGGTTCCATAATACTGATTTTGGAAGGGCACGCCGTATCGAATATCCAAGTTCAAGTTGGCAAAGTCGACGAGCCACTCTTGGAACTTTGGTACGGTGCTCAACCTGCCGCCAGAATGCTCATATCCATGTCCGTGGCTGTGGATGTAGCATCCCGGGCCACGAGCATAGTTGACAAAGCCGACCCTGTTGCTGACAGCACAAAGCGGGACGCTGCTGGAGAAGCATCCGTTTCCTGTGACCCAGTGTGGACAGATGGGGAGATCGTCAGGTAACGAACTGCAGCCGAGTTGGTGCCCATGTGGCAACTCGTGCTTCCGAGAGCGCTCTGTCATTCAAAAGTCGCTGGCGCTTGGTCCACTGGAGCTAAAGGTTTTCAGCTTAACCCCCAACATGACTCCATATTTACCTGCACAGCTGTTGAAAGTTCCGGGGATCTTATTTGAAGTGGATGTATACTCTTGCTTGTTCTCAAGCACCTGAACACCATGGGAGTCGACGTTGCGTAAGTCGGCTGGGCTGATAAGGGGGACACTTGAACCCCATCCCAGGATAACGACATGATTGTGTGCCCAACCCTTACCTCCGAGAGACCACCCTCATCACTAGCGATAAACCAAAGCTCGTTGATGATGCCGTTGTTGAACAGGTCGCAAAGCGTATAGTACCCTCCGTTTCCGTTGGAGTAGCCATAGTTGGGGGCAAAAGTCGAAGAATAGAGGGCAGAGTAGTCGAAGCTGCCGTCGGAATTGCGTGGATACAGAGCTGAGTTGGCAGACTTTGGCGGCGTAGCAGGGTTTGGTCGTCCACCCTCACCATCACGGAGGTTAACTAGTACACAGAGCGTGAAAGGTTAGGGTCGTGGTGCCAAATTTGATGTCACCAGCCAATCGATCTGTGCTATGTGCGACTGAAGCGCAAGTTCGAACATACTGATGTTGAGGACTTGATAGGTAAACTGTGCCGTCGCATTCGGGTTGAGATAACCCTGGAACTTGGAGCCAAGCGAAAGGCCCAAGACAACGTCGCTAATAAGCGCCGTCGCATTGTAGGATGCGCCCCCATAGAGCGAGCTCAGGGACGCAAGTGTGGGGTTGGCAAAGTTCAAGATGAGAACCTTGGGCTGAACCAATTGGATTTCGGCGTGGTGTTTGGCGAGCCAGGCATCTGAGTTGGTGTATGAAACTGCGTTGGGCCAGTAGCTGTATGTTCCGTCGGTTGGAAGGATGCACGCCGAGCCAGAGACTTGGAAGCCTGGGGCGCACTGGGCGCAGTTTGATCCAGTGTATCCCAGGCTACGGATTCCGAGAGCAAACAGATAATGCAAGTTAAGGAGGCGTTAGATGATGTGGTTACACATAACGATCAACCAAGAAATAACGACCGCCATTCCGTCCCCTTGTCGCTCCGAGAGGCTTGCACGAGTTGATACTGACGGGCAAGGGCAAGTGAACGAGATGGGATCGATATTGGCACCGCCAGGACATGCTGTGCCGCAGAAAGCAATCAGAGTTGGTTGTCAGAAAAGCGTGTGCACATGAAATGTGATCGACCATGTGTTGCGCGAGTGGATAAAGCCAGGTGCCAGAGCGCTGGTGAAACAAATGGAAAGAGCCTGGCCTCAAGTCACACATTCGGCGTATACTGCAAAAGCCAGGCATGCTGGTTTAAAAGCAAGACCTACTCGAGCAAGGTGATGCGATATCATCAAACACCAATCCGTTAAGGGTCACTTGGAAGCCATAGTCCCAAACGTCGAAAGTGAACCCGATGGAGGCAACATGGGTGTAGTCAAATTGGGAGCTGATGGATCCCGTGAACCCGACCGGTGGGGCAGCCTGCGGGGCAACAGTATTATCGGTTGGCTCTGTGTCGATGGCGCGACGATGCTCGGGATGAACCGTCGCTGAACGGGCAGACAGCAAATGATACTCACGGTGCCAAGGGCAATTTCGATGCGTGTCCAGGTGACATTATCATTCTTGAGCAAAATGGACGTGGGGATGTACACATTCTGGCGCCCGGCAGAGTCGGTAATGGTGACCTGAGGAGCGTTGTTCTGCCAGCCATAAGGAGACACGGCACCACCCTTTCCAAAGAAAGCTAGGCGCGGGGAAGAGCCAGTGTTGGCGTTGATGGCAGACGGGAAAGTGTATGTTGCGGTGTAGGGAAAGCCAGCGCCGCTGTGGATAACGACGGCCGAAGAGCCAAAGACCACATCGCTCGGGGCTGTCGAGACGGTAAAGGTGGCCGTTTGGACGTCACCGGCGGTGAATGTAGACGCCCAGCCGGTGGGTGTCATTCCGGCGAAAGCATCTTTGCAAGTAGGTGGAGCCGTGGTGGGGGTGGGGGATGTAGTTGTGGTAGTGGTGGTCGTGGTCGATGATACCTTGGACGAGGTAGTAGTAGTGCTCGACGTCTTGGGCGAGGTAGTAGTGGTGCTCGATGTCTTGGACGAGGTGGTAGTGGTGCTCGATGTCTTGGACGAGCTGGGGGTTGTGGTCGAGGTGGTAGTGGTCGTGGAACCACTTGGGCAATAGTATTGCAGGGTTTGAGAGTTGAGGCTCTTGGTGACAGTGCAGGCACCGGTGACGGGGTCGGGGCAGTACCCGTTTCCACCACCGGACTGGCCGATGCACTGGCACACACAGGCCGTGGAGTCGAAGCTGCCGTAGACACAGCCACCGGCAGGAGGACCGCCGCAGGCCGGCATAGCCAGAGCGGAGCCGAGGATGTGGGCAGCCACACCGAGGGTGGTTGCGAGCTGGAGAATGGATGTCTTCATTGGGGGTGGGATGGGTGTGCACGGTGGTCCGCGAAAGGACCGGGCTTTTATGTGAGATCAAATTTGATCGCCCTGGGCCAGACGAGCCGGCAGGCCGCTCCTGCACTCCTCAGGGCTTTCCCGTTTGACCCGGATCATCAGGCGTCGGACGGGATGGCAGCCGTCGATTCTTGTTCTTCGGACCAAGACAATTTTGCGTTCCGCAACAAATCTGCGCGGTGAAGAGGAGCCACGGGCGGCGGCCTGCCAGCTCCCGCAAGGAGCCCCACACGCAAATTTGATGTCTGTGTGCAAGCTCCACAGCATCTCAAGGGGCATGGGCACCTGACTCCGTCCCCGCAGAGTCCGTGTCACCCGGGCGGCCGAGCCTGCCATCTTTGTGGTCGGCACCCGTGTCCGGCCGGTCCTTGGAGCGCCGGACACGGAGACCCTGAGACCACGCGCCTGTGAAGCGCTGGTGGGTCCGCTGCAACGTCCCAGCCATTCTGCCTGCGCGAGGACCCTGTGACGGCTGACCAGTGCGGCTGAGCGCCGATTTGTCACAGACTTGTCTCGATGTTGCTGCGTGCGACGCCTGATGAGTCACTTTTGTTGGGATAGGGCTTCGTGCATTGTCCAACAGACGATGGCCGTGGCGAGCAATCAACACATTCTGGCCTGTCCGCATTGAATGATGATGATCGACCGCCCGCCTGGCCAGGTGCTGTCGATCGGCGCCCGTATTGATGCGATGCACTCGGCAGACGAGGTACCAGTGAGATGACTCGGCCGACTTGGCCACTACCGGCCAAGTGCATGATGTTGCTGAGAACCCATTTTGAAGCGGAACACTCTGTTTTGAACCAGGACAGATTTTCCTGTGTATCTTGACATCGAGAAGCCATAGAATAGCCCCAGAGGATCGCCTCACTCACACCGAGACACCAATGCCAGTCAATCGTCGTCACAGGGGATCGGCCGGGTGCTCAAGACGATGCTCCCGAAGCCATCCAAATCAAAGGGATTGACACCGAGGACTGGAAACAATCACACGGCCTGCCCACTGGCACAACGAAAATTCGGCAGGCCTGAGGCTCACGATGCCAGTGAAAGGGACAGGGATACGGTCCATATATGTATTCGGGATTGACCCCACAGCCCTTTGTCCGCGCATGTATTATTGGAGGAGAGCCAGTTCAGTTCATGTAAACATCGATTCGGTTGAGCAAGGCAAAAGTTTCGCTCGGAATGCGGAATTGGATCATGCCAGCAAAGTGAATGATGGCCTTGGATCGCTCCTTGCATTCTTCGGCAGAAACCTCGGGATATTTCGCAATCGAGCATTGGTACAGACAGGTCATGGCGCCCACAAGGATCTCGGGGATGATCTGAATGACCTCCTTGTTGGCAACACTGCAGCCGCTGAAGTAGTCATAGGCCAGCCGCAATTGGCCAGCTTCGGTCGAGGCGGGGATGAACTTGATATCGCGCGCGAGGACGATGAGGGCCTTGAGCCAATTCTGCAGGCGATATTGCTCCATAAATTCATGGCATCCCAATATAACCATACAGAGCTTGACCTTGTCCATGCTGGGAACAATGTTATGCTTGTGGTAGTATTCCAAGATATCCTTCGTGTTCTGTCGAATGCTGAGGGTCTCGCTCACGGCCTCGAAAGTGGCGGCATCGCCCTCGTTCTGATACTGGAGCAGCGATCGCGATAGCAAGAGGATGAGAATGTCGACGACGGCGTCGTAGTTTCCTGAGCGACTATAAAGAACGATTGCAGTGTTGAATTCTTCGGTACTCTGCTGATCCTTGGCTGCTGGCAGCAGAATCTTGTCTTTGATATCGGAAGGCGTCGAAAGGCCAATCAAATGACCCAAGCGGTCCATGGGCGAATGGCGCCACCCATTTTTAGTCTGCTCGCCAACGAGCGCATAGAGATCCTCTTCCTCCAGCGTGGCTCGAGCGACAATTTGTCGCATAAACTCCTGTGCCAGATCGGTGTACTCGCGCTGAACGGCAGAGTTTGGCTTGCCTTCCTGGGCACCAAAAATGCCCAGGAGATAAACGTAGTGGAGCTGTTCTTCAGGCTTGAGTCGCAAGGAGTAAATGTACTGCTGAATCATACGAACCAAGTTGAAGTGGAGACGCTCCGAGCCAGGTAGATCACCTTCGACCTTTCGCGTGAGGGAGCCGCCGAACTGGAGAGAACTGGGACTAGAGTGCACGCGCAGGCAGCCGTAGTAAGAGAGAGCAATGGCGAAATGAGCGCCGTCGGCGCTGAAGACAGGATTGTGGCAAAGGTAGTTGACAGCTCGTTCAAACTCTCCGCAAAGGAGGAGAACCATAAAGTAGAGCACCGGATTCTTGCCGCGAGACGAGAAATGCGCCTCGCCAAAGCCCTGCAGCAGCTTGGAGAGCTGCGCCAGAGTGTATGAGTCTTGCCGAGTATCTTTGCCCCCTGGAGCTTCTTGAAGGAGCATTAACTGGAACCAGAGGTAATCCTCCGTGGATGGAAGGACTGCGTTGCCGGGCACGGTCTTACGCTGCAAATCACAGCGACCAATGATCTTGTAAAGCGCCATGCGATACGGATTGGGCGGAGCTCCATGAGTCGGTGCGCCAATCAGGTCTGGGCGAATCTCATTGTTCCAGGTTTGAAGAAGAGCGTTGCGCTTTAGTTCCGGGAGCGCTCGGTTGGGTGACTGGTACCATGACTCAAGGTAGTGGTGAAAGCCGTGCTCGATGATGCCTTCATTTCGTTTGCTGAACTCTACCGCTTCCTCAAATTTGCCACACCGGACCAGGTAAAACAGCTCGGCCCAGGGCTTGACTGCGGGATCAACGAAATCTCGGCTGCGATCGTTCGAAAAGTCCCTGATCTTGTCCCGGAGGCCGTTGCTGATGCCGGTCCGAGTCTGTTCGATATACTGGCAGAACTGAGCTTCGAAAAAGCGTCTACCACCCTCGATGATACGTCGACGGAATCGGATGGCATCCGCCGAAGGTGCGCCGCTGGCATCCTGGGCAAGATACTCCTGCATGAACTGCAAGGGCAGCAATGGGGCGTCTTCCTTGAGGATAAAGGCCAGTAAATCCCAGCAGTCGCTGACTTGAGAGCGGCCGTCGTCATGCAAGCTGGCATCTTGGCTGACTTTCTTGAAAACGCTGAGCATGTTGAAGTACTGTCCATCGATTCGACCCTGGTTGATCTGTCGGACGGCATTGGCATATCTCTGGCAGATCGCTGGTACCTCTGATGGCTCTGGGTGTCGCCCACAGGGCACGGATTTCGATCGGCGGCATTAGATCGCGAGCTGCCCCGCGCACAACAAGGACCGCACGGAATCGCACTGTACCGAGAGGGATACGTACTTTGGGCTCCACGAGACGACCCGGTCGAAAACACAGCCTTTCCCTTCTTGGCTACAAACGAGGCTGTCTCTGTAACCGGGAAGGAAGCCAATGAGTTTTTGTATGCAGCACTGGTAGAATTAAATACACCTCAATTCCAGGCTAAGGAGCCTTACCTTGATTTACAGAATACTCTCCGGCAACTTCAGTCGATATTCTTTGTCTTGCACGCTCCCAGTTCGAATGAATGTACGCCTCAAACTCATCCTCGTAGTCGCTGGTGGTTTGCTGGGCAACCGCGTCGATCGCGGAGGTGAAAATGGCTTCGTGTTCGGAGGTTAAATATCCCTCGAGATCTTGCAGGATAAAGCGGCACGGTGCGTTAACACTCGCGGTCGAGCGAGCAAAATAGAGACACACCGTGCAACAGCGGCGATGCTGGAGGGCGAAGACGCCGAAGCGCACGAGGATTGTAGAAGGCATACCTTCGTCGGGCAAGGCGATAGACGGAACAAATGTGCTGGACAAGTTGATGGAGTTGACAGTCTGGGTGACTCGCTCGGCGTCGAAGCCCTTGCTGGCGAGCAAGTAGCTTGCTCGTTTGTCGAGGGTGTTGACGCCGGTGAGCTTACGGGTCTGGGAGTCGATCTGGTCAAGGGAGCGCTCGAGCGGAGGGAGACCGGTCGAGACGATATGCGTCGTGAGCTGCTTGGACTGCTCCAGCAGGCGGGAAAAGTCTGAGGCCATGGTAGGCTCTGGCCGCTCAAGGCAGATGATCTTTGGGAAGAGTGATCTGGGCGAGGGCGGGCTGCAGCAAAGTCGGGTTTTGGGGGCCGAGCAACGGCAATGCGCTGCGCACCTCGGCCACGTGCACCGCGCCCTGCGCCACAGATCGTCCAGGGCGTTGGGGCCGGCGGGACACCATTTCCTTGGGGGGCAGACGCATTGATGCTGCTTCCAGGGCGAGCGGCCGCCGAGGAAGACCAATATGTGCGGCTGGGGGCCACAGGGGCGCACAACCTCGAAGTCGGTGGGAGGGGGGGACGTGTTCCGTTTCGTTTGGCAAGCGCTGTATGACTTTGTGGACAAAGCTCGATGATGCCCCAATTGACCCAATCAGCCCACCATGCTGATGCAATGAATCACAGCGTCTGCTGCGTCAGCAGTTCAAATGCTGGCAGCTCGAAGCAATGCGGAATAGAGGGAGGACGAGGTAAGCGCACCTTCTGGGCATTCTCTTCCGCTCTAAATATTTCCCGCAGTTTATTCACCCTTGTGCCTTCGAAATACCTGTGGGAAACCGATACGTTCACGCTCTCGGCTTGTACCGCCGCTTCAGTATAACTGCTCCTGCAACAGGATGAAAGAGCCACGCCAGGTGCATATAAGCAACAGCATTCGTCGAGGCCAAAAGCCAAAAGTCTTGGCTGGCGAGATGTGCTTGCTGATTTCCGCGTGCCCGTTCTTTTTTTCAGGTGGCTGTCGGCACGAGCCCGACATCGAAACTCCACGGAAAGGTAACCTAGCTGCTTCGTATCGCCACTCGGTAAATTTCGGAAATGTAGTATCGGAATAAAAGCTCACGATCTCTTGTCGCACACGCGTCTTGAAGAATGCCCCGGATCTGTTGCCGACAGGAACGCGTGGCCGGGCATGGACCAAAGACATTTCATATGTGCCCAAGGATGCAGAGGAAAAGAACCCGCTGACAACATTCAATAATCTTCAGCCTCTTATGTTTCAATCGACAGCCGAAGGTGTGGCCGTGGATGTGGTTGTGGTTGTGGTTGTGGTTGTGGTTGTGGTTGTGGTTGTGGTTGTGGTTGTGGTTGTGGTTGTGGTTGTGGTTGTGGTTGTGGCTATTCATGTCAAAGCCGGAATGGGAGGTGCAGAGCGCTGTCGTGTTCTACATCTCGACGGCCACATTGACCATACATCTTTGCCACCGGTGCCCTCGACATTTATCTGATTGAACAATATCCCATGATATCCAGAGGACCGGTCGGATGCTGGTGGTGGTTTGTTCACAACCAGGAAACGACCCGCCAACCTTGCCAACGCAATCAGCGTTTCGCAAAAGGCCGAGAAGAACCTCAAGCGTGACAAAGAATCCTTTCGCACAACCTTGGTCAATATTGTCATGTAAGTGGGAAAGTTGCAGACAGCACTGGAGCTTATACTGAGACTATTGGGTCCTCTGCATGGACGCCACGAGTATCTCTGCTGAGAACCTAATTGGCATCGGCATCGACAATATGGCCATCGCATGCAAATGAAGGCATAATATTCCTGCAAAGCAAGATGACCCAGATGATCAGGCCGATGGACAGCCAGAGGAGACAAAACAAGTGTCTGGGTCTCAGGATAAAGATATCATGGTATTTTACCTGGAGGAGATCATGACTTTCCCGAGCTGCCTTCGTACAGCCATTAGCAATAGGATTTGCCTTGATCGATTGGTCGTTCAAGGATGGTATCCGAGCTGATTCAAACACCGTCCGCAACAGCAACGCTACTACTACTATATTACAAACGGTGTTGATACACAACACGTCGCCGAAATGGAAAACGAATGGCTTGCAAATGTCATGGAGAAGCTTCCGCATCATCTCAAGCAAACCCATCAACCTACGCTCCATAGCCTTTCGAGCGAAATGCGCGATGATTATCACATGAGTGTGAAGAAAGCCATCGGTATGGTAAAAAATTTAACCAGCAGCACGACACACAGTGTATGGTGGTGTACATTGGCGCCTTGATACGGCCTTGGTACTGATCTGAAGATTGACAAGCCGTGTGATAAAATGTGCTTCAAGTTGATTTTGTACTCAGAGACCCTCGACAAAAGAACGACTACGGGGCAATGACAAAGGAATCGACCGAAGACTTTGTAAAGTAAGTTGATAGCTCAGCTCAGCTCCATTCCTCGACGATAAAGGGATGCTTCACTAACCAACATGGCTCGCCAAAGGATTCGAAACTCAACACCCACTTGGCAGATATCATTCAACGCGTCGTTAGGACACATTCGTGACACACTTTTGATCAACAACCCAACTATACTCGCCATTCACGACCTCTGGCACAAGTTTTCCGACATACGATTGTTTGATTTGGAGCCTCTAGTGACAAAAAGCAGCTCCTTTGAGCTTCGAATATTCAGGACAACACTCTTGCAGAGATTTGAAAAGGCCCATGAAAAGCTCATGACCAGGTAAGGTTGAGGTCAGTTGACCAATCTCTGTGTTCTACGATCGACTATTCTTTTGAAGATAGTCGGGCAAGCACTCGCTGCTCAAGACACCAAACTCATTTTCCTTCATAGCTGGTACCCAGCGATGCTCAATATATTTTATCAAGGAAGCAAGCGAAACGAGTGGTCGTCGATACCTACCGAGAAAATGGAGGTGTTTTTCAAGACCGTTTCGTTTATCATGGGGGACCAACTCAGACATATTGTGCACATGTCGATTTTGGACTTTGTGGCGCTCTTTGAAGAGACGCTGCCTAGTCGAATTGTTAATCAGATTGAGGGTGCTCACCAACTTGCATTCTCTATCAAGTTGGTTATGGAAGACACAAAACTAAGATACGAACCGGCAACGCAGGAGATTCAAACTGCCATTGAGGGTCTTTTGGATCAGCTCTTGGTAGCTGCTGATAGAATTCCAAAGGTCGAGACCCAGCTCTTTTCTAGTGGAGCGCAACCGACAGCGACAAGCCGTGTGACAGCGGCGGTTGTCAAGGCAGAACAGTGTATTCCCGTGGCCTTCGAGGCCACCTTTCCAAAGATCGTAGCAGAAGCACGGGAACGACTCCGCACGAATCTCTCCAAAATGCTGCAATACCCTCACATTTACTTGCAAGAGTTTGACAGACATCGGTCCTTAATCAACCGGGCGGCGGAAAGCGACCTGGCTGATTTTTTGTCGCATGACAATACGCAAGAAAAGCTGATGGAGGTATGATGCAGCATCCAACTTGACATTGGGGGGGGGGAGATCGACACTTGATAACACTGCCTCGAATCTTATCGCAGGAGGTCAAGCGCTACAAAAACCACGCCAATATCATGATTTTGAGCGCCTACCCGTTTGTGGTCCATTTCCCCCTCATCGAGCTTCATTGCGACGAGTTCCTACATGCTCTAGCCGATCTGGCTCTGGCCCTTGCAAACAAAATTCTGGAAAAGATGGCCATTGATAACAGAGTGCTGAATCAAGGGTAGGTGGTCGGGTTGAGGTTTGGGTCTGTTGCAGTGGAGCGTTTCTTGTGGTGGCAGTGGCTTGGTAGACAGAGAAACGTTGTGGCGTGAGAAATGAGTGCCGAAGGCTCCACTACTTCATGTTCGAAGGCCTTTGGCTTCTTCAGTTGAACCACCGAAACAACATTGATAGTAATCCAAGGGGTTTGCTTCACTCTTCAAGTGTTGTCAAAATATTTGAAGATATTGCAGCCAAAATGCTCACGGTTCCAGAAAGCGTCGAAGAGATGGTGAATCTTCAGAAGCTAATCGACAACACCAGAAACGTTGCCATGAAATCGCTGGAAGAAAGTGTCGATGAGGCTAAAAAAAGGTATGATCAAGCGCTCAGTCTCACTTTTCAGGGCAGCATCTCTATCTCGGCCATTCGCATCCACAAGCACAGTGCAAACAGTTGGCCCGATATTGACCCCATGCTTGTTGCATTTTCCTGAATCTCCAAATAGACTGAACTTTATGATAATGTACTCTGAGCTCAAGAAAGAGGATTTTGATCTCAATTCGATACTGTTTTCGTGGCCCCACAAAATCCAGCCTATCTTTTCTGAGGGGGAGGGGATTCTCCTCAAGTCCAAGATGGCAAACACAGATGAGCTCAAGGCGCGTCGAGAAAAGCTCTTTGCTGAGCTGGACGGCTACACCAAGCAGCTTGAGGAATATAGGTCATTTGGAGACTACACCGAGATCAACCGCTATCTCAAGACCGCTCAAAAGTTGCAATCTCGACTCGACTCTGTTAACGAAAAAATCCAGGCATTCAATCACGAGGAAGACCTCTTTGGTTGGGAAACAACCAAATTTCCGACCCTGACGGAGACCATTGAAGCTTTGGCTCCATATCTGTCGCTCTACCAAACTTCAGTGGATTTCCAAAAGTCCTATCACAACTGGATGACAGGATCCTTTCTCAAGCTGGATCCGGAAGTCGTTGAAAGCGAGGTATCGAATATGTGGCGAACCATATACAAGCTCTGCTTGGGACTTTCGGATGATCCCGCTGCTTTAGAAATCGCCGAGATTACCAAGGAACAGATTGAGAGATTCAAGGTTAATCTCCCGCTCATTACAACCCTCTGCAATCCGGGTCTACGTGAGAGACACTGGAAAGATATATCTGCCATCGTGGGCTTTCGCTTTCAGCCTGACGATACGACCAGTTTGACCGCAGTCCTCGAAAGAAACTTTGCTGATTATCTTGAGCAGCTGGATCAAATCAGTGCTGTGGCTACAAAGGAATACTCGTTTGAAAAAGCCCTCCAAAAAATGTATCACGAGTGGCAAGATGTCGAGTTTGTGACGATCGAGTACAGAGATACTGGAACCCAAATTCTCTCTGCCGTCGACGAGATACAATCGCTGTTTGACGATCATATCGTAAAAACCCAGACTATGAGAGGCTCGCCGTTCATCAAGGCCTTCGAGGAGGAAACAGTGTCTTGGGAGAGACGACTTTTGACAATGCAGGTACAAAGTGTGTGGGGCTTACGGCCAGCTGGATGGGTTCAAGAGGGCACCGTGCCAAGCTCACGAGATAACAAGTCTCGGCGCGAACGGCGACGCTTTCTCGCAATCAAGATCGTCCAAACTATTGTCATGGCTGGAGGCACCTCTGACGATCGGCTTTGCTTCGAAAATAGGAAATACTGGACGAGTGGCTCAAAGTCCAGGCCACATGGCTCTACCTGGAGCCCATTTTCAGTTCAGAGGATATTATGCGGCAAATGCCTGTGGAGGGCAAGAGATTTGTCCAGGTCAACAAAACATGGAAGGACCTTATGGCGCACACGGCTCAAGACCGACATGTTCTCAAAGTGTGTGCGCTGCCAGATTTGCTTCCAAAACTCAAGGATAGCAACACGGAGCTTGAGCTGATTCAAAAGGGCTTGAACCAATATCTCGAAATCAAGCGTCTCTACTTTCCCCGATTTTTCTTCCTCTCGAACGACGAAATGTTGGAGATCCTCTCTGAGACTCGCGATCCCACACGTGTGCAACCCCATCTGAAGAAATGCTTTGAAGGAGTCAATAGCCTCGAATTCGAAGAGAATCTTGACATTACAGCAATCTATAGCAGCCAAAAGGAGTGCGTAAAGCTGATCTCGACGATTTCAACCGTGGACGCCGGAGGGGCTGTCGAAAAGTGGCTTGTTGACGTCGAGAAAGTGATGCTCGTCAGCATGCGCGATGTGACCTCGCGCGCATACACAGCTTACAAGGAATCTTTGCGAGACCAGTGGGTCCTGGAGTGGCCAGGCCAGGTAGTGTTGTGTGTGAGCCAGATCTATTGGACAGCCGAAGTTGAGCAAGTTTTGCAGGAGTGCCAACCTAATGGTCTCAAAAAGTATGTCGACACGAGCACCGAGCAGCTCTCCAAGATCGTTGAATTAGTACGAGGCAATCTAACTAAGCTGGCCAGGACAACCCTCGAGGCCCTCGTTGTGGTGAGTGGAGAAGGGTGGAGCAGGTGCCAACTTTCCCTCGGGAGTCGGAGGCAGTGTGAATCAGCGCCGTTTGGACCGACTTTTAATCTGCTCGAGCGCCAAATATTTATTATCCAATATCCACTGATTGTCATTGGTTTTGCAGATCGATGTCCACGCCCGCGATGTGATTTCGCAACTGGATGATGCTAAAGTTGTCAACCCCAATGATTTTTCGTGGCTCAGCCAGCTTCGCTATTACTACGATAAAGACGGAGTTATCGTCAAGATGATCAACTCAATTCAAAAATACGGCTATGAGTATCTCGGAAATACGGGCCGTCTTGTCATCACGACCCTCACCGATCGCTGTTACCGCACGCTGTTTGGGGCACTGCAACTCAATCTAGGCGGCGCACCCGAAGGTCCGGCTGGAACAGGAAAGACAGAAACTGTCAAGGACCTTGCAAAAGCTTTGGCAATGTTCTGCGTGGTCTACAACTGTTCAGACGGTCTGGACTACATAGCGATGGGAAAATTCTTCAAAGGGCTAGCGTCGGCTGGAGCATGGGCATGTTTTGACGAGTTCAATCGTATCGATCTTGAGGTTCTCTCTGTTGTTGCCCAGCAAATTCTCACCATTCAGCGGGCCAAGGCAGCCAAAGTGGAAACATTTGTCTTTGAAGGAACCGAGCTGAACCTTAATCCCGTGGCCAACTGTTTCATCACAATGAATCCTGGATATGCAGGTCGTAGCGAGCTTCCAGATAATTTGAAGGCCCTCTTCAGGTGGGGAGCCCCGTTCGCTACATACCACAACACAGGCTGTTTCGTGGAGGTCGAGAATTGCTGGCATCCATGGCTGTTTTGCGGTCACGCCATTGCCATGTCAACGCCTTCTGAAATGCCTGACTTTAGCGAATCAAGTAGAGTGTGGGAAACGTGCTTGGCGTAGGGAATTCGATCTGAACCGGAAACTTGGTGTCACTTTCATGTGGTATCAATATGGAAATGAAGCTAATGATAAAAACTTCTTTCCGAACCTGAATCATATATGGCTACTTCAAGGCCGGTGGCCATGATGGTAGGGTTTGGAAGCATTCGTGCCAAAAAAAAAATACGTCGAGCACGCTGGAATTGAATGATTTGGGTTGGAAAATGACGCATAGAAGCACAGCTTTATGTCATTTCACACTGTTTCGGTCTTCAGGAGCCCTAACTTCTGAACAATCCAAAATTACTCGCCGCAGGTTCCTGATTATACATTGATTGCTGAGATTTCTCTGTACTCCTTTGGGTACGTTCAAGCCCGCAGTCTGTCGGTGAAAATCACGGCGACGTACAAGTTGTGCTCCGAGCAGCTTTCATCGCAGGATCACTATGACTACGGAATGCGTGCCGTCAAATCCGTGCTGTCGGCTTGTGGAGCCCTCAAGCTCAAGTATCCAAACGAAAACGAAAACATCCTTGTCCTTCGGTCCATTATTGATGTCAATCTGGCAAAGTTTTTGTCCCAAGATATCCCTCTATTCAAGGGCATTACCGCTGATCTATTCCCTGGAGTGACCCTTCCGACGCCAGACTACGAGATACTGATTCACGCGATTCACGAAAACTGTACCAAGCTGAACCTCCAAATGGTTCCAGCCTTCCTCGAGAAAATCCTCCAAGTGTATGAGATGATGCTTGTTCGACACGGCTTTATGCTTGTTGGCGAGCCTTTTGGAGGAAAAACCTCGGCATACCGGGTTTTGCAGGGGGCGCTCTCGGACATTGCCAAACACAATCCCCAAGCAGAGAGCAAGGTTCTTGTCCAAGTCATGAATCCAAAGTCCATTAGTATGGGCCAGCTCTACGGCCAGTTTGATGCAATCACACACGAATGGGCGGATGGCGTCCTGGCTGTAGGCTTTCGAAATTTTGCCTCCCAAGCCACGCCGGATCGAAAGTGGGTCATATTTGACGGGCCCGTCGATGCCATCTGGATCGAAAACATGAATACCGTTCTCGATGACAACAAAAAGCTTTGCTTGAATAGCGGTGAAATCATCCAGTTGTCCTCGACTATGAGCTTGATCTTCGAGGTGCGCGACCTTGCCGTCGCTTCTCCAGGTGAGCATTATATTCCAACATGGCCCTCTTTGCTTTGAACAGCGTAGCACCAGACTTTGATAAGCATCAAAAGAATTCATCTGATACCGGTGCTAGCCCTGCCTCGAGAAAATCTATCGTAAACTCGAGCCGCTTTGCGGTAGTGGGATGAGGAGGGACCCTTCGTACCATTGTTTATGCGGTGATTTGGATGAAATCAGTATTTTGTCGCTTGCGATTCCACAAACACCCCCTCCGGCGAAGGGGTAGAGGGCGAGACTTTTGGATTCGATATCAACAGTATTGTCGCTAGTCACTTTTGCTGAGGATCGAGGCGCAAATGGATGGGTATCGCTGATTCTTTTCAATCTCAGCAACTGTCAGTCGATGCGGAATGATATATATGGAGCCAAGTCGACTTGGCTGGAGAGATACTCTCATGGTATCCTGGATCAACAAATGCGCTCTCGATGAGGCCCAAAGGAGAACGGTTGTGATCCTTTTTGATTGGCTCATGGAGCCGTGTCTCTCGTTCCTCAGACGGAACTTGACAGAGCTTGTTGAGACATCCGATATGAATCTTGCAACCTCGATGATGAATGTCTTTGAGAGCCTTCTTGACGACTTCCTAAAGGATGGATCGGACTTGTCGAACAAGCATATCCAGGGAATATTCCTGTTCTCGCTTGTTTGGGCCGTTGCTTCCACATGTCATGAGAATGCCAGACCAAAGTTCAGCGCATTTATCCGAACTCTGATAACCGGACAAGTCACAGAGTATCCGCCTCCACAAGGGTTCTCTCTTGAAACAATCATACCCGAAGGATCCGTATATGACTATATATTTGAGAGATCAGATGGTGGCCGGTGGAGAAATTGGCTCGAAACCATCGTGACGGAATACGTGATTCCAGCCAAAGCCAAGTACGACGACATTCTCGTCCCGACCATTGACACGGTTCGATATGCGTATTTGCTCAAGCTCCTGGCCAGACACAGCAAACAAGTGCTGTTCATCGGCCCCACGGGCACTGGAAAGTCGACGTACATCAAGGACGTCCTCATGAAGGGGATGCCCAAAGAAACCTACACCCCGGTCTTTATCAACTTCTCGGCCCAGACGTCGGCAAACCAAACACAAGATATCATCGAATCAAAGCTCGACAAGCGCAGGAAGGGCGTTTACGGACCCCCTGTTGGAAAGAAATGCATCATTTTTGTCGATGACATGAACATGCCGGCCAGAGAAACCTATGGCGCCCAGCCCCCAATTGAATTATTGCGCCAGTGGATGGATCATAATGGCTGGTACAACCTACAAGAAAACAGTATGCAGGAGTTTGTGGACATTCAGTTCATTGGAGCAATGGGCCCTCCGGGAGGCGGCCGCAACCCAATCACAAACAGAGTATGTAGGGCTACAGGCCCGAAACCTGCCACGGATTCCTGGACTATTGGGCCCCCTGGGTCTCTGCTGTTTGTGGCCGCAGCGATCAAATGTTGGTGACGTGTTTGTTGGCAATGCTGTGAGATAGCAAGTACAAAAGGACTGACCATTCTCATTCATGCTCCTTGGGCGAATGTTCAGTTTACCCGGCATTTCAATATGATATCGATCGCCTCGTTCGACGATCCAACTCTCCACCGAATATTCGAGACCATCCTCGACTGGCATCTTGTGTCCAACAACTTTGAGAAAGACGTCATCCAGTGCTCCAAATCCATCATATCTGCGAATCGAGTCATATACCGAAGCGTAATGGAGAGCCTTCTGCCAACACCCAAAAAATCGCACTATACCTTCAACCTGCGGGACTTTGCTCGAGTTATCCAAGGCATTCTTCTGTCGAGAAGCGATACCGTTAAAGACAGTGGAAAAATCGTCCGTATGTGGCTCCATGAGGTGTATCGAGTCTTTTATGACCGTCTCATCGACGACGACGACCGTGGGTGGGTTTTTGACAAGTGTCGATCCATCATCAAGGAGATATTTGGCATGGACTTTAATACGGTATTCAAACCGTACGATACAAACAACGACGGGGTCGTTGAGGAAGACGATATGCGCAGTCTCATTTTTGGGACGTTTCTCGCTCCCAAAGGCCAGAATATCTATGACGAGATTATGGATCTGGGCGAGTTGACTGCGCTGATGGACCAACAGCTTGCCGAGCACAATATGGTCAGCAAAAAGCCGATGGACCTGGTCATGTTCCGTTTTGCGATTGAGCACCTATCACGGATCAGTCGAGTGCTCCAACAACCACGAGGAAACATCTTGCTTGTCGGAGTCGGTGGGAGTGGTCGACAGAGCCTGACGCGTATGGCGGGATATGTGGCAGATTATGATGTGTTTCAAGTTGAAATTTCAAAGAATTACAACTACTCCAATTGGCACGATGATTTGAAGAAGGTCTTTCGGTCGGCAGGAGGCCTGGGACGGCCCTCGATATTCCTCTTCAGCGACACACAGATTCAGGAGGAGGCTTTTCTTGAAGATATCAACAATGTCCTCAATTCTGGAGAAATCCCGAACCTCTATGCTGCCGACGAGAAACAAGAGCTCTTTGAGCTTATCAGACAGGATTCACGTGCAGCACGACCAACCGACAGTAGCCCGGCGGCGCTCTTTGCTCAGTTTGTAGACCGCTGTCGCGAGAACCTCCATGTCGTATTGGCCATGAGCCCTGTCGGCGAAGCCTTTCGGAATCGTTTGAGAAAGTTTCCGTCGCTCGTGAACTGCTGTACAATTGACTGGTTCAAGGAGTGGCCCAACGACGCCTTGGAAATGGTGGCGACAAAGTTTCTTCGAGATGTTGAAATCGATGCCTCAGTTCGAAAGGATGTCGTATTTATGTGCAAGCACTTCCACGAGAGCACTCGAAGGCAGTCTGAAAACTTCCTCTCCGCCCTCCGCCGACACAACTACGTGACCCCCACTTCGTATCTAGAGCTCATCCGAACCTTCAAATCCTTGCTCGAGATGCGGCGCTCCGCCGTTTCCAAGCTCAAGTTTCGCTATGTCAATGGTCTGGAAAAGCTCAATTTTGCACAGGGTGCCGTGAGCAAAATGCAGATCGATCTTGGAGAGCTGCAGCCACAGCTGATCAAGACTCAAAAGGAGACTGATTTGATCATGGTCCAGATCGAGAAGGAGTCCAAGGATGTGCAAAAGACAAAGGATGTAGTCTCCGTGGACGAAGAAATCGCCAGTAAGAAGGCAGCCGAAGCCAAGGCCATCAAGGATGACTGCGAGGCGCAGCTTGCTGAAGCTATTCCAGCACTCGAGGCTGCTGTGGCGGCCCTTGACACTCTCAAGCCAGCCGATATCACTGTGCTCAAGTCCATGAAGAGCCCGCCCGCTGGTGTCAAGCTCGTTATGGAAGCCGTTTGCGTCATGAAAGACGTAAAGCCTGTCAAGATTCCAGATCCTTCTGGGTCAGGGAAGAAGATTGAGGATTGTAAGTATTGTTTGATCCAATTGTGGCCGGGCACTCGGTCGCTTGGTCACTTGGCTACGTGGTGACAAAGACCCCAAAAGGCTATTGATCAGACGTTCGACTATCTATCATTTGCAGACTGGGGCCCATCTAAAACGCTGATGGGCGATATGAAGTTTTTAGAGTCGCTCAAAGCCTACGACAAAGAGAACATCTCCCCAGCCATCATGAAGATCATCCGATCAAAGTACATGGAAAATCCAGAATTTGATCCGGAAAAGATCAAGACGGCCTCCTCGGCGGCCGAAGGTCTTTGTAGATGGGTGCGCGCCATGGAGTGCTACGATCGGATCGCCAAGGTGGTTGCCCCTAAGAAGGAGGCTCTTGCAAAGGCTGAATCGGAGCTCGCAGAGACAATGAAGGGACTGAACGAAAAACGAGCCATCCTGAGGGCTGTTGAGGCCAAGATGGCGGCGCTGGAAGACAACTTTCGAGCCATGACCGAAAAGAAAGATCAGCTCGAGAAACAAGTCATATCTGTCTCGAATCAGCTTGTTCGTGCTGAAAAACTCATAGGCAGCCTGGGAGATGAGCGAGACCGATGGACTCAGTGCGCCGCGGACCTCGAAGTCAAGTTTACTGCCCTGACAGGAGATGTACTCGTTTCTTCCGGCATCGTTGCCTATCTTGGAGCTTTTACCAAGGCTTTCCGCGACGAGTGTGTTCAGGAATGGAACAAGCTTTGTAAAGAGAGAGGAGTGCCGTGCTCCGAAGAGATCAAGCTGGCCACTGTGCTTGGGGAGCCTGTCAAGATACGCGCCTGGACCCTTGCAGGACTCCCAAACGATTCATTCTCGATCGACAACGGCATCATGATCTCCAATGCTCGCCGCTGGCCTTTGATGATTGATCCACAGGGACAAGCCAATCGATGGATCAAAAACATGGAAAAGCAAAAGTCTCTCCAGGTCGTGAAATTAACCGACTCGGATTATATACGCACTCTGGAAAACGCCGTGCAGTTTGGCACACCGGTGCTCCTTGAAAACGTCTTAGAGCAGCTCGACCCAGTACTGGAGCCCTTGCTGTTGAAGCAAACATTCAAACAGGGTGGTATAACATGTATCCGTCTGGGCGACTCGACTGTCGAATACTCCCCCGAATTTCGCTTTTACGTCACAACAAAGCTCCGGAATCCGCACTACCTCCCGGAGCTCTCGACCAAAGTTACCTTGCTCAACTTTATGATCACTCCTGAGGGTCTGGAAGATCAGCTTCTCGGAATTGTGATTGCCAAAGAGAGACCAGAGTTGGAGGAAATGAAGGCACAGCTGCTGCTTCAGTCTGCTGACAACAAGCGACAGCTCCAAGAAATTGAAGACAAAATCCTTGAGATCCTCTCGGGTTCCGAGGGCAACATCCTTGAAGATGAAACCGCGATCCAAATCTTGTCTTCATCCAAGGTACTTGCGAACACAATCAACGAGAAACAAGCCATTGCAGAAAAAACCGAGATCAAAATTGATGAGATTCGCATTGGATACAAGCCCATTGCTATTCACTCGTCGCTGCTGTTTTTTTGCATCGCCGATTTGGCAAACATAGAGCCAATGTACCAGTACTCGCTTACGTGGTATATCGGACTATTTATCGGATCGATCGAATCCAGCGAAAAGTCTCCAGATCTGAACACCCGCTTGGAAATCCTCCGGAGACATTTTACAGAATCGCTCTACTGCAACATTTGCAGATCGCTCTTTGAGAAGGACAAGCTCGTGTTCTCATTCCTGCTCTGTGCAGCAATATTGAAGGGCCACAACGAGATAGATTCGGACGAATGGCGCTTCCTTCTGACCGGGGGTGTCGGCGTTGGAGGCAACATACCCCCCAATCCAGATCCAAGTTGGGTCTCCGAGAAGTCCTGGAATGAACTCAACCGAATATCAAATCTTCCTGCATTCACGGGACTAGCAGAAAGCTTCAAAGACAGCATCAAGGATTGGAAGGCATTATTCGACTCTCCAGAGCCACACACAATGGATCTTCCTGGTAGTGTACAAATTTCATTGGCTCATGATATGCTTCAATTAGAGCATCGATTCGAGTTGAAGGACATCTTCAGAAAGCATTTGTCTTGCGCTTTCCCGGCTCGCATCGCATGTCAGCACTGTAGATTCAAATTGAATTGTAGAATGCTGTGAAGGGGCCATATCTCCTCAGCCGCGTGGGCGCAATGATGCAATGACGCAGTGTCACAGTGACGCCATGTGTTTGCCGCGTCTCTATCCACACCTGCGCCGTATCAGCAATTTAAACAAAATTCCGCAGCACCACTAACACGTTGTATCCCTGTCAAATGACTTGATTCTCTTTTCATTTCCAGGAAAATGGGACACATGCACAAACTCATTTCAAAAGTTGATGATTCTTCGATGCATCCGTGCGGACAAAATCACCCCTGCGGCTTCGGCCTTCATCATCGAGAAGATGGGCAAACGCTTTGTCGAACCTCCGCCGTTTGACCTCGCGAGCAGCTATGCGGACTCCAACTGCTGTGCGCCACTCATTTTTGTGCTTTCGCCAGGAGCAGATCCCATGACCGAACTTTTGCGCTTTGCCGAAGACAAGAGAATGGGTGGCAGTCGCCTTAATTCGATTTCTCTGGGACAGGGCCAGGGTCCGATTGCCGCAAAAATGATCCAACAAGGTGTCCAGGATGGCTCATGGGTTGTATTGCAAAACTGCCATTTGGCCATCAGCTGGATGACAACCTTGGAGAAGATATGTGAAGACCTCAGTCCAGACACGACGGCCCGCGACTTTCGCCTCTGGCTGACGTCATATCCCAGTGACAGATTTCCAGTGACACTCTTGCAGAATGGCGTCAAAATGACCAACGAGCCTCCAAAAGGACTCAAAGCCAACCTCCAGAAACTGTACCTGAGCGATCCAATCAACGACATGACATTTTATGAGGGATCCAAGAAACAAGATGTCTTTGAGAAAATGCTGTTCGGGTTGTGTTTCTTTCATGCAGTGGTTCAAGAGCGACGGCAGTTTGGCCCCATTGGCTGGAACATTCCGTATGAATTCAACGATACCGACCTTCGCATATCAGCTCGTCAACTTCGAAACTTTTTGTCGGAGTACGAAGATATCCCATTTGACGCACTTTCGTATCTGACAGGTAATGTTGATATCCATACCTATCAATGGATAGATGGATAGATGGATAGATAGACGGAGAGGGAGAGAGAGGCAAGAGGGCTCTAATGATTGCGAAATGTTGAACCGATATTGATTACTCTATCAAGGCCAGTGTAATTACGGCGGTAGAGTCACCGACGACAAGGACAGGCGATGTATCATGTCCGTACTGGCACTCTATTACACTCCTAAGATCTTGGACGAAGGCTACAACTTCTCAGAAAGCGGCCTATACCATGTGCCAACCACAAGCAACTACCAGGCGATTCTCGACTATGTCAAAGCGCTGCCCATGGAAACACGACCCGAAGTCTTTTGTTTGCACGAAAACGCAGATATCACCCGAAATCAGCTTGAAACGGAGCTCTTTTTCAAGGCGGTCCTTTCCACGCAGGCTCGGACAGAGTCTGGCGGAGGGAAATCAACAGAACAAATTATATTCGATGTGGCTGCCGAGATGCTTGGACGCTTGCCAGAATCATTTGACATCCTCAGGGTCCAGCAGAAGTGGCCTGTGACGTATTCCGATAGCATGAACACAGTGCTCCTTCAAGAGGTGATCCGATTCAGCGGATTGTTGGAAACAGTGCGCGAAAGCCTCAAGAGTATCCAAAAGGCGGTCAAGGGTTTGGTCGTCATGTCTGCAGAGCTCGAAGATGTGAGCACAAGCATGCTAGTCGGAACGATTCCCGGAATGTGGGCCAAGAAGTCATATCCATCGATGAAACCTCTGGCAGGCTACTTTCAGGATCTGTTGCATCGACTGACTTTCTTCCGCAAATGGATTGATGAAGGGCAGCCAATTGTCTTCTGGTTGAGTGGCTTCTTCTTCACTCAGAGTTTTCTCACCGGTTGCCTACAAAATTTTGCTCGCAAGTACACCCTTCCGATCGACATCCTCAGTTTTGAATTTCAAGTTCAATCCACCAAAACAGCCGGTGTCCGCCCTGAGGAAGGCCAATATATATACGGACTCTTCTTGGAGGGCGCACGATGGGATATTCCACAGCATTCAATTGCCGAATCGCACCTGCGAGTTCTCTACGATCAACTACCTGTGATTTGGCTGCGCCCGGGGGAAAAATCCAAACTCAACATCTCGGGGACGTACGAATGTCCAGTATATAAAACAAGTGCTCGTCGAGGAACGCTTTCGACAACAGGGTCAGCGTCTGTGGCAGTGATGAGAGTATATGTGGTCAGATGCCGAGTTTCGAGTCGAGGATCAGGGGCGGATTTGCAAGCGCTCTCGCATTACATACAAGCGTTCAAGGATGGCTCATAACTCGCAATTTTCCTCCAATGATCCAGGCACAGCACCAATTTCGTCATGTTCATGCGATTGCCGACCAACGTGCCGGAGGACACCTGGATTCGGCGTGGCGTTGCCGGGCTTATGCAGTTGAATGACTAGGTTACACCTCCGGACAATTACTGGCACAGATATCACCAGATGATGCAACGCCTATGGTTCCTGACGAGCGCCATCAACGGAATCGGTGATCTGGGCCACCTTATTCCTGAGGTGACCAGTAGCCTGGCTTGGATTATTAATACATTTACACCGAAACAGCCACTACAACAACAACATTTCCAATCCCAAACAGGACAATTGTTTCAAGTCGGGGTTGTGGCTTGTTCTGGTCCTAAATATACACACCCGCTCGTCGCTATCATGACCAAAGAGTGTGTCCAAGGAGACAGACGATGTGATCGCCTTTGGGAATGCCTTTGGAAAGGGACACACTTCCAGTCCCAGGAGGCGCAGGTTCGTCAAAAAAAAAAAAATAGAGTGATCATATCTCACCAGTGGCATCCATCAGACCCATCACAAAACCTATTGGCGCTCGATGAGTGACAGTCGAGTCTGAGGCATAGAGTTGTAGTCAGGTAACGATTATGACTCTACAGTTCATTTTGCTTTGATCGAAAGACTGGAAATATGGACGAACAGATCAAGACAGACCGAGAATCCCATGCCAACAAACGCGGCAAGGGGCTGCCCGACCCTTTCACGACCTGATCAGCTCCTGATCTTCGGTCATGCCCACTACAAGAGCCTCGGTCGGCATTGCCTTTGGTGCTGGATTCGCACTCGGTCTGGCGCTCTCGCCATATGCCCGAGTTCGAAGTGCAAGGGAGGTATTGGAAACACCTCACGCCTTCTCCGAACTCATCAGACCGTCGGCCGACTGGGGTTTATTCCGCCGACGGCTGGACCGGCCCCTGCCTCTCGGTGGCTCTTCAGAAGCGTCTGAAGCGCTCTGGACCTACATAGACTCATTCCTTCGATCTCCAGCATATCGTCTTGAGCTGGTACTTTCTCAAGCACCACTCGATGAAGTCGACCGGTTCCGCTTGAATCAAGGAAGCGCTGTTGGAAACCTCCAAGTCGAGTCGTTGCCGACCCGAGCGGAGGTGATATTCAAGTACTGTGCTCCAGGTTTCAATTTTCGTCTCTATCTGGCGACGCCATCCGATCGAGAAATCATCTTTGGCTTTGTCGATTACAGTGGCTCGTTCATCAGTTCGCTGGGCCAAAGGGTGTATGCGTATATGTGCCTTGTGAGCACGGCTCGCAAACTCGATCGGGGATGGATAGACAAGCTGCACTCGAGTTGACAGAAGAAATATAGCACGATTGAAACGAAACGGACACCTGTTCCGAGTCAGGGTCATCGCTCTTCTCGGTCTTGAAGGAACACCCATCCATCCCCCGTCATCACCAACAGCGTCTCCACGGAGACTGGCATTGTGTCTGTCTTTGGGATGCCAAGATCTAATACTGGGCCGCTCTCTGTCACCGCCCCCCCCCCAAAAAAAATGATACGGTATCAGGAGCCCCAAGGGTGGGGGGTATGACCTGCTTGGCCTTGCTCACCCATGCGAAAACGCGGTTTGGGGGAGGGTATCAGCAAGTTACACTTTATTCAGAAAAAAACGGGACAATACAGCCGTTTCCATGAACATGTAGTATGTGCTGTGCTTGCGTCAAGCAAAGCCACAAGAAATAAAACAGATCACTTTGGCAGCCTCCGAGTGAAGACCGCCGGTCGCTCTCCGATCTCCACAATCGACCTGCATACTGTGATCATGTTGCGCGCCGCATTGACGTCGCGATTCCACACTGTCCGGCAGCTGGGATTCTTGCAGCTCCTGACAAAGTGGGAATTCGCAACACTGGGCGCATCGAGTCCTTCCAACCGAACTGGCTCCAGGCACTTGGAGCACACTTGCGAGGTGTTAAACTCGTTCGTCGAGGCCACCTTGACGCTTCCATGATGGTGATTGGGACGGCGTCGGTGGTGCTCGAACTGCTCAAAGTACCGAGCAAACCGCTGCCTCCGAGGGCTGGATGCATAGCCCTTGCCTTGTCGCCATGACGCATTGCCAAAGGCGATCACCACATCGGTTCGTATCGGGGCGTGCTTCAGGACGGCCTTGCACATCTTGTCGACGGCCACTTGGCGTCTCTTGTGGCCTGTGAAGCGATGGTGACGAGCCTTCTTGCCAAGGTGGAAGTCGAGCTGCACTCGCAGCTCCGGTCGCAGGACATGGGTGAGATGGACCTTGAAAGCCTCCGAGGACTGCACCTTGGGCGAGGGGGTGGTCGACATCCAGGTCTCGATGCTGAGTCGATACTTCATGGCGTTGTGCCAGTCGGTGTTGGACTTGTGGCCACACATATGCTGGTAGTGACCATTGGAGAATGAGACCACCTCGTCTTGGTGGCCCGGTGCTTGGATGACCGCCGTGAAGATGGAGCCGACTCCAGGATCGATTCCAATCCAAGTGGTGCGGTTGGGGTCTGGGTTGCCAATGTGGGCCTGGATGCGCTGCTCGGCAGTCGGAGGAGGCTCGATGGTCTCGGTGCGATCGGTTCGACGCACAAACTTGACGAGGCCGATGGTGCATCCAATGCCATCGGTGCTGATCTCGTAGTTGAACAGCTTGTGATTGATATCCCGGTCACGGAAGAGGGAACTACGCAGCTTGAAGCAACTGCGCCAGAGACGATCCTGGTTGTTGACACCGTCCTCGCCTTCTTCCTTGAGCATGTCCCTGGTGAGGCCAAGGCGCTTCTTTGGACCCAGGAGATTCCAAAGAGTGACCGTGTCAATCTTGACATACTTGGCCCTTGCAGTGCATAGAGGAACCATCGTGCACACGGCCGGAGGAGTGTCGACGGCGAGCTGCTTGAGTGCCCAGTTGATCCTGGATGCCAGCTTGTTGATCTTGGACTTGGTGGTGCCGAGCTCAGACTTGGCGTTGGTGAACCTCTTGTCGTCGGAGGGAATGCCTTGGGTAGTGAGCTCGTCCAGCTTGGCCTGGCGCTGCAGCTCGGTGACTCGGAGGGCGGGCATGTCACAGTCGATCCACTTGTGGACATTGTCGACCATCTTGTCTCGGGCGAGGATTCCCACATGGTGTGAGAGGCGATGGAGGGCCCGGAAGCGGTCCTGGTCGTTGCTGTACCGAAACTCGTCCAGGATGTGGCCAAAGTCTGGATAGAGGAACTCGAGATCGGCCTTGGGTGGAGTCTGCCCTGGTTTCTCGAAGAGCTCGAGACAGGCCTCGATGGCTTCGTGCTTATGCTTGTTGGCTGGGAAGACGGCAGCACAGAAGCGGCGAAGGAGTCGCCAGTAGGCCAGGTCGAGGTGGGTGGTGCAGTTGGTAGCATAGGCATTGACAGCCAGTGTGAGAAGCTGACTGTGAGCACCATCAGGCAGACGAGGGGCCGGAGGCAGGTCTGCGTGCCGAGTGGTCTGGTAGTCGCGAAAGGAAGCGACCAGATGCTCGTTGTACTGCTCGATGTCCCCGGTCGGGGAGAGGGCATCGGCCTCGACAATCGTGAAGCATTGGCGGATGAAAGCAGGGGTGGACTTGGAGATGACGGGGACGGGAAGATCCTGCTCGATGCACCGGAGGATGTGCAGGTTGAGCAGCCTGGATGCCTCGAACTGGATCTGGGTCATGGCCTCGACGGTGGCCTGGATCTTGTCGCGGAGAGCGGGATTGAGACAACAGCCATCCATCGTCTGCTTGAAGCAGCTGAACTGAGGGGCGGATGACCTTCCATCCACGAGTGGGACGACAGAACTCTTGAGGGGCCGGTATTTGGGACACTTGTTGGTGTTGCAGCGTTCGTGATCGGTGCCATCGCACTTGGGACATCGCTTGCCAGTACTCGAGGAAGTAGATGGACCAGGCTCGGTGGGATCGACATCCATTGGATCTGCAGAAGCAGTGGTGGTGAGCGACGGAGCAACAGACGACCAAGCATGCGTGGGGTCAGAATACGAACCAGAGACAGGCTCCGACTGTGACTTGGCTTTCTTGGGCCTGGGTGGCCGAGGCTGGCCATCACCGGCACCCTTACGCTTCGGAGGTGTTATGAACGCGTACCATGATTGGCGTTGTGGCGCAGCGCATTGTCATGGCACTCATGAGCATCCGGGACTGGCGACGGTCTAGAACCTTCCTGCACCATGCATTAGATTAGTTCATTCATTTACTTTATTTGATCACAGAGTGGCTTATCCTGTGGCTGAGCTCGATGACATGATAGATTAGATGGTCGAGGTATAAATAGAGGAGCTCAGGGGCCAGAAGGAAATCACACCCAGTGAATTATCTTATCACCTTTCTGAATATAAGATCATCACTCTCTCGTACCTTGCCCTTGCTCCCTGCCCTGCTCCTCGTTCTTGCCCTCGTTCCGATTCCCACGCCTTGTCTGCACCGTCAAGAACCCACTCGGTCTGCTGACACCTGTTTCCCACGCCTCGTTCCTGACATCATAATTCACTCCACCCCCCTTGCCTTGTCCTACTACCATGGCTGACCCCATCCAGGCCGTCCTTGAACAGCTGGCTGCTCTGACTACTCAGAACCAGCAGCAGCAAGAGACTATCCTTGAGCTTCAACGCCAACTGCAGCACCAGCATCACCAATTCCAGATGCTTCAACAAGTCCAAGTGCCTCAGCTTCCCCCGCCCCAGGAGCACAACGTGGTCTTCAGAGAGCCCAAGGTCCCCTGCCCGGACAAATTCTCTGGTGCCGCCAAGGACATCAAGAACTTTATCGCGAACGTCAACAACGTCATCGCGCTTCAACCCACGCGTTTCCCGGACGAGCGCGTCAAGATCCTCTACACGGGAACGCTCCTCTCGGACCAAGCTCTATCGTGGTTCCGGACCCTTGAAGACGTGCCGGTGACCCTCCAAGATTTCTGGCTTCAACTGAATAACACCTTCGGGGATCCCCACTCCGTCTGGAGTGCAAGGTCCAAGCTCAAGACCCTGAACCAAGGCAGGCAACCTTGTGTCGCGTACACGACGCGCTTCAAGCAGCTCGCCCTCGAGTCGGGCTACAACGAGGAAGCCCTCTACCAGCACTTCTACGATGGGCTCAGTGATCCCATCAAGGATGCACTGGCCCAGACCCTCGATGTTCCGCAGCAGTTGGATCGCTTCATGATCCTGTGTATCCAGCTTGATAATAGACAGTTCTCTCGGCGCATGGAGAAGGCGGCAGGTGGGCACGGACCCAGACCACACGGGCGGCCACCTGTCACCCTCCATGATACGCGCTATGAGCCCATGCAGGTGGATGCCGTTCACACCCTACCCAAGGGCCCACTCTCGCGTGAGGAGAAGGAGAGGAGATTAAAAGAGAACCTCTGCCTCTACTGTGGTGAACCGGGTCACCATGCCAAGACCTGCCCCAACAAGAGCCACCCAAACTTCAGCGTCCAGGCACAGTAAGGGGCCTAACCCTGGACGATACCTCTGCGGCCCCCACTCTCTTTAATGCAACTGTTACTTCTCGAAAGGCTCCAAGGAGCCTCATTGTCCCTGTTACACTTCACTTGCATGGTAGCACAATCTTGTGTAACGCCCTTATTGACTCGGGCTCTTCGTGTAACCTCCTCGATTCCAACCTTGTTCAGCATCGCCACATTCCTATTAGAAAGAAACCAAAGCCCCTTAGAGTCTACCTCGCAGACAATTCCTCTACCCAACTGATCACAGACGAGACGTACCCCTGTGATCTTGACGTCCATCCTCTCCCCCGTTCCCACGCTATGGTCTTTGATATTTTCCCTTGTAACTCCCCCCACTTTGCCATTATTTTGGGTTTCCCATGGCTTCAGGAGTGTAACCCTGCCGTGGATTGGCAGCTTGGTTCCATAGTTTCCCACGGGGTCAACTCGGTGCGCGACGCGTCAGTAGATGGAAACCCCATGGGATTGGGCACGCCTTCGATTCCCACGGGCACTACCCCGAGCGAGGAGATACCTGAGATGCTTCCGAGCACCTACCATGACTTCGCAGATGTCTTCTCGAAAATCGAAGCGGAGTTGCTGCCCGCTCAGCGCCGCTTCGACTGCGACATCCCATTGAAGGATGAAGGCGCTGCGCCACCTTTCAAGCAGCTGTACAACCTGTCCCCATCCGAGTCCAAGGCGCTAGAGGACTACATCAACGACATGCTGGCCAAGGGCTTTATACAGCCCTCGAAATCCCCCGCCGGCGCACCCATCTTCTTTGTGAAGAAGAAGGACGGTGGTTTGAGGCCTTGTGTTGACTACCGCGACCTCAACGAAATGACCGTGAAGAACAGGTACCCGCTCCCACTCATCTCGGAGCTCATGGACCGACTGGGCAGCGCCAAGATCTTTTCGAAAATTGATCTGAGGGGCGCGTACAACTTGGTCAGGATGAAGCCGAGTGACCAGTGGAAGACTGCGTTCCGCTGTAAGTTCGGTCACTTCGAGTACTTGGTAATGCCCTTTGGGCTTACCTGTAGGAGATGGTATCTCCGACGCTGTGCTGCGCGTACTGCGCGTACTGCGCGGCGCAGTGGGTCGTGACCTGTGCTGCGCTTTGCGTTTTCACGCACCGCAGGCAGGCCACCGCAGGGTATACCTGCGGGTTGCCCCCGTTCCCCCCGTTTGTCTGGAGTTCGGTTTTATCGTGAATAAACGTAAGTGCTCCCCGAGC